AGACTGCGAGATGGACAGGATGGATGGGGTTAATGACGCTAATTTACACATTGACCACCTCCTTCGAGGCAATATCGTTACACTTCGAAGCCCTTGTGCCTCCTATGAACGAAAGCCCTCGTTGCCCCCGACGGAAGACCATCTTTGCTGACTGTTGAGTTGTTGATTCACTGACCTCCCTTCCTTTGCTCCAATAGACCCCGAGAGGGTCTGAGGGATATATAAACCCCCAGCTCTTCTGACTCATTCGTCTCTCGCCTCATACTCTTTGATCTACTTCCTCATTCACCTAGCGAACTTTCAAGTCCCAACTTCCAAACCCCCATCGTCGTTCATTTACTTATCCATCAAACACTCCATCTCATGTGAGTGATCATCGCGGTCACGATGACGAGGAGGAAGCCTCCCCTCGATCACATCTTGCTTCGCGACGGTTCAGGTGATCCTCCTTGCTGACGCTCGGTCTCAGCATGCTCTTCGCCAAATACCTTCTCGCTGCCCTTCCCCTCGTTGGGTCTGCCTTCGGAGCCCCTACCGCGGCCAAGAAGGACCTCGCTGTCGTCGAGGACCGTGACATCAACATCTTGAACATTGTCTCCAACTTTAAGCAGGAGATTGTGAGTGGGACTTGATCTGCAGTGTCTCTGGTATTGATGACCCTGCGTCTTTGTTCCTGCTCCCTCCTCATGGATCTTTTGCGCTGCTCTCCTCTCTTCCTCTCGCCCCTCGCTCGCTCCCCACAGGACGGCCCCGTCACGCTCATCAAACAAGGTGCCGGATCAACCGCCCTCACCCAGAACAACCTCCAGGAATACCTCACCACCATCTCCAACGCCATTGGAAGCACCACTGCCCAAGTCCAAGCGCTGCAAAAGCGAGACTTGTCCGAAATGACCCCAGAGATGCAAAAGCGTCAAGCGGATCTCGTCAATGAAGTCGGTCAATTGCTCGCCGGTGTCATCCAGGAAGTCGTCGAGGCTCTCCAGGTCATCGGCGCTGACCTCGCTGGAATCCCCATCATCGTGAGTCGCCGGGAACTGTGGCCGATGCATGCTCCTTGGGACTCGGAGTCGGAGCTGACACTTTTCCTTTCAGGGTAACCTCATCGCATCCATCATTCCCGGTCTTAACACCCTCCTCATCGGTGTCGACCTCGTCCTCGCCGGTGTCCTCCTCGTCGTTCAATCTCTCCTTGGAAACGTCGCCGGACTCCTCAACGGAGTCCTCGGTGGACTTGGACTGGGTGGTCTCTTGGGTGAGTGTGGTAGTGTAGTCAGCAGGCACATATAGCTGACCGTAGCGTCTCAGGAGGACTGCTCGGTTAAGCGTGTAAGACCCCTGGCCTTCTTCCCCATTTCTTTGTACATGTGGACTTTCCTCTCTATCTCCTCTACTTCGAACAGCATACACGAGTGTGTTCTTCTCGACCACTTGTTCCCATAACGTTGCTCCTTAGCATGTGTAGCCATTAATACAAGGACGACTCGTATTCGTCGTTTTGCAAAACATGCACCCGATCTCCATGTGTCCAATTGCTGGCATCTACAGTATGATGGGCTAAATTTGCTTCCGTCCCTCTGTGTCAATTTTTCCCCTCGCCCCCTTTGACACGCTGCTGGCTGGTGCTGGCCCGCCGCTGCTCCCCTTTCCGATTCACATTTTACATCCATACGTATCTGTGTGAGGCAGAGGGGACATCTTCTTTGGCCATCATACCTCATCAGCCCTCTCTTTCTGCAGCACCTTGCACAACGAACAGCTCGATCTGACCTCCTATACCGGATCAATCGTCTGTCCGCCCTACCTAAAATAGAGAGAGAGAATCGAACGAACACTGGGAAAAAAAAATTCCTATCAAAATACCTTTTCACTCCCGACCTCAGCCTCTGCCTCTGCTTGACCTTTTCACCTTTTCACTGCATCTTTTGGTCCGATCTCATTCACACCATCCATCCATCTCAATCCACCTCTCCATCTGACAATAGACAGGTCATTCACCTGTCCACGCTCGTCACTCAGTCAACATGGTAAGTCTGAAGCTCTGTCCATTGTTTCCCACTGTCATCCCACCATGCCCGAGTATGGCCACCGCCTGGCACAATGACGTGCCAGGAAGAATCAAAAAATCAAAAACCTATGCTCATTCGATACTGCATCGCTGATCACTCCCATGCATAGGGTCAAACACTCTCTGAACCAGGTCAGTAGGAATCATACATCCAAGCTCTCATGGTTGTACTCTCGCTGACAAGCTTTTTCTGTCTTTGCTCTCCCTCCCTTTGATCGCTGCTTGGTGTCTCTCGCATCGCTCAATGTCGTGTGCGAAAAAATCCTCGTCTCTTTGTATCACACGACCTCATACCACTCGATCCATTCACATATGGGCTTATCTCGCTTCTCCCGACGTCGTCGTGGTGGTCATCCTGCCTGGATACGTTCGGATCATGCAGTGACGGAGAAGCACACGACCGTCGTTACGAGGGATAAACGGTATTGGGTCGGGTTGTCTGATATGCAAGGATGGCGTATCAGTGAGTGAACACACGGATCTGACAAGGCTCAGACACTGACCAATCTTCCTTCCCATCTCTTGCGGTTTCTTTTCGTCGCCGCCTCACAGGCATGGAAGACTCCCACTCCGTCCACCTTTACCTCCCTTCCTCTGCCGCATCCCAACCCCCATCTGATTCATCCTCTTCCTCATCCGAGACCATCCCAACGCAACCGCCCGGATCAACAGTCACCAATGCCTCCATAGGTCAGGACGGTCCTGCATTCTTCGGTGTATTCGATGGACACGGTGGTTCATCGGCCGCCAAATTCGCAGGTACAACTTTACATCAGCGTTTGGCCGACCTGCCCGCATACAGTGAGCCGAGCGTTGTGTCAAATTTACTGTGGGATGCTGATGACACGACAGAATCCGGAGACTATGAAGAGGCTCTCAGACGGGCCTTCTTCAAGACTGACGAGGACTTGCGAGCGGGTATGTTGGCGCTTCTCGGGACCAAGTCGGCCTGCTTACCTCATCCAGAACCAACATTCTTCAATGATCCCTCTGGATGCACTGCCGTCACCGTCCTCGCGACCGGGGACGGACGTCTTATCTGTGTAGGTCGATGCTCCACCCGCTGGACATGTAGCTCACAACGCCGCAGGCCAATTCCGGTGACTCGCGATGTGTTCTCGGTGTCAAGGGCGAGGCAAAGGCGTTGTCCAACGACCACAAGCCGACAAATAAGGGTGAGAATGCATGAGAATGCGGCCAAGTCGTCGGCTTACGCTTGCTCAGAGGAGACTGCCCGTATACAGTCTGCAGGAGGATTTGTCGAGTTTGGTCGGGTCAATGGTGAGCCAAGTTGCGGGTCTTTCGCTGAGCATTCTCAGGTAACCTCGCGTTGTCTCGTGCCATGGGAGACTTTGAATTCAAGCAAAACTTTTCACTAGAAGCCGCAAAGCAGATTGTAACAGTAGACCCGGAGATAACGACACACAAGAACACTGGAGAAGAAGAGTTTGTGGTTTTGGCCTGTGATGGTGAGTTTGAGCTCGATCCGTCGTTTTGCTGATTCTCTCAGGCATTTGGGACTGCCTGTCATCTCAACAGGTCATCGACTTTGTTCGTCGGGCCGTCGCCAACGGAGACGAACTTGGCAAGATCTGCGAAGACATGATGGTGAAATGTACCGCTAGAGATTCAGAAACAGGCGGAATTGGTTGTGACAACATGACCGTCGTCATTGTTGCCTTGTTGAACGGTCGTTCCGTCTCAGAGTGGCGCGATTGGGTCAAGGAGCGAGTGGAGAAGAAGGGTGAGTGACAGACCTGGTATCAAAAGCCTAATGCTTCAGTCGGCTATGACACTCCCGAGTCCATCCCCGATGTCTTTGCCCAGGTCGCTCAACAGTCCAGTTTATCGGGCATCTCAGGGTTCGGAGGTGGTGGATTTCGGGTCACTGGAGCTGGAGGCTTGGCCAATATTGCCAGCATCCTCGGTGCTTCGGGATTATCGTTTCGACGCGTAGACGAAAACGACGAAGACGCTGAGGGCGGCAACGGCAAGGGGGGAATTTTGGTCTACGACGATGATGAAGATAAGGAAGCTGCACATGAGGACGACAATCAATCTTCAGAAGGATCCTCGACCAAGGTTGAAGGAGGGTCCGAGGCTGGAAGTTCGAAAGACTTGCCCGGTGCATACATGGATGACAAGGCGTTGAAAAGTGGGACTAAGCCCAAGGATATCACGGAGAAACTCGTAAGTCCAGTCATCCAGCGAGGTCCTCTGGTCTATACTCATATCAGCATCAGGACGCATCTTCCGACAAGGTCTTAACGTCTGATTCGAAAAAGGGGTCCGTTCAGCTCGTTGACGAGGACGGCGACTCGACCATGGATTCAGATGATGAATCCGATTCGACGACCACCGGTGCCCAGACTCCCAACCACGACGCTTCTGCGAACCACGCCTCGGGCCCCAAAGCCAAGTCAGCAACCACCTCTTCCAGTCATTCTGAATCTGGTCCCACTGATCGAACTCCATCTTTCCGATCTATTGGATCCCCTGAAATCCCTACACCTCAAGAGTTGCAAGCTGTGGAATCATTACAGAAACAAGTGAGGAGTGAACCTGGTAGAGATGAAGCTCCGTCAGTCGCAAAGGTCGAAGGGCTGATGGATACGAGCGAAGGGCCCTTAAAGTTGTAGCCCGTCAGTGCCGTGGCTCTGTCCGTTGGTGATCCTTTTCTCTCTCTCAAGATGATTTTCATGTTTTGATCATATAGTATTTGGAACTGGGGGCAGAGAAAGAGAGAGAGGATGAGAGAGGAGGATATTCTAGAGACGAAGAGAGAGAGAGAGTGAGAGATTTTAGCTGCAACAGTTCCCCAATCCAATGTAACACGCGACATGCTTTGCACATTGGTTCTCTCCATGAGTGTTCACACGAGGACATTGTGGTGACTGTAGCAACTTCTCGCCATTGACGATACTGATGTTCTCATGGGAATGAATAGTGACTGGCCAGAAGGGTGCACTACTAGTATCATGCCATATCGCGGGCCTTGACCTGCTCCGTGGTTTCCGGACCATTTCCTCACTCTTTTTCCATCAAATGTGGGAATTATTTGTGGCATCACCGGCTATTAGAGTATGGCTGACGATACCGGAAAAATCAGAGAAATCACCATATTGTCACTGAGGGGGGGGGGGGGGGGGGAAGAGATCCCTGTGGATGAGACTCACTGCATCGTTCATCATCTTCATCTCGAGAAAGACTTGACAGATCCGACAAGCATCACGCCTAGGAGGGGCGGAGCACAAACTTCAGTGCGATCATAACCGTATCCTTTGATCAGAGATATTCAGTCGACGACACATCATTTCGGTGACCGAGGGCCACACTCTTATTGTTCAATTGATACGACAGCCGTTCCATCCCAAGTCTCCACCATGCCGTTCTGGCCATATCCCGACAACGCAAATCTCGAATGTCAGAGCAAGGTGAGAGGTTACCAGCAGGCAGCCTGTGGTCCCAGCGCTAAAGACTTGCCATCGGTCAGCCCATCGGCGAAGCGAAAGAAGGCGAATCGAGTGAGTGCGGTCTGTTCGTACAGGTAGCTATGCTGACATCGTGGACAGGACCTTATGGGAATGGTCTGTATCGTCGCACACTGTGGAAATATGAGCTGAAGTCCAAATTTTGCTTTAGCGTACTGGGACCGGTCCGTCTTGTTCGCTCCTGGTCAGCCGAGGTCTCTCTACGAGCTCTTTGAGCAGAGTAAGCAAGGTCATAGTGGCAGGCTACTGACATCCTCATAGCCGCGACGGAGTACCCTACAAGAGACTGTCTAGCCTATCGCGCTGTCCTGACCCCCGCTACATCCACCAAACCCGCTGTCTTGGCAAACACCCTCACAGGTATTTCCTATTCAACTGTTCAAATACGTCGAAATGCCATTGGATCCGCCCTCTTAGCTCTTGAACGAGCTGGCCGTCTCTCATCCCCTGAGATGCCTGCGAATCGTCAGACACCTGTTGAAATTACGTTTCCCAACGTCCCTCATTATGGCAGTTCCAACCGTCTCAAGGGAGGCGCCAGGCGCGGTTGGGGTGTTGGTCTCTGGTCAAAGAATCGACCGGAATGGCAATTGATAGATATGGCAACGCATGCGTATGGACTCGTCGGTGTAAGCTTGTACGAGACGCTGGGTCCAGATGTCGCGACGTACATGTGGGTATTGACTGCAAGAAAGCGTTGATCACTAAACTTCCTGTATCATCAGAACCAACCATTGCCCTCTGTCTGTCATCTTTGCCGAGGCATCAAAACTTCCTGCGTTGCTCAAGATGGCCCCTAGGTGTCCTTCACTTCGCGTCATCGTCTCCATCGATCCGATCTCAGTCGCTGAACGCAATGTTCTCAATCAATGGGCGTCGACAGTCAACCTTGAGCTCTTGGTTCTTGACGAGCTTGAAACGTGGGGATCCACTGAAGAGATCCATATTCCACCTGGACCGGTCAATGGAGTGGTGGGAGAGGACGAAATGGACAAAGATAGAATTCTCACGATCTCGTACACAAGTGGGACGACTGGTAAGCTTATAAGGGTGCAGTGCGATTCGTGACTGAATCCAATCACAATAGGCGATCCCAAGGGAGTGGTCTTGACAAACATTAATGTCACCTCTGCTGTGATTTCGAATGGATTCGGCGTATCTCAGGACAAAGACTCTAGATGGGGAACAGGGGATGAATGGCGGTATATGTCGATTCTGCCCTTGAGTCATATGTGAGCTTTTTGCTTTCGCCGCGAAGGAGATCACGCTGAATACCGCCCTTTCAATAGCTACGCTGTGAGTATGGATCAAGATTCTTCAATCTACAGGACACTGATTGTCTACCCGCTCATCAGAGGTTCCTCGAAATGGTCACTGTCTCCGGGTTCGGCACCATCTGCTATACCACGGGTGATCCTCTGAGGTTGGTAGAAGACGCTCAGATCATCAAGCCAAATCTATTCTGTGTCGTCCCGCGGATTCTCAACAAGTAAGCAGGAGCAAGCGAGTGCCACTGAACAAGGCTCAGGATCTACGCCGCTATCACTGCTCAAATGAATGCCGGTGGACTGAAAGGTGCCCTATTGAGACGAGCGGTAGCGGCGAAAAAGCAACGGCTAAAGGAGACTGGAGACAATACACATCGATTATGGGATCGATTGGTATTCCGCAAGGCGGGTCGACGTACCACGAGGCGAGGATCGCGCTTATGCTATCATCTGACAGATCCGAGCTCTTCTTGGAGGCGAAGTCATCTATATCTCTTCCGGTGCTGCTCCGCTATCTGTCGAGGTTCACGAGTTTATGAGAATCTGCTTCTGCTGCGACGTCGTTCAAGGCGTGAGCAGAACGACAACATGTCATACTTGACCGCGCTGACAGATACCTTAGTGTGGGATGACAGAGGTGAGCACGAGAGAAAACAAACTGGATGCCGCAAAAGTTGACTGAACTCATAGACCATCGGCACGATGGGCAAGGCGTGAGTCGTTGGATAGGACCCGATCAAGTCCAATGACTGACCAAGCACGATCAGAGTCCCGTGGGATGCAAATGCACCCGGCACCTGTGGTCAGATTCAGCCATGTCTAGACGTGAAACTGGTCGACGTTCCGGAGATGGGGGTGAGTAGAGCCGTCCAGAGTCGCATGACCTAACAGCTGATGCAACGCAGTATACCCATAACGATTCTCCGAACCCGCGTGGCGAGTGAGTCCCCGCACCAAATCCTTCCAGAGGATCATATCTGACATCCCCGTTAGAATCTGCGTGCAAGGCTCCAATGTCACCCCTGGGTACTTGCACGACCCTGCCAATACCGCCAAGACGATCGACAAGGACGGATGGCTTCACACGGGAGAGTGAGTCTGAAGCCGTCAGTAAAGGCTGATCAGTCAGCGTCGGCGAGATTGACAGCGCGGGTCGTCTCAAGATCATTGACCGGATCAAGAATGTCGTGAAGCTCAGTCAAGGGTGAATGGCACCTGAAGCTATGAATTTAGGCTCTTGCTCACGCGTGCACAGGGAATACGTCGCTCTTGAAAAGCTGGAGGGAGCCTATTCTCTCGATCCCATTTTGGCGGGACTCATGGTCCATGCCGATCCAACTCAATCGTATCTCGTCGCCTTGGCTGTGTTGGACCCGTCGAAAGCATCTGAATTGATCACCCGTGTCTGTGGGAAGACCATCCCCGCGACGAATCTACAGGAGCTCGAGGAGGCCGTCAAGAAGCCAGAAGTCAAGCAAGCAGTCCTGGACTCATTTAGAAAGATTGCAGTGAAACAAATGTTCACAGGGTGAGAGTTGGGATTCTCGAACTACCCTGCGGACCGAGCGCTGATATCTTTGTGCCAGCTTTGAGCACGTCAAGGGCATTTATCTGACTTTGGAGCCATTCCCCGAATCGTTGTTAACGCCGACATTCAAGCTCAAGCGGTAAGTCGGGACTGAGAGTTGTGAGTCTCGATCCTGATAATCTTTAGGAACCTCATTGCGAAGCACTACAAGGCACAAATTGACGAAATGTTCGCTTCTGGACCAAGAGAGACCGGTGCCTCGGCCTTTGCAAAGCTGTAAGAAGGGGCGTGCGGACGGGCGGGCCGATTGTTGTCTTTCAGATGCGTTTTGCCTCCATTCGAGCAAGGTCAAAATGTATGCATTTGGATACGGATAACCAGTGGCTGACGCTGCGTCGTGGGTGTGGCTTCGTCGATGTCAATCACAGATTGATGCGTTGTCCTACGCGAGGCGGGTGATTGACTACCATGCCTGGACACGATTGTGGCTGCGCATATAACAAGGCGCGTGGACGATTGCGCAGGGAGAATGTACGATGAGGCTATCATCAATGGACTGGTTTTCAGTGGCTGTCAAGGGAGCGCTGAGTCTCGGTTGATCATCCCATGAACCTGAAGTTCGAGCTGTGTATAGCGTACTGCAGAGTGATCAGTTGTGATCATAGCTTGGTCGGGATAGAGCCATGACTGACTTTCGGCTGCATACCCTCTCCAGTCTGTTCAGCGACTCTAAGCATGAACATTTCGTGGAATTTTCGGGGGTGATCCTGCGGGGGAAGGTTCGGTGTATCCACGTGAGACATGACGGATGGACCGTGAAGGACAGATCCAGTGATGTTGACGATCAGATCAGGGGCAGAGGAAGAGTCGAGGGCTGTGAGCACGGAAAGAGCGGGTTGCATAGTCGGTGAAGCATCCGCATCCAGCACCGAAGTGAGTAGGAGAAAGAGAGGGGGGCAGGCGTTCGTCAGCTTGGACTGAAATGGAAATTCCCCCTGTAAAACTTTGGACGACTCACCCGCCACGGGATGACAGTCGACCGTCTGGAGATCATGTCGGGATAGAGGCATGGCGTCGAGGAAAGCAGAGAGAGATGGTCTGTCAGCAGGAACAGGATTCCCGTTCCAAATGACCTTGGCGGAAGGCAGGAAGAGTTGAGGGAGTTCCTGAGCCAATGGCAGTCAGCGAATGGCCCCGAAGTTGTCGGAGAATTAGCACGCACTGTTGAGCGTCGATTAGGCTCATCATACGCTTCATAGTATATCTGACAAAACGCGATGGCTCCGTGGGACGCAGCGTCTATCGCAGTCGAAGACCATGGTGAGCTAAGGCCGAGAAATATTCAGCTGAGGACTGGGGCGAAGAGAGATCAGAATGTAACTGACGGCTTCTCGGCTGACGTGGTTGAACCTGTGGCACTCATTAGACAAAAGCAGATGTCAGATCTGCTCCTTGGCGAGCTTCTGTGAGAAGCGAGTGAGGTGTATGAGCAACAATGAAAGACTTGAAAAGGCATTTCACGTGAATGGTCATTTTCAGTGGCGACACGCCCAGATGTGGCGAGTTACAAAGTTGAATACGAACAGCCCATTGCACTGCCAGCGAACCAAAACGCAACACGATCATGGATCGCGTCAGCTTCGAGCGAACATGTGTGCAAGTGAGGGGCTAACGCAGGTGCTGAGGATTCATGAAGAGGGTACTCTCAGAGCTCCACGCCATCCTCACAATCCTCTCTCCTTCAACTTCTTCTCCAATATTCTCTCTACCATCCCTTCTATTCTCGCCTGACTACCTAGAACGTACTTGCCCACACAGTCTACCTCAATGTTCACCTTGTCTCCTACTTGCTTCTTCGTCAAGACGAGCTTCGTTTGCGAGTAAGCAATGAGCATGATTCCGAATGACGCTGTTTCATCGTCGACTTCTGTCAACGTCAAGGAGGCGCCATCGATGGTGATATATCCTTTTTCGACGAGATACGGCATCAGAGTTTGAGCTCTGGAAGTGGCCGATGTAGACGCAGCGGAGGAAGAGGTTGGTGAGAATGTAAATGTATAACGAATCGAATCGCCGTCTGGAACTTTCGACGTGATAGTGGCCGTGGCATCGACGTGGCCCTAGAAGCACAAGATGGAGACAAAAGGCCAGACACCGTAAGCTGGGATGCCAACAGGTCTGCTTCTGATTTTCTCACCTGAACCATATGTCCTCCGAATCGAGTGTGGCCGGACATGGCTCGCTCAGTATTCGCTCGGTCACCCACACGAAGATCACCTGATGGAATAACGTCAATGCCGATGAATTAGTGGGACAGATCAAGGCATAGCTAGCTACGCTGAGGCCATCCTCAGTCAGACGCTCACCCAAGTTCGTCCGACTGAGCGACTCGTTGGCGACATTCACCCTGAATGAATCCTTCGTAAATTCGGTGACTGTCAGACAGCATCCGTTGACACAGATGGAATCGCCATCATGACAGTCACTCAGAATCGGCTCTGCTTCGTCAAACGTGATGTAGTAGCCCGAAGAATCGGTCGTGGGCTCAATCTGGGCTACACGAGCCATGTGCTCGATCTGACAACTGGGTCAGCAAAAGTTGACCGGTGAGTGAGGCTACACACGATTCCAGTGAACATCGCGACTCGAGCTTGAGTACTGGATTTCTGGGGGGATTACGCGACCGGGAAGCGGTCGATGGCTGTCCTGTGTATGATCAACCACAACGCTGGTATTGCTCGATAATGTTGCTAGAATCCCGTCCGAATGAAATCAATCATCTGCAACCCGACTCACGGAGACTCAACGGAATCAAATTCCAGGCGAGGAGATGTTTTTAACAATCGACGAGCTGCTATCATAGAAGACGCTCCATGCATCGAAGAGCTGAACGGGGTCGCGCTATTGAGGCTAGGGGAGATTGACACGAAGATCAGGGGCTCAAATCCATGGCTGGTCGTCTCATCAAACGTTTGCAAGCCCCCGAAGCCTTTTATCGTCCTTCACGTTGAATAGTCGCGACGCTCTTCGGAATGAGCTCATCATATCCTTCGCGAAGTCGACCCGTTCGACAAGCTGTTTTGGCCGGCGGATCGACCTCGAACACGTCTACGTCTGGAGTGGCATTACCAACGCTGCCGAATACGAGACCAGGTGAGCCATTTTAAATCACCATTCCATCCGAAGCATTGAGAGGCACAAGACGGAGTTGCAATCAGTCCATGGTCACCTGGACATTTTGATTGTCATTTCGGGATCGCGTCTGATCTTTAAATTGTCTTGCGCCCAATCTCAATGGCATGATATGCCCTATCATTGCCTTCCTCACCTTTTGCTGCACCTCATCCATGCGTCCGTCTGTGCTCGAACCTCATGTTCCCAAACCCACACAGAATGCTCACTTGACTGTCCCAGGACCTTCGTATTCTCAGACGAGACCTTATAATCGCCAACAACCACCTGGATCAACCACTGCATACCCTCCTCGACCTATTGCCCAAACCAGTCAACATCATGCTCAACAAGCCGTACCTCAAGTGCCCATTTACTACCACGCCCCGACACATCCTGAAGGACCTCTGGCGTTCTTTGTCCCTCCTCCCGGTCAACCCACCCGAGACCCCACATTGTCGAACCCACCTACCGCTCAGGCTTTACACTCGACCTATCCTTCACGCTTGAGAACAGGGGTGACTGGCCTGATCCAGCCCGAGACAATTACTGGCGGTCCCAGGGAACGAGAGTATCTGCTCGCTGAATTGGACCGAGAACTCGCTGCCGTTCACAGTGGTGCTTCAACGCCACGTCTAGAATCCCCAGCTCCGACTGGAGGAGCAGGAACAGGAGCTGGAGCTGGAATGAGGAGACCCACAACGACTCTGTCAGGTCGAGCGACGGGTCGAAGAGTCAATTATGCAGAGGAAGAATCGGATGAAGAGAGCGAAGAGAGTAGTCTATCTGAACTCGAGGAGCCACCATCAGATCCGGACGACACGAGCTACGGAGAACGAGGCGATAGGAAACGAAGAGATCGCTCGTCGGACGTGAGAGCAAGGAGTACGGTGCCTGCTTGGACTGGCTTGAGTGCCATGGATCAACAAGCCCAGAACAAGGCTGCAAAAATTAAGCGGAAGAGGGATGAATTGGATAGAGGATGGACATGGCTGGGTGATAGAGTTCCTGGAGAAAGAGTGACCAGTACGAGCGCACAGGCCACCAGGCATTCTTATCCGTGAGTCACTTGATGGTCACATAGCCTGATCAGCTTGCAGATCAGAAGAATTACTCCGACGTGAAGCGGGTCGACCAACCGTTCTCGTGCCCATCACAATTGACTTTGATGTACCCAGTCAAGAGGCGGATAAGCAGGGTATCAAGGTCAAAGATCGCTTTCTGTGGAATATGAACGGTGGGCGAAGATAGTAGAGCTCGACTAATGTGATAGAACCGTTCATCACGCCGCATCAGTTCGCTACAACATTTTGCAAAGATATTGGTATTCCTCATACCTTTGCTACCACTATGGCTGAATTGATTCAATCTCAATTGGATGAAGCGTCCGGCTGTGTTGATATCGACCTCGTGGACCGCGAGGTCACAGCGGATGATGTAATCTGGTCAGAGGATGAACCCATAATGGAGGAGTACGAGGAAGTGAGCGATGAGGTAGTACCAGAGGCGCCGCGGAGGAAACGTGGTCGACCGAGAAAGTATCCCCGACCCTTGACCGATCGGGTCAGCGAGAGTGCAACTCCAGCTTTGACACCGGTCCCAGAGGTCGAGCCGGCCGCAAGCCATGTAGACGAGGAGGATGGTAATGAGGGCGACCAGGAGGAGGAGGCAGCAAATGGGGAGCATGTGGAAGAAGGTGACAATCAAGGTGAAGGCGAAGGGACTGTCGAGCCTGCTGAGAATGAGGATGAGGCGGGGCCAGTGGTAGTGAAGAGAAGGAGAAAGATAAAAAGGGTCTGGCAAGAGCCAGACTGTCGCATCACCATCAACGTAAGCTAGCTCCTTGAGGAACCTCTCTGAGACACATCGCAGCTCGACGTCCAGATCTACACCCATATATTACGCGATCGAATCGAGTGGGATCTCGCCTCATCACTACCACCGGCTGTCTTTGCCAAACAATACTGCGCCGAGCTCGGCCTGTCTGGAGAAGCCATACCCCTGGTTGCTCACGCTATAACCGACGAATTGCTCAAGCATAAACGCGACGCATTGGAGCTCGACCTATTCAGCGAGACTCACCCGCTTGAGCAGGCAAAATGGGAGCGAGGAGGAGCGGGAGGAATGAAAGTCAATTCGAGGTATGGCGCTAGTCAGCTAGTCGGCGTATGGAGAGATTGGTGGGAAAGGGAAGAGTACTCCCCGGTTCTGGTCGAGTTGACCATGGAGGAAATGGAGAGGAGGGACCTGGAGAGAAACAGAGAATCAAGGTGGGTCCGGGCATTGTCGATGATATTCTGGCAAGTACTGAACACTCTTTCAGGCGTATGTTGAGGACGCTTGGGCCAAAGAGACGGCGCTGAGCAGGTGGTAGCGGAGGTCTTGCATGCATGTCATAAGTGCCACATTGAGAGCACGTGGTCAGTTCGCTATCATGGAGAGGGTGCCACACTACACTACCTTCGGCGTTTTGTTAATTTCGCCGCGCCGAAACCTCGAACTGCCAATTTTGAGCGTTTGCTTGTCCAGCGATTGGCTCTTAGTGTTCATCCAACAAGAATAGGGTGTCAAAATGGTGAGTCTGGAGGCATTGAAAGCGCTCGAGAGAGATGCTCTTGGTCCTGTATAAGCTGCCGGATCTTGTGCTGACTAAATTCACAGGGAAAAGTGAGTTTCGTGTCTGGTCTCTATGGCAGGAAGATGGTCGTGTGTCGGGATGGACAAATGGCCCTAGGATGAGGGTGTGACTATGAGGAGGAGAGATCTGGGGATTATGAGACCGGATCATTTGGATGGCTTTGCTGACATTATTTGCTTCTCTCGTTTGCAGGGTACCCCTTCCTTGTGAGTCGCGCTCTGCAGTATGTGAGGACTTTTTGACTGACCCTTTACCCAGTGGTAAACGGCACTCCAAATCCCACACGCTGTGCAAGCGATGTGGTCACCGAGCGTTCCACAAGCAGCACAAGCGTGAGTTGGAGAGAAAGCAAAAGGAAAGAGGATAAGCATTGACGGGAGACCCTCCTCTAGAATGCGCTCAATGTGGATACCCTTCCGCCAAGCTGAGGAGCTATAACTGGGGCTTGAAGGCCAAGAGGAGGAAGACGACGTGCGTGTCTCTGCTGCACTCTATCAGATGGCAAGACTGACGAGATCATCAGTGGAACCGGACGCATGGCTCACATCAAAGACGTCAACCGCCGATTCAAGAACGGATTCAGGGAGGGAGGCGCTGCTACCAAGAAGACCCGTGCGGAGTCTGCTTAGATCGTCTCATGATTGATTCGATCGAGGAGCATGTAGCAGTCGAGTTCGCCACGGTGCATTCGATGATGTACAAGATACATTCGGCAAAACCCTTTTAAAAACGAGTCTACAACACGCCGTCTCTGAGCTTAAGCTTTCGATCCGGTTCGGCAGTCGTGAGACTTTGTACGATGCTCAGGAAAACTTTTTGATTGTCCCCTTGCCTCTCGCCTGCCGACTTTATCCTATCCTTGAACGCACTGATGGCTTCTGACATTGGTACGATGCTTTTGCGTCCGTTCCTGAACCAATTTATGACCTCTTCTCGAGTTATGATGTTCGGAAACTGATCCTCTGGCCCCGGGGTCGGGGTTGATGAACCAGACTTCTTCTTTTTCCTCGAAGGGTCCGCCGAGCCACCCGCAGACGTCGTTGGTGAGGGTTTCCGCTTGTTTGAGGACGAGCCGGGAGATGGACCTGGTGATTGAGAAGCAACTGGTGTCTTCCGTTTTTGAGGCTGTCCAATGGGATGCTGTCCAGGTTTGCGGCCGGATCCACCGGATGCAGAAGGCGTGGGACTAGCCTCCCGTGAACCGGCAGCAGGACTGCCGGCTCGACTTCCCTCAACGGGTGATTGACCCCGTCCAACAGGTGAGGTTTGCCGACTGTGTCTGGGTGAAACGCCTCCGCCAGCAGCTCTTTGTGCTAGGAGAGCAGACCCAGATCCCGGTGGTGCAGTACTTGCTTTGCCAGGATTGGGCAACTGAGGTCGTCGACTTGTAGGCGAGGATGTACCACGAGAATGAGGTCCTCGAGATTGAGGCCGTGAGGATCGATCCGAAGGAGCCGCAGAAGGCTCGCGGGACCTCGCTCTGTCGGTCTCCTTGTCCTTGTCTTTCTCCTTTTCACCCTCTTTGTCCTTCTCCTTCTGGTCCGTCGGTTGAGATTTGACGGTCTCGGTGTCAGAGTCGTCCTGTCACAGGTCAGACAAACGTGTAGCAAAAAGTGACCGGCTAACGCACTGATTCTGATGTACCAAACTCGTCCTCCATAACGCCTCGCTTCCTCATCATCTTTCGCAGTCTCTTGCCTTCTTGATTCAGACCGTCGCCGAAAAGGTCGTCATCGTCATCGTCCTCGTCTTCCTCGATCTGCGGCCGATCTCCCACATTGGCATTGGCAAGCTTGAACTCCTTCTTGAGTTGTTCCTGCGACCCGCGTCAGGCCATACCTCGCGCGACGGACTTTTGTCTCACCTCTTGCAGCTTGGCCTCTTCCTCCTCTTCCCTGTCCTGGTAGAATGTATTGTTCTCCTCATCATCCTGGAATTCTTCCTTGAAATCGTAATCAAGCTCCTCATCTGCACCTCCTTCCAACCCCTGCGTTGCCCTCAGTCTACGAGACCTAAGTCTGCAGTTCACTTACCCTCTCCAGCATGCGGCCCTCTCGCTTGTAGTCATCCTCAAACTTTTCCCGCTTGACTTTTGGAGCGACTCCTGCTCGCTGAGTCAACCTCGATTCCAGAGCTCGGGCTCGCTGTTCCTGAGCCAGGACGGCAGCTGCGCTGCGAAGAGACGAGACCTCGCTTGAGGGTCCACTCGAAGGGCCACCCTCACGGTGAGCCCATCGGTCGTGCATCCTGAATTTGGTCTGATGCTCGTACTGCCAGAGATCAGCGGAGATCTCGACACTCAATCTCACCAATTTGTTCGCCGAGTCCGCGTCCAACACCTTGAACGGACGTTCGGGCTCGAATCTATAGGATCGGCCCAGCGGTACGACCTTGAAACCCATACCCATTGTCCCGTCGTTGACCAACAGGACACTGGGCATAGAAGCCGGTTCTGTAATCCTGCCCACCCAATGTTCTGGCATGGCACCTGCCTCCTTTTCATCTTTGGGTGTCTGTGACTCTATAATCCACGGCATGTGTTCCTCTCGCCGTAATCTGATGACCTCGATATCCTGGTGATAGACCTCCTTGACACCTCGCCTTCCAGCACGTTTAGGCGGTTGATTCGGGGCTCCTCCCACTAGCGCAAGATCCTTCTCATCTCTCTTCTCGATCACTTGCTCTCCATTGGCATCCAGTACTGGCTTCCCATGCTTGTCATACACGTATCGTCCGATGATCTTGCCCTGCTCATTCGTAGCGAATGCGGGGGGTGCTTTGGGACCAGGCTCTTTGCGATTCATTAGGATCGGTCGCGTGATAGAGCGAGGATCCACATCTCTGACCGAATTCATTCGCATAACATTGTACCGTATGTCATTCTCCAGGCCGGAAGACAACAGTTTGAACTCGACAATCTTGGAGGGATCACTAGACGTGGACGGAGAGCCGGCATTCACAGGTCGAGGGGAAGGGCCAGCGGAAGAACTGGATCCTGCTCGTAGCGGATTACCAGCGAGGGATGGTGAAGGCGCATGAGAGGAAGAGCCGTTGGGAGGAGGAGGCCGCGCCCGAGTCCGGTTCCTCTTCCTTGACAAGAAGAGCCCTCCTCCGTCGCTCATGCTGAATGGGATGTAGAAAGACAGAAGGTCCTGGTGTGATGTACTTTCAATGTGCCACTTGTGCCGAATTCCCGGTGGCAAAGGGGGAATGGATTCATCGAGGAGTCTTTTCATGTTTGCTCTTTGATCATCATCTCTCTCTGTCTTGTCAGTTCTGTATCTCCTTCTTTCATTCATCATGGCCTCCTCTTCCAATCTCGATTCGCTGCTGTCGAAGAGCGCAAATGATCTGGCGAAGGAACAGGAGGTGAGTATTCTGGAGAGAACTGTGCTGATCTCTCAGGTTCAAAGAGTGATGAAAGCTTTCAAGCTCAAGTGAGTGACCATTCATCGTGCTGTAATCTGCCGCTAACCTCTTCTACCTTAGTCCTTATGACATTCTCGATCTTCCTGCGTTTGCTACAGAAGCCGAAGTAAAGAAGCAGTATCGTAAGAAGTCTTTACTGATTCATCCGGACAAATTCAAACATGAGAATGGACTCGAGGTGAGCAGAGCCCCCTGGATCAGAGACAGCATCGCTGATCAGGTGCAATTCTCTCTGCCAGGCATTTGACTTTCTGAAAAAGGTTGGTGCAATCATCGTCTCTACCGTGAACAACATCTGACACCCTAGGTTTTATAGGCTGAGGCCCAACTTTCTGATTCCTCCAAACGCACTGAAATTGACGCCATCATGACTCACTGTCGGACTGCTGTACTAAAAAGGTGAGGCGGATGTCAAAGATGTAGCTGACATTTCTTAGTGTACTTGGGTCCGGATACTCTACCAACATCGCAGATACAGATCCACGAATCACCTCCCTGAGACCGCCTTTGGATGCTCAGATCCGAGCAAAGGCGAAAGAAGTCTTTGTAGAGGATGAGCTGGCAAAGCGAAGGTGAGTCAATGTTAATGAAACACAAGGCTGATGCTTCCAGGAAATCGAAACTCGCATTTGCAAATGAAGGCGCTGAGAAAGCCAAAGCTGAAGCCGAAGTGGCCGCGAGAAAACGCAAGATTGAGGAGCAAGCGAAGTGGGAAGGTGAGTCTACATTACCCTCTTCGCCCGTGTTTGCTCGTCCCATGGGACTATGAGTGAATTCTGAAGCACCTCTTGCAGATATCCGATTCCCTCTTGATCAATTTGTGAGATTGCAGCCGCTGACACTTTGTCTTTCTTCCTCCTTCTTGACCACACAGAACGACGCGACGAGCGCATCAGCTCCTGGCGAGACTTTAGCAGCAAGAAGGCTAAAAAGTCCAAAAAGAACCTTCACGTTCTGGGCTGACGAACGATTAGCTTAGGTATCTTTGTTGTATATATCTGGCGCTGTGGCGTCGGCTGTATCATAATTTGCATGTACACATGGGTTTCGGCAAGGTCTTCAGCTTTTTCCTACCCCTATCGTGCCTCCTTGCTCAAGTATATCGAGCGTCTGATCAGCTGTCACGAACCACGGCCATCCTTTGCCTCCGTTGCGCTGGGCAACCGGGTATTTGAGCTTGCCCAGGGTTGTCCGACGCCCGGACATAACGTGAAGATGAAGGTGGGGCACGGACGAGAAGGGTGGGATGTGGAAGCCCATGTTGGAGTCTTCCGCCGGGCTGAGCCGATGACCGAGATCTACCATCCCTTTGACTGAGTCGACTTAGCGGCAGAGCTTTGACGTGCTTTACCTAATTGAACATGACTTGACCTGAGGTCTCGCACAGACGATGCTGAGGGAGCGGTCAGTCGTGCCCCGTCGGCTCACAGCATACCGATGTGAGTCTTCGGGATGATCAAGAGACGCGTCTCAGCTTGAGGAGATCTGTCTTTAGCTCGACACGCAGATTTGATCTCACCTGTCCTTGAAAGCTATCAGACATTCGTCCTCGTGGACCACAGCGAAACCTCTCTCTACGGAGACATGACAAAACACGCAGCCCGGAAGTCTACCTGCCGTATCGATTTCGAGTGACTGAGACGGTCTCGAGGGGAAACAAGACAGCCATCGCGGCATTCGATGCAGTCAAAGGACCAAGACGCTCTCGGGGAGACAACAGAATGTAATTGGATCGTCAACTGTGGCGCGTCATTGTGGCGGGAAACGTTAAGAAGAAACGGGAACCAATCCATATAGGTTCAAGACGCATGGAATGGGTACGCCGGTGTCTGCTGATAAGTATCATGTGTGCCGCTGTTAGTGTCGCACACGGAGATCAAGGCCATGCGAAAGCAGACGAACAGAGATGGCATGAGACCCAAGGATATCCCGCAGCGTTTTCGTCGAATTTCATAGGCTGTCTTGAAACCAGCCATAAAGGCCAAGATTGACACCCCAGGACACTCATCAACTGCCCAATCATCATGTGCCCTCCACCTTTCATGCGGACGCTCTGAATCTGGTGGCGGATGATTATGAAGAAAAGCGACATTTCGATCGTGGATGGGCAAACACCCGGAACAGCCAACGCCGACGCCTCAGCCTGCCAGGTTTGAAAGGTTGCAGCGGAAGTCTGGATGCCGCCCTGTTGTTGGTTAAAAGGGGACTTAGGGCTCTCAATGGGTCTAAGGATGATATAAGAGGTTTCAGTGGTTATGCAATATCTGCGCTCGCAAGTAGGGCCAAGAGGGCGGACAAGCTCCAAGCTGTACGACCCAACCAAGCTATACAGGCATACCCAAGCCTCTCGTATCCCAGCCAGACACCTACAAGAATGATATGTACGGATCGGCAGATCAAACTCGCGCAGAGGGAGTACAAGTGTCTGGTAATCTGGAGGCGACTCGCTAAACTCCATGACGTTCTGATTATCCTTAGAGACCTTGCCTCTCAATCAACGGTCCAAATTCCCCGGTCTGAGCTGGATCGCGACATCCCCGTTTGTCATGTGGTGGCAACTATCTTTCATCAGCCGGGTCTGGGATGAAGATGAGAACAATCCATGCGAGTGGGACCATCTCCAAGAGGAGGAGAGGAGGAAGAGGGGACCGCTCATGGCTTCAACAGTGATGGCATTTCTCCGAGACTTTGCCAGGGACATGATCTGGGCGTCGGCATGCACTGCTCAGACCAGATGTTTGCATACATGTACCAGATCCTCTCAAATGTGGATTGTCTAGCCTATTCGATCTTCAGCAAAGTTTTGACAGAAGTCCGTGGCGACACGCTTTCACTAGGGCGTACTCGAAAAGAAATACCCTCAAACGAGGATGTTAAACACGCGAGCATACTGGACTCTTATCCCACCATGAGTTGCCCAGATACATAATCATTCACAGCATGCAGCGGGCCCGAAACAAGTCGGCTATAGCACATCTTCGAGAGCGCATGTCATAGGTGTTCAAGAGCCTACTCATCAGGATAGACGCGCAGATATGCCACATATGTTTTCGGAAGAACCCTTGACGGGTCCGCATTTACCATTCGCGGCGATGCCTTCGCTGCTTTGAGCCGGCCGTTACGGTTGACGCGTTCTTTCGAGCCCTAAATCTGAGCAAGGCTGGTGCAGTGCTGGATGATACACGGTGTAGTGATGAAGGCCAAAAGAATAGGCTGTACCCAAAAAAACCAACAAGAAAAAAAGAGGGCTCTGACCGCGACTCGAACGCGGGCCAATTGCACTTCACATGGCTACCACATGGGATTTAACCCAGTGGGCGCACCTCCCGAAGCAATTATCGTACCTCTAGACCATCAGAGCAACAACAAAATCACGCTTTGTGTCAATGATTATATCCTTCAACATTGCCCTCAATCTCCATTCGCTCGGCAGCAGGTCAAGCAGAGCAATTTCCTCTCTCAATCGTTGAATATCGCCTGGATGAATCAGCCAGCTCTGATCATGAACCATGAATGGCCCCTGATTGGGATTGAATCTGCCACACTCGAAGTCTCGAGGGTTTCGAACCGCCGCATTCGTTCCGAAACCCCAAAAAGGTCGTGATGACCTTTCAGTAGGGCTCTGAGAGTATTCAAGTCCTCGTTGTAGGTGCAAGGAGTTTTGGCAAATTGAACACGGTCAGTCGTGAAGACGCTCAAGAGTATACGGCTCTTAACGAAGTTGTTACGCATTAATGTGGCACGAATTTTGGCTCAAATACTCCTTAACCTGATGGCCCCAGTACCTACCCTATTCATTCTGCTCGCGCTTGGCTGGTGTAGTCCAGGCATTCAAGGAACGCCTATAGCCTGTCTCGCTCTTCCAAACCTGAACCAATCCTTGCGAGAGCCTTCTAGTGCTGCTTTGGCTCAAACAAGACGGACGCCTGACTCAGATGACAGCGTGCTACACCCGCCAGCTCAACTCGGATTTCGGCTCAATCTTTACCCGAACCCCGAATGACTTTCCACAGCTGCCATTCCAGTCAAGGAATCACTCACTCATCATGGATCCAGCTCCAAGTTCCCAGACAGTAAGAAGTCTGACCACGGTTCTCATTCGTTCTCACTGAGAGTTTATTCAGATCGCGCACCTGAACGACAACTGGACATGGGTTAAAGACTGGATCGATGCTCCTCTGAAAGGGGAAGCCGGCAGACTTGCGAGATTTCAGCGAATTGTGGAGGTTGAAGCGGCAGCGTTGAAAGTGCCAATCTGGGTGCGACTCAGCGCCGATACACGCTACAAGCTCTTGATTAATGGCAACCGTGTCTGTGTTGGCCCAGCGCGAGGCAGTGATAGAATCTGGTTCTACGATACCATTGATCTTGGTCCATTTCTTCGAACGGGATCCAACATCATCGAGATACTCGTTCTGCGCTTCTTCCCGTCTGAGAATGTCGCAGAGCCTTTCGGAAGAACCGCGAGACCCGGACTGACCATCTATGGGTCAATTGGGGACGAGAACATCTCCACGGGGGGGACTGACACCAAGTGGCTCGGCGGGCCGGAAGACAACCGATATTATCCCCAGGAGACCCCATGGGACCACTTTTTAAACGTACGTTCGAGTGAGGGGCAACGATTGACCTAAAGACTTACGAGGAGACATCGAGCCGGACGGAAGAGGTCGCTTTGTCTCCGCTGAAACGTCATCGCCTGTGGAACAAGCAGGGTGTCCTGAGTCCGTGGTTCCTCGAACCCCGCTGCATCCCCCTCGCAGAGGAGACGCCGTGTCCCTTCAAAGCCATCCGACACTCCGACAGCGGACTAGATATCGATGCTTGGCATCAGTTGATTGCCGGCAGAGCACCTCTGACGCTACCCAAAGGCTCCAAGCATCGCCTAGAGCTGGAATTCCAGGTCCATTCTACCGCATTCATCAGCGTGACCGCGGAGCGTCCTAAATATTCCGGATCTAAGGTCTCTCTGACTTATTCGGAGGCATACGAGGTACTACCCAGGCCTCCTCCAGGTCAAGGATTCACCTTCAAGGACGACAGGACCCAGCGGGAAGGGCATGGACTGGTTGGACCGTCAGACAGCTACTTTTTCAGTGGGTATGCAGGAGGCGGTGATCGGACCGAATCGTATGAACCTTTCTGGTGGAAGACATTCCGGTTCATCGTCCTCGAGATTGAAGTATCCGACGAACCCTTGACGTTGGAGAGCTTGGTCTTCACACAGACAACCTATCCCATGGCCGTGGTTGCAGATTGGAAAGCGACGCCGTTGTCCAACAAGATGTGGGACGTCAGCATAAGGACCATGAGGAATTGCATGTTTGACGGGTACTCGGATTGTCCGTTCTACGAACAGCTTCAGTAAGCTTTGCTCATCGCACAATCAGGCTAACAGCAAGATACGGCGAGGACAGTCGATCCGCGATGGTATTTCATTACCTCTTGTCGGGCGACGACAGATTGGGCAAACAGGCCATCTCAGCTTTTGCGACGTCTATTCAACCTCACGGTCTCCTTTTGGCTCGCTATCCTGCGCATACGAAACAAGTCATCACGGGATTCTCGCTTTTCTGGAGCATGCAGGTATGCGATCATATGCTATACTTCAATGAACCGGACTTTGCCAACCGATTCCTCCCTACGATTGACAGTGTCTTTGGTTTCTTCGACCGACAGACCGATCCGTCGACAGGACTCGTCGCCAATCTCCCGAGACGTTTCTGGTCGTTCATCGACTGGAATGTCCACTGGGGGTCCTCTGACGTGCCCAAAGGTTTCCATGACAATGGAATGCCGATGGAAGGTAGGGAAAGCGGCACTTGGTCGTTCTTCACCATGATCTACGCATTCACCCTACGGCGAGTGTGTACGCTGCTGCAGCAACTCGGAAAGCCACAGCAGATCGCACAGTACACCTCGCGAGCGGATCGAGCAGTATCAGCGATCAAACAGTATTGCTATGATGGCGAATTCTTCATGGACAGTACAGTTGAAGCGCATCGCCCCGAGAATCCTCTGTCACAAGTCTCGCAAATCTGGGGCATCCTCTGTGGGGCTATCGATCCAAGTTCTCCTGACGCTAGAAGAATTCTCCTCAAAGCTTTCGATCCGCAGACAGAATTCGCCGTCGCATCCTATGTTATGCAGCACTACGCATTTCGCGTCTTATCGCACACTGGCCTTTACAACATGTTCTACCATCGCATGTGGGATAAATGGCGGCTGCAACTAGACAAGAATCTCAGCACTTGGGAAGAAGACGACGTGAATGGCCGATCAGACTGCCACGAGTGGAGCGCGTTGCACCCTTACGAATACCTGACAGAAGTTGCTGGTCTGAAACCACTTGCTCCGGGTTGGCAGGTGGTTTACTGGAATCCTCGATGGAAGTTGTACGAGACAATCGTTGCAAAGGTTGCCTTGGGCCATCAAGGTGTCGCACAAGTCAGTTGGAGAACAACTGAATCCGTGTGCGAAGTCTCGTTGAGTCTTCCCCGGGAATTACGGGTATATTCACCCGGCGTTCACGGCAACCTGGTTGATCGGGGCGTAGTGGACAGACTGTCGCTCAGCTTTCCAGTCAAAGACTAGTCTCGTTCGCACTTGATGCATCGTCTATGTGTCGTCTAGTAGGAATTCTGATATCTCAGATCGCATAGCTTCACGACGTATACGATCGCTGATCCACTGCGGCAAAATTGCTGACTGAGGGGCACCTTTCTTGCTTGCGGAGGCTGTAAGGGTAGTCAAGCAGCCATAGCAGAGGTGAGGGGCAAGATCAAACCGTGCTGATTCTTCGTCTTCTGTAGAAGTCAGCGCAGGCCTGAGTGAAGTGAGGGATGTTTTGGATTTCCACTCGAGGGGATCTTGCTCTTTAGGTCTGGCAAGGTCAGCTGAAACCTCTTGGGTCAACCCACAATCGACACAGGGGACAAATGCTGTCTCGATCGTCTCCCCCAGCGAACATGAGCTTCTCTCCCGTCCGCGTTATTGTTGAAACAGTTGCTGGATGGGTCACGCTTAAACCGGCAATGAAATCTGGAGGACAAGTCAGCGAGGGTTAAAGCGGCTTTCGCGATAAACTGACCCTCCGTCAATCCCTCCAAGCTTGTTGAACCCTTGCCCCTGGAGCCGGAGTGCAGATCCCCAGCAGTCCATTTCCTGTGATTTTGCATAGCTCGCCGATTGACCCAGCAGTACATGGACGCCTCTTTGATGCTGATATCTTTCATAGCTCGCACTTGGTAATAGCCTTCAGATTTACAACTCGAAGCCAACTCTAGCGGGAGAGACCAGCCTCGTCCAAGAGCAGTACCAGAGATGATACGTTGCGCCTGTCGTGTCGAAGTCTCGCCAAGAAGGAGATGGGAGACATCGGGCAGACCTCGCGCGACCTGCTCCAGGATAGCGTCAAGGACGTTGCAAAGAAAAGCTGGGCGAGATGCGGGTGAAAGCGTAGCAAGCATTCGTTTCAACGATTGTAATGGCGTTTCTGACGAAGTAGTAGCTTTGAGAGACATGCCTGAGTGATGTCAGCGAAAAACGTTCATTGTTGACTCACCTGCATCGTGAATACCGACTTCGAGCACGGGCATGGGCCTCTCCGAAGCCTTCTGGAGACCAAGTCGGGCTGCAAGTCCAACATCGAACACATCCTCCGCTTTCACCGCAATGAACTTGAGGCCACGCGCAGCTGCGACTCCTTGCAGCCATTCCGTCCTGTCCTCGATACCATCACTGACCCCACTAAAGTCCACATGTACGACCGTAGCGTGATCCCATAAGATCTCCTTCTCCCCCTTTTTCAGATCGGCTCGCCTCCCGTCGCCCTGGCCAATGAACCCCGAGGCAATCATCATATCAAGCATTGCCATACTACCTGCGCCTCCAGATAGAGCTATCAGAGCGTTTCCGCGCTGAATAGGAGGTCGTACGTTGTCTCGTTTCGAGGGGTTCTTGCTCCGAGCTTCATCGGGTCTCAAAGCAGGGTATAGTTGACGCATGAGTCGTTGTCGCATATTCTGCTCGAAGCAGGATCTGCAGAATCGTCAGGATATCGACAGCTCAAACGGTAGGATGAGACTCACCTGCAGTAGAGAGCGGATCTGATGATGAACATGGCTCTGGCCTCCCTGCACCTCTGACATATTCTCGAGCCTCTGGACGGGATGGGCCGTCTCTCTGCATATATTGTGAGTCAAATCCAGACCTCGGGCTCGGACAAACTCACTGGGCATCAGCGCCTGCTCAGGCTCTCCGTGTTCGTCAGCCTGGGCGGGGCTCCCACACGACATATCGCTTGTTGGCTACTAAGGGTCGTTCAGTGCGTAAAAACAAAATTTCAGCTCATTTGATCGAAGAGGTGGAGGTCTCAAATATCAAAAGTCTCGAGAAGTAGGTCACCATGACTTCACACCGTCACAAACCTCTTTGGACGGGCTACTGACTTTTGGGGAGTATGTCTGGACCTACGCAGACCTCATCAGAGGGCCCTTCTGGTCCATCCTACCGCGGAGGATCATCGAGCAAGCCTTCGAATAGATCTCGCTTCCAGGCCAATAACAAAAAGTACGGTACGCCTTTACCAATCCTTCTTCCATCTTCACCACTGCATCCAGCCTATCAAGCACCATCAAGGGACACTGTTGGCTCACGTTCAAGCTTTATCTCAACGTTCCTCTCGGTCTTTGAAGCTCCTGTCAAGGTGGAAGTCCCGCAATGCGTAGGAGTATTTGATCCTCTGACTCGATCAGTCTGGATCACCGATCCCAAAGACATGGCGATTCTATTCAATCGGGGATTCTTTGGGAAAGGGACTTTTAGTCGCAGTGAACCTACGTGGAAATCAAGAAGATTGGACCAAGTGCGAGGCGGGCAGTGTGAGTGCTCGTGCTCAATATCGAAAGTTGCTGAAATGGCTCAGCTGCGGCGGCAGAGAAGTTGAGGGAGAAGCGACGATTGGAGCGAAAGCAGTTCAAGATTGACCGAGCAGAAGCCATGCTGTCCGCTGCTAAAGCCGCCGAGCAAGTTCTGGTCACTGGTCAAATGCCGTCGGAACATGGACCAGATGAGGTTGCGGAAGGCTCAAACGGGGATGCGGGCAATGGCGAGGAGGGTAATCTATCTGGACGAGCGGCTTCACCGGCTCTCACGACCGGCACCGACGTCGACCTCAGTACCCTGACACCTCAGACATTCCTTGTTCGACCGACTCGACCTGATGCGAATCGGAATCGTGGAAAAAATGCTTTCAAGAGGAGACCGAAACCTGTAACATCTGTAAACGGAACGACTGTCGAAGCTGGGCCCTCGAATGCAATGCCGTCGTCCTCCTTGCCAAGATCCGGCGTATCAGACCAGGAGGCTCCATCTGTACAGCCTGCTGTGGTCGTTGTGCCAGATGATTACGAGCAAGATCTCAGCGAGGATGACTTTGAGGAGTCCATAGTGGAGGATCTGGAGCATCTCCAATTGGGTCTCGAAGAGGCCTGGTTCTTATCTTCAGGTATCGGAGTCTTGAAGATATACGATACAAAGACAGTGAGCTTTTTGGTCTCGTCCATGGAGCACAATCTCACTACTCCCTGTAGCAATCATTTATCCCCAGGGAATCGGTTCTGGCCTTGCTTCAGACCTCGCCAGTCTCAAGGGTGCCGAAGACCCCAACAGCTCCCCCGCGATTATTCCCCGATGACCCCTTCCTCATCTCTTACGCCTGTTACCACCACTTCCGATCCCTCGGTTGGGTCGTCAAACCAGGGATAAAGTTCTCAGCAGATTGGTTATTATATCGGAAAGGACCAGTCTTTAGTCATGCCGCGTGAGTCAAGACCAGGAATTTCTATCGCGCATCGCTGATGGCAAAGACAGATTCTCCCTTGTCATTGTTCCTGTGTATGCAAGCTCTGAAGACCGACGAAAATCCCCCTACGCCGGGCAAGATTGGTTCCAGGAAAGGATGAGCTGGAAATGGATAAGCACAGTTATGCGGGTCAACTCGCTGGTTCAAAAGGTATAAACAGAGTGCTTATCGTGGATAGGCTGATTCGGGCGCAGAATGTCATCATGATCTACGTCACGGTCCCGTCAGTCGCATCTTTTGATGCCTCACTGAAGTTCGGCGATGGATCGCTCGATCCCAAAAAAGTCGACATGAAGGCATTGCTTCGACATTATGCAATTCAAGAGGTGTCACTGGTGAGTGACTCTGAAATACATTCGTTTGACCCCATCGTAGAGTCGTTTCAGCCCAGCGAGGAGACGATAGCGGTTGCGCTCTCCGTTTGACTTGCCTGTGTCGTCATGAAATTCATACGGACATGTTATATTTCTCGTCTGCATACATAAACTATCCTACTTTTCTTCATCCCAAGTATGCCGAGTGGCTTTGTGCCGAATATTTTCATCTATGCGCCGAGGTTGGCGCAGAGGTAATCGAGGAACCAGGCGGCAGCTTGGCCAAAGGTTTGGGCACCAGAAGGGGTCGAAGCTTGAGCCAGCGTCAGCCTGCTGATAGATTGTCGGAGATTGCACTCACCACTTCTACGAACAAGGGTCGCAACTCGTTGACGGCTTTTGTCTCGGGCGGTTGAAGAGCTTCTGCCATCTTCGCCCTTTTCTTCTTCTCCTTCCGCATCGTTGCTGTTCCTTGGGCGCCAGGGATTGGGCCTCTGACGACTCGAATAGGTGGGGGACGCTTGTCCTTGTCTTTCTTACTGTCGACTGGGCCGACTTCAGGTGAACCCTTTCGACCTGGCAGTGCGTTTCTGATTTTGTCGAGAGACGATCTGCCGGAGGTGTTGGATCCTCGGCGAACGCGATCTTCGGGGATCGGAAGCTTCGACTGTGTGCCCGGGGAAGAAGGATGTACAGGGGCGCTGTTCGGAATCGAGGATTGATCGGTAGGTGCAGACAACGGGAGCGATCGGACAGAATTGCTGTCCACGCTGTGATCGTCATGCTCGTCGTCGCCTTCGTCGTCCTCCTCGCTTTCTTCATCGCCCAGCTCTTTCGCTTCGCCCACCGCTGTCTCGCTCAAACTCAGGGTCGCCAGTACACTACCAAGCAGTGCCGCTTCTTCGGACGATTCCGCCGCAGTGGCATGATCAAACCTCCTTCTGATCTTCTCCTCGTGAGCCAACTTGAGCTTGTAATGGTATTGGGCGACAGCATCCACTTCAGACATGATTGCCTCTCGCTCAGGACCACCGTGAGGAAGGATGAATTCCAAGTCCACTGGGTGAGGCAGTCCGTCGCGTGCGTAAGACAGGAAAAGCTCGATCCAGGCCATCAGCGAGTCAAAGAGGCCCTGTCCTTTGGAATGGACATTATGAACGAAGGTGTAGAACGACTGCTCATGGCGTTGGACTAAATCGATAAAGGTCTGCACGGTCCGCTGCGGATCCTCAGAGCTCACTGTGTTCAGTCAGCTGAGACCTACTCCTCAGATGACCTCGTACTCACGTTCTTCGACCTGCTCGACAGTTCGTATCATGTCGTTCAAAAACGTTTGCAGATCGCTGAGCGAGTCCGCAATGCTGGCTGCTTTGTAGACCTGCGCCAATGGGGCGTAGAAAATGGTGATGATATCTTTGAGGAGCTCGGCAGTCACACCCTGTCATCGAAGTCAGCACACACCTGACTGGATCGCGATTCAGCTCACCTCAAAGATGAGCGAAACGAGCTGCTCCTTTTCTCGCTTTCTCATCCACAATTTCAGCAACAGCCCCAAGTCCTCAAACAGCCAGGCGTCATCATCTTCAGGTCCTGTATCGTCGTCCGAGTCCTCAAGATCCTCCAATGACGCTTTGTAGTCTTTATACGCTCTGGCAGCTTTGAAAACCCGTTGAAACTGGGGGCGAGAGAGACTAGGCGGATCAGGCGATCGAAGGATGACAACCAAAAGATCAAGGCCTTCGCTTCCTGTTCTGGGTCAGTATAGGCTTTGCATAGAGAGTCCTAGGCTCACCTGCATCTCTCCTGAACATCTCTTGAATCTCGTATGGTGCCGTGGCGTATTGCTGAATCTTCTGGCACAGGACTGGATCATCAATCTTCTCCGTCACCACGGCGATATCTTCAGCGAGCAGTCGAACATCCTCCGTGAGCGAAGAGGAGAACATCCTGGAAGGATCAGCGGGTAGATACGACACACACCCACCGCTGGAGCAAAGACTGCCCTCCGAACGGTCTCGCCAAGAACAAGTCAAGGACGCCTGAGGCGAATCAGCGAACGCCAGTGTCTAGAAGTCGATGATTCTCACCCCTGATCATCGCCATCGGGTTGGAGATTCGCAGGATGCCCTTGAGTACAAAGTACGGCATCAATCCGTGTAGCCGTTTCAACGTTGCAAGCGAGTCTGAAGCGGTGTCGGCTGCGACGAAGACCTGGAAAATGGTCGCAGCGAGGCTAATGACAAGTGAGCCCTTTTTACCGTTGGGCATTGACTCGACTCACGATATACGACCCCAAATGAGCACACTCTGCTCAGCCGGAGGTAGGTCTTGCACCTTCTCCACCCTTCGCACCACATCAAAGACCTTTTGCAAACCTCCGTCGGTACTCAAGACATCTCCTTTGAATTGGGCTAATCCTTCTCTGAGATCCTCGATCCTCTTTTGAGCTTCTTCTCTGAATCGTCTTCTGCCCTCTTCACGGACCGCATCGCCTTCAAGTCGTCGTTGCGAATCCATGGCCTCTTCTCTCGTCAAGGTCGTAGGTTTAGAGAGGAGGAAAGAACGCAGAACGGGTGAGTTGAGGACTTGAGGATAATCAAGAATCCGTTGGAGATAGCCACGGAGAGTCAATCTATTCTTTTCTCTTGACAGTGGGCCTGTACTGCCTACCGGTGACATCGGTGGATCATCGGGGTTCATGGCCGGCGAACCTGGTCGCGGAGACGCATTTGCTGACGCTGGAGCGCCGCTTCCGTAGATTGCTCGGAGAGGATTGTAGTAGCTATATTGAGGCGCCGCGGCTGTAGGCGTAGCAGTTGCAGATTTGTCCTTTGGCGGAGGTGCGGGCAGAGGATCCTCGGGGAACGCAAGTCGTAACTGCTTCATAAGTTAAGGGATGACTTCGCAATCTCACCTCATCGGCCAAGCGCTTGAAATCACCGTATCGTCGCGAAACGATGATCTCGTTGCCCTCGCCGACCCGAGTACGAATAAGAAATTCCTGGAGACGATATCATGAAGTGCGTCGGGTTAAAATGAGTCTGCCAGCTCACATCATGCGACTTGTGTCTAACCCTGCCCTTCTCGGTGACCACCCTCACTCCGATGACGTTGACGTCGAATACCTGCGGAGGAGGTGGAGGCGCTCCAGGGTCGCCATTGGCTCCCACAGAGCCCGGCGGAGGAGGACGATTCATCTTCTCCCGTCTTTTTCTCCTTCTCTCTTCTTGAGCTTCTTCCAATCGCCTCAATTCAGATTGACCGATTCGGACCACTTCCTCCCCGCCTACAATCTTGACTCCCACGCCGACCATGAGGGCCATATGTTTCTGTGATTTGACCCAAAGCTTGTTCTTTTCTTCAATCTCTTTCCTCTCTTCTGGACTCATGAGTGAGTCCGCCATCGCTTGCTCTTCTGCTGACATGCCAGTTTGCTTGGTGTATCCCGTGGTGGATAGGAAAGAGGATAAGAATGGCTGGACCTTGGCGGACCAGAACGTAGGAGGAGCAGTGGATAGGAATGGAAAGGGCAAGAGGAATTGATGGAACAGGAACCTCATGAATGGTAGATCACCGACTCTGCCTTCTTGACGAGCAATCTCCGAGACGCGAGTCATTGCTTCGCGCTTTGCAGATTCCGGGAGGATGAAGGGGTCCCCCAAAAGACCCAAGGCATTGGCACCGAGCGCTGGGTCAGTCAAGAGGTCCAGTTCGTGTGACATTTGGAGGTTGACCAAGGTCTTTTTGAGGTAATGAGCTCGAAGAGGCGTCAAGGTTGTAGGCGGCGTCATGCCTTCAGGCAATGTCGATCGATATGGATTCAAATGGGCAGCTGAGGTTTTCACGCCCGAAGACGATGTCGCCGCTGTAGCAGAAGAGGTTGAGGGAGGAGGAGGAGGTGGCAAGGACGTTGATGGCTTGGGAGGTGAAGGAGGAGACATGAACGCTTGAGCCTCTTCGAATGCTTGCGTAGCTTCGACATCTTCACCGTGTTCGTCGCCAGGCGGTGGTGGAGGTGGCAATGCTCTAGAGGGAGTGTTCTTCCTCCTCGGTTGATATGGCAGGTTGCCACGACTGCTCCCTGTGCTGGACATGGTTGAGGACTTGGAAGTGATGAGTGATTAGTGATGAGAGGGAGAGAGAGGAGGGAGAGAGAATGAAACGTTGGACATTATTCGCTGGAATATTGGAGATGACGTAGATGGGAGGAGTGACGCCGAGGAACCGATAACATCACTATTATTGCCCCCTGGCTCAGCGCATCGATGCGTGACCAGCCGATATGCATGGAACAGCGGGGGGCACATCCTGGGATTGAGGGCGCCGTTGACTCTTGGTCACGCAGAGGGCCCTGAGAGCATGCTTCATTTGTTCATGCTGGAATTACAAAGAATAATGACAACGATTATGGAGGAAACGAGCCGGTACAGAAAAACATGCGAGAGAGAGAGTCCAGTCACAGACCTCCCAGCGCTCCAGACATTTCAAGAGCAGATGGGAGCTATCCAATCCACCGTTCTTTTTCCTCTCTAGAATCTAGGATCTATAAGGCACTCGAAAGAATCGTCCTGTAGATGTTACGATTATAGCTAGTCAAGAAAGGTGATAGAGATCGTGAGGATGGGTGGGTAGATTTATGCCTGAGCGATCTTGCTGGCTACCGTCCGCTCGCGTTCGAGTCGTTCTTTGTTGGCCTGGAAAGCAGCCTCACGACACGCCTGGATACCAGTGCTAAAAGATGAGTGTTAGCAAGACTATTCGCGAGGGAGAAGAGACAGACCACTGACCAATTGTGTGACTCTGGGGTCCTGTGCGTCCCGCAAAATGCCAAATGACAATGCGGGCATTCTCCAATGACTTTCAATGCTGCGCTGGGACATTGAGTCGGGGCATTCGCGGTCATTTCTGGCTTGGCGTCGCTGCGTGGCTGATCGGAGGTGTTCTCAGAGGAGGGTTTGGGAACAGCGGGAATGTTGTAGACAACTCGGTATTGACAACGCTTCTTGGCGGGCCTGATGGGTGGCATCGCGTTCGACGGGGGGAGATATCGGTCGAGGGTTGAGCAATGGCGTATGTGGGGCAGGCAGGGGATAGCGAGAGGATATACGACACAGCAATGGTGGGCAAGAGGGATAAAGCGGCGACACCGGAGAGATGGGAACAGTGGGACAAGGGGACAAGATCGAAAGGAGATGGGAGGAAGAAAGCAAACATGTCAGCGATCATTCAAAAAGAGAGAGTTGCAAAGATGGGCGGGAGTGAACGGGAAGGGAGGTAGACATCTCTGACTCGTGTGATCCCCAGCACGAGCTGAGTGAAACGCACATGTCGATAAAAGGGGGAGGAAAGACGAGGAGAAGACGCTTACATGATGGCAATTGGAGGGTTGTCGAGTCGAGGTGAGGAGGTGAAAAAAGCAGTGAGACTTGGTGGTCGACGGATGCCCCTTTCCGGTGATTGGTCAATTGGTCGGGTGGCAACTGTGTGCGGGATAGGTGATGGTGATGGAGGGTGTCTCCTGTGGGTTGGGCGTCTGAATATATATGCTCCCGGCAACCACAGCAAAGAGAAGAATGAATAGGGAGAGAAGCAAACGCGAAGCGATGATCAAAGTGATAGACGAAAAGGTGTGCCAGGGTAAATGGGACTGGTGAAAGGTGGTGAGACTCGTAATCGGCTGCTGCAGGGGCGGCGGCAGCTGGCTGAGCTGGTCCAAAGCTAGTTCTCGAGCTCAGATACACAAGACTGATCAGGGATCCGATCTAGTCGCTGCAATGTGACTGCTTGTCTGCTTAGGTTTGTTGCACTGGGGACGATGGTCGATAGTAGGTTGATGAGATGGTAGTATAACAACAAGGTGGGACCAAGTGACTCCATCTCCTCCGATCAGCCAGCCAGTTATATACAGAGTGAATTTGATTCCGTCTGCTTATCGATTCCAGCCAAAATGACTCAGCCCAGGCGAGCAAACCACGTGGCAGATGACCCTACATGGTTCTAGGCCTTTTCCCCCTTGGGGCGGGCAGTTCTATCGTGGCACTCCGGAGTGAGAAGAATACAATCTCATTGCTAGCTAGCAAAAGTGCAGATGATAAGGCAAAGTGATATTATTATACTCAATCTGGGGAGAGACGCAACTTTCTCCTTTTGCTTGAGGTCCCAGGGGACAGACGAGGCTCGATCCGCGGAAGTGTGGGAACAACAAGTTGAGGGCGGGATTGGCACGGAGGGATCTTGGGGGACGATGGCGTGGCGATAGTCATGGATGTCTTGGATCGAGCTATACGTCGCAGAGGGGTAGATTGAGACCTGAGTTGTATCGAAAGAGAAGGGTCATGAGATCCTGCTCGTCTTGAACCGTGACCATCGTTCCCCTCAACTTGTCCCGCTAAACCCTTCATTTCCAGCCAGACCGTACCGATTCTCAACCTCTCTCGTTGCTTTGTCGTCTCAGCTGCCATTCTCAGCGCGTCTACCCGCCTCGCTCGCTCCAACCAGACGGCTTCAATCACCGCAATCCGTCTCTCAGTATCCGAGTGACCTCTGCAAGCTGCTGATGATCTTCTCTGGCTTCCCCTAGCCTCTCTCGCTGTCCATTCTTCACTCAATCGATCCAAGAGGAATTTGACCGCCACGCCCCGTTTCGAGCCCGCGTATGCGCAGCCCAGGAAAGTCAGAGCGAACCAAATACAGCGGAGAATATGATGATGTGTATGAGGGATCAGGATCAAAACTCGAGAGGCGAGCGAGGTAGCAGTAAGAGCGCCGAAAGCCTTTTGATCCGTTTCGTCATTCTCTCCACTTTCCCCGACTCCAGTTTTGAGCGGGATCAACGAACTGGAGACCGGTCGAAAGAGGATCAAAAAGACATTGACGAACATGAGAATGTATTCAGAGTAAGGGTTGCCTTGATCGTCGACGATAGGTCGGTCAAGTCTCAAAGCGTCCGATTGGACACTGTGAGAGAGAATGCCAAGACCTCGATGAGAAATGGTGAAGGGTGGGGCGTTAAGTAGCTCGTAGAGTGCATCTCGGACGGCTTGTCCGTCAATCGGAGCGAGCACGGCTTCGCGTGCCTGGAAAGGGCGCGTGTTAGGACTAGTCCATGAACTAGATCACGGTGCTACGCTTACCGCCATGGACCGCTGAGCTGTGTCCTTCTTCGCATCTTCCCTTTCCCTGATCTCTGCATAAGCTTGCAGAGCGTCGGCCGCCCCTTGGTGCCATCGATGACACACGACAGCACCACGAGCTTCATCGTGAGCCGGGTTAACAGATGATCGCCTTTGATGTTGCAGTTCGCGTGACGTTGGCTTAGTGTGGAGCGGTTCGGTCAATAGGCTGTGAACGCCGGACCGAGATAATTCTTCACCAGGCTCCTTCCGTTTCAGACCAATCGGCACACCTTCTCCTGAAGTGAGAGACTGGGAAAGCGAAAGATACTGCCGATGACCATATGGAACGAGAGGTGCAAGCTGACGGCCGCTGGTCGCCTCACAATCAACTAAGAACCGATGCCGCGGGGCAAAGTGAGCAACCGGCTGATCACCGGACCAAGATCCTGATCGAGCCTCCTCTTGCCCCTCATCGGGAAGTAAGGGGGCCGCTCTTCTGATCACCGAGGTGCTCAAACTGGTGAGTAAAGGGAATCGTCTGGGCGTCGCCGGAAGAGGCCGAGGGGAGGCGATCTGTCGCTCAGATAGGGATGGGAAGGGATCCCATGCCATGCCCTGTTGTGCCATTATGATCTGGAACACTTGCTTAGAAAAAAGGCGACTTCGGACAGTAGTCGAGTTTCTCGACTGTCTTTCAATCCTGTGCGGTTTTGAAGTCCTCGCCTGTCTGTCCGATCGCATCAATAGCTTAGAAATACTTGATCAGTTCGTGTCCTTTATAATCCACGTTCTATTCTCGACGCTCCCTTGTCTTTCGCCCGCTAGCCGTTCGTCCGCGATACTCAGGGTGAGTTGACAAAGCAGTCCCCTACCGATTGACCGATGCGCCGTGGTCGACGGTGCGCTCGTCTTGAAATGAGCGAGAACGCCGGAGGATCGTACAGCGGTGTAGGGCGTACAACAAACGCTGCCTGCGTTGGTGACGCGTTCCATCCGGCGTTCTTGATTGATTCCTGGCGATCAATAAAGGGTCAATTGGATTGATCAGTCATGCGATCTGCACTGCTGAATCAAGCAAAGGGGTCAAATGGGAAGCGAATCTCGATTCGAGATACCTCAGAACAATGCAGGTCAGCGGATTGGAATTGAAAGAAGAAGGATCGTCAACGAAGTTTCGGGCATCCCTTTGTTGGAGATCTCCGGCCACTCAGCACTGCCCATTGCATCGCACCACAAATTTGATCCAAATGCATCCCTCGACTGTAACGTCACACGGCATTGCTTGGTCCTTCCATGGATCGTCAAAGAGCAGGAGCGCAAAGGTCCAAAAGGGTCTGAGGGGCATATTGGGAAATCTTTGTTCTTTTTCTAAGGAGCACGGGAGAGCGAGGGTTCGAGGATTATGAGGCGGTGGACAAGATCGGGAAAGGAGGGTAGAAGACTGGTGGCAATGGCTGGATGAGTGTGCGGTCTCTGGCACCGTGCTCTTGGTCACTCACAAAGGGGAGGTCCAAATGTATTCCCTCAGCTTCTATCGTCGAGTGGCCTTCTCGAAGACTATGCCGTCATGTCAATATAGCTTACGCACACTCATTAGCGTGAGCCGACTCACGAGCTTCCGAAGTAATCTCATCGAGGGAGGTAGCCTGAATCTCGAGCTGAATTCCTGAATGGGGGGATCAGAGCTCGAAACACCCGCGGTGCGCAGACGGTCTCACCGTCAAGGCGTCGTCGGAGAGCGTCTTTAGACGCGGCAAAGACCATCTTGGATTTGATCTTGGCATCATCAGGGGCCCTAAGTGGAACTTGTCAGCTCAGTCCCAAAACTATTCGGCAGTGTCCAAGCTGTGCCCACTACCGGAAGCTCCTCTTTGCAACTGCGGACATCGCCCGAACCCCAAACTACGATACGCGTGTTGAGACAGCTTGAATGACTCACCAAGCGACAAAGGTAATCTTGTTTCTCTTTCCTTCTCCGGCACTCAATTCAAATTCGTAGTCGTAGACTGCCCAAACACAGTCTGCCTCTGGCAATTCAGACACAAACTTTTCAAAGTCCTTGTCTGAGGAAGTGTTCTTGACAATGATGGATGTCTTGTCGTCCGATAGACCGTAGATAATGTAAGTGAGCTTCTTGCCGTGTTTGAGCTCTTGGAACTTCTCCATACATTCGGGAGTCTGAGGATTTAGCGCGGAGGTGGGGAAGCGCAAGCGGTGGGTGACATGAAGAGGACAGATGTGTCAATGATGGTTGTTTGCGGAATACCGAATTCCATGGTGACCGGGGGCAGCACGAGCGGGACAAGAGGTAAAGCAGGGTGTCGGTGGATGGATGCGGAAGAGCAGACAAGAATGAGTTAGGAAACAATACCAAACACCAGGTCAACAATGGTTGTCTCATGTTAATCCAGAAGAAAACATGGGACTTACAGGCTGGACACCGGAGGACTGGGCACATGGCACGTCAGCATGTTGCGGGTCGAACATGAAGGGGGAGGGAAGCTCACCATTTTGAAAGGATCAAAGGTGGGTCAGACGAGGACGTGAGAGGGATGTGTTATGAGACTGAGAGAGATTAAAGCTGGGGCAAGAGTGAGAAAAGAGAGAGGAAGAGAGAGATGGCGATTAGAGGTCTCGAAGAAGAGAGACGTCACTGATAAACGGCGCAGACCGCGGAGGAATCGATGTGTTGGATTAATACACGTCATCTATCGCTAGCTGTTCGGCGCGTGTTTTGAGGCGGCATGTCTTCTTCTCATGCTGATGTGACTGACTACACAATACAAGCAAGGTGTTGGGGATGTACATAGAGTTCTACTTTCAACCTATCCGTGTCATCTAGCAAAAGTCATCTCTAGGAACGCATGGACTGACGAGGAGAAGATGTTCAGCAACGTCGCACGCCAGGATTGGTCCTGCCACTCACAATCATAACATGTACTCTCGCCGGCCTCGGCATCCACTTCCTTAGACTCTGGCATGACTTCTTGTAAGAATTTGATGCGATCAGATGGAAGGTTGGAATGTATGAAATCGAGTTCAGTGACGTATGGCTAGAGGAACAAGTCAGCCTTGGTCTGTCGCCTTGATTGAGCATGCCCTCGCCTTGTCGCGTGCCATTCCTCTGAACGCCTCATGCAGTTGATCGCGGGAAGAAGAATCATCTCGGGTGATGTCGACCAATAATGCAAGCCAAGCTTCATACGTGACCGCGCCAAAGTCGGCTTCCAATTGAGAGTATAGAATCTCGATCTCGTCATCCTGCAAGGTCATTCATGAGCTCTGTAATCCGCGACGCAGGGGTGCCTCACCCCATAGACGATACCGAGACTAGCCAGCGCGGAGTGCATTTCCCAGAGCTGAAGGGTCTGGTAAACGTCAGCTCCAAGTCACATTATCACGCCGTGCTGCACAGCCCTCACATTCGTATCGTCCTTGTCAAAATGCTTGAACGTAGCTTCAAACTCTTCCAACTTGGCAGGAGTTAGATTTGTATGAGTCGCGGAGACCGACTGACACGGCGTCAACAAAGCATCTCCGGCCACAACAACGACAACTCACCTGGTTATCGACAAAGCTGATCTTCTTCTTGATGCCGGCTTCCACCAACTCCAGCTCGAATTCCAAATCGTCAAATGTCAGAACGGTATAATCGTTCTCTTCAACCTTGGCCTCTAGACACGCCTCATTGACAGCCGCGACGTCAGTCATGAGGTGAGCACGGAGAGTTGGGATGGCATCGGACAATCGCTGAAGCGTTTGCCGTTGGTCCTGATCAGTGCATGCTTGAGTTCGAGCATCACGGCGCAGCCGCGAAACCCACCGCTAGAGCACCTTGAAGTGCCCCTATAGCTTGCTCGATCCGCTGAAGTTGATGCACAAAGTCTTCTGCCACACGAGCAAACTCTTTTCGGAGAGACTCTTTGATTCTGCGCAGCTGTCAGCTCACGTCTATCACACGCTGATGAGCGACTTGCTCGCGGATCCTGGCGTTGATGGCTCGACTTCGAGTCCCCTCAGCCTGTAAGAAAGCCGCCCACCGACGTTCGAGGTCCTGCGAAGTCGTACATCGTCAGACCGATAGATGATCACTGCTCGCAGAGACCCACCTCCAGCGTTAGACCCTCTCTAGGTTCCCAAGACCTCAAGGCATACGTCTTGAGCTTTGTTCTGATGTTTGAGTACAGCGCTCCAAGCTCTTGTCGTTCTTTCACCCAGGCTCTCTTGGTGGTCCTCTTATACTCGGTGAATTCGCTCAGATGCGCCATAGCCTCGGGGTAAGAAGCAGCAGATGATGAAGCGAGCCAAGAGGACTCTGTGATGTCGAGTGTGGCGAGAAGAGCCGCCATGCGTCGTTCGAAGTCGTTCTTGGATGTCCTGCCGTGTTAACTCCAAGATGAATCGTGAGCACCTACCAGATACCTTGCATGAGTTCTGCAAACTTTTCGACACGCCTCGTGCCAGTCTCCATCTTGTCTACCACTGGTATGAGGACTTGGCGCTGCTTTGTACTGACCTTCTGAGGAGAATTTATGGAAGAACTCTGCCACATAGGTCATGACGGACCTTTCGTCGGGAACGTCTACCTCGCACAAGTCTTTGACTTCCAGCAGGCGCTAGATTGGGGTCAACCTGTGAGATCCGGCTGCTCCATTCGGTAAAAAACTCACCGGTATACCAAGAGACTGCTCGGCTACTCTGAATGCTAGTTCTGTATTGCCTCTCCTATCTGATTTATTTAGCGCGTGCCAATCAAGAAGATCAGGCCGATGTCGGTGAATCAGAGCGCATCTGAATGGAGTAAGCTATCAGAGAAAGGATGAATGAAGAGACGCACAGAGCCAGACCGTCTGAGAAGCTGCCTTTGAAGTCTTTGACTTCGACTCCATCATAATTTTTCGTCTTCCGTTGACACCAGAGTAGTAATCCGTCTTTAGCGGTCATGCCTTCCTCTCTGAAGCGATGGCATCAGCGCGTCCTCAAGAGATCTTCGCTTTCGAAGACATACGTGATCGTTGCGATTGTGAAACGTAGGATCAAGGTCCAGATCATACCGAGTATGAGCTTGAGGTTTCCATCCACGATATCTTCGGGCCCTTGCGTGCAAACATTAGCGAGATTCAGGTATCCCCACAACCCACCAATATTAGTCAACTTGACACCCCGCTCTCGGATAAAATTGAGAGCTTTCGATGCGTTCTGCGGGTTCGGTCTGTCAGCTAAACGATGCCTATCAAAGGGGAGGAGACGATCTAAGCTGACCTCGGCCTTTTGAACACGCATGACTGGCTTCTTATTGTACCGGCCCAGACTGGTCTCTGACATGATTTCCTTACATGGTCCGTCAGCACCAATGAGGTGAACCGACCCAGCGCAACGCTCCGCTCACCAGCAGCTAAGAACACGTGTAAGCAATCTCTTCGCCTTTCCTTTCATGTCTGTGCTGCGGACTCACCTGGATCAACTTGACGCCGCTTGAGAAATCCTTGACCAGATCCGTCATCGGTTCCAGCTTTTGACCCTCGAGCTTGGTATTTAGCCTGCAAGTGCGTTTCAGCTGTCGCTATCACTTGCACTGGCCGTTTAAGATCTCACCATCGACAGAAGGTCCTGCGAATCACAATGCCGTCAGCCCCTGCCCCCTTCTCATGGACGTTGTGTACCAAGCGTGAAAACATCATCCACTGAGAGCCAACCTCACCTAGCTTGAATATCCGCCCAACCATTCTCCATCCCCATTGACCAACCGCTGGCACCGGGACTCATAGGCACACTTCCGAATTGCCCGAGGGATCCTGTACTGGGTCCCAAACCTGGGCCTCCAGGACTAGCAGCTATAGAACCGCCGTTCGCATTCCCAAAGCCGACGCCAAAGCCGATCGACTTGTTTCGTCCATGTGCTGCTCGGGTAGGCGTAGAGGGAGCACTCATACTGGTGTTGACTCGGTGAGAGCCTCTTCGCTCGATCTCTGCTGGAGATGAAGGCCACGCCATGGTTGGTGGGACAGCGAGTGAAGGCAGAATCAGATGATGAGGAAGGTGCGGAATGAAAGAGGTTGATTCTGAAACTCGGGCGAAGGATTTCTGAGACGCGTGCGAATATCCCTTTTTGGGGGTGTGTGTCGATGATCATGACATGATGTATAAGGTGGAGATCAACCAGCTCCATATACAGCGACTCTGCATGAATCAAACTGACTCCCCCTCAACTTGGACTCTGCCAGCTTAACTGTGGAACGGCACAAAGGCCTTTTTGAACTCTCTAGCATCTGCCTTCTCCTCCGCCTCGCTCTGCCCACAATCTTTCCAGTCGATCCGATGATGGAGTCCTAGCAGACTACCAATGACCATCCTGGGATATCTCATCAGCGATGGAGTCTCCCACGGAAGGCTCGCACTGCACTCACCTTCCGAACTGCAGGTCAAAATTGCCCTTGAGCAGATGTAGCAACGTCGTGCCATCAGGGCACTCCACCTTGAAGTAGTTACCCGTTGGACCTAATCTCGCAAGAGCTTTGTCTGGAGTGGCTTCCCAGTCCAGACCCTGCTTCTCGCCTGCTTTTTTGAAACTTTCCGCCACTTTACTCGAAAGATCTTTCGGCACAGGAATCACCTGCACATGAGCGTGCCCTCCTCGACCGGACAATCGTCCAACTTCAAATACCACAGGGACGGCATTATAGGCTGCGTAACAGGCTCGGAGTGAGGACTTGTACGACTCGAGCTCGGTGATAATGTTCATGGCGTCGTCCGCGGGGATGGACATGAGCGTTGGATGATGCGCAATGGGAATGATCTCGTGTAAGTGTCAGCATTGTCCACGACAAGCGCACTACGCATAGCTCACCAGAACATGCCCTCCTCCCGGGACCAGCGGCTTTGAGCCTCCTTGAGCGACATGCGATGCCGTCGTAGGAATCAATTGTCCTTTCGGCAGCGTCACGTAGGTCTCAGATCCGATAGCCGTGATCAAGTGCTTTGTGACCTTGGGATTACTCAAGCAGAACCAGCCTGGTTGACATAAGCTAAGCCTCCAATCGGTCTAGCTCACATTCTGCAGGTCCAAGTTCCTTCTTCTTTGACCTTTCTTGCTCTCGAGTAGCCACTATGGGGCAATCTCGGATGAAATGTGCAGCCTCGGCGCCACAGGCTCGGCAGACGTATCCATCTGGAGGCGGTCGAGGTCCAGCAGCGGCTCTCTCCTTATCTGCGGCTCGTTTCTCGGGACAGTCTCGGATATAATGATCGGGCTGCCACCGATCAGACAATGCTGTCACTCGCTGGACACACCGATTGGCATATTTTGCAAGTATAGCCTGGTGGAGGCTTCGCAGGATCCCTGTCAACTTTCTGCGGACATTCTTGTATCCAGTGCTGTTGCGATCCGGTGAGCATGGCGGTGCAAAAGGAGGAAGCTCACCCCTGGAGTGTTGCATATCTTGCAGACATACGAGTCCGGAGGTGGACCCCGATCTGATATCATAAGCTGAAGGCCACCAAGATCAGCAAAGCTTACCGGTCCTGCTCCGCTTGACCTCTCCATCCTCCTCGTCATCAGCCCCTCGCTTGACTCCCGCACTGCCCTCGCTGCCCGTTGACATGCTGTAAGGGTTAGGAGTAGCGTTTTTCGGTCGTTCAGGAATAGACGTGGTAGGTGTTTGCGCAGGTAGACTGAAAGCGTAGAACCACTGACCGCAGCATGATGAGCACATGCGTCGCGAGAAGTGAGTGAGGAAATGACCTTACCCTGGTTTTCTTGCCTCCTTCCGGAGTCAGAGCTCCAAAAGCTCCCAATTTGACGCTTCTTGTCCAACGTTCTTCTCTACCTGAGGAGCTCTTCCATCCGAATGGCTCCCGCTCCCAGAAACCTTCGCCATCCGCCCAAAGCATGTACCTCGGTCTGGCCTTTTTGACAACTTCGGCCAATGGTTCAGCCGCGGTAGCCAGAGGATGGCCTAGAGAAGCGACAGTGGTGGACAAGAGGGAGAGATGAGGAGGAGGTGCCGATAGGATCAAAAGGTCTAGGCCCTGGAATGCTGTAGGAAGAGCTGACGATGATTGTCTGGCCGACGCGAGGGATGATGATGCGTCGTTCAAGGTAGGATTGAGGGCAGAGCTGGAAAGTAAAGCATCTATGGCGGGTTTGGCCATGACGGGTGTGTAGGGGTCCTAGATCGTGTGAGCTGAGCAGATTTGACTTTGAAGAGAGTGTAATAGACATACCGCATTACTATTCGGAGCATTATAGAGCTCTTCCTGGTACACTCCGCCCACACATCCAATCTTGAGCCCTTGAGCCGTCGTGAGCACACTCGCCTTGCCTAGAAACACGAGGTTGTCAACAACTTCTCCTCCAGTCAAAGAGATCTTCTCTTGGATTCTCTCGGGCAAAGGGAATTTGCCAAGGGTGAAGTAGGTAGGTAATGGGACTGAAAGAGCATTGTCAGCTGGAATGACAGATGGTCTCTGGCTGTGAGGTCCAGCTCACAGCTCAAGCCTTCGACCTCCATACCATCACTCTCTTCCGCAAAGACGTCGCCGACTAGTACGCAAGCATCGAACGGGCCATGCTTGGAGTTGATCGCTCTGATTTTGGACGCTGTTTCGTCGAGCTGGGATAATGGAGAGCCTATAGCGAGACTGAAAGAGACGACAAGTTGGATATAGACATGGTGGTGGTGGGGGGAAGAGGAGGTTAGCCATAAGTCAGCTTGGAAGTGACTACCAACGGAATGAGAATGAGCTGACGCACATCTTCAAAGGGTTAGGTTGGAGAGCCATCCTTGCGAGTGCACCTTGGCCCCCGCCGCGACCTGCGTATAGCTGAGAGTGCGAGCGATGTAGTGATGTCAAAACAGGAGGAGCTGGACGAAATGTTCAAAATCTCGATCGACTAGCTTAGTGGCGATCTCCACCACAGACCATCAGTAGGCCATAGAACCACACTGAAGGGGTCAGCCAAAGAGGTAGCTCTTGCAGCGTCCTAAGTCGAGCGCACGGGGTGTGATACATGCGATATGTATGGTAGAATGCTGTGGAATGCTGCTGCCGTGATCTCACCCTGCCATCGGCCTAGTGAGCCATCATACGATACCCTGCAGCGTTGCAGCGCTTTGGTGTCTTTGATGCTGGCCTGTGCACAGTCTCGTCCTACACATGTACATTCATACGTGGCATACAACTCTCAAATGCGACTCTGCGCGAACTTCTTTTGCTCTGAAGGGCGAGCTCCGAGCTACACTCCGCTCGACGCCTGCCCTGCAGTATGTTATCATGGAAACCTGCCACAATCAAACTGCCTTTGCTCTATTCCTCCGGGATCCTGCCCTTCGCAGACGTTCAGGTAAAGACAGTTTCTTTTCAGCAGCAGGAGTGATAGTGGGGGATGAGGCTAATTGAATCGACGTCAACGATCACTGCGCTCTCCGATCCTGCTCAAGCACTCAGGCATGTAAACTCACCTAAAACTCTCGATAGTTCCGTCGAAACCTCCTTTCCAGCCGTGGAAAGTGCGATCGGGATTTGCATCCTCGTAGCGGGTGTAGGATGCGCCGTGGACACCTGGTTCCTCTCTCTACCTTTGTCCGCCGTATCTCTGCTATTCGACTTTGTGTCCTCTTTCGGTGCGTCTTTCACTCCCTCTCCTTCGTTTACCAGAGCGCTCAGCAATGAAATGACATTGCTTCGGGTGTCGACTGGCATTTGACCAGCGAATGCAGCTGCGACCATGTCTACAACGTTCGGAACGACATTCCGCTTGCCCATCGCGTCGTCTGTGCCAATTTCAGCGTGGCTCTCACGGTAATGGGGCATGAACGGATCTGAACGGTAGACAGTGACTCACTGGTCGTACTCCGTTGCGCGTGGCTCGTGTCACCAGAAACATTTGCTCCTATCACTCCAGCCTTCTTCTGCACTGGATGATGGGTCGCCCCGTTTCGAACATGGTTGGCATGTATAGCATCGATGGCAGTGATTCTAGCCCTAGCACTGCTGAGCGTGAGGAGGAGAAAGAGGGACCAAAGCCATAGCTTCATTTTGTAATACATCGGGGTGCTTGCCAGGACGCGTGATTTGAACGGGAGATGACCTTGCTTCTCCTCGTTGTCATATGCCTGCGGGTTGAAGCTTGCTCAACCAGCGATATATATAATATATATATATTTCGTGCGATGCCGTGGAGCTCAACCGTGATCCCACAGGGACTGATCGACCAAGCGTCCAGGTGGGGAGTGACACAACCGGTCCAAGCGCTGAAGACGAAACGCCTTATTGTTTGACCGAGGGATAAACGGCTACAATCTATCTCCAGGAGCAGATCGAGTGCAGATATCACTAGGATCTCAAAGTCCGAGATCTGCAATTGCGCGCTTGTCGATCGATGTCCTAGTGCTATTTTGCTCGACGCTTGACGCGGTCAAGCCTACGCGAGACAGTATCCCAGCCGAATCAATCGACACGGGCCAACAACTTCAGAGACACCCGTCCTCAATTCACTGGAGATATGTGACAAGTCGGATCACAGACATCTCCGAGCTGTGCATCGTCTCTGTTTCCTCCCTCAGCCGGGTATGTGACTTGCTTGATTCCTCAACTTTTCACTCTTCCCGTCAGTTGGAGACGAAAATCACGCGCGCGGTGGTATCAAACTATGGAAATAGAAACTTTTTGGCAGAGGGCGGGTGCCATGCAAGTCAGTGCGCGCCCATGGTGTGGTTGTACACTTGACTGCGAGAAGCTGTGACCCTTCGTTCTTATCCCAATTCATACTGCCAGCTTTGCTCATGCGCTTCATCTCACACCGCACCATGATCAGAACCTACAGCCACGAAACGCACAGACGCGCCGGCTTCAAGTCACAAACGCCACATGATTACGTAAAGCAAACCACGTGGGAGCTTGCGTTCTGGTCGGCTGACGACCGGTAATTGATGTCCTCAACATCAGCTGTTGAAGACGTGGACAGCCAGCCAACGAAGCGGAGACCCATAAGCAAGCCTAAGCTATTGTCTGAAGAATCGAGAGACATGGTGGGTCTGGCTCCCCCGCCCCGACATCAACACTGATCTACTCTTCAGTCACACCAACCAGCCGGAGCGGTGAGTGCTGAACATTAGGAGGGTTATGCAAATGACCGCCACCCCGGAGCACACGAGCCGTGGAACTATGCCTGACCGTCCTCGGACCTTCTTAGCTCTCCGCCGTCTCTGTGATGAGCGGTATATTCGCCTTCACACGATTCCGCTCTGTCCCTTCACTCGTTGCGTCCTTTGGAATTGGTTCGGCACTGGCTTTGAGCAGTTTGAGGATTAGGGATGGTTTGGATTACGGTGTAGAGGGAGCGACGGGTGAGTGGCGTTCGTGACGTCCATTGATAGATTGTTGACCATCCTCATCTTAGCGAGCTCTGCGCTGTTGACTGTACCTACTATGATGTAAGTTTCAACCATCTGATCTATCCCCATGCTCATGTGATCCAGGCGAGCGATCAAAACTCGTGCACCTGTACCTGCATTTGTCGGAGCAGCAGCAGCTCTATGTACGATCTATTACGCAAATGAACTGAGAGAGAGGAGGTGAAGGAGGCAGAGGTTTGGTCAATCAAGGCCAGGTCCGCACGCGGGACCCGCCAAGCAACTCTCGGGAGGCATGCGGGCGAGATCAGCAGAGAGGTAGGTATTACATCGAGCAGAGCATCTGTACGAATACGAGATCAAGAATGCATGGGCTCCTACATATTCCAAGGTCCAGATACTTTAGGCTTTTGGCGCATCCTGAGAACGATCATTACACGACTCGAGCGATCTCCCTGCTCAAGGTCACTCACCCGTATCATGACACTGACACGATGACCAGGTACGAGCGGCCGCCCATCCCAATTGGAATCCGTCGAATCATATGGCAAGATGGAATGCTCATATTCGTACCGTAGGCGACCACTTGCCATCCAAGCTCGTTAGCCCGACACATCTCGCCCGGATCCAAGGTCGACGAAACTCACCGCTGCAGGTACACTGTGCCATTCTGGAGCAACACATCCCAGCCTTTCTCAGATGAGCCCGCTTCACCCTTACTCAAGCGCAAGATGCGATCGGCGCCCAGGCAAATACCAGAAATGACTCCTCCGGACGCTTCGAGATTATCCACATGGCCTTTGATCTGGCCTTCCGGAGAGAGATGCAAGAGATGTGTGATGACATTGGAAGGCGGCGTGCCGTTGGCAATCGACGTTGAATCAGGAAGAAGGAGAGCGTATGCTTTGTGCAGGAGGGTGATCAAGTCGGGGTACGAGGAGGAGGAGGGGGTCGGAAGAGTGGACATTAGGGATTCGCGATACTGATGAATCACTGCATCATAATGACCCTAATAGGAGGATCAGTCTGCGGGAGGAGCGATGCTGAGTAAAAGCATCTAGACCAACCGGTTCAAAGCCATACTGCCCATGAAACAGATCTGCTAACGGTGGGGAATTGGCAGAGCTCGTGTGCGGTAGCTGTGCCTGTGGATGTGAAGGCCCTGACCTCCGCCTCCTAGTGCTATCTCCACGATCCAGCTTCCATAGTGCCGCTGCAAGTAGCTGGCGAGTCTCGGCAGCGGTGTAGAAGTGTGGAAGGAGCGTAAAGTCAGATTGCAAGATGTCAGGATCTGGATTTCCAAATGGTCGCACGAGGAGTGTTGGCGATGATGCTGGTCCACTGGATATGGAATAGCAGCGAAGATGTCGGCAACGCTTAGTCTTCAAGATTGCCTTGACTATCTCTGTCCCTGTCCAAGCTGATCTGAACATGGATCGAGTCAATACAAAAGCCAGAGTGACCTTATGGCGCGATCTTTCACGGTATCTCGCCTGACCTGGAAAAGTGGAGGTTGGTAGCATTTCGAACTCTGCATCCCTCGCTCATTTACATCTACACCGAGCATCACAGTCCTCATACTGAAACCCCGGAGCCGTATCAAGCTCGTGTCTCCAGACCTCCCACCATCATGTCTGGCTCCAACGCAGCCCCCATGGCCCCGATCAGTCGGGAAACCCGACCATCTATCGTAGGTGGTGATGAGCCCGAATCGCCGTATCCTATTCAACTGAGAGGATCAGTGACGAAGGGTTTTGGTAGAGGTGCCAGAGAGCTAGGTATACCGACGGGTAAGTTTCATCAACGAGACCGTTCCATCAGTCATTTCGAATACTCCCTCCGCTGAACTTTGATCTATTCTGCCCCCCCACCTCCAGCCAACCTTCCGGACTCCTCCCTCCCGCCTTTGAACGATCTTCATCTCACAGGTATCTTCTACGGTTTTGCTCGGGTTCATTCAAGTCCATCGACATCTAAATCCGTATCGGGATACATGGCATCTGCTCCGGAGCGTTCCCAAGATGAACCTTCCACAACCTTGTCACCCGAAACCATCTCGTCACTGCCTAGTCGGACGGCGCCCTACCCTCCGGCTGCCGATGCCGAACCTCCAGCTGCTGAGCCCAAAACTCTGAGTGCTGAGGACTCGAGAGTGTGGCCAATGGTCATGAGTGTGGGATGGAATCCGTACTACAAGAACGAGAAGATTACAGCGGTGAGTGAATGCAAAGCAGGCGAACAGGGCGAAGCAGACGATACTGTTCTTCCTGCTCCAGGGACCCGTCTATCGACCCTGTAAGCAATGCTGATACTTCTGGTATCTCTAGGAGGTCCACATTTTACACCCTTTCGCACACAACTTTTACGGACACGACATGTCGGTTTTAGTGACGGGCTATATTCGGCCAGAGCTTGACTATGTATCTAAGGGTGAGTGAGAGAAGGCGACATTGTTCGTCCAGAAGGATCAAACAAAACCTCGCCGCCTCTATACCGCCACTCAGCGCTAAACCATCTCTTCACTTCCTCCAGAGGCCCTCATCGAAGATATCAACACGGATGCTAGAGTCGCTCTCAACTCGCTGGCTAGGCCAGCTTACGCTGCATTAGCTTCAGATCCCTTTCTCGCGCCTTCGAGCAAGTGATCAGGCTGAAGTGTGGGTCAATCACTCAGCGTCAATCGATAGAGTCAAACGTATGCATTCTTTCTGCATTTTGAACCTCACCGCTAGCTGCGGCTCTTGAAGATCCTCTTTTCCACTCCTCGTCTCTTGCAGCGATGCCTGGAGGCATGTCCCCCAACTTACGGCCTCGGACTAGCACTCCTCTTCCTCGGAGGACTCCTACTGGCACTCTCCATGCTGATACTCCTAACGCTCCTCGATCGACTCCTATCGCCTCCCTTCGTTGCACCCCTGACAGGACTCTTGCTCCTGGATCTTGAAAGGCTGCGAGAGTAGGATCTGGCCCGTCTTCCAACTGGACTGCGAGAGACGGGACTTCGACGAGATCCTGCGGCTCCACCTCCTCCTCCCCCGCCCGTAGATCGCCTCGGGGCTGGCGATACCGACCGAGAATATGATCTTGAGCGAGAAGAATATGATCTCGATCGAGATCTTCGACCGTACTCTGGTGATTGACGTCGAGGCGCACGAGATGAAGAAGGTAGAGGCGAACGAGATCGTGACCTGTACCGTGCTGATCCACCTCCCCCACCTCCATTGTATCCTCCCCTGTACCCTCCTCCAGCTCCATGCCCGCCGCCTCGCCCTCTGTACCCGCCACGATCATACCCTCCCCGGTATCCTCCACCACCACCACCGTAACCCCCTCGACCACGTCCACCAGGGACGTACGAATCAGATCCGTATCTTCCTCCACCAGGACCCCCTCGAGGTGATGGAGAGCGTCGTCTGAAGCCTCCTCCTCCTCCTCCTCCGCCTGCGCCGCCATAAGAGCCTCTTCTAGGGGAAGGAGAACGGGAATATGAAGGAGAGCGCCTGCGTCGAATGGGAGGTGAACGTGAGCGGGAAATAGATCGTCGACGATACGTCGGGAGGGGCGAGGGCTGGCGCGGAGCGGGTAGAGGGTGTTCAGAGATCTGAGAAGAAGGATGAGCGTTCCTCTCTCGAGTAGAGAGATACCCAAGCTTTGCTCACCTGGACCTTCAGGAAAGACCCATCGAGTTGTCCCCCATCCATATGCTTGAGGGCCTTTTCAGCTTGTTCAGGTCGATCAAACTCGATCGCTGCTTTGCCTCGATTCAAACCGGCTAGCATTCATGAGCATCAGCATATTGCTCAAGCTCAAGGCGTGCGCAAAGGAATGTCACAACTGGAAGTTGAAATAGCCTAGGTACTGGGCGAGACGGTTACACTTGTCAGACTCACAAACTTTGAAGAGCGGTAGATCCAGTCCTGAAACTCTTCCGTACACTCCAAAAATCTCTTCCAAGTGCCCCTTGTGGACGTTCTTGGTGAGACCGGAGACGACAATGACTCTGAATCCACCGTCACCGTTTGACCCATTGGCACGACGAGAAGGCGAGCGGGAGAGAGGCGTACGTGAGCGAGAGCGAGAGCGGGACATGGACACATCCCTTTCTCGAGTTATCCTCTTTGGAGAGGGTGAGAGTGGTTTGGGAGACCTCGAGCGACCTCTGTCGGACATGGTGAATTGGCTTGTGGTCGAAGACCAGTGAATAAACGAGAAAGCTCAAAAGAACCAACTCCATAACTGACCGCACTTTGGCGGCAAAAATTCAACTGTGGCACTTTTCCCGGTTCTCTAAAATCACTTTGCATTGCTTGGTACCCTATGATCATCATGGCTATGTACGCTGAAACTAGATCTACGAGTTGAAGGTGAAAGAAGCTCCCTAGGAAGTCGAGTGAGCGGAATGTCGATGGCAATTGTCGGTACAAGCTACTCACAACTTTGTGGGCGGCTTGTCCAGCAGTGGCTAAGGAACGTCAGTTGGGTTCCAGGATTCGAGGGCGGACATGAGCTCACGGTCGTTGATTCGGGTACTATTTGAGGTACGTCAGCTCATGCCATCAGGTGCCACTTGTAACTCACGTGTCGAGGGCGAGACCAAAGGCGGCCTAAAGACGACATGAGCCCCCATTGACATGCACCTTCCTAACTCACCTTGACACCAGGGCGGAGGGCCTGAGTGTATCCGAGACAGAGGACACCAGAGTTGTTGATCTTGGTCTTGATGAATGCAGCGTTGTCCTAGAACGGTCTGAGCTGGATATGACGATTAACAGCACTCACAAGGTAAGTCTTGGCGCCGACTTCCAAGGAAACACCGTTCAAGGTCGACTTGGTGTCATAGATGGCCTTGGCACCGGCCTCGACATCCTTGGAGACCTTGTGGTAGTAGCTAGCGCTGAAGGTGGAGAGGTTTCCGAGACCGTGGAGGGTGACGGCGTATTCAGGAGCGGAGAATCCAATGGCTCCGGCGTATCGAGTGATAGCTCCAGAGGTGACATCGTAGGATGCCTCGGCACCAACGAGGAATCCATCACGTCCAACGACAGTGTCAGCAGTGAATGTGGGTCCCTAGATGGGTGTCAGCATGGGCTGAACTGCCAATGGCTCACCTTGAAGAGGTCAACGGTAGCTCGGGTGTGCAAGCTGGGCTGCTTGTAAATGGCAGTGAGGATCGCAGCCTTTTGAGATTTGGCTGGGTTCAAGGTGGTAGCCAAGTCAAGTTTGAGGCCCTTGGCGATGAGGTTCTCGAGCTCGACTTGAGTTCGGAGGAGGTTTGTGGTCGTCCAGGCCTAAAAGTAAAGGGAGTCAGAGCTGAGCATCGCGGTGTGTATCGGAGACGATCGGAATAGGTGCAGCCCGCCGACGCGGCCGAGGCATGGCAGGGACGGGGGGCGTTGAGGGCATTGTTCCCGTACGACTCAAAGCAAGCCAAGAGGCAACCTCCTTCATCATAGATCGAAATACACGCCGTGGACTCTCTGAGACCTACCTGAGTGACAGTCAAACCGTTCTTAAAGTCGACGTATTTTCCCTCAATGTCTCCGTTGATGGTGGCATCTTGGTTCCTCTGTCCCTGAACCTTGAAGGTGACGTTGGAGGGAGTGAGGGTCTTGACCTCGAGGGAGGCACCTTGGATAGGGTAGTCCTTTTGCAAGAGGTCACCGGCAGATTTGCCGAGATCCTGTGTGCGTCAAGGTGGGTCAAGGGGGGTGGTGATATTGGTAGAGATGTAGTCGGAGATGAAGAGGGGAAAGAGATGGATGGATTGGCCAAGTGGGAGCGAACGCAAATAGCAGGTGATCAGCATGATCTTTCATCTGCCCACGTTCTGGCCAATTAAGACCCTGGACATACCTTCCAGGAGGGTGGGACGGGTTGAGACATTATTGAATGAATAGAGAATTGACCTGTGACGTAGGAATTGAAAAGTCAGTCACCCGCGACAAAACGTGTCAGAACGGAGGCAGGGGTTTGAAGGAGTCCTGGCACCGCCCAGCAATTGATCTAGTGAACGTACCTTGAGTGGCAAGATGAACAAGTAGAAAGAGAGATATCGAGGGGGCGTGGTAGAGAAAATGCTTATAAGGGAGAGGGGGGGGGGGAAGGGGGGATCGCGTCGTTGATCCGGCATGGCTCTGGCCTGGGCGGCGACATACATGACATCGGCATTACATCATATCGCCGAATGAGGCACCTGGATGTGGCACTCTGTGGTCACTGGGGAGTTGATCAACAGAATGCCGTAAAATGTATTCCGCAGCAGCCTACAGCCTACAGCCTACAGTACAAGGCATCCACAGGCACAGACAGCAGCAGATCAATGAGACACAGCTGGCATAGCGAAGGGCACGGCTGCTAGCTGTCCAATCATCATCGCCGCTACATGCAGCCCCGAGTCACGCTGTAGCTAGAGACCCCCCACCACACTCCCCCCCCAGTCCCCCTCTCCACCCATCCCACCCAATTGCGCAGTCGGATACCGCCGGTTAGTTTTCTCCTTTTTTGCTCCGAGATTACGGGGGTGGGTCGTCTTGGAAAATAAGACCCTCTCATTGTTCATATCAACGCGTCGACGAGGACCGGAGTAGATCAATGCAGGCGAATGGAGGCAAGGCAGGGCCAAGTGGAGATCGTCACAGTATTCACTTGCCGACAAGTAGTAGCAGTATGGCGGCCTCGGTACTGTTGGGTGAAGATGGAGGATTGAGCACAGAGTCCGAAGCTGAGAGCTCCAACCAGGGTTGGTCAGATCATGGATGGTGAGTTGGTGGTAATTTTTTCGGAGGCACATGCGCTGATCTGCTGCTGCTGCTGCTGCTGCTGCTGCTGCTGCTGCTCAGGCGCACATCCACCTCTGGCTCAACGCACGCAGCTCGTCCTTCTCTCTCTTCCAGTGACGATGTTCCATCCGCAGAACCTTCCCCAGTAACTGCGCAACCTCCTCCTATCCCATCCAACCGAATATCATTCAACACTGCCTCGTCGTCCAACCCTCACAGTCCAAATTCCATGTCGCATCGTCGACAAACCATCACTCGATCCAACTTGCATGCCATGGGCTCAAATCTGGATATGAGTGGATTGACCAATTCCATCGGTCATTCCACCGTGTTGAACATTGGAGAAGTCACGTCTCCCCTTCACGCGTCGAACGGCTTCAATACCCAACCTCCACCTTACCCTGAAGCTACGAGTTCAGCCTACGCCAATGCTGGGTATCCTCGATCGAGACGGAAATCATTGTCCCATATCAATCCGAACGGGATCACTCGTCCCGATCCAGAGACATCACCAGATGAATCTTATCATGTCAATGGCCAGACCGTCACTCTGGGTCCACATAGCAAGGGGAAGAAGAAACGCTCTCGGACAGCTTCCTTCTCTTTACCATTCCATCGCCGTCGGAGATTATCCAATGCGGGCTGGTCCAGATGGTTACGCTTCTACGCCGCACACTATCTCTCCACCCGATGGGGCCAAATTACCACCTTGCTGACTTTCTTCCTCTTTGCTATCTTCCTTTGGCGACGATACTATGAACTGCAGCTCGAAGTATCAGTCTTCTCGCATCGCTGGGTCCGAACCGAGGTCGACAGTGTATCTCCCCTACGAGGATGTTTCAACCCTCCACACTTGTCTCCATCGTACAACATTCAACGACACAACGCACCGAATCAACACATCCTCACGCCCGGCGTATCACTCAAGCGTGGCACTCAATGTTACGACTTTTCAGCAACCATTCAATCATCCCCTGATATCCCTCTCGAACCATTGATCTATCATACCTATTGGCGATCCGATCTCATCCCCTTTGGCGAGAGGCACACAGCGACGCTGTTAGCCTTTCTGGCCACTCAACCACTCACACATTCCAAATTGATCCTATGGACCAATGGCGTGGACGTGGTAGCCAACAACTCGTTCGTCAAGCCGTTCTTGGAGAAATGGGGCAGATACATTGAAGTCCGGGCTGTCGATATGGGTGTCCTTACCAGAGGAACAGAACTGGAAGGTATTCTCAGCGGTAATGATGGAGGGGGTCTTTTCGATCAACGAGCTTGGGTAGACGGCGACGCCGTGAGATTGCTCGTCTTGTGGCATTATGGGGGGATCTGGATGGATATGGATCAAATCTTGACGAGGGATCTACATCCCTTGACAGATCAGGAGTTTGTAACGCAATGGGATTGCTACGGTGAGTGGTCGCTCCCAATTGTCTTTTTGTCGCCAAAACTGACCCTCGGGCTCCCCCCTTCCAGACAAGCCCTATTTCGCTCTCAATGGCGCCTTGATGCATTTCCGCCAACACTCTCCTTACCTATGCGAAGCATTCCACATTATGGCTTCCTCACCGCTGCCCAAACCCAACACGTTCACCTGGGGATCCCATCTCTACTCTAAACTCCATCGAAGACTGTTGGCCAATCATCAGAAACCATTTGCGGTCCTCCCTTGGTGTTTTGCAGATCCTAGAAACTGTAGAGCCGATATACGGTTCCCGGATCCCTTTGGTCCAGATCCAGAATATTGGGGTGGAAGACGATGGGATGGAAGAGGAGAAGTGGGTCGAAGTGGGAGAGAAATGTTTGAGGAAAAAGTCGGATACGTCTTTACGATTCATCTTCACAACCAGTGGAAAAAGGACTTTACCAAGAACGGTTGGGTTAGCAAACTGTTAGAAGGGTATCAGCGGACAGTGGATTCGATCGAGCGGCATGGGAGGACGATTATTCGTGTGGGCACAGAGGGGGACGTAGGAGAAGTGGAATGAGCCAGCGCCAGCGGCAAGTGTGCGGCCTGCGGACAGGTGCCGAATTTTCTTGATCACTTAGTAGTATACAGCAGTATAATGATAACTTAATGACGATTCATCTTGCCAGACTACAGAAGGATATAATTCGACTGAATGAACACCTTGCATAGTGTACGCCTCGAGCTCAATGACAGGATACATAAAAGGGGATCATACAACGATTTTATTGTCTACTGCACAACTATTCCACGCGTGTCCATCTCTAGCATTCTATCTCTGCACGTCTTCAGATGTCCAGATCATTGGTTCCCCAAAATGAGATCCGCTCAAGATTCCGCCCTCGCAAGTACTGGCGGCAGATCATCACGCGCTTGACTTTCCACAATGTCGACTGCCACCGCTGCATCCGCTGACTTGGCCATCCTCGCCAAGATCCTCTCAACAGGTGGTTTGTGCCTCTTACCAGCTTTCAATCCTGATCCAGGCCCTGATCCTGGTCCTGAGCCTGTTCCTGATCCTGGTCCATCCGCACTGGCACCGCTCTCCACGCCCTCCTCAGTGCTGCTCCCCGCGGTTTTCCTTTTCCGACCTCCTCCAAATGGTTTCGGTATCCATCCCGTTGCCATCCTGTCCGCTTTCGCTTGATCTCTTCTGGCCTTCGCACCGGCTTTACTGACTTTTCGATTTGTCATGTAGAAATCACGTTCCCGTTCCAAGATGCCAACATGAGAATCTGGATCTGTAAAATCGCCCACGTCACTCAAGGCGAGAGATTTCGCTCGATGAAACGATCCAGATCCTGCCTCGGATGGAGCCGAACTCATCTCACGAAGTGGAGTCGCCGACAGACCTGGCGTTATGGGCAGAGCGAAGCTGGATCCAGACACTGACATGGGAGCGGAGTGCTTGCTGGTGTCAGAAGCCGCAACGCTGCTGGCTCGACTATACTCGGCATGATTGGACTTGTAGGACCGACTGACCGTTTGCTCCGTTTCAGAGGCGGAATTGTTATCCGGACCGGCAGAGACTCTGGTCGAAATGGATGGCAACCTTTCCATACCTTGGGAAGCGGCTGACAGCTCGGATGTCCCAGCAACGCCGGCAAGAGGTTTACCGGCAGAAGACATGGATGCAGGTGTAGTAATCCGGTTCGCTGAATCGTCTTGTGCTCGACTGAAGCCATCTGGACCAATGGTGAAAGCGAACGGTTGCGAATCTTCTCCAAGACCGTGGAGATTGAGTCCGGGGGAAGGCTCGATAGACCTGCGCTGGCGGGACGGGGCTCCCTCGTCGTCTGTCGACACTTCTGACTTTCCACCGTCCGACGAATTGTCGTCTTGTTCCTGTAGAAGTGTGTCTATTCGCGAAGTGTCCTTGAGATCGACGGGTCTATGGAGCGGTGGAGTGGGGGGCGGCGATCGACGTGACTGTGAGGCAGCATTGGCGTCGGCACGGTCGACTTTGGGGTCAGTTGAATGCAACATGGCCGATGCAAATTGCATCGACGTGTTCTTCTCGTTCTCTTCCTTCCATCGACGCGACATGAGGATGGGCTCCAATCTCATTCCAGCCGCTGCAGCTTGACTCCTGGCATCTCGTAATTCTTCTGCAAACGTTTTGGCTGCCTGACGTGTATTGAGCCTAGCCTGTAGGATATCTCGCCAGTGCGTCGCCACGTCGACAGTGACTGCACAGAGGATCTCTTGTTCTGGGATGCCTCGCCTGAGATCGCTGGCGTAATTCTTGAACCCATCTCCTAGTCCACCCACCCTTGGAGGATTGACTTGAGGGAATGGAATACCAGCGTCTTTGAGTGAATTCGACCATGAAATGACAAACTTCTTGAGATCTCTAAATCTTTCATTGGTCGTTTGGTCGTTCAATCCGAATTCCAAGGACAGCTCTCGTAAAATGTTGATCTGCTGAGGAATGACCTCGCGCAGAACGCCAGATGTAGCGACAAAGCACAGAGCGACAGCGCATTGGGCGGCGGCAGTATGGTCCCATAGACTAACGCATTGCTGGGCTTGGTAAAGATTGTAACCAACTTCGAGAACTTTCTCCCAGTCTATCTCGACATCATCGAAATACGCCCAATCCGATACTCTCCATTCTCGAATGGCAGAAGTTTTGCTCTCGCCACTGAGCGGTTTCGAAAGCAGATGAGGTAGCCGATCTTGATGGGATGAGAACGAGGCGAGCGTTTTGAACCGTCTGATAGCTTGAAGGAACAGGCAAAGCATATCGTCTGTCCGTGATAAGGGGCATCTGATAAGTTGACAGGAGGACCTCAGCGTTCGATCGAGATAGTAATAATCGTCCAATCTTCCTGCACTAACGTTGGGCAATCGATGAGTCGCTTTATACAGTTCCCATAAAGGCGGAACAACTGGTACAGATCCATGAGGCGTCTTGGCGATCCCTTGCTCCCATTGCGTCTCCCTTTCCAATCTCGTATTGATCCATGCTAATGTTCTAAGCTGAGCGGCCAGCTTGATAGCCACAACCACTTGGAACGGAAAGACTCGACTGTGAGGGTTGGTCGTGGCGTGAAAGTATCTCGGATCACCTCTTGACGAAGCTGAGACGTTACGTTTCCTCTGTTCAGCTCGGCGGATCTGTTCAAAGATGGTCGTTGCATGTCTTTTCAGGTCGGGATCAGGTTGTTCAAGAATACACGTTCGAGCGTCTACCAAGTACGTGTCGAGAAGACCTGCGAGCGTGTACTATGGAAACGTCAGCTCAGAGAAGACATACCCTCAATGAACGAGCTCACCTTGAAACGCCTCTCATTCAGACTGCTGTTGGCATTCCACTCTCCTTTCCAAGTTGTCAACATATCATGATCTTCGAAAACCGTGGCTCCAGCATTTGACTCGCCCACGAGGTTTCGCGCGCCGGATCGAGCCTGATCCACCAGACCGCAGGAGGAACAGACAAGTTCCCGTGTGTCATAATCTTCTTCCAAGGGAACGACGGAACGATTCTCCCGGTAACACCTCTGGCAGCATGGCCCAGAAGGCATGGAGGAAGAGGAAGAGGCCATGACTGAGGATCCTTTACCCAGACTGTCCCTCTTTCAAGTCTGAGCAGGCTGAACTCAGAAGCGCGAGCTGAGCTCAAGCGCGAGAGTATGATGGCGGCTTGAACAATGCTATCTACCAAGGCAACTGATAACATGAAGGCTTCCTACAAAAAAGCAAAAGATCCCCCTGTCCCGGTGGCTATTGCAAGCGTGGGAGAGTTTGCCACCCACTGCACAACGCCGGGCAGTCCCGGTTGAAATGTGGCAGTCATTGAACCCTTTTCGGAATAGTGACACTCCCGGGTTGGAATTGCCCGAAACATCTCACTCAACCTTTCGAGTCCATCCGTCGTTGTCGCCGCCGAGATCACAATGCTCCCCATCCGTGCTGTTCCCGTCACTCGTACTTTGGCCAGGGTAAGTAACGTCAGCACGAGCTCTCTGGCAACCACCCGAGTGCTGTTTAAAGTTGCACGTCGAAATAATCTGTGTTCATGAACTCTTCCATCTGATTCTTGTTGTGCTTTCTCCTCCAGGCCTTCTCCAGCTCGCCAGCGTCGAAGGATCTCTCCAAGCTTACTTTGATCGGAAGACTCGGAGCGGACCCCGTTGCTAGAACAGTGAGTTGGGCCAAAAGTCCCGGCAGGTCTCAGACAACACATGGGATTGTGAGCTGATCCCATATTCAACGTAATAGTCGACCAGTGGCAAGGAGTACTACTTGTGAGAATCTGATCCTAGCTTCAAGAAGAATGCAAGCTACGAGGAGAGCTCATACATCCCTTCAGGTACACTGTCGCTACCCAAACCCCTCCCACCAAGGGAGAGGATGGCCGTGAGTCCGTTTGAGCTTTTAACTCTTGGACCTAAAATGCTGAATGGCCATTTGGGAATAATCAGAATGGGTTGAAGGCCACACTTCGTGGCATAACGTCTTTTCCTTCAACGAGGGTCAACACGCTCTCCTGAAACGGGTCGGAAAGGGGTGAGAAAGAGTCGCACGATCTGAAGCCTCGCATGCTAGCTGCTGGCTGATTCATTTCCCCCCCGCAGATCAACCGTTTACGTTGAGGCTGAACTCGAGATGAGAAAAGTCAATTCAGATGAAAGTCAACTCCACGACAGGGTCTTGTTGAAACAGAGTGAGCAGTCCCCGTATTTCACTTTGAATTGTGGAAACTTTCTGCTGATGCCTTGCCTCCCTTGCTCAGTCGCTATGCGAATGATCAACCGAATCCCATCTGCCGAGTCTGGAGAAGCTGTCGAGGAGGCTGCTGATGCGTAGATGGACTGCCTGGTCAAGGGATGCAATAGTCACAGACGCATGGAGCTCAGGAGGCGATCTGTGTATAGCGTGAAACCGATCGGAGGGTGTTATAGACCTTTGAGCCGGTGTCGTTGTTCATTGGCAATAGAACTTGTCGATATAGATTTTTCTTCTGGGTCTCATGCAACAAAAGCTCGACTCTTCCAGAACGGTTCATCAATATGCCTGGTTATTGTCTGACATGACTGCAATAGCGACAACGTGCCCTGTTACAACAATACATGGGACAGGCGACGCTTGTCATTTTTTGAGAGCCGGCGCCCCTGATCTATATTACAACTATTGTCTGTGAAGGCTCTAAACGTCAACTGTCTCTATGCTCGCCACTGGTGGCTTTACAAGACGGCGCAGGATCTCCCTGCCGGAACATATCAGTACTTGTCAACCATAGGGTCTGGTCGGGCAAAAGGTCCCCAAGTGTTCCCCATCTAGTCTCGAAAGATAACCGCTAGAATCCGACTCACCGCCTCCTCTCCGCTTCTTTCTTCAACACACTTATCATTTCTTCCACTTGAGACGTGTTATACTCTCCTCCGGGTAAACTCTGCGCCGCAGTCTTCATTCGTCCAAGTGCGAGAGCCAATTCTTTAGCCTGAAAATGAGGGAAGGAAGACCCCACAAGTCAGTGGACAATGAACCCAAGCACACAGTGTCATGTACAGCGACCAGAGACCGACGCTGGATCTGACGCTAAATGACACGCGTGGTCGTTGAGGCCCTGACTCACCTCGCTGGTCACTGCTTCTGCCGCTTGAATACCAGTCGGCGGGTTCGCTGAAGTGATTTGTGAAGAAATGATCGATAACAGATTATCGACCATTGGGAGGACAGATTGGAAAGCATTCGGACCGGTCAGATTCGAGCCTGAGACAGATACAGGAGCCGGAGGAGCGACAGGCGCCGCAGGCAGCTTTGGGCTCTGCGACGAGGACATGGTCGCAGTGCGTGAGACTGAACAAGGTACGAATGTCACATTCAAGCTGGAATAATGGTGATCAATAATTGCGCGACTGCCTTTCGGACGGTGTTTTTCCAAAGCATCTATCATGGAACCGAATGCGTTTTCATTACATCAACCAGGTCATCACCGTATTACCTGCTATGGCGCCGTGCAAGTTTACAAATGCAAATAACGGTCGGTCGCCCTCTTACTACCAATGTCAAGCATGTAGTGTATCCTGCCCCTATCCTCTCGAGCTTCTGATGGCCTGGAGCCATTGATTCCTCAATTCAACTGAATCAACAACGTACTGGACGTTCTCGCCGCTCTGCATTCAAGACTGTCAGTGTTTGACACTCTGACACGAAACTTCTGATATCCACTCACGGAAGCTACAATGAAGCCTCTCGAGCCCTTCTCATTGACGTCTGCAAATGTTACAGGAGGCTCTTGACCTGAAGGCGATGCCGGATCGTCATTGCCAGCGCGGTCGAAGACGACTTCGAACTTGATCTTTGGTCCTGAGACGCTCATCTGCTCATCCTTTATCTCTATCAGTCTGGGAAGGTCCGTCAAGACGAGGAGACGGGCCTTGGACGCCTTGAGGAAGAACGATGGGATGAGGCTTGTAGACGCACTGGCGACTGGTCGAGCGCTGACGATAGACGAGAAGACCACCTTCTCCCTCGGCAGAAGAAGCGAGGCCCTGAAAGAACGATGTGAGCTTGACGTGCTCGCTAAGAAAGGCGTTAGCTCACCAAGGAGGCTCCCTCTGTTCGAGCGTGTTGCCCTGTCCAGCGATCGAATACGACCGAGTTGCTCCACCATAGTCCTGAGGCGTCACGATCGACACTGCTGCCGGCCTATCTGACCCGGTGATCGTCCCCGGAGATCCTGATCCCGTGTTCGATGAGCCAATGCCCATCGTCTCAAGAAGACCCGATAACGCAGTCCGATTCGCACTCGAGCTCGAGCTCGTGCGGGCACTCCTGCTTCCCGTCGACAGACCTCTGTGCTTTCTTCGCCAGGGTGCATCCGCCCAGGAGAATCGAGGAGGCTCAAAGCTACCTGCACTCAATCTCGATGATCGATTGACAGTCGAAGGATCGTCGACCGACTGAACTGCTTTGGCGGCTGCTCGATGGTCGAATCGGGTGGATGATCGGTTCTTCGATGCGGTTGACAGCTGCCTGCCTAGCATGGCTGAATTTCCAGCTTGTGGAATCGTATCGTCATTCTCGTCTTCGTCAAATTCGCCATCTGATCCCTCATCAAACACAGCCCAAATGTCAGATTCTGTGGGGTTGGAGCTCGGAATGACCGGTCGGGTGATACCAGTGTGCATGGTGACCACGGGAATGTTCCAGATATTTGAAAAGTCAAGATCGGCGAAAAACGGGTGAGCTTTGATGTCGCCTGGAGTGGGTCGAGCGTTTGGGTCGAGGTTCTGTGAGAGGGTCAGCGGCGAGCTTGCATCTTCGTGAATTTGCTCACCAAAATGAGATAAAGAAGGCTCTTCGCTTCCTCATCAATGTCTTCAGGCATCTCCATTTCCCGCTTGAGAATCTTCTGAAATGTCAAGTAATCCGTGGCGCCTCGAAAAGGTGGTCTGCCGACCAAAAGCTGATAGAGGATACAGCCAAAAGCCCAGATATCTGACCTATTTGCAGAGTGAGACGTATACTCTCAACAGTGTCCCTGCAGACTCACGCAGCGACAGCCGGATCATTTCTAAGGACTTCAGGACTGACAAAATCTGCTGAGCCTACAAAAGACCTCTTCTTGCTTTCGTTGTCCTCGGCCTCATCATTATCAGTGACGATCTTTGCGCTGCCAAAATCGGTGATTTTGGTCCGCATCTCAGCGTCCAGAAGAATACTTTGGGGAGCTGTCAGCCTAGCTGTGGAGATAGATGGGACCCACTTTTCGGGTTTCAGATCCCGATGAATGACACCTCGGTCGTGCATGAATTCAATCGTGTCGATCAACAGCGCTGCATAGTATCTTGCAGACTCGAGATCCAGAGAACCATACTGGAATCCAGTCAGTCAAGCCATCATTACCTCAGTTCTCACCTTTCGGATGTATCCTAACATTTCACCGTTCTTCGCGAGATCAAGGACAAAATCTGATTGACCCGTAAGCTGACGATCTGATTATCAGCGTGCAGACCACTCACACAGACTCATCATGTCGTTGAACGTCGAGTGGAGACGGATGATACCAGGGTGAGCGTGGCCTCCACGACCTGACTTGGTTGATCTTTCGCTCAGCGCCAGACTCTGACGGCGTCGTCTTGTCTTGTTCCCAAAGCTAGCTGCATCGGGCGTTTGTAGCGTCGTCGACGGTCCAGGCGTATCGTCGTTCCCTGTGCCAGCAGGCCTGACAGTCTCATTGGTGTATCTTCGCAAAGACACATCCCCCTCCTCCCTCACTGGAGACGGGGCTGTCGATCTTAGGTCTTCCACTGGAGAATCAAGGATATTCTCCTCTGATCTCTCAGGAACCATTTCAGGTGGTTCAGCAGAACGACTCGGCCGTCTTCCAGCAAATGCAGAGCTCTTGATGGTGGGCGAGATGGATGAATTGGAACCGATAGACCCTACGCTGGCGGGCTCCGTCGAAATGGATAATTTGGGTTGACCAGGAGTTGTAGGCGTAGTCTCTCGTTTGGGTCCGGCCATTGAATTGTTCGACTTGCGCTTGACGAACCCAGTGTTGCTTGATCCAGACATGCCACGCCGGTGTCCGCGGGAGGAACCAGCGTGAGGCAAGCTGGAAGGTTGTGCCAATCGTATGAGAGCATCGCGCTCAATCATGGCGTATTTAACCTTTTTCTCCGCGATCAAGTGGGCCTGGTTGATGATCTTGATGGCGTATTCTCTAGGTGCACCGCGTGGTGTCCCGGGAGAGTGTGTGGTGGATGCGGGCGTGGCAGCGTAAACCTGGCAGAGGTGTTCAGCTTTCAGCTCCGCCCCGTAAGTGGATGGCAAGCCATACTCACCGTGCTGTAACTGCCCCTGCCCAGCTCCTCGCCCAAAACGAAATCTCGTAACGAAGGCTTCCTGTAGCCCCCTCCTCCTGATGTGGAAGACGAAGCTGCAGAAGCTTGACTTTGTCTCCTTTCCCTGTCCCGCGAGATATCTCGATCTGCGCTCAGCGTCCTCGCCTTGCCTCTTGGTCCATCCTCCTTGAAACCGACTGGTGAAGAAGGTATCGATCGCATACCAGCTCTCCCGCGAGGATACTGGGGCATAGGTGAGGAAGGTCCAGATTCTGTATTATCAAGTGAAACCGTCACTCGGATAGGACCTGGCGATGGAGATGGTGAGCCTCGTTCGGTCTCTACGGTCCTCCATCGGCTGGTCTTGGGTGTACTGGGTGACATTCCGGGAGTAGGTGCCGTATTTGGTCTGTCACGATGAAAGGGTCCCGCTAGAGGCGATGTAGCGATCATTGGAGCCTCTGGTTGTTGCTGTTGTCTTGATCTTGGACCGTTTCGGTAGATGCCTCTCCCTGCTCCTAGTCTAGGAGACGTATACTTGCCTGTTGTAGGTGATGAAGAATGTTCTGGGTCTGCACTGCCCGGCCTGGAGATTCCTTGAATGTTGGTTCCCGGAGTCGCTGCTGTTCGCGTCTCGATAGGTGGAGGACGGATAGGTGCAGCGACAAGTGACGAGCTACTGGACGCTGTTGAACGTGAAGAAGAACTGGATGCATTCCGCGAGATAGATTGACCGGATGGTAAGCGAGGGAAAGCAGGAAAAGGAGACGCAGGGGGTGAGGTCGAGGTCGCAGAAGGAGTAGGAACGGGAGAAGGGTGAAGCGTTGCAGCAGCCATGATGAAAAGGAGGGGACCCCTTATACTTGCTGTTATGCACTGATGGGTATACCTTGCTTTGTGATCTCAAGTCATTGGCTGTGAGGTGTGTTTGTTGTTGTTGATGATGATGATGATGATGATGATGAATGAAATGATAAAGCGACAATGCCTATTGGATTGGTGGATGATGACGATTGAAATTGTTTTGGTTTGATCGACGTGCTGCTGATTGTGCCGTACCAGTGGTTGTAAGTTGTCAACAAAGGGGGGGTAGGCTAGACCCAAGACACTCCTGTGTATGCGCTAACACAGCTGATGATGATCGAGCGACGAGCTCAGATTCGTAGTTGACCCCCTTGAACGTGTGCAGTCTTGATTCTAGGATGCCTGAGGGGAGGGGGGAAGAGGAAAGAATGTGTCTCGATTGAAAGTTACGAATTGAGTCAGATGATGTCCCATTCAAGAGGGGTAGTGATAATGTCTGTTGTCCATATCAGGTCCATACTGAGAACTTCAAAGAGATGTGGGGGTATCGTACACCATGATTGGAATCCCATCCGCAGGGCTCTCGCGACGACAAACAAATATAATGAACACGGTAAAACGAGATGAACGGAATGTGTGGATTTTCAACGGGAAACCCTCTCTCAAAGGCCTGGACTTGCCTCCTGTGACGCCCTCCTATGTTTCTTCCAATCTTTTATTATTGTACTGGCTGCCTGCAACCATGTAACTGGCTATCACGATCTCGAGACTCATCTACCAGCCATAGGCACATGCATACGATCCTATCGACCACGACGAGACATGAGAGATCTACTATGCAGCAGCAGCGACAACAGGCAGCGACAACATCATCAGACGTCATTTTCGAACTCCCCTTTGGCCATGTGGCAGTATCCTGGTTCAGGCACCATTTCAGGACTGTTATCATGTGAGGATAGACGTATTCATGATTCGTGGTTCGGTGAGAGAACAGCACACGACTCATCAACCCTCAAGCAGCGATTATGGCGAGATGCATACACACGTAGCACTAGTATAGATACATTTTATTATCGTTCCTCCCAAAGAAAGTCCTTCAACTCCTCACTCCTTTTCCTAGCAATTCAACCAGCTTGCCATCCAGAGCCTCTTTGCCATCTTCAACGGGACCCTGTGCCGATTCGTGATCAGACGAATGATCCATACCAAGAACACCATTCTTGTCCATCAGATAAAAGACGAGATCCTTTTGAACATCATCAAGTTCAGGGAATAAAGCGACTGTGGCTTGAGCGTCGACGAGCACAGCTTGGATAGCCAAGATGATCGTGTTGGCAGCTTGGCGAGTAGTGATCGTTTTCGAGGCGAGACCCTAAATGTCAAGCCTAGCGGTCAGACACGGTGATGCGCCCGCCTCTTTGATCCTCACTCACCTGCATAACAACAGGTGCCAACTTGGCACCTTCGATCCGCGCCGCTTCCCGAGGCAAGTACTTGAAACACATCCCAAAGGCTGTCAAGCCGAAAAGCTCCCCAGAACTTCTCGCATGTGAGGCAGTCTTTACATCGTGCACTGCAGACCCATTCCCCTTACCGTTCGACCTCGAGCGCTCCTCTGGCGAAGGATGTTGAGCGATGAATCGATCGTATGAACCCCTGAGAATGGACAAAAAGTAGATGGGGTCACTGATCTCCACCAAGAGAGAAATCAACGAATTTGTCGATTCGAGGACCTGAAGGTAATATCAGGTACTTTCCATCTCGCCGCAACGATGCCAACTCACCGTGTTGTTTCTGTGCCCGCGCAAGCGGAACAAGGCGTCCAAAAGAGACATCTCTCTCGATTCAAATAGGGTCCACTGATTCTGGACCAGCTCCCAGAGCAACACCAAGGCCTGTTCGAGAATTTTCAGATCGACAGAAGGGTCCAGTATTGCCAGCAAACCATCGGCGATCGTGTCAAACAATGCCCCTCCATCCCATACCCATAGAGCCTCTTGACGATCATCTTCGTCTGGAGTCTTTTGAACAGGGTGGTCTTTCGCAAAGAGGCACAATTTCTGGAGATCCAACATGGTCACGGCGTCCGGTCCACTTGTCAACGCATCGGCTGAACGGTGAACAACCATATTGGAAGGAGTGCCCATTTCCCGTAATGGCGACGCCTGATCCATCAAAACTTTCTGCCTCAACCACCAAGACTGCTCATGTTTCCTCTCTCGTAGCTTGCTCAACATTTGCGGTGTAACACTTTCAGGTCGAGGGGAGTCTTCCCATACTGCTGGTCCAGATCTCGGCTGACCATTCAAGAACACCGTGGCGGGCGTTCGGAATTGGGTGTAATGACCGTTCGTGTGAGTGTCGGGAGGTCTGGCTGGCGTCACGGGGAGTTTCGAGGCCGGCGTTAGATCGCTGTCGTCGAGATCCAACAACTTTTGCGCAGCTTGTACAGCTTGATCGGCCTGCGCTTGAAGCTCTGGGTCGATGCCAGGAGTGTCAGGCGGCAAGCCATCGATGCCCGGAGTCTTCATGTGACTCGGACTGGATCCAATGGCGTTCGAACCGTTCTGAATATCGCCAAAGGCTGGCAACGGCGCTCGTGCCAATACTGGCGTTTTCAGTGTATGAGTGCCCGTGGCCGATGTAGCGCTGCTTGAGCCCGGTGATCTCATGCCGGACTCGACAGTGCTCCGAGTCCGTAGTGGGGAATGAGGGTATGCAGGTGATATCGGGCTCGATGGGAGGTGACTGAGTGACGGCGATCGAGGATGGATGGAGTGCCTCGGTGGAGATTTTGGCGAGCCAATAGCTCGAGGTAGACGACTGCCCGAAGGCGATCCGCCGTTCACACTGGCCGCCGCAGCAGGCATGGCCCTCGGCGGAGAAGTTATTGTTCGATCGACAGGTGGCCGTGAGACTGGGGAAGGTGATCCCGACGAGAGTTGTTGATCCGAAACCGAGCGCGAGAAGCCTACGCCGGCAGGTGAAGAGACTGTCCGGGGCGTTTCCTGTCTGCTCGCAGTCGCCTCTGCCGCCTTCTCTTTCCTCTTTTCTGCAAGTAATTGAGCGATGACTGATGGGCGCTTCGCGGGACCTTTGACACTCGCAACAACACGACTTTTGACGCCTTCAGACGATTTTGGATCCGCCTTTTCCAATTGTTTGCGAGCCATAGGATCCAGCTTGCTCATGATTTCCGCGCCTTTGGCTGGCCAGAGGACCTCGAAGCTCCAGAATGCAGATCGTGCAATTTCTCTGGCTTGGGGAGTTGTATCTGCCAAAGCTCTCTTCACGTCATCCTCGAGTTGACCTAAGGAGCCAGGCGTGGTGTCGATCAGGACTTTCGATCGGCTCGCATGCGTATCGAGGAATGTTTTGAGATGTGCAATGCAGTATTGTCTCGTTTGGACATTCTTCTCGCCAAGCCCAGCCGTGATGTGGGATATGAAGATGTGTGGTCGACATGTCGTATAGGTTATGATGGATGTCAGTGCACGCTGTGACTTTTCGGCGATAATTTTCTTGGTAAAGCCGCTTTGATTGATCCTGTCAGCCGAGCTCTGTACCATATGCTGATTACTCACGCCATCTTGCCGAGAACAGCCAAGAGACTCTCAACGAAGGGGTCGAAAGCCGATCCAAGATACTCCGCGAGCTCCTGTATGACCGCACAAGACTGTTGAGCGACAGTTGTACGCAGACTCAGCAGCTGGTGGAGCGGTCAACTTATTGCCATTTGATCCGACTCACTGTCCGAGAGACACCATCAATCATCGAGGTCTTCAAGCCCAGGAGGAAAGCTTCTGGGTAGTTCTGATACGCATGACCCCTAAGCATGCCTCTGATCCGGATAATGGCTTTTTCTCTAGGTCCCCAATTATGTTCCGTTTCCTTGCCTTGAAAATGGACTGCCATCTTGCTCCATTCCTGGTCCATATCCTTGGCACTGGCAATCTGTCACAGGATCAGCGACTCTCAGACGTGATGGACTCACATGAACAACCGCCACTTCATCCCCAAGAGGTGTGGGAGCTCTTGATCGCCCTCCACCCCCAGCGCTCGAGGCATCGTCGCCTGCGAGATCTGGTGCTGAGGAAGCAGCCACTCCAGGTGTGGCAAAGATTCGGGCCAAGATCCCATCGGCTATCGTCTTTCTCGTGCCTTTGGCAGACAGTAGCTTTTTGACTTCTGATTTCGCGGCTGGCGGTGTGGATGCTGGGGCTAGAATGCCTACGAGTGTCTGCCGACGACGTTCAGCGAGAGCTACGGCAGATCCGGGGGAATCGCTCCACTGACCTCTCTCGCTTGATCCCTCACATGACTATCCGAATCTTCCAAGAGATCGACCAACGTCCCAAGCCAGGGTTTCAAAGGCAATCCACTATCCTTATCTTCTCTCAACTCCAAGATCACCTTCATCCCTTCCACTTTGCCTCGCCAGGCTTTCCCTTTGACAGCCATGATATCCTTGACGTGACGCTCCCAGAATCCCACTAGGGTCTCCTTCTCCTTCCCTTTGAGCGGAATAGGCGCAGTGGATGCAGTACCAGCAGGTTCAGCCTGATAGCATTTCTTGCCGAGGAGTCCTACACATACACCAGCGGGTGCGTGAACCCTTTCCTTAGGGTCATTGAGTCTCTCCAAAGAGGGAGGGAGGAATTGATTGAGAGCGACTCGTAGATTGACCTGGCTTGACGAGGTGTCTGTTGAAATGTGGGGAATGTACGACGGCAGGAACGAGGTCAAGATTACGGCCAAGAGTTGATTTGACGACGTCCGAATAAGGGGTGCAATGGCTAGAGTCAGTGCATCAAAGGTGCTCTCGGGGAGCTAACAACGCTGTCAGCGCGCTGTAATCCAATCATTATGTCTGAAGCTCACAATGTCCGTCTGCCCGAGTCTATCTGTAAATTCCTGTATCAGATCCACCTTCTTCTCAGTATCTGTTGTCACCAGTCGAGTCAATTCAGGCATTGCACTATTGTGGCCAACACTCACCTGCTGTTCTGAGCTTGCTGAGAAAAGTCTCGACATCGAGCTCGTCCATTGTATCCTACGCCTCCTAGAACAGTATACTACGCTGCTCGACACTGTGAAGGTGTATAGAACGAGAACGCACAGCGTCTGTATGTCTCATTCAACAACAAATCTCTCTCGCGGTCGCGTGGCGAAAATGAAAATGCTCGCGCGTTGAATGATTTACGGCATTTGTGGCATTTTGAAAATAGTGGAGGTCGCCCACAACGAGCGGGTCAAAGGTTTAAGATACCCCCCCGCCCACCCCGCTCTTTCGTAGATCTGATCTTCGCATCCCTCAATCGCTGCTGTAGGCTGCTCTCGCCGAGGGACAAGTATGAGTGAGGGGATATAGAACCATGATCATAAGCTGACGTATGTCTTTATAGGAGACAAAATGGCGCCACGACACCTCGGCATCCAGATCACTGAGGATCTCCATTTCGCCTTGTGCGGGGAATCGGTAGATTACCGATTTCATGTCGACAAGACTTCCAAACGATTGATCTTGGATCATTTTGGAGCACCAGGTCAAGGTGCAGGGACGTTTCCTAATAGATTCGAATTTGCAGATATAGGGCGTGGGGATTGTCGTCTGCCCTCCATCCACATCCGACACGCTGAAGGTCACACTGTTAGCGATTTTCAGTACTTTCACCATCGGATCGTCAAAGGCAAACCAAGTTCGTCGAGTCATCCGGTGGTTTTTGGATCAAGAGAAGAAGTGGAAGTATTGATTGTCTACCTTCACGATCCTTACTCGAAGATCAATGCCGATTTGACATACAGTATCTTTCCCAAATACAATGCGATTATTCGCAGCGTCACCCTCTCCAACAAGTCTTCACAAGCCGTCATCATTGAGCGGGCGGCTAGTCTCTGTCTGGACTTTGTTCCGATCAATGAGGATTGGGACATGACCCAACTTCATGGAGATTGGGGCCGGGAATGTCACAGGCTTCGTCGTCCTATTCATTTTGGAACGCAAGGGTGAGTAGGATCACAATCGCCCTTGAAAACAGCAGCCGAACTCATCGTCCTTTTCTCCCTCCAGCTTTCAAAGTGTCTCGGGTTATTCATCCGCTCGACATAACCCTTTCCTTGGCCTGTGTCCAAGGTCAACAACCGAACACACGGGCGAAGCGTATGGATTCAGCTTGATTTACTCGGGATCATTCAGTGTCGAGGTGGAAAAGTTCACTCCGGGAACTACCAGAGTTCTGATGGGTCTCAATCCATTGCATCTCTCGTGGGAACTCGGACCAGGCACAAGCTTCTCCACACCTGAATGCTGTGTGGTGTACGAACCAAAGCAAGGTTTCGGAGGCATGTCGAGATCCTTGCACAACCTCTATCGAAAACACTTGATCCGATCATCCTACGCTTTGAAGCCACGACCTGTCCTGGCCAATAACTGGGAAGCCACCGGGTTCGACTTTGATCAAGAGAGACTCTATGGAATCGCAAGATCTGCAGCTGAACTCGGCGTCAGTCTGTACGTGATGGATGACGGATGGTTCGGAGATAAACACCCCAGAGAGAATGATCATGCAGGTTTGGGTGATTGGCAGCCTAATCCCAAACGATTCCCGAACGGCTTGGACGCCTTTATATCCCGTGTCAACGATATTCGACCTTTGAACCGAAAGGCGAATCTCAAATTTGGACTCTGGGTCGAACCTGAAATGGTGAACCGCGAATCAGAGCTGTACGAAGCGCACCCTGACTGGGTCCTACACGCTGGATCTCACCCGCGGACAGAGACGAGGAACCAGCTTGTCCTAAATCTCGCTCTACCCGAAGTGCAGGACTACATCATTGAAGTTATCTGTGATCTGTTGCGCAAGTACAACATCACTTACGTCAAATGGGACAAGAATCGGGATCTGCATGAGATGCCCTCACCGGCCACGGCTCACAAGTACATGTTGGGACTGTATCGCTGCTTCAACGATATCATCAATCGGTTCCCTACGGTTTTATTTGAAGGATGTTCAAGCGGAGGCGGCCGCTTTGACCCTGGCATCCTGTACTATTTCCCCCAAAGTTGGATGTCAGACGATACCGACGCAGTGGAGAGAATCAGTATTCAATTTGGCGCCACGTTGGCGTACCCTGCCTCCGCTATGGGTTGTCATATTGCCGCTTGTCCAAGTCAGATGACGGGCAGATCCACACCTATCGAGTTCAGAGCTCATGTCGCCATGATGGGTGGAGGCTTCGGCTTGGAACTGGATCCGGACGCTTTGACTAGAGAAGAGAGGGAAAAGCTTCCAGCTCTAATCGATCTGGCGGAACGTGTCAACCCATATGTCATTCAAGGCGATCAATATCGATTAGCATTACCCGAGGAGAGTAATTGGCCCGCCGTACAGTATATCAAAACGGACGACGATAGCTCCGTCGTGCTCGCTTTCCAGCTATATTATCATACAAATACATTGTTGGCACCGGCGCTTATGCTCCAAGGGTTGGACCCTCGCACCGAGTATCAGGTAGACATCGAGGGTGGAGAGAGTCTGGTGGCGTCTGGCGAGACACTGATGCACGCTGGACTGAAGCTGAACTGGTTTGGGGATTACAATAGCAAGGTGATTTGGGTATGGCCCGTGGAAAGGACGGGAGGTACTTCCCTGGACAAAGCAGAGGACAGTGTAGAGGGGCAAGTAGAGGTTGCAGCGAAAGTAGAGGGGAAGGAAAAGAAGGCTTGGTAGTGTCTCTTCATGTGACACTGGCAAAGACATCAAACCGTGATGGCAGACTTCGCAACGCAACTCTTGAGTGGTAAAGCGGAAAGACAGTCTGTCCTTCGATGATGCAAATGCGCTTCGTTGCCGCAATCGATTGATCACCTTCGCCAAGTATAATATGTGCCCTGACTAGTCGGTGATACAGTTGGCGGAGGCATATAAGCTGGATGAGGCCCCGTTGATACTTTGGGATACTTGGCAGAAAACTGGGTGTTGACAATATTATCCCAAGTCGGAGCGTTGCGGTAAAACTCCCAAGCACTGGGCGAGCATTATCAGATCATCTCCGAAGGGTCGGTAAAGCACTCACGGTGGCGCCTGTCCGAAGCGGACGGACTTGAGCGGAGGCGGTGCTGGCAATGGACTTATCTCGATTCGTTCTCGCTTCACGAAGGGCCCAGTCAGCTCTATATTCGAAGTGGGGATGACTGTCGAGATCATTGTAGGCAGACACTCACTCGGTTCGCCTGCGGTCCTGAATAGCCTTGGTGAGAAGAAAACCTCTGACCCATAGCGAATTATCCTTTTCCTCCACCGTGAGACGCTGGGAACTTCTTTCGAGCTGCACTGGATTTCGGAATGCGCGACGAATTGCGTTGCGCCCGGAAATGAGCTGCTGAAAGCTTCAGTTCAAGTTAGAATTCAAGCTCGAGTAGATCAAGGTATGCGAGAGTCCTCAGTGGCGTTGCATCGATCACTGAGCATGCAATCAAAATACTGCAAGCCCATCCCTCGCTCCAAAACTCTTTCCACTGAGCCTCTCCTTTGTAGACTGAGCGTCCTTTCACGTCGATCTCCTTTTGAGAACCAAACATCTTGCAGAATTCCTACGCTCCACTGCGTTGGCAAGGTCTCCCGGTTCGAGACCCTAGATACCCTGAGTCCCTCAGGCGACGCATACCTGTCGTTTCGTGGTTCCGAATACTCGGTTCAATCATCGCTACCTGGTGACTCGCTGCCATAGGATGCATGCAATTTGCGCGCTCGGATTTCGGTTGATACTGTTTTGCTCTTCGAGCCCCGGGAAAAGCGGGCCGGTCGTTATCCGCCGGGATGACCCCAAATATCTACCATAAGTGGAAATTTCTAGTTCAAAGAATTGACCGGGGCCGACGACGGAATGCATAATGTGTGTGAGTGTGGACAATAGTACATACATACCTTCAACTCCACCATATCGAGGGGTCTCCATATCGAACGATTCCAAGGTTCATCGAAGTCCAAGAGGAGCCTTGTTACCCACCGACTGAAACCTGCTGCTGTCCTGTCCAAATGGTGCACTGATGGAACAATACTCATTCTATCGGCCTGGAAGGTCTTCAGCCGAGAAGATTTCACCGACGACAAGCACAATGATGGATGCGGGAGGGTTCAACCGACGTGGACCTTACGGGTCGTACGACTTGGAGAAGAGTATAGGAGGGGATCATTATTCAAAGGATACCAAACCCTCCAGGAGTGAGATCTCAGGCTCTACAAGCATGTACGATCATCGCGCAGGAGGCGGAGGAGGAGACGATCACTCAGAAGATGAGTCGATTCAAGGTGGTGGAATGGCAGGGAAGAATCCGAGACACAGTGTCGGATCTTCCGCACAGGCTTCAGGCGGTGGCATACCAGCCAAACGGGGAAGCAAAGCATGCTCGGCGTGTAAGTTTGAGCCGGTCCGTTCCAGTATCAAAGCCCATTTGATCGATGACTTGTTCCCAGGTCGCAAAGGTAAGAATCGGTGCGAGCCTGATCCTTCTGGACTTAGCGATTCATGTCGACGATGTCTGGCCAACAAGATCCCTTGTATTTTCGAGAAGACTTCAGATAGGGCATCCAGGCGACGTGGGAGTGCTGTTGGCGATGCTTTCCCAACGGAGGCGGAGGGGTGAGTTCCGTACGAAGAAAGCACCACAATCAGGCATGCATTGCCATCGCTCATGTCACTTCGCAGTCGCGTCTTACACCTTGAGCGGAGCGTCAGGGATCTAGCTCATGGTCAGAACCAGATACAGTCAGCGGTGAGATTTTGACAGTACGGCATTGCTGCGAGGGCCAAGCTGAAGCGGCACATTCACATAGCTTCAACAAATCTTGTCCATGCTGCCTGCACCCTCTAACTTATCCACAACACCCACTTCTGTCACTTTTTTCCCGCAAGGCTCCTCAAACGGAACACCTAGCGGTCTACCTCCATCTAATATCTTCCACACTTCCGTGTCTCCACCTGAAATGTTCAATTCCATGCCCCCTCCACCGCCACACATATCAGCAGGACCCCTGAGTTCAATGGTCAATTACCTCCAAGATGCCATCTCTACATCTCCTCAGAACACTGCTGCAGGTCGGACAGGTGGACCGAGCGTCGACACAGAGAGGAAAGAACGGAAGGAATTTCCCAAATTGCCGGGGTTCGCTCCTCCCAATCATGTCTTTGGCACTTACGGGATCATCCCAGTTCCGTCTGTTCCTCCCTCGCCCACTCAATCACACGGAGATGCCGCATCACCATCTGCCGAATCTAATACATCGCTCCCTAGAGACTCCCTCACGGCCCCGATTCAAGCACTACAAGCCTTGGCCAATGCCGCTGACCAAGCCGCTTCGTCGAGGAAGAACGAGTCGGCCGAAGGGGAGAATAGTCGAGATTCAGATATACCACAGTCATCGGACGCCATTTGGACCAAACGTAAACGAGTCCGTATGGATGTAAAAGATCCAGTATTACGAATGAAGAAGAAGACGAAGCCTGATCCGACACCGCGGAACCCTTTCCCGGATGTCGTGACGAAGGGACTGGTATCGGAAACCGAGGCGAGGGAGCTATGGGATATGTGCGTAACACACAGCCGCTCAGAAATGCCATCCTGACATGTGCGTCTAGCTTTTTCTCTGGGTGCCATTACTTTGTGCCGTTATGGGACAAGAAATACGACACGTATGAGACGTATATCGAAAGGACGCCTTTCTCCACGAACGGTGGGCATTCTCTTCGGACCAGCCATTTAGGTACGACTTTGCTGATTCTTTTCTAGGTTTGCTAGCTGTAGCGGCGAAGATTAGGGCAGGGAATGGTATGTCGAAACACGTCATAGTAGAAGTCCGGTTGACGCCTCGCAGGCCCACTAGGTCAGACTTTCCAGAGATGCTTAGAAGAAGCCCAAGGTATCGCCCGGTCGACATTATTCGGTCCCATTGTCCGCAAAGAAGCCGTCGCTGCAATGCTTATATTGAGTGTCTGGTCTGCCAATGGTTGGATGCCTTGCGGGTGAGCATGGATTCAGGCCAAGATACGTATGAGTCTGACCATTTAAAATCAGACATGCGTTACGAGGAGCTCTCGATATGAACTTGCATCGAGCGCTGGACACGTTGGCCGCGGAACCTACTCGACCGAGAAGTGAGGCTGAGGAGCGGGATTTAGGTGAGCATGCTTGATACCTGGGCGGATGCGGAGTTTGATGACATCCAGTTGTTTCTGCTCGGATCTGGCTCAACTGCTACATGCATGATCACCTGTTAGTATCCATAGATTCTCGTAGCGATCCAGCTTATGTCCCCCTCCAGTGTCAGTCTAGGCACTGGCAAGCCTCTGCTTCTTAACGACGAGTCATATGTCCGACACGCCAGGCTATTACTGTAAGCATGCGGCAGCTTGACTTTGGGGTACAGAGCTGAAAGAGCACAGTGACCATCCCATGGCATCCGAAACTGATATTCGTCTGATCGCAGGAGTCGAATTGGTCAATCTGCGAGGTGAGTCAAGTTGCCTGATTATACTGACACCGATCTCGCAGTCCGAGTATGGGACCATTTACGACCTCTGCATGGCAAAGTCGATCACAAGACCATCTCATTCGTCAAACGCATGTTCGCAGACATGCAGGGATGGTACGATGAGTGGAACACAATCCAGCGTCAGAAAGTCGACGCGGATAGCGTCTTGGTCAAGTTGCTCGAAGCCGAATTGGTCTATGCTCAAATGTGGACTGTCTGTGTCGCCCTCAGTGGCACACAGTGGGATAAGGTACGTCGGTCGAGGATTGAGCGTTTAGACTTGCGCAGCTGACGATGCTGCTCCCAGCTGCCGAGTGATCAGAGAGAACTTGCTTTCCAGGCCAAAGACGCTGCTGTAAGACTTATGGAGATATTCCTTCGATCGGGAAACTTCAGGGCGCATCTGAAGTGTGGGTGATTCCCAAGGAGAATCCGCTGCTGATCAGTCGACAGATGCTACACATGATCAACTCGTATCCGTCGCCTTTGCGGCTGTTTTCCTGCTTAAGATGTAAGCACTTGACGAGCTGGCGTTGTTCCGTGCTGACATTCTCTCAGCGCCATCCTCTATCCGTCTGCGATGCCCCTGCCCAACCTTATCTCTCAAGTGTCGGAGCTCGCACACTTGCTTTCGGCCGAATGCTTTGCTGAACGGTACGCTCTCACTCTTCGTCTCATGCTTGCCAATTTCCGACGCAAAACCGGAGCCTTGTCGACTGTGCCCGGCACGCCCCGACACACGAATTTCTCGTCCGACTCAGCTCAAGACCAGACGTCCATGTCGACCAATGTCAACGCGGGTATGAGCGCCATGGACATAGATGGTGGATTACAAAGCCTGCTCAGTCTGCCTCAGATGGGTAATGGCGAATATAATGATGCTGGAGCTATAGATTGGAGTTTTGGCGCATTGGACGGGTTTGCTCCACCTGACGAGTTCAGTCCAAGCAACCTACCTGTCTGGCTACAGGATGGTGTGAGTGGTTGAGAGGGGGCCGCTGAAGGTGCAAGAGTTCTGTCTGACCTTGATTTGTGCGCAGAACTTTACAGATCTTGGACTGCCACAAGACGGTTCGGACTCGTTATTCTTGCCTCCTGAGTGAGTCCCATCAAGCGTGGGCGGTTGGACATCTCAGGCCTCCCTCGCTGATGCTATTTCTTCACACTTAGACTCGCCAGCATGTTCTTGCCTTCTGGCTCATCCCTTTGGGTCAATAATCAATTTGCTTTGCCAGACTCTGGGGATGTAGATGCCGAGGCTTGGTAGACCACACCCACGCGCCCACGCCCACTTATGCATAGATTTTATGTATCTGAATTGCCTCCCCCTCGCCATCGACGTAATGGAGTTGCGCAATCCTGTAAAATGACGTCACCCTCAAACTGAAGCGGCTAATCAAATCAAAGTATGTATATAGCCCATTTTCCAGGACGCCCCTTTCTCTCTTCTCTTCTTCTCACCTCGACCGAGCTACATTCTTCTCATAACACAACAACCCAACCCAACACTCATCCACACACAACATGTCTTCCAGCAACGAACCCTCGAAGCTCAACGGACAGGTTGGTTTCATTTCACCTACACGTCGCCCCCAATCTTCTCGCCGCCGCCGGGCAGGCGCGTTCGTCATCGTTTTAGAGCCATAGCTGACGGTTGTTATTCCGCGTTCTGACTCGATTCCCATCCCTATCGTCTCTCTTCTCTTGCAATGAATCTCGACTTGAACCCTCATCTCTGGGCTGATCCTGACTTCCCGGTCGGTTCAAATTTCAACCTTTCATCATTCCAACCCATCACCGACTTGTATGCGCATCCCTTTGGCCGGCCTCCTCTTGGCATCATCAGGTCAACTCGATCGTCGGATCTGCCAAGGAACTCGTCGGATCTGCCATTGAGGCCGGATACCAAGCCGTCGGAGGATCCAGCGAGCCTTCTTCCTTCACCACCTCTGGAAAGGAACAGCACGCCAAGGGTGAGGCTGAGATCAAGGCTGCTGAAGCCAAGGGATACGCCGAGGGGTGAGTCATGAGTCGCTATGTGCATCGCATCCCATCGCTGATTGCCATAAATACAGTGTCGGTGACCGACTCGAGGGAAAGAAGGACTCGATCGTCGGAGCTATCACTGGTGACAAGGCTCAACAGACCAAGGGAAACCTTCAAAACGAAGCTGGACACGCCAAGATGTCCGCCAACGACCGTGAGTGAGAAGAGACTGCCTTCTGAGAATTGAGAGTTGACACGTAAACCCCAGCCACCTCATAAGCGACTCGGGAAAACCCAGCCCTTACGTGCAAGTCTTTACGAGAAGACTGATGAGCGTCGTTCCCTTCATAGCGAGATTATAGTTTCTTATGCAAAAAGCGTTTGAACGACCTTGACCGGACAAGTCTGCGTTACGAAGGATGGTACCTCAAATTTTCTCGCAGCTTTTTTCGCTTATTGGTCTAGTCCCAACCTGCTGCTTCATGAGGTATCCTGGTGCACAGCAGCAACCACCCGTGTCTGCGCGATACAGGTATGCAAGTTATCTATATTGAAAACAGTAAAGGTCGACAAAGTGGGAAACCACTATAAATCTAGAGACGTAATGGGCTCAACGAGCTTCTGACTGAAAGGTATGTGTGATGTTTCCTCTCCATTCGTTTCAGTTCTTCTTCTTTTGATAGTCAAACTTTTCGTGCAGCTCCTCGAGCTTTAATCGCTCGTCATCCCTCATGTCAATCTCATCTCTATCCGCCAAGATCTCGTAGATGGTCCATTCGTGATGATCGGGATGTTCGGGATGGCTGGGGTGAGATGGGTCGCCAGACAATGACGATGTTTTCTCGTTGACTTGTCCGGACTGGGTTTTAGGTTCATTGGATACCGAAGCTTCTCCTCCTCCGGTTGCAGTCTCAGCAGACGATCCACTGGATTCCGCATTGGCCTCCTCGTCCTGTTTGTTTTGCTGTGCTCTGGCAGCCATCATCGCTGCCATTTGCCTTTCGGCATCTGCGGAGTATTTGCAGTTTGCACGAATCTTGGCTCCATACTTGTAAAAGACGGCAATGAAAGGGATAAGAGCGAGGGCAAAGAAGCCAGGAAGAGCAGCGGCCCAATGGACACCAAGGGCTTTGTACCTGAGGAGAAAAAGGGACTTCAGTCGGGCATTCGGCGAGGTGAAATTGAGGGTAGACACTCACATGTATGAGGTGAACAGAGGAAAGGCGGCTCCAAAGAGTGATCGAAGGACAGAATTGGCAGCGAGCACACTGGCCGCGTAAATTAAGTAAGACTCGACAAGGTAATTGAGGACAGCAAGGAACATGACAATGACTCCTGTTCCGAATGGAATTCCAAACATGATAGGTGCGATCCAATGAATGTTAGGTGAATCAGTCGCGGCGAAACCTGCAATGCCGATGACGATGAGGACGCCTCCCCAGATTGCTGGTGGCAGTCGATCCTCAGGGTCGGCACGACCACCTTTAGCTTTGGCGACTTTGAGGTATTGCGGGTTGATGTAAAAGATGGAGAGAAGGACAGAGATAATGGTTCCGACGAGGATACCCAAGAATGCGAGACCTCCGATACCAGTATTCCAGCCTCGACCTTCTTGGAAGACGATCGGGTAGGCGGCAAAGTTGAGGTAGAGAATGCCGTAGACGAGAGCGGTATAGATGGTGAGAATCATGACGATGGGCTGGGGAAAAGCGTGTCAATGGATGATTGAAGTGCGGAAGACATGGTAACTCACTTCGTAGATCAAGAACTTCCAAGGCCTGAGTAGCGCTCCCTTGAACAAGGTCTTGATGACCAAGGGTTGCTTCGCATCTGCACGGTATCGATATTGCTTTCCAGTGGCCTTGGACAACGTGTCCGCTCTGTTGCGAAGCAGGAAAGGCGCGTATGTCTCTGCTGACAACACGATCAAGACCAATGTGAGAACTCCGGTGAAAATGGCAAGGAATCCCATCACCCATCTCCAGCCGGAAGTCAGTCCGAGAAAGCCTCCCGTGATGGGTCCGAGGGAGGGTCCAAGGAATGGCGCAGCGGCAAACATGGCCATGCCGAGGCCTCGTTGATTGGCATCGAGGACATCAGAAATGGTGCCTCCGGCGTTGGCAAGAGGCGAGGATCCAAAGAACCCAGCGAGGAAACGGAATACAATGACGGCCGCGATATTGGGAGAAGCTGGCGTGACGGCTTGCCAGACAGTCATGAGACCGAGGGAGATAATAAAGACGATTCGACGGCCAAATACTTCTGACATGGGTGCCCACATTCTGCAAACACGGAATGAGTTAAATCATAGCCCTCGGTACAGGTTGAGATCACCACTCACAAAGGCCCAAAAGCAAATCCGACGACGAACAGAGAGACACCGGCGATGAGTAGCTCATCACTGGCATGAAACTGCCGTATGAGATCAGGAATACCACCAGTGTACGCTGAACTTGACAAAGCGACGGCCAGCGTCGCGATAGCCGCTACACCGATATTGAACCACTTGTAGGATTGAGACCAACGCTGTGGGTCTTCAGGATCATTCGGTAACCAATCGATAATGTATGGATCTTCATCCGTACCAGAGCCAGGGTACTTGTGATTCAGAATGTTTTCGAAAGGTGTCACGTAGCGTCTCCACGGTCTCTTCTTGATCGTGTACGAGTCGACGGGTTCAGATGTAGATGGAGGGTATTTGGAGGGCATGGCGGTGGGAGCAGCCCGTTGTGGCTCATGTAGGGTGGGAGTGGAGGTGGAGTGGTTGGACTGGGGGGGGATTAGCGGGTCAATAAGAGTCACAAATGCAAGTTATCATCGCTCATGATGACTCACCTCAGATCTGGACATGGTGAGGGGGTGGGGGGGAGAGGGGCGGATGGTGTTCACACGATGAACAAGATCTGCACGAGATGGGATGATGCTCCCAGCCAAGGACGAGGCCTGGCGGGAGAGGAGTAATAATCGGCCGTATCGAGCGGATAACCCGGACGATTTAGTTTTAGTTCTGCCACAAAAATGATGTGGAGGCGTGTGCCACTCTCTGGACAGCTGAATGGATCGATCTCTAAAGGACTCGAAAGGTGTCTTTGCAGGTCGACGATGTTGGTGTGAAAGTGAACAGAGCGGAAGAGAGAGAGAGAGAGCGACAGGAAGACCGGGGGGTCACTTCATATAGTTGCTCTGTCGAGCCTCAAAATTCTCTTTTGATGTGCATTGGCTCACAGTGCTGACGATGCGATGATGACAAGATTATTTCTCACAATTGAAGACGCGCGTGGCACTTTTTTCTCTTCTTCTTCTCTTCAAATAACCGGGTTATGCGAACCAGCACCAGAACTGAGGATATCCTCGGGGTGTCGCCCGAAGGCACGTGCTACTTTGGCTACTATGGCTTCCATGGCTGCTGCTGCTCGACTGCTGCTGCACGCTTATATGATGCATAATCAATCATATATGGCCCGGATTCCGATAACAATCTCTCCCCCATTTATTTACAAAGCGAGGCACGAGTCACGAACGAAGCCGGTTCTCGGCTATCAAAAGGTCGGCGAGCTCACATCAAAATGGAGGGGGGAATGAGGTTGACATTGTACCGCTTGGTAGTATCATCATCATGATGATGTCCGTAGTTCACGACTCGGCGTTCGACTGGAAATCTCCTTATCGGCCTCTTGGAATTTCGAGATCTGCCCCCCAGCTTCACCTCTCCATCATACCTAGATCCAAAAATCCCTGTCAGTCCAAGAATATGGCACCGGATGAGTCATCACATCATCAAGTTTGCACTGAGCAGACCATTGAATGCAATGCATATGTGGTGGAGGAATAGGACGAGAGACACACAACAGAGATATATGAAAGACTGAAGGACCGATGTATTGAGAGACCAGATGCTATGAATACATTTTGAGGAGGAAAAGAGAGAAAGAGAGAGAGAGAGAGATGATGATCGAGACCGGAGTCACAGTTGAAAAGAGCCACGAGTCAACGATGCGGAAAGCATCATGACTCAAAATTGAAACTATCTTTCAAGTCGTGCCGATGGCCGAGGTTGAATCGTGCGTTGCGTGTGATGTGCCTGCTGGACTCAGGACGAAGCCCAATTTGGCGAGACATTTCGCCAGATCGGCCTTGGAAATGGGTTTGGATAAGATAGCAGAGAACAATGTTCCTTCTTCAGAGATACTTTGATGTTCCTCATAAGAAGTGCAAGCAATGACTGGGGCGAAACCATTAATCAGCAACCAAATCTCTGAGAGACGGATAGTGAGCACACTCACTCGGCGTGTTTTGATTTTGATTGGCCGTCGAGCGGATCATTCTGGCGACTTGTTCACCAGTCACCAGTGGCATGTGAATATCCACGATGATCAGATCGAAGTCTGCTCTCCAGATCAGCAAAGGCATCCCCAATAGCGCCTGGTGTAGACTCACGGATACTGCCCATGGTCGCCGCCAAAGCCTGCGGACCATCCTCGACGCATATACAACGACAACCCATCCGCACGAGCAGAGTTTCCAGAATCTGTCGACGGCGTCAGCCCACGGCATTCGCTCATGACGAGATCCATTTCGCTCACCTTTTGGGAGATTGGATTATCCTCTGCAATCAACACATCCAGCGTTCTCTCGCCAACACTCGACGCGTGAGATTCTGGACTCTCCAGAGGAGGCAGAGGTGCAGAGATAGGTTGCTCGGGGTTCAGAGACGATTGTCGCCTCTGTCTCCAGAGCTCCATACTGGCACTTCTGTCGCTCACACTTGATCCGGATCCCGTCCGGACACGATTGGGCGTCGCAGAACGGCGGAACAAATCTGCATCTTCTGATGACTTGACCCTGTCCAGCGCGTTCAATTCCGATGGTCGACGGAAATGCTGAGGCATGACGGGGAGAGAACCTGGCGTCGAAGGTGCTCTCGACGGAGTTGAAGCAGCTGAAGACGTTGACGTGGAGGGAGACGGTGGTCCACCCGATGTGATGGCGTTGTCGGATGGTTTCCTTGCACTTCTCTCCATGACTCGAGAAGACATGGATCGAGGCCGTCGGACAGGCATAGCGCCCACGCCCTCCAAAGCTTGAGTCATGGGTGTCATGGAATCTGAACGAAGCTTCCGGATCACATCATCATTGGCCTGCTTGAGCACCTCGACATTCTTGTAGTCGAATGGTCCCCACTTGTCTGCTTGAGCTTGGATATCCTGGATCACCTCGGTCATCTCTTTGGTGGCGACGTTAGCGACGGCCGGATTGGCATGGGTCATTTGGCGTCGAGTCCCGTCTGACAGCTTGTGAAGCTGAGGCGCATCGTCATCTTGCAGTGCATGGACAGCTCCACGGGCATCGAAATAATCTGTCGACTCAGGATCTGTCACTGTCGGCACAAAGCTCGGTTCGGCTGTAGAGATGGTATCCCAATCAATCCCTTCAAAGAACGGATGTTTCTTGACTTCTTCCGCACCATTGGCCCCCAATCGTCGTGTAGGATCGTAGCACATGAGCCTGTCCATTAGGTCTCTAGCCTCGGGTGAAATCTCCATTTCGTCTTCGTGCCATTCGATACGTCTCGAAACGATGTTGTCAAAGACACGTTCAGGCGTGTCGGCGTGGAACGGTGGAATACCGTAGAGGAACTCGTACAGCACAACACCGAGAGCCCACCAGTCCACAGCCTGCTCGTCTCCACCGATACCGAGAATGGTTTCCGGAGACAGGTAGTCGGGAGTCCCAACAAATCGAAAAGGATCACGAGCGGAAGGTGGAGTCGTGGCTGTAGTGACGGACGTGGTGCGCAAGTGTTTCGGAATGATACCAGCAGATTCGGATCCACTTCCACTAGAATCGTCCGCAGAGATGACTTCTGAGCCGGTGTTAAAATACGATTGGCTGATATTGGAGATGGGAGGAGCAGGCATGAGTTCAGGCGACATGAACGGTGAGTCGGTGGACGAGGACGAATCGTGTCGCGAGAAACGCCTCGCCGACTCTCGTTTCGAACCGTGAAGCGCCGTACCACGTAGATAACCTTGGCGCATTCCCCCGACCTGTCGGTTCAGGAGACCAATCCGTGATAAACCAAAGTCTGTCAATTTCAAGTGACCGCGAGAGTCAATCAACAGATTATCAGGTTTGATATCACTGGGGGTGTGTGTGAGCTACTACTGCCACACTTTCGTGCTCACCGATGGACAATGTTTCTCGTATGAAGGTAATCCAATCCAAGCACAACCTCTGCAATGTAATTCCTCGCCCAGTCCTCAGACAAACCCCCAAGAGTTTTGATCAAGGTCGCGCAATCTCCTCCGTTCAGATACTCCATGACCAAGTAGAGATACTCTTTGCTCTGGAAAGAGAAGAACAATTTGACGACGTAGGGTGAGCTCGCCTGGTTCATCAAGATCGTGCGCTCAGCCTTCACATTCGTGATCTGATTCTTTGCAATCATGTCTGACTTCTTCAACGCCTTGATGGCAAAGTAATCTCCCGTAGCGACCTTTTTGGCAAGGTAGACTGATCCAAAGGCACCGCGTGAGATGGGCTTGATGATCTCGAAATCTTTGATAGAAGGCTGAGATCGGGTAGGCAGAGCAGCAGAAGGTATACGAGGGGACAGCGGGGGATCTCGGATCAATCTCGAGCTTGATTGCCTTCTCATGCCTTTACGTTCAGGAGGTACTGCTAGAGGTGAAGATGCTTTCGGCAGAGCCTTCTGAGGCGGGTCGGGGGTCAAAGTTCGCGGAATGACATCGGTAGCGGGTAACGGCGCACTGGGCGGGGGACTTGGCACCTTTGACGGTGGAGAAATAGGGTACACTGGGGTCGAGGGGAGCGTTGATGGGCCGCCGCCGCTAGTCTCACCATGGGACGTTGAAGGTCGTTGAGGATGACCTTGCGTGATGGGTAGTCTGGCTTGAGGGACGATCTTTCGAGGAGCGGGAGGTGAAGTCTCGGGCCCTTCAGCATGTTCACTCTTGATGTCGACGGGACTGAGCGGTGCGCCACTCTGCTCAGGCTCGGATCCTCCAGAGTCTGAATGGGACGAGTCGTCACTTGGCGGAGTGAACATTTGGTTGACCTTGTCTTCCCACTCGTGGCGCGTCTTTTCCGAATATCGAATCGTATTCTGCATCCTCGCCACTGCCTTTTGCTTTCGTCGAAGCTGATCTTCCACCTGAGTGAGTAAAAGTTGCAGAGCTCGATCACTGGTGTGAGGCTTCTGCCAACGAGTGATGCGCACTAATTTCTCTTCGGACGCTTGAGAAAGGTACCGCTGTAGATTGAACGGCATGTCCGCTTCGTCTTCCTGGACCGAAGGGACTTCGATCTCTTGAGCGATGGCAAGAATTTCCGCGACACTAGCCAGGCAGGCCACATCGACCTTTCTGACCTCGATTCCGTGCGTTCCGACAAGTCCAGCGCCTTCGTGCTCGGTCGTGATAGTTTCCGGAAAGTTGTAGAAGACAACGCCAGGTGCTTGATCAGGCGTCGTGGGAATAGCGTCCAATTCCTCCTTGAGATCAGAGACCGTCTGTTGGAGTTCTCGGAGCGCCTCGTTTCGCTTGTAGATGTCCGCTTCCAGTCGATGTACAGCATCGCAGGTCTCATTGTGCTTTTCAAAGAACCAAGTGACAATCTCCCTTTCACAGATCCGACATAAGATGGCTTCGGTCAAGAACTGACCTTCTTTCGGGAAGGCAGCCTCCGCGATGTTGTCCACATGAGCCTGTTGCGCAGGTACGGGTCGCAAGACCCACATAGTATGTGACGGGCCATCATGCTCACGCATCAGCATACCGACACCTTCCAACTCGACATAAACTGGTCCAGGTTGTTGTGGCGGATGGAGGTTCTTTTCAAGTTCGAACACTTCGAATCGGAAACGAAGTTGGACCGTATTGTTGTCGTCCTCTAGCAAAGTCTGCGTAGCATCCGCGAACATGGCAGCGTCTGCTGGAGCCAGCAGCTCGTTGATGGGGCACCCAATGACATCATCCGGATCTCGCCTGAGAATGTAAGCCGATTTCGCTTCTGTCCACGACTCACCCAGTGACTTCCAGGATCGCATCGTTGACATACAAGATCTCCTCGCCTTGCAAACCCAGCTCCATGACGATATTGACGCTCTTGGCGTGTTCAGCCATGAACTTGAGATCTTCCGCAGGCAAGGGCTTGGGGGCTTCGACAAATTGCCTGGCTGTGCCTCCCGGGCCCGAAGATTCAGGAGTCTGAACCTCGACGCTGACGGCAGAGGCCGGTGCTTCCGGGACTTGAAGATACGATACTGCTGGTGAACTTCTCGGATCCGTCACGGCGGCAGCGAACTCAGTATCGAAATGTGATTCCTCCTTGGTATTCGGCTTGACAACGAATAGGATTGGTTCATCTCCAGCTTCATCGTCAAAGTTCCAAAAGCCCTTCTCAGCCTCCCACCAGTCCAGGACTCGGTTAAGATTCGCGACTGCCATGAGAATGTCGACATACCATTCACGTCCTGGCCAGTCTTGATGATCATCCCATCGGGAGCCGACGACCTGGAGTTTTGCAATAATCTCAGACGTCGCCGTCGGTCGCATGATCAACGTATTGACAGTCATATCCATCACATCCTGGGCGAAAACGATGAGATCCTGCAGAGCGTTGACAAAGAGTTTGCTGCGTTGAACTTCATCCTCTGATCGACCCACGAGGACACCTCGAGTAGACGTTGGCATGGGTGAGTGAGATCGGGAGGTGGATCGTGATGACGAAGCGGAGACGGAGCGATCCATCGAGAGGGAGAGATTCCGTGATAGCCTCTGGGTAGCGTGAACGCCCCGTGGAGCAGCACTCGGTCTTCGTCGCACTCGACTTGGACTCGCCGGGAGCATGGCCGTGAGCTTTTGAGGACTGGGATATTTGCCACCAGAGATGGACGGTCGTCGACTGTGCGGTGCGGAAGACGAGGCTACGTGAAACAATCAGTAAGACATCGGGAGGCTTTGTGTGATGCTTGCACATACCTCCCCGGGATCTCGACTTGCGATCCTCATGGCCTTCGCCCAGTTCCACCTCGCTCTCCTCCGCGTCAACCAACGGCGACTCGCTCATGGCCTCGAAATAATCCCTTGGCTGATCCTCCATGGCCAGTCTGAGCGCTTCAGCCTGTTCCTTGGTCCTCTGCTCATCCACGAATTTCGTGATGACGTCAATGGTCTTCTTCAAAGTTCCATCACAGGCGACCTTGGCAGCTTCTAGACGTCTTTTGATATGTCTCCGGACGTTGGCAACGGTGATCTCGGCACCAGGAGCGACTGGCCGATCCTCTTTGAGGATCGCAGGTGAGTTACTCTCTGTACTGATGGCGAAAAGCGGTGATGGAGTCTCGTCCCATCTCGGTGCACCAGGGGTCAATCCGCCGTGCATGTAAATGTTGCCTGTGGAGGAATGCGAGCTTGAGACGGCCGTCGTGCTAGACCGGTGGGCCATCGGAGAAGGATCAGAGGGGAGTGACATGGTGACAGGGGCGGTCCTGCCAAACATATTCGGCTCAAGGTCCAAGCGTAGATTAGGTCCACCCTTTCGTCTGACCTCTAGACTGCTCGTTGCTCGGCTGGGGAATTGAGATGGCTCTTCAGGCACGACGGAAGGTTTTCGACCCGTCATACTCATCGATGGACGTGTATCACGGAGCGAATCACTGGAAGCACGGCGATAAAAGTCGGAGAGATCACCAGACGTCGAAGTGACTATATTCGCAGCCTCCTGAAGATGTGCAGCATCGAATTTACCACTCGCCGTTCGGAGTTCGGCGTGGGAGACAACACCACGGAGAGACTGAGAAGACTGACGACGTTGATTCACCGGCTGTGGTGCCAGTAAAGCGGGCGGGGGCGGAATACGGGGCATCGGAGCTGACGTTCGAGCTATGGGACTGACCTCATTGACTCGTCGGCCAGCAGGGGCAGATGCGAGTCTCGAGTGAGGTGATGTAGGACCGGATGTCGTCTGACCCATTCCTGAAGACTCGGCTCCAAAATTGGATTTCACAGCGTTCCACCAGCCCTCCATCTTGTTGACTAGATTCTTCTTGCGCTTTGCACTAGTCGTCGAGTCGGCGTTGGACCGTGCAGATGAGGCAGACACCTGTCGATTTCGCTCAAATGCACTCGCCTTTTTCTGCAAAGGCGATTTCGTTGGATCTATCGCAGACATGCTAGACCGGATGGACATGCTTCGTTTACGCATCGACCCACTGGGAACGCCAAATTCCTCCCTAGAGGTGGTCGGACTGAGCGCCAACGCACTGTTGGACTCTGCAGCCGCCTTTTTGGACGAGCTCTGAGGGTAGCCGTGATCCCCTTGAGCATCTTCAGCGGTGGTTGGACTTGTACTAGAAGAAGCCTGAATAGAAGTTGACCCCTCTTCCGACAATTCGCCAATGGGAGGAATTTTTGAGCGGGCTGCTTCTGCCTCTGCTCTGATTTTTTCCTCTTTGTACCTCTTGTAGCAGTCGTACCAGTCGACCCATTCGATCCCGCCGACCGTCCCACTCGCACTGGCCTGTCGATTCATCTCAAAGCCACCAGTGGTGACAGGGATCTCGAAGCTTGCAGGTTCAGGAAATTGGGCAGTCGTGATTGTCTTGGGACTAGGACCATCCGGTTCAGAAGTGACTCGGTTGAGCGGAATGACCAGTGAAGGGGAAGGAAAAGGTGGGAGGTCTTCACCTGGCGATGAGGCGGTGGTCGGAGGCTGCTTGGGCGGTGCCAGAGTCCATTTCGTCCGAGTCTCCGATGAGATACCCGTGGATGATTGGCCGAATGTCGGAGGTGGCACACTTTGACCATTCTGACTACCCGCGCTTCCCGGTCTCCACTTTTGCAACTTGGCTTGACGGCTCTGCAAGATCATATTGGCATGACTCGCGGCATCTCCTGGAATCCCAGCCAGATCCATCTGCAAACCTTTGCTAGAGACTGCTTTTTGACGCATGGCGGGATGCATGTCTGGTGTGACACTGCCGGAAGCGGTTGCACCAGATTGAGCGAGCATGGCAGTCACTGGAGGCATATTGAAGCCTAGACCCATCGCGGTCCTCAAGTCGGGCGAGGTGGACGAGGCTGATTCAGCCTCAGATGCTGGGGACCACTGGGATGACGAGTCGCTCATTAGGGACGTCCCTGGTCTGAATTGGTGTTCGTGCATGGAAGTTCTGTACCTATGTGCTCGGGAGCCAAACGGTTCACCTAGACCTGACGCATCGGCAGGGAGCGATGGCCGTGCGCGCATAGGGATGGAAGGGGTAACTTGGGTCGCTCGGTACGACGAAGGGGGTGCCAAAGATGGAGCCGATGGATTCTTGCCTATTGACCCGTCTGCCGAGGCGATCGAGGCAGTCGGTGAAATGCCCCTGTCCATGATAGCAGAGCTTCGAGGTGTCGCGGGGACAGTGAGACTAGGTCGGGAAACAGGAACATCGAAACCTGAGGCGGACTGTCGAGAACCCGCCGACATGGGCATGGAAGGGGAGTGACCTAATGAACGAAGCGCAGGAGGCGGCATGCTACCGCCATCTCTGGGTAGTGATCCTGCTGGACTCGGAATTGGCGTGGGCACCGATGTGGATGTCGCAGTTGAGCTTGATGGGGAGGATTGTTGCCCAGATGAGGTGCTCTTTATCAGGTCCGCCGCCATACGCACGCTTGTAGGAACGCGATTGAGACGGATGGCTCCACCGGCCGAAGATTGAGATGTCGTCGAGGTCATGTCACTGGCGTGGGAATGGGGAAGGTGGTAAGGGTGATGATTATCAGAGCTGGACATCCAAGGGGATGGTAAAGGATTCAGAGGTGAGATCATAGAGGCGGAAGTCGAGAGTGATGAGACGTGCCCTTGACGACCGATACCAGGTGGATGCTTTCGCCCTTCACTGGAAGGATTCAAGAATTCGCTCGGGCGACGGGCTCTAGGCGGGCTATACCACATGACGAGGTTTTGTGAAAGGAAAATCGAACAAGACGCAACGAACTTCGTCAGCATTGGTTCGGCGAGCTCGAAGGACTATTCTCTCACCTCTGTGGGTAACTACCCAGCGGATCCGCCTTGCTGATTTTTGGACTCGGTGGACCGCTGATATCCTTTGCCTTTCCTTTGTCCTTGTAGCTGGAGGATCCGGAAGATCCAGTCTCCCAACTAGTGCCCCAGCCGAGTCCGAGAACATTACTCGTCGTGTCCTTTGAGCTGCGAGACGGGGAGTGATTGGATCCAACAGATCGTCGACGTACTGAATCCAAGCGACTTGCAGTGGCGTCGTTAGGAGCGGCGATGGGTAAGGGGGAGGTTGACAACGAGCTCGAGCCAGGAACGCCGAGGCTGCTCGATCCACTAGCAGTGCTGCTCCGACGACGAGAAGATCCCGGTGGAGACGTCGGTGAGCCTGTCGTCTCTGAAACTCGCGATCCTTGAACAGGCGATACCCTTTTCGTAGAGAGCGGAGAGACCGTCCTGGTTGCGGTATTTATGCTCGGAACCGGTGCGCTACTACCTGCATATCCAAGCGATGCACCCCTCTGGCCTTTGGACAGCATGGAACTTGGTGTGATCGCCTGGAAGGGCTTGGGAGCAGAAGAAGAAGAAGAGGCTGTCTGAGGAGGTGTCGTTCGCCGAGTCGAAGCTGGACTGAGGGGCCGACGAGGACTGGTCGTACGCGGACGTAGGACGAGATCACCAGCTTTTCTTGGAGTCTTGCTACCACCACTATGTGTGGGAGAATCCGGAAGAGCGAGTCGATCCTGATCATTTTCTTCATCGGAATGAGATGACGATGACGAAGTGTCAGAGTGTGAAGGCACAGTGATTGCCTGTGCGAGGGGCGATGGGAAAGATGGCGTTGCTGCAAAGGGCGCAGTATGTTTCCTCGCTATGGATGGTGTGAAAGGTTGAGGGACGGGTGAGACGAGATTTGGGAGAGAGTTAGGGATTTGAAGGGATGATATGGACTGTTGCTGCGCCTTATCGGCCGACGACGAGGTGTGCGTAGTTGCATGATGAGGTGCCGATCGCGTCTCTCTTGCTGTTGAGGATGGGAGCTGTGGAGAAGGTGATCTCGAGCCTCGCGTTTCGCCCCCTCTCTCTTCGTCCAAGTAAAATATCCCCTCCGACATTTCTCCTCGTGACGAAGGACGGATGACGGTCGTGAGAGGTGGCTACTTCTCACGTCCGTCTGATCCTGTGCACTCGATGTCTGTTAAGCGCAGTTGCTAGACGAGTCTGCTGTAATATGGTCAGCACTTTGCGCCTCGCCGTTGTTTGTCTAATAAAACTGAACATGATCAAGGTCGCTAGTCTCTCATAGGAGAGACATGTCACATTTACAGGCACGACATGGTGAGAGTCGAGGGACAAGGAGACTCATTCGCTCATGTTCACTCACTCACTCACTCACTCACTCGCTGCTGCTCAGCAGCTCCAAAGGCACCTGGCCTTTGTATGAGCTGCTGCGCTCTACCACATGGAGGCGGGAGTTGGGCGTCGGGCGAGTGGTCGTGCCGAGAAAGAGAGAGTGGAGGAGGGATGATTGATCGAGATCGATAGAATGGGATGATGTTTGCTGTCGCTGTATTCGCGACGCGAGCGTATGAGAAACAAAGACCAGTAGCTCTGCCCGCTCAACGTTGCTGTTCCAACCTGTTGCGTCCTTCAGACCCGTCGCCTCCCAAAAAGCTTTGGTGTGAACCCGTCCGAATCGCACTACGCCGAGTGAGAGGAGGGAGGATTTTTCCTCCCAAAAAGGGACAAAGTGGGAAAGCCAGGACCAGCTTTGGGCGGGTCGGATATACTCGAATGGAAATCCTTACGCTCTGCGGGCGAGCGGAATCGTCAGAGAGGATGTTCTGGACGGTCACAGGTAGGATCCCAACGTCGTAGGATGGATAGGTTGCCGTGCTTCACGCTACTCTGTGAGCTATCCATATCATCCCACACACCCGCCCAATTTTAACTCCTGGCTTCTAACTGGAGTCGAGGTTTACTATTCTCATTAGAAATCTCTGGTTCAGTTTTCCTAATAATCCCCCCTTGGGTGGAGGTTTCCGCTTCGGGTGCTTTTTGGTGTGTGCGGCTGTTGCTCATTACGTAAAAAGAATGATTTAATTAAAGCTCGCTCAAGCTCAGGTCCAGGCCCCAAGCTTCACGCAAGATCATAGCTAGTGCTGCAGCTGTCAAGGTGAAGGATTGCAGCAATGTGCTGAGTGGCAGGTTATGCGAGGCTGATGCTCGACATGCAGCGATACTATGACTCCTATGGCAGCAGCGGATGAGCTCTGGGCCAAGCTGCTACAGGACGCTGAGGCGCTCGCCAAGGAGCACATGTCAGGGTAAGGCATGAGGCGCCGCACGAATAGGAAGACTTTGAGCTGACAACAGCGGCAGATATGACCCTTCTCATGACTGGGCACATGGTGTGCACACAGCCTTGTGCTTGGAGCATCAGACTGACTCTCCGACACAGTGCAAAGAGTACGTCAATGGGCAATGCACTTGGCGACGACCGTTGAGGGACCTATTGATCGCCACGTCGTCGAGCTCTGCGCGTTGTTTCATGATGTCTGCGATGGTGAGTCATTACCCATGTCTGTAGGCTGATACTCGCTTCGCCTTCCCCTTCCAGCCAAATATTCTGACACGCCTCTCCCTTCCATCCTTGGTCCCTTCTTTGACGCTCACCCAGGTGTCATGTCTGAGTCTCAGCTGGATCTGATATATCGTGTCATTCCTTCAGTCTCATGGTCGACCGAAGTCAAATTACGCGCATCACATCAGTGGACAGAATGGCATGATCAATCTCGCGAGCTCGCAGTGGTCCAAGATGCAGATCGTTTAGATGCTGTCGGCGCAGTGGGAGTCATGCGATGCGCCGCCTATAGCTCGAGCAAGAACGTCTTGCTCCTGGATCCAAAGGAGTCAATGAAAGTACATGCGAACGGTTCAAAGCCTGTACCAACTGCACAGGCTCATTTTCACGAGAAGCTGCTCCACATCAAAGACAGGATGAAGGTGAGTGAAGCCTCGATGCAGGGCGCGGCGCAAGGCGACAGACTCTCACCTAACGGGCTGCAGACTCGAGCAGGTCGAATCGAAGCGGAAAAACGTCATCAAACGGTGAGTCTGGCCACGGCTCCAAGCGAGTCAAATGCTCATTGCGTGCCATCTGCCAGATGCTAGACTTTTTAGATGCGTTGAGTAGAGAGCAAGATACTACACGCTCCGAGTAGAATTCACTGTCCTCTTCAGAGCTACGTATAGAGCAAGCCGCCGTTGAGTCCGATCGAGGCGGAAGAGCTTTGGGTCGGATCGAGTCCATGGCACAGTATATGTATGTATAATTGTCCCGTCGCCACGCACATGTCAATGACCTCACACCCTCTCACCTGACGACGACGATCCGCGTGTCCCAAAAATAAAACACTACATACTGTCTCGAGAGGTTTGTCCTGTCTCGCTTTCTTCCCAATTATCTGTCAACAGCGCATATCGCACCCACTTTTAGGAGGAGTCTGTCACCCATCTCTCGCCTTTGGCAGAGAAGTCACTCATCGCGATATGGAGTACAAAGACATATGAACACGGGGATCAGCTGCGTGAGCAGTCCGAACACCAGCAACCACCTCAACCCAAAACAACTCAACACCCACTCGTTATACCTCTCAGTGCCTCATCATCTACAATGCCCCGCAGGATCACCTGGCAAGGCATCAATGAGCATCTAAACTTCTTCCGATACCATGTCATCCTCTTCACCTTTGTGCCCATCGTTGCGGCATGTATTTTTTACGCTGCCAATGGGACAGCAACTGGAAACGCCAACAGTCCCGATGTTGGGATTCAAAAGGTCCTCTTCATTGACTCATTGTTCTTGTGCTATTCAGCTATGACAGTGACGGGTCTAGTGACTGTCAAGTGGGTCATGAATCCTGAACGCGCGAGGCTGATCTGACTTCCCCCTTCAGTCTCTCGGCCGTACATCCCTTTCAACAAGTCATCTTACTGGTCCTGTTCGTATGTGGTGATCTGACGTTTGTCTCCTACATCATGGTCTTGATACGCAAGCGATTTATACGCGTCCATTGTGAAGAAGCACTACGAAACACGAATTCGCTTAAACCATCCCGGACCGGGACACTACTAAGACGAGCATCCACTTTGCCAATCAGTGGCTTCAGATCCAACCTCAGGCATCGTTTCAAAGGTGGAAAGATCAACATCTCTGGACCGACAGATGGTCATGCCGTCAGTCGGGTTATTGAAGACAATCATCCCAGGACAATGACCCATCCGGAAGATTCACCCATGTCACCTCCACGCAGAGACTCTCGGCTAGCATCTTTCGCCTCTCAGCACGATCTTGGTGCGGCTCAACTGCCGACTATCGGTGAGAGTACTCAGGGCAGCTCGTCCGTGTCCGATGAGCGCAAGAGCTCCATCCAATCCCCCCCTCCGGAACAACAGGATGTACACCAGAACCATCACCCTGGGCACATCGCGTTTGATTCGCCATCCAATGCGCAGTATAGGGACAGGCAATTGTTAAGGGAACGCACCCGAACCATGACTATGGACCGAAGGCGATCCATGTCAATGGATCGTACAAGGACCACGACTATGGAGAGACACCCCACCATAACGCTTGATCGAGCGATGACCACCCGCCTAGATTCTCATAATCACATTCCTTTTGCAAGCCCTCAAAATCTAGGAAGGATGCCGAAGCCAATCCCATTACACATACCTCGAGGCGATCGCAACATGAACACGGGTTACGGTGGATTCTCGTACCCACCATACCTTCTGTCCTACTTGATACCCAAACGATTCCGGGACAAGATATGGCGGACAGTCTCAGGTCATCAGGAGAGAAATACGCTGCTAATGCATCCGACAATCGCACCGGAAGGGATCAGTCAAGGCGGACGTACGGTCGAGGTCAATCCGGTTGTCGAGGACAGCTTTGGTGCCATGGTCAGGGCAAAAGTTGCTCGATGGATGCCTGATGGCATGGAGCATTTGGTCATTGGTCGAAACAGTCGATTCTTCACGGAAGAGCTCGACAGGGACGCGATAGATCAGCTTGGGGGTGTTGAATATAGAGCGCTGCGGATGCTGTCGTACTTCTTACCTCTGGTGAGTGCTTAAATTCGCCAGATATATTGAACTCATCCATGCCATTAGTACATTATGCTGATCCAAATTATCCCGTTCGCCATCATCGCCATCTACCTCACTTCAGTCTCAGATTGGGATTATGTCTTTCAGATGCAGAAGGGCGCTCAAGACGTCACGGTGGATAAGACTTGGTTCTCGTTCTACTTGACGGCTTCAGCGTTCTCCGGTTGCGGCATGAGGTGAGTGTGGGCGACACCGAGCTTCCGCAGAACGAGCTCATATCTCGCTCAGTCTGTTGGATCAGAGTATGGTGCCTCTCAATCATACCTACTGTGTACTCTATTGCCTCTTGTTCGTGATCATCCTAGGCAATCATGCTCTACCCATGATGTTGCGATTGCTCGTATGGATAGCTTGCAAGATGACTCGAGAGGGAAGCGAGATGAATCAGACCTTGCACTTCTTGCTTGATCATCCGAGACGGTGAGCGAGGCTCTCATGGATGATGTACTTACCTGGTACAGGTGCTATTTGTACTTATTTCCAAGCCAGCAGACATGGTATCTCACTTTCGTTTTCGTAGCTTTCATGTGAGTTCGCACCAGAGCGTTATTATCTCTTGAGGAAAGACGTCTAATGCCTGAACCGGTTCAGGGGCGTCGAGATATTTGGATATCTTGTCCTGGATATTGGTCTCAGTGTGCTCGAGATGAGCCCATTCCAACGCTTTAGCGATTCATTTTTCCAGTCTGCTAGTGTCCGAGCGACAGGCTTCGCCATCATCGGGATTTCCAATCTCGCTCCCGCTGTCCTGTGAGTGTCGAAGTTGTCCGCACCTAGTGATACTTATGGTATCAAAATTAGATTTCTCTACGTCGTGAGTCGAATGCCGTCTGACATGACGGCTCCCTGACTTCCCTGCAGATTCTGATGTACGTTGCCATCTATCGTGAGTCGTCATCTTGCACTGTGAACTCTGTAATCTTACACTTCTCAGCTATCGCGTTATCCGTTCGAGCCACCAATGTCTACGAGGAAAGATGTGAGCCATCCTTTTTGGTCGTAGTGAATCATACTGACATCCCGTCTCTAGCTCTCGGAGTGTTTGAAGATCACAGTGATCTCAAGGCGGAGAATGAGCCAGCTTTCCGAGGCCGTAAGAGTGAAGTCTTCGGGTGAGCCCAAGCTTCAAGTCGACCAGCCAAGCCAGATCTTGATTCGGACTGGTTCTGACGCTTCTACTCCGCAGCAAATACCTCTGGTGGCATATGCGTCGTCAGCTCGCGTTTGATATTTGGCCGTTGGCCGTTGCGATCTTTACTATTGCCTGTTTTGAGCGTGGAAAACTGTTGGATCCAAACCGATCAGCTTATTTCGACATTTTCCGAATCATCTTTGAATGTACCAGTGCGTACTCGACCATTGGACTATCTATGGGTACGCCCAATAACAATTTCTCATTTGCCGGAGAGTTTGGAACGTGCTCAAAGCTTGTCGTGGGTTTCGTCTCCCACCTACTTGCTTATCTGCATAAACTGAAAACCGACTTGTCCAGGTCATTTTAGTCATGCTCCGTGGTCGCCATCGAGGATTACCACTGGCTATTGACCGGTGAGCACAATATATAAGATCAAACTCGCTAATGGCTTCCAGAGCCATCATTCTGCCTCACGAATACCAACAAATCGGCAAGAAGGACCCTGCCCCTGCATCGGCCCAGCCCGGGCAAAATGGGTCTCATGGCGAGTCCAACGAGCCACCAGACCACACAGTCCAATCTCAAGTGTAACATATTCCCTTGTATGGATAATGTATGCATATACAAGCAGTGTAGGGGTTTCAACAAGACACAATTGTCGGGAGATGATACACATGGCAGGCACAATGAGGTGATGGAGTCGCGGCTCGCCTCACTACTTGTCCTCCGCCAGCTAGACTGCCGCCTAGTTGAATTTGTTGCTCCTAGACGCCAAGATACTACCTCCGGATGAAGTAGAATCAGCTCTGGAAGGCGGACGAAGTTTGTCTGCCATTTGGGACGAAGATCGAGATAAGAGTGAAGGAGCACGAGATGAACCCCTAGCACCACCGGTAACCCCGTGATTTCTCTGAACAACTGAAGCGCCGGCCGTTCCATTCGCTCGTCGGGTTGTCTGCGATTCCTCTTGGACGTATCGCGCGTACGTATCTGCCGATCGGAATGCTGCGAAACTTTGGCCAGACTAAGTAGACGGGATGAGCATGGTGATCATAGTATTGTCTGCTGGCGAAGAGATCTCACCTCAGTATCGACGAAGGAAGTGACGGTCCTCGTTCCTCGAGCAATGGAAAATTGAGTTTCACCTTCATCTTCGACATCTGTGGGCATTTCCTCGTCCAACATGGCGGGTTGAAACCCAGCGCCATCGAATCCTATCGCTTGATCCAGCATGTCATCTTCCACTTGACCCTCTCTCTCCTTGTTGATCCTTGCTCGTTGCCTCAACATCGCCCAGGTGTCTTTTCCGGTACGACGTTGAGATTCAGGCGTCGGTGATCGATCTCGCTTATCGAGTGGGACTTCATCCTCCACCGTAGAGTCTTCATCACTCTCCAAATCCTCTTCGTAAATTTGTCGGAAGGCATTCTCTTCGCCATCTGGTAGGTAGTACGTTAGTATACGACTCCACTCGGCGTTGCTCACTGAGCTTCTCCAATCCATCTTCCCTCTCCAGACGTCGCTTACGCCTTTCCTTCTTCGTCCACTTGCGCCGCTTGCCTCGGTGCTCATCATCGTCCTCGTCATCGGAATAGAAATCCTGTCCGCGTCGCTTGGTACGATAATGACCCTCAGTGATCTTCTTGGCTTCCGCTTCGCGTTTGGCATCATCTGCTTCGGCAATTTCCCTGTAGTCATGAATCAGTACGAAGCCCCGTTCAATCTCAGATGGGAACTCACCTGGCCTTTGCCGCAGCGAGTTCGTCCTGCTTCTTGCGTTCATCCTCGTCCACGGCTTCATCATCCACCAGATCAGGCACATAGCCCTCATCAGCACCATCCTCCTCATCCTCTTCTCCTCCCAATGCAGCCCAACCAGTATCCTCATCACTCTCCTCAGCCTGCTCATCGATGAGATTGTGGTTTACAGCTCGTGCTTTCTCCTCCCTTCGCAAAGACGCCTTCATCATTTGATCAAAGGCGTTCGTGCCCCGCCCAAGAGTAGACGGTCCACCAAATGTCGCCTGAGGCATGATGACGGGAGATGAGACCCTCCGTCTGAGTCGGACAAGTGAATGAGCATCTTGTGTAGGGCTGTCCTGACTCTGTAGAAGTATACTGCTGCCCTTCTCGGTGGTCGACGGCGTCCTTTCGGGTTCCTCGTCATCTTCGTCCCTACTGATGTCGATCTCGCTCAACGACGTTGAAGTCCGACGCAAGAGATTCATCGGTTGACTTGGTGCAATCGGTTTCGTCTGAGTGAAGAAGCCCTGCTCGTTCAGGTATCGAGGTCTAGCAGCGGAAAGAGTCGGCTGTATCTCAGCAGCTTCCAGTTCGGCAGCGATAAGCGCATTGTCACGCTGGATTTGAGTTTCAGTGATATCGACACCTGGCAAGAGAGCGTTGACAGCCAAATATCCAGGAGCGTCCGCTCCACGAAGCTCAGCGAGACCGTCCTGCATTGTAAGCCTTACGCGGGATGGTGAGACTCACATTCGCAGTCGCAGTGCCCAACTGGGTAGGTTCGAAGAGCTGGGAGAAACCAGGTGATCCTTGATCGAAACCAGCCAAATCGAGGGAAGTCTCATGGTGGGCTTGGGGAACCGGGAGCTCTTCTAAAGGCAAGCGAGTTGGATGTTGCTCTTCATCGTCAGAGTCCAGAGCGACTCTTATCCGAGGCTTTCTCTTCATGATCGGAGTATCCTCTTCCTCGTCCTCATCCACCAGCTGGAGTACGATAGGGTTCGGTCGATTCTCCTTATCCGTACCGTGCGATGATTGTCCCGATTCAGAGCCAAAACCTTCCTCCTCTCCAAATTCCGTTTCGTCCAGCGCAGATCCTGCACCTTCGACGTCTTTCACCTCGTCCTCTGACTCCCCATCGTTCTCTTCTTCCTCGTCAGGCACAAAGTCTTCATCATCACTCTCATCCCCTTCCCTGTCGTCTTCGATCTGGCGGGATACAGCTGCACTCGCCTCAATCAAAGCTTGTATGTCTGGCACTTTCTTTTCCGGTAATTGCCTCACTCGACCCCATTCGCTCTCCTTCTGTGATCGATAACCAGCGACCTGAGCCAAGTGGCCGGCTTGAATTCTCGCATTCATCTGCTCAGTCGTGATTATGGCATCGCGTCCAGATTTTTGTCCAGCAGGTCGAGATCCACCGTTAGCTCGTCTGAGTCCAGCATGATCCCAGGTTTTGCCGGCAAAATCCATGTATGTCTCGGTGACATTGGAAGGTTTCGTTCGGGTAGATTTGCCTGCTCGACGGAGCAGGTCTTGCCGCTGTTTGGTGATGGCGGGTGATTTCGTTGACTTCTGCAAAACGGCTTTAGCGGCAGGACTTTTGGTGGAGGCGAATCGAGCTCGGGGTCGGGGGGTCTGCATGTCAGGTAGGATCGTAAAGTCGTCATCGTCGTCTGGTGTCGCGGCCGCTCTTTCCGCCTTTGCCTTCAGAGCAGCAGCTTTGGCACGATTCAGACGTTCTGCTTGGGCTTTGAGTCTCGCTTCCTTCTCCCGCTTCGCATCTTCCAGTGCTAAGACGTTCGCGAGATCGGGGATGCGCTCGTCTTCGTGCTCGTCCGCTCCGTCAGAGGTCGCAGGAATGACAGTTGAGTCGGCCCTGTCCAGCACTTGTCGGATTCTCGGCGTTGGGGACGATGACACTGCATGATCGACCGAATGATCGTTGACGATTGAACTTTTTCCTCGGATGCGATTATGATCGTTGGAACTCGGTGTGAAGCTGGCAATCTCATCGGGCGGTGTCGTCTGCGAGGGACTAGTTGGAGGGGACTGCTCGTGTGTCAAGCCGGGGACATCCCGTCTAAAAGTTTGTGAGCTAGACTCTTGTACGGAGCTTCAGAACTCGCCTGAGCACTTTTGAAGCGCTAAGTAAGAAGGAAGAGATGGGAAGGCGATTGACTTCAGGTCGAGATGGGACGAAATCCCTCTCTGAGCAATGATCAGCGAGATCTTTTGCAAGAAAGGGGATCCGCTTACCTCGCTGAGCTCGCGCCATGTCCTGCTTCATCAATAGCATATCTTTGCGGTTCAGTGGCTGTACTGTCAGCTCAGTATCTCGCATCGTCAGCTCACCTTAATATTTGTCTTGCCTGTCTTTATCTGCAGCTCCTCGTCATCAAACAGGCCTACCAGATCGGCACTCTGGCTTTGATCCTGCATGACCTCTGAATCGTCCCTATCTTCATCTTGCAGGGAGTCAAAGAACTGGTGGAAGAGAGACGGAGCAGGGGCTCTTTCAGCATCCGGAGCATTTGCAGGATCTAGCGCTTCCGCCAGCGGCGCAATGTGATCATCTTCGTTTTCCTCGCTCTCCGCAGACGCGGATGCTAAACGTCTCTGCGGTCTCGTCTTGGTTCCCATGTCGGTATCACTGTCCTCCTCATCATCAGATACCACTACGCGACCCACTCGTCCGCTTGGGCCAGCAGTACCCGGTCTTCGCACCGGCATTGTTTCTTCATCCACTGCATTGAGTCTCAGTACGCCAGGTTGTCTTGATGGTGGTGATGACGGAGGCGCCGAAGACAGACTTGATGACCTAGTAGTGGGTGCAAGAGGCAAGGGGACGCGAAGTGTCTTTGTCGATGTGGAGTCGGTGATGGCATTGGCATTGGCTGTGACTGGATGTGAGGGTATTTGTGAACTGACGACGGCTTCGCCCCTTGCTTCCCTTCTCATTCTTTCCATCGCAGCTTTGACAGCTTCGGCATCGTCGTCGTCGTCCTCCTCCTCATCTTCGTCCCTGTCAGCTCGTCGTTCCACTGACGTTTCTTGACGTTCGGTGGTTCGTGAAAAGTCAAACATGCCTCCGCGTTTGTATGTATCGCGTACAGGAGATACAGTAGGCTCCTCTTCAGCGTCCAAAAGAGCCAGAGAATCTCTCCATGAAGAACTCGCCGCTGAAAATCGATTCAACAGACCTTTGGCGGGCGAAGTATATTCATCTCCTGCGATCGAGCTTGAGGCGAGGGGTCTCGTAGATGTAGAGACGTCATTCGGGACGAAGAGCGATATGCTTGGTCCATCTACAGGAGGAGGAGTCACTGGTCTCTTTCGTCCGTATGTCTTTCTAGGCGGTGGAACGATAATGTCTTGACTGGACATGGAGTGGTGGGATAAGGTGGAAGTCATATTCGATGAGTCCGGGATATTTTACTTCACGGTCTCAGTTGCGAGAGGCTTCGATGACAGAACCTGCTTGTAGCAGAACCTGTCACCCTTGATACGCGGTCGATGCCAATAAGCCCTTCTCGCTCGACAACTGCACGATAGATTAGTAATGGTTAAGTAATATTGAACGATGCTCGACGCGTCGGTGCCAAAATGGCCCCAAAAAAGTCAAAGTCACACACCCTTGATGAGAGCTATTTGATCCCGTGTCACGTGACCATTGTTCCCACGTTTTTCCGGATCCGAGAAGATCTCTTGGGTGTTGGAGAATTTTGAACGGGGCGAGCGTCCATCTCTTGATCACTCTTCTTGCAGACTCACTTGAGCAAACACAAGCCGCTTTCGATCATGGGCAGACTGCGTAGATCAAGGTGAGTAATGAATGGGCCAGCATCAATCAGTTCTGCCTCTTCTCTACCGCGCTGGCCAAGGATCTCTGCCTCTCGGACTCCTTGGCTCATCACTTCCATCTACAACAGGACCCACCGAGCCCAGCGTGACGTGCACCGCGCTGCGAGAACTCGAGCCAGAGTCAAGGATCTGGATCAGATCCAAGATGATCTCAAACCTCAGAACCGGCGGAAATTGGAGGTTCAACCGATAGATGAGACGAAACCGGGATTGGGACAACATGTGAGTGGAAGTTGGGGTCCTCAGATCTAGCTAGTGTCAAGTCAAGCTGTGTGCCTGGATGGATGAATTGAACGAGCGCTGATCATGGCTTTAGTACTGTGTAGAGTGTGCAAAGTGAGCTGCAACCAAGCGGAATCGGCCGGCTAGCTGACAAAAGCAGGTACTGCGAGACTGAGATCGCTCTGAAGGCTCACTTGAAGAGCAAAGTTCACAAGTGAGTCGCTTGAGAGTTCATGCCTCTTGGCCAAAACATGGCACTCGCCCGTCGACCGGGGTCCGGTCATATCTGTCCTCTTCAAATGATTTCCCACTTCTGCCCTCCCGTTTCCCTTTATCCGTGACCTCTTGAGCGAGAGCACTGATCACTTTCCTTCCCTCTAGACGTCGCTTAAAGGACCTCAAAGATCCAGCCTACACACTCCGAGAAGCCGAGCAGTCGGCTGGTCTCGGCGTAGATAACAGACAACGAGGTGTCGAAGAGGTTGTCAAGAGGATGGAGGGCATGTCTGGTGTGGAAGAGACCAAGTCAAGTTGACAGAGAGAATGGGTTAAGGGGAGGACGGTCATTTCGGTTGTATAGTATTCCTGGTGAGCTCTAGCCAAATGAACGCCGCTTTCGACATCGTCTGGCTGACCACGACATCGTCCCTATTCAGTCATCTCCTGTATGAATTATTCGACATCAATTTACGCTCGGTCGGACCTTGGCATACCCTGTGACAGCGGTCAGACCGCATTGCACCGCGCAAGGCACGGGATGCAGCACATCCACACACACAAGATACACACATTGGTCCCATGTCACTTGCTGATCCATCCGAACCCGCTCGTTCTCGCTGACATAATCAAATATTATACATACGGCGAGAAAAACATGAGACAATGCTCCCTTCCCTCAGCTCGATCATCACCCTCACCTTTGACGTGATCACCAGCCTCGAGGCAAACATGAAAACGGAAAATACAACCTCGCTTGATTTTCCGAATATACACTGATCAACATCCGATTCAGCCCCTAATGTTCGCTCGTCAGACTCCGTTCACGGGGTCCGCGCTCTTGGCTCCGGCGAGACGGTTTACGATGCATCCCACAACTTGAAACGAACAAGAGGAATAACAAAGACATATTGATATTAGCTCTGCTTCTTCTCTCAATAGGTATATGCTCTTCTAACCAATGGTCGACGGCTCATTGGTCTGCTCGGCTCAACTCCACATCGTACCTGCACCTCCTTCTTCGATATGCCAGGCTCGTTTGACGACTCGACCTTGAGTGGATTCGCTATCAAGGCTTATCAGTATTTGTATCGACAAACGCAGAGGGTGAGTGCTCGAGGTTTATGGGGAGGACTGCTGTAAGGTCAGCCCTTCTGTGATAGCTGACCTGTCGGTAACCGACCTTTGCGCGTTCTCAACATTTTCCTTGTCCCTTAAACGACCCTTCTTCACATCTTCAATCCATTGTCGCTTCCCTCCTGATGGATCCGTTTGAAATACTATATGCGATCAATCAGACCATGACCTATGCCGACTTTACCGAGGATATCCGATCATTTATTCCTGAACCTCTGCTCGACAACGTGGTGGCATACATGACACGAGAGGATTGGGTCAACATTTGGCAAGACATAAATGATATATACTGGATCAGTATCAACATTGAGAAAGTGGATCAACTCGTTGACGGATATCATCATCTTCTCGAGGACGACGGAGGGGAGGGGAGAGGAGCTGTGAAAGCTATGTCTAACAGCTCGTCATCGGGGTCGTCAACGGATGATGAGGACGATGAAGGGGATGATCAGGCAGTGAGCTCGGATGAAGGTTGACGAGCGAAGGATACGGTGGGAAGAGTTGGCGAAAGGAGGGGAAAGGCGGCTGCGATCCGGGCGTGAAGACGTTTATAATGTGGATGAAGATGTGAGAGCTGAACTGTTCGTCGACAGGCGGGCATGGCAAGTCGATCATTTAGTGCTGTCCGAGAAAGACCCGCCGCTGCTCACAGGTACTTAATATAGACTCTACCAGCGCTTCACTGAGCGGCTGATTTACACAGCTGACGTCGATCATACGATGCAAGTTTCCCACACTTCAAGCCCATCAACACAATTCTAGAAACAAGACATCCTGGTCCCTGATGGAGCCTTCTTCGCCACGGTCTGCATGCTGATTTCCGCTTATGATTCGGGAATACTGAAATACCGCTATCGTGGCATGGAATACACGATGTAGACCTGGAAGAATGTCAGAGGCGTGCCGAACTGACTCGTGATTGGGACTTACCACCCAAGCTGCAACAATAGCGACGGAAAGCTCTGCAATGACGATAGTAAAAGCTGTTCGATCGGACCGCCATCCAATCAAGGGATCTCCCTGAGCCTTGATGTCCGTTCTGAATCGGATTCTCTTCTTTTCCGGCATTCTCAACGAATGACCTAGCCACCTACCATCCAACACATCGTACACTGGCCCAAGGATCACCTCGAGACACTTGATAGCGACGATCAAGTAGATGACATTGTTGTACGAGTTATCCTGGGAACGGTCCTGGATAGCACCTGCAGCGACTTCGAGAAGGACCGAGTTTGTATTTTGGAAAGCTTTCCATACTCCGAATGCTGTCCCAAGGAGGGCATCATCACCGACCAGAATGGGTATCGAAGCGAGGAATGGAAGAGCACCGCTACTGAGTGCGAATGAGGAGATTAGAATGGGGCAGAGTGGATGGACTTTTGTCAAGCCAATCAAGATGAAGACCGTGATGTACAGGATGGCTGTCCAGGAGACGATGATCATCCGCCATCCCCAACGATCGAAGAATGCTCCAACAAGGGGCGTCAAGACGATTGGGATGATTCCGGAGAGAGACGAGTTGTAACCCGCTGCAAGTTTGGAGGTACCTCGAGTCCGGGTCTGGATATCGGCGAGATTGGATGTATACACGTTTACGGCACCGTTCTGAAGGACTTGAGAACCGCAAAAGACCCAGAAGAACATGGGTCTGGCTGTCAATCACTGGACGACAGGTGTGTGACTCACAATCGGTAGAGCGTCTTTAAACCGAATCTCCTCTGACGCCAGTTCTCAGACTTGCTCGCGTCCCTGCCAAGAGGTGGTCGATACTGGACAGGAATGGACCGCTCGAACCACCAGTAAAGCATGACCCAGCCGAGATTGGAGGCACACAGTATGGCTGGGATCCTTGGAAAGTCTCTTTCAGCTTTGAGCTTACACGCTCTACCACCACCTCTGCTCACCACAAGGACCACCCCCACCATCCGTTGATATTGCTCATCGGGACTGCCGTAACTTTAGCGATGATCCCCGTGATCCTATTCCAAGCGATATCGACTCCAAATACACAAGCCAGCCAAGAACCCTGAAACCAATGTGCGTACAACTTATTCTGAGTCGATTCAATCACCGTCGAGCCTAGACCCATGATAACTCTGCCAGCTATCAATAGTTCATAATTGCCCGTATTGGCGGCAGGTGCAGATATCACAGCGCCAAGTAAGACGAACACGCTTGAAAGAATAGCAGCATAGGTAGCACCCCAATGATCCATACCTATACCACCGATGATAGGTAAGATGGAATTGACGAGGCTCGAGGCGGAGGAAATGGCTCCATACTGAGCGTTGTTGATCCCCAATTCTTCTATCATGGTAGCTTTGAGAGGTGACAAAGCGGCTTCTGCAAAGCTTGATCCAGTTGCGAAGAGAAGAATCATACTGACTGCCAGGAGACGGTACCGGAGTGGTATCTCCTGAGCCTGAGGTTGAAGCTGCTCGGTATCGAGGATGGATGGTTGAAGGTGAATCTCATTTCCGATGTCGGATTTGGATTCTTTGCTCTCATCAGCAGCGCCAGAGGACACCGTAGTCTCCAAGCTGCTTTTGACCGATATCAACATGGTGAGCTGGAGTGAATGTGAGCAGGGAGCCCATGCATCTCCTGTCCACGCCTTATACCAACGACGTCTTCATGCTCTTCGGCCGAGTGATTCGACCAAATTTCCTCTCGTGCTAGTTTGCCAAGACAAATTTCGACCGATTTTTTCAATTTTCTTTTTTTTTTATCAGATAACGGATTTGTAAGAGCTGTGTCGGATCCGAATAGGGACAGGCAGCCCATCGCATGGGTGGGAATGCTGTAGATCATGCTGTCTGAGGCAAGCTGTGGCAATGCAGGGGTCTCGTAAGTACCATCATATCGTTCAGCTGTGGGAATATGGCCTGCTTCATTCTTCTTCGTTATCATACCCCTCTTGCACGTGACCCTGGAGGAGCCGGCTGGACGACACCTAAGCTTTGTGGGCTTGCGAATGTTAGCCACGAGGAAGTTTAACTATGAAAGGCACGAGGACTGTTCATGAAGGTGAGTGCAATGAAAGGAAGCAGATACTTGATCCCTCCCACTTCCCAATTGACGAAAAGATCGAGCCTGTACCTCTATCTTCGATCGTCGATAAGTCGAGCATCGGATCATTCGACTTCATAGACCGACCCGTACATCGTATAGAGCATCTCCCATCTGGTTAAGTACGGTTGCATTGCCGCCCGATTGCTTGGGGCGCAGCATGGCCCTCGGTTGGCAGTGTCCGACTCCAGTCCCCCGGGCACCACCGTGATCCTGTGTGAAGGCTTTCAGATGCACCCTCATCTGCAGATTAAGATCGACGGGAGTCCATGAAAAGGTCATGCACGCTCTCAATTCAGTATGATCTGCTTCGTGTCGATTCAACACATGACTACCTCCGCTGCCATCTTCCTTGCGCCAAACCGATTCGTGGAGATTTGTTGGTATGGCGTGAAACTGCCTCACGCGTCTAGTTCTTCTCTTTTTCAAAAAAGTAATCCCGGTCTCACGGACTTGTTTCAGCTTCTTTAGCAGCGCAATGCAGGTTCGCTGCTGCGATCGCTGTCACTACACGGGAGAGGCTCAGAGACAATACATGCATGGTGTAGTGGCCAATACTGCCCTATAATCACTAGTACATGCTGAGAGCTACAGCTGCCAGCGAAGCATCTCCTTGACGACCACTTGGTGAGAATCTCCGAAAGCCTCTGTCCATTTGAAGGGGTGCCTAGCGCGAAGTCATGACAGCTTCTGCCAGTCAGACACTAGACCGTATCATCTCCCACCTCCTACCTTGATGTCCATCTGAGATGGTCATCGTCATCGAACTGTGGCAAAGGCCATCAATGACCCCGCTCCCTTGCGCTGAGCAGTTCCCCCATCATCTATGTACTACCATCAAGTCTCATACTGAAGCGAGGGAGGGGAGGGAGGGAGACAATGGAGAACAAAGGAGTATCAGTGACAAGGAGAAAGAACAAAGTAGTAGGAGAGCTGAGGCGGGCCCATTGTCGTCGCTCTAAAGGACACATGAAACGTTGTTCACGATGCAAAGGGCTAAGGCTGGGGTGTGTGTCTATACGTGTCATAAAACGAGATAATGTACATGTTTGTCAAGCCAGCCTCGCCACCGGTGCCTTTGACACCATATATATATATATAGCCTCTTTTCTCTCTCTATGTGTCATGTACCATTGACCACTCATCTTCATCATCAAAGCATTCCAGCTACAGTACCATAGCCTCCCAGAGTCAAAGCGCAACTCACAACACGATTCTCTCGTTCACAGACTCTCACACCTCAGTACATTGCATCGTATAAAGGTGACGAAACGAAGGGAGAGGGGCAAGTAGGTACATTGTCTCGATCGAGTCTCACCACTGAAGAACGGGCCTAGGGCGATCCAAGGTGAGCATACTCCACCTGACCTATCCCTCTCTCTTTCACTCACACACACTCTCTCTCTGTCTCTCTCTTTGTCTCAATGCCTTCCTAATCACATACCTCACAGTACTGGCTACCGAGAAGTCCTTCCAGCCCACGCGTCTGACTCAACGACCTACACACCACTTATCATCCCTTTGATACCTACCGTTGCACTGCACCCCACCAGCCTCTCCTCTCCCTGCTCTACGCCGTTGGGCCGTTCCAGCTGGACACTACCACCACTTCAAGTCCCCTGTCCTGTACACTCCAGCCTACGTACCATGTCCTCCGCTCTCACCTCTAGCCTTCACGTACCCAACTCATTTGCCCCATCGCACTGTGGACTAGAACTGTGTGAGGATCTCGCAAGCGAAGGATACGACAGTGAAGAGTATGATGAGATGGGTGAACTTTCAGGTGAGTGAAGGGCGAGTCTAGGGTGAGCAGGGAGCTGATCGTTTCGCGTCCGTACCATTCATCCATACTTCAACCTATGATACTACTGGACTCACCACCAACATCACGTTGTCAACGTTCTTTCCACCATCCTTCGTACCGTCATTTCGGTCACATTGCGCTTCCTTCACCACATCGATCCACCTCGTGGTCAACCCGCCCACAGATTCTCCATCTTCTCATCCATCCATCTCAAGACCCAGCACACCCCTTGACATTGCCATCCGATCCTCCTCCGCTCCGCGTCGCGTCAGAAGCCATACCCACTCTGCATCTCCACCCAATACCGATCACTTCACGCTCGCCGTCAAAGCCGAACGCATCCTAGGCTTGACGCCCGGTACACTCGCTCATGCCAAAGCGTGCCTCGAGAACGCACGAGACGAAGTCAAACGTACGTCACAGGAACAATCTCCTCCACCCATAGACTTCAACACGATGCACGCCTCTTTCTCCGATTCTGAGAGAGAAAAAGTCGAAAAGGGAGGCATGAGAGGAAAGTTTGACCGTGCAAAAAAGGCCATGTCGGTCGCTCTGCCAGCCAGGATGCCGTCGGTTGTGGTTGGAGCTGGTGGGAAGGAGGAAGAAGAGAGGCGTGAGAAAAGGCGAAGAGCGGTGGACGGGGTCATTTACTGGCAGAAAATGGTGGAAAAGCTGGAACAGGAACAGGCTGCAGCCAGGCAGACGGCCCGGAGGAGGTAGGGTACGAGCTTGAGAATTGTTTTCCGTGTACCAATAGAGCCGCATTTGTACATAATGACCCGGATGACCCCATACATAGCAGGTGTTGAAAGGAGTATGCGTCTTGTCGTCGACGTAGGTTCCAGAGATGGCGAAAACACAGCAGTTCGCATGCAGGTCTTGCGACCATTTGTGTGGCTTGGAGAGGTTCAGGCTTAGAATCTATTCAGACATTCCGTGTCTCCTTCAAGCAGGAGGAAGGTGTGCTGACCATAGGACGATGGACAACGATCCCCAGAGGACGACCCACCAGATCCAGAGTTTGCCAAAGCGCGTTAGCTTGCGGGAGTCTGCACTCTCATTCCAGTCGAAAGCCAGCGTCGCGATATTCCACCACACCACTGGATCGGTCACACATACGCGGAGGGTGATCTGGGTATGCGAGGCGAACGTGAGTAGAAGGGTGAGCAGGAGGTGTTGAACGTGAAGAGGGAAGAGTCGGGAGTCCATGATAACTTGTCCAGAGTCAGTGCGTGACACTGCAAAACCGCTCGAAGCTATGGCTTTGACCGAATGGTAGGAGAGGTATTTGTAGCTACCCCAGTATGATGGAATGAGGACCGGCAGTGCAATGATTAAATTAGGCAATTGTTGGAGGGTCCAGTAGTTCAGCCAGCCATTGTTCCTAATCGCGGTGTCAGCTGCAGCAAGAAGAGAAAGGGGATGATATACCAGTACTCTGCTTGCACGAAAGAATATGCCAGCGGTAATTTAGCAGAGCACCAGGGTCTGGTAGGTGAGGGCACGCAAAACGATCGGTATGCGTATACTTGAAAGGCGATAAATGGCGAAGCGACAATCAGACTGAGGATCACAGCGTAAAAGAGTCGATGAATGAGTCTCTGATCCATATCAGCGACTCGTCAGAGAAAGACTTAGCTAAATCACTTTGGGTCTCAAGTCCGCCCAGGTCGGTACCCCTCGTGGGGACATGAGCAGTGCACATGGGACGAGGGCACCGAAGATGCCTGTCGCTCTGATACTGGTAGCGGTGGCCAACGAAAGGGCTGACAAAAAGTTGCGACGCTTCAGGGCCAGGTCAACTCCGAGTAGTGTAAAGAGTGCGAAAGTCGGCTCAGTGTATGGAGATACGAGGACAGCAGGGGATGGAGGGAAAGAATAAAAGATACAAGTAATGATTGCGAATTCTTTCGAGGCGATGCGCATGGTCAAGCTGGGGTTCAATGAGCTCACTGTGAGTTTGGGAAAACATGGAAGGACTCACTTATAGAGTATTGTCGTTGATCCCATGCTCGCCAGCAAGTTGACAGCCATTCCTCCCCATACGACATCATTGATTCCGACGTTTCTACCCGCAAATCTCGCCACGATCTCGCCTGCACCTCTCATCAGACCCATATACCCCGGCATGAATGCCAGATGCTGCTCATAGTGATAACCCTCCAAGGCTATCCTCGTGTAGTGGATAGCGTCCCATCGTAGGGTTCCTGGCGCATCTGGATCCAAGAGAGAATGCGAAGCGTCGAATGGGTGGATGAATGTCGGTAGAACACTCAACAGACTGATGACGACTATTCGAATGAGGAACGATAGAACGAGGACATGTCTCAGTTCCAGCTTAATCGCCTTCACTGAGCTCCCCATTCTCTCATTAGAAGAAGATGTTCAAGAGGAAGCAGATAGATAATCCTAAACACCTCATGGACTGCTCAAGTGGAGGTTGCCACGTGACACATTTCTGCTTCCGTTCACTGCCTTGGCGACTCTCGGCCGTGTTTTTCGTGCTGGTCTCCATTCGTTTACAACTTGCTTGAGAGGCTTTTCTTTAATAAGTGGTGGTGGAGTCTCGACGGGATCCTAGTAGGCCACGACGGCTATTCAATCTGCTTCTGCAGACGTCGCTGCATCGTCTCGTGCCAAACGATCTGTGATCAGATCACTTGTCAATATTAGGAAATCGAAATATCGTGACAACGACAACAACAACAACAAACACCCAAAAATATATTAAAGACTTTTGGGTGGCCAAAATCATAGGAGTGACTCCGTCAGCTGTTCATTGATCATCTGACTCGTGGTCTTCTACCACGGCTCTGGACGATACAGCCCAATTGACTGCCGGCACGATCGAGCTCACGTGCGATCATGAGAAAAGATAAGCGGTATACGAGGGCAGAGTTGGAATCAGTCAGGAGGGCAGATTTACAATCGCTCTACAAGGTGAGTCTGAGAGATGTTGTCCCCTTGCATCGAGCTCGCTGACCTCATACGTCTAATCTTGTCAGACACACGGCCTCAAAGGTGCCAATAAGACTACAAATCTTCTCATTGATGACCTGTTGGAGCTATTCGACACGCCAGCATTCATCTCCAGGACTACATCGTCCACTGGTGGTACTTCTTCTTCTTCTTCAACAATCGCGTCGAAACCCTCTTCCTCGATCCCATCACGTCTCTCCAAACCCAGTGCAGCCACCAAAAACGCGTCTTCACCACGAAAACACGGGCATGGTCGACCTGCACCTTATCCTCGGAAACTCAACACTATCGAGACCCAGATCCCTCCTGGCAAGGCACCCATCAGAACACGAGATGCTAAACCGAGGCGGTCAGACAAATCTTCGGCCAAAGAAGTAGTCGACAATGCTCCTCCCGTGTTGACCCTTGAATCCCATCGAGACCAGCGGGCGGACACTGCTGAGATCCCGACCGAGGACGCGCCTATGATCGGTAAGCTGTCCATTTCCCTAGCTGAATTAGTCATATAAGCTGATGCCTCTTCAGCTGGTCCATCCAAATCCAAATCCCCTTCCCTTCCCCGGTCTCCACCATACGATATCGCAGCGACGCTTTCTTCGCTTCAGGATCGCCTGCATCGTTTGGAAATGCAAAACAACCACTTGATGCAATCGCTCGATGCCAAGGACAAAAAACTTCAAATCAATCTCACGGCTGCTGAGCAGCGGTGGGAAGCTCGTCTCGCCTCCGAACGTGCAGAGTGGGAGCAAAGGTTCATAAAGCTCGAGGAAACGCTGCATAATATCGCCGGACCTTCTTCAGCCAGACGAGTTGTTTCGTTCGCCGATCATCAACAACGCGATGGTGTACTGGGAAAACGTGGTTTAGAGGCATCGTCTTCGTCTTCAACAAAGCGATCGACAGCTGATTCCAAACGACCACGGATCGATCCGCATGGTGGACCCAACGGCTCAAGCGTCCACATCCCAACGTTTGAGAGTGCGCCCACCGCTGACTCACCCGGGCCTCATACACCGCCTCCTTCGCATCAAGGGATTCTACCTGACATGTCGAAAACGCCGATCGTGGGTCCAGAATACTTTGCCAACGGTCCGCACCCGGATTCCCGATTGGAAGACCTGCCGTATCCCATCTTTGCAACTACGCCGAGACCGTCCGAACCACAATCTCCCACGACCGACGCACCCCCTTCAGCATCTCGCCATCGAACAGCACTACCGTCTAAAGGCGTTCTCACTCCGGGACGCAGGCGTCCGACCGACGCTGCGCCCGTGTCGACATCGCGAGCTGTCTCTGACGCTCATAAGGAACTCTCGACGATCACCGAGGAGAGCACCGATGCGGTTAGACTCGGCAGAGTCCGCCAGTCATCTGGTACGCCTGGTCCGCTGCTCGGTCCTGTCCTTCGAGGTGAAGGTCTGCCGGGCTCACCACGCCAATTATCAGCTTCGCCTTCTATTCCCGGTGACAGAGAAGGCTTCAGCTATACTCCTTTCCCACCCGTTCCAAAAAGTTCGTCGCGCGGATCTCGCGTGGTCGAGTCGAAGCGTCCTACTACTCCTCCAAGACAGGTGATTCACTCCAAAGGAAACTCATCATCCCCCGCTCAAGATTACATGGAAGTCGCTCTTCAAACTAATGATCCAGCTCTCAAGGCTTCTCATATAGGTCCGGATATATCACCCTCAGCATACGCAACGCCTTCGCATCGGACCATGCTCGGTACAGAGACGTATAGGGACACGCGGTTCGGTGATGTTCCTGTAATGAGTTGGGGAACACCTTCTGTGGATTTGGGGACGGGCACCCCAAGGACAAGTTTGGGTCGATCGGCTGCGCCGTGAGACTGCGGCGCTCACGAGGTGGTGACAGGTTTCGTCTCGCTGAAAGCCTAGGAGCCAAGGAATGGAGTGACATGCTTGTTTATTGCTCAGAGCCATGCGCAGAGCCACTTTTGATACCTGTCCATGATCTTGTAGCACACACCTAGCCTGTTGATGATGAATTACACTCCTTTTCTTGCAAAAGACTACTTATAATTTTATCGGGTGAGACCAAACCAGCTGGCCTCCACTCTTCCCCGGGCACTTTTGAGTGGAGGAAATTTGGTCGAAAAGTGAGACTGGCACAATTGTCTGCCATTCATTATCCTCTAGCCTGTCCAGCACGACTGGGTTCAAGGCAGCTCACCAGAAGCTGTCCCCGGTTGTAGGATCCGTTGTTATCCCATCTCTTCTGCCCTCCGTTCCTGCTGGCAGCCCCTTGTGGAAAGTCGTCGCATCACTCGCCTGTCATCTGTCTGTCATTCAACACAGTCATCCTGTTAATTGAAGAGCGTCACAGTCGACCCTCAGGGACATCATCAACTGGATCCCAAGTCCAACACAGGCCAGACGCCATGGCTCAATCATCCTCAACTTCGGATGCTTCCACCACACATCTCCCATCCCTCCTAATCTTTACTGGCTCTCATCATCCTCTCCCTCGTAAATATCCTCACCCTCATAAACCTATTCTCCTTATCCCTCCGTTCATGCATCGCACTCTCCACGCCGCATTGGATCAAACACCCCCAGCGACATCCACGACGTCCGATGGGACATTGATCATCCCCCATCCAGATAATATCATTAAGCACGATCTACCAGAGCTGGCTGCTGATCGAACTGGTATCGATGAGAAACCTCACGGTCAGACGAATGATGCAAGTACGACCCTGGACACTGCTCAACCATTATCCACCGTAGCTGAGGATGGATTTTCAAGATCAGATGATATAGATGCCGAGGTGACAGTCAAACTTCATTTGGTCGGATCATCAACATCCTCATCGACTCGACTTGAATGGATCACAAAAGCGTTGACCAGTTTGGCAGAATTCAAAGGCTTGAAAGAGGTTGACACGCTCTTACTCGGTTTCAAAGGCGTGGATTACAGGGGACAGAAGAGCGAAGCAGCTACGGTCTTGGGTTGCGGAACGGAAGGGATGGAAAGTGGGAGTGGAGGCGAAGTGGTAGACGAACAAGTGGCCAGCGAGGTGGTTGATACCTGGAGAGCATTGATCAAGGCGAAGGGTGCCTCCAGTAAAGGCTTGCCGAATGGATCGTCCGCTCCTGACGGTCATTCCATTCCCACTGTCGACCTGGAGCAAGCAGTAAAGCACGTCAAAATCCTCGGAACTCTGTATATGCCTCTTTCGCTATTAGAGACGTTATCTGAGGATGCCGCCCAAGCGCCAACAATCAACTCGATGGATACGCCAGACTGTCATCATCTACCTAGAGAATATCTCGACTTTGCCAGAGAAAGAGGAATAGAACTTTGGGCAGGAGGTGGTGGAGAGGGATCAGGTGCGTCAGATTCGAACTATTTTTCGCAGAGCGAGTTCAGCTGATAATTTGCCTGGTTCCTCAGATCCCATGCCGGATAGAGAGCTACACAATGTCCTTCAAGAATTCAACAGCTCGCTCATCCCGATCATTCCGTCCTTGTCTGAAAGGGAACCACCATTGCTGGAAAATCTGATACCGCTCAGGGAGGATGGGCTAAAGTACGACCCGAACGTCGAACCGGATCTCCGTGTCAACTGGGTCCTTGGTGTGAGTCAGAGCACACTACCTGTCCTGTGTCGAGGCTTCTGCTGACCCGACTTTTGTTAGTACACGCTCGTAAGCAAGACCCGAAATGTCGTCAAGGACAAAGGGTGAGTGACAGGATTGCATCTCTTGAGGTCATTAATCCGGGGCTAACTTGTCGTGTCTAAGGTACATTGTATCTGCAGATTGGGTCGTATGATACCATGTATAACTGTGTCGACCGATGCTTTTAGCCCCCATTCGCCGTGATCTGGTTTCAAAACCTCAAACACCTCTTTTCATCTCCTTGGAGACGGTATCAAAGGATGACCCATGTCTCGCCTTAGGGAGGAGGCATTCATCCGATCATCGCCATGACATGCTACAGCGTTCGAACACTTGAATATTGATCGTTGATCGGTCTGATGAATGACTGACACAGCTCAAATTTGAATGATGGTTCGCCTGATCCAAATCTAGGAGACAACCACAAATGGACGCTCCAAATCTTGCGGATCACTCTGGGGGGAGCGCCCAGCGATCCTCTGGTCCCCTAGTCTTGACAGATGCGATCGAGCTTATCGCAGACCCACGCACCAGCCAACACGGCGCCAGTGGCCCCCCTTCTTCTGCGACCAACGATCCACAAGATCAACCTCGTTCCATCTCCCCCGTTCCATCCTACAGGACGTATCGGTCTCGCGCTGACACCTTCACTCAACAAAACGCTCCGGACCGAGCAATACAACAATCTTCAACACATTTAATCCCTCTCACCCCAATCAAATGGACCCGACCAACATTATCCTTCATCATCCAGAATAACCCCAGAGAATTCACTTACCTGGCTTTGCTCGTCTTCATACTCGTTGCGACCATGTCTGGATGGATTGTCTTCATGGTGCTCGTCCCGGGTGCAGGACTCGGGACGGCGGTCGGCGCGGACGGACCAAACTTCAATACTACCAATCAGGCCATCTCCATTTTTGGTCTGAATGGCTTGAATGATAATATCGCGGATTCAGATTTCAATGACCCCTTCGATGACATTGACTCTGCTGATATTTTGGAAACTGGTCTGAGCGGAGGCGGATCCCTGCGGCGGCGACGTGATGAGCCCCCCGACTCGGATAGCAGTGATGAGAATGACGGTGCGGATTCTGGCGACCTTGGCAACACTGCCTTGCTCAGTGTCAATGCCGGATTTCTGCTCGTGTGAGTGTCTATAGTCGTACTGCACACGCTCAATGACTGGCCTGTCATGTCGCACAGTATCGTCTGCACCATTGGTCTGTTCATCCGGCATGTATTCCACATCTCCAGACACTTTCGACCGCCCCAGTCGAAGGCCCCTTTGCCCACCCTGACACTTGACGATTTCAATCTACCTCCATTACGACAAAGTCATAGGCGCACCACGTCGACACACTCATCGGACCAAATGTCCCGGATGATGCCCCCGTGGTCAAGTCACTTACCTTCGTACCATCCGGCGGCGGGACAGGGCGACAGGGGAACGGGAGATGTGGAAGATGGTCTCATTGATCGGTCCGGTCATTTGCCAAAGTATGGAGACGTCAGAGGGAGCGTTTTGCTTTTACGGAGTGGATCGAGAGGGCCGGCGTGGACTGGGGAGGAGAGCAGGGACACTGGGCCAATAGATCAAGGTCAGGACGAGACAGGGGGCCGGGCCGAGAGGGCAAACTGATGTGCGGTGGAGCTGGGACCGGCGTCATGAATAATGCACCGAGCAACCCTATCTGCATATTTCATCTGACAGAGTTTTGAACAAAGACCGGATCATAAACATATTGATATCATCATTTGACTAGAAGCTACATTGAGGTTCATCTTGCCTTGCGACTGCAGTCAAGCGTTTGCAAAGCATTTACGTCGTCCAAGGTAACTAGCTGCCGAGGACCTGTCCGTTTCCACAGTTGCCTTGAGGACCGCCGGCACAGCCACCCTCCCAGTATCCTTGTCCCTTAGTTCTGCAGTCTTTTCCAGTTACACAGTAGAATGTGCTTCCTTGGCCGTTCTTGTTGGGTGACTGAAGGACGCCCACGTCGTAAATGTTGCCGCACGTGTCTCGAGATCCCACAGTATACTGGGATACATTGTCAGACTTTGATTTGCAGTACCAAGTTTGGGTAATTTCACTCACCGCAGTCGTGCCAAAGGAGATCCACACACACACTTCATCGTTGGCACCCGCGTTACACGCATAGTCAGATCCCATGGAAAACGATTGAGCTACGTCGAATCCTCCGCTGATCCAGTTGTTGAGTGAAACATCCGAGTGGTAAGAGAGTGTTACAGTGTCTGAGACGGACACTGAGCAGTCTCCACTTGCACATGTGACTGTGTCACTAATTTGCTCATGGTAATAGTTCTGGTGTGGATTTCCGTCACCGGCAACAGGGTTGCTGGTGGATGCGAGGGTGATTTCACCATCGGGGGAGCATCGTTTTTGAACCTCACCTATGGGGCTGGCGGAGACAGAAGCGATGAGGCTGACGAGTAGGGGGGCAGAGGTGATGGAGAGCATGTCGGGAACTTTGTGTAGGTTGTTTAATGTGTTTGTCTGATCACTTGTGAGATATAATTCGTATTTGACGAGATGAACTTGAGGGTGGTTCCGGCCTCGTCTTTATATATCTCGAAAGGCTCCAACATCACTTGAATGCTTTCAACGATGACCTGGCCTTGACCACTCCGGCGAGCCCGGGCACGAATAGTACCTTTAATTGTATTGACTTGTGTGCCTTAGGAGACCTACTCCACCAAGATCTTCAGGCCGTTGGCGGAACCTCCAATATTGTTATTATTATTATCTCCGCTCTGGTTCGGACGCCACAAAGTCGCCAAATCATTTCGGTGCAGATCACAAAAGTGCGGGCAATACCGATCACCATACCTACAGCAGTGGAGCGGGACGGGGGGGGGGCGTGACACGTTTGTCTAGTCCAGAGTTTAATTACGCTTAGTGTATCGCAGCTTAGCCCCATCCCTCGCCTCCCACCGCCCCAGCCGAGGATGATGATGCTGTAGATCTCATAGATCTCGCTATAAAATGATCAGCAGAGGAAAAAACGTGGGTGATAGGTACGGCTGCCGGCGGGAAATATCATGGAATAATCCCATTGGTCGTCGGGGATCTCGGGCTGACCGGCATGAATGAAAGACTAGATCAGCTTTGGATGGATGATGTGCGGAGCTGACCGACTCAACGGGTCTTAGTTGGAGCAGACTGTAGAGGCAACGGAGACAGGACCTTGCGAGCCTTTCTGGGAGGCCATTCCAGAGGATAGTTCCAAGCTGACTGCAGGAAGGCCCCACCGGATTTCGAGGTATTAGCCACGAATGATGGCGTCATCTTGCTCTTACTGTGGCTCCTGGAGCCAACAGGCAAATGTGTAGATGAAATGAGTGCTCTCATGTCTCCTGTGTCTCGCTTTCTGGGTTGACGGTCTCGGGGTTGATGTTACTTCTCAGCTTCCAAAGAGGGCAAGGTCTCACGTCTCCGCCTGAGCATCCAGAGAACACTCAATCCAGTGTTAGCACGACTGTATGCCGATAATACCACGCCGTATATGGAAGGGGCCTTCGTGGCTTGACCAGTAGCGAAGACATCCAATACTGCACTGTGTATCTCGGGCTGACTTGCCCCTATCCTTAGCTTTCATTACATGCCTTTCATCCCAGAAAATGTGTGTTGGAACAGTAAGTCTGGTATTTCAACCTGTCTTGATGTCGGACAACTGCATGGAGGGGTCCATCAGTCTGAGGGCAGCACGACTTTGGTTGGTCGCCATGTCGCAGGGTGGCAAAACATTGCTAGATTCTTGAACTACATGGTAATGATGTTTACATATACTCCTCATGCCTCGACTTCCATTAAGATCCGCCTCACACCTTGCCGTAGGAATGTGAGATTATATTCTATCATCCCTCTTCGCGTTTGCCACGTATCTGTCCTCACTAGTATGACCAGCACGAGATGCCTGAGATGTGGTCAGCCTCTTCGACGGACTCTTCGAGCTTGTGTCCCGCTTCCAAACAGCCAAAGACGCAACGACACTCACGGTGTGAATTGCCACAGGGCGATCGTTGTATTCGGCATCAACTTGGTGCTCTGTGTCATCCACGGTGCGTCTGGATCCTCTTGATCCCACCAGCTCCCCGGTTCATCTTCCTCTTCATCATCATCAGGAACGCCATTATCCCTGCCGTTCGACATGTCGCCATTCTCCAGGTCCTCTCCGTCGTCTTTCCGCTTTCCTAGGCATTTATACAGATCCGCGAATTGAAGAAATTTATCCAGATATTCTGTGACCAGCTGCATTGTCGCGTCGTTTCGTCCTCGATTGTCAGAAGCGACCACAACTCGAGATTCCATGTCAAAGAGGTATGTGTTGTCCATGCCGGAGCTCTAAGACAGCACCACGTCAGCAGTCGTGCGACAAACCACGAGAATCGCCTTACCCCTGTGAAGTTTATCAAGAGAGATTCGACACTCGGGAGCATTTCCATGATGCCCTGAAGAACACGACTCCATGCTTCCCTCAGTGAGACATCGTGGACACTGGTCATGTCGAACCTGACCTCTGATTGAATGCTGTTGATGATGATGTTGGTGACGGATGGGTCGGAAAAGTTGAGTGAAGAGTACTGTTGTAGTGAGGTGTACGGGAAGTCTTCCAATTCCTCTGCCAGTGCCCTTTGAATCTCAGCATAGTTCTCTGTCATGAGGGATTTGATGTGAGCTAGGCGTCCTCTCAATCGCTTTCGGTACTCACCTCCCCTATAATCTTCAGACAAAGACTCTGCCTTGTGAATGAACACCGCAAATTTGACCGCCGGATTTGACAAGTAGGCTCGTAAGAGTATGCGGACGAAAGGGAGCATCGCCTCATGATACGAGTCGTCCGCCTGAGTCAGTCTGATTCAGTCACTTCGCCCGCACACAGGCCAGCCAGAAGGTATCACCCACCTGGATATCCATAACGTAAATGATTGTCGAAAAGCTCGAAAGTGGAACGTCGAGTGTCTCAAGCTCGAAGTTCGATGGTGTGTCCCATATTTGTAGAGGAATTATTGTACTGTGAACCTGTCAATCAAGGCATATTCATGCTGAATGCACCATTGCTGCACTCACTCGTAATCTATCTTCTCGAATTTCTGTGTAGAATCAAAATATGCCACTTCGGACGGAGGGACATGCTCGAAGACCGTCTTGATGCAGGATGTCTTTCCCGCTCTACGGAGGCAGCATTTAGCATTCGGAAGCCCAACGAAAGCAAGCCACAAGCTACCGAGCCTAGAGGTCTGGCAGTACACCCCATTTCTGTTGACAGCTTTGACCCCGCACTTACTTTCTCCAGCCGAGCACCAAAATCTTCTGCCTCCGAATCGAGTCATCATGCCTTCCAACGGATGATCGGGGTCTAGAAGACTCTCCCTGGGACGGTAATTGGCTCCTAGACATGGCCGCGAGCTGCCGCACCTGTTTGCAAAGATGGATGCAGCAGAAGAGTCCTTGCAGTGATCGAAAGTGGGTGATGTCAGGGCGTACTAGGGTCTAGGGTGATAAATTTGGTTCCGTCGACTCTCCGCGCAATTGCAACGGACAGATTGACACAACTTCAAGTTATCGTCTACTCGGTCACGACTGCAGCCAGGAGGCAGAGTACAGCGTTGACACGATGGTGAGCGATGCGACGAAGGGTAAAGAAGGGTCGCTGACGCTCGAGCTAAGCTGCCATTAGCGCTTCTGACGGCTGCGCAGGGCAAGCCAATGGTGAGTGAGGTTGCGCTGAACGATCTCGTCAATCATGTACTCGTAGTGTTATCAGAGAGATCTTCCTCGCTGACGGGCCGTAGCTTGTGGAACTGAAGAATGGTGTGACATTCAATGGACATCTGGTGGAATGTGATAATTTCATGAATGTCACGTTGAGAGAAGTGTATCAAACATCAGCGGATGGCGAGAAGTTTTGGAAAATGAAGGAGATGTTTGTCAAGGGGAACATGGTGAGTTGGATCGGCACAGTGATCTTGTCTACCCTCTGCTACCCCTTTATCTCGACGCATGTCCTGATGCATGGGTTCAGATCAAATACTTCAGGATAGCAGACTCGATATTGGATACAGCGATGGAGGAGCAGGAAAGAGCGAGACAATCCGGACGGTCAAGAGGAGGTGGAAGGGGAGGTCGAGGAGGACCACCGTCGAGAGGAGGTGAGTCCGTTGAATTGGCGTCTGAAGTCGAATGGCTGACACTGTCTCTCAGCTCGAGGTGGTGGGCCTGGACGCGGTGGACCACCAGGAGGTGGAAGGGGTGGAGGACCAGGTAGAGGTGGTCCCGGTGGAGGCAGGGGTGGTCCCGGTGGAAGAGGAAGAGGTGCTGCTCGGTGATCAGAAGCCGCAGAGCATCCAGGCCTGGCAGCAACGACTGGATAGGCATTCCATTCGACGATCTACTCGCTGTCATTAGTTATGCAGACAGCTCTCGACAGGCTATTTGGTATCCAGGATCATCGTGCCCGACACTGACGACAAATATCTGGAAAACTGTCTGCATCCGGCCATCAGACACATCACTTAGAGCTACATGGTAGACAAGGCTGACACTGGCCGACAAATAGGATTCGTTTCTCAAAGGTAAAACACAAACGCCCAACAAGATCCGATCAAAACCTTAGGAATCTGAAGGCAAATACGAAACCGAGAGACTGATGGGCCAACTGAGCCGGTCCACGTCCATTGAAGACATTGAAGATAGAGCTGGATCCAAATCCGATCGGCAGTCGAAGAGCCACCATGCCTGACGGCTCGCGAATGATTGAGTATTTGATCCCAAAATGTGAGTGATATTGCTACAGGGTGACAGCGAAGATTTCAATGTTTCAAATGTGAGGGATCCGACATCGACGGTCACAGTACGGCACCGGCTGGAAATTGTGGCGGTAGTTCAGACGTATGTCCACGTCTTCGACAGAGCGCTGAGAGATCTGCTAGCGAGTGCTGATTTTGTGTCCGTCCCACTCGGAGCCTCGATGCTCCATAGGCGCCGCTTCAACCCCACTGGTGTCGAGGAAAAGCGAGTCAAAGGATTGGTCAGGCTCCATCGAATTGAGGCTTGACAGCGCCGCCGCGAGCTCCTCCTCAGTCGGTTCAGCCAGAGCCATCTCGCTATGACATGAGATCTCCGAGGTCTGCGCGCCCGACTGCGAAGGCTGAGGCCCTGCTCCTCCTCCTTGTTCCGCGTCTCCGATTCGCCCCGAAGCGTCTAAAGCCTCCTCATCGGGGGTCGCCAAGATCTTTTCAACGACTTCCGGAGGAATCTCGCCATCCCAGTACTGGCCAATATGACATACGAAACGATCGAAATCCATCGAGTTCGGCGATGGACCCAAAGATGCTGAGCCTTCTGGTTGGGAGACCCTGGGCAAGTTGGCCGTCGCTTCGAAGGATCCCTTCTCGGTAGCCGATTGCTCAACCGTCTCTTGGACTTGCTTGTTGACCCACTGGCGGTGCCACTCGTCTTCCTCCACTGTGAAGGCTGAAGTGGTCAACGCCTCGGTGCTGGACATTGTATCCATGGACGACCGAGAGCTCATGAGTGAGGGTCCGGCTTCGGCACGATCTACATGGAAAGCTTCGCCATGAGAGGCGAGTCCGTTTTGCTGTTGGAAGGGGTCAATGAAAGGAAACATGGAGTGGTCGACTGAGGGAAAGGTAAACGGGTCGGCCATTGAGGAGGTACAGGCTGCAGGAATAGGCTGAACATCGTTGACCTGCTGCCAAGCCGCGACCTGCTGATGGACACCGTATGACGGACCAGGTGCAGGCGCGTAGTCGATGACAGCACCAGTGATTGGTCGGTTCAACTCTCCGACTTGATGCGCAACGGGGTTCTTGCCTTTGCGACCTTTGCTGGCGCTGTTTGGCGCGGACTTTAGCTTTTGTCGTTTCTGCGCCGACGTAACGGGGATATATCCCGCGTGTTTCATCGCCATGGCTTTCGCCGTATTCAGGTCGAACTTCTGACCTTGATTCTCTGGCTTATCTTCACAGACCAACGAGCTGATCGTCTGGTGTCAGCAACTATGCGCAAAGGCCAAAAGAGACTCACAGCATTCTGATCCGCTCGTAGGACGCTTCGGGAGCCGTCGAAGTGGGCTTTTTTCGACAATACTGGCACTTTTTGACATACCCGTTAATAATATCCTTGGGTATGAGAGAGAAGAACCCTTGGACCTGAGACTCCCATCAGCACCACCAGTAGTCTGTCAATATCGACGCCTCGGACTCACCTCAGTGTGGGTCTTGTCTCTACCACCGTGCTTGCAGTTCTCGTGACAGTACTTGAGGATTTCCCAAAAGTTCTCCACTGTCGCCACCGGCTTTCCATCCCAAAGCAGCACCGGCTCATGGTCAACCGCTACAACCTCAAACTTCTTCGCGGTTCCAGACTCCTTCGAGTTCCGCGATCCTTTGGCCCTCACTCCGTTGTCCTCCTCCATCACGGCGGCAATTTTTCGCTCATAGGACTTCTGGGTGAAGATAGTCTTCCGACGAGCCTCCCGCTTCTTGATCAATGCTTTCTCCGTCGACTCGTCCAGGGGACTTGTGTCCTCCCCGCTGTCTTCATCGCTGATATCTCTGTCGGGTCGCTCAAGGTAATTGTACAGGATTTTGGCGACATCGTATCGAGTCGGAAGAAACTCCTCTTGCGTGTTCTTGAGCGGCTCTGGGTAATCGGACGCCACGGGAGGTCGGCAATAAGGAAGGAGGTCCAGGTGATCAGGGCAGTCGAGATCGTCGACGGTGGGAGACAGAGGTTGCTCAGATTGCCAGGCTCGGTGGAACGGTCCGCTGAGAAGCTCAGACGGTCGGGGGATATGGTTATCCGGATGCTTTCCATATCCCCACTGACGGCCCTGCTCCCATTTTCTAGCCCTACTCAACGGGGAGCCTCTGCTTCCAGCGCTGGACGTAGTCGGCCTGTCGTATGGCTTTTTCCTCGATTGCGAGGAGGCACCAAAGCCGCCGCCGGAAGGTGGAGTTATATTCTGACATTGCGTCGAGGATTGGATCTGACTGGGAAAGCCGATGCTCGACGAGCCAGACATCTGGAACCTCTCAGTCGGCGAATGATTTCCAACGCCGAAAGGGTGACCATGTTGTACACCAGCATCCGCCCAGAAAGGAATCTGCTGATTCGTCGCCACAGTCTGAGAGGATGGATCCGTTTGGGGGTAACCACTGATATTGAGAGCAGATGCGCTTGCGGCCTGGGTCATGAGGCAGCTAATATCGAAGTCCGTGAAAGCAGAAGCCATGGATCTTGGTTGGATCATCGGATGGCCAATTTGCTCCTGTGTAGAAGGGAAGCCGAGGGCGTCGAAGCTCGTCATATCGATAGCCCCCGCAGAAGCTGCCATAGGAGGACGCTGCGGAGCGAAGGCTGGAACAAAATTAGATTGATAGTCTGGCTGTCTTGGAAGACCTGCTTGACTTGTCACTGCTCCGTTATACTGATTCGACTGACACCGAATCTGAGAATGGTCGGGAAGATGCGGTGTAGACTGGAAACTCGATTGGCTGATGGCTGGAGATGGAGATGGAGCCATGGCATGACTCTGAGGGATCCCGAGAAGCTGACTAGCTTGTGGAAGCATGAAGGGATTCATAGCATCTGGGTTGACTGGTTGTTGGTGGAGTGGATCATGTGGCGCGATGACGGGATAGGACCATCGACGCCCGTTGTCTGTGTAGGTTTGACGAAGCATGGCGTCAAAGTCGATTTGGGGGAGCTGGGACATGTTGTGTAGGTTCGTGGGAGAAATCAGGGGTTTTCGTCTGTCGGAATTGGACGGGTGTATCCGTCTATGCTCGCGACTCGCTGGGACCGGCGGCTGCTGGAAGTAGGACGAATGAGATGACTGACTGAACTGATCAAGAAATTGTCTCGACAGGGAGAGATCTTCCAGTAGCTCTGGACGTGCCAAATGCTGTTGACTAGCTGAAACAACTCGGAGACGATAGATTATAGGGAAGGTGAAAGAGGTTCGAGGCGGCGACTTGATGAAGACAACGTAGTGGATAACAGGAGCCCACTTGGAATCTGATTTTGACCAAAAGACGACCCGACGAAGGGTGAACGCGCGCCAAAGGAGACGCGGTGTATGCTTTGCGATAGGTATACAGGTATCAAGGATACTAGTGACAACAGGGTCACCACAAAGAACAAGAATGTGTATGAATGAAAGTTGAGAAGAGGAGATGGGGACGTTTGTTGTCGAATATCAAGCAAGCTAGGTGAAGCAATCGGGGTTTCATTATCGCCGCTATGCATTTTGCTGCAAGGCGAAACAAAGCAAGTCACGAGGTCAGGGTTCATTTCAATGCATATAGAGAGAGACCCAGGGTCATGTGGACAGTGGAGGGTCTATGTATCAATGGGATAGGCGAGACACAAGCACTTAGTCTGTCAACAACATGAAAGATGAGCCGGCGATTCAAAGGGCGTAAGGTATCTCTGAAGGAGATCGGGTCTGGAGTGGCCTCTCGAAGAAGACGAAGAACGGAAGCGCGGTGTCTGAGCTGTAGGAGATCACCTGAGATAAGACCGCTAGCAGAATATGTCTTATGAATGCGCTGAAGAGTCAAGATGTATGACGCATAGGAATAGATAGAGCATATGATGATGAACTGCAGAGAGAGGAAACAAGGAGGTCAGATTCGATTCTTCGCGACATAAGGCGGGAGGGGTTTATCTACTCAGAGCTTGTCAACTGAAGCCCAAGACTGATGGAGATACGTGTCAATCTACTGGTTTGCCCTCTGTCATGTCTCTGAGTCGCTAGACAACGATAGTCGCGGTATGAAGCCCATAACAGATCTATCAAATAATCAAACGAGTTACTCCGGGAATTAAGCATACTCCTCGAAAGATCAGATCTCTTGGCAATTCCAGCAATTTATTCCACAGAGACTGTCCTGTGAGTAGGGTGTCTATGTGAGAGTGGTGTAGCACAGCGATGTATCTGGCATCCATCGCACTTCGCATGTCATGTACTTGTCTTGTTGGTCCACTCGTTGACTGAGATGGAATCCGTTACTCACCCAATGATCAGCCTCCGGATTGTTGGCGCCTGAGTAGTCTGGATCATGTGATAAGAGACGTTTTCTTGCATCGCAAACAGCTCGGTGATTACATGCTCAAATAGAAAAAAACACATGCTTCGGCCTGCCAATGGACGGCAGAGCAGAGGACGCCTTCCAGAGCCGGCGGATTCCAACACATACAGTGGATGCGACGACATTGGCTTATATTGATACATTTTCATGCCGCGTCATCCCTGACTTTCCATTTCAAAACTTCCAGAGTGGCCTTGGCATCTTCGGCGGAAGAGTGACCAAGATCTGCTGTCCGCTCTTGAATAAAGTAGCCCAGCTTTTCTTTCACCCTAAGCAGCATGACTTAGCAAGGATCGATCAAGCAAAGCCAGTTGTAAAACACCCACAAGTCTCTTAGGGCTCGTCGATAAGGCGGACCTTTATCATGAGGAAAGATCTATCATTTCTCAACATGACGTCGACGCGGCCATCTCTGATCAACCTACCGTGGCAGTGTCAATGATCTTATCGTGTAGTAACCTCAATGCTCTCAAATCATTCTCGAGCCTGGAGGGCGCGGCGTCAGCGAGCAACCTTGCTAAAGAATGCCTCAAAGGCGCTCACCCGTGTCCCACAATCACGGATTCGGGCCCGACAAAGACGCATACAGCAGAGCGAACTGCTTCAAGATCCATCACGGCATCATCAAGCTCTCCGGGATGAAGACCAGAGAATCTGGTGTTTATGTCGCTGCAACTGACTCAGTCCGGCAACAAGGCGATCAAAGCCTGTCGAGGAGCAACTCACAGGATAGGTACAGGCTGTCGGACTTTCTCATCCAGCAGAATGACTCCAGATTGGTCAACAACGGTGACACGCGCAAGTGAAGAGCCACCAGTGGTGTCTGATCCCAAAATGAGCGTCATTCAGCAATGACAAGACATCACTCACAGATCATTTCGCAGTCCATACCGACAACATCCGCGACCTTTTTGCTTTCTCCCGGTGTTGCGGATGTCTTTCGCCCCTGGCCCAAATCCACAGGTTTGGCACTCGCTTCGGTCCCCGCTTGTCCTCTCTCCTCCCAGACTTGCTGGACAGTCTTGAATGCTTTCCTCTTTGCCAGTTTGGCATCATCATCCCCGTCCGTAAAGACGTGAATACCCTCCTCGCATCCTGCTTCTCCTCGCTCTCGACGACAACAAGTGTAGATCCATTTCCGCTTGCCTTCAATACGTTCAGGCTGTATCTTGCCATAATGGAACTGACATTCACCAGATCTGGATTGCAGATATTTTGAAGACACCACGAAGGGCTTCTTGCATCGCGAACAAGTCTGGTGGATCCCTTGGCAATCTGGCTCATCGCCTCCATTCAGAAGATCTTGGTTTCTCGGATCAGGGTATGCCCAAATTTTGAATTGATCCAGCGGCAAGAGATACTGCGCGACCTTTTCCTTCGTCAGTCTACCAGCGAGGTCTTTCTCCAACTTCTCGTAAGCTGCTCGGGACTCTTTAAGCGTTCCGACAGACGGATGAGTGGGCGAATCGGGCGCCGCTCGGCGAGAGACAGAGACAGCTGCGTGATGAATGGCTGATTTGTATGTCTTGATGTTCGGGCAAGTAGATGAGGTCTCTGCTTCTTGCCGAAGGGCCGATGTATGGGCAAGATCAGGATGCTCCGTCAACAGAGGGCGATACTGAAACGAGTCAGCGGGGCACAGTTCTAGCGTCGACAACCTCACGAGTTTTGTGTATTGCTGGAAGAGGGTCTGGACTGTAGACTTATACGTCAGCGGGCGTTTCAGCAGTACTGTCAATCGGCAAGACGTACGGCCCTTCTGCCTGTCGGCGTATGGTTGCGGTGACAACTTGAGATTGATGGTGGGGATAGACGGTGGTCTCATTGGATTGACGATAACCTCAGGCTCCGAAGGCTTCCTGACAAGCAAGGGCTGCAGACGAATGTCGATTCAGTTTACGGTCTCATCTTCCCATGATCCCTCTCTGCCTCACCTCTGATCCCCGTTTCGCCGGACTGCCTGAAGCACTTGGGTTCTTCAGACTGGTATTGATCACGGCAGCTGCCGGCGTGCCTTTCCCTTTGGTCTCATCTGCCTCTACTCGTGGTTTCTTCGACGCAAGTACCGGTGCGTGATGGCCTAAACTATTGGCGGCATTCGTAGGAACAGCCTTGCTCGAGCCTGGCTTCGGTTGAGCCTGTGAGCTTGTCGAAGTCGCTCTGCCACCATTGATCCCGAGGCTCTTGACAGTTTCATGACCTGTGACTGGCTCCTTCTCCTCTACAGTCTCCTTGCGCTTTCGACTCGACTCTCCGTGATTGAACATGCATTTTGGACGGTGGCAAGAGGGATCAGGACAGAGAGCCGATGCGAACAGTCCGAGAGAGCGAAACATGGTGTGAACCTGCTTGATGGCTCAGCATGTGCTATGACCGTCCATAAGACCTAAAGAATGAGACGTATAGCTCCGCTGATCGTGCCCAGGATATCTATATCCTTGAGCAGCTTGTATGATAAGATAGGTGCAACACCAAAGATCATCCGAATTCGTCAACATGATCGAGGAAATTCCGGTGAACCTAGCCGATGAGATCGTTCAGTTCTTCACGTTCTTCAAGATTCGTAACCTGCTGGAGCGATGAAGTCTGGTTTGGCGCGGACCCTCAAGAGAACTGAGTCTCGTTGCTCTTGCTTCAGGTCTCCCGCCCTGGCTAGATCTGCAAGAAGCTACAGCGTTGTATCACCATCGACCTCTGGAAGAGCCGAAAGTCCGCTGGCTAAAGTACTGAGAGACTCAATCAAGGTGAGTCGTGCGTCTCGCGAAATCATCTGAGATCTGACGCCTTTGAGCTAGGCTACAGGGCCAATATCTGTATCAAGATACATGCAGTGGTGCCTCTCCCATCCAGTTTACGGCTATTACACTCAGGGCGATGTCTTTGGTCAGAAAGGAGACTTTATCACTTCACCAGAAATCTCTCAGATATTCGGCGAGGTGGGTGTTCGCCCTGCTGCTATACGAATCCTAGGCAGAGATTCCACTGGCTAATGTTAGGTTCAAGCTCATGGCTATATGGTTCGTCACGCGATATATAGCCGCTGGCCATCCCAAGCGATGCAGGATCATTGAATTGGGCCCAGGTCGAGGCACGTTGATGGCGGACATCTTGAGGGTCAGTATAGGTCTTTCAGCTTGCTTACGTCCATCTTTGACTGACATGACGATCTTCAGACATTTGATCAGCTCAAGAGCATAGCGTCAAGTCTGAAATCGGTGCATCTGGTGGAAAACAGCGAAAAGATGAGGGCTGTTCAATCATCAAATCTGGATCGATTCTGCGAGGAGCGGGACATCGCTATACATTGGGTGGACCGGATAGACGACGTCCCTCCAGGTCAGCGGCCATCTTGAAAGTCCAAATCAACGTGCTGATCGGCCCAGGCGACGAGTTCACTTTCGTCGTCGCTCATGAGTTCTTCGATGCGATGCCTATAAATGCCTTTGAGGTGGGTTCCTGTCGAGCCTCAAGACCATGGATTGTATTGATTTGCCCTGTAGAAGGCTCCAGAGGGCTTCAGAGAGCTCATGGTGGATATAGATCCTGAAAACGGCTCAGAGTGAGTCATGGGAAGCCTTCCCATTCACGGCATTGACTTGATTAATAAGCTCGACTTCATGCTCGCATTCGGGACTGCGTTTGACGAGATCTCGCGAGGCGAATTCGAGTGCTCTTTTGATACCAGCTACATCACCTCGATTCGCCGCGCTTCCCATCGGAGCGAGGGTAGAAATCGCACAGGATTCATGGAAGATCGCGCGAAAGATCGGAGAGATGTTACAACGGTCGGAACCAGGCAGCACAAGCTCATCTGCGGGTGGCGCGGGACTGATCGTCGACTATGGTGCAGATAAGCTGTTTCCAGATAGCTTTCGAGTGAGCTGAACTTGCAACCTGGCGATCTCTGTTAAACCCTACTCAGGCCATCAGGAAGCATGAGATAATTGATGTCTTTGATAGCCCCGGAGAATCTGATCTCACTGCAAATGTGGACTTTGCGTACCTCAGGGAAGCCATAGAGGGTACAGGTGAGTCTCAAGAGTACTGTGGCCTCGGGTCTCCGAGGGTGGACCTGATGCTCGTCTGCAGGAACCTCTGCTCTTGGACCCATCAGCCAAGGACAATTTCTGCTTTCACTCGGACTGCAGCCTCGTCTCCAAAAGTTGTTAGCCTCGAATACTTCTCCAGAGCGCAAACAAGATCTGATTAAGGGCGCTCAGCGGCTAGTCGATCCAGTCTTCATGGGCAGCCAGTACCAGATTATGGGCTTGCTCAGCGGTGCTGGAGAGGGTGCAGAGGTGTACCCATTTCCATCCCTGGTGCCGACAGCTGCCGAACCCGGAGAGACTCGACCCGATAGTTAATCCAAGTCTCACGACAGAACACTGCATGTATCACATATGCATCGTCTTTCTTGCATATTTGATGGATGTGACGGGTACTAGGCATTAGATCCTCGTCTGGATCATGTCGGGGTACAACCCTTCAGCTTCCCAAAGCTTTTATGCGGTCCTCGAGACTCTTCATGCGATCCCCTAGTCCCGTCCAGTTCCGCTCGACAGCCTTTGCGCCTTCCTCTAATCCTCCCTTGACGCCTTGGACAACTCCGACCAGCTCCTTGACTTCATCACCGTTTCGTTTTGTTCCTTCTTGGACTGCTCTCAATGTGGATACTGTCTGCGCAGCCTCGGCATGCAAACCCGACAAGCTTTTCAAACGCGCCAGAAGAGGTGTGATAATAGGTATCAGTGGGTCCAAACGCGGCAGAATGGCGAAGAGAGATTGCAGGGATTCGTATTCGGCTGAAGAGAGGGCAACGCTTGATGCTCCTTTTTCGGGGGATTGAGAGCCAAGAGGTTGGCGACGGGATGCGGCTGCTGCTCTATCCAAGTCCACAAGGAGAAGCTTGACACGACGGGAGATGGCATCTAGATGTCGAGGTTGAGTGAGTAGGATCAGAAGGTGATCGAGTTTTTGGAGGGTGGTGAGGAGGGGGGCTGAAGTCTGTACTTGCTTGTCAATCTCAGACTTAGAGAATGCAGATAACGGCTACTCACATCGATAGCTCCAGAGTTTGATGGTCCAATCGTATCTTCCAGACTGGCCAGTCGTTTGTCTATACTGGATAAACTGTTTACCGAGTTGCTCGGCTCTGAAAAAACATCTCTCTGGTCATTTGGCTCGTGATCTGAGCCGTCCTGAGCCGGCTTGGTAATCGCCTGTAGCCTCTGATTCCAATCCAGTGTCGAGACTCCAAAGCTTTCAGCTTTCTCCCGCATCTCTACGGCTGTGAGTTTGCTCCTCAGGGCTCCGAGCTCCGATACAAGATCCACTGGGGTTCTGGGGGGAAGGACAGATTTGCGTTTGCCGTTCCTGGCTCCTCCGACTTCATCTGACTCTGTAACGGCGGTTTCATGAACACTTGAAGTGGACGGGCCAGCCTTGATTTCTGCTTCGACCTCTTCAAGCTCAGCCTTGAGACGTCTCAGCCTTGCCGCTGGTGTCTCCTTTAACGGCTCGTCGGATGAGCTGGAGGAGCAGGATCTGTGTCGAGTCAAAGGAGGCAGGCGAGGTCTGAAGATTAAAGAAGCGTCTGTAGGAGTTCAGTCTATAGACATCATACCCGTGCGGCTACACTGACCTGGCCGTCTTGTTCCTCTTGCAAAGACTTTCTCGGCTCGTCGTCGCTCAGGTAATTCTGAGGCATCGATATCTATTGATATCGTTTTTGAACCCTGTTCCTCCTCATCTATACCGAGATCATTCTGAAGAATCGCCCCTTTCAGCACTGTCCCATTTGGTTTCGCCAGAGCCTCTTCCACCATGTACTCACTGGCCTCAGTGCTGATTCGGGCTCATCAGCAGTCTCAAAGACATCCTGAGCGGTGTCCTGTCGGCCGTCGTCAGCTTTGTCAGGTCTCTGTCCTATGCTGCAGTTGTCTATGACACTCACAATGTCTGGCAGTCCGAAGTATTTGCTGCTCATGCTGACGCAACGCTCGTCGACATTGATGTTGTCGACCAAGGTATGCAGGTGGAAAGCAAGACTCGAAGCGCGTGCAGTCGTGTGGCAACAGCCACGTGGCCTTCATGCGCTTTGACCTCCACTTTCCTCGTCCACTGTCTCTGTACTTCGCAATGTTCTGCATCTCAATTACTGGAGCTTGTACAGGCTCATAGCTATCATTCGCGCTGAACATGTCGACACATTCGACCTGTGAGTGGGTGTGTTCCGAGAGCAAAGAGGCGACCTAGTTGAATCGCGCGGTTCAGTCTCCCTGTTAAAATATACATACCTCCAAGAGGGACCAATTGCGATTATAACCCCGCAAAAGACCCTCAAATGGTCGAATACGTTGGTCATCTTAAGAGACTCGTTCTGGAAACAGTGCCAAGCTGACATGCCCATTCGGGTCTTAGTCAAGGTCCTTCACTCACACTTACCCTGGAGCTCTCTCAAGATGGAAAGAGTCTTCGGATAAGGGTCGATGACAATGGTGACGCCAGGGTAGGTTCCACATTTCGAGCCCTCACACATGTCAAAAGAAACTCATATACGTTTCCTCAGCTGCTCGGTTCTGTCAATCAACTGTCAGCTCAGGCTTTGACATCGAACAAGGCTCAACAGAAGATCGTACAAAATGGTACTAACCTTTTAGTGCGATTCCCAATTGACAAGACCAGAGACGGGATGAATCAGGCAAGTCTGTTGCCCCGACTAGAGCATTCCAGCGGATGCTGATTCTCTTTAAGCTTGGCGAGAGGTTCCAGATTCGACTTGCATCATTGACAGACATCTCTCAAATTCTGTCTGTCTCACAGAAGTTCTTCCACATCACATCGAGAGGGAATGGAAACTCAGAGAGCCAGAGCTTGACGCCCAAAAGCCAAAGCGAGTCCATGGTCTTCACTCAAGCCATCCCTCTTTCTCATCTTCGTGGACCTCAAGTACTCCGGCCTGCCTCACGGGCGTCTGGCATCGAGTTGCCCATGGCGGACAGCTATCCTGCTGCCGCCGAGACATCAACGAAGGTTACAAAAGTGGATGGGGAATCGTCAAACACTGGGACGATCCAAGGTAGCAAGAGAAAGAATGCAGAGGACGATTTCACCGAGGCCCTTAAACGTCAATTGCTGCGAAACTACCTCCCTCCAAGCGGTAACGCGAAGATCTCCCGGCTGGATCGGGCCGTTCAAGCCCATCAAGACGCAGCATCGAGCAACGAAGAACAGCTCGAGGGAAGCTATCGTTCACCTCCAGAAGATATCGCTACGCAACATGAGGATAGGATCACGAACGAGTCTAGGACGGCTGGGATCCGTGAGAGCGATCATAGCTCCCATAGTCCGGATCAACCTACGCAAGCCAGCTTGATCGATCTTCTTGACCCGATCGAGAGTCCTGGAGGATCATCCGGCGTCACCGACATGGCCAACAACCGAAAGATCCATGAATCGAATCCCTGTACTGACAAAGATCTCATCGATCTCGACTGTCCTTGGAATAGTCTGCGTGATCTGGATTATGTGTGGAAGCCCTTGCAGGTCGACATATTGAGCACCTCAACTCTGCACGCAGATCCCATGGTGAGCAGGACGCGTACTTCGCCGTTGATCCTCATGTCACAGACGACTACCGGGGCTGTGGAGCAGACCACACGTACCTCTCCTGTCTACTCATATCCTAATCGTCCTCCTATAGACCCCTATACTCAACGTCGATTGCCCGATTTCAACCACGCGAGCCATACAACGCTGACGCGAGAAGATGTTCGGAGTGAGCTGCGAAAATACATGATGGAAGAAGACTTCAGGAAGGATGTGAGTCAAGTGTCGAGCGCTCCTACGATCACTCATATCATTGATAGGTAAAGCTGTTAGCTCATCTGATACGTGAAGAAACGAAGACGTGTCTCGAGGAGCACTATCGACATGCCTCCTCCTCTTGGTGGCGCTCCTCACCTGTCTACGACGAGCCTTGTCATCCCGTTACTAATGACCTAAACATCTCTGCGTTCACCGCCGCGCAGCCCAATCGCCACTTGTATGCCGAATGCCATGGTTCGCACCAGCATCTCCGAGCACCCCGTCCACCGCACCGACAGCGCAGTCCGGATCAATGCCTGGCTGGGAAGGCTCATCAGATGGATTCACTGGCTCCTCACGATAGAGAGACCAGATCAGGCGCCGAACCCGACTACACCCAGGCATCGACCACTATTCCAGCAAGCACCCCAGTTCAAGAAGACTATTCCGTGACTGACGACGAGTTCGAAGCGCTCATGGCGACGACGTGGAAGGACTGACGATCAGAGATGACGACTTACGAAAAATTAGACGACATCATTCATGTAGATCATGCATCCGGACGAGCCATTTAATGCCGAGCGAGGCGAGGCGGAGGAGACCTTGACCTCGCGCGGTCGTCAGCCTCAAAATCCGATGTTCTCCGCCGCGATGGAGGATGAGACCGGCCCGAGTGGCGAGCACCATCTCGCGCAGGTTCCGCTCCCTGATCTTGACGGTACCTCCTACTGTCCTCATCTCGTGACCCAGGGATCCGCTCGTCCCTCTGTTCCGCTTCGTCCTCGCTGTCCGATTGTACCTCCTTGCCAGGCTTCCAAGTCAGCTTAGCCTGACACCTAGGGCATAGTCTGACTTTGACCAGAGCTTCTTTCCTCTGTCCCGCTTCTTCATACACGAATGGCAGTTCGAATGACCGCAACGCCGGCATCTTCCGTTTCTTCTTCCGGCGTGCGCGGTCCTCCTCTCCAGGATCGTATCTCCGTTCGCTGATCGAAGGACCGATATCGTCAAAGTCGACTTGTGGTGTCGAAGGTATAGTCTCCGTTCCCTTGTGATATTTGCATCGTAGAGATCCGCAGGTGTCCTCGCCGATGCCATCGACAACTTCTGGAGCTGTCCGCCACCGAAGGGCTAGTCGCCGAGATTTATAGTGTTTCAGGTCGATCTGTATCCCGTCAGCTATTCATTGCATGGCGAAGGTGGTCCAAACAGGCCGTCTCAACCCTTTGAAGTCCTGATACTGGAGCACTCACCAAGGCAAACTCTTTGAACAACTTGCTTTCGTACGCTCTTGCAAGACGCTCTTCCCAAGAGACATCTCCGGGCTCTTCGTCATCACGAATGAATCTGCAACCATTAGTATACATGACCGGTCTTTCAAATCTGTGGCCTACCTATGGTTCTCCTTCAGGACATCCCACTCCGTTTTGACTGTGGATGGGCCAGCCTGACCTGACCCATAGTGCCTCGCTAGCTGTTGCTCTCGCTGAAAAGCCGTAAGACCGCCTAGATTCGGCCTGTACCTCGGATCCAGCTTATGATGATTTGAGCTCGTCAGGGGTCCTTTTACGAGCTGCCCAGAAGACTTCCAGCTCATCTCAGACAGTACTGTCGTAACTGAGAAGAATCAGAATCGCTACGAGGCATTTCAGCTTGGTTGGGATGTTACTGCTTAAGTAAGCAATTCTCAATCGAAGTCCTCGCCGCAGGTGAAATGTTACTGTTTAGTACCGACATTGTTCATCAACGAGACTTGCAACAGGGTCGCATTCAGTCCTGACATTAGTGCAGAGACCTCTGAAGGAGTATAGAATCTTATCCAGCACATGCGGGGATCCAAACTCATTCACTCCCCATTGTAACCGCTACCTGTCGATTCGTTCAATATTGGAGCTGGCGCGCGACGCGACTGGCTTTCGACTTCATAATCTTGGCAGATCCCTGGAATGATGTGTTGAGATGTCCCTGCGGGCGGGAGACCAATGTCTGGGATGATAGTCTCTAGGCCCATGCAAGAGGCTGTACCGAGCAAGAACAATCCTTTCGCGAGGCCTGTGCTGCGGCATGAACCATCGAGTTTCAAGCGGGCTTCGCTGCTGCCTTGTCGAGGTCAGGAAGAAGTCCTGCCTGTGAATGTGTTATCGACCCCTGGGAACCAATCTACCAGCAGACACATCAGCACTTCTGGTGCCAGTGGTGGACTTCATGGAGTCGCGAGACAAAATTGGCGTCTGCTATGGCGCGGCGGGCTGGAAGTCGGTCCTGAAGGTTGGCGCCTGGAAGGTGAGTGCAGGAGTTGTGAGATCTGCTGGAGCGACTGACGAGACTCGATGGTTTAGGTGTGACGTTCTTTGCCCTGCTCTTCTTCCCTCCGCCTACTCCATCCACGCACGCCACGTCCAATCCCTTCGACGCTCCTGTTCAGCCCTCATCTCAAGCTGGACCATCTTCCTCGCCTTTCCCATCAGTCCTCTCTGGCGATACAGATCTGTGCCTCTCACTCGAGAGTATGCGTGGAAGAAAGTATCTCCAAGTCAGGGGCGTCGTGGATCTACCAGCAGATGAGATTCTCGACGCGGGTGAAGAATCAGGCACAGTGCAAATGTGCATCGACAGATATCGAAGCGTGACTCAGCTGACTCTCTCCACAGGTCGATCAGCCCCAATGCTCCTCTTTTGGCGACGTATTTCACAGGATTGTTATGCCGTGCCCGCAATCTTTCGCCTCAAGGCAGGACTCTGAGCGCCGTGCACATTGGTTTAGGCGATGAAAGTCTGGGTGTGCCAATACATACGTGTGCTTTAGACTGAGCTGACCACATTTCCAGAATCCAGCGGATCCGGAATCCTCATTTACGGCCAATTGGGCTCGGATCAGGATGTGTCGTCCCTCAAGCTATGTGTCGGACGACGCAAAACGAAACAGCTGCAGCCAAGCGAGAAAAAAATCAGACCAGGAGAACCGCTACCTCGAGGCAAGTCGAAATTCCATAGGGCCCGCTCATCGTCTCAGCGCCACTTTTCTTTCCGACACAAGGGCCCAAGAAGCCTCCTCCGCCGTTTCCGAGACGAGCACAATCCTCATCGAGAGCGTTTCTGCGAGCTCCATCTAGCAACTCAATTTATTCGCATCCTCAGAGCGTTCGCCAATCATCCCTTCAACCACCAGATTTACCAGTCATAAGGCCGACCGAAAAAGGAGCCCGTCTCAACGGAGATGAGAGCGAGCTTTTGAAGAAGGCTTCAAGGGGACCGGCATCTAATAGCACAGCATCGGACCGACCACAGACCGCAAAGCGTCCCATATCTCTAAACCATGACACTGGCGAAAACACTCAATTGGCTGACGAAGACATCTTCGGCAAGAAATCGGCAGCTGCCGGTCCTTCCACAGTCAGATCTGCTCCGGGCGACAGCAGTGATCCGAGCTCGAGCAAGGCTAGAAAGCCAAGAGTTCCTCAGCAGATCCTCGATAACAAAGCTGTGAGTAATCATTGTAGATCTCGAGTGATTCGTGCTGATGTCTTTCTCAGGCTATCAGGAAGCAGAGTTTGGTTATGCTCGGCGAGAGAGGTATTCCAAGACAGCACCCGGCTTTCAAGGATATCTTCGGGATGGTCACAAAAGGCACTAGCTTTGCTCTGGTCAGCTTTACGTCCACCTACAAGCGGGCCAGCTGACGATCCACAGAGGGACAGGATGGAGATACTAGCCTTGGGGAAGAGCGAGATTCAAGCCATCGTCATCACCCACCTCAATATGTATATCCCATCTACGGATGCGAACGTGGCTGCCCCAGAAATGCGAGTCAAAGCGGAGATGGTCGAAAGGCTAGAGGAGGATCCCGCTTTGATCGAAGACACTGGAGACGCTATACTGGATCCAACTACGTAAGTCTCTCTAACATGAGATGATACATGCAATATGATTATACTGTAGCCATTATATGCATTGTCTTGCTGCACGGCTACCGACGCAGTAATACAGTAGTCACAAAATTCCCCGATACACATTCTGTTATAGATACAACCGTTGTGACACCAACGAAAATTCTCTATTGCCAGCAGGTCCCAACCACCGGATACCACGCGATGAATTGACCTTCCACATCGTCTGTCGCTTCCACGGGTGGAAGGAGACCCGTATGACCAGTAATGACTCCTCGACGGCAGGTACCTCTTGCCAAGAGATACTGCAAGACATCATTGACCTCCAATCGATCCAAGACGATTGAGGTCTTTTCTCTCAAAGCCGCCTAAGGAACCTCAGTCAGCTATGTATTTCAAGACCGGTGGTGGCCGACTCACCTCTGAGATTCCCGACCTTGTCTGGATCAAAGATGTCATCATGGCGCATATTGCCTGCCAGTCCTTCTCCATTTTTTGACCATAGATGTCGATCCAAACTCTGGGCAGTGTCTCCGCACCGCCAGCCTCGACCACTTCGATTCGACCATCCTCCTTCTGGATGGCTCGATCGCACTTGACTTTCCACTCATCTCTATATGCCCACGTGACCAGACGAGGGCAATCATAGCCTGCCCAGAAGATTGTCGGCGGTTCGTCTAATGCCATGAGTGCAAGCGCCTTCTTCAGAGTGTCTCGGTCATATGACAATCGAGCCTAGAATAGAAGTCAACACTGTAATGTTTTCACTCCGCATCTAGGACTTACCCGTAGCTCAGGGATAGAGACACCCTCTGCGCCTGCCTCATTCACGGCTTCGAGGACCGCGAATTGGACCTCATCAGGCAAAGCGATCGATGCCGGATCGACGGACCATGCAGTTGGTGGACGGACTTCTGACCAGCCGGGAGATTGTGGCTGATGAGGCTTTGAAACGGGAACACGAGCCGAAAACTTGAGGTCGAATTCGAAATCAATGTCGTCTATAGGAATGTCAGTAAGGACCTTCGCACGACAACATACTGAAGCGACGGGTGTTGTACGTCTCATTTTCTTCCCAAATGGTTGGGAACGTACTGATGTCGAAATCGAAATCAACCTATGCTATCTCAGCTTTGTCACGGACATGGGTTCTGGCTCATACCTGATCTTGAGAAACGGCGTCGAGAAGAGGGGCAACTTCCCCTCCGGAAGCCAGCAAGGAGAAGTCTACAGCAGCTCCGACCGTTTGCAGAGTCTCCACGGTCTTCGCCGTCTCATCATAAAATTGCGCCGGAATAATTCCATCGCGGATTGCAAGCCAGCTGCAGATATTGATCAGCTTCACCGGCATAATCTAGGACTCTCTACTGACTCTTTGGTGAAAGCGAATTGCCTTTGGTTTTCAGTCAGGTTGGAAGTCTTTCTGAAGACCCTTTCGTTGCATAATTCTTCGCTGACATCGATCACTTCTTCACTGGTAAAATCTTCCAAGAGGGCTCGGGCTGACGGTTGACTATAGACCATTGTAGGTGTCCCAATGATCATCTGCGCATACTCTTCAGCTCTTTGGTCCACACTCCGTGGCACTAACTAACCTTGCTGATGGAGCGGAGTCTGCCCGTCCGCAGATCACTTTTGTCCTTCGGCCACCATGGTATGATCTCATGGACTGTTGACAGCGAGCTTACAGTCGTAAGCCTGAAATCATCGCCACCGAGAGGATTCCAGAAGGCTTCGGTCGATGGTTGCGAAATCTCCCTTGGAATCAAGCGGTACGTCGTAAGGACATCATCGACGGTCGGAGGCAAGTCCACGATCTTGTCCATTTTCTTACGGATCGGATTCGCAGCTGCAGCAAGGCGTCTGAAATAGCGTCAGCACGAGTCACAACAGCAAGAACTCACATGGAAGGCTTGTGAATATGACTCCGGAAGAAATCGAGATGCGCTCGGATATCGAAATCCACGATACTGTATGGCTCCTCGTCCGGAAGCTCCGGTGTTCCTCGGTACTGTTTCCAGATGTCGTACCAAGCTTCAACCAAACGATCAAAGTATGCTTTGCGACCAGGTATCGTCATCTGTCTCTTTATCCTCGTGAGGAGAGTCTGATGCCCAACGCCGTGAATGATGCGCTCCGTGGCCGCTCGGCCTTTGGAGTTGACAATTTCCTTAGAGCGAGCTCGAAGAATAGCCTCGCAATCAAGGAGATCCTCCTCGTCTTCTGCGGTCCACACCTTCCGACGTCGACGTCGAGGTCCTTCTGCACCTTCTGGGACTAATCCATCAGCTCGAGATGCAAACGTGTCGTCTCACCGTTGGCTGCCACTGGTACAATCGGCAGATTTGACAGGAGGACAGCCCTGCGAACCTTCTCCTCTGCCTTCTTTGCCACTTCTTTAGCCTCCCTCTTTTTCTTTGCCGCCGACTCTCTATCGACCTTTGGGGCTTGTGAACGAGGTGCTTTCACGGGCTTGGCTTGACCTGGCCCAACGGCAGTACCAATGTTCTTGATGCGAAGATAGCTTCGACAAGCATCACAAATCGCCTCGTCCGTGACGCGGCCAGTCATCTTGATGGTCGACGATTGCACCATGTAACGGCCGACATAATCGACCAACTCCTCGCTAAATGGCGTCTTGGTTCGCTCGGAGGCTGTTCTGACTCGATCGCGCCACTCAGCTTTCTGTTTGGCTGCCCTATCAGCCAGCTTCTGTTTGAGCTCCTCAGCTGCACGTATTTGATCTCTCTCTCGTTTTTCTCTTGCTGACAAACGAGCAACCTTGACCGTTGCGACCTTCTTCTCCTGTCGGACCCGGCGCGAATGCAGTATCTCACGACGTTGATCGACGTAAGGCCGCACAGCGGACAAAGGGACTGCGTATTCCCCAGCCAACTGTGCGAGCTCTTGCTCGTCAGATTCTGATGACGTGAGATGCGCTTTGACCCAATTATTGAGTGCTTCTTCCTGCACGGGGTGCAGTCGAGCACCAACTCTCCAAGGCGGACGGTGTAGCAAGTATTGTCGCTGCTTATCGCTCACATCGCTGACTTCTGTGAAAGACGCCATGTTTGTGCGGTCGATGCAATGAATCCCTTGAATTTGAGGGAGTTGGCTGACCTCTTCGTTCATCGAAGCTGCTTTGAGCAGGGACCAAAAATGCTCAGCCTCATTGACGTCCTTTATCGGTAACACAGCCAAAAGGGTCATGACATCGGCTGCAAAGTGATAAAGCGGAACAGCGTCAAAGATTCGAAAGTAAGTCGCACTGATGGCAGAATCGACACCCTTGAAGTAGGACTTTCCACCCAATTGCCGGTCACTGCAGGCTAGAGAGTAATTCGACTCATCCGCCGCCACCAGTGGTTCAATGATCTTGAGTGCCACTAAACCATCCAGGAGAGTGCCGAATTTGTTCCGTGCACCGTGAGCAGCCAGCTTCGCCGCTGACCCGAGACTCGCAGGCAAATCGCGGAGCTTGACATCCTGATTCTCAGCCTTTCTGATGAAAGTCTCCAGGTCTTCGCTGTACGTCCCGATTCGCACCACGGAGAACCACTCAGAGACGGTCAGATCCTCCATTAGAAGTGGCAACGCAAAAACTCGAGGCGACGTCGATAGCACAGATTTCGACTCCGTGTCGTCCATGGCCCGGATAAGCGCAGCGTGCAAGATCCGACACCTTGTGTTCCGGGCCGCTTGGAATCCGTAAAGTGTGGACACAATCTCGGGATCGCGGAGCAGCGTTTCTCGTCGTTCAGTCGGGGAGATGTCTGACCGCAGCTCCGACTGCAAAGGCGAATTGAGTGACTGTGGTTGCAAAGCCGAAGTGGTTCGGGAGCCATGTTTTCTCCTCTTCGCCTTTGTCAATGCTACCTCTGGCTTGCGGAGGATCGAGAAATCGGTGTCTGCGACCTCGCGAGGAGTCTTCTTTTTAGGAGTGAGAATCTGAGAGATTGCATCACTTTGCACACGAATGTATGCAGCCACCGTATCCCACGGCGTCTCGGGTAAGTAGATGATACTGCTCGGTTGCCATCGACCGGTCGAAGTCGCGACCATACTGGATGTCTGCTTGATACGACCGTCACTCTTTACCTGGGCGAGAGTACGTATGAACGTGTGTCGATCCATGTTATAGCCAATGGCAGGCGCAAACGGGACGTTCGTGCCGGCGACTCGTATCGACCAATCGTTATGCTGTTTGCGCAATTTATGTTCCGTCAATACGCCGCCAGCGTCTCTTAAAGCTTCGCAGATTTCATTGGCCCGTTTGAGCTGCTGGATGTCGAGCCTCACCGGGCCCCGTGCGGCTATACGTGATTCGGGAGCAGGATTGCTTGGCGTCATTTCTCGCAATGGGGTACTCTCGTGATACTTGGGCGTGAAGTATGGAACCGATGGACCGACGTACTTCTGCTCAGTCTGCACGGGGATAGGTTGAGATTGTACTTGTGCGAGAGTGTCAGACGCTGGCTGTGTTCGCTCGGCGTTATAGTCGGTTGCGGCACCATGTGAAGATGGTTCCGGAGCTGCCGATGTTGCGACGTCGCCCAAATCCGTAGCCGGATAAATATCTGGACTGACGCCAGTTGCTGCGATTGACGAGGTAAGTATCTCATCTGGGTCTCCTGATTGGTTCGCTGATTTCAGCACCGTGCTGGAATCGGCGCTGGTTTGAGTCGTTTTAGACCCAGTCATGCCTGGAGCGGACGGCTCGATCCGGGAGCTGATGACATTCTCCGATGCCTTAGGCATCATCTCCCGTGACCCATCACCAGCAACGATGCCATCCGTTTGTCTACCTGTTTCAACCGGTCCTGCGTCCTCAGAAGCAGATCGCTGAACCCTACTGCCAGTCGCAAGGCCAGAAGGCTGAGCAGGACCGAAACGAGATTTCGGCAAGAACCTCGCAAGCGGCGTCGGTGTAGATTGAGCAGTCTGCCCCGAGGGCATGGGGTCAACATCGGGATCTGGAGTGTGGTTCACTTGTATGTCAGACTCGGATCCCGAATTAGCAGCCAATCGCCCAAGTTTGCGCTTGTACGACCTTACGACCGCGGGCAATACGAATGCCGATATTTTCGGGTTCGAGTTGGTGGGAAAGGTAAAGAAGGGCTTTGATTCGGGAAAGTCTGCCCCAATCATCGGAGATGGAGAACGAGGCTTGGGGGTCGCTGCGGATTGTTGCCGTGACAAGCCAGACAACGCAGCCTCGCTGGGCTTGGTCTCAGGACTGATGGGATCATTGTCGTCCGGAATGATGATGATGCTTTTTCCTCCCTTCGTCTTCTTCCTGCTGGAGTTTTGGATTGGCTGCGGGGAGTCTACCTGTGCTTCTTCCTGTGTGGGTGCCTCAGGCTGTTTTCCTTTTGATTTCGGTGGTCTCCCACGCTTCTTCGCTTTAGGTGACTGACTTGCTTCAGTTGTAGCAGCGAGATCTGTGAAGACCGGACCTGTGGCGGATTCAAAGCCGACAGGCACAGGTGGACGTCCCGCCGCTACAGAATCGGTCACCCGAGGAGGCGAACTCGCTCGTTCAGGCTGTGTTAATTTCTGGTCTCGCAGTTCCGTAGTCGGACCTGTTTTCGAAGTCCGAATGCTGTCCACGGCCGTCGGGGCGTCAACGGTGACGCCCGGCTCGTTAAGAGCGGGGATCGTCTCACGCGTGCCATCGCGTAACGTCGAGGGGTCGATATTTCGGAAAACCTGGTTTGCCACGACATTTTCCGTCGGATTCTGCACCTGATCCAGGATCGATGGCTCCTCAAGTATCGCTTGTTGACTATCAGTCGATTGCTGAAATGAAATTGTAGACGGCCCAGCAAGGCAGTCACCTTTACCGGCCTCTTGAGCAGCAGCAGGTAGTGTTCGATTCCCGTGCCCCTTATCCTTCTTGACCTTCTTGCGTTTCGAAGCCGCGGTGGGCGTAGCCACCTCCGCTCCATCCAACCCCTTCTTCCTCTTCTTCGAGTCCTTTTGGAACTCCTCGTTTGACTCTTTTCCCTGGATTGACTTCTTCGGCTCTTTCACCTCCTTCGCACCAGAGTCATCCTTCTTGCGCTTCAGCTTCGGTTCCCTCTCTCTACCCTTCCGCTTGTTCTGCTTCGGCTTATCGGCAGGATACGAGTCAAAGTACCCGGGCGATTTACCACTCGCTAAAGCCTCTACGTCGAGTTCTGGTGGAGGGCCAATTCCAGTGTACCATGCCGGAGGGACGACCAGTAGATTCCGATCTGGCAGGTAGACATAGATAGGGGCGAGATCGGGATGGGGGAAGACGGTGCCAATAATGTTTCGGTTGATCTTGCCGGATGGCTCCACTACATGGAGGTACTTCCTGGGACGCCCTCGTGACTGTCCAACTATGGAATACTTCATAGCTTTCTTGCTGGTTCTCTTCTTCGTGCCCTTTTCGATAGGCGAGTCCGAGCGACCTTTGCGCTTCGCCGTGATTGAGCTCTTTCTCGACTCTATCGACTTTCGCACAGGCGCTTGTTTCTCAATCTGTCCAGTTCGAGGTCGACCGTGTTTTGCTGGGAAATTGGAGATCCTGGCCTGGCCAACGAGGAACTTGTCTGTCTTCGTGTTGAATTCCCTGATCGAAGTGTACATGTCTCGGAACGACAGATCTTGCCAATGCCCGGCTTCGGGAGGGGCCGGTGGATGCTCAATGTCCGACGGAACGTGACCTTGGGAGACGATCACTTCACGCAGCGCTGCTGTAGAGTAGCACCGTATGCGCCGTTCTCGACCCAGGGTCTCCATACTGGATTGCAAACTCATGTGACGTAAATGGGGAGGGATGATCGCTCCGTCCGTTCTGATCTGAATGTGTTCGATGGATCGCCGATAATATCCCGTAAGATTATCACGTATGTCTGAGATTGTCATGCCTCCAGTGCCAGAGTCGACAATCATTTTGACGATCTGGTATTCGACGGGTGTCGCCAAAGACGCCTGGCCCGTTGTGACAAATGGCTCGTTATACGCTGTCCTCAAGTCCTGCTCCGCAATGCTGGGATCGACCAAGTCTTCGTCCAGGTCCGCGCCGTCGAGGGTGCTCGGATCCTTTTGTACACCAGACACGAAGGCTGGATTGTATTTGGTCAGGCGGACACATGGTCTCTTCCGACCTGCGATTGTCACCTTTTCGACAATATTTGCAAATATGAGGGAGTCGACGTGTTTGGAGAAGGCGCGCTTGTGTCTCTGCGCCATCGGTCTATTCCAGCCCTGAGAATTCGATGAGCTTGAGGCAGTCGCTTGAGTCAGCTCACCAGAACAGGCAGCATATCATATATCTGCAGAAGATGGTTCTTCAGTTTTGGATAATCCAGTATCTGAAGCAGCCTCTCCTTGACAGCAGTCCCGACCATCACCTCCTGCTCTGTCAATGGTGGGAATTCGAAACCCCACTCGGCGATGGAGATCCGCTTGCTAGAGACTGCATCGACAGCATCAGGATCGGAGAATTCAGCATCGTCATCCAGCTCTGGGTCGAGCTCGTCTTCTTCGACCTTTTGCTTCGAGCGATGCTCGTCGGCTGTTCCGTCCGGGAATCCCATCATGGCTTGATAAGTAGGGTTCTGTCTCAAAAATCGATGGAATATGAGGATGTTGGTCATGGCGGAGAATGATATTGTTGGGATCTTGGCACTATGCGGGATTGAGCAAATAAGCGTCATTGGCCAGACAGCTCACCATAGACCTAAGCCCGTAAGAACCTTCATGTAGTAGTGCAGACTGCCTTGTCCTGCGCCAACGGCAGGTCCCAGGTCGATCGTTGTGATGCCGCGCTCCCTGCATTTGGCGGTCGTCTGAAGGATGTGGAAGATAATGGGCGTGATTCGTGGATTCTGAAGACAAGTCAGCGACTACTCAATGGGAAGACCACGGCATTACTCTTTGATAGGTTCCGACCAATCTGTAGTAGATCTCGTCATCAGTCGCCCTGATCCTCAGCCTCGACCCCCACTTCTCCAACATGAGGTCGAGGTTTTTGGTTGCAACTCTGTCCGACTCCTCTCCGCCATCGTCTTCGCCTAGCAATCGCCAGAGATCCTCTTCGGGAGTCTCATCCTCTTGACCATTCGCGTTAGGCCCAGCAGAATTCTCCTCTCTCGCTTGTTTCTTGGACTTTCGATTCTGGATATTCTCCAATCTCTTCTCCTCGACGGATTCCTTGCTCGTCTTGAACTGCCTCCCTGCGAGTTGAAACGCCAGTTCACGCCCTTTCAGACCTCTCGCCATGAGCTCCTCGGCAGTTTCCCGAGTCTCAGCCATGAGGCCTCGAGTGATGCTGTCCGCGAGTACGGGCGCATATCCCACGCGCACCTGTCCATTTTCAGGGGGTAGTGGATGTGCTGTGAGGATGATTTGAATGGACGGATGAGCACTGAGCAAACTGTAGATGTAGGTGAAGTATCCTTGATCTATGCCAGGGTCCAAGCTCGCCAAGTGAAGTCTCAGGCTGTCCAGATCGCTACCTGTGAAACGACGTGACACGTATCAGCGCATGTCTTGGTCTTTCTTCGCCTTCATTCATCTCATTGGAACCAAACAAATCAAAACCGCTACTGCACGGGCAGATGCTGATTGTTCTGTCTCCGGATTCGAACGCAACTCGTCCAGGACAAAAAGATTAAACCGACGCGACTTTTTGACTCACCTAGAATTCCTTCGACTGCGATGTAGTCAATACAAGCCTCGACGATGTCATGGATCCTCATCTTGCAGCCAGTGTCATGGCCTCAGAGGGTCCATATCTCTTCACGATGAGGTCGGCAACATGGATTGGGATGAACTGGAATGGATGAGGTGTTGATGGTGGCGGAAAAAGGCAAAAAGGGAGAGATCAAAGCGTAAGTGAGTCATTGAAGTCGGCGTTTGCCGCCGAGTGGCACTTTCTGGGTGATGGTGGTATGTTGGGGATACACTGAGGCCAATGCTGAGAGGAGATCTTGTGAAGTTGGAGCTCCAAGGCCATACTGGTATCGAGGACTCGACGAGCCATTCGTTTCACCACTTCCCTCTCGTTATCACGATTATCGCATCTCTAATCGATCTGCCGCAAAAAAATAGTGCCCATGTTACGTGCCTCGATCCGCCACAAATAGGCCTCTTCTTTACCGATTACCGTTGAAATTTTGGAGATTGTTCATCTCCCACTGCTCCCCTTTAAAGTCTTCTTTGGGGAGGCCAGCGAAGCAGCATGAGCAACCACAAGAGAGCCCTGAAAACGAGGTGAGCTTGATATTCCCAGCCATCCGCTCTGAAGATGTCCTGACGGACGGACTTTCGCAGCTACCGAGCCTCGCCTCGGTCTATTCGACCTTTGTATACTGGCGGACCAGTGATACTGACTCGTGATGGATCATGGCTGGTCACGACCATGGACGAAGAGGTTTTGATCACTGATGTTGAGTCTGGAGCTGCTGTTGGAAGGGTCCGCGGAGTAGGTCAAGCAATGAGCAATGATCAGCATGAAAAGCCACGGCTAATGTTCGACCAGGATGGATCCGCCATCACGTCTCTCGCTCTGAGCTATCATACTTCCCCGCCCACCCTTGTCACATGCCACATGAGCACCACAATCCGCTTCTATCCTCTCCCTGACGCTGGGTCTCAGTCCACAGCTTCTTCTTCGACGTCAGCACCGCTCTTGTCCTACTCTCGACAATTGAACAAGGCTCACACAGCACCTATTCTCGTGTCCACCGTGTCTCCAGATTCCACACTGTTGGCAACCGGATCCTCTGATGGAGTAGTCAAAGTGTGGGACACGGCGGGAGGCTATGTGACCCACATGTACAGAGGTCACGGAGGTCCTGTCTCAGCAGTCAAATTCTGGTTCAATGACGATAGATCAAGGATGGAGCTTTGGACCGGTTCGACAGATGGCAAGATTCGAGTCTTTGATCTGTTGGACGCAAGCTCGAGGTCAAGGACCGGGGATGGGAGTGCCAAGGCGAAGAGCGTTCTCACAGGACATGAAAGCGTAGTGAGGGGGGTAGATGTGAGCACAGATGGCCGATGGGCGGTCTCGGGCGGAAGAGACAAGGTCATTCTGGTGTGGGACCTCGAAGATGGGGGACTGCTATCAAAGAAAGGAAAGCGCAAAGGAACAAGTGGACCTAGAATTGTTCAGACTATTCTGGCGCATGAGCAGGTCGAAGCTGTCGGCTTGCTCTCACCGGATCAACCATTGCAAGGGAGCACCAAGACTCGTCTGCGATGCTTTGCAGGTGGAGATCAGGGGCTGGTCCGAGTCTGGGATGTCATCTCCGGAGAGGAAGTGGCGAAGATGAAGGCGATGGAGGGAGTCGATGAGTCCTCAGAGGACGAAGATGAGCAGCGCGGAGTTATCAACGTCTTGTAAGCTTGCTGACACTACAACTTTGCATTTGACTGATGATTGCAGGTATGATGAATCCTCCTCCTCTCTGATATCGATTCATGCAGATCAAAATATTGTCTTCCACTCCCTCATCTCTGGCTCCCGTCGGCAGATTATCGGATTCAATGACGAGATTATCGATGCAACTTTCCTCTCTACCGATTCGGAAACTACTTCCCCTTCCCACCTTGCACTGGCTACCAACTCTTCCCTCATTCGGCTATATACCACCGACAAACTCGATGCGAGGCTCTTGTCTGGTCATAGTGACATGGTCCTGTGTTTGGACAAAACTAGCGATCACCGATGGTTGGCGAGTGGATCTAAAGATATGACTGCGAGAATCTGGGGTCCATCCTTTGCCGACGACTCAGACGAGACACGCTGGGAATGCCTTGGTGTTTGCGAAGGGCACGCTGAGTCAGTCGGAGCCGTTGCGTTCTCTAAACAACGCAATGACCGGGCAGTCAAGTTCATCGTTACTGCTTCGCAGGACCGGACAGTAAAGCTGTGGGACTTATCAGTCCTCGACCCAGATTCGACCTCGAATTCGTCGACCCCGAAGTTGAGATCTTTGGTTACATTGCGGGCTCACGAAAAGGACATCAACTCGCTGGACGTTTCGCCCAATGACAGATTCCTTGTATCTGGTTCTCAAGACAAGCTTGTCAAGATTTTCGAGATTGACTATTCGACATCGTCATCCGGTGCGAAGGGCGGATTGAAACTCGTTGGCACATGTAAAGGTCACCGAAGGGGTGTATGGACAGTCAAATTCAGTAGAACGGATAAGGTTATAGCCAGCGGAGCTGCCGATCGAACTGTCAAGCTTTGGAGTTTGGACGACTTCACTTGTCTTAAGGTGAGCTGGAGCCAACTCTTCCCTGTCGACTTTTAGTAGCTCACAGGGTGTCCAGACATTTGAAGGTCACACGAACTCTGTGCTGAGAGTTGACTTTCTGACTCATGGTATGCAACTCGTCACGTCTTCGTCCGATGGCTTGGTGAAGCTCTGGAATATCAAGGATGAGGCCTGTGTCAGAACCCTGGACAATCACGAGGACAAGGTCAGTCTAGTGGGACCGCGCGTCACTTGTCGCTAATTGTCATTCAGGTCTGGGCCTTGGCGGTCTCCGCGGACGAAAAGACCATCGTGTCGGCCGGCGCTGATTCTCTCGCAACCTTTTGGGAAGATTCGACCGAGGTCGAGCAAGCAGAGAGGAATGACGCGGTCATGAAGGCTTTCCAGAGGTAAGTGAATCAATACAGCTCAATGCAAGAATTCTCTAACCGACCGGGTCACAGCGAACAAGACTTCACAAACTATGTCGCGCTGAAAGACTACCGCCGTGCGATCCAACTTGCACTCGCAATGTCCCAACCCGGTCGGCTTCTCAACCTCTTCACCAGCGTTCTCGCTGCGTCTCTCGCGTCGAACGAGGGCGAAAGTGGAGGCGCAGCCTACTCCGGTTCAAGGGATATCGACGAGGTGATCCGGACTTTATCTGGTTTGGACCTGACCAGGCTTCTGAAGCATGTCCGAGATTGGAACGCCAATGCCAAGACGTCTGCGGTGGCTCAAGCGGTCCTCAATGCTATTCTGAAGTTGAAATCGCCAGAAGATATTCTCGCAGCGTTCGACTCGACGACTCGCATACCAAACCTCGACCCAGCGGATACAATAGAGGGTGCAGATGACGAGTATCAAGGTCGACAACGCAAAAAGGCGAAAATAGACACTGTCGGCCTTCGAGAGCTGCTGGACGGATTGATTCCTTATTCTGAGAGACATTTCGCTCGTCTAGGTCGATTGATCCAGGATAGCTACGTGTTGGATTACGTTGTCGGCGAGATGGATGGCGGAATGTTCGGTGGAGAAGTCATGGAGATCGATGGTGGACTGGAGAAGTAGTCACTCAATTACAGCGCGAATGTGTCATGATGTGCATGGTACAGATGTGAATAAGAACCGTGAGGAGGGGATAGTCATGAGTCTATATCATCCTGCTTGAATTGCATCCTACCGAAAGTGCGGTTTACTCCACATCTACCTGCTTCACGTCTGGGCTCAGCTTTGACGTTTGCACTTCGGGACTGCCTTTCGGAGTTCCAATGACATCCTCTGTCCCACTGCCAGTTGTCCCGCTAGCTCTCTTATCCTCTGCTCCCTCAGTCAAATCGACAATGTCTGGACTTGGCTCGAGCTCGGCTGCGGCACCTTTTCCATCGGCGTCCTCAGCTTGGGATGCTTCCCCTTCGATAGTGTCTTGAACAACTGGTGACTCCGTTTCATCCTTCTTTGCATTTCCACGGGAGAAGAAACTGGTCAGTTTCCGACCCGGAGCCGAGGGTCGATCGACTGGTGTTCCGGGGACGACTCCCTTTGTCCATCCACTGACAAAGCTGGCGAGTGGAGTCTGACTAGTAGGTACCGCCTGAACAGCACCTTCCACAGGTAAATCCCCGGGAGTAGGTAAAGGGGAACCTGAAGTTCCTATTTTTGGTGTACTCGCGAATTGGGCCGATGGGAGCATCTTTTCGCTCTCAGGACTACCGGGAGGTTCGACCATGGTCGATGCGGGAGATGAGGCTGGACCGCCGCCACCACCACTAGATTGAGCACCTCCTCGCCAGAGTTTGAAGCCCCATCCTGATCCAGATGATTTCTTCACGTTGGTTTCTTCCATCCCCGGTTCGACATCGCTCGGTAACGGTGGTAATCTCATTTCTCGCAAGAGCTCGTTCGGGGGCGCTTCGCCTTCTCCACCAGACGCCATAAATTCTCGAAGAGCCTTGAGACACGCCTCGCTCGCGATCCTGCTCTCCTCACTTTCGGCCAACTGACTCTTGACGCGTCGAAGTTCCAGGCGCAAGGAGGCGGCTTCTTCGTCCGAGACTCCGGCAGCCTTTGGCGGCGAGAGCTGAGTGTTGGATAGAACTGTACTGCTGGATGGAGTTCGATGTCCCATCGGCGGTATGGGATAGGATACTTCTTCAAAGTGAGTACCGATTGGCGAAGATGAGAAACTTGATCCGGCTGCCCCAGATGAGGAAGGGGGATGAACCAAAGAGCCGAGCCGCAATTCCCTGAGCCCCCCCGTTTTGGGCATGTCCGGATTCGGAGACGTGAATGGAGTAGGACGTGATGAACCTGCAATGCTGTGACTGTCCGGTTCAGAGTTAGAAGATGTTTTCCTCGCTCCAATGAAAGAGGTCCTCTTTGAAGCTTTGCTAGTCTCCTTCTCCATCACTGCTTCCTCAGATGATTCCTCCATGGCTGCGAATCCTCCAGCGGGTATATGAGGAATTTGAGACATTCTCTTCCTGTCCTTCTCTTGCTTCTGGAGCATCCCTACTCCTCGTCTCGCCTGCTCTACTTGCCCACGGAGCATCTCGACAGTCTCCTCGGCCGCTTCACGTCGTTTCTTCTCCTGCTGAAGATCTTTCTCTACTGCTTCCTTAGCGGCAGTCACGAAGGCATGTTGATCTTTGAGCACCGAGAGCTCAGTCTCCAAGTTGGCCATCTTGGTCAGACGCTGAGTCTGCGAATGAAGGAGAGTTTGAGAGGCCGAGAGAGACGAACGCAGTTCCAGGATCAACGCTTCGACATCGCGTTCTGGGGACTCTGGTGTCGTTTGTTCATCAGGCGGAAGCTGAGAGACCTCCTTGGGTGGAGATCCGGCGGTGGACATGATGGAACAAGGAGTTGGGGGTAAAGCCAGAGTGGCGAAAAGAGTAGGTAGGCGACTATCGGCGCTGAGGGTCCGTCGTTGGAGCTTTTTGAGTTCTGCCGAAGCTACTGACTTGCGTTTGACTCTTAGGGGAGCTGTGAGTTGAGGCGAACGAGTGTAGATGTCTGTCATGGTGTATCAGCGGGAAGTCCAAGGTCGTGAAAAGCAACCGAGATGGGATGGGAGGACTCTCACGATAATGGTGCTGCAGACGTCAGGTAGGATGAGGACGGAGAGGAACAAAGGAAGTCTTTAGGAAGGAGATTAATCAAGCTATCGAAAGGATTCGATGAGAGGCCCTGTAATGTATAGCCGGGGTGGTGACGAGGATGAAAGTGCAGACGAGTCGAGATAACACGACCTGTTTTTCAGTGACGCGTTCGAGATCTTGGAGGTTTCAGAGTAGGACCGAAGGCACTGAGATCAAGGAAGGTTGGATGTGATCCCAACCAAGATGGACGCAGCAAGGGAGCCACCCAAAATGTACCAAAGATGCCTTGCTGGGGTCGAATGTCCTGCTCGGATGGTCTGTTGACGAGGTATGTAGTGAGCGTGTGAACGAGATAAGCCAGCGCGGGATGATCGTCCGCCTTTTAATGGAAATTTTGTTGACAGGATTTGGCGGACACTTTGTCTCACGTGCCATACCATATAATTGAAACCACAGCATCATAGCACCAATATGTAGGTCGTCGAGGGCTGAAGAACACTGTTGTATTCAAGTGAGCAAGGAGGTGAGCATTGATAGCGTAAGAATACATATGCATGGTCCTGCTGAGGCGAAGTCCCAATGCTTTTGATCCAGAAGACCGAGAGCTACCGAGATCACCGCCGTGATGGTGATACAGATCTATCTCTACCTGTCCTCCTTCCTCCAGCTCCTCCCGCACCAGCAGCTCCTCCCTTCCTTCCACCTGCAGATCCTTTTGAAAAGGCGAAATCACTGGAGCAAAGCAGACAGGGAATCAGTACTTCGATCCCGGTGTCCTATTGCTGCTGCCACTCACGTCTTTATGGTCTTTTCCAGAAACTCGGTGTTGTTTGTCCCCTTTATAGCTTTCTCCGCTTCGTCCCTGTTGGCATACTCGATCAAAGCGTATCCCTGTGATAGCAAGTCAGCAAAGCTGCAGCTTTGCAAATCGTCCCGAGCACTGAAGGGCAGGACAAGTTGGTGCGATGCGCATCGAAGAACCGCGAGGACAGACAGTAAAGACATTGGAGATGTCGACAATGGTACTTCAAGCTCTCCGATGAACCATCCTTGCTGTGCTGAACAGCATCCAGTGCCCAACTCGAGCTCTCGTTGCTCTTCGCTCCCTACTTACCATCACATATCCCGTCCGTCTATTCAAGGCCATCGACAGGTTCTTCACCTCGCCATAGTCCGCAAACAGATCCTGCAGATCTTCTTCTGTTGTTTCCTCGTTCAGACCAGTCACGATGATGATCCATCCTTCGACGGCTGCAGTGTTTCACAGCGAATACGATTCAGATAGAGGTGGCATTTGAGGTCATTCAATAAATAGGTCGGAAGTCGTTTTGTTGTCGGCGACAAAGAGGAGCAAGAACATCAGAAGACGATCGTGTTGTCAGCTAACCCTGCGTTGAATCGATCCGGACATATATCACTGACATCTCGCTGCCCAGTCTCCACTGCTTGATCCATTCGCATGGCCATCTGAAACAACAGTAAATTCAACCGGTATTTCCCTGACTCGGCTATCAGCTCACCAGCGGCCATATCGACATCTGCCATGACGGATCTAGCCACGCGTCAACCCGACGACCTAGAGGCGATTCGATGAGAGGTAAATAGCTGCGTGAGGTTGCTGCTCCTTACTAGCTGTGGACAAGCATGGAGGGCGTTAATGACTGATTCGGCGTTATTCGGCGATTTATTTGGGTGAATGGGAGAATTTGAAACATGTGGCACGTTGGCGATGAAGCTTGATCCATGAGCTCGAAGTGCTCCTTGGTACTGTTGACACTATCTGGAGCCTGCAATGTCGTCTCCAGGAGCAGGGTCCCACGCGTCTGATGAAGAGCTCCCAGAGACTCAAGCTCTTACGGAGACTCAGGCGGCACGATACGATGATATCTTCGGAGGCAAAGATGATTCAGACTTGTCAGACTTAGACGAGGACGAGAATGAGCCCGTTCGACAACCAGCCAGGAGAGCGTTCCCTCCTAGGGAGCCCGAGGCGAGAGCCGGAGGGTCTTCATCGCCTAGACGAGCTGCTGAGAAGGACGCAGGTGATGACGATGAAGATCAGGACGATGAGGATGATGTCGACGATGCGGATGAGGGCGATGCGTATGTTCCTGGTACAGCGGCTCAACAGGCCAAGATACCAAAATTTAAAAAGAAGGCGAGGACAGGAGGGAACAGGGCTAGTGGTGGTGGTGACGATGACGAAGAAGAGGAGGCAAGAGCTGGCTCAGGCGATGAGCATATAGAGGAAGAGAGAATAAGAAAGAAGAGACGGAAGGAAAAGAAGGAGAAACGGAGAGCGAGGACGGAGAGGGAGATCAATGAGGAAGAGGATGTCGAAGAGTCAGGTCCGGTCTACGACGAAGCAACCCGTGAGCTGGCTGATCGTTATCGGGAGACGGAGCTGATCATTGTCTCTAGAACGAAGGATGGCGCTCGAAGAGCGTATTGACAATATCGGCAAAAAGGGTACGAAGGTTGTCCGGAGAAAGCGAAAAGGCGACGATGAAGATGTACGTCAATCTCGTGCCCGTCTCCTTGAAGACAGCTGATGTCCCCAGATTGTCGACACATACCACGACGACGTCTGTGCTCGTCTATACGAACGCATGAAACAAGCTGCGGATCGAGATGCCGCTTCCAACGCAGCCAAGCAGCCCGCCACGGCAAAATTGGCGATGCTCGACGAGGTCATGGGTATCCTGCGAAAGTGAGCTGCGCCGCAAAGTTTTCTCTTTATCCAGTTGACGTATGTTGCAGCGTCTCTCTATGGCAAGCAATTGTCGACAATCGAGTGTTGGAAGGTGTCCGAGAATGGCTTGAACCTATCCACCCTTCTGGCGCTTTGCCAGCTGTAGGTATTCAGAAAGCAATCTTTGAGGTCTTGCCGAAGGTCAGCTGGAGTCGTTGCCTTAGAAACGCCGGGCCTCAAGCTGACTTGCGCGATTTCAGATGGACCTAGATACTGCCACGCTGAAAGAATGTCAACTTGGTCCTATCGTCCTCTTTTACTCCAAGACCAAACGGGTCTCGCCCGCTATCAACCGACAGGCCGACAGTCTGGTCTCAGCATGGTCTAGACCATTAATCAAACGTCCTGCGAATTACCGATCTCAGCAAATGGACACGGGTAATGCGGATGGAATTTTGACTCCTCGAGGAGATGGACTTGCCGATGAAATGGACATTGACGGGGACGATCTGCCTGCGCCTGCTCCTCAGCCTGTCAAGAGAAAGAAGTTTGATGCTCTGCAAGCTGTGCAAGAGAATAGGGGACGGAAGGGGGCCCGAGTGCTTATCAACCGAGTAAGTGAATCGAGACTGACCCATATCAATCCGTTGACTCCGGCTCTTGCTAGGATATTCAATACACCGTCGCACCAGTGTCTCGTCAAACACACCATGCAGAAGACATCCAGCATGTCTCTCGCATCCAGATGGACAACCAAAAATTCAACAAGTTTGCGAGAAAGCTTCAGAAGCGGGCCAAATGAGGGGGTTGGTCCTGGAACGGCAGAAGTTACTCTGTCTGCATCATTTTGTCCCCCATTCCCCCGGCATATGTTGCCATTATTGTTGTATCCATATCATGCATCGATGGGGTTTCAATGGTGAAATGGAGGTGAGGGTAGCTGGTGCATTTCCGATGAATGACGCGTAATGGAACCTCCACTTTGAATGACCATCAAGCCCATCATGCATTCCCTTTGTTCACCGATCTCTGCTATTCATGCTAGGACGTCCACCACTGCTCTACAAACCAATCGCGCGACATCTCTCTTCTACCACATACAGAGTAACTTGCCCACTGCATTGCTTAAGAACCATGTCCACGAAGCAGCAAGCCAAAATCCTCTCGACTGAAGAGGCCAAAGTTGAAGGTATCAAGTGGTTGAAAATGGAAAGAATCAAATGGCAAGATGAGGATGGAAAAGAGGTGAGCATCTCTCAGTAAGGGTCACAGGCAGATGGATCAACGTTTGTGTGACGTTAATGGACTCTCAGCGAATATGGGAAGCTGCTAATCGGACCACACGAAAGGGAGACATTGATTGTCGGTCAGAAGTCATGCTGAGGCTGAGACGCTAAATTTACGATCCCGATAGCTGTACACATCTTCACACTGCTTCATCATCCCTCTAAGCCCGTATCAACCATCTTGATCGAGCAGTACAGGCCTCCGATTGGCAAATACGTAGTTGGTGAGTTGCACTCTCGCAGTTTAAAACATTGCAGAGCGCTGAAAGTTCATTAGAGCTACCGGCGGGGCTCGTCGACGAGGGCGAAGATGCACGGTCAGTTCAAGCTCACCTGTCTCCATAAGTCTGATGGGGGATGAGCAGAACTGCCGCTCTCAGAGAGCTGTACGAAGAGACGGGCTACGGAACGGGCAAAGGAGACGACGGCAAGGTCGTGGTCGAGAGTGAATCTGTCATTTTAGCCAAGGATCCAGGGTGAGTCGAGAAACTGCGAACACTGGAAGGATAACGATTCCGACCGGGTCCTTGAATATGGTTGCTGACGGATTGTCCCTGCAGCATGACAGGAGCCAATTGCAAAGTCGTCACCGTCAGCGTCAAGCTTGACGAAAACGATCCCGAACCAGATCAACATCTAGACCCGGTAAAATCGAGGCCGTGAGAATGGGAATCCTCACTGATGCATGTTCAGGGAGAACACATCATCAAACGGATCGTTCCGCTGAGAGACTTGTCGAGGACATTACAGGGTACGTCGGGACCCTGCCTGCTGAGGACTGACAATGGTAGATTACGATCAGAAAGGTTTCGTGATCGATGCTCTGACTTCAAGCATCGTGATGGGTTACGAACTCGCTGGCAAGTTAGCAAAGTGAGCCATATCTCCAGTATGGTTCTCGCTACACGGTGTAGGCTATGTAAGGCTTGGAACATCAACCCTCCTGGTGATTGCGAGTGTTGCTGGTCGTTTGAGTGATGTATGCCTTCATTTTGAGTTGAGATACTAAATGTGCAATATACAGACCTGACCGCTGTTGGCCTCTCCAATGTGCTGATGACCTTACTCGCGGGTCCTCCCTGCGACTAGACTTCTGCAGCTCCCCTCTCAGTTCTTGATCCCTGCCTGCCGCTTGGCAGCTTCCACTTTCTCCTGTCTCCGCCGATCTTTATACTCTTCCAATTTTTGCTGTCGATTGGCAAGATACTCCACTCTGAGCTGATCCAAGCGCTCCTCCGTCACGCTATTCATTAGATCGTCAGTCTATTGGCATCTCCGGCACACAACGATCGACAACTCACTGATCACGGATACACTGATGCCAAGCTTTCAGCTGCGTCTTGCACGCCCAACCCATCGAGATCGTCCGTCCATTGGCACATTTTCCCCATTCTACATCAGAAGTAAACATCAGCTACCGTCTTCAAGACATTCATCCGATGTGCTCGATGTCTCACCATTCACCAATTGCTCGCAATGCGTCATGGCCTCTTCTCTAGCTTGAGTCTTGACATCCGCCTCTTCTCGACTCGACAACGCCTGCATCGTGACCGAGACAGGGCTGTTATCTGCCCACTCTCGACTCTGATTCTCGCTCTTTTGCTCTTGCCACCGCTGATCACGGCTATTGGAGTGTTCGGATGTTCATGAAGCTTAGTGCTCTCAATGTATATCTGAACGATGATCACCAACTACGCCGGCCGTCAAAAAGTTGACTCTGGATCGGCTTTGGCCGCTATCATATCACGTGACATGTTTCAAAAGTTGATCGATCTGTGACGGTCCGCTACTGTTCTGGTTCTGCTATACCACACGCAACCATGGGCAAGGGCACACTCGGTGACGAGCAGTGCTGAAGCCGCAAGAACTGAACGAATCACATTCCATCTGTCTCATCATGGCCTACAACCCTTCTTATTGGAACGCCAACGGTCGACCCGCTCAGTCCTGGTACGGTCAATCTTCTCAACCTGGACCTAGCTCTCAACCCTACGGATATCCGGCATCGGTGCAACCAGTGAACCTTAGCGGGGGATACAACCCGTATGCAGGCTATGCCCCTCAAGCAACTTGGGGAGCTCCATCTCCGTCTTTCGGCCAGACACTATTCAGAGGAGGTTCCTCTGCATACTCCCATCCGAGTGCCAACCCCGACCCCTCGAGACCGGCTAAGCGACCCAAAGGACAAGACCAGGAAGACACTCCTAGTCATTCAAGGGGAGTGAGTGCGTGGAGAAACTGTTCTGTGCCTGGTTGTGGGTTTGTCGGACCGGGAGATCAGGTGGAGATACATGAAGGAGACCGACATCTGATTTTTCCCAATGGACACAGAGTTGAACGGAGCGAAGAGGAAGAAAAATTTGCAAAGCGCAGAGGGTTAGCTGGAACTTTTATCTAGAAATTCATAAGCTGATGTACTGCTCAGACCTGCGCCAGTCATCGAGGGTACTACTATCACTCTACAAACGGACGAGGATATAGCGAAATGGATAGCGGAGAGGAAGGCGAAGTGGCCTTCGGCCAGGCGAGTCGCCGAGAAGGTAAGTGAATCTGAATAGACAATCTCCTGATGCAGTCTCGGTAGGAAGAGGAACGTAGGTCCGCAATTGAGCGTGGGGAGTTGCCTGCGAGAGGAAGGGGCAGAGGAGGCAGAGATGCTCGAGGAGGACGCGGTGGCAGACGGAATGATCCTGCTTCTCAAGCCGAAGATTGGGGACGGCCAGTGACTCCCCTCGATGGGGTCTCGGAGAGGGGTCCAAGAGGCAGAGGTAGAGGCAGAGGACGAGGCACGCCAAGGGGACGTGATGCTGGGTATGGAGCCCGAGGCGGCGCGCACGGGGGATCCGACCGAATAGTTCAGCATGAAACAAGCCCGGCACGGGCACCTAGCCATGAGCCTGGACCTCAAGGAGACATGTCCGCCCGCGTCGAAGCTCAGAACGCCGTGAAGAACACAATTGGTGGACTCGCCGCTTATGACTCCGCTTCCGACGAGGATGAAGACGCTTCGGACGATTCATCATCAACGACTTTATCGGATAGTGAACCCACCACTTCGAGCGACGAGTCCGATGAAGAGGTTGAACCAGCTAAGGCAAATGACTCCTCGCAATTGCGAACAATACCTGCCATCGCTGATAAGCCGCTTTGCAAATTCTTCGCGAAGACTGGCAAATGTAGACACGGAGACAGATGTCGTTTTGCGCATGTTGTGAGTCAAAGTGTCCTTTTCTCCATCGATCGCTTCGCCAATGCTTCTCAGCGCGAAGTCAACCAGCAGAATCGGAATCAAGCAGAACGTCACAGACCGGTTGCAAAGCGTCAAAACCCATTTGATCGTCCAGGCATGCTGAGCGCGGTGCGTTGCATCGCTCATCACCAAAATCACGTGTCTTACCCTCATCTCTAGCTCCTGGCTACGCCTATCCAAAACACTCTATCCCAGATCTCTCAGACCATTCGCTTCCTGGTCGCCAACGATATGCTGGAGAATGTGGAGTTGAAGCCTGGGGATGCAGAGGCTCTCGCTAGGCGGCACGACCTTATCACAGAGGTATCACCAAAATCTGAAACATTCGCCCTTGATGTCCCTGAGGCTGGTCAGGCGGATTTGTGAGACTCTACGGACTGCCGCAATATCATCATCATGATATGTCTCAGAGTATCCTATCAATTGACTTTGGGCGTCTTGCGCGTCGCGTATCGCGCGTCCTGCATGCAATCACGGTGCGTCATCTTGGTACTCTTGACCTTGCAAGACCTTTTGCGCCACCTCCAGCTACTACTGTCCCTCGGGAGTCTGGCAGGGAGCGAGGGGTGCAATGTGTCGTACATGTCTCAAGACACGACAAGAGTCTTACTCACATGCTAAGCCACCAGCGACTGATTCCTTGGGTCATCACTGAACATAAAAAGGTGTACTGGATATCCTTATCGAAACTCACCCAAAAACTGTTTCCAAAAGTTGCTGTCATAAGCGAAAGCTACAAAGCACAAGCACAATCCCCAATCCTGCACGATTACCAAAAGGTCACAGTCGTTGACCACAATTCACACACCAGAGTGCCTTTCAGTGCTCTTTTGACTACAAGTCAACACAAGTATCCTCTTTCTCCCTCTCAAAAAACCCCGCCACGGTCTCTATTCCGACCCGATCCAGTATGATGTCCAACACTGCATTCAACCTCTTGGCCATCCTTGCCGTGGCAGGTAGTGCATTCGCGGCACCTCTTAGCGAAAGAAGCGATCCCAATGAGCCATTGGTCAAGGTTCACGCTTTACCTGATCATTCTACTTCAGGTCAAAATGGAGTCGTGATGGCTAGCGTTGGCAGTACCAATGCTCACGTCGTCCAGACTCCAGGGAACGACGAGAACATTCTCCATGTTCAAGTTCGACCAGATGGTACGGACAAACCATTGGATGCGTATGTCAATGTACCGTCTTCGCCGCTGGGAGGAAAGATCCCTCAAGGAGGCGTCGCAAAGTCGTTCTCTCATACAGGTGATGCGGTTGCTGGTGCGCTCCAAGGGACGGATGCCGAGGACGTTCAAGATGCGTACAAGGTCATCGATGCGGATCCGCTTGCGCAAGTGAGTCGAGTGACAGCATCTCTCCAGTCCTGCCATTGAACCCTCACCAGGCATACGTTGGTGGGCCGTACTTGAAAGCTGGGCAGAAGCGGAGCAGCCCAGTACAAGATGCATCAGGAAAGGTTGTGAGTCAAAATGAACAGCCGGGTGGCAATCGACTGACAGCATTTCCTTTGCAGATTCTAGACACTGAGAAACTGGTCGGAAAGCCAAAGATTCTAAATAATGGTGGCGGAGCTGCAGGATCGTTGCTCAAGACCAATCTCAAGCCTGGAGCCTTGCTCGATACTGGTGGAGCCATCAAATCGGACACTGGTATCATCCGTACTGGTCTAATCAAGACCAATCTGGTTGGTCGTGATAAATTGCGCACTAGCGCATCCACCAAGGCCGTAAGGACATTCTTCACCTGATGTCGTATCGAGACTGATGGGGGCGTCGCAGACTGTAAACCCCGAGAAAGCCCCGTTCAAACAGGGCAATTCAGTGGGCAATATCAAACTTGGTGATACGGGTCTGGTCCGAACCGGATTGGTCAAGGGCAAGCTGATTGAACGAGACAGCCTTGGCAAAATCTTGGTGGGCTCGGTGAGATATGCTCTGAATTGCAAATGGCTGACTTCTCCCAGAATATCGGCAGCAATGGCTTTAAGCAGGAGACTGATCACCTGATTGACACTAACGGCGCCATCAAATCGGACACGGGGATCATTCGTACTGGCCTACTCAGGACCAATTTGATCGGGCGAGAGAACCTGGGGAAATCTCCCACTGGAAAAATTGTGAGATTGGTGTATCTGGAACAAAGACGAGCCGGATCCGCTGACTTCTCGTTCCTCTAGATCATTGACACGGACAAGATTCTGCATGGAGATGGTATCCGTGTGGGCAAGGGTCTCACTCACACTGGTTCGCTCAATCACCATCTCGCTGGCCGTGACAATGGAGGAAAAAGCATTGCCTATTTGCAACTTGCATACGGATCGCTCTCCAAGACGCTCACCGCTTGCGATTCCAATCGACATAATCCGGATGACATTGTGGATGTTTGTATCGATTCGAGACTTCTCTCAGCAGCTCCCCACGGCTCTTTCGTGAGTGGACGCACATGCTTAGACACACAAGGGGAGAAAGCTGACATCTTTATCGCGCCAGGCTTGCCCTGATGAGAATGGGCAGTTTGTCGATTCAAACACTGCGGCAGAAACCACTGGCTTGTACCAGCTCTGTGTGTGGTCTGACCTTGACTGAGGAGGCTACGATGTCTTTTGTATATGTAGACTTGCCCCTGAGCTTTAGATCGTTCCCCTCTCTTAATGCAGCTGCCCACATTGTAACCCAAATCCATCACGCCACGCTGGTCTGCGCGTGTTGAAATCCACAGATTCATGTTGTCGACCCCGATAACAAGACAACTCTCTTCCCAAGTCGTGTGAGCATCGGCAGCTCTTTTAACTGCACAATGTTGGCTGTAGCTTCCAATCTATTCGGAAAGTCCAGCTCACTCTCAGCATACACGCTCGATTCTGCGGCGCCATCCCCGTCGTCCTCCGCAACCCAACTTCCTTCTGGATCTCGGAGCACGGACGGGCCCTCTCAATCGAATCCGTTGAATGTAGGTCTATGGAAAGTAGTGGGTGCGACGCACAAGACAACTGGGAAACATGTCAGCGTCTGGATATTTGAGAAGCGTATGTTGGATCTTGCCAAGGGAGATGGAGGGTTCAGATCTAATGCTGAGGCGAAGGATTTTGTGCTGGAGCGATTAAAGAAGGAGGTGAGTTGACGAGGAGCACGGCTGCGGTCGTCGCCCCGCTCATGCAGTTCGCGACTACTCAGGCTACATCACTCTCTCGCTTGAGGCATCCGGACATCCTGCATATGGTGGAACCGCTAGAAGACTCCCGGACGGAATTGACATTCGTCACTGAGACCATCATCTCATCTCTCGAGACTATCCTCACAGCAGCCGCTGGGCCTTCAAGACGGACTGGAAAACGACCTCCAGAGGTAGAGAACAGAACCGAGGTGGACTTGGATGAAGTTGAAATTCAGAAGGGGACCCTACAAATAGCCAAAGGTTTGAGCTTCTTGCATCAACAAGCGAAGCTTGTGCATCTCAACATAGCCCCTTCGTCGATCATGATCAACGCGAAGGTGAGCCGAAGACCATAAATGAACCTCAAACCTGCGACTGACACGGGAATCTCCTCTTATCAGGGCGACTGGAAGCTGTCCGGTCTTGGCATGACGACCCCGCTCACGCGGCCTGATGGTACACCTAGCAAATACGTCTATCCGGAGGTGGACACACGGATACCGCCTCAGATTCAATGGAAGATGGATTACTTAGGTCAGTCTGCGTATCAGGCTGTACGAACTTGGTGCTGAGCTGTATCGCAGCTCCCGAATATGCTCTCGACTACACACTTACCCCGTCGAATGACCTTTACTCGCTTGGTTGTGTGCTATACGCCGTTCACATGGGCGGCCGACCGCCTTTCCGGAATCATGGCTCAATGCAGAGTCTACGGGATAATGCCGAGGGATCGTTGTTCAGGAAAGACTGGATGAATGTGTCACGGTGGAACCGGTGCAGTGCGGAACTGAGAGGTGAGTGGTACTTCGGGATAGTGAAGCCAGAGTTAACAAAGAGCTTAGATCTGCTACCCCGACTGTTGACTAGACACCCATCCAATCGGATCAGTCTTGCCTCTCTCCCTTCTCATTCATTCTTCTCCTCTCTTGCTATCTCGACATTGAACTTTCTTGATGCTACAACCTTTGCGTCCAAGCCCAGAGAAGAAAAGGCCACGTTCCTTCGAGGCCTGGTCCGTGTACTGCCAACGTTCTCAGATAGACTGAGAAAGGGCAAAATCCTTCCGAGTCTCTTGGAAGAGGTGAGCAGGGGTGCCCTAGGATCTCAGGCTGATAATGATCTTTCTTCAGATGAAAGACACATACCTACTCCCATTCATCTTGCCCAACGTCTTTGAGGTCTCCAACACTCTGAGCAAGAGTGAATTCACACCGGTTCTCTCAAAGCTGCAACCCCTCTTTGGTTTGCGTGATCCTCCTCAGAACATGCTCAGTGAGTCAAATTGGAACTCCACGGATCTCTACTGACTCCGACAGCCCTGTTGGAGCACTTGACCCTTTTTGAAGAGAAGACCGATCCTCCGCTGTTCCGAGAACGTGAGTTGTCAATATATGGTGTACAATGGCAAATTGACGTATACTTCAGACGTCATGCCATTGATCTACAATGCCCTTGAATGTGAACATCTACCGGTGCAGGAGAAAGCTCTCAAAGTGGTCCCTCATCTGTGTGAAATCCTAGATTACGGCACGGTACAAAATGTCCTGCTGGTGAAAGTTGCGGTGCGTAGCGGACCTTGAAGCTGTCTGGCGGGCTGTGTCACATATCTAACGTGAAAGACAGATCCTGTTCACGCGGACACGCATACTATCGGTCAAGGTGCAGACCCTTGAATGCTTCACAGCCATGGTGAAGACCTTAGACAAGGTAGGGTAGAGTGTTGTCGTCACTGTCGACACATGCTCATCTCCGCAGGCGACCCTCACAACAAAGATGGTGCCTCAGCTTGCAAAGATTAAGACGAAAGGTGAGTAGAATGGCACCGGACCTTGCGCTGAGACTTGTTCTAGAACCCGCTGTTATGGTACGTTGGCTATATGCTTTCTGAGGTTGCGCTGATCTGCTGCAGATGGCCACACTCGCCGTCCACGAAGCCATGGGAGCCAAGGTCGACCGAGAGGCGATAGCGACTTTGGTGCTGCCTCAGCTATGGGCGATGTCCATGGGGCCTTGTGAGCGACCTTGCCGAATTCCCTTAAAGGCGAGCTGATGGGGAATGCAGTGCTCAATGCCGATCAATTCGGCCGTTTCATGACGTGCGTAATCAGGACAGAGGAAAATGTAGCATTGGCAACTGACGGACCTCAGCGTCATCAAATCCCTGGGTATCAGAGTAGAGCAGGAGCATAGCCAGCATTTGAGAGATGTGGGACGAATTGAGCAACAGACGTCGTCATTTGCTGGTGGGGTCAATGGCTCTGCGTTCTCGATGAATGGACCGAGTGGAAACGGCGAGGTCGATTTCGAGGCTTTGGTGAAGGGGCAGAATGGTATCGCCAATCCTCTCGCAGACGCTGCACCTGTCGATCCTTGGGATGAAGGATGGGCGGATAGCGGAGAGTCGGACGCGACTTTGGTGAGCCCAAACGCACAACTGTAGTAGATTTCAATGCTGAAAAAGCCTCTCGCAGTCTCAGGCTTTCCCGGGCCTATCCATGACCTCCACACCGGCCAGCAGCTCATTCTTGTCCTCGCCGATTCCAACTGCAACCGCGCCCTCTTCATCCTTCACCGCCACAGCCAGTGTCAGCCGCCTCAAAGCCCGACCCGTTCCAGCTTCAACTTTTGATTCCTCTGCTTTTGCTTCGCCTCCTTCCGCACAATCATCACAGCTATTGTCGCCCGGTCCAGCATCTCGAACGCCATCCTACAACGCATCCCATCAGCATGAATCTGCAGGGCTCGCGCCATTGCAACCTCAACGACCAGCAGCACAGCGTGCTCCCTCCGGCAACGCTCCCAATTATAATATATCCCTGTCGCCACATCCCCTTACGCCATCACAACCCTCGAACTCGTTATCATTCGTGTCTCCTGCCGTTGCTTCCCTCTCATCACCTCATTCGGCTCAATCGACATTCAAGCCGATGCAGACCTTGAGCACGATGCAATCTAGCAAGCCAACGATGTCGAGCCCCGCAATCCCGGCTGTTCAGCCTCCACCTGGCTGGTCATCTGGCGTGATGAAGCCTACGGTTGCGCCTAAACCGACTATTCCGAGCGTGTCTGGGAATCAGAATTGGGGAGACTTTGATCCTCTGAACTAGAGCTGCGACTAATATGCATCGATGTCAATATCCGGCAATCCGGCTTTTGCAGTTTGCCCAGGAATGTGTATTGGAGTTCAGGCTATACCTCCTTGTTATGTCTTCAGACCACTAGATACGATGAGCAGACTAGACATACCCCAATATGACAGACTCTCAGATAGGGTCTATGTCTACCGACCTGCCTCCGCTGAATCCTCAGACGATCTCCTCATCCTGTGCATGTTCATGGGTGCTCCTCCTAAAGTAGTGGCCAAGTATGCCTCCGAATACGGAAAGCGTTTCAGTAACATGACAATCCTCCTGGTCCTGTCGACTATTCAGTCAACTTTCACTCCTATGGTCAAAGCCCGACGCGACATCGAACCAGCAGTCGACCTCATCGTGGATCGGTGCAAGCGAGCCAACGGTAGAATCAAAGGTGCCGTGTACTCGAATGGTGGTCTGTCCAGCATGATCGCCATTGCGAAGAGCGTCAGAGCGCAGACTGGGAGTCCGCTCGAGATAGATGGTCTCATTATCGATTCCGCACCTTCCCCTCCGAACGATCTGACTGGCGCGTATAAAGCATTCTCAGCCTCCGTCCCTACTGCGTTCAAATCATTCCCTGTTGGAATTGTTACTAGCCTGCTTATCTGTATCAGCCTGCTGGTGTGGTGGGTACTGGCGTTGGTATCGGGCTATGGAGATCCTATCGACACGCTTCGACTCGCTCTGAATGATCAGAGCCTCTTTCGATCGGAGACGAAACGCACGTACATTTATAGCAAGAGAGACGAGATTGTCCATTACTCAGGAGTCGAATCGAGTGCCGCAGACGCTGAGAAACAGGGATGGAGGGTCCAAAAGGTTCAATCAACGAATACAAGACACGTAGCTCACTCCACAGGAGACAGAGAAATGTACTGGAACGCAGTGGAAGACACGTTGAAGTAGAAGATGTATCGTATCAGGTTGTAAATCACCCTAGCCATGCATATGTCGTCACCATGGACATTAGTCGGAATCACTAGAATCCTCATTAATGGCCTTTTTCCTACCCTTAGGTCCCTCCTCATCGCTCGAACTCTCATACTCGTACTCATATTCACTATCACTTCCCTCTTCCTCATCTGCATCGCCGTTGGCCTGCCCGTGCACTGGTGAAGCCTTGACCTTTGCCCCTCTCATCATTGCCATCTGACCGGCGAGCGTGTCTTCCTCGGGATCAGAAATATCCTCGTCGTCCGAAAGCTCGTTGTCTAGCGGAGGTTCCTCGACCTTGAGCTAGCGATACAACGTCAGCTTGAACCTTGATTCAATCCTATGGATTTATTTCCGTACCATGATTGGCTTTTCAACATTTCCACCCAAGAAAGTATCACTTGCAGCATACAGAACAAAGCTGTACAGGTTCGCCTGAGGCGGCGCCTGGAATTGAAGGGAGAACTCTCTCGGTTCAGAAGGCAGACCATCATCACGTGGAAGAGGCAAGTCGGTGATGCGGATAGGTTGGACAATGACCTTGTTCAGCTTCGAGTCCCCGAGCAAAACTTGGAAATTCGGTTTCCGAAGTCCAGGCCATCTCGGTGCGTGAGCGTATCCATTCGGAGGGTACACCTTGTTTTCAGGCTTCTTGCCTTGGCGTCCAACTCTCGGCTCCTTGGTCCCGGTGACCGCATCCGTCAAGCCATCGACCAGAGGCGATTTCTCGTCCCTATTCTCGGCGCTGGCTTCCTTCTCCTCGACCTCCTTATCAACTTTCTCCAGCTGGTCTTCAACTTCCGTCACACTGTCATTGGCAACGGTGTTGTCGTCGTCGGTACTCATCTCCGCCTTGACATCTCCATTGGCCAAAACTTTCGGTTTGGGCAATGTATCGGTAGGGATAGATGTCGAGGCATAATTATATCGCGCTCGAAAGGTGAGGTTGACAATGGAGCTAGGAGTCACCACTCGCTCGCCAACCACTAAGTCAAGTAAGCAACAGCAGAAACGTTTAGAATCTCGACTGACCCTTAAATTCTGCATCGGTAATTTCCAGACGAGGCCAGTACTTCAGTACTTGGTTCGCCTTGCCATCCACAATTTGCTTCTTCGTCGCTCTCTCGGCCCATTTCCTGCCTTCAGACCCGCTCGTCACACCAAGCTCAAACGCTTTTTCGAATTCCAAGCCTGGAAGTTGGGCAAGAGGAGAAGCAGATGGAGGTAGCGCTTGGACCAAAGCCGCTTGGAGTTGTACAACTCCCAGTGAGGTGGCCAGCCAATTATGTGCGAGGGCGATGTTGAGCAGGGCAGTAAAGAGTGTCGGAAGCGCTCGCAATACAGCGAGTTGCTCTGGTGTCTGATTCAGCGTCTGCTTTGGCTGATGATCCTGGATTAGACGTACCTTCTTCGAGATCCGTATCCTTCAGGTCGTGTCGTAGCAAGTGAGCCCACAGAAGAGCACTGGCTCGACGCGAGACAGCAGTGGTCGGAGCCACCCTGTTCTCCTTCCTCATATTTGGATCCTCAAACACGAACGTATCCTCTCGCTTCGTCTCAAGCTCCTTTTCAAGCTCATCAATCCTGCCTTGGCGCTCTTTGCGCTCCTTTTTAGATCCCCGGCGTCCCCCTGCAAGTATGGGAACCAACTCGAGAGCACAAGATAGGAGGGCGACGAGAGATCCAAAGTCGGTATCTTCTTGCAGGTGATGGAAGAAGAGCTCCGCAGTACCGTTGAGGACTCCGTCTCGAGTCATGCGTCTTTGCGAGAACCACCATCGGCCCTGAAAAGGTGATTGAGCGAGACATCGCGGAACAAGGCAATTTGGTACAACTCACCACAACCAGTGGAATTCCTCCGCCCAAGAGCAGGCCGTACGCAGCCAGCACCCCTATACTGCTCTTGCCCTCCACAACCCATTTCGGAATCGCGATTTTGTCCTCCCGCTGCTGTGGTCCATCTGGATTCCCGTATTTCGCCAGGTTCTCCCTAGTCACCTCATCTGTCAAGGATTTGTATGCCTTTGTGAGCTCGACGAATTTGGCGTCCGCATCGGCCTGAGTCTGGTTCGGTCCAAGAACAATCTTGTCCGGATGACTGAAAAAGGGCGTCAGGCTAGTCTTCCTACAGGAGCAGGAGATCGGCTCACAAGAGCAAGGACAGCTTTTTGTAATGCTTCTTGATCTGCTTTTCGGTGCTTGAATCGCTGATACCGAGTACCTCGAATGGATTGTATATTTTGTCACCCTCCATCATTGGCGTCTGAGATATCCTGTAGCACAGAAATGCGAATAGACTCCAACCCAGGACCAGGGGTACGATACGTCTCCAGAACTTGCGTTTCCGCTTTCCTCTGTCAAGTGAAGCGAGCTGAGTCGCGCGAGTCGCACATGTCGAACAGGGGCACAGGGGTTTGAGAGTGGCTGAAGAGAATGGGCTAGATCAGCGTGATATCCCTTGTTATGAGGTCTGTCCATATAGACAGATTCTTGCTCTCGCTGACACTCACCCTTTTTGGAAGGTCGGATTGCTGAATAGGTGAATGGCAGCAGCAGTATAGCTAGGAAGGTAACTCCAAAATAGGATGCCAATGAACCTGAATCATCATAGGAGATTCCAGGAGCCATCGTGTCAGATCCGAGTAGCTCTGCGAGAGCTCTCCGTCGAGATCACCGCTGGTTTTGGGTCAGATGTTCTATCCGTGTTCAGAGCAGCCTCAACAGATGATTGTGGAGAAAGTATTGAAGGGACGTGGCATGGGGACCTTAAACGGTAAACTCGAATAAAGTTTTTGACATCATTTCCCACTTTTGGACTCATACAAATCACCACGCCCCCCTCTTCATTCTATAGTATCCGATACGCTATCACCTTCTTGTACCCCGATTCTTACACCATGATGGCGTCAACTGTGAGATCAGCAAGTCTGAGACTACCTCTTCGATCCGTTTCAAGGGTCGCATCGACTGCTCGAATCCTCCCGGCCGTCAGAGCAAACTCTTCGACATCAGCAGCCGTCCATGGAAATGAGAATCAAGTTGCTCAAGAACAAGGAGGCGAAATGGTGGAGCGCACAGTCTTGAACAGAGACATGCACGGCGTCAAGATGGAGCGTCTGGTTCATGACAAAATTCCTCATGGCGTCGATGCTTTCGTCGTCATGCCTGGCTACTACGCCGATAACGCTTTCAATGCATCCCGGAAAGCCGTTGAAGACCACGCTCGAGGTGAGTAGAAATGTTCGAAATTTTGATGGTCGCAAGACAGAGGATGAGCATCCGGCTGATATCTCTCTCTCCTCTATCTAGAAACCACTGAATTGTGGAGAAGGCTCAGGTGAGGGAATCGAAATCCGCCATACGGATGCCATGCTGACACTGTGTTCTCCTTTCTTCCACCCTCATGCTTTCCCTTCACCTCTTCGCCTCATCTTTTGTTATCCTCGTCCATATTTGACACTATAACAGCTACTACGTCGCTCTCCCAGCATGTCTCGTTACCGGTATTTGGGTCTACCTTGGAGAGAAAGAACACGCCGACCACAGACAAGCCCTCATGTGAGCGGATGTGCACTGTCCACCAAATCGGGCGGCTTGCTGATCTTAGAGTTCCAGTGATGCAAACGGAGGTGAACCACCGGAGCGCAAGGTCTACTCTTACATGAACATCCGAACCAAGGTGAGTCTTCGAACGAACGAATTCGCTCTGTATGCTACAATCACTGACTTTTGCATAGCCATTCCCATGGGGCAACCAAACTCTCTTCTTCAACGTGAGTTTCGCAGTAATCTGTTCAATGCAAGCTGACTGACGCTTCTTCAGCCCGACGTCAACATCAAGGCCGAGGAGGCTTAGAGCAATACAAAGGATTCCAATGGGTGACGGTTTTTTCTTCAGCCGCATGCAGAATTGTCTCGGAGACGATGCTCGCTCTAGTGCTTCATCTTGTGGAAGGGTACTGAACAGATCTCATACGTATACTACAACAAGCAGCATCATTCTAAAGTGGTCCTTACTGACTCGTTGGGGCCCAGTCACCAAAAACTAATGCCACGAACCCTTCATATTCCGGTACAGCAAGAAGTGCCTGCGTACCACGTCAGCCTCCATTAGGTTTTACCACCGAGAGGCTTACCTCTACGCCGTTGTCAGGCAAACCTTCCCATACGCTCTTGCTCCATCTGTTGATGACCGGTAGACAATCTACCAACCGTTTGCCAGAGTCGTCCCCCTGTCCAGAGTAAAGTTCTTCAGATAACGTCTGCAAAAGCTTGGCGGTCATTGTTGTCACGCCCTTGTGTATCAGATAATTTGCGTCGGGAGAAGAGAGATGGGTTTTGGTCTGGCCGAGGAGATATTGCAGGTGCTGTCCGAGGTTGGCGGTGGAGCTTGGCAATGGGCATGGTTCGGTTGATGAAGTTGAGCGAATCGGATCCGGCGGTAACAGGTTATCCGTGAATCTGCTCATGTAATATGAGCGGGTTATGTCTAGGACGCCATGAATACGCACGAGTATAAAGCTGCAGCGCCATCCACGGTGACAGTCTCAACCCGCGCTCGAAGCTCCTTGATCAGCTGCTGCCATCCGCCTACCGTCAGTTCCTTCTTCAGGGCGATTCTGCGGACGGAAAGCATCAGATTCGATCCGCAAGAGAAGTAGTGACGGCCTACCCTCCAAAGACGTCTTCTACCGCTGAATCGACCCTCCTGGCCAGATGTCTCCATCCTTCGTGCAGGATCCACCACGAGTAAGAAAGGTAGATCCTTTCATCTTCCATCCTCTGAGCCTCAATCGCAGCTTGCCTACTCTCCAAGATAGTACATCGAGCAGCAGCCTCTGCTGTTGATTCCGGCGGACTCGAGGATGACATGAAGGGTATCGAGGGGATCCATTGCTCGATAGGAGCTGGGATATACGACCTAGGATTAGAGATGATGGCAGGGGTCTTCGATTGGACAAATCCTCTAATGCCCAGTGACGGTATGGGCAGAGAGGAGAACCATCCTCCCGATGTCTCTTTCGAATGGATCTGTTTTGGTTCCTCCTCATGCTCGGGCCTATTCTGACGCTTGACGTCTTCCATATAACGCAATCGTGCTAGCGTAGCTAGTTGAGAGGCAGTCAGAAGGTGAAGCAGAGGCAAGAGATAGGCAGTCGTAAGTGATCGCGTGAGAGCTATAGAGGTCTTAGCTGGTGCAATAGCGAGTACGCAAACGAATGCTCACTCTGAAGCTTTAGATCTTTCCAGAGTTCCTTCTTACTCTTGCCTGATATGTCGGCCGAGACGATATCGATGAGGGGACGAGGTGGTGACGAATGAAGCATTGCCGAGTGCGAGAGATCTGACGGTGGTGATGCTGATGCGGAGGAGATGTCTGTCGGTGGGAGGGATATCGACTGTGACATAGTGGAGGACGCCTAGAGATGGAGTATCAGGCATATTGCGCTCGGTCATGGATTGCTCCCACACACCTCGTCACCCGATGGATGATATAGCATGGACCCATCTACTGGGGCACCTGCCTGTGTTTCGTCCGGCCCCGCATCGCTCTCGAGCTGATTTTCTCGTTGTTTGAACTCCGACGCCCAACTTTCGCCAATACGACCATCGTGGGTCACACCCTGCTCCGGCGATGATTGTCCGTTTGTGATACTCTGAGCCGTCGACTCGGTGTGATTCTGAGGACTCTGTTGAGCCCCCTGAAGGATCATCGAGCTCTCCGGTGTCTGAGCTATGCTTCCACTCAGACTCGTCTCTGTAGATTTGCCCTGAATAGCTTGAGATATGACTTCGACAGGATATGCCGCGGACAGCTGGGGCTGTAACGTCGGAAGGAGGGCGTAGAGCGTGAAGTGGATGGTATTTTGCAAGGACGTAAAGTGGTTTCTCAACCTGTTAGCGAGGGACGTGTCAGAGTCCATTTCTATCAGCCCTTTTGTCACCCACAAGTCCTTCTCCTTCTTCTCTTTGATAGCTCTGGCTCTTGCTTCCCGTAGTCTGTCCAGAATGTACGATGAAACGAGGTAAAACGATGTCGCTGTGCCTACGAAGAGGAGCATTCTTCGGAAGCGCCTCTGCCATGGTGCACCATCCGACGAGGACGAGGGCATTGTAGATGGTGCGAGAGGGATTGAAAAGGAGGAGGATGAGGGGCTCGGATGAGCTCTTGAGGAATCAGAGTATGGATCCTACAGAAATCTGCCGCCGGTTAAAGAAGGTCAACCGATGAATCTTTCAAGAAGTGGAGGTGGAAGATGGCAGGGGGTCCAGAGATGGGGGGGATCATCATTTGGACATTCATAGCATTGGAGACCTCTTGCGACTGCTGTACATAGGACAACTACAGCAGCAACTGACGCCCCAGACTGTACGCATTCACAGAATGACCCAATATACCATTTCCAAAGGCACCAAGGAGGATGTGGTGAGGATTGCCATCCTCATTGACTCGGCTGATCCAGAAAACAATGTAGCAAGAGGTCCTCGATATGATCATTGAGCTCGTGAGCACGGCTGAATGAGACAAGGATCGTGCTGAGAGGCTCCGCTCAGGCGGTCTACGAGAAAGAGCCAGACGCTGTAGTCACAAATCACGATCAGGTGGGTGGGTGGAGGACTAGGCCACAGACACCATACTTATACCTTCTATGCTTGTAGCTCGTGGAGAACATTTTCAACAAAGGCTATGCGAACATCTTTGTAGCCCGAGTAAAGACTGAAGATGGTTCGAGAGGAGAAGCAGTTGGCTTTGCCTTGGTAAGCGGTTGATCTATCAAAACGAAACTCGCTGAGCTATCCATGCAAGTATTTCTTCACCTTTTCGACATGGCTAGGTGTGCCTGGTCTATATGTACGTGTACGACTAACGTTGAGTGTGACTGTGCTCAACTTGATTCAGCTTGAGGACCTCTACGTCAAGCCTGATCATCGGGCCAATGGACTCGGTAAGAGGCTCTTTGGGGAGCTGGGAGCAGTTGCCAAAGAAAGAGGATGTGGAAGGGTCGAGTGGAGAGTCCTCAAGGTGCGTCGAGGCGATGGCTCAATCATTGCCGTGTATCTAGCCAATTGATCATGTGTCCAGTGGAATCAACCCTCGATCGACTTCTACGTCAAGAGACTCAAGGCTGAATCACTGGACGAATGGGACACTATGCGATTGGAAGGATCAGAAGCTATCGCAAGATTGGTACAAATGAGGCAGCAGTAGGCGACGCGTTCGGAAGAAGACGACGCTGTCTTAAGTTGGAGTGGTTCAAATCGATTGATGATGCTCCGCGATCATCTTGAGAGGTCGCCTCAGGGCAACCTTTCGATGCGAAAAAGTATTTCACTACCATATTGAACTCAAAATGGTCAGATGACCAGCGGTGGGAACAGCGTTTCTCGTTGGACGTGGATCATGAGCACCTTGTTCAACTGACTGACAAGTCATTCCTCAACTGCCTTACTCCTTCCTGCCTTGCCCTCATAGCCACTCCTAGCCCCATGTTCAGACTTTGGTCGACTGAAATTGGGATGGATCACACGACACCCTCATTTGACCTTCCTTCGCTTTACACTGGATCCATGCACCGGTCATTCATCGGACTCGTTTTTACTCGTCTCATCACGCTCCACAAGCCATCTGTCATCCGCATCGCTTCGTCACTTCTTCAGTCGCCCTCTGCTCATCCATTCTCCAGTATCCAAAGGCTCAATTTCCATGCGGCCCCTGACCGACCTCACCCCAATATGTCTGTCACCTACCCGTCCGCCTTGTGCTTACGATTTATGCTCTTCCTCTCTTGGCCATGCGATAGAATCCAGTCTTGTCCCTTCCCGACGTGCCTTGACGCGAGGACCTAACGATGCCTCTCACAGCCATATATACTCGACATACTGAGTATCACACAACTACGTGATGATTCGTTGCTGCATAGTTGACAGTCGCGACTGACTTTTCGAAGAGTGGCGGCGATTGACGAGGAATGGTAATTTCACTTGATTGAACTCGATGTTCATTTCCTCATCCTCTCAAACCTTTACTCATCCCTTCTCACTCTTAGGTCCTATGCACACAGCTTCGATCTCAACATTCTTGAGGTCTCACATCAGTCAATACCCCTCCGAAAGCCATCTGATAATCTGGTCTCTTTGCCTCTCATCTTCTACCCACGGAACGTCCTCCCAGTCTCCTAGTCCCCCAACGCCGATCATCTTACGATCCCCTCTCTCGGTCGAGTCTCTACCAAGCTACTTCGGGGATGGAAGACCAGTGTTCCACCCCTCCGAAGCACATTACTCCACATGCCGATCCGATCAGCTCACCACTCTCCCCTGAAACCCTCTTTACTCCACCCCAGCAAGATCTGCCTCAATCGGCAGGACCTTACAAATCCGATTCTCTCACTTCTCCGACCACTCCTTCTACCCCAGTCAGTAGCACCCCAGTCCCAAGGCATCAGAGACGACACAGCTACAGTCCTCGCACTCCCACGGCATTATCGAGACCTCCTCTTACACTCGCAAGTGCCGTCACATTACAACCAGAGTCACAAGCAGCGGATAAGGGACGTCGACAATCTGTGTCGGAAGAACGGCCTCATGTGTCGAACATTCATGTCCCGCCAATTTGGAGTTGGGATGCATCTCATGAGGCGGATGCGGAGAGTGAACCTGATGAGGAGGCCCATCTTTCTACTTCTCAACGGTGAGCTATCTGCGGCGACCAAATCATGATCTCGGCTCAAAATCTGATTGCAGTCGTTGTCGGCCGATATGATTCAACGAAGAATCTGCGTTGATGTCAGAGGAGGAAGAGAAGCAGATGCGAGTCTCAGCTTTGCTCTTCCGCGCAACCCAGCTGACCACCATCGCAGCTTTGGCAAGACGGTGTCGGAGATCTACCGAGAGGAGACCTCAAATGATCACCTCTACATGCCTCGGCCTCTACCTGACGACGCTCCTCCACCCAGTCCTCGTCCAGACTCTAGCCCAAAACTGGGGGCGACCTTGCCTACCGACAGCTCCGTTTCCTCCAACGCGGGTTTGGTAGAGAGTGTCAAGGAGCTGGAGGATAGGATGTCAAGGTATGCTTTTGAGTGGGGTCCTTTTAGTTTCGCTCACGTTCACATATCAGACCGGCGGTTCAATACTCGGAGGCGTCGGTTCCTATGACCAGGACCGACTCCACCTTAACGAACCCCTCTTCGGAAGATATGACTCCGGTGAACACTCCTCGTTCTAGTTCTCGTGGTGCCTGGAATGTCATCGCACAGGCGGTCGTACCCGCCGCAGCGCCACTGAGCCCCTCCGAAGTGCTTGTTCGAGCTCGAAGCGAAGCCCGGGCGAAACTGTACAGGTCCTCCAAGGTCATCCCTTATCCTGATCCTTCGCCTACTCGTCGCATCGGCTCGCTGCAAGATAACGATTGCCAGGCTCAGCAAGAGGACTCATCAACTGAATCTCTTTCGGGACAACCGGCCACCAGTCCTACGTCTCAGTCCGATGCCAGGGATTACGGCTGGGACGACGACCGGCAAATGTGCACAGACGAGTGGATGCGACATGTAAGGAGGAAGCGGAAGTCCAGCGACTTTCACGCTGTGGATGTACTTCGACACCGATATCATTTGCAGTTCATGGGTGATGATTGGGAGAATATCACAGACTCGCAAGAGCAGATCATTGCCAAGGCGCAAAGGTTTACACAGGCTCAAGGATTATCTGTACCAGGAGATAAGTCGACGCTTGGCCTAGGTTTTGTCGATAGCGCCTCTCATATGCGTGGCGGTGCCGATGATCTGGATCAAAGGCGGGTTTCCCCAGCCCGACGTCAATATTGTCAGACTGACGAATTCTGCTAGGCCGTCGGATGAGAGCAGATCAATTATAGTGGACGAGGATGTACCCATGACTCGCCATGTCTCGCCGGATCCTGGGGAATCACATTACCAAGAGCATCCGCTTACTGTTGAACCTGAGCAACCTTCGTCACCAACATCCAGCGACGGCGATGTGTCGGACTACAGTGGCTGCACGGACGAGTCCACTTCATCCGATACGCCACTCCACGTTCACCTCTCGAGTATTCTCAACCGATCCAATGTCACTGATTGGCTCGCTCATGGTCTAGAGGCTCGTCGAGCTCAAACTCTGGACGCGCAAAAGGCAAGATTGACCAACCGAAAACGCCCACGACCATTGTACAGGGACGAAAGCGGGGTCAGAGAGAAGGAGCCGGGGATCCCTCAGAGTGGGAACAGGATTAGGAGCCCCAGCGATGGGGCGCGTGCTTCTCCGTCAGGCCCAAGACCCTCAGGCTCGTTTTCCGACTCCGTGGATTCCTTAAAGCAGGCTGAAACCCAAACGAGGACCAGAGACCTTCGTCCCTTCAAAGTCCATTTTGGGCCGGAAGTGTCGGCAGGTAGACCTTCAGCAGAACCTTTGAGCACGGGAGCATTGACGTTGGACGACAAGGGGAGTGGCGGCATTGATGCCACGGCCTCCAGACCTCTACCGATGGATACGCAGGCATCGTCCATCGCCCCTTCCCCAAAATTTAAAGGCAAAGGAAAGGCCAAAGCTATTGAGTACACCCAAGAGTCAGTGGAGGAATACATCGGGCCCAAATCAGCCTTTAGTTCGCCGTCCGATTCGCCGTCTGATTCTGATCCAGAAGAGGTAGCGGTGCAGCTCGCACTGGAGCGATCGATACAGGACTCTCCCAATAGGTCGGGATTCGAGGTTGCCCAGGGTGATGAAGCTGGACCATCTACTGGGCCAGGCACGAGATCTCAGACCGCAAGAGACCCTTTTGGCTTCCTACACCACAGCTTGGAGTCTGAACAGTCGGTTTTTCGCACAGCAGGAAGAGGTGTCGCGAATCTTCCGGAAGCTGAGCAGGCGACATTCAACTGGTTTTATTGGGGCTGGTCAGACACTTCTGATCCTCCTTCGAGCCGTAACGATACGAGCCGCGATCCCCTATGGCTTATCCTGGACCCTCCCGATTGGCGTGACAACTTATTGAGGAGATTTGGGCACAATCTATTTGAATCAGGTGTGCAATATGCTCTTGAACCCTGGCAGGAACCCCTACCGGTGCCATCGGTCAATGTCATCCCTGCCACACCGGTGGAAATGACGATACCCACGTTGCCGGATGATCAATGGCTTGGTGTACCGAGATCTGACTCATCGGGCCGTCTCAAGCGTAGAAGCAGCTGGCATGGTCGAACTGAGTCCTTGCTCCCTTCAATTATCAATTCGGACATTGGAACCGACGTCACAACCTTACCAGAAGATCGATGGACGGCTTCGGTGACATCGGTGGAAGACACAATCAAGAGGATTCATCAGATCTTCGGCTTGGGCCCGTCGATAGGACGGGACGAGCAAGCACAGGTCACTCCTGCATCTTTCATAACAGCTGGAACTCAGGGGAATGAGGCGATAGTTTCGCCTCAAACGGTTACACGACCCCGACCTCGACTATTCAGGTCTCTCTCCGAGCACTTTTTAGGTGTCCGCGGGATCCTGGAAGATGGAGCTCGAGAGAACTATAGGTCAGACCTCAGAGCTTCCAGGCCCGCTCCCAGACCTCCCGTCCAGATGGAACAGCTCGATGGCCCAAAGGTCATGGAAGAATCCGCAGCTGCACGATTGACTGCTTATAGGTATCCCGCCCGGCCCAACGAGCCGTCATTGTCTAATCAACTGCACTCGTTCATTGATCTGAATGATGACGACGATGTCCAGTCGATTCCGTCAACTACCGATAACCATAGTCCGACGCAGGCTGTACCGATCGAGTCTGAATCGCCATTGTTGACTTTTGGCGAAGCTTTGATGACAACCTTCAGTTCGACGATGGATCTCGTTTTGAGATCTTTCTCCGGAGAGTCGGAAGATGACGAAGATGAGTAATGGGAGAGCTGAGCGAAGCTTTGAGAGGATCGTCTACAGAGTTCGTGTCCTCATAGCGTAGTCTTGTGACATTGCTCTACCAACCATTTATGTCCGCATGATAGTGCATGTTGACACTTGATCTGTCAGTGAGATGAGATTTCGCGCTATAATTTATCAATACCGACAGCTCTCCTCACTTCCTCCATAGTCTTCTTTGCTACCTCCCCAGCCTTTGCTCTACCTTGCCCTGCAATCTGACTCAGCCAACCCTTCTCCTGTCTTATTCTCTCGTACTCTGCTCGTATATTGCCGAATCGCTCCACCACAACGTCGGTGACTGCATCCTTGAGCTTCGCCATTCCCCATCCGTCTTTCTGCGCCTGTTCCGCAAGCTGCTCAGGTGTCTGGCCAGAGGGGTCCAGCGAAGACCAGATGAGAAGGAGGTTCGAAACTCCTGGTCGCCCCTCAGGATCGAATTTTATGGACGGTTCGGAATCCGTCACGGCCGTTTTGACAGCCTTGCGGATAGCTTCCGGTGGATCCGTTAAGACGATTCGGGACGCTGCTAAGGGGGCAGATTTGGACATTTTCGCACTGGGGTCTCGAAGCGATAGAATACGTTTGGAAGGTACTAGCAAAACGTCAGGAAGGATTACGGGATAGGCATGGGTTGGCTTAGGCGGACTCACCGATCCTGGTCTGTGGTAGAGGGAAAATGTCACCATAAGCTCTGTTAAATGCTTCTGCTGTATCTCGTGCTAGTTCCAGGTGTTGAGTTTGATCTTCGCCAACGGGGACAATCGTGGATCTGACAAGCACAAGGAGAGAGAGATATCGTCAATGATGTGGGAGGGATTCGAGGGTGTGAGGCTTACTTGTAGAGCATTATATCGGCTGATTGAAGGGTTGGATAGGCCAATAATCCGAGCTTCAGATCCAAGTCTGTAATTTGATCTGGAGATGATGATGTTCTCGTGGCGATTTGGGACTAGCGAGCGAAGTCAGTCCTTCGTAGATTGTAGCTTGTGTTTATAAAACCCACCTTCCAAGTCGTCATTCTCTGCAATCTACCGACCGGCGTCAAAGTATTCAATATCCAAGCCAGCTCAGCGTGCTCAGGTATCTAAAACTCGATCAGGGGGTCTCGTCGTCTGTACCACTTTGAAGGCTCACATCTTCCTGGTAGAACAAGCATGTCCTCTCTGGATCGACTCCGCAAGCTAACAAAGCAGCCAACATATCCATTCGCTCCTGTCTCAAAATATTGGGATCTCTCGGCAACGTTATGGCGTGTAACCCGACGATTGAGAGGTACAAGGGTGTCGAGCGCGGTAAAGAGCTTTGAAGTTCTAGGAAAGGGAGGAACAGTCCTAGGTAATTGCCAATCTATTGCAGGTGTCAACGTCTCTTCCTGCTCCGCGCTTGCTCCCATCTCACATGAGGTATGCCTGATGGTTGAATGCCTGAAAAGACGACCTCGTCGAATTTTGGGCCTTTGGAAGGTCCTGCAGAGCTGCTGGCATGACGGTGATCGCGATGAGCTCTCACGTGACTATTCAAAGACGGTACCGTCCTTGCTGAAGCTAGGCAAGCACTAGAGGCGGTCTTGAGCCTGCTCATGGTGTGCTGCTATATAGCCAAGGACTCTGGCTCTCAACATTTCAGCCTCCGACAATGCTGGAGCTCCGCAAACAGTTTCACGTGACTGTGTATAACACGTGATTCACCTTCCCACGGTGAAGGCTCGCTCGGCTCATCGGGACAAACGGTAATCATCCACCTCTTTAGCACCTCGCCCCTCTCCTCTTCATCGCTCTCTTACTTCAGACAACCCATCCTGCTCATCCTCTTCGTCACACTGCCTAAAGTTACGAGTGGACCCTCTCCTGTACCCGCTCTGGGCACAACGTCAGCCACTCTAGAGCTGTGAGGCGCGTCAGCCTCCAGCTTATCGATTGAGCAGGAGGGAAACTTCTTCTTTGCTCTTGTCAGCGGACAAGGAACGGCCCACGCGAATCATCGAGCTAAAGCTCTCTCCTCATCGTCCGACCTGTGCATCCGCGTAGCACCAGCTCTCAATAACCATGTCCGACCTCAATCCTCCGTACCGACCCCTCAACGTCAGAGATGCGTTGTCGTATCTGGATCAAGTCAAGGTGAGCCAGAGTGCCCGTTACGCTGGATAAGTCAGGCGGATCTGGCTTGAGTAGCACAGGTTTCTTCATGCTCTAGCATCATGAAATAGCTTCATTTCGACCATATTGTCGTGGTTCATAACCCTGCAGTTCCTTACCCTGTCAACAGACGCTCCAATTCACCCTGCCTGCCCCCTGTTTATCTATCCAACGTGCTTGGTTGACGCTGTCCTCTCTCAGATGCGCTTCGTCGAGCAACCTGAAGTTTACAATCGCTTCCTTGACGTTATGAAAGAGTTCAAAGGTCAAATGTGAGCTCTTTTCGATCGTCTTATGACCCACAAATAGCTCATTATTTCCCCAGCATTGACACACCCGGCGTCATTGACCGAGTCTCTACCCTATTCCGTGGCCATCCTTCCCTCATCCAGGGTTTCAACACCTTTCTTCCGCCCGGGTATCGGATAGAATGCCTCAGCGGTGACGGAGAACAGGATGGACTCATCAGCGTGACTACTCCCAGCGGTACCGTCTCCCACGTGCCCGGCGGTTTCACCGCGGCAATGGACAAAATGTCGAACCGGGATCGAGAGACGAGACCTGCCGCGAGGCCACCAGCTGAACCAGAAGCCAAGCGATCAGCTCCTGCTGTGCCTGCACCCGCTCGAGCTCCGGAGGCAGCTTCATTTGGACCCCCTACACTGCCACCTCTGCGAAGCGAATTTAGCGATGCTGGAAGACGCCGGACTGGACCCTCGCCTCCCAGCACCGCGGGACGAGGCGCCAAGGTGCAATCTACAAACGGCACCACCAGCGTTGCGCCTGGCCCCTTGCCCATGCCGACCGGTGCTCCTATTGCTCCATCGGGCCCCTCAACACCTTCAGCTGCTCAATTCCTCGCTTCGGGGCTGGCTAGCAATTCCAACCCATCTCCATCAAATAGAGCCCCTGGTAATGCTCCAATCCTCGAATTCAACCATGCTATTGCATTCGTGAACAAGATCAAAATGAGATTCAGCGAAGATCAGGATACGTACAAGCAGTTCTTGGAGATCTTGCAGACGTATCAGAGGGATACGAAGGACATTGCGGAGGTGCGGCATAGACCTTAGAGCCTTTTGACTAACGCCGCTCAGGTGTATGAACAGGTCACTAAACTCTTCCATCTCGCACCTGACCTCATTGCCGAATTCAAAAAATTCTTGCCTGAAAATGGGTCGAGCGCATTCTCCGGCATGGGCTTTGGCTCCTTTGTGCAAGCAGCATCCAATACGCCTCAATCTGTAGACAAGGGTGGAGTAAAGCGTAGCGCTAAGGACGGGAAGGAGGTTGCGCCTGTCAAGAGACGTCGGGGACCAGCTGGAGATGGCAAAGTGCCCAGGGTGAGCCCGTGTCCTCGATGGTGCGGCCACGTCTGACGTCTGTCTGTCAACAGAAGAAGAACACGAAAGCGGACAGTCCAGACGGTGACGATGGCGAGACTTCGCTTGCGCTTCCTCCTGGTGGCCCGCAGACGCTCGCTTCGCCCGAGGAAGTCGCCTTCTTCGATAAAGTCAAGAAATTTGTGGACGACAAGGTCACCTACCACGAATTCCTCAAACTCATCAACCTATTCGTGCAAGACATGATCGATGTGCCGACTCTGGTTGATCGAGCCGATTTCTTCATTGGCAATTCCGGCGACATCTGGGTCGCATTCAAGAAGATGGTCGGTGCGGATGATCCGGCCTCAGTGACCACCAATACAATGGGTGCCCGCGGTGGATACGGTTTCGGAGGGATGATAAATGCGGATTCGAAGCTTGTAGAGAATATTCCTATGCTGGACCGTGTCAAGCCTGATCTCAGCGGTCACAAGGTCAAGAGCTATGGTCCAAGTTACAGGAAACTTCCATCCTCCGTGAGTCTTGCCTTGCAGAGCTGGCGAGGAAAGACTGACATGAGGGTTTTAGGAGGTCAATCTTCAGTGTACGGGCCGGGACGCGATGTGTTGGGAGGTATTGAACGACGAATGGGTCTCTCACCCTACTTGGGCTGCTGAGGACGCAGCACCGTTCATGGCTCACAAGAAGAATGCTTATGAAGAGGCACTGCACAAATCTGAGGAAGAAAGGCACGAATACGATTACCATATCGAAGCGAATCTTCGTACGATCTCCATCTTGGAGCCGCTGAACAACAAGATACAGACTATGGATCCAGAGGAGCGAGCCCATTTCAACCTAAAAGCAGGTCTCGGTGGCCAGTCAAAGTCGATCTACCAGAGAATCATCAAAAAGGTATACGGTAAAGAGATCGGACCTGATGTCATCCGGGCTCTGCACGACAACCCCGCTACCTCCTTGCCCATCGTGCTGGAGCGTCTCAAGGCGAAGGACGAGGAATGGAAAAAGGCTCAACGGGAGTGGAACCGCGTGTGGCGAGAGCAAGACGCGAAAAACTTTTACAAAGCCCTCGATCACCAAGGAGTCGCCTTCAAAGCCAGCGATAAGAAGGTCTTGTCTGCCAAGAGCTTGATCAGCGAAATCGAAGCTCGGAAGCGGGAGCAGAGCACCCTGCGAGCCACCGTACGATCGATGCCTTATCGTGGCCGGCCACAGTTCAGCTTCCATTTTACCGATGTCGAGGTTCTCAAGGATGTGGTCAAACTCGTCATTTCCTACCTAGACCGAATGATGGGCACCCTCAATACCCAAGACAAGGACCGCATAGAAAATCACCTTCGAGATCTTGTTCCGCTCCTCTTCATGTTCAACAAGGAGGAGTTTGATGCCGAATTTGGCGATGCTGAACATGGCACACCAGATGATGGCGAGGCCAGTGATGACTCGGATGGAGACGTGGCTATGGCAGAGGATGATGAGGCATCAAACCTTGCAACCGGAAAGCGAGGTAAAAAGGGAGGGTCCGCTGCGGATCTCCGGAAACGATTGCTCAAGTCTGTTGGCGAGAAAGAAGGTAGAGACAAGCGGGGATCCACCATGACGCCTGGACCTGAAGACGTCCCGAATGGCGAGAATGGCGAAGCAAGATCTGTCGAAGGTACGCCCATGACGGAGAACGGAGAACGGGAAGAGACGCCCATCCCTGCGCCGGCCGACCCGGAGGCGGTAGCTGAGGCTGTGGAGAAGGACAAGGTCACTGCCGATGCCTCTGAGCAGACTTGGGTCCAGATCGACACTCCTGGCGACTCTAGACTACCCTCAGAGGAGCCTCTATCAAAGAAGGATGCCGAAATCAAGGCCCGGGTCTCTAGAAAGGCAAACTTTTTCACCAACAGCCATTATTACGTGCTCCTGAGGCTCATCGAGGTGAGCTTTGATATGATATTCTCATTCCCGGCTGACGAGGCGTTCAGATCATGTACTCTCGTTTGAAGCGCTGCAAGGACCTGGCCGACCAACTTGCGAAGGAAAAGCAACAGCCCATCAACCCTATCGCCATCAAGCTCGGCTTGGCCGACCCTGAAACGCAAAACTTTGGGATCGAGGCTGGAGAGAATCCCGCGCAATACTATTATCAGAATCTGCTGAGCTTGGCTGAAAAGCTCTTTGAGAACGAGTTGGATGTCAATACGTTTGAGGAGACTCTCCGGTTCATGTTTGGTACAAAGGCATACATTCTGTTCACACTGGACCGGGTCGTGGCGGCGATAGTCAAGCAGGTGAGTGCGCCGCCGTGACTTGTCAAGAGTGTGCCTGATGCTCTCAGACTCAAACGATCCTCGGAGACATGAAGAGTCAGGAGCTGTTCGCCCTGCTTCAGAGAGATCGGGCTGCCGATAAGACGACTGTCCGACAGCAAATTGCCTACAGGATGCAAGCGGAGAGTGTTGTTGGATCAGACGATAACCTCTACAAGGTGGAATACGTGGGTCGCTCGCTCTAGCATGGAACAAGCTGGTATTGACTGATCTTGACAGCATGACCACGACGAAACCCTCACTGTCCAACTCCTCGGACGAGAGGATCTGACCATTGATGATGCCGAGACAGCGCGGGACAAGTGGAGACAATACATTGAATCATTCGCGCTGGTTCACGCTACGGAAGGTCTTCCTCATCGCGTGGACAAACCATTCCTTCAAAGGTGAGTGAATCGCTCGTAAGCTGTCATTTCTGACCCTTGCAGGAATCTCACGGACATTCCGGAAGATATCGCACCGAATTCTTTTGACACACACTCTGGTCTAGAGATCAAGATCGCCTTGGGCAATTACCGGATGTTCTTCACGCCTGGTGAGCACACTATTGCGTTCCCATCGCGAGACCTGCGGTTGACAGGCTGCGCAGAAACCGAAGATTTCTTCCACCGCAAGCGAAGTATGAACGAGCTTGCTGAGCTGGAAAAGTCAAACGAGACTGCCACGGCCGCTGCTAAGGACCGGCTGGCGAAATTCGTCAATGACAAGATCAATCCTCCTGCCGAAGCTGCCCAGGCGAGCGGTAGAGAAGGTGAAGCTCAGGCGGTTGCCCTCGCTGGTACAGTGGAAGTCAAGGCGGAAGAGGGCAAAGAGCCAGGGAGTGCAGCGGTTTCTAGCTGAGACTCTTAAGTCTGTGCCTCCGAAGAGGGATCGTTTGGTGAGGGATCTGGGAGTCAACCAATTGTTGTATGTCGTGATGCGTGGACTGTGCGTCAGTAGTAGAGTAGGGACCTCTCGAGTCGGCCTTCGTACATGATCAGAATATCGTATAAAGTAAACTAAAAATGTGTAATGAGAGATCATATCAGCCTACCAAGATGGATGACTCGAAGAATCAGGGATCGAGTGAGAGATGTGAAGGCTGTTGTTATACATGATGTTCTGAGAAAACATAATCACCCGTCTAGCGTCCAGGAGTGGGCGGTCTGTACCCTATCAGGGCTTGTTGTTTCAATTCTGTTTCTTTGCGCTTGTTAAAGTGTTCCATCTGGGCGTGACGATAGACAGTGTCAGCTCTTGAATCGTCCAGCGCCCTAAATCCCCGCTGCCGCTGCCGCTGCCCACGCAAACTCACCCAAGTTTTCCCACATTTCTGTTCATACACTTTAACTTCCCCTTTACACACTCCTGGACCTTCTTCTCCGGGCACAGTCACTCGATTCTTGATTAAACAGTCAAAGTACTCATCTCTTGCTTTCCAGCATGCCGCTCGTTGTTCTCTATTCGGTGCGGTCGTCGGCGTGGCAGATGTGGAACTGGACGCAGAGGTAGATGGCTCGTTGGGACTAGAAGAAGAGCTGAATGGCCACATTGCGTTGCCCCTGGATTGATTGAAAATGGATCCCAAGCTAGTCTTCGAGACCAGTCGAGCAGAATACATCCAAGACAATGACTGACTTACGTCAGCATATTGTGGGACTGTTTATGTGATGTCAGTCGTGTGTCCCGACATTGGGACTTGGTTTGCAACTGGATCCTTGTTGGCGAGAAAGGATTTGGCGACGCTAACGATGCCTGAACCATCTACGTCGGAGGTCCAACCGAAGTTGTCCCTACTCACACGAGTCTCTCGCTCTCCTTCGCTCTCTTCCTTGACTTCCGAAGAGTCTTTCAATCCTCATGCGAATCCTGTAGATCCAGAATTCGAGCGGAAGACAGCTGCCACGAAACCCGCTCTAGGCGTCAGAGAACTGATCCACATGGCTAGAACAGAGAAAGAGAAAAGTTCCAGGTCCAATCGATCTGTCATTCCGCCTGAAAGTCCATTGGCATTCTCTCCCCCTGTCGAGATACGACTTTTTGGAGGGGATAATCTGGCGGACGATCTTCAGGCAGGAGGTGGTCGTGCTCAACATCACGGCGGCGAAGTACCTGATGGAGAATATGAACATCGATCATTGGCTCAAATCGTCGCTCTCCCATTACCCTTGACGGAGACGGTAAGGGATTCGAGGAACGCTCCGTTCGCGAGGGAGGTCGAGATCAAAGGCTGGAAAGTCGTTGGTGGAAAAACTTGGACTGGGGCAGCGAGAGTTGGCGCTTATGTCGGTGCGTTTGAAGAAGGGAGAAACTGAATGAGATCTGATCTAGCCATTCAGTCTATGAGATCGAGATCATCTTTCGTACTGGCGGAAGCACGACCATTCTCCGACGATACACAGACTTTGTCAATCTTCGAGCAGCGCTAGATGTTCGATTTCCCGTGAGTCAGCCATTGTGACCATGGCTGTAAACTCGGGATCAGTGCTTATTCTTGTTACAGGGTTTCCGAGAAGCTATCCCCGTCTTACCGGGTAAAGCCCACATGGGTGAGCACATGCAGTCAACACGAGGAAAAAAACAAAAGCGCACTCATGGCTGATCTTGGGTCAAGCGAAATTTTCCGCCAAGTTCCTGGCAGATCGACAGAGTCGTCTCGGTCTCTTCCTGCGAGCCGTCATGCTTCATCCAGTGATGGGACGAGGGGGTCCGAACTCTGTCGTCGGAGCTTGGGTCACAGACGACACATGAGGTCCGCAAGCGCAGTGCCAAGCCGCATCAACATTGGCCTTATCACACGTATACGCTGTCTTCAGAGAATCACCCTCCCGTGGAACCGTCGTCTAAAAGGAACCGGACCCCTGATGTCCGTACCATTGCCGCTCTGCCGCAAGAGACGACACTCCAGTCATCGCAGAATCGCACTGCCTCACCTGGCTACCTGGCAGCGGGTCAGGAGCTATCAATAGAGGCTTCGCCTTATGCTTCGAAGCCAAGCCTCAAAGCCTCACCGCTGTTTTGGATCGGACTTTCGAAACCCTATATCTACTGGGTCGATGGACCGACGTCGCTCGGCCCTTCGCCCCCAGACCAACAACCGGAACATCTACTGGTTCTTCTCCAGTGTCACAGTCCACACAGAAGGGTCTCAACGGCGTCCTTCATCGCTTGCCTCATCTCGTAGACTCTGTATCTCATGCAATACCATCATGACCATAATCTGCGTCACTTGAGTGCCACAACCGGTATCCTCGGCCCGTCTGCTTCCGAAAATATCGGACCGAATGACGAAATTTGGCTGCACCACCTCCTCCACTTCGATCTCTAACCCCTCCACACCCCATTACCGCTGCCCTGCCTCATCATCCATCCACATCTTGACCTCATCTTTTTGATAGAGACAGCTCATTCGTTACTCAAAAATCTCTCAATCTTACCCAGAAAACCATTGTCAACATGGCCATCACTCACGCTCAAGGTCTGTGATCTTTCCCTGCCATGCGAGAAACTCTCTGACGACAAGCTCATAGGATATGCTGTCCACAAGCCCTCAAAGGACGATTATGTCAGTTTGGACTGAACCGTTGAGACACCAATTGGGCCCTCTTCGCTGACTGCTCGTTGTACAGAAATTCGAGCTCACCAAATACGAGCTCGAGCCACTGACTTCTGACCGTATCACCGTCGCTGTCGAGTGTTGTGGAGTCTGTGGATCGGTGAGTCAGAGGCGGTCCTTTGCATGCGATTCATAAAGCCATGCTGACGTCAATGCCTCGTAAAGGACACTCACACCATCACTGGTGAGCCTGCTCCAACATGACTCCGGATTCCGATGCTGATACTTGCGCAGGCGGATGGGGACCGTTCGAGACTAAATTTGTCGTTTCCGGGCACGAAGTCGTCGGCAAAGTCGTCGAAGTCGGAGACAAGGTCACTGAATTCAAAGTCGGCGACCGAGTTGGAGTCGGTGCTCAGGTCTCCAGCTGTAAAGAATGTAAAGCTTGCAAGAATGACAACGGTGAGATGATACCCGCTGCATTGATTTTGCACTCGTTTTACCGAAGCTGATGACTTTCGTAGAGACCTACTGCATGGGTCACATCACCCACGGATACAACACCCACTGTGAGTCTGATTCGTTACTAAAGAGTGACATCGCTGACATCATCCTTTCAGGGGCCGAGGGAGATGAGCACCAGGGAGGATACTCTACCTACATTCGAGCACAAGAGGGTTTCGTATTCAAGATTCCCGAGGCTCTCTCTTCCAACGATGCTGCGTCCATGTGAGGGATATTCTTTTGCGAACTCTTAGCTCTTCTGATCTGACTCCCTTTCCTTCAGGCTCTGTGGAGGTCTGACCGTCTTCTCGCCTTTGGTCCGAAACGGTGCTGGACCCGGCAAGAAGGTTGGAATCGTCGGTCTCGGAGGACTGTGAGTAAACGTCCGGTGTGCCAGCTTTAGGATGTGCTTGTGCTGACGATGTTCGTGATTACTCGCAGTGGCCACTATGGTGTCCTCTTTGGAGCCGCGCTCGGAGCCGAAGTCACCGTCTTTTCTCGATCCGATGCGAAGAAGGAAGACGCCTTGAGACTCGGAGCAAAGCGATTCGTTGCTACTCAAAACAAGGGCTTCGAGAAGGATCTCCAGCAAGAATTTGACGTCATCATCAGTACCGCATCCGCCAGCTCGTTGCCATTGGATGAACTCTTGTCGACCTTGAAGATTGAGAAGAAATTCATCATGGTCGGCATGCCCGAAGATGGTCTCAAGATCACCCCTCAGACTTTGAGTGGCAATGCTGCTGCTCTCGCTTCGTCCCACCTTGGAAATAGCAGGGAAATGCGACAGATGCTCGAGCTGGCAGCTGAGAAGGGTCTCAAACCCATGATCGAGGTCATCCCAATGAAGGATGTTGCTCAGGCTCACAAGAAGATCCAGGACAGTTCAGTTCGATACAGGACCGTCTTGACCCAGGTGAGTGGAAGATCGCGTCGTGGTCGCGAGCGAGGCGGTCATCAAAAGGTCTCACTGACCCTGTGATTTGTAGGACATCGAGCAACAGTGATGCGTTTTCAGTCATTCTTTCCAGTCAAAAGTCATCAGTTGCAATCGAGAGTCGAGAGTGATACAAATCAAGCGTGTAAATGCATGGAGAAGTCGCAATATTGCCACAGTGATGATGACTGATATTTGATACAACGTGTATTTAGAAGAAGATCCAACTCGATATCTTGAGTCTCACGCGCCCATAGCTCTTTCCAAATTGGCAGTCCTTCTGACCGTCTCAAAGATTCTGAACAGACTCAACACCATGTTCCCACCGTAGAGAACTAGAGCGACCAAAGATAATCCGATACACGCCCCCTGTCGTTGACAAATGTCTCTTGTCGAGGCAGAATTGGTGATATCATCCGCGAGAACCATTTCTAAGGCTCTGAAACCGGAATAGGTATCCTGATCGACGTAAAAGTCCCTCGCGTGTAGTCTTGAACGTGAAACGGTCACAGTCATGATATCTGGGTCGAGGTCTGAAGCCCACCACGCTTTGCCTCGAGCGCACATCAATGGCGTGGCTATAAAGTCATTTGCAGAGTCTGTGATGGCTGAACTCCAGAGACCGACGAATAAGAGATCCAAGCAGACCCAGAGCATCTTGGATCGAAGGCCCCATAATCCGATCGGTCTGCCAAAGTACTCTCTGTAGATCGCAGTAAGGACATGGACAGAAGTGAGTGAGGCATAGGAGATGATGAGCGTTGTAGAAGAGCCCATGACTCCGGGTATACCGAGAGAATCGAGTCGAAGTCGAATAGTCACTGCCAATGCTATAGGCGAAGGAAAGAATCAGCACAACAATCTCGAGGGCACTTGGGACCCACCAAGTGCGGCGAGGACGACCGCCAGATTGATCAATCGGATATAGATTGTCACACGAGCATCGAGGAAAAGGACTCTCTTTGCCTTCTTCTTCCAATCATCTTCTTTGATTCTCATCTGCTTTCTCTCCTTACGTCGCTTCATCCGCGTACTGAAGCAACCCCATCGAGTGAAAGAAGCCGCTTCACTCTTGCCAGTTGCTAACGTCGTCTGCCTCGACAAAGCATCCCCGTTACCCGGCATCTCCTTGTTGCGTAAACCGTTGATTGGATCGTCAGGAACATGTTCAACTGGTGAAGCTCGTAATGGGCCAAAGGTTCCGGTTGGCGCTGGTGTATTCCAGTCAAAGTCGTGAGGGTCTACCCCACCACCTTGTTGCCGTTCTTGCGCCGCGCTGTTGCCATTCTCCACATCGGTAGTGGCGAATCCTAGACCTGATGGTGTTGGAGGAACTAGAGCAGTTCGATAACGTTTCTTTTTCTGTCTTCGTCGGCTCTTCCGACTCGTTGGATCTTGGGCAGCAAGCTGATCCGAGACGTCCTCTTCAGCATCTCCGGTCGGAACAATCCCCCGTTCTCCAGGAGAATGCCTCGGTTCTCGCCGTCTGCTGGGATTGAGAGATGACAATCGACGCATATTGTGGGGTCTCGCTCGAGGCTCTCTCGTACCCGATCTGTGCGATTTCGAGGGACTGGCTTCGGCATGATCCGGTGGAGTCGCAAGCTGACCAGGATACATCCCATACAGAGCATCTTGCCATGATCCAGCTTGCGGCCAACCGTGTTTGAAATGATCCGAGATGGGTGGCGGAAGTTGAAGTTTGAGCTTGTTAATGGACCTTCTCCGATTCCTCTCTCCCATCGGAGTATCTGTGTGGATCTCTCCACCCTCGTCTATGTCCCGCCTCCGTCTGATCTTTGTGCTCGAGTTCGTACTGCCTCTTTGTTTCGACGACTCGTTACTGTCCTTGGATACGGGTATTTTTCGATGCCGAATGAAGATTCTTTCGCGGTCGCGGTCAGAAGGTGATTCCGTATCTGTTGGTAAATCCGTGAGATCACCGCGAGCCCGTCGAAGTCGGGAAAAGTATGGCGTTGTCGATTGCCTCCTCATTATGGGAGCTCGCCTCGGCAATGATAGTGGATTCCCAGGTCTGGCACCCTCAAGGATTGGATCGCCACTTCCTCGAGGTCCGTCAAGATCCAACACGACTTCTGGACTGCCAAACATGACGTGCGAGTGAAGACGAGTGGGTGAAGATGGAGCGGAATTTGATCGAGCGAGCTTCGGAGCGGGGACTTGCAGATTCAAAGGCGTAGGTGAATCTCGCCAGTGAGATCGCCGGAAAAAATGAGTATGCGGATGGAGCTCGCGAGGCGTCGGAGGAGCGCTCGGGGAAAGGAATGGGTGGACGACAAGGGATGCAGGTGAAGGGGAGGCGACTCCATCAGAATCTATCCCACTCTGTCTCCTTTTTGGCTTTTGAGTTGTGATCGGTCGGCCATTGCTGTCATTGCTCTCTCGGCTCTTTTGCTTTCCTCGACCGTATAGATCTCTCACGCGGTACTTCCTGTCAGATTTCATTTGATCGGCTCCAGAGATCGCGGTCTCCTTGCCGGACTCTTGAACAGTCTGCTCCGTCTTATCACCTGATCTCTTCCTCGTCGCTCTGGCTTTCATCTTGGCCATACCTCGAGACGTGAACGTCCACCAAGGATTATCTTCATCCGTGCTATCCCAATCGCTTGTGCCTGAAGATGTCCCTTCCGAGGTCGAATAACGTCTTCCGATATGAGGGCGGCGTTTCTGAGATAGAGCTGCGCTAGAGGGGCCTGCCATTACAGTGGCGGGCCCATCAGGCGGCGTCTCAAGGGGCGACGAGACCACTGCGAATGGTGGAGAAGGAGGCTCGAATTGGGCGGATGCTGTGCATGGCATGGTCAGATCGAGCACGCAACCCAGTGGGACAACTTACGAGGCACAGTTCTGACTTTCCTAGCTGTCGATCCCGTCGCCATGGTCCCATTTGTCAATGTAGACATGTTAGTCGTCGAGCTTTCACCGATGCCCATGCCCATTTTCATGACGCTGTGTCCTTTGTCTGCCATGTTGACAGTGATCTTGGCAGCCGAGGCACGGGATGATCCGGCTGAGAAGTTGACCATGATAGGTCAACTTGTGCCTTTGACGTTGTCGTCGTCCTTGAGAGATGGATATATCACCTCGAGGTGAATGAAGGCGAGTAGAGCATGATGCTGTTTCGTTTACCACGCAAATGGAATTGATGCTTGGGGTGAATGAAGGGAAGGGCGAGCGGCGGCGATTGAATGATGACCGTGGGGATTCCGCAAATGATGCAGGAAGGATACACTGAGGAGCGAAGATTACTATCGAGTCTGTGTCTGTCCAAAAAGTCCACCTGTTTGACGTCGTTGTCGATGGAAGATGGATGGTAGAGACTGGATGGATGTGACCTGACGATGGAATTGCCGAATATTTATTATTTATTCAGTTTGTAATCTGATAACACCTTGGGGTGGTCGCCTGCCCGATCAAGTCATATCAACAAGATTTGCCTGGAGGTGAACTCAGTGAGCCCCTGGCATTGCATCAAGACTCCCACTTGGAGCACTCTCCAGAGCTACCCAGTCTCCAGCCAGAATCACTCCATCGTTTGCATCGCTAGGTATAAGCTGCCCATGCACCATGCCCCGTCAAGAAGGTCTCTCAGCCATCTGCGTATTACTTCAGATTCCTAATGCCAGGTTCCTAATCAAATTACTCATTACTAATTAGTCAGGGTCGGGGCGGCGGGGGGCGGGGGGGCAGAAGGGTGTCTGTCTCTCTCTCATTCTGCCTTTTTGACTTCATCATCGACGAGACTCTGGCATTTTGACTCAGCCCTGCATTTCCATTCATCTCCTCTCTCGACTGGACACTGGACACTGGACTCGTTCTCAGAGCATCACCTTTGGACTCGACTCAATCACCACAACCAACCCCTTCAGACCATACACGACTGCTTGTATTGGAGAAGTGTAGAATTAGACTGAGCAGCGGGATTGTGGAACACATCATCCTCAGCCTACTCCTTGAACTATTCAACGTTGTTATATACTAGCTCTCAGTCCTCGACAACACCTGAAATATCTCATGTCTCTGTGACATCAAGAGATCACCTTTTTATACAGAAACAACAAAAGGACCTCTCCACCATCTATCTCACTCTGCTCAGATTGAGAGTGATTTGACAAAACGATGAAGGGAAAGCATCGATGGATGGAGGAAGATGCCATCAGCCTCGAGGAAGAAGAAGAGGAGAATGGTGAGCTAGAGGCGACACGTGCCATCTGACCATTCTACCTCTCCCTTAGAACGGAGCAGAGACACTGTCAGGACACTTCATCCACGATCCCGCTCCATGACTTCACCTCCTCTTCCAGATCCCAAATTCAACCCTCCAGCTGATACGCATATCCTCCCGACTACACTCTACCGAATACATAGCGATTCATCTTCCAGCGATATAGGTTCGACCATCGCTAGGGCCCGTTCACCTTCCGTCTCTTCACCTTTATCACCTCCAATGCCATTCATCCCCATGGCCGAGCATTCGAATACAGGAACCACCCCGCTTGAATTGTTGTCTCCGCCAGTATCTGCAGGATCATCACACAACACGTCATTCGTCCAGGCTTCTGCATCTCGACCGAGCTCAGTATTGGATGACCCAATATTGGCTCGACGACCCTCCATCACGGAAGCTCTTCTCGGGCCACTTCAAAGACCAGACCTCAAGGCGTTACAGAAAGTTTCTTCCGACTCAGTCAGCCGATTGCCACTATCTCACGGAAGTTCGTTCTCCTCAGGTACCGGTCACGACAACTCATCAGATGCCAGTGAACGATTAGCGGAAGCTAGAGAGAGGCTGTTGATGGATGCTGCGGCTGGCGTAGCTGTGGAAAGAAGAGCGTCAAGCTCAGATCTTTTGGATTTGACTGTGACGACTCCAACGCCACCGCTCCGAGCGACGCAATCTGGGAGCTCATCTCCGCCTAATGGCGCTCTGAGAGCAAGGAGACCGTCGACACTAGAGGAGATTGTGCAGGAAGAACCCGAACGCGCTTGGGACAGTGTGGTACGTCCGGAAGGTGTGATGATAATCGACTCACTAACATCCCTCTTAGTGGCCAGCCCCTGGGACCAAGCCTCAAGTCCCTGCTTTTGATTCTGCAATCCCCACCTTCCCAATCGCCCCGATATCACCCTTCGTCACGCCTGCGTTCTCACCTGCCCTGGCCGGCATGCCAAATGTCATGTCGGCTCTAGGTGCAGCCGTGCCGACATCCCCTCGACCCAGATCGAGCTCACCGATCCATCGATCCCCTTCCCCCGTCAGCCTATCATCCCCTCAGAGATACTCTCCAACATATGATCCTTCTGCCGCTGAATACTCCATGGCCGGACGGAGAGGGTCACTCGTCCACGCCTCGTCCTCCCTCACTCGATCCCCCACCAATACACCCTCCGTCCCTATCAAACGTCATACTCGAGCCCAGTCCAGCTCTTCGCCCAGCAATAGTGGGATCATCCACTTTCCCAGGGAATCTCTCGAGCGGAAGCTCGGTACGCCACCCCAGAGCCCTCATGGTAGTCCGACTCGTCGACACATGTCACTATCGTCCGGAACTGGACGCCGTGATTCGATTTCAGCCGAGCAAGGGAAAAGTCAACGTTCGACCAGCCCAACTCGACATCCTTCAATGCAAATGCAGACCAAAGGTGAACCGCCGAGGCGTCTATCCGAGATACAGCCAACGTCACCGGTGGACTCCCAACCGGCATTGCGTCCAAGAGGCTACAGTATGAATGCGGAGCGACCAGGACTCTTCTCGACTCCAGAGGAGAGTCCATTGTCGATCGATGAGGAGCTTGCCTCGAGTCCCAACAGACCGCTATGGGGCCGGTATGGGTCGACTTCTTCCATTGGCTCGATGAGCGATCCTCTACCAGCTGTCGACTTTAGCCCATCTAGCGAGCTTCCTCCGATCAATCTGCCACCTGCTGTTGCACACTCTCCCCTCACTTCCACAAGCTATGTCGATAAGGTTGCTTCACCCTCCCTGGGATCCACATCCACCACATACCTATCCCGCCCAACCGTACTACGACGCGCCATCTCAGATTACGAAGCGCGATCAGGGCGTACCAGTACAGGCAGGCGAGGTGGTCAGCCTCTTCCACCAAATGCCCTGAATCGATCCATAAGTGATCTCTCTGAATCTGCAAAGGCCTTCAAGAGATCTCCCGATTTGGCTGACATTCCTTCGCCTCCGTCTCCCGGATCTGGCAATGACCCAGATTCATCGCGCGTTCGCAAGAGTCCCAGGAAATCACCCAAGACCATCTCTAGCCTCCTATCTGGAGCTTCTTCAACGTCCTCAAATGAAGTCGAGGGTCTGCCTTCGTCCTCGCTCCATCGCCGAAGACCTTCTCTGACACCGGTCCAGGCGAATCCACCCTTAGCCGAAGGCAAAGTCGCAATCATGGATGAAGGCGATGTATTGCCCAGTGGTGGGCTTGAAGAGATCGAGTATGACATTACATTCGATGACGAAGGATTGAGCACCTTGGAGCGAATCTTCCTTCTCTCCAAGTCAGACTTTCCTTTCCACCGGGCGTATGTCGCTCGAGTGCTCGGCGACTTGTTATACGAAGTGGATCCTTGCGAGTCTGTCGAATACGTCTTGCCTCTCGTCAATGGATTTACGATGGATGAAGAAGAGGCTGTTAAAGAGGCATTGGTCAGCGAACTTCATCGAATCCTATGGTACTTTTTCTCATACTGCCGAATGTACATCGAAGGCGAGGAAGATCCGGAATCGCTTCCCGTGGACATTCCTGAATCCTTCAATCGCCAGTCCTTGCTGCTTCACAGAGAGGGTTCGACTTCTGCGACTCCTTTCCCGCCCATGGAAAAGGTAGTCTCACCTGGTGTAGAATCGCTTGATTCGGATGATCTCAGACGACCATCCCTTGCAGACACCTTGGTCGGATCGTCACGGGGGTCCGAGTTCAGGCGACAATTATCTTCAGCAGTGGGCTCAGGTAGCGAGCCCGTCGATACGCCGGGTACAACCACATCATCCGATTCGAACCCATCCCAAGCGGACACCTTGTTTGACCATGTGGATCCTTTCCGAGTGGGCAAAGATGATGACAAGACGTTTGGAACAGATGTTGGACCATTGCATCCGCTACCAACTCTGCCTACCAACTTTTTCACTCCTCTCCTTGGAGCCCTCCTACTCAACAGCAATCCATCCATCTCTGAGATGTGCAGGTCTTGCGTCGTCAAGATCATCGGGCGACTGCGTGGCAATCTTGAGGTTGACCCCTTGGTCTGGGGTTTGAGGGCGGATGCGCAATCGCCATACGGTCGTGCAACGTACCTTGCTCAAACAGGTGCCCACTCCCATTGGACGAAACCGATTGACTCTCGTTCTTCAGAAATCATCGAGGCCGAGCTCATCCGAGGCATCATCGTCGGTATGGGAGCCCTAGAGACGGAGATGCCGTACGATTTGATACCCGGCGCTGGGGAGGATCTGAGCGAGGAAGAACGAGAGTCGGCGGCGAAAGAAGCCGAGGTGTTTCAGGAACAACTCTTGGCTGAAGCTTTGGCTGGTCGAGCCACTTCCCTGAATCTTATCGGATCACTGTGCGAGTTTTACTCTGGATCAGAAGCTGTAGAGAGGGGATTTGCCACTGAGATTCAACGCTGTGTGGATGGAGATCCGACCGTCAGAGCAGAGGGCGCTGTGGCCCTCAAATCTTTTGCTGAGATTGCCCCACTGGAACATATCTACGATCTGGTGAGTCCACATGCGGCATCTGCTCTGTACGCCCGCTCATCGCATCACCAGCTGCCGGTCTTTGAGGCTCTGATGACGGACGAAGTGTTACACGTCCGACAAGCCACGACAGTGTCCCTCGCCGCACTCTGCCGCCGTATCGAGTCGCCTGATTTCCGACGCTCGTTTGCCATCAAGGCCGTGCAAGCGCTCACCGAGAGCGATCCCGAAGTGCAATTTGCCGCTCTGGAAACGCTCGGCGAGGTCATTTACGCTTTCAAGGATGATCCTGAGGGCCCACCCCAACAGCTGTTGGATGTCTACATGGTGAACGAGAATGTGCCCGAGGTACATTATGAGGATTGGGATTACATTACATGCTACAATGTGAGTGATTGGTCCCAAGAGGCCCAGAGACACGCTAAATTTCGTTCCATTATTACAGTTCCCCGGTATATGCCTCACTGTCGGACCTGAGCGCTGGTCGGATTTCCGCGATTTGTATATGAATCTCTTGGAGCGGGCGAGCGATCGGACCATGGTGTCAATGGCTGCTGCACTTCATGAGGTGGCGAAGATACTTCAGCCCTCAGATGTCGAGCGAGACCTCTTACCGGCTTTTCATCAATGCTTGGAAGGGTCTGAAGATGTGTTGGAGCGACTCTGGGAGCATGTCGATGTTTTCCTCATTCGACTGGAAGAAAATATCGGACGGAATCTGATGGTCCAATTCAGAGACCTGTGGACAAATGGCAAAATCGGCGGATGGCGTGCAAGAGAGCAATTTGTTCGGCATATCCCTGCGCTCTTGACGATCTTTCCGGGTCAACAAGCCTCGGAAGTCGTACTTTGGCTGACTGATAAAGCCCTACATGACCCTTTCGCATCAGTCAGGGACGCCGCAATCAAAGGGGTGAGCATTCGTCCCGGACTGACACTGTTTTCCGCGCACCCCTGACCCGTTATCAGGTCCCCGAGGTCTATAGTCGTCTCGCGCCTGATGCCAAGGTCGAGTACCGGAACATGCTGATCAGCCTTGGCGACTCGTCCTCCTTCAAGCATCGAGTTACGTGAGTGGCGTGTCGGAGCTTCTCGGTCTCGATCTGACTCGTTTCAGTTTTATCAAATGCGTTCGAGCATTCGCCAAGGATGAGGCAAATCACGTCGACTTTGAAAACCATCTAGTGCCTCTCTTGCCGAGATTTTGCACCGATGTGGTAGACGTTCGACTTGCCCTCGCGCAGACCATTGCGTCGCTCTTTGAAACTGGTATGTGGCGTATGCCTTGAGACCTTGGAGTCCATTGACATCTCCTGCTTTCAGACGGCGTCTACGCGTCGTACACTGGTCTTGCGCCTCTGATCAGCTCTATGATCAACGGACTGCGCACCGACGAGTCTGTCGACGTCCGTGACGCTTTACATCGTATGGACATTTTCCGACTTCAAGGTTTAGATCCACCGGACATTCGGCCGTCTGGACCCAGCCCCACTGATGGTCCACAACCATCGTTCAGCGACTCTGGAGATGTGTCCGTGGACTATTTTAGTTCGCAGAAAAGAAATTCGGTCATCGCGCCAGCGTCCGACCCGGCACCATCCATGCCTCCTTCCATCGATCGACGACCTAGTGCTGAGGTCGCAGCGAAGATGGATTCGATGCAACTCGAGTACGAGCAGGCTGAGTCTCACGGTACACGACAAGCCGACAGATCGGCGGATCCATTCGCAGATCCCTGAAGAGATCGCTCAAAACTTGGTTTCACATTACAGTATAGTACACTCATCTCTCTTCAACCCACCTTCTCTATCTACTCTCAATCAATTCTGTTTTCATGGTTCGTCAAGCACGCATACACACACATACATACACACAATACAACACACACCTGTAGCGCTAGTTCTCGTATTCCTCCCTCAATGCATAGCATGGCACACGGACAGAGATTCTGATTCCCCGGTCGCCGAGATTTTCATTATTGCCGCGCCGACCGACGCGAACGCGATTGATAAAGTCAAATGAAACCCGCAATATACGTTGGTCATTGCTGCCATTGGACTCGCCCTCTCGATCCACGATGTCCAGAGCCCTGTTGAGCCCTGTGGAAAAGGTCCGAATAGCTCATGAGCTACGTCAGACGATTCGCGAGCTGAGAGATAGAGGATTGATAGTCGCTGCCAAATGGCAAGTTTGAACGCATGACGACGACACAGACATCCAAAAAAATGACTGACAATGCTCGTGAGACAGGGCATCTGAACTACTCCAATCCTTACCAAAGGAATTCCGTCAAGCTCCTCATCTACCATTCTCTCCACCTCCTCAACCTCTCCTCCAGCTTGCATCTTCGCCTCCATCTGGTGGACCACGACCCTCCTTGGGCGATTTCTTACCACCTCCCGGTCCTCTTGAGCCGCTCGCCGGTCCCAGTAAAGGCTATACGACGTCTCATGGTGTCGACATGGAAGAAGAGGATGATATCCTCGAAGAAGATATGTTTCAACTCGCGAAAGGGTACTTTGACATGAAAGAGTTTGATCGAGTCGTCTGGGTCTTAAAGTCGGCCAATGGGAGACGTGCCAAATTCCTCAGAATCTACTCTGCCTACCTCGTGAGAGATTCTCCGCGACTTCAAGGAGGCGCGCTCGCAATGTAAACTCACTAACTTGACTGTCCCTTGTGTGTGTGTCCTCGTCCAGTCGGCCGATCGCAAAGCTCAAGAAGCTCTACCTCATTTTCTCGATACGAAACAAGAACGATTATCCCTCTATCCACCACTCAACGAATTGATCAACGAGCTAGAAGGCGAGACGGACCCTTATCTTGTCTACCTCAAGGGTCTCATGCACATGCGTGTGGATCAACGTCAGGCAGCTGTATCATGCTTTGTACAGAGCGTCAAGGAACGACCCTATAATTGGAGTTGTTGGAGTCAAATGGCTCAACTGGTCAATTCGGCCGATATGGTGAGCACACACACACCATGCCTCTGGGAACAAACAGGTTCACGGACGTTTAAACTGATGACTGTTTTTTTGGGAACACGCGTAGTTCATAGAGCTCAAAGAGAGCTTGCCGCCTTCACCTATGCTCACATTCTTCGCTATCACCGTCATGTTGGATCTACATACTGCCACAGACCTTGTCATGAGCATGATCAAAGAGTTATTGGAGGTTTTCCCCTCGAGCGTTCATCTGAACGCTCAGACAGCTCTGGTTTACTATCATATGCGGGGTGAGAAATCGTCGTCTTCGTCGTCGTCGTCGTCGTCAATCGGACAAGGGGAAAACTGTCACCGCTAACATTGCCTGACCTAGACTTTGAGACCGCTGAAAAGCAATTCGACGCTGTCCAGGCGGCTGATCCATACCGAATGGAAGATGTCGATATCTACTCCAATATGCTGTACGTCATGGACAAGAGGTCCAAGCTTGGCAAGCTAGCGCACGAGTACGCAGAGATTGATCGAAACAGGGCAGAAGTGTGCTGCTTGATTGGTGTGTGCCCAATGCTTCTGCCACTTGTGATCGTCAGCTCAATTTCCCCTCATCGCAGGCAACTATTACTCTTCTCGCTCGGATCATACAAAGGCCATCACCTACTTCAAACGCTCACTCATGCTCAATCGAGATTATCTTCCGGCGTGGACATTGATGGGACACGAGTTTGTCGAATTGAAGAACAGTCATGCAGCTATCGAGGCGTATCGTAAAGCCATTGGTGAGTCTCAACGAGACAGACGTATTCTTGATTACGCTTTCTGACCCGTGGCCAAGACGTCAATGCAAAGGATTACCGCGCATGGTATGGTCTCGGACAAGCTTACGAGCTACTCGACATGCCAATGTACGCGATCGAATACTACAATCAAGCCACATCACTAAGGTACGCTAGAGAGGAGGACCTTGAGAGGAGAGAGATCTGATGACATGACCCTTTTCAACAGACCTTATGATTGTCGCATGTGGACCGCCCTCGCAACCGTCTACGAAGGTCTTCAACGTCTACCTGATGCCATTCAAGCTCATACGCGAGCTTTACTCGGTGCCGATCGGATTCAAACGCCAACCATCCTCGCCAAGCTAGCAGCATTACACATGTCTTTAAATCAACAAGCCGAATCCGTAGGGTATCATCAAAAGATTCTGGCTTTAGGCGAGAGATCAGGATTACCTACCGCTGAGATGGCGGCGAGTTATCTCGCGATTGCGGAATGGGAAATGAGGGAGGGATCGACGTCAATCGATCGAGATGGATCCGCCGAGTCCAGTCGTGGAGATTGGACTTTGGCCGCTCAGTATTTAGAGAAGGTCTCTCAGACCAATGCCCCTCAGAGGGATAAAGCAGAAGAGGCATTGAGGGAGCTGAGGTTAAGAGAAGCGAGAGCCGCGGCGAGTGCTTGAAAACCTGCATCACGATACAGAAGACAAATGTCAGGAGGAGCAGCACAGCAGATGCATTTCGCCTATGGATACAAGGTTGGAAACATTCGGTTTCAATTCTGCTTGAAAGGACCACCCGACCTCTTCAACTGCCCCGCAGTTCTGCTCTGAGCATGATCTCCTAGTCTTTGCTTGCGGAGCGATCGGAGAAGATGCGAGTGAAGCTGCGGAAATCAGCATCGGTCTAAACGTGCGCATCCAAGGCAGACTCACTCTCTCAGCATTTGCTCCCTCGCCTCAATGTCATCCGCAGGAGGCAATTCGATCGGTGGTAGCCTTAAGAAAACCGCACATCAATCAGTCAAAGCATCTCAACCTGAAAAGTCCGACACAACTCACATCTGCTTCAACCTCGACATTGCCCTCAGCCTACTTCGCCAGCTTGTGATGTATTCTGCCTTCGCAGCATCCGTCGCATCCCTCACGTTGACGTATCTCGACGCCATGTCATTGGCGAGATGGGCAATCTCCCTGACCATGATCGGTAGAGTCTTCTTTGAAACAAGTTTGTGCGTTCCAATGGGACTAAAATCGGGTATTCCATCCGCGCGTTGAAGAGTCACTTTGAACCAATCTTCACGATCCCAATCCAACCACGTATCGCCAGATTTCGGAATGCCTTGTCCGGCCCAAGGTCCGTGCAGAGGATCCCTCCAACCGGTCCTCAGCGCACCGACTGGTAGATCATCTTCGCCTGGCGCGAGGGAATGGGGTGAAACCACAATGTTGATCCAATTAAATTGAGTTTTGATAGTGTCAAATGCGAATTCTCGTCCGGAATCATTGTAAACGATCTTGATCATATCGTTACCGACCAAACGCTTCTTACGGGATCGAGTAGGATCACTGGGATCGTTTGGCATCATCGTAGGGGTATGCAAGATCATTTGGGTCAGATCGTCCCACCACGCATAGGCATATTGACCATCACTGTCATTGTCTCGATTCAGCCCTCCGACAAAGACGTCGACTTGGCCTTTCAGCCGAATCAACCGACCCAGACCAGCAAGGAAATCAAGGTAAGGTCGCGGACCATCGGTGTTGCTGAGGATTTCCTGTTCCGTCGTTTGATCTCGACCAACGTACAACACGGCGATCTTCAAAGTATCGATGACTGGCGTGTTTTGTATACCTCGCAGAGCCCGAGCGAAGCGATCGTCATTTGGGATCAGACGACCACGAGGTGATTCAAGGCTGGCATTTGGATACGATGACAACAATTGAAGGGCAATGTAGGAGGGTTCGATCGATACGTCTTTGCGTCGTTGAGAAGGTGTCGCGCCAGACCAGACGTATCCATGTTGAGAGCCCTGGTCGAATGTCGCGGCAGTCGATTGGCCAGAAGACTGAACATTGACAATGTCCTTGGCAGACGGTATTCGATCGCCCTTGTCGTCGGTTATCGGGGCGTCAGACGCATACCTTTCTGATGTGTCCGCCGATGTAGCGTTTGCCTCGGGCATACTGGTCTCACTTTGCGCTTCTCCGCCGCCAACACTGTCCGCCTCAATACTGGCCGGTTTCGACTCCCTGTCTGCCATGAGAACTGCCGGCAAGGATACTAGATCCGCATTGTCTTCGCCCAGATCGAGATGCGGTACGTTCTCCAACTTGCAAATCACCGAAGTCGATCCCGTGGGTCGGGTGGTGGTGATCGTCGCCCAGCCAGTACGTGAGTGCGTTGTGACAGTCACAATGCTCCCTCCGAGTAACCAGCTCTGCGACTTTGGTGGCTCACCACCGTCGTCCTGCATGACAATCTCGGACAGGAACGATGTGGCTGGCTTAGGGTCGGCATTTCCATACGTATACCGCGCAAGCCAATCAAAACAAACTTCGACCATTTCGTCGAGGTTTAGCCGCTGAGATCTACCTTTGAGGAGCTCTCGTGTGATCTCTGACGCTACCGTTGGCCGCTGAGGAAGTCTCAGGGCCATAAACCAAATATAAATCGCATAATACGCCAAGCCGATGACATGCTGAGACAAGACGTAGGCTTCGCGAGTGACTGGATCCGTGAGGTCGACCGTCTGATCTGATCGCGCGTTATGCTCCGTAATGTATGTGATAGCCACCCGGAATACCAGTCGATATTGTTCATCTGTAAAGTTTCGAAACAGCGCGCCATTTTGCCCAAGGGATATCAGGAATTCCAAGATGTGGACAGCAAGGCCGGTCGTAGTGAGAATACTGATCATGGCTCGAACAATCTCCAACAGGTTGCGTGACACTGACGATTCGAGCTCAAATACTGCAACCGCTAGAGCCTGTATACAAGGTTTGGCGACATCACCTTTGCCTTGTAAACCGGTCATGAAAGCTTGAACTAGTCTATCGCACTCCGCTCGACTGAACAGTCCACGATAGGCAATAAGTATGGAAAGCGTATGGTACGCCGCGGCGTTGATGTCCACGCGCTTGATGAAGGCAGGGGTGGAGAAGCGCCTCTCCCAGGGATCAAGTGCGAGCACACCACTACACAGGAGATCCAAGAGTGATCGAATTTCTCGCGTAGCTTCGACCCCGTGGAAGAAGAGCTTGTTGCTGATCTGGAGCGGGAGGAATGTGAAGATGTAAGAGACCAATTCCCAGTCGTTACCGCGAAGGATACCGATCAGGGTTCGGACATACTGCGACACCGGTAGCCACACGCCCTCGACATGAGTGACTACAGAGTCCTTGAGGAGAGGATGACTCGGATCATACGTTGCTATCCCGCCCGTAACAACGATTCCGGGAGGCATATTGAACCCGAGACGATCAGGGATCCGCCAGAGAGTACCGTAGCCCGAACTCGTGTCCGAAGTCGTCACCCCAGTTGGCTGAGTCGACCGACTTCTACTTCGATTGGTCGGTTCAGATGTCCGACCTGCTCGACCTCGATCTTCACCAGTGCCAGTGCCAGATTCGACCCTCGCTTGCCGCGCAGAGGCTTTGCGTTGGGACATTTCCAGCTCTGCTCGTTTTTCGGCTTCACTTTCGACCGTACGCTTAAGAATCAACGCATATGGCAAAGCGCCAGAATCAAGATTGCCACGGAGATAAATCTGATGTTGGCTGTCTGCTCGAAGACGCATCATGAGCTGAAGGATACTCAGCCTTGCTCTAGGGCAACGAGCTTGTATCCGATCGCCAGACCCACTCTCGCTGAGCGGGTGGAGCAGATGCAGAAGGTCCTGGAACAGAACGATCGTCCGCATCGTTGAAGGCGATCTGGGAGGCACAGCAAAGGTCGAGAACTGGGATTTAGGACTAGGGGCAAAAGCCAGGTGAATAAACATGGTGATGAGGGAACTAACAGCGATTGACGACTTGCAATCGTTGTGAGGGATGACGGGAGGAAGGGTTGGACCCGCAGAGAGCGGTGATGCACTTGGGGGATTGCTGATGCTGAGAGCCGCAGCTTCTAAGGAAGGCACCTCCATTTCAACCGTCGGAGAAGCGACACTCGAGCTCGCAGGTGTGAGATCCCGGCTTTTCGAAGGAGGTGACAAGGCTTCCATGAGACCTCGAAGAGCCGATCCAGCGGTCTCTTTGCCCTTGACATTTCGTTGCGGAGCGGGACTGTCCATCCCAGAATGAGACGAGCCACTCGAGATCACGCCCGACGTGCCAGGTGGCGGCAGGGCTGAAAGACCCAGAGCATGTCGTTGCGGCGCAGGTACGAGACCATCGCTCCTACATGGCATTTGAGTTGCAACTTTGATGATGATGCTTCGGATTTTGTTGAAGTATCCTCCAGAAGCTGCTTCCTGAATTTTGGCACAGGGTCGAGTCGCGAAGTCTTCATGTTCCAGTTCCTCGGCGTTTAATGATCCCCTCCATTGTCGAACGTCAGCATCTCGATCTGCAGTTTCGGCGATGGCTGCATCGACCAAGACTTGTAGAGTCATCTTCAAGAATTCTGAGTCTTGATCTTGCTGCAATGCTCGCTCCATGAAAGGTAAGATAATCCGGTTGACCAGCTTGGTTCGCTTCTCCGAGACTTCATTCGCATAGCTGTACACCTCTCCAAAGAGGAAGTTCACGACGCTAGATCGCGCAGTTGGAAGGTCTGCTGCAGTGAAGAAGAATGCCTGCAGAAGTTTGTCGATATTGTCGAGCCAGCCAGTGATGAATGGTAGACATAGGCTTTCGCGTTTGTAGTGACCTATGACTGTTGCGGCGTACTCTTCGTCCAGTATGGGAGAAAGCTGGAGCAGAAGGTCGATATACTTTGGATGGTGGAATAGGGGATCCGCGCTCGAGGATGAGTCCAGTCGGCTGATGGTTGAGGGCAGTTGATGGATGATTTCGTCGAAGATGGCAAGGAATCGGGGGAGTATCAAGTCCGCCGTGTCCGATGGCCTGCGTTGCGAGAGGCCGCGAGCGCTGCATGTATCGTCAGACAGATAACGATACTGTTTGAAAAAAGACTCACGCCGGATCACCGCCAATGTGAACCATCCCTTGAAGTAGATCGCAGATGGCATCACCCTCCAACCAAGAGTCCAAGATGCCTGAACCATTCGACCCACCCGCTTGACCTTCTTCAATAGCGAACAGGTTGTCCTGGATCAAGGCGAGAATTTCCAGATCTACCGTTAACCAGTCCGTCCGCTTGCTGAGATCTTCTGAAGCTGGAAATCGCGAGCTCGATTCAGCAGCTTTGAGCCAAGGAGCAAGGTTTGGAAACGACATGGTCGCCTTCGTATCGCTCGGTTGGGCATGCACGCGACCCAAGAGGAACCTTGAAGCGCTGGTGGACAAGTCAGTGGGCATTGAGGTTGGGGCAGATAGCCCTGACTTACATAACAGCACCTCTGGCCAATTTACGGTCGGCTTGGGCACTAGCGATTTTGCCATCCACTTTGAGAGATGCCTTCCCTTCCAGCACTTCCTTCAAAATTTCTTGCCCTTTCCAACCAGATTTGCGGATCAGCATGAGTCCACATACATCGGACAATGTCTCCCATATTGACTCTGGCACGTATTCGTCCTCATCCTGGCCAAAGCAGAAACAGATAAATGCGATCATTTGCTTGAGCAATTGTTTTCCAATGATTGAATTGTTCAGAGCGGTTTCGAAAACGGCGGTCAAGGACGGGATGATCCGCGACCATTTGGCAGGATCTCGTTCTCTCAATGTGTGCGGGGACGGAGATCTTAGGCCGATTGTAGCGGATGGAAAAGATCGAGGTGATGTGACACCTTGCGGTGAGACGGCAGATTTGGAGATGGATTTGGCAGGCGGGCTACCAGAGTTCATACGATCTTCTCGAGTGCGTCGAAGTGTTGAGCCACTCCGTTGCAGAAGACCCGATCCAGTCATTGCAGTTGGGGATGGAGTAGTGATGATGGACGAAGATGGGAGGTGTGCTTCCCTGAGCGATGAGTTGCGAGACAAGATGACATTTGATGATGACAATGGGTTGTCGAGATGAGCCGTGACAGAGGCGTTGATTCCGACAATGACAAACGAGATAAGGGTGTTGATAATCTTGTCAAAGTCTGATCGAAGGAGTAATGAAGCGTGGGATGACATGATAGCACACAGTAGCTCAAACACAGCCATGGCGGTGTCGGCGGGTGATGCAACTCGGATACGAGTCGTATCCTACGGCGCGAGTCAGTGACCTGTGGAGGATTGTCACCTTGGGGATCGTACTCACCCTCGTCTTCGATGCGTCCACTGACCACTCCTGCAACGCGAGCCGGTCCTCTGGCTGCATGCACCAGGCTGCCCAATCATCCTGAATCTCTCCAAGACCTCGTAAAAGTCTCCCTACCAAGCCTACCATGCCTTCGACATGGGCTCCGTTCTTTGTCAAGGCTTTGAGGGCTCCTAGTTCCACGAAAAAGGCATTGTCTCTCGAGATGGTCTGGGATTGGTCTGTAGGAGCGGTGATGAGATAGAACAGTGATCGAGGATTGATCGAATCTGGTAATATCGCCTTGTCCCCTTCTGCTGTCATCTTTGAAGGTGACAAAGTCTCGATGAGGACCGCTAACAGACGGATGGAAGCGGTACGCAGGGGAGAATCGACATTGGACTGAGCGTAAGCAAAGGCCCTAATGTACAGTGTTCGAATATCTGCTGGAGTGATGGGTGGCTTTAGATCTGGTGCTGGAGGTGCAAAGACATCGTCTGAAGTGACATGTAGATTGTATAACCACGTTGCAATGGTATTGATGATTTCCACGAGTCGAGCGGGAGATTGACCGTTGCCAGGTTGCAACGCCAACAAATTAGATTGAAAGTCGAAAGGAGCGGGAGATTGGGTCCGACGCACGCCTAGAGCGTCGCTCCCGGGTAGATGAGGTGAAAGCGACTTTGGACTCCTCATCTCTTCTAGTGAATCCCTCTTCGTCACTTGTCGCGAAGCTGCCGTTTTTGCTGCTGCTGATGATGATGCTGTAGCAGAGGAAGAAGTCGAAGCGGTGGCTGTGGTGGTCGCTGAAGCCTTTTTGGAACCTCCAAAGAGACCCATGAAGAGCCCTCCCGAGCCTGATGATGAAGAGGCATGATGGCTCGAGTGTGCTCGTGGCTCCCTCAACCTCTCCCTATCGGACATGAGAAAGTTTGGAGGAGGAATAATGAATCAATATCCGTAGATCCAGCCTGTCCACCGCGTTAGGACCGGGCTGGATGAGAAGTGTCCCCCGCGACTGATTTGACCTCCCCTTCAGACCGCTCTAGCTCCCCGTGGACCCGAGTCCGTGAGCTGGTGCGAGGATGACCTAAACGGACAATAAGAACTCCATTTCAAAGGTACCGTGGACCGGGGCTCACCGTCACTCTCAGTTTCGAGCAGTATTTATCCAGTTGACTTTGCGTTCACCTAGGCAGATATATCATGGTCTTGGGCGTGGTGTTGGGGTTGTATACAAGAATAAGTCGAGTTGCTGTATGGACAATGTCTAGTTGGATGGAAGGTCAAAAGATGGGATGAAATACTGAACATACTGAATTCAAAGAGCCGTCGTCGTCAGTCAGTCACCAACTGACGCAACGGGGCATTAGCGGGATCAAAATACTCATTAGGATCGATTACCACGATATTAGGAAAATCTTTTAAGCATAACCGCCGGATCCTAATGCATCCCAGGTCCGCTTCAACGCTTTCGTTGGCGAGACAATCCCGATCTTTCTGTTCATAATCATATCTCAGGATGCGTCTGCTGAGAGGAAGGCCACTTGCGTCTTTGAGCTTGGGCATACTGTGCTTGAGTCTATTAATATTGGTGAGGAAGGCTCTGCGGAAGCTACGGGATGAAGCTCATCTGTCTCTGTCTCCTTATTCAGGCACCACTGACTTCTGCATCCATATTCACAGACAGTGTTCTGTCCTACTGCAAATGTAGGAGACTCTTTATGCTTGATACCATCTGATCTCTTGCAGGCATATGCTTCACCAATTCCACTATCATCCCTCTGTACCTCCCAGCGGATCCTTCTAAACCTTGCTTGTCATGTACAAAACAGTTTTGTTTGGACCAGAAGTTGGCGATATGCAAGGGTGCGTGAACGACGTCGGAGATTGATCTTTTCTCTGCTGTGCTGACCCCTCTCACAAGGTGCTTCCGCACCAGAGCTCGATGAGGATACCATGACGGGGACCGAAGGAGACGTGGAAGCGAGATGCTTCAGTGCGTTGGATATGCGACATGGTCGCGGAAGCAGCTTCGATACTGACGATCCGGGCAGAACGTGACTCCCCGCGAGACAAACTGATCGTCACCTTTTTCATCATCATCGTCTTTGGCATGTTAGTCTTCGCTGGGATCCGCGCAAGGTGAGTGTACAGATAAGCGACAAGGGAGTGCACGGCAGGTCAACGCTGATGCGATCCATGCCAGATTACGCAAAGCGATAGATAAGCGAGGTAAACCAGCAGACCTGAGAGAATGGAGCGAGGTGAGTCGATTCGCCCTCCAGTCCTTGTCTATCCGTCACCACATCTGTCCCTTGCTTGAGCTGCGGGCGGGCTCTCAGCTCCCTTCTGCTTTACAAAGCTGATACTCTCACTACAGGCCCTGATGCCGGAGCCATTACGACCCATTACTGCCTCTTTCTTCGATCGTGTACCTGGTCTGCCAGGTGACAGGCGGCGTGAAGGCGGATACCCGGGTGAGATGAGACAACAGAGTGGTCAGGGCTATGCGCCAGTCAGCGTTGGCAGCTAGGCAGGGAGCCCGACAATGGCGGGTTTCTGTGCCCGCCTATAGTTTATGTATGGATAGTCCAGGTGTCTTTACATCTACACAGGCAAACTGTACTGGAGCGTCGGTAGCAGTCTCATGAGTCGTCGAGGGCATGATAATGTCTGATCATCATGCAAGATAGGATTGCGGAGGCCCGACGCGGCGCTGGCCGCCGGTCTCGTAAATTTCAAAGCTCGGAAGATGCAGTCGATCTCTTGATGTATCTGTATGCAGAGTCTATTCATGTCGAGCGCGATGGTGAGTGCATCTGAGGGTGTTGTTGGGGAAGATCTCTGTCTGAATATCATCTTAGTCTGCCGATGCTGGACCTAGTAGCAATTGGACGAAACTCAAGCTGGTGCGTAACCATAGGTGTAGATGTCTCTGCTCACAGAGACGCACACACAGACGCTCGATGCTCAATCTCGAGACAAAGGCAAAGAGAAGGAGACAAGATTCTACGAGGGAAAGTCGAAGAAAAGAAAGGCACTCAAAGGGGTCGCAGCGTATGTGCGGGGACCAGCCGAGCCTACGTCAGTCGAGAGGGGGGACGGACATGTCCCGTATTTATTCATCCACTCGAAAGTCAAGACCTGACGTTCACGACGTAGCGAACCGTCCTCTGGACTTTCCAGAATAGCAAACAGTTCAAACATCAAGGCTGATGTGGTGTTTCAACCTGCTAAAGAATACAGTCCTCTAGTCGGCGAATTGAGGGAGATGATAGCGGGCACGAATGTCTTGAACGAGTCGCAACGAGCGTGAGTTCGGTTTGTAGCGCATTTAGCCATGATACTCTGCTGATCCTTCTCATGTAGGCCAGGCAAATAGTAAGGTCTCCTTGCGGTCTTTGAACTGTTGTCTGATCCTCGACTCCAGTATAGCTGTAGATTGCGAAATGGTTGGTTTAGGACACATGGGATCTGAGTCGGCTCTCGCGCGAGTCTCTCTGGTCAATTTCCACGGACATATCCTCCTCGATACGTTTGTTGCGACCCGTGAGACCGTCACAGATCTTCGGACATGGGTATCTGGCGTCAAGGCGTCTGATCTGATTGGTGCGCCGACGTTTGAAGAGGTCCAGAAGATGGTCGCGGGGCTGGTCAGTGGAAAGATTCTTGTGGGGCACGCAGTTGCAAACGATCTGAAGGTGGGTGACGTCGACACCATCTCTTCCGTCAGAGATCTGCAGCTTGTTTCACCTGCATGCTAAAGCTCACATCAACAGGCACTACTACTTGATCATCCTGGACCGATGCTTCGAGATACGCAGAAGTGCCCAGCACTACGAGAACGAGCAAAATCAAAATATCCCTCTTTACGCAAACTGACAGAGATGGAACTTGGCGTCAGTATCCAGAAGGGTTCACATTCCTCCGTGAGTTGAAATGATATATTCGGTCGAGCTTCACGCGCTCAAGCCATCTATCAGGTCACGGATGCTCGAGCTACAATGGCTCTCTACAGGTTACACAAGACTGCTTGGGAGCAACAACTGCATCGGAGTACAGAGGCTTGGTTAATCAAGTCGGCCAAGGAAGGCAAGAGGTCTAGAGCTGGAGAGAGCTCTGGGGCGGGGCAGGCGGAGGCCGTCACAACGCAAGACGAGGAGGACAGTGCGCCGAGCAAGAAACGGCTGAAAGGCGACGGGAACCAAAGTGGCCGTAAAGGAGTGAGCTCAGGATTAGGCAAGATCGTCAGGTCAGGTATATTACGGGTAGAAGGAAAGGGTGAAAAGAGAATGGCTCGGGCGCATGGAGGCAGCACCAAGAGCTCGGACGGAGGCGGAGGAGGAGCAAAGTGGTGGGAGGCGAGCGCATAAGGTGAACAGTGCCCCAATTGCTAAACGACTTTGCCATCTGTAATGCATGTTGTACAGCTCGCCTTACATCTATGCCTTCTCCTCTCCCTCTGCCTCCTCTTCAATCCCATTATACAGCTCATCCCATTCGCCAGACTCGACCATTTCTCTGAAAATGTCTAGACCACCAACAAGCTCGCCGTTGAGGATGATCTGAGGGAATGCTGAAAGGTTTGTGAGCGATTTGAGAATTCTCGTGATGCTGACTCGATCGACTCACTTGGCCAATCATTGAGTTTCTTCAACCCTTGCCTCACGTCCTCATCTGAAAGTATATCGAACCAGGCAAACTCGACTCCCTTCTCTCTAAGGATTCCAACGGTCTGGCGTGAAAAGCCACATTTGGGCGAAGAAGGATTGCCTTTCATGAAGAGGACAACTTTGTGCTTGTTCATCAGTTCCTTGCATCGAGCGGTGATCTCTTCCTCTGTACGTGGTTTTGACGGGGCGGAGTCGACAGATGGGATGGCTGGCGGAGGAGCGGGCTTGGCATCAGATGTCGAGAGTGGTTGAGAGGGCGAAGCGCCGGAATGTTGGCTCAAGAGCTGGTGCAGAAGGGTGGTATCGGCTCCGGAATGACGCGCTAAAAGGGTATGACCCTGAGTGGGCGGGATCGTGGGTGGTGCAGTGCGTGAAAGAGAAGAAAATGGGTATCATGGTGTATGTGGTGGTCGAAGTCAAGCCGTCCGGGTGACATCATGGTTGGAACGCGTCGGAGAGGGCACCAAAGCGCATTGACCGTCGATAGTATCGGCATCAAGGCCATATTTGGCATCAACATTATCCGCGGCATCGTCAAGATCCAAGGCATTCATTTCGTGAGCCAAGTTGGAACCACGACGTAGTTTGATACCGTGTCGTCGTGGATGGGTATTGACCAGGGGCGAGATGCAGGACACCGGACCGGGTTTTGCGGCCAGGGGCGAAGGAGAGGATTTGATATTGACGAAGGGAGACGCGATCGAGTGTTGATTGTGGGGGTCGGGATGGTAATTCGGAGGCATTTCGAGCAATTGAGCGGAAGGCATCATGATGGGCGGTGAAGGTGGGATGGAGAATAAGTGGTCCATTTTGTCCAGGGGTGATGGACCAGCATAGGCCATGTCATCGAGCGTTGAACGAGGCGTAGATCCGATCGAGGCGTCCGATGAACGCGACGAAGATGGGATTTCAATATGCATTTGGTATCCCAAGGAGGAAGTCGATCCAGATGATTTCCGCGGAGTTGCCATGTATGGCGAGGATGATTCAAAAATCGGTGGACCAGGTGTCGAAGGTGGGGTTTGCAGTTGCCATCCGACAGACGAGGCATAGGATGAAGGCATACCACCCGTTGAGGAGGCAGTGGGCGAATTAGACAGGAATGTCAATGGCGTTCGAGGTGTGAATCGATCCGGTGTGTTATGAGGCGTCAGTGATTTACGATGTCCCATGAAGCCGCGGGTCGAAGGGCGTCGCAGAACGGGGATGGCGAGTGACGAGGTCGGGTTAAGTGGCGACCCGGGTGGAGGATTAGACACAGGTATTTTACCATTTGATGAAGGCGTCAGAGGTGGAGTCAAGTCGGCCATGGTAGAAAGAGGATTAGGGAGGGCGGTGCGAGGGAGAAAGTAGGAGGAGGAATTATAGAGGAGAAGCTAGGTCAGCGATTGATTCTTCGAGGCGAGCAAGCGTCTGCAATGTATCATGCGGACATGATAAGGAGCAGAAAGTAAAGTTGAGTCGATGTTCTCTCTTCGTACGAAGAAAACTCTCTGCGAGGACAGCTGCCATTTTGACAAGTCTCGCCACCGTCTCTTTATATAGTCTCCAGACCGCATACGACCTTCCAATGACTTCTCACCCTTCGCCCCACAGCGAGGTGTAGAACGACAAAGGATGATCAGTCTGTAAACGCGTCGGAGGGCAAGACAGATCCCCATAACGACCTACATCCAAAGACGAGCTCGCATTCAGGTGGAGGGTGTTCGCTGTTACTCGGCCGGTAGTATGGGACAGAGTGCGGGGTAGTAGCTGATGAATGGAGGAGGGTTGTAGAACAGGGAGATGGGAGGTTTCACGGTGGAATCTAACACGAAGATGAGGATGCGATGAGAGAAGGCCTGGAAAATGCTCCAGCCAATGCAGAGGAGGGAAGAAAGGACATCGCTTGTGCGATAAAGAGCTTCGCCGCACAGTCTATCCGCAAGGCTATCGATATGCGGACCATGGGCCATGGAGATATACCTCCAATTCAGGACGCTGAGAATCATGACTCACCCTTAAGAGGAGAAAAGAAGGGACAGCCTCGATATCGAACGTCTCAGCGATATCCGGCAGAGCCTCCGCCTCGATCTGTATGTGATGGGAATCAGCAATGGCCGAAGCGAACAGACCAGTGGAAGGCTTGTAGATCATGACAATTTCCTCGCCCTGGTTCTGCTCGCCGGACGAGATTGACCACCACCACTCACGGACAAGAACAGAGTCTTTGGGAATTTCCCCGCTGCGTTCTCAAACTCCTTATTGAAGTCTTTGCATGGCTCCGCCCATGGTGCCCAAAAGTTCAAGCATGACACTCTGTTCAAGTCTTCGGACAAGACGGACTTGAACTGCTCAGGGGAAGTAATAGAAATGTGGTTGGAAGTGGATGCCATGTTGGTCGGTGCCTTTGAGTCAGAGATCCAGTATTGCTGGCCGCAGGTGGCGCTTTCACGAAGATGTCACCTCAGTCTCTCGGTATTCGTATCTCTACGCTGCTGTAGTTATCGCTCTCGTTGTCGTGAATAACCAGGTCAAGGCTGAACATGGACATTTGAAAGCACGACATTTGAGCGAGCGAACAGGCCGCGGTCGGCCGAAGAGATCACGTGACGTTGTCCCAACAAGCATCAAGCGGATCAACACAGGCTTTTCTGGAATCATCTTTCGAGGGAAGAGCAGTGGGATGGCCCACCTGTTGCTCGCGTCCCATCAAGACTTGGGAGAGTACCAGCAGCATCTCTGCATGCTATGTACCGTGACCACCTTCCTGTGCGGCAAAATCGCCACCACGTCCAAGGTCCAATTTTTGCTTCCGTTCGCCACAAAATCCTCAAATTTCGATGTGTCCATCATCACCTTGACCCTTTGACCATTCAGGTGACAGTCTCCATTCCAATCATCATCAGACAGCATCTCTGGAGGGAGCGAATTCAACCCGCATAGAGTCTCATCAGGGTTTCCGGAAAGCTAACTCCACACCATGTCATCCGAAGAGGTGAGCTAGCATCAAACTGACATTCGCTTGTGCCCTTCATTGATGTGCGCTCGCTCGCCCGCGCAGACTGATCAAGCTATTGAAATATGGCGATATCGAAAGCTTCTCACCATGTTGGCTACGTCAAGAGGAGCAGGTACATCATGTATCACTCTGATCTTGCCACCAAGTGAGTCCTGCGCGGCAAGTGAAAAAGGGAAATGGCGTGTCTGAGCGTTACCTGCAGGATCTCAAATCTCGCAGGCCAGCAACTTGTTGACGACTGAGTACGGTACCGCTTCAAATATCAAGTCTCGAGTCAACAGGTGGGTGGCCCTTGCATTGAACGTCCATGTTGCTGTCTAGATGAGTGCTGACATCCGTCTCTCCACCAGACTTTCAGTCCTCTCTGCCATCACTTCCACGCAACAGAAACTCAAGCTCTACAATCGAGGTCGGTCCGTTGTCGAGTCACTTGGCAGTGGAGCTGATTCTTTGCCTAGTTCCCGAGACTGGTCTGTGTCTGTTCGTCGGTACCATTTTGAACGAGGAGGGCAAGGAGAAGAAGATCGCATTCGACTTGACCCCTTTCAAACCCATCAATACGTGAGTAGCGCGATTGCGTCTTTCACTTTGGCTGCTGACTTGCTTGACCAGGTCGCTTTACATGTGTGATAGCAGATTCCACGTTGAAGCTCTCGAAGAACTGCTCGAGACAGATTCCAAGTGGGGTTTCATCATCATGTGAGTTTATCGAATTGCGGATCACACAGCCTCGAAACTGACATACCCTCCTCCAGTGACGGAAACGGATCTCTATTTGGCACACTGTCCGGAAACACACGTGAAGTTGTTCACAAATTCAGTGTCGACCTGCCGAAAAAGCACGGAAGAGGAGGTCAATCTGCTCTTCGTTTCTCTCGATTGAGAGAAGAAGCTCGACGGAATTATGTCCGTAAAGTCGCCGAACTGGCCGTCCAACACTTTATCACAGCCGACAAGGTCAATGTCGCGGGTCTGGTTCTGGCCGGAAGTGCCGAACTCAAGACGGATCTGAGCGGTAGTGATCTCTTTGACCCACGATTATTGGCCAAAGTTGTCAAGGTTGTGGATGTTTCGTATGGTGGGGAGAACGGATTTAACCAGGTTAGTGACGGATAGGAATTGAAAAAGGTACTGTATGCTGAAAGCCTGTAGGCTATCGAGCTTGCGGCCGACTCTCTGGCCAACGTCAAGTTCGTACAGGAGAAACGATTGATCCAAAAGTACTTTGACGAGATTGCGTTGGATACCGGCAAATACTGCTTCGGTATCGTTGACACGCTCAAGGCTTTGGATATGGGAGCTGTGGAGACTCTGATTGTTTGGGAGAATCTCGAGACTGTTCGAAATACTTTGCGAAATGCCGCTGGAGGTGAATCCCTCTTCATTGTACCGTTTCGCGACCTAGCTGACATCTTCCCGCCAGAGGAGATAATTGTCTTTTCGAATCCCGGAGAGAAAGACCGAGAGAAGTTCATGGACAAATCAACTGGCCTTGAGATGGAGCAAGCTGCGGAACCTCAGCCTCTATTGGAATGGTTCGCTGAAAACTACAAAGAGTTTGGTGCGACTCTGGAATTCGTGACAAACAAATCACAAGAAGGGAGTCAATTTGTCAAGGGATTCGGTGGAATCGGAGGTATTCTTCGATATAAAGTCGCTTTCGAAGATTTGGGAGATTTAGAAGGAGACGACGATGAATTCTACGGGTCTGAAGACGACAGTGGTGAGTGAACACAAGAAGGTCGTCAACCCCGAAGATGTGCTGAGATTACCATGCCCAGATATTTGACAGTGTTCATTGGGCCAAAGAGCCCCGCTTAGCGCCGCGCCGCGCGAGTCTGGGCTCAAGATTGGGCGAGAGGACAGTGGCGCGTCAGAGAGTGGCGGTGCTGAAGCGGGGATGGTGAGGGAGGTGTCAATGAAGGAAGGAGAGGAGAGGGTTGAACGGGATCTCTATGATCCATTTGTCTTGATCAGCAGCCTGAAGGCCAAGAGCAAGGTGATCTTTGCAAGTGGATCGCTGAACAAGCACCCGACCTGTGGGAAGCTCATCAACAGGGCGTGAGGTTGAACCAGTGACTCCGGATGAACCCTGCAGACTCTAGCTGACATTGTGGGAGGCACTGTAGTTACTCGTATCTTTCTTTCTTTTTTGTTTCTGGATCTTTGTAGCATTGCATCTTTTTCTTACTGCGTTCATTCTAGCTCAATCATGAGTAAAGTCCAATGGCCACCATCATGAACAAGACTGAAGGGCTGCACAGCAAGGCAGCTCGAACGATGCATGAAAGTTGATGCCTCCGGATGGACTCGATACCAAGAATCCCCCATCGTCCACCTTTAGTTCACGCGGAAGCTAAGAACGGATGCAACAGTGCTTCCCTCGGTGTGATTCGCCTGCTTGCGTCCAGCTGTGTACATTTCTCAAGTAGGTCGACAAAGTGAAGCAACTGCTTCAACTCGTCATCTTTCATCTTGAGTTGAACGCTGGACGGTGGAACCAATCTCGAACGTAGATCTCGCGTAGGTTTCGAGATCACCAAGGTCTTAGCGACGGCCTGGAGAAACACAAGTCAGCTTTGAACTGCCCAATAGACAGCCAGTGTCACGCACCTGCCCAGTAATCTTGTCCGTCTCGATACTGATAAAGTCGTTCGATTCGTCAAAGTGCATGTCTCTAAATGTCGCCTTTTTGATATGTCGATGACTGATCTTGCCCTTGGTCTCCATCATGAGCAGCAGCATGTGGTTATTGGACCGGCCGGGGAATAGGATCTTGCCTGTATATAGTTCATACAGCGTACATCCGACGGACCAGATGTCAATGGCTGTGTCGTAGGGAAGACCAAGAACTGCAAGAGTGTCAGCGTAGTAACGGGACATAAGACCCTTCACTCACTGATCTCTGGTGCACGGTAGAATCGAGATACAAGGTAAGGTGTGATTTCTCCTTCGGAAGCATCCGAGGCCGAGCCAAAGTCGCAGACTTTCAGCAGGCCCTTGTTCTCCGAAGCCTGTAAAAGGACGTGTCAGGCAAGCAACCCTAGGCAATGACGGGCGACTCACAAGGATGTTGTCAGGCTTTATATCCGCGTGGACAATGTTGCACTTCTTCATCAGGGACAAGGATAAGAAGAGCTGATGGGCGTATGCCCGTACAGCCCGCATGTTCAAACCAACATCTTTGCCAAAGCGCTTGATCACGTCTCGAAGATTCATACTGGAATGGGTGTCAGCCATGTATTTACTGAGGTGCCGAGACACTCACCTCATACTCTCTGTGACTAGACACATGTGCCCTCGATGGTCAAAGACGTGCTCCAAACGAACGATGTGCTTCTTGTCATCTGGATCGGCATCGTTGAGCTGTTTGAGTATCGCAACTTCTTTGCGACCAACAGAGTACCTGACGAATCGGATCAGCGAGCCCGACTCCGTAAGCACGTAGCACCACTCACATGGCTTCCTGCGATCGGATGACTTTGATGGCGACTTCTCGACCGACGACATCTTGCCGCCTCTCCTGACCTACAGCTTTAAGCACCTTGGCTTTGACCACTGCCGAGAACATTCCCTTTCCAAGAGTGATAGTGACTTGATACCGCCCGTCGTCCAGGATTTCACCTGGGGTGATTCGATAATACCCATCAGTATCGTCGACGTTGTCCACCACGTCCAGTACGGCATTCTTCTTCGGCTTGATGATCTCCATCCTGTCATCTTCCCCTTCGACTCCACTTCCGCCCTTTCGTCTACGAACAGTGACTTTACGGGTTTTTTTAGGTTTCTCCTCCCCGCCAAATACGGCGAACATGTCGACATCCTCATCTTCCTCGTCTTCGACCTCAATCTCGACTTCTTCATACTCGTCTTCTTTAGGCTTTCGCTCATCCTCCTTCGGTTTCTCCCCGCCAAGATCCTCTAGATCCTTCTGGCGTTTCTCCTCATCGACCTTACGGTCGTCCGTTGGGTCATAATCCGCGGCGGAGAAGCCGTGCCCTCCGTCGCCCGCGACGAGTTGTGTTGAACTCGACTTTTCGTCCCCGTGCTTTGCTAGATCAAGGTCATGACCCTGAGGTGTAGAGGCAATGACTGGAGTGGAAATGCTCTCAATGTTTGCTGTTGAGGACTTGGTGCCTAGATGGCGTAAAAGAAGTGTGGCACCTGCTTCAAGTCAGCGTTCATGGCAGTAGTCTCATCTCACTCACCCGTTGTAGTTCCGGTGGCCGCTCCAGATCGCTCTGCAGTCTGCATACCCGCAGTAGTGACACTATCAGCTCCGTTGCCCGTCGATGGACTATCCATCGCAGAAGCTGCCTGCGAGGGAGCTGCATTCATGGTCTTTGCCTTGAACCTGGCCATGATCTCCTCTCTCTTCCTTCGTCTTTCCTCTAGGATTTTTTCGGGATCTGTCTCTTCCTCCAATGTGACAATAGGCTCCTCTGGTACTGATGATTGTCCACTTGAGTTATTGCTAGGACCAACGTCGCGCTGGTCGCGTCGATCAAAGACATTTGAGATACCTCCCATGGAAGAGGAAAAAGAAGCACCTTTCGGTCCAGTTGGGATCGAGACAGATTTGAAGTTCCCTCTTGACATGGACTGAGCACTGCTGGATGCTTGCCGGGGATCTCGAGGACTCTTTGAGACATCTCTTGAGGCACTGGGTGAAGCCGGCAAAGGGTGTTGCTTTTTCTCTGGAGATCCTTCGATCCTAGATGTCGTGCTCATCAGCGATGATTCGACAGTGTACTGACTCGCGACGCACTCTCCGTCCTCCCTGTCTACAGAGGCATCATCATGGTCCCTGCGATCACGCGTGTCACCATAGCGTCGGGAAGAGACTTTCTCGCCACCGATGTGCTCACGCTCTCGGTGATGATCCGTTGTGTCTCTGCGAGATCCTCGATAGTCTCTATCATAATGACGACTCATATCGCCGCGTCTGTCGCCACCCCCTCTTCTGTCGTCCTCGTAGCGTCCGCCCCGTCGGTCCATATCCCGTCTGTATCGCTCATCTCTAGGGTCCCTGTCATCTCGCGAGCGATGGTAGTCTCCTTCCCTGCTCCTGACCCTGTGATCCTTGGACCGCCGTCGAGGTTCATCATCCAGGAAGGCATCGCGCCAATCTTTGGGCTTGTCCTTTCGATCATGGTGACTCGACCTAGATGACTCGCCGTGGCCGTGTCGAGAACGATCGTCTTCGTGCGGAGAGAGAGGACGTTTCGTACCTGCTGATGCCATTGTAAAGGGACAGGAGGGAGGGGGGGAACAAGTTGTGAGTCACGGTCTGATCTTTTTCAAAATGAAAGGTTTACTCTGTATTGTAGAGTTCCATGAGAGATTGCTCCTCTGTCCCTACACCCGAAGTCACGGGCAGCACGTCTGATCTCAACGTGCGTCCTTGAGAAAGGTCGGAGAAAAGATAGATGGAATGGCAATGATATGTGTATGAAGTAGCAAGATGATAGACAAGCAGACCTCGACACCTCAAAGGCTGGCAGCGGCGATTATCGGCCAGAAACTCCGGCGTGGCAGCGAGGTCAGACAGACAGCTTTCATCGCAGTAATTCATGTTCCTAACGTCGTGAAGAATGTGGGCAGGTCAAACACTTCGGCAAGGTGTACCTTCTTCGGCAACCTTCGAGTCGATCCTCTTCAGAGAGGCTGAGTCCAACTTGGTGGCTAGACGGAACTTTCATCTCGCTTCTAGACCATTATCTTCACCAGGAGCCGGTCCGTCAACATTTCGTGTCCGGCACGATAGATTTGCTCGACTATGTGGGCCCAGAACTGCCAAAGACGGAGCCTTGCGTATATCGAAGAGGGACTTCTCGATTGACTCTGCCATCTCGACGACCTTTGATACCGCCCAAACACTTCTCAGATATCCCACTGGGCTCGTATCCGACATCATCCACCATTCTCCCATTGCATCGAGCGGGGCCACCATTATCCTCCTAGCCATTGTTGTCAGATCACTGTTCACATTTCCGACGACACTATGGCAGAGGCGTCAAAGGGCCAAAATGGAGATGGTCAACCCTCAGATCAGCAAGTTCAACGAAGAACAAGCTCCCTTGTTGGCTATAAAAGCTAGAAAAGCAGGAATGGACGAAAAGGGCTATAGGGCCTGGGTCGTCGAGGTGGTATGTGTGGACCCGTGGACACCCTACATGACTCTGATCTCTGCCCCAGGTCAAGGCCGAACGAGACCGACTATACAAGCTTAATGGGATACATCCCCGCCTGAGTCAATTCGGACCTTTGCTTTTCAATCTCTCGCTGCTTTTGACCATGTCGACAGGCGTGCGAGCATCTGTCGGTGGAATCGGGAACACGATTGCATCTGAAAGCTTCATGTGGATACAACATCTCGGTGAACCAGACATGGCTATATCCCTCGCGGCTGGTTTCACATCATTCGCCATCGCAGAGATCACTGGTGTGGGGTTGAGGCGGGGTGCCGAGCTTTCCGCTGCCAAAGCTGGCAAGACTGGCGAGAACCAGCTGGGAGTTGTCCCTGAGGCAACTGAGACAGATAAAAAGGGTCAAGCGGGATCCTCAGTGACTGCTGCACCCTCATTTACTCCCTCTAGACCCTCACCGCCGCCAAGTCCTTCGCGATATTCCAGTCGCGTACAGCAACTTCAGCGAGCCAGTCGGGAGCAGACCGCTCTATCCCCTCAGAGGAAGCGTCCACTGCCCGCTCCTACTCCCGGCGCGAAAAGCCGGTCTGAAAGGGCGTTTTCAAGCACGTCATCCGATCTTCACCCGATGATGCCTCGCGTCACGGTGAAGAACCTGCCACCACCAGTGTTGGAGGACGTGAATCCCAGGCGGTCCAGTCTGCCCCCAGAGGTTCGGGCAAGGATCATCCGCAAAGGACTCGTCAGTGTCATGAGAGGTGCCGCAGTCATCCTAGTCATCATGGCTAGCCATATGCCAGCAGTGAGTTGAGCGTGGCTCAGTCCCTCCGTTTTTGCTGACGTACACCACAGGGAATGGTACTGTATGTTTGGACGTCTTTGACTTACACGTTGGGTCAAATTTCGCTGTTCAAATGGCTTGACGAGAGGAAAGCTTCCCTTCGACTCGTCGATTCACGACCGTAGATGCAATTGACGGATACCTGGCATGTATGAGCAACCTTATCTGATTGCTTTCTGCACGCAATAGATCGACTTGCCGAGCGGAGATCGCGTGACGACAGCGATTCGGCCGCAACTTCGCTCGTAATTCCAATTCCGCTCTGGAGCGCCTTAGCGCCATTGAGGCAGGTGTCCTGCGCGGAGCATCTCTTACATACTACTCTCCAGTGGTATGGTGTGGTCGTCCCACACCCCTCTGTCAATGACGATATGAAGGATCCCCCTTGAGCCCCCACCCGCCCCTATGCCAATGCATGGCGTCCAAGGCCAGTCGCAATAACGCCACTTGAAATCAAGCGAATTACCCACCAAGGTTTCGTGGAAAAATCTCCGTGCGTCATTGACGGGAGAAGGGGCACAACATGAACACAAACGTTATTATTTATAAGCATCGCTTTGGATCATGCAAGAGCACGGAGATGGAGGGTCATACGCCCCTGGGCGATAAGCTATACCAACCGTATGCTCAAAGTGCAGCAGGAAAGCGCCGTCAATACGCGTGAACGAGGGGAGGGTGACATGCTAGTATCCAAAGAGGCAAGTAGGAGATAGTGAAAAACTCCCGGTTATGTCGCCACGGCTTGACCCAATGCCCGCATCGCCCGGAATGCAATGAATAATGACCTCAACGGGGAGGGAGAGGGAGTGGAGAGTTCATAGTCGATAATGTTCTTAAAGATGAGCTTCTCTGGGAGAGCAGGAATGAAGGAACGTCTCCATCGCTCCCCACTTATCCCCATTCATCTGATCCTGTGAATTCAAAAATGCCCAGTCCTCTTGTTGTCAGATACTCTGGTGCGGTCCTGCTGTTCATCGTAGGGGCAGTTGTCCTTGGTATTTCCGTTCATGTGGAACACTCGGTATGTCATGACGCATCACTCGTTCCTCAGCACTCGTATAGAGCTCTCATCTGGTCTGAGGCATGTAGAACGGAGACTGATCCTTCGCTTTTAGACTCGAGTTCTCGGGTTTAAATCCCATACCTTCACCTACGATGCCTTCGTAGGAGCATGGACGATACTTGCCGAGATCGTGCTCGCCGTGACTCGGCATTTCTTTTCGCAGACCGTCCTCGCGACATTCCTCGTTGAGATCAGCGTTCTATGCCTGTCCATGATCTTCTGGCTCGGTGAGTGACAATACAACGTCTAAGAGCACGACGGGCTGCGCTGAGACCGCCTCTCCTCTTTAGCCGCCGGAATAGACACTACTCTTTTCACCTCTGAGGACCGATCAGTCTGCAAACACATTGACGACCTTTTCGACCTTCCAGAGTTTGAAAATGCCGATCCACAGGTGATTCGTGAGTCTGCGGCCCAAACCAATGGATCCGACTGTGATTGACCGAGTCTCCCTGCAGAGGCCGCAAAGAAAATCTTCCAGAGTGCTTGCTCAGAGCTGCACGCTCAACTTGCTTTCATCTGGATCGGCTTCATCGTCACCACCCTTCTTCTCGGATACCTCGTCGTCCACGCCTTGAGAATGAAACACCATGGTGTTCCCAACGTGAGACCAGTCCTAGAATTTCCCCCCCCCCCCCCCCCCGCCCTCTGCATTGCTGATGGCGTCCACTCAGGTCTTTCAGAAGACTCTTAAGCTGTCGAACTACATCGAGAACGCCCCTCGTGACCCATTTGCCGACCCCAGCGGAAACTATGGAGTCGTTGGAGCCGGTATCGCTCAGGACGAGGCCCGATCACCCAGACGCTAAGAACCACAGCCATTGGTTACCCCATGAGCCCCCATCTCTGCACATCGCTCCCGTATGGTATAATGAATCTTATGCCCACTCCAATTCGCTGCTCTTGTTGTTTGATTGCCACAAGCTGTGTTCACCTTGCTTCAAGGGCGAGTTTCGGACTAGGCTCGGTAAAGACTTTCCGTAGTGAATGTATAAATTTTTCTTGCTAACGCTTGCAATCCGCGGTTGTCCTAAGGGCAGCTCAGAGACTCTCCCCAGTTCTCATGGCAGGATCTGGGAGCTGTTCCTTTCCAATGATGGTAAGGGCTCTGACAGTACCTGCCTTTGACGCACAGGATCACGTCCGTCGGCCGGTCTGCCTGCGAAGCGGTCGCCGCTGCCGGTCGCTCCCGCCGGCGACCGCTCGTTCAAGAGCGGCATGAATCCTACCATGCTTTTCCAGACCGTATATAAGTACTCAGCCGATCTTCAGATGTCCGAGCCGCCTTATCGACACTCCCTACCTTCTCATCGATTCATTTGGGCAGGATGATCTCTTCGCTCCCCCTTTGTGCAATCTCGTTCATTCTGGTTTCGACTACTGTCTTCGGGGCTGAATGTGGCAGTTACACCATCCAGTGGATCAACTGTTCAACTGTCGTCCCTTACGAGCTGGTCAATGCACAGCTTCCAGCTCAGCTCCCAAGCACACTTCACTGCGGTCAATTGACTGTGCCTATGAATTACGAGGAGCCCATCGGTGACATGAACAACGTAACGCTACACTTCGCTATGTATCGGCCTCAGAACCCAAAGGGATTGATCAATTTGTGAGCATTTCGAGATACCCGAATTAGTCGAGGCATACATGACACCTGGGCACTAGTAATCCTGGTGGACCGAATGGAGAGGTGCCATCCAATATCTGGGAGCTGGCCCTCAATACCTCCACCGCAGAGCCTCTCTTGCCGCTCATTGAATATGACATCTTGGGCGAGTCGACATTTTGCTCGTGAGCTGATGCTGGAATAGGGATGGACTTCCGAGGTACATTCTCCTCCACGCCTCTCAACTGTACCACAGACTTCGTCCTACCTGCTAGCCTGTGAGTCATAAGTAGATGTCATAGAACCTGCTCATGATGTCCAGTCCGACCACTGAGGGAGAATTCCAGCTGCTCCAAGAGGCAGCGAATCAATATGCCACATCTTGCAATGATCAAAGCAAGCCCGGCTTGATCGAGACTATGAGCACCAATGTCAACATACAAGATTGGAACTCGGTCCGACAAGCCCTTGGGTACGATGAGATGAATTTTCTCGCAGAATCCTAGTAGGTGACTCTGTCAACGGGCCAGGACATACTGTGTTGCTGAGTCGCTTCCCAATAGTGGCACTTTTGGAGCCGCTCGATATGCCGCCAAGTATCCTCAACATATCGGTCGTATGGTACTTGACGCTGTACTTGCAACGGGTCTGGTGAGTTGACAGATGCCTTTACTGCATGTCAGGGCGGCAATGATGGTACCACACAGCCCAATGTGAAGCTGCTTGAATGGGAGGTTGAAAGCGTCAACAACCTCCTCCTGAGATCAGACGCCTACTGTCTGAATGATACCGCGTGCCCGTATCGCAAAGAAGGCAAGGGCAGCATTGTCAAAGTACGGAGGCTACCCACTGAGCACCTTGAGATCATGCTGAACCCATAATAGGCATACCAAGAGGCAGTTGCAATGGCTGATGGAGGCAACTCGAGCGGCGTATCATCCTCCGATTTTCGAGCCATGGCGTATTTGAATTTCCTTGACACTCGTCCAAAGTTTCCAGCACTCAATCAGGCTCTATACGATGCCATTCATCAAGGCAACTGGTCAGCATTCAATTATACAGCATATGCTCCATATTACACCCCTCAACTTATGGCTGTCCTCCCGACAGTGTGTCTCGATCAAGGTGAGCAGCATGATGTCAAGGACATAGTCTCTGACCGCATCCCTCTCCAGATTTGCAGAACCACACATTTGCATACTTCGAAAGCATTCAAGCTGACCTGAATGCGGTTGATCGGTTCGACATGAAATATGTGCAAGATCTCACTCTTGTGGTAAGTATAGTGAATTGACGGAATTTCTAGCTGAAGTGTTCCACTTAGCCTCTGTGTGCAGGCTGGCCTTTCAAAGGTCAGCCCAATCGCAAAGTCTACTCGGAGGCAGCCATGCTCCTCGTTACAGCGGATTTTGACCTGAAGTGAGTTCATCAAGGGCCATGTATCGGCGACAATGTAATCTCAACGCCACGGTCCAGCACGCCGGCCAATTCCACTTTCTACGAGAGACTTCAGCTGCCCAACACGACCCTAGTAGTCCGACACGGAGACGATCACGTCTCTGATGTAGGTGAGTAACTGATGAGCTAGCGGTCAGTATCTGACGTGTTTGGCTAAATTCAGAACCTGGGCCAGTTCGCAACATTGAGAGCGAATACCTAGCCAGCGGGGTCCTTCCCTCCGCCACGAATGGAACATTGTATACTGTTTATCCTCCAGGTTGTAAACCTGGTCCTATTCTGAATCCCTACGACGTTCCCGTGGGAACCGTTGCAGGTGACATCGAATAGTCTTAATGATGTACGATATGCCTGTTTCTGAGCAGTTACGGACATGCATAGAGTCATTTTCATCGCTTCGAATGATCAGTCCGCAACTCTCTCACGGTCGCGAAATGTGATCGAGGAGGTGTCCGTTGAGCGGCCATGTCTGTCGACTTTCACTCATTCAGCGGGTCTCAATCTCCCTCAGAGTATGCTTTCGCCATGGCAGATACGCTGTCTTCCGATCAGATACAGCGATACTGCCATGATCTCGTCTATCAAGTAGCGTATACATTCTACGACTCCCCTTATATCCTCATATTCAAGCTTCTGGTGACTTTGGGCGTGTAAGTATCGTACGGCCGCTCGCAGTCTTCGTGATTCTCGCTGACAGCGAGTGTCGATGCCTGTAGAACTGCTGAAAGACCATTAGCAGACCTCCTGGGCATATCTGCCCCTGAGTTGAGGAGATATATTGGCACGCTGCATGTTCATCGACTGGTGAAGAGGTGAATTTGTCCTTTTCCGCCATTGGGGTCCCGCGGCCTGTCACTGACATGTCACGGATGGTCCAGACATGTCAATAAGGAGCGTCTGCCGCAAGACTCGTTCCGGAGGAATATTCCGGGTCAATCTGCGCAAGACAATCAGCTCAGGACGAGAGACGTGAACTATTATTACTTGGACTATCGTGAATTCGCGAATGTAACAAAGTACAGAATTGCCATGATGCGTAAAGCCATCGACGACAAGATCAAGCAGGTGCGTCCAGTAAAAGGCTCCATAAGCGGTGACAACGTTGATGCCTGCATCATAGGAAGTCGGACACCGAGGATACATATGCCCAAATGATGGTAAAACATTCCGACCTCTGGACCTTTCCAATCTGTTCGACCCTTCCACTAATGCTTTCGTCTGTGACCAATGTGCGACCGAGTTGATTGAGCACGATCCAACCACCGATCCGACACTCGGTACCGGGACTCAGGACAACATGCAACGCTTCAATCTCGCCACAGCGTCCATTCGTGAGATCCTGAAAGCTGTCGAAGGGAGCACTCTCCCAAGTCTCAATATAGTGGCTTGGATAGCTCAGAACGTAAAGGTTTTGCCTCTTCCTGGAGAAGAAGCGCACGAGAAGGGAGGAGATCGCAAATTTGAAATTGTTGTGGGAGGTGAAGGGGATGAGAGAGAAGAGCTTGAAAAAGCTCGATTGGCAGAGGCACAGCGGTGAGTTTGCGGTCCTTCGTCTCTCTGCAGACGTTTTTTTCTTTTTCTTTTCGCTGACGCTGTTTGGAGGACGCAAAATGCCCTGCCCGTATGGTATACTCACTCCACAGTCACCGGTTCCGCGACTGCTCTAGGGCTCGAGAATCGAAAGGGCTCCATGGACGATTCTCCAATCAAACCTGATCTCCACAAAGTCAATGACAAGGATCTCGACGATGAAGCTCTAGACGCTCACTATGCCAATCTCATGGCGGAGGACTCTGCCGACGAAATAATGGGTGGAGAGCCGGTCCAAGTCAAAGCCGAAGTCGAGCCTGAAGACGAGCTCCAGGCGGTAGAGGAGGTAGGGGCTGTGCCGAAAGTGGCACAACAAGAGGCGAACGGTACTGCAGACCGAGACGAGCCCATGATCAGCGGTTTGTGTTTCCTTCCGGCGCATGTTTTCACCGCTGACCGTGAATCAGTTGATGGCAAACTGAAGCCATTGTCCCAAGTTACGGACACGGATGCAGAGCTGATGACTCCAGCGGAATATCAGGTGGGATCGCTTTTGAACGGAAACGCCTTTGCTGATGCTCCTGGCAGGCTTGGTACGAGGCCATGGAGGCTGCGGACTCTTAGTGTAAGCGCAAGAATGCGCAGAATCGGGTTGCACTTGCTCGCAGAGAATCTCAATGTTGTAAAACATACCAGGAAGCATTTGTCCAGCATAGGAACAATATCATGCATGAGATTCGACATAGGATTTTCGCCGCGACGCATCCTGGCAGGCACATTAAGTAGTCATGCTTCCCAGGATGCCGACTCCCATGCCTAGAGTATTGGCGACCAGCTGCGTCTCCGCGACTTTCCTCCTTTCCCCGGCAGCGATGCGTTCCGCCTCGGCATCCGCTACTGTAGCTGTGGCCAATCGCAAGGCTGATTGAGCGCGCATAGTGGTCTGCTGGAGCGCTGCGAGGTGACTGTAGTGGTTCGCGAGCTGCAGTGGAATTAGCGACCAAGACGACTGGATTCACTCACGTCGAGCTCCCACTTTGGCATGGTTGACCACAATCTGATATCAGGTAATTCTGAGCGGATCTTGGCATCCATCTGAGGTTGTGTGTTTAGATTTAGTTCCTCCTGCTTGACAATAGTGAGGGCTGGCTTGGAGTCTTCCGATGACGCTGGATGCGATGCGATTCGGCCGGACCAAGCAGGCGGCTCTATCTTCACCGCTGACGCTGCATCCTGCCTGTCAGGCGGATTGGTCATTGGACTAGACGCGGTTGACGGTTGATAATCTTGGTTGATATGGACTGGCGAAGCGGATGCCGTTGGCTGTTGACCTGAGACCCTTCTTTCAGCCCAAGATAAGCGACCAGGATTGCCGACAGCCTGGGACGTGGCATTGATAGGTCTTCCATACGGATTTTCGATTTCCTGAGCTGGAGTGCTAACTGGGTCAAGCGGACTGGTCACCTCCGAGTGAGTGGAGGATTGATACGGGGATGATCGCCGAGCTTGGGATATCTCTAGAGGGAGAGGGCGCATCGATGCATTCGCCGTGGACGTCTCTGTGGATCCACCGTACGGATTTGAGGAATTTGATCTATCTCGGGCTGCTAGAGACGGTGCAGGTGGTAGTGGTGGTGGTGGGAATGGCCTGAATTCACTGTTCAAAGCTCTAGGGCCAGCAGGAGGCGGTCGATCAGATCTTGGTCCACTAGGTGGCGGTCGAGCGACACTTGGAAATCCGGAGCCTGACTTGTCACCTTGTGGAGGTGGAGGATAGCCTTCACGAGGTTGCGATGGAGGTCGACGACGAGGCGACAAGGATGATTTTTCTGGAGAAGATCGGGAATGCGAAGAATAAGAGTACGAGGATTGAGATGAAGATCTAGATCGTCGGTCAAGGTGTCGAGGTGGTGAATACGGTGAGCGGGGTCGACGCGATGGGCCAGATTGATCCCCTGGGTTATATCGACTTCCGTATCGCGGCCCATCGCGAGGTCCCCGCCGACGATCCTCCATATCTCTGTCCCTCTCTCTATCTCTTCTGTCCTGGATCCTGTCACGATAAAAAGGAATAGGCACAGGCTTTCGCGGCTGATCTTGTGCTCCAGTCCGGGCAGGTGAAGTGATTTGACCCTCTTCGGGCGAAGCTGATCTTCCTCCGGCACTGACAGAAGGAGCTCGAGACTTTACAGGTGACCCTCGACCAGATACAGGCGACCTTGACCTAGGCGGTCGATATTGACGCCGATAATCCCTATCCCTATCCCTCTCGTCGTCCCTGTACCTGTCCCTGTAAGATGAAGGTCCTGGACCACCTCGTCCTCCTGATCTGCTGTAGTCATCCCAGTCACGGGAATCTCGTCCTTGATTATAGCCGCTCCAGGGACGATTTCTGTCGCGATCTGGACCAGAATGCCTCCTTGGCGAGTCATCCCCGTATCGCCTGTCCCTATCTCTGTACGACGGGGATGATGACCGTGGCATGCTGAGGTGAAGCTCAAAAGACCCAACATTATGCTCTTCGCCGCACATCTTGACTTTTTGAAGGTGAACGACCGTGGGAAACTCTCGTGACATTGTCCATTGTGTGGGGCTCCCCACCCATTCCGGGTCGTTTCAAGGTCCGGTCCGGAACACGAACGACGATAGCACGAAATGTTCATGTTGACCATTGAAACGGTGTAATCGATAATACTGAACAGCGGTCCTCTGCAGTCCAGCCGACAGCCGACAGGAATCAAAAGGCCTATCCCATAGATCTCCTTTTCTTAAGCATGATTCCCACAGCTGTCACTTTGTCCCGAGCCTCCACGACAGGATGGATTGGATTAGGAGCAATGGGTTAGTCTGATCAATATCGCTCACGTTCAACAATGCTGATATACCTTCAGGCCATCACATGGCTATCAACCTATTCACAAAGACTCATGCGGCACACCAGTCTAGCTCTTCAGGCACTCCATCAGCAGCTCCAAGCTTTGTCATCTGCGAACAGGACGATGCGAGAGCGGACAAATTCGTCACCGATCTACGAAATAAGGGAGGTGCAGAGCTGGCGCAAAGGGTGCAGAGAGCTGGATCAGGGAAGGAGTGAGCGCCATGAAGGGAATGGGTGCAGTCCTTGCTGATCGGATGACGTTCAGGGTCGCCTCGCTCGCCTCGAGAATTATGACAATGCTGCCTTCTACTCCTCAGGTCGAGAGCGTGTACCTGGATCCCAGTACCGGCGTGGCAGCGGGGCTTCCCAAGGATGAAGAAGCTCTGCATTGTGATGCCGACGCTGGTGCTTCTCGTCGTCCACATACAATCTTGATCGACGGAACGACTCTTAACCCAACTGCGGCCATGAAAGTCGCCAAGGAGATTCACGAGAAGAGTGAAGGGGGAGCCGTCATGCTGGATGCTCCAGTATCAGGAGGTAAGCTATCCTGCGGAAGGGCATGCTGACTCCGATCAGGCATTGTCGCTGCGGAGGCTGGAACTCTCACTATAATGTTTGGCTCTCCTTCGCCGCTAGCTACCGCTCTTGCGGTTCCCATGTTACAGCGCATGGCTAGGGAGGGTGGCGTTCTACCGTGTGGCGCCAATGGTACTGGTGTCGGTGTCAAGGTCTGCAACAAGTGGGTTCCAGATTTGAATGGAAGTCCCAACTACTGACTGCACGCTCAGTCTGATATTGGCCATTAATCAGATCGCACTCGCAGAGGGGCTGGCATTGGGCAAATCCTTAGGCATCGACCCACTGTTGCTACACAACGTAGTCAACTCGTCATCCGGTAAGCAGACTTGGTAGTGCATCTGGATCTTCAGGCGCTGACACACTCCCATAGGCCAATCGTGGTCCTCGAGAGTCAATTCTCCGCTCCCAGAGGTCCCGAATAGCCCTGGGTCCAGAAACTACACCGGAGGATTCCAGAGTCGTCTGATGCTCAAGGTGAGTTGAATGAAAGCGTGGGCAAGGCTCAAGTCAATCGATAGGACGTCGGACTTGCCCTTCATGCTGCATCCGAGTATGCTCTTCCTACTCCCATGACTTGGGCTGCAAGGGCTGTGTACGACTCTGTGTGCTCGGAGGGCCAGGGCGAAATGGCCGGAAAGGACTTCAGGTGGGCTGACGAGTCAAAACCAGCTGACAAAACACAGTGTGGTTCTAGAGTGGCTTAGGACAAGGCAGAAGGAGGCGGTGGAAAGAGGATGAAAGGATGCTCCTCCTTCCCAGTAGAGTTCAAACGCCAATATTGCATGGAGGGAAAATACAATAACTGATATATCTACTCCTCTCACTGCTGCTGCTGACTGGAGCCTTGCCTTGCTATCCTTGACCATCCCTTGAGTATTGGCATTCCCTCCTATCGCAAGAACAGACGGTCTCTACCAATGAGGTGCATTGAGGATGATACCCAGAAGACATCCACTGAGTACTGCAGCGACGGGAACGGTGATGATCCATCCAAGGTAGATCCAGCCAAAAGCTCTCCAATTGACCGCCCTGACTGTGAAGGATTGACTGTCAGCGCTGACGTTACATGACTTGGAAACTCCACAGTCACTCACGTCCTCCTGACATTATTCCTACACCACCAGTCGAGCCGACGATGCACATGGTGGTGGATACAGGTATACCATATTGAGATGCGAGGAGGACGGTGATACTTGATCCGAGCTCGGCAGACATGCCTCTGGCCGGAGAAAGAAGCGTCAAGCGGTTACCTAGGACCGACATGCAGTTCTATGCAACGTCAGGAACAGTTTTGCAATGCAACGCAGTGATGGACCCACATAACCATAAGTCAAGAGACCGATGACAAGGATCCCGCCCAACAGGGCAAATTGCCACACGGGTGTGTCGGTGTTCTTCTCGGTGGCCATGCCGGTCGACCAGACGTAGTAGATGACAGCGAAAGGACCGATGCTAAAGCACAAGTCAAAAAGTGCCTCATCCAAATGTACTCACGCATTGGCAGTGTCGTTGGAACCATGGGCGAAGGAGTTCGTGCAAGCAGTCATGACTTGCAGGAATGAGTACAAGTGCTCAGTCTAGCGCGCAGGGATAATGGTCAGCGGGAAGCAAGATTGAGTCCAGGGCTACAGACTGACCTCGTTCGAGTACTGGGTAGATTGCTCGTGAACCTTTCTGAGACGCGCTTGTTGAGCTTCATCCTGTCCATGTGTTTGGAGAGCATGGATATCAACTGATGAAGTGTGAAATGATCAATGACTGACGCCTAACTTTGTGGCTCTCTGCTCACTTGATGTACCGTGTGTCAGGATTTTGGGGAGTCTATACCTGACAATGATCCACAAGTTTCTAGGCAAGATCCACGGTCCCTCGATGTCTGGAACGGATTTCAGATCCTTCGTTTGACCTCCTTGGGCCTCATGAGTCGCATCCAGGGGTCGAACAGTGTCGAGAGTGTCCTGAGGGGAGATGGCGAGACTACTCTCGAGATCAGGCTGTTGACCGGCACCTCCTTGTTTCTCTGGCACTTCGACACCTGTGCCCTCTGACTTCAGTGATACTCAGACCAGAATAGACAGGGCTCACGACCGCTTGAACCGGATGAGAGCGTCCCACTTTCGGAGCTCTCGGACGTCAGAATTCTGTAATCTGGTACGTGTCCTCCACCACTGGGCAGTTCCGGTGCGGCTCGACGCCACAGCAGCGGTCCGTAGAAGAAGTGATACCATCGAATGGCTAACGCGAACATTAGAACATGAACTTGACCTGGTGTTCGGCTCACTATAGTCCTTCTTGACAACCTTTGCATGGACGAAGGGGAGCCAGAAGAGGATCGACAGGAGGGCAATGACGAGACCGGTCAGGACGATGGCAAGGGCGATTGTCACCTGGGGCAAGTCGTCCAGGTTCAATTGTGGTGCTCCTTTGTAGACTGAAGGGAGAGTGCGTCAGTCATACAGGTCTATGCTCCAACTACCCAGTACTCACCAATGGACATGGTAAGAACGACAGCAATGGTGAAGAAGTAGACTGGAGAGATATATAGAGCCTTTTGTATCGAATTCTTCCGTACCAAGACCGCGTACTTTGTGATACCGAACACGACAGCACCGAACCCCCCAGCCAGTGCAGGAGCGATTGCCATTCCACCAAAGATGGCAGCGAGACCTTTGCCATTATTCCATCCCCATTGAACAGAATCCCACCCACTGACCGCTACCCCAGCACCAGCCAAAGCAGAGATGATCGAGTAAGTAGTGGAGACGGGCCAAGATTTCCGTGTAGCGATCATCAACCATGAAGCCGAAGCGGTGATGGCACATGTGAATGTCAAGAGCTGTACGCCAGCATTGTCGTTGAATGCGTCGAGACCTATAATGCCATTCTTAATGGTACTTGTCACATGGGACCCCGCCAAGACTGCACCGAGAAACTCAAAAATGGCAGCTAGGAATGACGCCTGTCGGAGCGTGAGTGATTTGGACGCGACGGATGTAGCCCAGGAGCTGGTGAAGAGGCACGACCGCTCAGCAACAGGCAGCATGACTTCCATTGTCTGATTTGGACTCACTTCGCAACGTCATTGGCACCGATGTTGTACGCGTCCAGGGAGGCGAACAACAACCCGATGACGAAGAGGTAATCCCACTGGTGAAGCTTGGCCATGATGAGATTTTTCAATTGAGCACAGTCAATATTGGTCAGATCGCTGAGTGAGTGAGGAATAGCGAGATCAGTGAGGGAAGATACACAGGTTTGTCAGACATCTTCGCCGCCTTATATGAGAGAGGTCTGAAAGGCTCATTGGCTCGTCTACGCATGTGTGTGGGTGACTGAGTGAGTGAGTGATTTGATTTGCATCCAATGTGCTCCGCGGTCATGCGCGGCGCAAACGCTTCAAGAGATGATATATCATTGGTCAGTACCATTGCACGTTTGTGTTCGCTTGGAAGGTGTCAGCGTCTTGGACAATGATATCCAAGATGGCCAAGACAGTCCGCCAAGAGATGGATGGGAAGTGTGTGGAATGTGGCGGTGAGTTCGTGTGGCGGTGACTCGTGTGATCGTGGAGCCATTGTTATGCGAGTCCCGTCCCATCCATCCCCACTTTTTGAGCATAGTATCGTCCAGTACGACCGCTCAAAGGTGTCTTGCTATGTAACAAAGGAATGGAGCTATATCATAACCTAGAACCAATCGAGGTTGATGATGCCTCAATTACAATCACATCTCCGTGTCTCAGATCTATCTAAAGGGGGTTCATCCCATGATCGCCATGGTCGTCAGGATGGACAGCGTGTGAACATACTTCAAGGGGGTCATGCATGATGTACAGTATATACAGGGAGGTCGTATCTGGTCTGATCCGTGTTCATAGTACTCTTTGCTCCCAAGTTGACCTGCAGGCCTCGACCGACCATGCTGTACATATCGTCACCCCTAGCTCTGTCACTCGCGACCCTACTCGCTCTCACCCATGCCAAAGAATGTGGACGACCCTCGAGATCCATCGCCTTGGACCAGCGGCCCATGACCTCAGGCTTTAGGCCTCCTCGCTCCTCCAATTTCGCGCCTGCGTCTTCCAACTCCGCCCGTGGCCGGCCCTCATCCGTCGACTCCGGAGCGTCGACGACCTCTTCTACGGCTCCTCGATCTTCATCATCACCATCATCATCATCATCCACGACGTCGCCTCCCCCTCCGTCATGCGATTGCGGCTATATTCTGTCCACTTATGGAGACGCCTACTTCCCCTATCACAGATCTATCAACTTTGAAGCTCTCCCCTCCGGCATCTTGTCTTCTGCGAATGCACTCAATGACCTCGGTCTCACCATCTTCGATGGACAAGCGATGGGAGGTACAGGACCCGACGGGACCCGATCGGTCTGTGATCTTCAGAACCTCGCTATTGATACAGACAAAGCTCTGACATTTACTGTGCCTGGTGGTCAACCAGCCGGAGGCCAGATCAGCGCAGCGGAAGTCTATAGCTCGGACGAATTCCTCCACGGGGTCTTCATGGGAAGCATGAAGTTTGACCAGACTCCCGGGACATGTCAATCCATGTTCACTTATCAAGCTGGTACCGGGAATGACGAGCAGGATATCGAAGTCATCGGTCAGACAATCTTTGATCGAGGTGATAATGGAACGCCGGCAGGAGTTCAGCTCACCAATTGGGATCCCAACGACTCATCCAATACCGTCAATGATAACGTCATCTTGCCGTTTCCTGAAGACCCCACGACTAGCTACCACAATTACACCATCGCGTGGTTGCCTTCGGGTACAAAGTACTATTTTGATGGTGGGCCTCTAGACTCGCCGACCAAATACACATCAATCAACCCCTCAAAGCTCATCTTTAACCATTGGACGAATGGAGATAAGGGTTTCACAGCTGGTCCCCCCACTCAGGATGTCGTCTTTAAGGTCCGGGCGCTTGACTGGTACTATGCCACTCCCGGTCAGCAGGACGTGCTTGCGGGCTGCACCATGGACCAGGCATGTAGGGTCTAGTGGCCGCAACCAAGAAGGGATTTGAACCGGAGGGCTGGCCCCTCACTATGTCTTGTATACCAGCGCCTAATGTGGTGCATATATCGATAAGTCCGTGTAAGGACTATCGCGATGATGGAGTGAACGCGGTATGACAAGGTCGTCAAGAAGTGGCGCTCTGTATAGATCACTTGAACAGTTCCTCCAACACCTGAGAATGGTCAGCAGACTCCCTGAATCTGTCTAATGAGACTCACCGTGCTCTCGTGAATATTGGACACATTATTCCCACGATCTGAGATCACAGCTTAGAATCTTGCAACACTTTGATCGCGGGGTGACTCACAATTCAGCTTTTTCAACACGGATATCTAAACGGGATCAGGGATTCAGGCCTTTCTATCAGCCTCATCTTACTCACCACTTTTTCCCTTGGGAAACCCATATCGGTGAACGACACTACATTCTCCTCCGCTAAACCTGCCATATCTGCATCCGTCGCCGGTTTTCCGTGAGTTGCTTTGACTTTTGACGCCGGTGCTTGAGCGTAAGCTTGTGCCCAATGTTTCGCAGTGGCGTTGAACCCTGCACGGTCTGCCAGATAGTGCTTCGCAACTGGAAGGAGGCGTCAATGCAGCCATCTTGTGTTTCTGATTCAGAAACCGTGCCCACCTTCGGCGTCCTGAGGATCATTCGGAACCGGTTCGCAAAGGAGGGACTGGAGGGATATCAGTGTGCTCTTCAGCGTGAGCACCTGCGGCGTACGTCAGCGAAGTCAGATACAGGAGTTCTGGTGGCTCACTGGTGACCAGGCGTCTTTCAGAATGTCTTTGAACACGATGAGCGTGAGTCACGAAAATCGATAGTAGGTCCCCTCACCCAGACATATAGCTCCCTATGCAAGGAATCAGCGCCTCCTCGTCGAAGGGCAAGATAAGTCACTCACACTAGCGGATGATACATTTGGATCTGCAAGATGTCAGCTGTATCCTACGACCTCCCAGAGTAGCTCACGGTAGACTTTCCTGCAGGTGTATCAGTATTGTCATGGCGGCAAGACCTCCGACTCACGTTATAAACTTCATCTTGACTGGCTGAAAAGGGTACGCATCGGGTATGACAATGTCCTAGAGTAATGACTCAGTACTGAATACCGCTCTGATCGCCTGACGGACCACTTCATAATAGCCTCCTTCGTACGGCGTATCCGGCTGAATGATGGGTCAGCGAACCCGAGCGTCAGCCGAGCTCGCGAAGAGTCCAAAGACTCTGGCTGTACACACCGGTCCTGGGAAAGCACCGATAAGATGAAATGGATTCTCGTCAATCACTGTGCAGGTGTCAGCGATGCTTCAAGCGCACAAGCTCTCGGAGCTGCTTTGAGAGGTCTCGTGCACTGCCTTCTGTGTTCAACCCTCACTGTCAATGGATATGTTGGACGTCTTGTCCTTCGCGCAATCTAGAGCGAAGTCAGCATACGTCGCGATGAAACCTGACATCAGGTTTTGGGACCAGGGCTCAAAAAGTCGCCCTGCCCAACGAGTCGCCCTGCTTCACTCACCGCGAATCTCCTTTTGAACTCGCCGTAACCTAGCGTCGGACATGCTGGGACAAGGTAAATTGAGATGAATTCGCTGGTCAAGGAGGGGATATTTCCAAAATGCCGCCAGCCTGTGTGTCCTGACTGAGTGCTATGTAGCAGTCTGAGTCTGAGGATGACACCTACAATACGCTCTTGCAGATCACACTTTGAGAGATTGAAACCATCGGGACCTGGCCGATTCGATCGACGGAACGGAAGCAAATTTTTGGGGAAAGCAATTGTAGTCGAGATACGGATGATGATGAGCAGATGAGCACTAGCAACAGCATCAGCAGCAGCAGCATCACCTGTGGGATAGAGAGCGAAAGCGAGCGATAGCCTGAATGAAGTGGGCTGTCCAAACCGTCAAAATCGGCTTTCCTGCAAGAATCACTGCTCCAATTTGCTCGTCTAGTCTCGCCCGAACTCTCTACACGAGCCGTACCAACATGCAAGCAGAGGAGGACGAGGAGATGAACATGAACGCTGTTGGAAGCAGCTCAAAGTCAGACTCCAGGGATCCTGGATTTATGGCATACCTTCCGGATGAGCCTGGAATGTCCAAAAATGCCATGAAGAGAGCCGCCAAGCAGGTGAGCACGGCGGTGAAAGTATCCAATTAATCTGAGCTGATAACTGTTCAAGGCGTTCAGAGAAGCCCATCGTGATGAGTGGAAAGCCTCGGTGAAGGCAAAGAAAAAAGAGAAGAAAGCGGCTCTTATGGAACAGCTTGAAGCTGGTACGCTGGACGAAGAAGGTTTGGCGAGCCTTGAGCGACAGCGTGAAAGTCGACGAATCAAGAGGAAACTACTGGCGGGGACCGGTCCGGATAAGGAGGTCTGGAAAGGCGGGCTAGTCGTGGATTTGGGTTTTGACAATCTCATGGCTGAAGCGGTGCGTGTGGTGACCTGTGTGTAGAAGCGAGTAGGCTCCGCTTACACCACACCATGGACCGTAGGAGGTAAAATCACTGGCTTCTCAATTATCGTTTCTCTACGCAACAAATCGTCGAGCCGCTCGTCCATTTTCTGCTATCCTGCACACTTCCTTCTCAGAGACTGCCTCGCCAGTCCTGTGGAGCATCATGAAAGAAAGAGGTTGGCAGTCCTGGGATCAGTGTTATTGGTGGCACGAGGGCATGGCGGACCTCGCTAAAACGTTTGGGTTGAGTCCGAAACCAAAGCGCAAGACTCCAAAGTCTCCTTCGAGATCTAGGTCATCCTCTCCGCGTTCCCCAGAAGTAGTATCCAAGGCAGAGTCATCTACAGCGACCACGGGCTCCTCTTCTCACTTGGATCATGAAATGGGCGCAAGTTTGCCTACGGAACAATCGGAGAAACCACACTCCATCGAGCAGACAAATGGCACACCTACGGTCATGCAAGAGGACGACACTAGAACTGAACTTCCTCCATCGTTATCTAAAGACACCCACAAGCTCGTGTACCTGTCTGCCGATGCGTCAGAGGAGCTGATAACGTTGAGCGAGGATGAGGTGTATATCCTTGGAGGCTTAGTAGACAAGAATCGATACAAGGTAGGTCCCGAACGACAAACAAAAATGCTCTCGTTCTAAATTGTGTGTTTCCCCTGTCAGCTGCTCTGCGAGGACAAGGCAAAGAGTCTCGGCATCAGGACGGCCAGGTTACCGATTGGACGATACATTGCGGATTTACCTACCCGTAAAGTATTGACTGTGAATCAGGTGCGTGGTGGTCCAATCTGAATAGAGCAATCTGCTGATATCCTACATTATATTCAGACCTTTGAGATCTTGGTCAAGTACCTCGAGCTGAACAATTGGGCTCATGCGTTTGCTGCCGTCATTCCACAGCGAAAATTCGCTGCCGTGAGCAAGAAGACGTTGTTGAGGCAGAGGTCAAAAGTGGCTTCAGAGCCAGCAAATCTGGGAGACGATGCTTCAGAGGTCCAACTCCAAGAGGGAGAGCACGATGCTGCATGATGCATTAAATCCGCCGTTCCAAGTACACGTGGCATTCACTCATATTTGTCTCGTACGCGCCTGTTTTTCCGAGGAATCTGTGTCACCAAACCTCCCATCTAATCTTCAAGGTGTGCAGACAAGCCCTTCCCCTGGCCCGCCTCTACTTTGGCCCGCAGCCACAATTCATATGAGAGAATAGTGTCCAGTCCGCTCACTCAAGCCCACCACTGGCCTACAACTCTCCTCTATCATTTCACCGATGCTACGGAGTACGGTTAATATTCTGCTTGTTTATTGATTTTTAGGGTCCTTCGAAACGGACTATCATATCGCTGTGCAGACTGCCTCATGGTCGATACGATTGGTACGAACGATTGCCGGCTCACACGTTCCCGTGCTAAAGGTGTCGATGGTCATCCTTACCACTGTTCCTCGGTCCTGAAGCGAGTATCAGCTGTACAGAAAAAGATTCGTCTCTTTGGATAATCTCTCTTAGCTCTCAGCTGGTCTACTAGACTCGGGGCTAATCAGATTGATTTGCATCACTCTAGCTCGGGGTTTTCATTCTACTAAACAAGGGACAGTCCCAGACCACAATGGTCCGAATAGTATGCTCGATCCTTCCCATGTCAAATATCGCATAAAGTGATAAATTGGCGAGCCTAGTCTATTCGACATGTCTGGGCTCGACCTCTGGTCGTTCATTCCCAGTCTACGCCGGAGAAGACTTGTGCTGGTCGTCGAACATGATGACTTCGTCATGAACCCCATCTGACAGGATCTTCGAGTAGCGTTCCTGACGTTTTTGGCACAGTGTCCTTCCTCGGTTCACTGTGGACCTCGAAATTTAGGACACCATGGCTGGTCAATCCCATCGTTAACTTCTCAATGATTGTGACGTCGACCTCTAAAGGAGCTACACAGAGCACAACATTAGACACTATGCTCAGGGTGTATAAGCAAACAGGTCATCCGTACCTCTTGGCCATCTTCTTCTTTGGACGATCAAAAAAAAACAAGATCATTCGCTGATCGACTTCGCTGCTCGCACGACCAACTCGAACCACACTCATTTCAAGGCATCGACACCGACGGAGAAGCCCCAAAAGGATTTAGGTTGTTGAAGGTACTACACCCTATCCTCCCATCTCCATTTCCACTCGCGATCTCTCTGCACAACACGGAACGCAAAGTCTGACCATGCGAGGACTATCAAACACCCTCGCCATCTTCGGAGGTCTCTTGCCTCTCTTGTCCGGCTCCGTCCTCGCTGCACCTGCCAACGGGGCAGCGCACTTACTATCCCCCGAAGTGTTAGATGCTGTGACCGATGCCACCCATCTATCGCCCTTCAAGCGACTAGTCACAGCTGAAATCTGTGCCACGGTCGATCTTTCAGTCACCGGTGTGGTGTACACTTGTGTGGCTGCGAAAACCGGAGTCATGGCAGGGGATAACATCGCAACGACCCAAGGCAATGTTCAACATGGAATCCAAGCCGTCAAGCGACAAGCTTATATCGATCAAGCTATGAACGGTCCTATCGGTCCTGAGGATCCTCCCGAAGGAGCGGGAACGGTGTTCATCGGCGGACAACAAGGGAACCCAAACACTTTCCCAGGTACTGGGCCTGGCGGAGTCACTTTTACCGGTCCTCCTGAATCTTCCGACGTCCTTGGTCTGGGGAAGACTCCGACCACACCACCTGATGTGGTCCCGCATCCGAATCTCGGGTATCCTAACAAGAGACTCTACGCTGCTATTCCCGGTGGAACTGCCTGTACCGCTGGAACCGTCACCTTGAGCATCAAGTGAGCTCTAAACCTCGCCATGGTTTGTCTGACTGACCGTCACAGGGTCTGTATCTGTCTCCACTTGGGAGTCCTCACTCAAGCATCAAAAGACAACATTGTCGCCGCCGTTGAAGCATCAGCCAATGCCCAAGTGGTCGGACAATTGACCACAGCCGTGGGAGCCTACGCCGCACCATTTGCGAGCCAGAACGCCATCGTCGCCTTGTTGGAGCAGCAGGCACTTGCAAACGTAAGTGAGAAAGGCTGCACCACGCCACCCTGCTGATAATCCCCCCTCAGGTTGGCGGTATGAAGAGCAACTGCAACTACCCAACTGGCTCCACGCCCGACTCCTGTACTGATTGTCATTCGAGTGAGTCTGGATTCATCTGCTTACCGTTCGTTCGTTCCACCTCGCTGATCACATGACTCCCACAGGCTGCCCCGATGGTCAATACGTCTGCGGAAACGCCTGCATCTCCGACAACGATGGTTGTAGCTCTGGCCAAGCCGTGCCCCCGAAGAAGCGAGATTTCCTTTCGGGTCCCGATATCAGGTGAGTAGAATTAGACCAGCAGGAATTCACAAGGCCACTCACTGATCACAACACCCAGATGCCCATCTATGCTGACAGCTTGCGCGGTACCCGCTAGTTCGTTCTTCACAGGACGCAACTTTGAATGTCTCGACGTCATGTCAGACATTGAGTCCTGTGGAGCTTGCACTTTCCCATTACCTGGCGAAAAGTCAGGCATCGACTGTACGAGCATCCCGCATACCCTCGGCGTCAAATGCCACCTCGGTAAATGCGTCATCGATTCATGTCAACAAGGCTTTGAACTCTCCACCGATGGCGCAAAGTGCGTTCCTGGTAACAAGAGAATCTTGAAGGAGAAGAGAAGGACAGCCAAGAACGCCATCAAGTCGAGGCAGGTCAAAACTGCGGACTTGAGAGGTAGAAGATGAGGGTTGGAGCAGGCAGGGCAGGGCAGGCAGGGCTCCAAGGATAGGACATTGGGCCATTTCTGAGCTCTCTTATTAGTTGTCGTGAAAGACTGGTTTTGTGCTCGCTTGTTACCCGGCATTTTCTATCGTCAGCACCTTTTACGACCTTTCCCATGATGTAAACCAGTGACGGCCCTTTGGGTTGGAAGGGCCATTCATACTCGGCAATCGTCCAGCTTGTTTCCACCAGGCTAGGACCTTGTCAGGCAGCGACCTCGGATTCAACCAATCAACATTGACGATCGATGCCCGAAGCCAGTAGCACATAGTCTGAGCAATGCCGGAAAATTGCCCGTGCAAGATCATGTGAGCCAGTCATTTCCCACAATACTTTTGCATATTCTTGGATTCAGATGAAGGTATGGTGAGACTGTAGGGAAGCTGGGACCTGGACCAAATGTCCCAACGAGCACTTGTCAGACGGGACAGTGAAGTGGATGACTGACACGGTTCATACGCTAGTCTTTACTTGCCGAAACAGAATTTCGAGCTCGACACTCCCTGCACATCCCTGAAACCGAAATGCTCCTACGGCTCTCGTCCCTCATCCCTCCGAGCTCCTTCCCTAACGGGTCAAAGACTGGCTTGACCTAGTCCAGGAGCTCATGTCGAGTCGAGATCAGCTGGCTCATCATTTGACTCAGAGTCCGTATCCCTAATCTTGTGGCTCCATCGTGCTTCGTACTAGACAGGAGCTAAAGTTGACCTCTTGACCAAGTTCACGCAATTTCGATCAAGTGTTGAGGTATGGCGCTTCATACATCTCTGCACCGAAAGAGGTTAAAGCCTGTGCTACCACCCACACACTGGAGGCAGCTGACCTGCGTAGCTCACCACTCTACGCAAATAGTGGTCCCGCCGGAATGGAACAGGGTATGCACCCATCAAATTGTTTCTTCTGATCTGTTCGGGTTGAATGATGCGAGCCGCCTTGTCGAGTCAACATCCCATGTTTAGTCGAATGTCCTCTGACATGCTCTCATAAAGTCCTTCACAACACGCTATAAGAGGGTTTGCATATATGCCCCTCCCCTTGAAAGACGCTGCTCCTCATCCTCGTTAACCTTCACTTCTCGCTCAAGCAGCGCTCACTCAGGTCCTTCTCACGGTCAATCGGTGCTCACCTCAACCTTGCACTTATTCCAAGCTCTCAACATGTCTGTCACTCCCGACGCAGAGATCATCGCACAGGCGATGATCACACCCAACCTAGGTCTCTATCTGGGTCCACATCTACTGGGGTGAGTCACCTCGTCTGGATCCTCCAGCCCATAGGCACGGTATCATCTCGAGCTTTTGTCAGACCCCAAGGGAGGTTCCAGCTCACAAAGACTCATACCAGACTTGTATCCAATGCGTTCTGGACCGGAGTCATCATCTGTCAAGTGACTCATTGGCTTCCTCAAGCTCGATATGATAGTCTTGGTGTTCGCCTCCTTGTGGTGAGTGAGAACACAGATTTGGCGATTCCGGAAGCTCATACGTGCCCCCAGGGCACTGCTGTTTGCGCGACGTGCGTAACGGCTGTCTTGTGAGTTGACACTTCATCCGCTTCTTCGGACTGCGCTGATCATCCATTCTGGCAGCACGGTAGCCATGTACATGCAAGACTTTGTCTATCACTTTGGGGAATTCTTCCAGTTCATGACGTTCAAACGTGAGTGATTGGAACAAGCTTGAGCGAAGGACGGGGCCCTAACATCAGTGTAGTCCTTGGCGTTTACGGTCTCATTCAGCCCATCACCACAGTCTCTGTCCAGCTTCTATTCGTGGAGCGAGCTATCAAAGTGAATGGGAACAGCTTTGTGGTAGCTGTCATCAGCTATATCTTGGCGTAAGTCGACGTGTGAAATGACTTGACCGCTTGCTTATGCCTTTGTCCGTAGAGCAGGAACCCTTGCCGGAGGATTTGCAGTCTTCATTCTCAGTCGTGGAGTCACAATGCATGAAGTGCCAATTGTGAGTGACCAGGAGCCACGACATGGCGTGAGAAATTGACAGATCCCGATCAGCACCTGGAGATCATGTTTGACTATTGGGTAAACCTCCACGTTTGACATTTCTGATGCTCTAATTCAGCCAACGGCTTGTTTAGTTGCTCACCTGTTCAATACCTTCTGCATCATCTACGGTCTACACAAGGCTCGTACGGGAAGCGAGCGATCCGACAAGCTATTGAAGAAGCTCATCAGGTGAGCTCGCAATCGCTCTGTTGAAGTCCACCTCATCTGCCGCTGCAGGGGATGCTTGGAGGCTCAGATCCCAGGCACTACATAGTGAGCTTCAAGTGCCCAGTCTGGTCAAGCTCTGACTCTCACTGTAGCGCACTGCTGGCCACGATCATCATCTGCCGTGATACATCCTCACCTCTGATACCATATATCGTGTGAGCAGACGAGATGCGCGTGATGAAGGAATAAGCTTACACGCGGCGCATCAGTGTCACGCATGCTCAAGTATACCTAGTCGGAGCGATGGGTAAATGACTTTGACGAACTAGGAGCTTATGCTGTCCTGTAGCTATGGTCAATGCTCGACATACCTGGCGCCGTGATGGTGTTACTCCACAGTCTTTCGCTGTGAGTAGGCAATCAACTCGCAAGACCATGATGACCTGACGCAGGCGTGGCAGAGCGAGACTGGACTCACGACTACTCCACCTCACCTCACAGAGTCGGGACCTACAGCGAGTGAAAGTCAAGTCAGCTCAAACGTAAGCCACCTCGCGACAATCCGTTTGATGAGGGGCTGATCATCTCTAGCGATGGCCGAGTACTCCACCTTGGGGCCTCGATGTGGAGATGGGTCTGACCGAGGACGTTGATGCCAAGAAGCGTGAAGAGGATACTCAAGGTGCTCAAGAGAAGAGAGCGACACTCAGGCACCTCAGCTTCATGGGCCGGGGTAATGTGTGAGGCGAGGCGTTGGTGGGCGAGGCGAGTGGCTCGGTTAGATTCTGTGAATACCTTCGTTTGGGTATACCATGATGTTTTGTCTGTATTTCACGACTTCTGCTTATGACTCAGAGGTGTTCAACAACAACGATAACGACCTTATGACGACGTTAGTTTAGCGATTGATTCCAGTCCCCGAGCATGTATGCCTGCTCCTAAAAGCCAAGTGCCACATCGGAGACCATCCGAATATGCTTCCACTCTTTTGGGAATCTCACGGGCTCGGGCTCTTTAAATATAACTTGGCTGCTTGAGCTCATTGTCTGGCTCCTCGGTCACCTGAGCAACAACAGCATCAGGCCTCACAGTGGTGATCTAGATAGCGCTGAGTAGTACCCGCGTTGCTCACCTTCTTTCGCTCTCCTCCCGGGACCAACACTTGGAGTTCCCAAAGAACCGTCCTGAGCCTGCGAACCTGGTGTCTATAATTCTCGGCTCATTCCATACACCATGCCTTCTGCAGCTGCCATCTCCCAACGTGAGTCTAGGAAGGTGTAGGCCATAATGAACCGATGCTGATGGTCCGCCTAGTTCTCATACATCCCGTAAGCAATCAAGCCCAATATATGGAGAGACCCCCGCTGACGAGATTCTCGTGCTTTCGGTCAATTTCGTCCATTTCTCACCAACCTGTCGCTATCTTCCGGTTGACACCCTCCTGTAGACCGAGCTTCGATCTGTCATCAACTACAAGCTATGGAGGGACAAGAGTCGAGATATCACCAACCCTGCAGAGTTTGAAACTTCCGGATATGACCGAGAGACCATGAGGAAATGTTGGGACTTGTTGGACTTCAGCAGTAGGAGTTTTTCTGTCGTCGTAAAGGAATTGGAGGGGGATCTGGCCAGGACGGTAAGTCTCCCCTGGACACGCCTTCGTCGTCATGGCTTGTGTGACGCTGGTCTGATCGTCTCAGGTCTGCATCTTCTACCTCGTACTACGGGCTTTGGATACTTTTGAGGATGATATGACTATTCCCAACGACATAAAGCTGCCTAACCTTCGGAACCTTCATCGCAAACTTCACGAGCCTGGCTGGCACTACGTCGGATCCAAGGACAAGGACGCCATCGTGCTAGAGAGTTTCGCCTCGATCCAAAAGGAATTTTCACTTCTCGATCCAAAGCAAGTAGCCTGTTTTTTTGCGAATGGCTAGTTATAGCTGATCTCGGACACACCAGGTACCAAGTTGTCATCGAGGACATTTGTCGTAAAATGGGTGCTGGAATGGCCGACTTTGCGGCTCTGGCGACTCCTGAACAGCCGGTAGCGGAGATCAAGACGATCGAAGATTATGATCTCTACTGTCACTATGTTGCTGGGTTGGTTGGTGAGGGGTTGTCTGGACTCTTCTCCAGTTCTGGCAAAGAAAGACCTTGGCTGTCATCGCAATTGACACTGTCCAATTCGTGTGGACTACTCTTACAGAAGACCAATATCCTTCGAGACGTCAAGGAAGACGTGGATGACGGACGAGGATTCTGGCCCAGAGAGATATACGCTGCGCACGGATTCGACTCGATGAAGGGTCTCATCGATCCCGCTCGAGAAAAGGAGGCATTGTTTGCCGCCAGTCATATGACCCTTGACGCCTTGCGCCATTGCTGTGATGCCTTGGATTACATGACATTGCTCAAATGTCAAAGTGTCTTCAACTTTGTGGCTATTCCTGCCGTCATGGCCATCGCGACGCTCGATCGATGTTTCATGAATCCAAAACTCTTGAAGCAGAACGTCAAGATTAGGCGAGGCGAGGCAGTCGGAGTGAGTTACCATCCGGCGAAATTGAATCATGCTGATTCCTATCCAGCTCATCATGAAAGCGGTTAACCCTCGTGATGTTGCCTATGTCTTCCAGCAATATGCTCGGTCCATCCATCAAAAGGTTAAGAGCGACGATCCCAATATGCTGAGATTGAGTATTGCCTGTGCCAAGGTAAGCAAAGAGTCTGGGGGCACCTGGTAGAGCCTTTGTTGACCTTTGACCAGATCGATCAATGGACAGAACACCACTACCCCACCTTCTTGACGATCACTGGTTCCTCTGGTGCTGCTCAGACTGCCATTGACCCTGCCAATGGAGACGCTCGAGCTGTCCTCTTCACCAAGATTATAACCGAAGCCAAGGAGAAGAAGGAGAGAGAAAAGAGAGAGGCGCTCATGGCCGACCTCCGTGCCCGGGGCATCATCAAAGACAGGACGCCTGAGCAGATTGCGGCGGCTGAAAAGGCTCGTATCGAGTCTATGAACGAAAGTCCACCCTGGTTGATGATTGGAAGTATCATTGTTGGAATCCTGGCTGTCATGGGCGGATTGGGATACGGAATCATCTGGTTCGTCATGAATTACCTTGACGACTAGTTGAATCGGCTGGAGCGTTGTTGGTATGATATGAACTTAGACTGGGATATGCATGTAATGACTCATGTGGGCCTCGCTGGCGGAAATTTTTCATACAAGCTGGCTACGATGCAGAATACAACGGCGGATGGTAGATGCACAACAGATCATCTAATGTGTTTAGTCTACACTCGAAGGAATGGTTCATGAAGCACGGCTGATTTGGGGGGACGACGAAGCATCATCGTATGGTAGTGTAGCCAGATCCTTGACTCTGCTTGGCTTGGTCCACGGGATTCTCAGCAGAATTTTGGGCTTCGACCTTGCCGAGCCGACTCATATCCATCGTCATAGTCTTGGGATCGCCCTTGAAACCGACATACCATACGGCCGTCCGGCGCTCGCTCACTGCTTCGGACTGATCGAGGGGGATCAGTAGGCAGTCTCCGATCGGATGTGATTGACGTACAAAAAGCAAAGTGGCCGAATGAACATTGGCGAGCTTCTGTACTTTCAAGCTCCACTCTTCCACTTCGCGAGTTCCATCTGGTCCTCTGCGAGCTGTTGGCGGTGGTGATGACGTGTCCAGATCCATAATTGGAGTCATATCTTAGAATCGGTATCAGCTTTGAGAGCATAGGCCGTCTCACCGTTAAGGTCTGCGAAATCAGGACAATTGGGCAAATTGGCAAACAGCCGTAATCGACCTGCTCTATTCGGATGCGATGGACCAGGTGTGTTCAGCAAGAGCGTCCGAAGCCGGAGAGACTGAGTGAAGGGGATATGGAGTATGAGCTGAAGATTGAGATCAGACAAAAAAAACTATCCCGAGGGGAGGAAGGAATGAAGTGTTTCACTGACCTCGTCGTCTACTCCGGACTCTACGCCTTCCTCATTGAATCGATTGTCCCATGTCTTGATGATCTTTGGGGCTGCAGTCGGGTCCTGAAGGTTGACGCCGGTCACTCTGTAAGATGAAGAGTCAGTATTCATGAGAGGACAGGGCCCCAAGGTACACAGGACTGATTCCTGAGTGGCGCAATCCGGAACGAGACACCTTGAGTAGTGGTTCCGTTGTTGTCAGAACTGGTGGCAAGGGTTCCCATGTAAAGCAGCGATTAAGGTGCACAACGACGAGCAAGAGGAGAGGAATGATTTCATTGAGAGAGCATCTCACTCACCCATCCCGATCAATGAAGGCCCATAAACTGGTATTGCTACCTTGTCCAGCGGTCACTCGTTCCAAGACAGCGGTTGCTGACGAATCGTTCAGGTCGTCCACTGTGAGGTCGTCTGCGCAGCTCATTGCGAGACCGAATAGTGAGCTGAACGTTGACAGCGGAACCCCAGTCGCTGAACGGAAAGCAAGCTGAAGGGCTGGTTATTGATTTCCTCCGAAAGACACGGACGAAATGATCGTTGGTCGTGGTCGTTGATTGCGACAATGTTCACTGGGCTCGGCACATCGATACGATACAGTGGCGATCGCCGACGGGACTCAATTTGCGCCTGCAAAGCTTGTGGCTCCTCAAATGATGCGTGTTGTTGAAGAGCGGAGCGGGGGGATGGGGGGAAGAGGCGACGACAGCTATAGTATAGAAGGTCAGGATTCCTGCACTTGTAGATTGAGGCATCAGGCCACATGCAGCTCAATAAACATCATCTGTGCTCCTTTGCCCGACGCGCCATGCAAAAGCTCGCTCGCTGGGCTGTAATGGACGTGTCGACAGGTAAACCAGGGCTGACAACCACAACAAAGCAGCTGATAAGATTTGAAGGTTCCTTCTCCATGCATGCAAGAGAGAGGAGCCTGCTCCGCATCATGTCAACGCTACACGATGTCGCCCTCCCCTCGCCCCCAGTCCCTGCTGCCTGCCTGCCAACAAGTGCCACATTCACGAAATTATCGGCGATATCCCTTCCCCCCTTCCTTCTGCATCCTCCTTCTCCTGCGCGAACTGATTCCGCCGGGTATCACAGACCAACTGGCTCTCTCTCTCTTTGTCTGTCTCTCTTTCTTTGTATTCGAGAACGGGCTATACTTCGACGATCATTGTACTGGACAATCACAGCTCCTCTCGCTGCCCCATACGGCCCTGAATAGCAGCGACAGATCGTATCCCTAGGCTGCTTCCTTGATTCTCTGGCCGACCATCCATCATCATGTCTCACAGATAGCCCTTCTCTGGCGGGAAACATTAAACTCGCTATTCTCTGTCCTTCATCGAGGGATTTTCGCATTCTTTCCTGGTCTCTACTCGCTGTGAACGTCACACAACACCGAACTCCCATCTCCTCTCCTTAGCCCATCCACCTACATCGGGGATGAACGAATGTCCTCTTCCCTAAGCTCTCCCCTGTCAATCTCAATCCATCCGACCTCGACAAAGTGGTCATTACACTCTGTCCACTGGTAATATTCCTACCAGTCTCCTTCCTCCCTATCCACGTTCTCTCATGTCGAACCCCCCTCCTGGCCTCGGCGGGAGCGGGGGTGGTGCTCCCGCTGGAAGTAACAGCAACAATGGAGGATCTATGCGAGGTCCACCGCCTGGATTCGGGTCACCGTCCAGTGTGTCTTCGGGGAATAGAACAACGGGTACAATGAGCGGAGCGGACGGATCAGCAGGTACGACCTCTATCATCAAGGCCCAGATATCTTTCCTGGTCTCGTCGCTGGTGGATGACACGTATGAAAAGGCGGCGAATGAGATTCGTTCGGTGGGCACAATGTCTGCGCGAAAGATTCCAAGCTGATCACAACCCTGTAGCTCGCATCCTCCATCATGCCAGAGATGTACCATCATTTTCTCCGTCGCAGCTCGCACATCGCCAATCCGACCTTGCAGACGCTCTATCAGCATTACGCGCGGTACAAGGATGATCCAGCTGCTCCTCCCCCGAGTATACCTTCATCTGGACATCCCAGCTTAAACTGGCGACTGCTTTGCGAGGAGGCTTTACGCGCTTCTAGAGATATCAACCTCGCTCCGCACTTCGTCTCCATCATGCTCTCACCAGCGGCGGGTACACCACTCCCCATCCCTTCTCTCAGATTATTCAACCTCGCTCCAAGCCAACTCTTTACCCTTTCCGCGTTCACCCTCGCGTCACCTCATGTCTTTCCCACATCTCATCCTGCTTACGAGGCCATACATACCATTCTACGCCAAAGTTATGTCCCGACAATGGACATTTTACGATCACCCAGTATCCCTTTTTGGGCCACAAATCCAAATGAATCTTCAGACGACCTCTCACTGCAAGAAGCGAGAACACTCATTCTCGCTCTGTATCCCCGCTCTCAATCCTCAAACGATTCATCCTCCCGCCCTGCCACTCCTACCAATCCAACTTCACCTCATCCATCTCCTCTGACCTCGGAACAACGGACTGGTCTCTTGTCCAGCCTGGCGATCAAGTTCTCCTCCCCAGCCATCATCTTACAAACGCTGTCCGCTCTTTCACCGGGAGGACCACCTAGGTCCCCGGGATCCATTCCATTGGAAGATGTACTGTTCGAGCTTGGAGAGACCTTGACTCAGGATGAAGGAACCGTAGAGGCGGTCATTTATCGATGGTGGGGTCCATATCTCCTGAGCGGAGACTCGCCGGATCATATAAAATCCGTTACAGAAGAAGCGGGACGGACCATCTTGGGCATATTTGATGGTCTGCATGAGGGAAGATCGATCGATATGCACGGTGTGGTCAAAGGCATGTGCGCGATTGTGAGTGCCTAAGCGCGCAAATTCATTGCTGACGTCCCAGGAGTCGATCGATTTCCCCGATCTCATCCGCCAACTCGACGTACCTCATTCACCAGCAGCATACCCCTCATCTATTGGATTCCTCATTGCCCTACTCATGATTCCACCCCAGCAACCCATCCCGCCTATCGCTGGTCTCCTGCCAGCGGATCTAGAAAGCCCGTCATGGACTCACCAAGACTCGCTACTCGCTATCCTCTCCCGCTTTTCCGTCATGGCTCCAGATCGCCTCCCAGTCTTTCTCGTACCCAATGCAGCGTCGCCTACGTCTTTCGCTAGAATTATAGATCCTCCCACTAATGACCAGGCTATGAGCACGAAGATACGACAAGCGGCAGTCGATCTGCAGAGCGCAGGAATGTGGAATATACTTGGACTGTTCAGGGTCTTGGTGGAAGCTTGTTCGAGAGCAGAAGCTGAGCCGCAGAATGAGCAAAGGGTCGAGATCGGCCGAATGGCCATTCAACTTCTCGAGCGTGGCGCAGAGGTCGTACCCGAGATGACCCTGATCGCGTACGAGACGCTGCCTGTGAGTTGCGTCCCTGCTCTAATCCATTTCTCTGCTGACCATACGCCTAGGGACCCCTACCCTCGGTCCTTCACGACATGCATCGACGGCTGCTCGGCATGTATCTCAGCAACTCTTTCGCCCAGATTCAATCCTCGCAACTGGTATTTCATACCCTGAAGCGGGTGAATATCGGAGGTCTGATGGATGTCCTGCTCGAGTTCTATCAAGAAAATGAGGCCAACCTGCCTCGAATACTGGAAATTGCTCAGGAAGTCAAAGTAAGTGCTCGGGCGGGCAAGATGGTCACGAGCTGACTCGTTGCAGATCCTGGACAAGCTTTTGAGCGCAGACAATATCTTTTACTCTTTGGATGTCGCTTGCCTTGCCGCCACTGAGAAGTACATCAATCTCGAAAAATGGCTCGCAGACGGTGTGGATGTCAAAGGGCACGAGTTCCTCGAGGGCGTGTTCGATTTTGTGGAGAACAAGGTTCGAGCAGAAATTGATGCGAAGCACCAACCAGACTCTGCCCCGAAGCCTCCTAATCGCTTGGACATCGAAGTGTACTCCATCTTCATCCGGGTCATTCGTCGCGCCCCCGAGCTATCGCGCGAAGATATCTCTCGATTCAAGCATTTGAGGACCGATATTCTCATCGTGAACCCGAAACTGCTCAACTTGCGCCCGGGTTCTACCGAAGAGCAAGGCTTCACGGTCGCCAAGTTTGACAAGGCAAAGACTGAGCAAGCCGACAAGATGTTCCAGCGAATGTACGGCGGTCACATTCAGCTGGACGATGTGGTCAAGGACCTGAAGCGCTTGATGCAGTCGGATGATCCAAACGATAAGGAGACATTTGCCTGCGCCGTGCACGCTCTTTTCGACGAGCATGCCTTCGTCAAGAATTATCCCCCAAACGAGCTCACCATGACCGGTATCCTTTTTGGAGCCATCATCGACTACAGATTGGTCAAGGACATTCCGGCATTCGTGGCGACAAGATACGTGCTGGACGCTTGCAAGACGCCGCCTCACGAGCCAGTCTACCAATTTGGTATCAACGCGCTGAGCGTTTTGCGGGCCTCATTGGTCGATTTCCCCGGACTCTGCCGCTCGCTTCTGGAGATTCCGGCTCTGCACGAGTCGCATCCGGTGCTCATCAACGACATTATGAATGCTCTGGCCGAACGAGAAGACTTGGATCAGCAAGGCGGTGTCAAGCTCGCCTTCCCTGCTCTCAAACTGCCAGTCATGGTTGAGGAAGGCGTCGATGAGTTTGTCGAGCCTGAACCGACCAAGAAGGATCGGATCATGTTCATCATCAATCAAATTGATCCAAGCAACTATGATGCTAGATCGAAAGACCTGATATCGCTCTTCGAAGACCAGTACTCCCGTTGGTTTGCACACTATTTCATCGACGTGCGAGTCAGTTTGGAGCAAAACAGGCACGAGATCTATTTGCAGCTACTGGAAGCTATCAATTCCCCTGTGTTGGAGCGACACGTCCTTTGGGAGACGTACCGAAAGGCAAGGGATCTCATCAACGCCGAAGCGACCATCAACTCGGCGGCGGAACGTGCCACTTTGAAGACGGTCGCTTTGTGGTTGGGACGTATCACGCTGGCACGTAACATCCCTATTCGACTGCGGGATTTGTCCCTCAAAGATCTCTTGATTCAAGGGTTCGACAATCAACGATTGATTGTGGCCATACCGTTCGTCTGCAGTCTGCTGTCTCAATGCGAGCACTCAGCAGTCTTCCACCTGCCAAATCCCTGGCTCACTTCAATCCTGAGATTGTTAATCGAATTCTACCACTTTGCGACGCTCAAGCTCAACCTGAAATTCGAGATTGAAGTCTTGTTTAAGAACAAGCTTTACGTCGACAAGGACTCGATTCAGCCCTCCGACGTGTTGCGAACTCACATTCCACCACCGCCGCCCCAGGAGGATGTTCCTGACCGCTTGCATCAAGAGTATCTTCGCGCGACTGCAGAACTGGAGAACGAGAACCAGCGATTCGAGCAGCCTCCCCTGGACCCTGCATTTGCTCGGATGCAAGCTTTCCAGAACGAACAGGCGGCTCAAGCGGCTCAAGACGCTTTCATGCGACGGGTCGATGAGCTGGTGGCTTCGCTCCCGGAATACCTTGTCTTCAGCCCAGAGTATCCAATATTCACGGCGCCGACGCTTCAACGAGTTGTGCACCATTCCATCAATCGCGCCATTCGAGACATAGTCCAGCCTGTTGTGGAGCGCTCAGTCACTATTGCAGGTATCTCGTCTCGAGATCTCGTACAAAAGGACTTTGGCATGGAAGGCGATGCGTCAAAGATGCGACACTCTGCACACCTTATGGTTCAGAATCTCGCTGGCAACCTCGCCATTGTGACCTGCAAGGAACCTCTACGAAGTTCAATGATCAACAATATCCGGACCATGCTGAGTCAGAATGGATTCACCGAGGACAACATGCCGGATGCCATGATTGCCGGTGTTGTGAACGACAATATCGATGCAGGGTGCGGGGTTATTCGCAAGGCAGCCATGGAGAAGGCCGTCAAGGACATCGACGTCAACCTTGCACCTCAATACGCTGCCAGACGTGCCCATCGCGAGGCTGGAAGTAGACAACCGTTCTGGGACGGAGCATCGTTCGGAGTCGCCTTATCACATGCTGCCCTCCCAGATGCTCTTCGACTGCACAGCGGCGGTCTGGGTCCAGCGCAGCTGCGAGTTTATGAAGACTTTGGCGAGCCATCGCGGATCTTGCAGGCGACTGGACCTGCTGCGAGCGCTAACGGGGACTACGGCTATCACCAGCAGGATCGATTGCTCCCATCCGATCATGCCAGACGAGGCATGGCTTCGCCTCTGTATCCTGATGCAGAGGTCCGAGCCCCTTCACCCCGAGTGTTATCTGCTCAAGCGGCATTGGAAAAGTTCCAGGAGATTGTCCAGGATATCGAAAAAGTCCTTGCGCAAGCTCCTGCTCAGAGTCTGGTCTCGCTATCACCAGAGTCTGAGATCAGAAATTTGCTCCGAGGTGTCATCTATATCGCCAATAGCTCATCGAATCGAGAAGGCACGACGCTGGTCATTGCTCAAAAAGTCGTCCAACTATTGTACAAGACTGCAACGCCATTAGGACGAGAGGTATACGTCTTCCTGCTCCAGCAGTTGTGCGAGTTGTCCAAAAAGGTCGAGAAAGAAGTCAAACATTGGTTGATCTATGCCGAGGACAACGTGAGTGAGCCGGCTTGATAAAAAGCTGACCGTGTATCAGCGCAAACTTAACGTCTCTGTCGTTGTCACGCTTGTAAGGACCGCATTTATCAACGTGCAGGATCTCGACACTCAGCTTGCATCCGTCATTCGACGAGCATACGCGCCTGAAATGATGGATTTCGTCGCCGAATTAATTCGAGAATGCTCTCTGGCAGAAGACGCCGTTATCTCCAGGACTGGCTTTGCGTCGTGTCTCGCTGCGCTTCTCGAGGCTCACGACAAAAATCGATCCACGCAGATTGTCGACAAGCTGCTGGGCGACATGCGAGGTCCCCGAGCACCTCAAGACTTGGCACTTGAGCCTATCAAAGATTCCAGCAAGACGTCAGATGTCGATCCTGAGCTCAAGGAAAGGCTCACGCAGTACTTTTTGGAATGGGTCAGGCTGTACAGCAAGTCGAAGCCTGATACGGCGTTTGTTCCCTATGTCACTTTCTTGACCAAGGAGAACATTCTTCGGGGTGATGATGTGTCTTCGGCATTCTACCGCACCGCAGTCAACACTGCTGTTGATCTGGACACTGGCAAACTGGACTCGGCGCCTAGCTTTTTCGGTACAGACGCGTTGGCTAGCCTTATCATTTTCATCATCAAGCATTGTGCAGACAAGAATACGGCTGCGGGCATCGAGCGACAGGTGTACTATTTCAACAAGATTCTCACGATCGCATCGTACACCTTGATTCAGCGCCATTCGGAGGACTCATTCTCACAAAGACCTTGGGCTCGACTGTTCTCGAGTATCCTCTCCGAGCTATCGAGCTACAAGTCCGGTCTGCCCGAAACGTACGTCGGCTGCCTAAAGGCGTTCTCCAATGTCCTTGGCTTCATCCAACCGATCTACGCGCCCAAATTTGCCTTTGGCTGGTTGTCGATCCTCTCACATCGTCGTTTCATGCCTGCCATGCTGAGTCTGCCTCGAGAGGTCGGATGGGACGACTACAATCGTGGACTGATGTGGCTCCTGCGGTTCCTGGAGCATTTCCTCCAGGGCGAAATGTCGCACCCATCGCTTGGCATCTATCAAGCTACCATTCGACTGCTGCTCGTCATCTTGCACGACTTCCCCGAATTCCTGGACGAGTATTATCATCCTCTGACGACTGCCATCCCCCACAACTGCCTCCAACTGCGAAACATTGTCTTATCTGCATTCCCAGATTCGATCAAACCTCTCCCGGATATCTACACTCGTCTCGATGCTCTCGTGCACGAGATGCAGCACTTCCCTACCGTCCGAGGAGAATACGTCGAAGCTTTGTCGGCTGGGGGTATCCGTGCAGCCATTGATCAGCATGTTCGAACGGGCATGCCGGCGTTGCCTGCAATCGTGATGGAGTTGAAGAATCGCATTGCCGTCAAGACGATGGCACCTGGAGGGGAGCCCAGGATCCACTGGAACAGAACTTTGCTGCATGCTGCGGTATTCTACCTGGGTACTTCCTGTGTCGGGCGAACGGCGAGACAGACTGGTATGGCAGAGTTTGATCCCAAGGCACCCGAAGTCGCCATCTTGACCGAGTTGGCACATGCTTTGGATTCGGATGGTGAGCGTAACTCTACAGGGCAAAAAGCTGACAGATCTTTAGGCCAACACCACATGCTCAGTGTCATCGCCGATCAGTTGCGGTACCCTTCGGCGCACACTTTGTTCTACATCCACTTCATGTTGTTCCTCTTCCTGCACTTCTCTCGGACCGTCGACTCGCCCGTCCCCGAATACATCAGCCGAGTGTTGCTGGAGCGAGTGATTGTGCATCGACCTCATCCTTGGGGATTGGTCGTAACGTTTATCGAGTTAATGGACAACGAGGTGTACAATTTCTGGGGACAAGGCTTTGTCCGAGCTGAGGAAGAGATCTTCATGATCTTTGTTCAAGCTCAAAAGAGTATCGCCGGGCAGTCTAATCATCAAGGTGGTTTCCATGGACAGGGTCATGGAAGCCAGAACGAGTCGATTGCTGGTACAAGTAGTAGTCTGCCCGTCGGAGCATCTGCAGAGACATATCGCTCCGGTGCGCTTTCGGGAGATCGGGTTGAAACCGCTAGTGGAGGAATGTAAGGCACGCGATGGTACTTGTTTTGGACTTTGGTGAGTAGATGATCAAATGATCGTCTAGGGATATAATCGCTTACGCGTACTAGATCCAGCTTAGAGGATTCACAATCATCCTTGTATCAACATCACAAAAGGTCATTATACGTTCTTTCTTCACGTGCAACCAAGTCTCCTCTTCTCGCTTCATGGCCATGGATCAATGACTTGGGGATCTCCCGGCATAATCTGATATACCCCTTCCTCGAGTTGTCCTCTCATGTTCTCACCAACCGGCCTTGACCAGAAAAACTCTCAACAGAACGCTCTCAACAGTTGTCACTTTGCGGGGAATGTTCTGTCATGGCTCCGGGCATTTTTTCCCCTCACTTCACATCTCTTTCTTTCTGTTTCTCTCCCCTCTCCTCGCTGCGACGTCTACTCACGACGGATTGCGAGATCAAAAGTCATCACTCGGACCTGGGTTGGAATTGGATTTTTACTCAATCAATAACTGTATGTGCTATTAGGTAGATGGATGTCTGGAAACAGGACGATGATGTGGAGAATGGCGCGGATAGTATCGTGGCAATCCAGGCGGGCTGGAGATGTCCTTGAGATCCAATGGGATTTGGAGCCGACTGCTGTCCTCACCATTTTGGTCTCTTAAATTCGCCACGCCTCTCTCCTCGTCGTATTGTCTTAGGAAGCAGAGTAGAGCAGTGTGTGGGTGTGGGTAGGTGGGTGGGTGTTCCCAAACCCACTGAGCAAATGTACCATTCTATACATCTGTCCTCCGAAGACCATTGCACTTTGCAACGGAAGCAAATCAATAGAATCGGGTGTTGCCACTGGAAAAGTCAAGTCGATCAGTCCATCTGAGCTACATTTCTTCGACCTCTTGCTCTTCGCTCTGTGGAATAGGTTTGAAGTGCACCCCGCCGAGTGGAGGGTCGACAGAGGCGTAGCATTGACTTTCGTCTACCCGTTCTAGGAGTGTGAATCGTCAACATGTCCGAACGTAAGGTTATTAACGTGAGCAAACTTGTCCACTTCTGTCGCGACTTCTCGCTGACCATGTCCCCGTATCTGTCTCTACACCCTACAGAAATAGTAAGTATCCCGTCTGTCTTCTCGGAATCTCTCTCCCTCTTCATTGTTCCCTCCACTGCTGCCTTTCCATACTGAACAATGTGTTCAGCTTCCCGCCGGACTTCGATCCGTCCAAGATCAAGCGGCGGAAGATTGGCAAAAACCCTCAGATGGTGGTGACTCTCATGGCTCCATTCTCCATGCGATGCAAACGTTGTGGAGAATACGTCTGTGAGTTGCACTTTTACGACTGAGCTCCTGTTCGTCCTTCATGAGCTCTTTTTCGGGCGGGCGGCTGATATTTGAGCTTTGCAGATAAAGGCAAGAAATTTAATGCAAGGAAAGAGACAGCTGTTGGATTTGAATACTATGGGATCAAAGTCTTCAGATTCTACATCGTAAGTCTGCTCCCAGATCTCCTCTCTGAAAGGCGGGATGTTGCTTCCCCCTATGGCACTTGACACCTCCAAAACTCTCCTCCCGTCCACGCAATCCGTCAATCGTTCCCGAGCTGACCTTATGTTAGAAATGTCCGGTCTGCAGCTCCGAGTTCACCTTTCGCACTGATCCGAAGACGGCAGATTTCATCGTGGAAGAAGGAGCGACGCGAAACTTTGAGAATTGGAGCGAAGCAGACCCGACAGGAAAGAGAACATTTGTGCCGGACGCCGCCGCAGACGACGATTATGATAGTGATGGGAATTTGATCGAAGGGCGAGGAGAGAAAGATGCCATGGCGGACTTGGAGCAAAGTCAGGAGCAGAGTCGGAGAGAGATGGAGATGATGGATGAGCTAGCGGATCTCAGGTACATCGGAATCTGCCGCTGGTTGCCACAATGCTGATACCTTTGCCCTTTTTCTCTCTCTCTCTCTCTCTCTCTCTCTCTCTTTCAGACAACGGAATGCTAGGATGGAACAGTCAAACGCTAATGCCGATCCAGAGGCTCTTCTTGCTGCTCTACATGCTGAGCGACAGAGCGCAGAGGAAGAGGCTAGACTGAAGATGGAAAAGGAGGAAGACGATGCACTGGTCGCTCAATATTTCGCCAAAGTAGCCGCATCAAAGCCGACAAACGGAGATTCCACTGTAGTGGATCGTAAAGGCAAAGGCAAGGCAAAAGCGATCGAGGAAGAGGCAGTGGACGGCGATGAGGAGGATGTGGCCCAATCGGATGGGTCAGAGGGTTCAGACGTTGCCCTTCCGGCACTCACCGTCAAACGACGACCTGTTCCTGGTGGTACCAATGGATCGGCGGCTGAGCCTTCCGTTTTCAGTCTCTTAGCGGCAAAAGGGAAGACTTTGGACTCGACAAATGGGACTGCGAATGGTGCATCTACAGGGACGAACGGCGCTGCGCCTCTGGCACCTGGGGCCGTGAAGCGGAAGCGAGAAGGAATGCAAAAGTTATTAGGGATCAAGACCAAATCAAAGTGAAAGGATCGGGTTCAGGGTAATTGTGCATGCGGCGCTCAGGCAGATCACCAAGACCTATGTATACATACAGCAATAATTGAATTCAGACAATGCTTATCCGATGGGATGTCATGTCAATCGCCTCAACCTCGGCTTCTTGCGATTTAGACCTCCCAAATCGTGATAAGGACGGGACGGATTTTATCTGCGGACGACTGGAGACTGCGTGAGAGGGCAAAAACATCAGCAAGAGACTCTTACATGCGAGCCTCGTCACTCACGAGCCTCCTTGAGTCCCTTGCCAAAATTTGACCAAACAACGGCGCCACCGATGAAACAAGCCATCAAGGACAACAAGCTCAGAGCGTCGAAAGTCGTCAGGGAAGCGACGACATTATCGTAAACTGTATCAGTTTGCTGCCAGATTCGAATGAGCTTGAAGACAAAGTATGCGCATCCGGCGAACAGCCCGACTTCGAACGCTCCCTGAGCCGTATCAGAGATCTGAATAGATACTAGCGACTCACCATCAGATACCGATTCTCGTACTTTGCCGCAAAGCGTCCCATGATAAGCAAGAGAATGGACAATGGGAACATAATCCAGGTGATAATGTACTCGACGTCGGTCTTTTGAAGGACTAAGCAGGGGTCAGTCGAAGGGTTGCTGCAGGCCTGATGCGCATACTGACCGAGCCAGATGAACTATAACGGGCGTGGCGTCAGCTTGGCAAATTTACCCGTGCAAGGTTCAACTGACCTGTATACCGAATCCCGCACAGAAGAACGCGGAAAAGTACGCGATACACTCAAAGATCTGGAACCGAAAGTAAAACTTGCGGATCTGCAGGTCTGCTCCGAGAAATCGATATCGATCCCAGCTATGGCGAGCAAGGGTCAGCCGGGCGAATAGTGTGACAATGAGATGCCCACCCAAAATCTCGTCGGATGAAGTAAGACAATATGATCAGAATGATGCTACCCGTAGCCACCACCGCGATGACTACAGCAGTCAAGATGTTCAATGGCAAAGAGAGAAGAGACGAAGACGGTCCATTGTCACCTTGCTCGCCTGGCAGGCCTTCGGCGAGATTGTCTCCAAGTATTTTACGAAGCTCGTAGATCTACGTCCGAGTCAGCAAAATCTCCCGTTCAGTCGTGCGAGGGTCAGCCTACACACCTGTATGACGGCATATGCTAGGATAGCAAAGTTGAAGGCTGTAATGCCGACGATCTGCACGGTGTTACGAGCTCTGATGGCCACGACGGTCAGAACGAGGGTCCAGAGACTGGGAAACTATAAGCTTCCTGGTTGCTGCTGACGCTCACTAGGCCAGCCCATAAATGATCAGGTAGATCGGCAACCGTCTGGAGTTCTCAAGCTCCATTTCGCTCGAATCGCCGGAATTGATCTCTACGTGGAAGCGCCACAGGATATTTGCCTGTCGACGTCAGCGTTGCCTAACCCAGATGGGGACCAATAGCAACAACTCACCTCGATAGCCAGATTGATCACAAGCTCCGTGACCACCGTGGCGAGGAATAGTTTGCAAGCCAACGTGTGGGACGTCATCTGTAAGTGCATGGTCAGGATTGTCGTTGCACATCGAGCTTACTTGTCTATACCAAGGCAGAGATCTTGATCCTGAGCTGACACCACGCGAGATCGGCGGGGCCACAACTTTCTCTTGAACATCGTGCATACTATCCGCATCTCCGTGATCTCCCTGATAGCTGCTTGGAGGATATTGCATCGCCTCATTTACGCCCGATGAGTATGATCCCGGGGGAGAGGCCAAAGGTCGTATCGACGATCCCTGAGGTAGATGTGGTAGGTTGGGCGAGCGACTTTGAGAACTGTAAGATTGAGAAGATGGTAAAGGATCGATGTACTGTGATTCATACATTAACGACGGTGATTGAGGGCTGCGAGGCATTGCCTGTTGATACGAAGGTTGTGAGAAATCCCGTACGGCAGATGGAGACAACGCAGAGGAGTTTTGTGCAGTATGGCTGCCGAAGGATCTCGACGTAGGCAGAGTCTGGGCATCAGCGGGATGTCTTGAGAAGGAAGGGGCGGAATCGAATGATCTCGGTAAAGATTGGAATGGTTCATGTCGAGACTGGGATTGAGCAGACCGGCTGCTTGAAGGGAATGGTCCGGTGGGTGACAACTGATCTGGAGAATGGGTCATGGCTCGAGAGGAAGATCCATACGGGTTCTATATTGATCAGTTGAGAAGAAATGCCGATATGGGTAGCGCAGAACGGCATTCACTCACCGGATCATGCAGAGCCAAGGCGCCAGGCCTAGACGGTGCACGAGGAACGTATGGAGACTTTTGTACTGGATCAGCGGTTGACATTGATGCAAGTCGCGATGGTCCGCTGGAACCCTCTCCATAATCCGCCAAGGTAAATCGTCCTGAGTCCCGCTCGTCAAATGTCTGAGAGTATGCCATCGTGCGAGTCGCTCCTCAAGCCAAAGAGATACTTGATGTGACGATGCTACTGTCCTCTTGAGGCCTCAGAGAACATATTGAAGAAGAAGGCTGATCAACCTGACTGGTCACGAGCTGACGAAGGGAGGAATGTAAAGTCTAGAATTTCAAGGACAGAGAGATCAGTTCTCGGCGGCGCGAGCGGATCGATTGGCCAAGCTGAATATGAAGGGGATAAAGACTTTAGAACCTGAGATGATCAGTCGCCCCAGTCTCGTCTCCCCGCTCACCGCCGCTATCGACCTCCCGCTCCTCGCCGTAGTAGTAGTCGTCGTCGTCGTCGCCGTCCCCATTCATCACTGATTCAGTAGCCGCATCGCGTCGCGAGGCAGTGCCTATTCAAAGTGTGGCGGCTTGGCGCTTTTTATGGTAGCAATATATAGAGTATGCTCTGGCTGAGGTCCTGATCTGATGAGAGGTCCAGAATTGTCTGTACGTAGACCAAATTCTGAGAAGCTGTGCGTTCGGGGCAATGCACGCAGAGGAGGATATAGGACGCCGTCAACGATCCAGATTTGCCAGATTTTGGGCAGGCGGCGTACAGTCGAGGCGTCCAGGATTTCTATTTCTTTCCTACGGAAGACAGATCTGCAATGAATGACTCTAACGAGATCCAAATCTAGCCCTCCGTATATGAGTACGGAAACCACCCAGACGTTACACTCTGAAAGACGTATGGTTCTACCTTTACATACACGACATCGCTCTCGACGAGGATCATCCGCTAGGTCAAGAGGGCTCCGGAAATGCTGGGTCTTGGAATGGCTCGTTCAGCCTCTCCTCTTCGGATGAATTCTCACGCTACTGGAACCTGACACTGACACTGTCACTGACACTGTCAGTCTCTCATGTCCATGACAGCAGCGTGCCCAAGATTGCTCATGCATGATGATTGTTCACCTCGCATTTGCCGGGGCATCGGACCACCGCCTTGTAATCCCCAGATGTGCCACATGCCACGTGTCTCCGTAAAACGCCGAAAATCATCTTCTTCCGTTGAGCTCCGATGGGTCATTCACTGAGTTCGCTCAAGAGTACGAGAGAGCTTGAGCTATTGGACCTATCCGACGACTGCCAATCAACGAGGTGAGTACGATCAGATTATGTGATACGGAGACTGGACACGGGACCCTATAGGTGGGACTGACGTAGGATCTTCAGACAGTCAGATCAGTCGTCATGTTTGGCCGAAGAGCATACCCTACACCGGTCAGTTCAAGATCAGCAAGAGCCCATGCGACCTCCTCCCTGACCTAGCGATGACAGATCATCCGTCCACTCTGGGCCTTTGCCATCAGCGGCGCCGTCATCTATGCCACTGTTTGGAAGCTTCAGGACTCCATGCTTGCTCGTGAGCAGTTTTGCTATCATCTACAAATCACGCTAACGCATCATCTCCTCCGTGTCTTTGTCGTCCTCTGCCCTCCATCTTCACTCGCTGCTGCTGCTCCATACTTGGTCACGTAGTCCCTGAATTTGCAAACAACCCCAAGAACCCACGTGAGGATACAAAGCATCCCTGAGGAACCATGCTGACGGTACTCTAGACAGGAAAGCTGTGACTGAGCACCATTAAATGATGTTGGATGCATAGACTGTACGGGAGTTTCCGAAATCAACGGCGGATCAGGACCCGTTCTCCGTGTTTTGATGCTGCTCTGCCTCGCTGTCCATCGGTTCATCCCAGAGCTTGCGTTTGATCTCTTTGATGTCCTCACCGGTCATTGTATCGCCGACGATGCGCGGCAAGTCTCCATGGCGTCTGAGCCTCTGAACTGATGCAGTGATGGCGCGACTTATCAAGGGCTCGTTCGCTATTGCCTTGAGCTCATCGGCGCTGGGGACTCGAGCGGTGAGTCCTAATTGCAGGCATAGTGTGGTATTCAATCCGAAGTCTGGGTGCCTTGTGCGGTGCAACATGGCTGCTTTGTCCAGAACTGAGGTCTTTAGCCATGTCAGACCGAGGGAATTGGTATTCGATATATTGAGTTCCTTCTCAGTCATACTGTCGAGCATTCGACCGTACTCTTCGCGGACAGATCTCATCGTTACGGGCGTGTCAAGAGTAAGAGTCAGATTACCATCAGCGGACCATGCGTGAAACTGTGATTGTTGGTCATCGTTCGAGCCCACTTGAAGCACCAATCGAGCGAACGGTGTGCAGAGGACGTGCCCGTCATCACCATTTCGCAATGATCCGTACTGTAATTTGGACTGCCCCGTGTAGATCGTCTCAAAGAGTATCGGCTCGTCGTCCTCTCCTTCGGCAGTGAAGACTGAGCCACCATCCAACTGGCCAGTCGTGGCTCGTTCGGTGAAAGGCTTCTTCGATAGCATGCTCGGCGTTGGCATTGGCACGCTTTGTGTCCTCTGTGGCTCGGCTGGCCGTCTGAACCAACTTACGGATTGAAGGAATCTGGGTCGTGTGCCTTGCGGTGCAGGCGTTCGCCAAGTGGGAAAGAGTGTCGCCACAGGTTCGACCAGATATACGTCTAGCAGGCCCGTTCCGCTACGGTATTCGCAACTAGGCACTACTTCCGACGAATGAGTCGCGTCGGACATTTGCAGGGCCACACGACCGCAGACACCTGTTTTGTCGGACAATTCAAGAGCCATCCTCGTTCTAATGATCAAAGAAAGGTGATTAGGAGCAAGGGTCAGATTCTGAGCATCGACGTCTCCTCTCTCTGCATGCAGTGTCCGAGCTCTACTGCAGCTGAGCTTCAAATTACGCGCCATTGGTACAAAGGAGGTCATGACTAGCGCGCTTAGTAGACGAAGGTGCGTGGACAAGGCCCTCGTGTGAAAGGACATTGGCATAGAAACACCTTGCCCTTAGATCCATCGAGGTGTGGGGTGATGGGTATGCAGCGTCACTCTCTGAGTTACAGAGAGTGCGTCTGTTCGAGTGAAGTGGCAACAAAAGGTACAGTACAACTAGATGACTCGCATCGAGGTCTCGGTTCACATGGCCGCCGTCGATTGCAGTCCTCCTCGAAGTAGGAAGTGAAGCAACAGATAGGGCCAACGCGTGCGTTTCGTGTGGCCTCTGACATCGACTTCGTTCGGCTTTGAGAACAGGCAGTGAACATCCCCGGAGACACCAACGAGAGTGTGGCGGCGCCATGTTCTATTCGACTGTGGCCATTGGCTGGTGACACGGCTTGATCAGGCTCAATCGTAGCTGCAAGGGAGTCGTAGAAGACAGCATACTCACGCTTAAATCTCAGGCGCTACCACGCAGAGCTCAATAGCTCGTATGTGGTGACAGTCGACTCTCACCGCCCTCCAATGTCCTCAGCAAGCGCGGTGCCCCGCGTTTTATCTCTTGTCAAAGGTCCGAAATGTTATCGTTTTATGGTGGCGTTACGAACTGTGCTGTATTTGTGACAAGCTACATACAGATGGCCTCGAAGCTTCTGCAATGCTCAGCATGCGTCAGACATGCTCGGCGGATCAGATCGGGTCCGCTCAGGACTCAATTCCGAGCGAATGGCAGCTCTTCGGGCAGTTTTCAGCCAGCTACGCCCGGCCAGCAGCTGTTGACATTACGGACGCTTGATAGTCTAGTGACAACGATTGCGAGTGAGTCGGGCCGACTATGCTCGGATGGCGTGGGAGCTAACATGATGCTCTCAGAGTCAGCCGTGAATTCACCACATCATCCCTCGCCATTCTCCATGCGTGCACTTCCCTCGCCATGGCTTACATCCTCATCCCCCGACTTGGACGGGACAGTGCCCACTCAGCCCCTAGCTCCACTTACAGCCGAGGAAGAAAAGGAGCTCATGCGTCCGAAGCACATGAGCGAGTCGTATACTACTTTTGATCTCCCGTTGAAGAGCGACGAGAGGCTATATCAAAGATACGTCAATGCTCAAGGCGGATTTCGTGAGTTGATTAGGCGGTAATCTTTTCGCTGACCTCTCAGGTATAGGCAAGCTCTTGGAGCGTAAGTCGGGGCCGTATTTGAAAACTGTGAGTTGCTAACAGTGACAGATCTCGACTCCCTGGCTGGTGCCGTTGCTTACAGACATTGCCTACCGACTTATTTGCGTCTTTCGCAATCACCGGACTCGACCCAAGCCTTCCACGAGGCTTCAACGAGAGCTGGTCTATATCTCGCGACTGCCAGTGCTGATCGATTGGACATGCTAGGGAAGCTTAACAGGGACAATGTCAAGTGAGCGAACCGATCCACTGATACCAATTCGGACGTTGACGAGCTCGCCAGGGATCTCCGGTTCTCAGGATTCGTTACCTGGACCGGAAACTCGTCCATGGAGGTAGTAGTCAAAATGGAAGGGTCTCCAAATACTTCATCTTCATCCTCCTGGGAGACTATTATGATCGGCCGCTTCGCCATGGTCTGCCGAGACTCAAAGACACACAAGTCGAAGAGGATCCCAGAGCTCATCGTTGAAAGCGAGGAAGAGCAAGCATTGTGGAACATCGGTGCGGACCACCGAAAACGTCTGAAGCAAAACTCCATGATGGCCTTGGATAAAGTTCCTGTAAGCCGTCTCGCACACTTTCACAGTTGACGCTGTCAGCCTACATCCGAAGAGGTAAAAGAGCTACACGATCTCATGCTCAAGATCGTCGATCACAATGCCAAGTACATGGACGGCGAGCAAGTCGTGCAAATGAGAGACACAGAGGTCGGTCAATTCCCAGCGCAGCTCGCGCTCGCTCACTCTCGCTTCCAGACCCAAACTGTTCAACTCATGTTTCCGCAAGATCGTAATCTACATGGCAAAGCGTTTGGTGGCACTTTGATGCGTCTGGCGTTCGAGCTCTGTTTCACCAACGCCGCACTCTTCGCTTCAAGACCTATGCGTTTCCTTTCACTGGACGAGATTACCTTCAGGCTTCCAGTGCCCATCGGTGCGGTCCTTCGCTTGACGTCCAAAGTTGTCAACACGTCGACGCCTCGAGCGGGGGAAGAAGCCAAAGTCCATATCATGGTAAGGGCGGAAGTAGAAGAAGTGGACTCAGGGGTGAGCCGGACGCGAGGTTGGCCGGACGCGAGATTGGATGCTAATCAGGGCTCTCAGGTCCGCCGTGAGACCAATACATTCTTCTTCACGATGGCTGTCGAGGACGGTAAACCTATCGGTCGGACTGTGGTGCCGACGACTTATTCCGAGTCGATGCATTATCTCGAAGGGAAGCGGAGACTGGAATTGGGAGACGAGATGCGGAGACTGTATTCCGGAGGGATATGAAAGGGTCAGATGGTCAAAACAGAACCAACTGGATCCCCTCACAAAGGTCATTCGTCGTACACACAGCCCGTCATGGTCACGCGCTCATACGTCGCTAGCGAACAAACCAAGACATCTGATCAAAAGACAACATCATATAGAGCACGAAACGCGTCTGGATCAGTGTTCCTGACCTGTTCGTGATGTTAAAGAGCCTCACAACATGCATGTATCAAGTGGTCAGACGACTGGATGTTGGCTGCTGCGGTGAACGCGTTCGGTCGAGCATTTCAATCGCTGATCGCCGAAGTGAAGCATAACACACTTCAACTGGCATTCCATACTGTGAAATGCTGTCATTTGCCCATCTCATCCCATCAGTACCTTGTTGAGATCAGTCGACGACGATCAAGACCATCGCATCAGTTGGATGGAAGCTTGAGATCAATCTTCGCGCATCAATAGAGGTTCATCTTCATCATCATACCACAAATCCCGTTTCATCCTTTGATACAAAATCCTGCATCATAGGCCTCCCTTTCGGCCAACGAGGACCTCCAAAGCTTTGTCATTGCGCTCTGCTCGAGACAGTGGACACTCGGACAGCGTACTGGAGACCATCTGGCGCTTAGTGTGCCCCGCGACTGCGTGGGTACTTTGGTCCGCAAGTTGATTAACCCCCAACTCTGAGCCGACTTCCTTCGTTTTCCCCTGCCTCGATCGCTCATGCTACCGCCATGGCTGCCATAACGTCCCCGACTTCAGCCTCACCGCGGCAGCTACTGTTAGAATGGGACGAAGGAGCCGTCCATTCGTACCTTGTGCACATAGGCTTACCTCAGTATGAGGAGTTGATCTTTGGTGAGTTGCAAGATCCACTCAATCGCAACAAGCCTTGTCTGTCCTCCTGCCTCTGAGCTTCGGCCACTGACCCACAACCTGTTCAGAACATGGAATCACAGGTGACGTTCTCGCAGCAATGGACCATGCCACGTTACAGGATATGGGCATCACGAGCATAGGGCATCGATTAAATCTTCTGAGAGCAGTATGGGAGTTGAAAAAGGAGCAAGGAATTGACCTCGGTGATGACGATTGGAGACCTCAAGGTGGGCTGCTTCTGTCAGACATACCTCTGGATAACTGCTGAGCTCCTCCTTCTGCAGACGTCGAATCACACACAAGGAAGCAGCTGGCCAACGTAGAGCGTCTCGTCGACCTCATTGCGGAACAGCGTGAGACCTTTGGTCATCTGGTGATCGTGTGCAGTGCTCACCATGATGATTAGAGGAGCGCCTTCTGTACCTTGAGCGGGACCATTCAAGGCTTCTGTCCACGCTCGAGGAGAGCGGCATCACCATACCCGTGTCGAGCTCTGCGGACGGAGACACGCTGCAAGGCCTCAGAGGACCCGACAAGTCCACGAGCTCTCTCAAGTGGAGGGAATATGCTGGATCGCATAGTGATGGCGATGAGGTCGAGCATGTGAGTGGAACGACCTACCGACGAGGATCAGGATCGGACACTCATGTACTATTCAGAGCCGACTCAATCGTCCTGGATCCCAAATTTTCCCTTCATCGCTTGCTTCATCGACAGCCTCTGCTCCCCCTCCACCACTCACAGCCGACTCGAATACATTCCAAGACACCTTCACGCCGACCACCAACTCGACCTTCCTAGCGGATTCTCCCTCCAATCTCCTACACAACGATCGCTCCGTCACGCCAGCGAAGAGTATCGCATCTCAACCGCTTCAACCGCCTCCTTTCCAACGTCAAGTTTCAGGCTCTTCAATTCTCGGAGCTTCGATCGCTTCAACATCCCCGTCAGGCCTCATCCCAACCTCTTCGAAGGGCTCACTAGGCCCCGCGTCCTCCAGCGGATCTATCACCACCGCCTCGACCAGCACAGCGGGTGGTGAACGAGTTTCTGCGCCTGACTCTACGGATAAGTCCAAAGCGAAAGATGCGGCAAGAAGTGCAGCAAAGTCGTTCCGAGTGACGCTGGATGATCCCTGCTGGCGTGTGCTCCCGGCAGCGTTGCGGAAATACCGCATCAACGATGATTGGAAGATGTACGCGCTGTTCATATGCTTCGGGAACACAGGTGTGTGCTCTAGAGTTAACCGAGAGCTGAATCCGAAACTCTTTCAAAGAACGCTGCCTCAGCTACGACGAAAAGCCACTGATGCTGTTCCAAAAGCTGAAGGAGGGTGGCCAAAAGCCTGTCTTCATGCTCCGGCACATGGTAAGTGTCTCAAGCTAGCTGGATCTCACCGCCCAATCCTCCAGCGCGACATCAAATCGCCAATCGCTGTTGCTCAACAGAAACAAGCCATAAAACTTGGCTTGCCTCCTAATTCGACAGAGGATGTGCTACCCAAGATTCGACCGGCTAGCGATACCACCTCGCCCACCAAAGCGACGTCCTTGCAGCCGTCTCGGCGACCGGAAGAGGGCCAAACGCCTAGCGGAGGAGCTTTCCCTGAATTGCCCAGTCCCGGTCTTCGGGAGACCGATGCGACTGGACCCAATGCTCCGCGTAGTGCCGGCGGAGCCACTGGCAAGAAGACGCTGATCGACAAGGATGGCAACCCGCAAAACGTGTCGTATGCGGTAGCTATATATCCGTGAGTGGTCCCATAATTTTCTCATCGGATCATGCCACTAAAGCCCCTTCAAGGTACATAGCGGATCGGCAGGACGAATTCGACGTCGCAGTGTGAGTAGCAAGCACACAGGTCGTTTCAGGCTGACAATACTTCAGCGGCGCTACCTATGTCATCCTCTCAAAAGCCAAGGGATGGTATATCGTTCAACGTGATCCCGCGGGAATGGGCAACATCACTCCAGATCAATCCAAGTCTGGTTGGGTCCCAGCGGGTCAGCTGTCCATCCTTCCGATGTTGTCTCGGCTGACAATTTCCAGGCTGTCTCCTCGAGCTACATTCTCCAATATCTCTCCTATCAGCGGCCCCACCTGATCCCGCGTACCCTGGTCTCGCACCGATCCCTCCACCGGCAATCATGTCGAGCTCGTATCCTGGAGTGGTCTTGATGGACTGGGAAGCAAAGGCGGATGACCAAGTCAATCTGAGAGAGGGAGACAGAGTGAGAGTGTATAAGAAGTATTGTCATTGGTAAGCTGGGCTCGTGTCTTGACGGTCCGAAGCTGACCTCTTGGCGCTTTCAGGTCGTACACGTGAGTCATGTTTTCGCCCGGATTGATACCATATGGATCGTAGCTGATGCAGGTTCTTAGGATCAAGCAAGACACCGGAGAGAGGGGCTGGGTCCCCGCATGGTTCATTGGCAAGCATTCTTCGTCCACAAACAGCGAATCCCAACCTGCATCCGCAGCGACACCGACTGGTCATGCTGGACCGGGTCAAACACCGAGTACCGCCGCCACCAATGGCGGTGGTATAGGCGATGGTGAGGATGGACGGAGCGATGAGGACATCAAGTAATTTTGTAGGAAGTTAGCGGGTCACCGGAACACAGACACCATGAAGCCAGCAACAAAGCTTGAGCATGCATTCGAGGCTGTCCTGGCTCAATGGGCATGCATCAGCTGCATCCAACCGCGATCGGTCATTGCCGAGTCGGGATGCTCGGCGCACCGAGTCGCGGATCGTTGGCGGGCGTATCTATCGAGACTTGACTTTCTCTCTCTCTTTCAGCTTGGAGCTGTCGCGGCTTGACTCTGAGCATGTCATCCCAGCCGCTCCTCCCCAGCAACCACCCGGAGCACATCGCTTCTGTGATTGCATCCAAGCGGCGGATCCTCTTCACTACTATCCTCACGACTGTGCTTCTGATAGCCGGTATCATCTTTGTTTCTGTCAAGGGCGAGGGCGTACCCAGCTCGAAAGATCCTCTCAAACTTGCAAACTACTATCTTAAGAGGTGACACATGGCTGCCCAAACCGATCATGCTTCACGGCTGACTCCGTGGTCAGCTCTCCTGTCATCGATGGACACATCGACTTGCCCATATTTGCCAGAGCGGGGTTCGGCAACAACATTGATAATATGGATCTCTATGGAGATTTGAAGAACCGCTACGGTCTGGTAAGTGATACTCATTCACAAAGTCCAAATGTAGACTGCTCACTTCCGATAAGATATCCCACCTCAACATCCCAAAGGCCAGAAAAGGTCACTTAGGAGGATTCTTCTGGTCTATGTGAGATTAATCGCATGCTCCATGATCTGGCCCGCTGATGTATACTACAGCTATATAGATTGCCCCAAAGACGCTGGGCCGGATTTCTTGACTCCTTACAATGGTCCCCGAGGTATGGACCCACTCTGTAACGGGAATTCTGAATTGATCCGAGCTGTTCAGATACGCTCGAACAGATTGATGTTGCTATGAACCTGATGGATAAATACTCTGATGTGTTCCAACTTTGCAAGACTGCAGATGAGGTTATGGAAGCCGTTGCCAGTGGCAAAATCGCATCCTTGATGGGGATGGAGGGGTAAGGATAGATCTTGCGCATGGGGGAGACTCGGCTGATACGCCCTTCGTAGAGCTCACTCGCTCGGCAACTCCCTCGGAGGTGAGCAATCGCACACCGCAGTCAGTCAACTGATCTTGAAAGCTCTGCGAATGTTCCACGCGCTCGGAGTTCGATACATGACCTTGACGCATGGCTGTAACAATGCTTTCGCAGACTCCGGAGGAATCTTCCAGCCGGTGACTCCACACTGGGGAGGTCTGTCGTGAGTCCTTCCGGCGCGGTCACAGTCCTTCTAAGACGAATGGCTGAAGTGCTTGTAAGGGATCTTGGAAAAGACTTGATCTTCGAGATGAATCGACTTGGAGTCTTCATTGATCTCAGCCATGTCTCAGATCAGACCGCTCTTGATGCTCTGTGAGCCAAGAGATTCTGGGCTATACTCACCCATATAGGTCCATCACTCGTGCTCCCGTCATTCTCTCCCATTCGTGCGCCCGAGCCTTCAATAACATTTCACGGAACGTTCCAGATGAGGTCCTCAGCAAGCTCGGCAGAGGCAAGCACAAGGTCGATGGTGTCGTCATGGTCAAGTAGGTCAAGAGGTGTCTCGCATCCCATCTGACTCTTTTGCTAGCTTCTTGCCCACCTTTGCCGCTCCAGGAGGAGTGGGTGTGGACGTCAAGACTATTGCAGATCACGTGGAATACATCGCTAGCAAGACCAGTAGAGATCAGTGAGTCATTCTCGCCAGTCAACATGGTGCCACATTTTGAGCGTGCTCTTAGCGTGGGTATCGGAAGTGACTTTGATGGCATCGACGCAGTACCCCGTGGTCTCGAGGATGTTTCGATGTATCCTAACTTGGTAAGCTGGACAGGTTAATGAATATGCGGATCCTGACACTGCTCGTCCCAGTTCGCCGAGCTTATCACTCGAGGATGGAAGCAGGATGAGCTTGCGGGTCTGGCAGGAGGCAATCTGCTGCGTGCTATGCGCGGAATGGAAGCCACGAGCCTCAAGATGAAGCAGGAGGGAAAGAAGCCCAGTATGGCAGTTTATGCGAAGCGAACAGACTTATAACTCTGGACTGTTGGGAAACTCTGCAGGGATAGGGGCATGCAAAATTAGTCGGCTCCAGAGAAGCATGCGACTCCTTTCCTGTCCAAGTAGCTGTAGATGTGGGTCACATCTCATATGATGGCCTGACAGGCAGCCTCGACGTCCACTACCTCTTTTGGCGCATTTGCGGACAAGATATAAGGCCCATCTGATGTCAAGGCGATGTCGTCCTGGATGATCTCAGCCGGAGAGCATGAAGAGCGTGAGCGGGTCGGCTCACCTCTATACGGACACCTAGACCATGAAAATGCTTCGGAAAATCTGAGTCCGCTGGAACGTAGACGCCAGGCTCGATGGTGATGACATTCCCATCCACCAGGCTATGTGGCGTCTTGAGCGCCGTGGGAGAGAAAGTGAAGCATGGCACTTACGGCGCTTGGCGATCTGCTGTTGGACAGTCATGCAGATCCGATCCAAGATGATGCGCAATGAAGTGAGGATACTGCACACATTCAGTGAGATTTTTGATGGAGGTGTTGCTGAGCTTACGAGACGATGTTGGACATCTCCACGACCAATCTTGAAACCGATCTGCTTGAGTTCCGTTTCCAGAGACGCGCATGCTACAGTTCATCAGCGAGAGAAGCAGTGATAGAGTCTCTCTTACTGACCCATCCGCTGCAACTCATTCAAAGATAGTTTCGCCTCCAGTTCGCAAGCCTTGATCAAACCTTTCTGAGCGGTCAAGACCGCTTCATAGAGATCCCTCTGAGGCGAGGTGAACCGGCCTGAAGCCGGGAATGTCCGTGTAACGTCCGAGGCGTACATTGCATACTCGCATCCCGCGTCCATGAGGACGAGCTGAGCAGCACCGTTGGTTCCAAGACTCGCAGGGGGCAAGTCTCCCGACTCACATCGTTGTCGTCGACCAGGCAGTCGTTCTTCGTGTAGTGAATAACGAGCGAATTGGGACTGCAAGTTGTTAGAAGCAGCCTCTGATGACTCTCGACTTACCCTGAAGCCACCACTGGGACGTAGGCTGGCCGTTCTGATCCTCCAAGTGCACATTCAAACTCAAATATAGCAGCCAAGGTCGCTTCGCTGATTCCAGGTTTAGCAGCCTTCATGACCTCGACGAAAGCTGCTGAACTTAGATCCGCAGCACGCTTCATCAGAGCTCTTTCTGCTAAACTCTTGATCATCCTCAACCTGTGCACCTCTTTCTCAAGCGGCTTGGCGGTTTCTGCCGTCAAAGCAGAAGCTATGAGGACATGAGGGGCTTCGTGTGTGGATGATCCACCCCGATTAGACGAGAGAAAACGGAGTAAGGACGGAGTACGCTTTGACGTTGATGGGTGTGGTGGTTTGGATGCAGATGAAGGTGAAGGTAGAGGTGGAAGAGAGGCGTAGACGTTGGATTTTGACAGGTAGGTCGGAAGGAAAGTCCCGAGAGACCGTATGGATTTGGCCTTGAAAGCAGACGTCAGACATGGGCTTCGACTTCGCCACGCGCACCTCATCCGCTCCAAAGATCTTCACTGCATCATCAAGTCCAGTGACATTGCCCTCCCATTGCTCCGTCTCGTGATCTTTGGGTGCGACGAACAAGGTGTATTCATACCCGCGAGAAGAGGACGGATCGGATTCTGAAGGAATGTCAGCGCTCTGTTCCGCCTTGCCAACATAGACTGACCCAAGACCAGAGTTGCGTCAGGCTCGTGGAATCCGCTCAGATAGTAAAAGTCGGTAGCTGAGAGAGTCAGCAGCTTTCACAGGGCGATTCGTACCTTGGCGGAATTTATAGCTTCAAGGGAGTCACTCCATCAGCTATGCTCAAACTTGTTCCCTAAGGCCAATTGACCTACAAGATCGCTGCGCATGTTCAATATAGCGATCAATAGAGACGGCTCGTACTTACACTGCGACATCAACCTGACAGTCCCAGCCATGCAGATCACTACGCTACCCTCGGGTAAAGCCTTCATCAATTTTCTGCGCCTGTCTTCATATTCCTGAGCAGTGATTCCAGGCGTCAACTCCCCCTCTCTGATGAGATGAGGATGGGTCGAGCGCAGAGGTTGGCCATGCTTAGGAGGTTTGGAAGCAGAAAGAGAGGTCGAATAGCTCTGGTATGCTGCTCTTGACGGACGACACGGCAGCTCTGGTTGTTCTGGTCAATATCGGCGGAGAGTCCAGCTTGGGAACTCACCAGAGCGTTGTCTTAGGCCAGAGCTCGAGCTACCTTGACAAGCCCTCTGCATTTGCCTTAACAGGCTTCTCTGCTGAATCCCTGAGCTCATGGCTGTGGTCGCTGTTCCGCCAAATGCTGCCCTCTATCGTTCCGATATAGCCTTGAACCTGCAGTTTCGCTTTCGGGAGATGCCGAAACACGAGCGATAATATGACGACGATGTCAACGTCAATGTCGACTACAGAACCATGTAGTAGGCTGTGGAGATGGAGATCTACGCGCCCAAACTACACCTCATCGAAGTTCAGAGCGAGAAACGAAGAATAAATGTCGCTGGCTCATCGCAACCTGGCCGGTATCGCTTGGATCTAGCATGGGAAGATGATGATCCAGGCAGCCTCATCGCGGTTCACCTGCGTGACGATGACGGGGGATTCGCAGTAGTAACGACCCCTGTCCGACCAAGTCGTCATTGTAATGTCCATGGATGGGACTCAGTAGCCGTCAAGATCGTAGGGCAGAGTCCGACAGGCAAGCTGAGGTTTTGCGCTTACCGCTTGTTGGCAAGTCGATAAGACGTGATCTGAGGGATTTGGCTGACTGGCAAGCCCAGACTCAAGGTCGAGATACTCTGCTTGTGCTATCTCAGCCTCCCTCGTCCGATTTTATGGCTCTTCTACCTGATTCTACTGCCCTAGGCAGTGTCGCAATGGCCGGGACACATGAGACCTTGGCATTTTTTGGAGGTATGACTCACCGCCGTAGTCTCGTTGATTCGATCTGATGCGTGGCAGGGCCCATTTCGCAATGCCAACAGCCTGCTACTGGTCTTTACGAACAGCTTGAGTCTGGTATACGGTTCATCGACGTACGACTAAAAGTTGTCGGGACCCAGCTCATCGGTTTGTGATTCGCCTAAGGCCATTCATCTGACAATCAGCGTATCATGGTCCCCAATCTCAGCGCCTCGATTTCCCAACTATCCTCTCAACGATTCATCGCTTCTTACAGTCTCACTCTGGAGAGACGTTGATCATGTCTATCAAAGAAGAAATCCCACCGTTTCATCCTAGATTTTCAGCATTGGTCGAGCGTGACTTGACTGTCTTCAACGATGACTGGTTCTTGGAGAATCGCGTGCCTACTCTGGGCGAAATCAGAGGCAAAGCAATCCTGCTCTCTCGCTTTGAGCGCGTGGAAGAGAAAGAATGGCTCAACGGCCTAGGGATGCATCCTGCATCCTGGCCCGATTCGAAGCCTTACGTCTTCGAATGGGATTGTTCTGGCACACGGGTGCGAGTCCAGGACTGGTAAATCATCAGTCAGGTCAGCATCGGCTAATCTGTTCCAGGTATCGGGTAGGATCATTCATCCAGATACCTGAAAAGTATCGCATTGTGAGAGACCAGGGAGAGGATGATGACTTTAGCTCATTTATCTTGCTTCAGGTCGTAGAGTCACTGGATCCGAGCCTCGATGCGCAGCTTAAGGATCCTTCATTCACCCTCTCGTTCGCGTCTGCTTCGAATTTTCCTCTGGCTCTGCCCACGACTATGGCGAAGGGATTCGGATGGCCAAGCTGGGGCGTTGGAGTGCGCGGCATAAACTCACGCCTCTCTTATTGGCTCCTGGAGCGTATATGTGCGGGTCAAAAGGTCAAAGCTTGCATTCTGTTTGACTTTTATCGTCAGACGGGAGAGTCAGACGCTGACCTCGCATCTATTATGACTGCCATGAATTTCATTTAGCCAATAAGTCGCTGATTCTGTGCCGGACGAAGAGGTCATTCCAACAGGCCCTGTTTCTCCTCGTCCTGAAGTTGGACCTTGCCCTCTGTCGAGAACCAAGACAGGATCCACCTCGTCGCTCTATTCCATATGCTTGAAAAGAAGCTGACAATCGCCTTTGATTTTGACTCCTTTCGCCAACGCGAGATGCCCTGAATGACCAGCTCGAAGTCGCCTTTCTGCTCTCCAAATCCACTCCGGCACATCAGACTCAGCTCGTATATTTTCTCGCTGTGGAATGGCTGATACCTCGGATCAGACCTCGGCAGTTCTCTGCCTCGATAGGTCGCGATGAAGTCATTTATGTTGAGATGGATTGACCGTGTTTTTGAGCCCAAGGAAGACGGTTCACCGACGGTGAAACTGGCCTCGTAGGAGAGAGATGCAGGCTCAGGGCTGGGAGGGACGTTCGGAGGCTGCGTCCGATTGCTAAGACTGGTTTTGAGGACGAGGGTATACGTATGAACAGAACTTTTCCTAAGGGATGATCCAGAATCGACGATGTCTATTGTTATACCCTTGAAAAGGTGCCGGGGTAGATGTAGCGGCTCAGGTCCAAAGACGAATCGCTGAGAGGCGAATCCAGCTCCGCCGAGAGTGTCGATGTCTGTTTCGATCATCAGCATAGTCACACGGTTTTGGCCATTTAGACTAACCCAGGTGGCCCCAGAATCTGGCCCTAGACGAGCTAGCACGTCCCAGATTTTCCACAGTGTCGAGGTGCGATGTCGATGCTCCACCTCGCACACGATCGTCCACAGCCTTCCACTGATCCAAGCGCCAAGGGGGGAAGATGTGATCAGTCATGGTTGTCCAGTGCAGGATATACAGAACCGATTGGCGAGGATCTTGTTGCGCCTTCATGACGTAAGTGTGCTGTCAACTCGATGTGGCGGTTTCAAACTGTTCGTGGCATCACGCATCCATCATCCCGCTGTTCACGCATACATTCTCCACCACGATACTAAGATATAGATGGGGCCAAATACCAGGAGCGAGCATATCAGATGAGGCCGAAACTCTGGAACAACCTTGGTGCAAGAAGCGCGCATAGCTCCGAAAGCTCGCCACTGATACACGTCATCTACTTGTGCTGTTGCTCTTTTCGCTGTTGATAGACCCCAAGCTTCAGGAACTGCAGTGGTGTCGGTACCACCGGGAGACTCGCTCTTGTCGCTTCGAGCAATGACTTAGGCGACTGGACTGCACTCCAGTTGTGTAGGAGTCAAAAGTATTGGGGTGCAGACCAACATTTGAGCTTCGGGATGTGGAACTCGACGCCAATGGTGTTCTCTCATTTGTTCGTGCGTAACCTGATCTCCAAATCTGTCTCGCTTGTCTGATACCGACGCTGAGGAACGGACTCGTTCAATTGGCTCGTCTCAGGGCAATCTTTTCGGGCGACAAGCCCTTCGGCATGAATAAAACCTTGACGAGATCCGATGCCCGCGTCATAAATTTGCTTCCGTTACACCGACTCGAAGGGCTGCCGACACGCCCCGAATGGCTGCTCATCTGATCGTCTTGTCTTATCTTCGAGGTGGGACAGAGTGCAGTGATCATGTATTGTGGAGCCCAAGTCACCCTGTCCGTGATGAGCGATGATTACGTCGCTGTCATACTAGGTGCTCTATCCTCATTGGACCCGTACCGGAAGGATTTGAGGATGGAGACGGATGACACGTCGACATTGATGATTGGTCCGCCAGATATCCTGTTTGCAGCCATGAGAGACCTCTTCACTCTGGTGGTCAAGTCGGGTCATCACGTTACTATGCACGCGTTGGTCTCTCGCGGATGCCCCGGAGGCCCTCAGCTGCCTGAGACTCGGTCCGAACCAGGCAGCACTCCACCCCCACTCCCTTTGTCGACACGAAAACAGAACGCTCTGGTAGCCGTTGAGACGGCCTCAGAGACTGGTCAGATCATTTCAGCTCAATTTGCCTATTATCCTTTGGGTCAACCACCGGGATACATGACAGAGATCAACGCTTGCATCGACTTCATCGACGAATCTGGAACTCTGGATCGGAAGAAGAATTTCTGTACAAAACTTCGTGGTGATGGGGCCAAGGTTTTCAAAACCCTCGAAGGAGTTTTCGTGTCATTCGCACCGGATGATGCGCACATCACTCTGGACCTAATGCTATCGGCGAACAGTCCAACAGCGAGGGACAAGTGAATGATGCGGCGGAGCTAGACGCGACAAGTCTGGAGGAGGAATGACGAAGCTTTAGAGAATAGACATTCTCAAGACCTGATCTACGCAAAAATACATGCAAGCCGGGAGCTTGCAAAGGCATAACTGGATCCATTTTGGACTCAAGGTGTACCAACGTCGGACCAGAGGTGACTCAGACTGTCGAGTCTGGAATGATATTCAGCTGTAGCACATGATCAGCTCGAACTCGGCGTGACAAGGCATGACCAACTAAGAAACTCGCGAGACCGGGTCGGCCGTCCAGCAGAAGGCAGGTCAGATCCCGCGTTGGACCAATGACCCGAGATACGTCTAAACAGCTCTCGGATAAGAGGAACCAGGGTCGGGTGATTCAGGCCTGAAAACAAGTCAACCAGTGGGAAAGCGATCACTCACAGATCACCTGCATGGGGACTTTCTCGAGGCAGACAAAGACTTTCTGTTCTACCTCCTCCATCCAGGCTGTTGCCCCATCATCCATGAGATCGAGAACACGGTTGTCCACAGAGTTGTAAAGGATAGTCTTGCCATTTTGTGGTGCGAACTTGACCAATCTGGCAGCCGCGTCTGGGTCCTCAGACCGCAGATCATCGAGGATTTCATCGGCGTAGCTTGAAAGACTACAGTGTGCCAAGCACTGCGGACGGATGAGTATATGACACCACCGCACGCGCTCACAATGACGAGCTCAAATTGTACCCATTGTAGGAGACCAGTGTCCTCGTGAATATGCGAGGTGGAATTAGGTTCGGCGAAGAGCGTCCTGACATCTGTGTCTTGATCCTCTAACGATTTGCTCGCCTCGCTAGCCCCGTCAGACGAAGGCGTACGCATGTGTGCTCACGTCATAATCTCCTCTTGCTGGAACAGCTCGTTTATTAGCCAGCCATCGAATGCGCCAGTCTTCCGATCCAGAGCTTGCTCAATCAACTCGAAGCGGCGAAGAGTCCAGTCCGTATCAGCGTCCACGATCTGGTCTGTGCCCTGATGCCTCCACTCTGCTACGCAGCCGAGCACTACAGGAGATCAGCATCCGATTGTAGGTGAAGTACAGCAATCGCACATGTATACAGCTCATTGATCAATCTATTCGGCCGTCCATGACGGAGATCTTCGAGTAGACCTGTCACAAGATAATCACCCATTTCGTTCGGCAACAGGGTTGATCTGGAGTGGGGATCAGCTACGAACATTTTTTGACAATCAAACAACAGACTGACAGGGTTTGGTTGATCTTCAACCTGAAGTCTGAAGGAATGATTGGATACAGTCGATCGGAGAATGCCAAAGTCTTATCCAGTATTGAGACAAGCTCAAAAGTGCGTTCATGTACCATCGTCTCCTGGGCTCCGAAGTCCTAACATGCTCTCAGCGCTGTGCAACGGTGGGGTTATTCTATTTACCAATGATTTGTCCAACCGTAAATCAAGGATCGTGGCCCATGCTTGCCCTGTCAGGCTTTTCGCAACGGCACTGCGACCTGTGATCCTGGCTGTCCATGCGAGATGACCCAATGCCGCGACTGGAGCAGGTCAGCGGTCGCTTAGACCCTGTACTCACCCCTCTCTAGGCTCGCATCCTCGTATTCCTCTTCCAGCATTTTTCGTGCCGATCGGTAACATTTGCCCATGAGGTCGCTCGCTTCGCTCTTGGACAAAGGCACGAAGCAAGATGGGATCTGGGCCAGTGTATGAGCCATGATAGCGAGGACCATTGCAGTCCAATCGGTCTCTCCTTCTTGAGTTTCACGCCGAGCTTGCAGATCACGCATGAGCTGGATCTGGTCGAAGGAGGGGCTCAGAGGGTATACGTAGTCGAAGAATAGCTCCATAACCCGAAGGGATCGCCAGCGCGGCATGATGGAGTCCAAGGGGCCTCGAGGCTGAACAGACAGGTCGATCATCCTTGGGTGAATCGAGGGTGTATGGTTCCCGTGACTTGTACGAGACAGGCCAAGTGATGCGAGAGTAAGCGGACTTAGCGGTGGATTAGACTGCTGTCGCTCGCTGGCGGCTCGAGGGGTTTCTTCCTTCCGGAAGAATTGATACGCTCTGCCTCCAGGGGCGGTAGCCTCCAATGTCATCAAGAGATGAGGCTCCCAATCTCGTTCCACGTCTATGGCCCTAAATTTGCCAAACGAGGCGCCCTGCCTCATAAGTGCGCTGGCTTGCATGGCATGCTGCTCTGCTAGTGTGCCTTGACCCAGATTACCAGGTACAATTGACGAGCGATAATAGCTCGTGGCAGTGACATAGGGCGCTGACACTTCTTGACGGGCAGGATTTGGTGGATAGCGTAGCGCAGATGACAGCTGGGCGGGTAGCGATCTTGAGACTGACATGGACTGAGAGATATCCGGAGACGCAGGCTCCTCAGCTTCGGACCCAGTCTGTAATTGTTTGACAACCCTGAGAGCGTCATCGCCTGCAAACGGATATCAACGCACTGGTTCGGCGGTCCACGCTTCTTTTGAGTGTAATTGAAAGTACCTGTCGGCACTCAGCACTAGGATTTCCGTCGGCACTTACATGGCACGCCGACAGCCCTGCAAGGTCCACATTTGCTTGGACTGGCCATGCCCAACGCCGCATTGCCAGGATCTGTCCGATCACATTTGACCCTTGAAAGGGAGTCAGAGGAGTCCGGATCAATGATAGGCCTACTTCCTCGCCCTACAAGCTGGATAGTAGTCAGTGACATCCAGGCCAGTCCTCTCTTCTTCTTGAGGCTCACCGTCGCAGGCCTCTACATTTCAATGTTGCCAGTCAACATCGAGGGGAATTCGGACGGATTGGAAGAGCGCTCACGCGTCTGTCTCCGTTTTTTCTCTTTTCTGGCTACTTTTGACGGACGACTGCCCTCTGCTTGGTCTTCGTCATGGAGAGTCCTCTCGTTCATATGGGTGACTTTTCCGCGGCGTCAGTTCAAGCAGATCCTTCTACATCTACCGGGGCTTTACCTTCCACCACGTCTTCCTGATCCTTGTTCCAGATCTCGATCTGATCAGCAGGTCCCATCTCATCTGTCATGGTCAGAGAATATGGCATTTGCCTCAATCATCAATCCGTTTGAGAGATCCAAAAGGGTGTGCTCGCTACTCTAAATGAAACTTGCTGAGCTGGCCCGTTTCGGTAAATTTCCGGATAAACTCATTCTCCGCAAACGCCGCCGCCGCCGCTGCCCTCGCGTTCGCCGCCGCCCGCTCGACTGCGCGTTTGCTGGCGATCACATCGTCTACGACAAGGACATAGCTCGTCAAGGTGGCTCTGGAGGGCACAACAACGATGCATGGATGGACAGCAGCTTGTACTTACTCACGAAGAATGACAGCGCGCACTTTGACCGACCGACCATCAAGATCAAACAGGCCAAAACAATAGCCAAAAGAGAAAAAACCACTTCCTTATGCAAGTCAATCAGCTGACGAGCCCCGCCAAAGATCCTAGACATTCTTTCAAACCTGCTCTCAAGGGAATGCAAGGCCTGAGAAGATGATGATATCCTATCTTCCGGCGAGCGTGCTGAACAGCGAACGCATCAAGTCTCAAACAGCCTTACACGTCACGGCCTCCTCTCGATTTTGCCTGTGCCATCACTTCAGGGGTCCAGGCGAGTAAGAGAGCAAGCGCAGTGTGCCATAACAGAGGGAAAAAGAGTTTGTGCGGTGAGCCAACTCTTTCTGCTCTTCCACCCCTCTCTCGCCTCTCTCAGCGGCAGTACACAGTCCTTCTTGTTTGACACCTTTGATCTGATGTCAAATGGAAGGAACACCCATCCTATCGCCATTCATCTCACTATATTTGCCTCAGCTATGGTGTGAGCTAAACCCCTTGCAACCTACAGACTTGATACACAGGGCGATCAGTAGGTCCTCGCGCTCGGACATATCAAGCGTCAGAGCCTAGTCATACGGAATAGGAGGGAAGAAGCAGAGACGAGCACGGCCTCGCCAAGCTTGGTAGGAACCAGGACGAGGACACCAAGCTGTGAGTCGTTTTTCCACCATTTCGTCATCGGATATCGATATCACCATACGATACGGCCAGACACGTAAAGCTGTAGAGGATGTGCCTGGCTTTCAGTCGACCGACCTACCTTCCGACAGGATGAAAGGTCTTTGCCTCGGATTCATTTAAGAGAGTTGTTCGCTCATGAATCTCAGGCAAAGATATCCAAGCACCTTCGAATAGGTGGGTGTATGACGACCATCACGTTTTGGATCAAAACCGCTGATATCGAACAGATGGCTACCTATAATCTTGTGTGACTTTCCCTTGACTCTCTAGTCCTTTAGAACGAGAATCCAGTAGAGGGGTGTCCAAGGCTGCCTTTTAATCGCTTGACCGCATAAAGGAGTTGGGACCGGTGAGCAGAGAGCCAGTCAGATGCGAATGTCAGACTGACTGGTCGGAAGGCATACCTATTTCGAACAAGACCGCCGCTGAGTAGTGGACTGAACTTAGCCCTGAGCTTGCGTCGACCCGAACACTTCGACGTTTCCAACGAGTCGCATCAGTCATGTCCACAGCTTTTCAGCAACAGCCTCCGCCACCTCCCCTCGCGGGCGGTCGAGGTATCAAAGGATTCTTTTCCCGTACCCGTTCATTCACACCGGAGCCAAGCATCGAACACACGGTCCGATCACGTCTGAGATCAATACTCAATGACACGCATATCCCAGGTTCAAGAAGATCTTCAAGACCCTCTACATCTTCAAATCTTCGGGATGCTCCTCCACCGGTCCCGTCAAAATCTCGAGCCAGCCGTCCCTCGTCACCCGGGACGAGAAGGACCCAACGTGTCGCAGTGTCTGCACTTCCAATCATTCAGCGTGGAACGGATGGAAAATGGCAAGCGCCATCCCTGTCCAAGGGGTCGATGTCGACCTCTGCACTCGCTGAACTCGCCTTGGATGGCGAGGATTCAGCCGTGGATATCAGGGATCGACGGACTAAACTGACCATGTCGGTATTTGCGGATACCAAGGCCTTTCCAGTCTTCGATGCTTCATCCTCTACGAAGCCGACACCGGTTCAACACAACTCGTGCTCGCCGTCTCGACCTATCAGCCCGCTGACACTGGAGAATCCCAGTAGGAGAGAACCGCATCGCAAAGCTAGGCAATCCTCGACAGACTCGATGCCATCACGACCCAATTATCCCACCGCGTCTTCGCCTCCTGGATCATCGATAATGGAGACAAACCTCTCGCAAGACCATTTCCTGATTCGTTTATCAATATCCTTCTTGATCAGAACACTTCCAGGTATTCTTCGCGGTCCGGGGTTCGTTCGGAATTCTAAGACGACAGAGATGAAAGTCGCAGCTGATGAGAAGCTGGCGTTGTTGTCGAGAATGGAAAAGGTGTGGGGTACGGAATGGAGTCAAATCGCGAAGCTACTCCAGTACGGCAACATGGATGCTTCGGGGGATCGTCCAGCCCACCGATCATTTGACAAACTGGAAGCCAAACTTCGAAATGTCAGTGTGACGAATCGCACCAAAGAAAGGGAGGCAAAACAATTCGCCGAGGCCCTGTCCGATGGCATCCTTCTCTGTCTGTGGGTCCTGAATTTCAGCACAAGTCCCAAAGCTGATTTCTGGCAGGCTGCTCAATCACCTGTTCCCCTCACAACCGCCTCGTATCTCACGCGTCAACATGTCCGAAGACGCCGTAGTCCGAGCAACCAATCTGACGCGTTTCACTCTTGCCTGTCATTCTGTTGGTCTACGGGAAGCCGATGTCTTTCGCATCAGTGACCTACAAGAAGGATCCGAAACGAGTCTCTCAAAGGTCGCCAAGACCATCGTAGCTCTGGCTAGACTGGCCGGTCGGCCCAGCGCTGGCCTTGCCAGCTCTCGACCATCATCACCAACATCGCCAATGGGTCCGCCAACTGTACCTTATCGTTCTGCTAAATCAACAAGCGCATCACCATCCCGCCGGGGTTCCGCTAGCACATCACCGACTCTCGCAGAACCAACCCCTCGATCTAGCTTGGACGATCGGCCTCCGCGCTCGCCTTCTTCGGGTATGAGCGGTGCCGTCCAGGTCCCAAACGATATGCAAAGCCGATTACAAACGATGCATAGCGCCAAGAGCGTCGACTCTGAAATGGAACCAAGTCCGAAGACACCGATTGCTGCCGTCTTTGACGAAGTTCCTCCTCTGAACAAGAGATCGTACCCTTCTCCACCTAGGGGGAAGCCAGGGATTCCTAGATCACAAACGCAACCGATCCAATCAACTACACAGTCCATATTGACCAGCCCTTCTCGAGCGGACTCTCGGAATCCAACGCCGCCTCGACGACCTTCTGTTGTAGGACCCAGACCAGCGCTCAGACCTCGTATGTCAAGCGGATCTCGAGCTCAAGCATCTTTGGGTCACGGGTTACCCAGCATCACTTCCAATGTTCAGCTTTCAGACACCCCCGATTCACCAAGTGAACCTCGGAACGGATTCCATCTACAGGAGCGCACTCCCAGTCTCGTATCCTCTCGATCTGCAGTTACTTCCGGATACACTGTCTCGAGCGGAATCCGCTCAATGGATTCATTCCCCTCAGGCGAATATACTCTTTCCGCTGCGATCGTGGAGGCCGACGTGAATTACACTCGAGATTCCGGACCCATCAATCCTCACGTCCTCCGTGCCGATGCCTGGCAGTCTGCTTCCCAGGACGAGCTCTTTACAACCCAGGTTGATCCTCGAGGACACGCTCTCAGTCGATCTTTGGCTGCCTTGGAAGGGCAGGCGATGTCATCCCCTAACATTAAATTTGCGGACGATCCCGTTACTCCGAGGAAGCCTCGACCAGGATCTCGATTAGGTAGGATCGATGTCTCAAGAGTCATGGAGGAAGAAGACGAGTCAAAAACTCCACTCATGATACATGGTCCAAAGCCATTACTCCGCCGTGTCAGCACGAACGGCAAGACGTACGTCCCGAAGCGGTCTCTCTCGCCTCGGGAGGACGGCCTCACGCCGCATCTCGCACGAAGCGATACTGCTCCCGTAGCATATCCTAGGCCGAATCACGCCAGCCAATCTATTCTCATGTCTCGCCGTCAATCCGAAACGGCGGTACCAAAAGTCGAAGATAGTCCGACCAGTCCGACGAATATGAAAGTCAGTAGTATGGTGAACCTCGCCGGATCTTCATCGTCATTTTTGGAGCGACGACAGTGTGCTTCGTCTGCTCAGAGGGTATCCCAGGTGCTTGAGATAGCGCACCACGGAAGATCTTCAGTCAAATACGTGAGTTCTCAATCTTGATATGCATGACATGAGTACTGACACGTCCGTAGCAACTTGGCAACTGCATTGGCCGGGGTCAATTCGGTTCCGTCTATCGATCGTTAAACCTCACCACGGGCCAAATGGCGGCTATTAAGCGGATCAATCTCAGTGGCCTGCAAGAGTCGGAGGTAGAAGGTGTGATGCATGAGGTTGAGCTCCTCAAACGTCTTGATCATCCTTGTATCGTCAAATACGAAGGCATGTTGAGGGATGAAGAGTATCTCAATATCATCCTGGAGTGAGTCTCGGCTCACAGAGAATGTTACTGAACAGTGGTCAGATATGTTGAAAATGGAAGTCTTGGCCAAACCCTCAAGGCTTTTGGCAATTTCAACGAGGAGCTCGTCTCATCATACGTTGCCAAGATATTGGAAGGACTGGCGTATCTCCATTCACAAGGGGTCAGTGTGGCTGAGTTTTTGTCCCGAAAAGTGACTGATCCTTGCGTACAGGTGGTGCATTGTGATCTCAAAGCTGCCAACATCCTCTCTACTAAGAATGGCAACGTCAAGCTGTCCGACTTTGGAGTGTCTCTGGTAACTCGTGCCGTTGCCAACATCAAACACGAGGCTTTCTCCATGCGTCACAAGGAGAAGGACATCTCGTCTGGTAAACAGGGAACAGATGTCGCTGGGACGCCCAATTGGAGTGAGTCTGAGCCTTCTGATTCGAAAATGTCTTGAATGACACCCGCTTAGTGGCACCGGAAGTCATATCTCTCAATGGAGCTTCTCCACCGTCTGATATTTGGTCGCTAGGATGTACGATCATCGAGCTGCTCACCGGCCGGCCCCCTTACTCCGATATTCCCAACAGCATGACAGGTGAGCCTTTTTTCCGGACTCCTCCTCGACGTGCATGAGCTCACTCACAGTCTTCAGTCTTGTTCCGCATCGTCGAGGATGACTTTCCACCACTTCCCTCTGATATCTCGGACAATTTGAGAGACTTCCTGCAGCTATGCTTTATCAAGGATCCATCAGCTCGACCATCAGCTACGCAGCTTTTCCTTCATCCTTGGGTGATGCGACCCGATCTAGTTGTGAGCCTCACTCGCCTGATTCGAGGCACTTCTGACGACATCTAGGATTCCCGCCCCATGGACTCTGTCCCGTTCCTCCGCAGACTGAGCATGGATTCCCGCCGTCCAGATTCCAGCGTCATCTTCCCCAGGTATGGCGAAGGTACCAGACCCAACAGCATGGCCTTAACCGCATCTCGACCCGCGAGCATTGCGGTTGCCTCTGAGATGTCGGAAGAGGATCTACGCGCGGTCTTTCGACAAAATCTACACTCACCCAATTTACAATTCGCTTCTCGGGTTCCGACGCCCGAGTCGACCCCTAGAAAGAATCACAAGCTAATCAAAACCACGTTCAGCAACGGTGAGCGTGACGTTGCCTCTGTGTCACAACACTGAACGTCAACCCCAGCGATTCTTTGCCGAGTCTGCCATGCCAACGTCAAGAAGTCTGGCCTCTTGTGCCAAACATGCGGCATGATCTGCCACACTACATGCGCCACCAAAGCCGGCATGACATGCGACGTCAAGTTGCAACTCGTGCTTCTGGCCCGACAAGAAGAGATGCTCAGCATGGCCGGCCTTGAAACCACAACTTCTTTCCATTCACCGCAGTCAACCCAAACACGAGGTCAGAGGGGTGCATCGAGTCCGGCACCGATGTCTCCCGCCGAAGACGCCGACCACGACAACGAGACTATCGGGGCAGGCAAACTGTTCGCAGGTCTTCGGGCGCGTCGCGAATCGGCAAAGGGTCCTTCTCGCATTCGCCGTCTGTCGAGACGTTCGTCCAAAGCCGTGCCTGACGACCTCACTGCTGCCGAGTGCTTTTCAGCCGAGCCGAGCGAGCACCGGAGAGACAATGCTACTCGGTTCCAAACTGAGATGCGGCACTTGCACCACCATGAAGGGGTCGCTTCCTCAGCAGCCACGAAATCGCAAAACAACCTTCAGATCGACGTCCTTCCCGCCTCCTCTCGGGAATTGGAACCGAGTGGCAAAAGTGACTGTTCGATTATGTAGCATACCACGTCTACCATACCCTACGCCTCTGACACCAAACAATCTGTATCCATAGCTTGTCTCCTTGCCATATCATTTTCCTTGGTTGATTTCCGGCTTCTCAAAACACGCTTCTACAAACTGATTAGTTTGCGCATCATCGTACATGATACATGCCATGCACGTTTGTAGCCTTAGCATCAGACGTGGTTCTGTGCTTTGTGCTGCATCCCTTGGAAGACTACGTGAAGTCTGGCTGATGGTTCGGCGGTCTGCCAAGACTTGGCCAACTGAAAAGCTAGCTATATTTAAAGCTCAGTTGCATCACTGATCTGGCCTTGTCTCTCAAGTTTATGATGATTGACCATGACGTACTGACGAAGGGCCAATGAACGTGTCATATCATTCTCGATCGGTGGCTGAATGATATGCCCGCAGTTGACAGACTCATGTCAATTTTGTAAACAAACGATGAATTTTGGCCGAAAAAGTCTCGACGCCAGGTCTTGCGGGATGAACCATGACACGATACGTCTCGCGCCTACTTGATTCATCCGTCGAGAAAGAAAGACCAAACGTCGCGCGCCGCCGTGACTCTTCCATCGACCTTTGATCTTACGATGCGGGTTCCATCCCACGGGGATATCGGAAAACTAAATTAAATCACAAACAGCTTCAAAAGCTGGATGGATGGGCGCCAAGCGCCACCATTCCTATCGGAAGAAACGACCAGTGATCAATGGGAGCTCCATAGAGCACCTACGTGCCTTTACGATCCACCGGAAAAGTCTCAATTGGGTCCCGCTCCAGAAGCCGGCAGAGTTTAGTTCAGCTGTCAAGCCTCTCAGCCTTCTTGACTCGCGCCTCTGAATCCCTCCGAGGCTGGATGGAGGGGAGAGTCCTTGGGTCTTGCGCTCAGAAACACGTGTTGACGCTTCGATCGACGACGGTTGATGATCGAAACATGTTTTGCGCTGGAGGCCTCCGATCGTCTCATACCTCCCGAGGGAGGTCCCCCCGGAATGATTATATATACAGGTCGTTGTCTGGCTCAATCCCATTTCTTCATCCACTAAACAAACAATCTTCCCAAAAATAAAATCATCAGGTCCTCGGACACCTCACACTCTTTCAACCAACCAACCAACAACCCCACTCAATTGAATCAAAATGCGTGCTTCCATCGCTGCTGCTGTTCTCACCGCCATGGTGGCCACTGCTGCCCCCCTCACCAAGAAGGCCATCTCGGACACGTGAGTGAGGGGAGGGGAATGTTGGTCTGAATGTGGCACTGATACCAGTCTCCAGCGACATTCTCCAATACGCCTTGACCCTCGAGAACCTTGAGAATGCCTTCTACTCTATGGGTCTCGCCAAGTTTGCCCAATCCGACTTTGAGAACGCCGGATACCCTGACTGGGTGTGTCTGCTTGTCAAGTAGTATGATCAACGCTAACCCTTAGCAGGTCCGAAACCGAATTGTCCAGATCGGAGGCCACGAAGCCCAGCACGTCGCTCTCCTCTCTGGAGCCCTCGGAAGTGCCGCCACCCAGCCATGCACTTACAACTTTGACGCTGCCATGGCCGACGTCAACGCCTTCATCGGTTACGCCACTCTGATCGAGAACGTCGGAGTCTCCGCCTACCTCGGAGCCGCCTCCTCCATCACTGAGCCCGCCTACGTTACTGTTGCCGGATCTATCCTCACCACCGAGGCTCGTCACCAAGGATGGCTCAGTTCATCCGTCAGCAAGAACCAGCCTTGGTCTGGTCCCGAGGACACCCCTCTTGACTTTGACGAAGTCTACACCATCGCCGCTGAATTCATCAGCTCGTGCCCTTCGACCAACCCCACCCTCCCCGTCCAGGCCTTCCCCGCCTTGACCATTGGAACTGACGGAACCATCACCACTACCGCTTCGACTGCCAACACCTATGTTCAGCTCGTCTCGGTGAGTATCCACAATAAATTGGTGGCTGTCAGCTAACATGCCACACAGGGTCTCGACTCCAATGTCTTCCCTGTTGTGAACGGAAAGGTCCAGGGACTTCCTCAACCCCAAGGAATCTCCTACGCCGTCTTGACCACCTCGAGCACCAACTCTGGTGTCAGCGACTCGAACATCGTTGCCGGACCCATGATCCTCAACAACCCCTTCACCTCCAAGGTCCCCAACCCTGCCCCCAACTTCTAAGCGAGCCGTCTCCGCCACTGACCCTGTGGAAGGATCTTGGTCTCGATGTGAAAAATTAGCCAGGATATCTTTCGGGTCATTTCAGTGTCTCGTCATACTCTGTACTATCATAGGACATTTGCCTGTGCCCACGACTTGCATATAATGGTACACACGTGTTGTCATGAATGAACGAGCTTCATACTTCCAAGCTTGCCTCGTCGAAGCCCAGCTCGGATGTTGGGATCTTTGGTACACCGAAAATAGCTTTGACTCCATCCCACAGAGGTTCATCGCCTTGAGCTTTGAGTCGTTCCTCCAGCTCAGAGAGATTCAACCACGCCAAATCGCTCCAGGGGCCGGAAGAGGATAATTTTGGCTCCCCGCCAAGAATGTGCGAACGAAGATAGAACGTCTGAGGAAGCGTCAGCCGCACTGCTTTGATGGCTTCGATACTTACCCTTTGACCATCCTTCTGCGTGAGTCCCACAGGCTTCTTGGTCACAAGCCACGTGTCCATTGTCTGGCCATCGAGAATTCCACCCACGCCCGTGATCTGCTCAGCGGCCGTATGCAGGCTGTCATTCTCCTTCAATGTTCGAGTTGGGAATTCCCACTTCTTGCTCTCTTTCTCCTTGATCAGGCAGAATATCTCTTGATCTGGGTGCCTCTCTAGACTTCTCTCCCCTCGCTCAGCGTCAAGCTTGGCCCAATGATCTCTTTCCAGAATCTCCAATGGTCTCTCTGGCGGAATATCACCGACAGCAGGGGGTGTCCCTGCTATGGCCGCGCCGAATGCTTCCTTCTCGCGCTCGTACTCTGCTTTTTGAAACCGACGATGAGCCAACGAACCTTTTGAGAAGTAGACGTTCTCAGGAACTGGATTGGAGATGGCTCGACGTAGTGCAGACGAGTGGGCATGATAGGTTAACTCCAAAGTCGATGGGGTCCTTCGGATGAGGGGATGACGAGATAATATCAGAGATGCACGTAGAGGCGGAGGGATGGAGGACGATGAGGAGGATGAGGAGGAGGCGGTAGCTTGGTTTGCATCGACGGAGGTTGAAGATGGGGTCGCAAAGTTTCTCTTCCACGCTGCGAGAGCATCAGTGATCCTGCGACAATTCAGTCACATTGATAAACTGACCATAGACTCCATTTCTGGGTGCGGAGAGGGCGTTTGCTGGTCTTGGAGGCATTGTCTCGAAGATGTGAGGCCTATAATAGCAGAGCTACTGATGTACGAAGGTGGGGTTCTGTACAATTTCGCAGACGATCAATCGACGAGGATTTCCGAAAAATTTGCTTCCGCGTTTCAGATCGAAGGATTATTTTTTGTAGGTCCAGCCCAGCAACGAGCATTCATTCGACAACGACGAGCGACTTACTCGCGATCGTGTGAGCGAGGACAGAAGCTGGAGCTACGAGAATCACCATCAGAGTGCCTTCCTACTCTTGAAAGCAACTCAGCTTTCAGCAGACTCCTCGGTTTTCTGGTACCATACGTTCCCGCAGAGCCATCTGCCTTCTGAAAGAGGCTAATCGACGGGCTCGAGTTGAGAGCACCTTGGCCCGAAGCTTGGGAAAGGTCTCAGAGTTCCTCACCGAGACAATGCAGACCTCAATAGCCGGTCCGTCTAGACCGTGTCTTCCGATCGAGGGCGACAGGTCAACGAAGATCAATGTCAGCCTACCTCAAGACTTAGTGCCTTTCATGAGGCGGTTGACCGATCTGCTAGACGTTGCGACGACGCATGCGAATGCTTTGCCGCCAAAGTCGGATCTTTCATTTCATCGGACACTTCATCGGAAATTCGCAAAAGATCAGGACGAAGCCAGTAGTCGCATACTCAAGCTGGCTGATAGTCTATTGGCGAAAGTACAAACAGACATTAGTAGTAAAGGCAAAGCGAGGAGAAAAATAGAGGATGAGGAGGACGTGGTCGATGGCTACAGACGCGGCGTCATGGACGTTGTCAATGGCCTGTTGGAGGATGCTGTAAGTTGGCCAATCTATGTGCAGAGTATCAGCTGATCGAACATAGGCCTCCAGATTGGACGAGGTCTCTGGACAGAAAAAAAGTCCAGCGATTCAAGTCTCATCCTCAGCCAGCCCAAGTCATGCTCGTATTCCGCCACTGGTCGCTTTTTGGACTTTCAAGGCCGTCAAAGCTCACGTATCAAAACCTCAACTTCAGTTCCCGGACAGGCAGAAGTACGATTCCTATCGCCACAATCCTCCATGTCCGTTCCGCCCCCACCTACTGACAAAACCGCACGCGTTGGTCCCCTTGGAATTCGAAGGTAGCTCCAGAGCCGATGACACAGATAACGAGAAGGGACATCATTTGGTACGGCAACACCCTTACCGATATGAGACAGAACATATCGGTTACCCTACGGCCATGTTCATGTCTGCGCCTCCGATTCCCCCTCGACCTATCGATGAGGACGATGCCATCTTGGTGGAGACGCCCGAGGCATACCGCGCCATGGTAGCCGAACTAGTCAAGGCAAAGGAGATCGCTGTGGACACGGAACACCATGATGTCCGAAGCTACTTTGGTTTCACCTGCTTGATGCAAATCAGCACTAGGGAAAAAGATTGGATAGTAGATGTCATCAAGCTCAGGGGTTTGATAAGCGAAGACAAGTTTGGCGGAGTGATGGTGGATCCTAGCGTGGTCAAGGTGAGCATGCACCCGGAGGGCGCACTGACCTTGCCCAGGTACTGCAAGGTGCAGATCAGGATATTGTCTGGCTGCAGAAGGATTTTCAAATTTACATTGTCAACCTCTTTGATACTCATCAGGCGGCTGCATTCCTACGTGGGTCGCTGAGGCACGAAGAAGGTAACTGATCTTGAATAGAATACCCTCAACGTTCTCTGAAAGCATTGGTCGCGAAATTTTGCGGTATAACACTAGACAAGGGTCAGCAAATGGCGGATTGGCGGGTCAGGCCCCTTACCCCTGAAATGATCAAATATGCCCGAGCCGATACTCACTACCTTCTGTACGTATACGACAAGATCCGGAATGAGCTTTTGGAGAAGTCACGGCAGCCGACGCCGGTTGAGGAGGTGTCTGGCGAAGCCGCTGAACCTGTCAATCCCCAGGGCTCGATGCGACAAGTTTTGGGCCGTTCTGAAGAGATTGCTCTCAAACTGTATCAACCAGAAGAGAGTGATTACAGTACTGGAGACGGCGCCTTTGGCTGGTATCATGCGGTGAAAATGGCTTTCGGTTACAAAGGTGTGCAAACCGAGACAGCCGTCCTCTTCAAACATCTTCACGTTTGGCGAGACATGGTGGCGAGGCGTGAGGATGAATCTCCTCAGTGGGTCCCCCTCCGACTCGTGTGGCCAGCTTCTCACTGACGAGTGTCTAGCTACATCATGAGTAATGACTTTATGCGATATCTCGCCCAGACAGCTGCGACAAACTCGGATTCTCAAATGGCAGAAGTCATGGCTGTCGTCCCTCGCGAATACGCAGACGATATCTCGAAGGCTATCTTCGACGCCAGGACCGATTGGGAGAAACATGGTCCAGATGCGATCAAGATACTCGTAAAATCTACCAAGCGTCCAAAGGCGGGATCTAAACTGCCAGACGCCATGACTCGAGCATCTCCCACTTCAGTCACCCTGCCACCGCCTTTCACCACAGCGAGTGCAGAACCAAGCGACTCCGACATGTGGGGTACGACACAGCCGAATCAGACTCCAATTGAATCGTCGAGCGACTTATTCGGAACCACTGTCCAGGTCGAGCGTTCGGCTACCAACTCGACGGCAGCTCAGGAGGCGTCAGACCTTTTTGGACCGACCCTCGCATCCGACAACAGTCGAAAGCGCCGAAAGTCTCCTTCACCCACCTTTGTGGATGTTCAGGCAGCTGTGAAAGAGGACATCCTGTCGGAGGAAGTGGTAAATCGAGCGTTGCTGCCCAGTCAACAAGATGAAGCTCAACCCGCGGCTGATCCTAAACACGAAGTGGATACCTTCTCCTCCGCTGCACAATCGAGCTTGGGTACCGGTCACAAAACAGATGATCCTGCTCCTGCGCGTATTGACGGATCGGCAAGTCAAAAGCCTGACAGCGAAATTGAGGACAATGAAGACGTGGTCAAAGTTTCTCGGAACATGCGGAAGAAGTCGAAAAAAATTGAGCGTGCGAAGAGAAAACAGGAGAAGAAGGCAAGAGGGATGAACAACGAGGATCCACCGAAAGAGATTAAAGACTTTGATTATGCGTCAGCGCCTAGCTTGCTGGACGCTGCTCCAGCTGAGGTCAAAGGGAAGGCGAAGAAGAGCAAGGCGCGAGGAACCGAGAGTGAGTTGGGCTGGTGCGACATAGGACAAATTACTGACATCACCATAGTTATCACACCGAGATTCGGTACCGTCGCCAAAGATCTCAGCGAGCCAAAGGGAGGCAACAAGAGCAAGACTTTCCATTGACCGAAGCTGTTCCCAGCCGATTACGTGTAGAAATCTCTATTGCATCGTTCACATTCCTGTATTATGCCATGCAATCTTACAACACACACACATATGATGCAGATCTACGGAGCCAGAGTCTCCCTCAATGGTCCCATGAGAGGCCTCTGCTGACCTGTTGGAAGGCCTGCGGACATTCTGAGAGTCCGAATGTCTTCCTGAGAAGGTGCTACGACGTTCAAAAGGGAGACGCCGTTCTACCCAACGTGAGCCGATCTGAAATACGACCCAATCGCTTACCGTCTCGAACACCGCCCAGCTACCAGATGGCTGACGACTGATTCAGTCTGAGATGACTACACACACATATCTAGGCTCACTGTCACGCGACTCTTTATGACTTCCACGACACCCCTCAGTCCAGGAGCGGCGCGAACTCTGTCCCGCTCGTCGGGATCAATCATTCCGAAAATCTTGCCCGTCTCTTGAACGAGCAATGAAATGTCTGAATGATAAGTAAAGGCTGTACCTAGCGCAGGCTTGAGAGTTGTGACCGAAAAGTTGGAAAGAGGATTGAAGGGCAAGGCTGACGCGGTGGAATTGGTGATCTGACCGATTGAGGCGGATCAGTGAGTTGAAGGCCACACGAACTCACCATGGTCAGCAAACCGTATTTGTATGTCAGATCAGATGCTAGATCAGCCATCAGAGAGATCATCGCAGCGTGACCTTTGAAGATCCTTAGCGTCATGCGTAAGGCATTGAAAGTCCCCCCACCTTGCGAAGTTGTAGGCATCAAGGCGTCTTTGAAGAGATTCGTAATGGAGTCAATCACGATGACCTTGACGCGAGGTTGATCTGTGTTCTGGGCAATGGTTCAGCCAAGGGCTCAGCTCAGACCCAGCGATGGCTCGACTCACCTCTGAGCTATCCTCGAGACTAGCTTCGATCTTTCCGAACGCCTCGTGCATATCCGGCTCAACGGAGAAACACCTCATCACCACTAGTCTATTCAATACTCCTTCAATGTTCTTGACACACCGTCAGTCAATTGTACGACAAAGCGCTCCGAGTACGTACTTCCGTCGAGTCAAGGGACAGGATAGACTTGGCCCGCTGAGGATCAAAACTGCCACTTGTATCAATCCAAACGCAAGTCGCTTGGGAATCCTTCACCAGGACCTTGAGAGCGGCATGGAGAGCCAGAAGCTGCAGATGCATAAGATGAGAGTCAGCTTGGAGAGATGGCTCACGGATTTGCCAGCTCGTCGTGGGCCAGCTATCTCGAGAATCCCAATGCCATCCCAATCCATCAATAGCTTGTCAAGCTCTTCTGGACCCCAACCTCTCCAAACCCGGTCGACTCCGTTGCTGGATACTGCCATCGGGCTCTCAGTTCCATCGCGAAATGACGGCGCAGTGGCATCGAGACAATGTGCGCGCAGCAAGTCGAGAAGGTGCCGAGGTATAGCAGGGAATAGAGAGTTCAGGGTCGATTCATGAGTGAACATGACATTCTCCGTGGTTCGAATGTCTGCGGTCTCTGATGAAGGTCCTCAAATCAGCACTGCACGTAGAGGAGAAGGATGAGCTTGCCGAGAATTGGAATCAGGTCGGCGAGATACGGAGGCAGTCGGCCTGATATCCTCTTGAGAAGCATAGTCTGTCCTGCCTTTGCTCATGACATCAGGACACGTAGACATCAGTGTTGCAAGGAGCAAGTCAACACCATCGAGAAAGAGAGCTGTTGCCCCAATTGTCCGATCGACCGGAGATAGCCACGTGGAATATTGGGAGTGAGCTTGCGGGGAAACATCTCCTGATGCTCTGAGTTGACGACCTGCTGCTCTGCTTGAGCTGTGTGTAGACGACGTCTGGTGATTGCTGAGGAATATATAGTTATCATCATGTCACGACCTTTTCAGACAGATGCCTTGAATCCGGGTGCCATACCGTCTGCATCCTCTGGCCGACTCGGCAGGACCAATCAACCCCTTTCATCATCAGCAAGGACGTTTGAACTTCCAGTGGATAACTTGGTCCCTGGCAGTCGATACACTGCAGAGTTGAAAAAGACACACGAAGATTGGAATGCGAAGATTGACAAGGAAGTCAAAGGTCTAGCCAAGGGGCTCAAAGAGCTAGTTGATTTAGCGGATGTAAGTGGGATGTTCAGTCCGAGGAGACGTGAGATGTCCAGTCTGATCATTGCACGCTCTAGATCGGTACCAACGCCACCGCCTCCTCCTCTCCTCTTCCACTCCAGCTCCGACTCTCATCCCTAATACGTTCTACTCAGACACTTCGAGATATGACCCATGAGCTCAAACTCTTGCTTCTGCTCTCGGACCAAGTCTCAGCTGTGGACAGCAGAGATAAAGAGGTCAGATCTGTCCGACGCGAGGTCAACGAGAAACGACAAGAGGTCGCAAGGGAGATTGCAAAGCTGTATGCGGGGGATAAAACAGCGGATAACGCGGACGGGCGACCGGACCCTGTTGATGATGGTCGGGCGTCAACACTCTTGGAACCTCCTGGACATGAGCCAGCGGAGGTGACTGGCGAGGTGGAAGATAAAGTAAAGGAGGACGAAGAAGAAGAGGTGGAGGATGAGGAGATGGTGGAGGTTTAGAGGAAGCATGGCATACCTCTGCCATGGGTGGAGCGAATTGGTAACTTAAGCTGGTCGATACAGTTTGGGACATTCAGCAAATCCCAGCCCTGCCCTGCCATTCGGCTGCACCAATGACAACTCTGGCGTGCCGCGTGGGCTGGCGGCCTCCCTGATGCCAGTGGCTACCTCCACGGCGCGCTAGCTTGCGGCCTCGCCTCGCTGTGTAGTTCCAAGGGACAGGTCGCGCAGACCAACACTCGTATTTTAGTCTGTATGCGTTATATACATTGAAATGAAAAAGATGTTGTATAGATAGATGTTCGGGAAGTGACCACTCTGATTTGCCCGTAAAATCTATCCCCTCGTCCAAAGCAGTCGTTATATGCGAGTAGTACAGTTTCGTTCCTCTCCAGCCTCCCCCCAGCTCTCGCGTCTCCGCCCGCTTATCACTCGTCGCCTTCATGGAACGGCCACGCCACTGTCAATCGAGGTGGAGCGCCATCTACAGTTCCCACACCACCGGGCGACCACCATTCATCATACTGTGGGTCCCACGCGTCAGCAACCGTGACACGAGATGGCCAAATAAAGAAATGCTGTCAACTCACCTCTTTCTGAGCATCTTCCAATTCCGCCAGCATGCGAATAGCGTACGCGTGCCATTTCTTAGGATAACCTTCTTCGCCTTTGTCATATTTTGTCGAATCGTTTCGTCTCGAAATGGGCGAGGACAATCCGCTAGCGAGGATACTCGCTGTGTTCGGAGGTAACAGACTCGATCGTTTGCTGAATGACCTGGACATGTGCGGACTGTGTGGCGAGGGAGGTTGAGAATTGCGTCGAGGGGACGAAGGTGTAGGTGTAGGGTCAAACGTATCGGATCGAGGTGACATGGTCGGGAGTTCAAACTCGAATGCAATGCCCGAAGGTCCCAGTCCGACACCCGGAGAGGTCGTCTCGGAAGGAGATGACGTTGAGATGGTAGGGAGATGAGAAGCACCCGGAGGTGAGTACTCCTCCATCTCTGGCGAGTCGAGAGATAAGACGGCGGGCGGGTTGGATTTGGCTCCTTGCCCTTTTGTATGACTCGATTCAAAGCTTGGTCGGGGAGATTTCCGCTCCTTGATGCCTAGCAGTGGGGATGACAGGGATCCGCTGTTCTCCATCTGTGGCGATGGAGACATTCGAGGCGAATTGTTAGGCGAGGAAGTGGCTGAACCCGACAAGGCAGGCGAAGCACCACCACCACCACGACCCTTCTTCTTATTCGCAAAGCTCTTTTTCAACCATCCTTTCGCCTTGCCCATACGCGTGTGATCCTCCACTTCTAGAGCAGACAGGCCCTTGTTGTCCATCTGTCCGAAACCTAGCCCGAGAAGTCGCTCGGCTTTGTTGGATGGTCCGCGTGGCGAGTCAGTGATCATGGTGATGGTGGATTTGGATCGGGGCAAGCCATCAAAGGTTGACGAGAGATATGGCGAGTCATTCCGGTCGATGGGCGTGTTAGCATCCTTCGGTTCAAGCTCGTCGTATCGTTTCCTGATCCTTTCCAGGCGAGTCTGGAGCAATCGAACAGAGTCAATCTCGACGTCGTGATTGACACCGTCTTCCTTGGTCGTGTGAACGTGCCCCAGGCGGAACACCTGCGACCCCGTCAGTGAGGCGCCGCATCAAGATGGATTCGGTGTACTCACCACAAGACGCAGGACATAACTTCGGACCGATTGAGACCAGAACAAGGTCAATCGTTCAAACAATGACTTTTCAAGTAACAGACCCAGACATAGCTCCTTTCGATCCTCCGATCGGGCAGTGAGGACTTCCCAATGCGTAAAGACAAAGGCGACAACCTTGACGATGGTCAAAGCGTGCTCGGCCTGATTGAGTACGATGCGAATGACGTGTATCAGGTGAGGCACGTCCAAAAGAGAGACCTCTCGTAAACGACGTTCGCCGGTGACTGGATCATGGGGAGGGTCGACGATCCCATCCAAAAGGTCAAACAGGGAGAAGACACCTTTGGGGGCGTACAAAGATGTCTTGCCGATGAGCGTCTTGGTCCAGTGATCGAGGATGGAAGACCAGAGCTGTTGTCCATCACATTCGACGACTTTACCTCGAGTATCGGGAACAGCAATGTGGGTATTGATCAGGGTTGAGATGGTCTCGGTCAATCGTCGATTGGCAGTCTCCAGGACTGGAGGTTTTTGACTCGCTTTGAGGCCAGCAGATTCAGTTGCGTCGAATCCTTGACTCGCAGAAGAGGTCGTCACGGCGTTGATGGATCCAAGGATATACGCATGAGATTTTTTGGCAAAGATGGTGGCCAGGTGCGCGTACCCAGGTGCACGGAGCAAGATCTGAAGCGGCACAGGCTCGCCAAGAGTCTCATAATATTCAATGGCCGGGGCGAGGTAGCCTGCCAGTTGTCGATGGTAGGCTCGATAAAACGCAGGGAAGAGCTCTGAATCGTCAGATTGCCATCGTCTCAACCAGTTCCCAGGTTTGAACAGGAAGGCTTCGCGCTCTTCATCGCTCCTGAAATCTGCCGAGACCACAGCCAGGCGGGAAGTGTAACTCGCACAAGTGTCCAAGCAGAGGGGCGAGAGATGCTTGGGATACTGAGGTCGGGCATGCGGTCTGAAAGGTACGCATCAGACTGGTCATCGGGGTGTATGTCAGCTTATGAACTTACGGTACCGCAGGTCCCATCAATCCAGCCCGAGTGAATCTCGTGAGAGCGCCGCGAGGTAATTGCAAAACGGTCACGAGCTGCTCGGCAACGTGCGGAATACGGAAAAACGCAAATGCCTCGAGCGTCGTTAGCTCTTAGACTCATACGATTCAACTCACCAGGAATCGTCCACTGAACAGCAGGGTATTGTGGAACACTCCTTTGGCGCCGAGCTTGCCCATGACAAACTTCATACACTTGATCATGAGGTCGGTGAATCGGACGGTATGCTGAGCATCGTCTTTGAGCGCGACCTGAGAAAGGCAAGGGCTGAGGAACTATCATCAGCTGATACTTCTTTTGCGTTGGCCTGCCGCTTTCCTCACCTCTCCATAACTGCTGAGAGACCTTCCAGACACGCTCCACGTTCATTAGCCGCTTGCTCCACCCGTAACTCGTACAGGAGACTCTCGGCCCATTCGAAAGCTACCTCTCGGAGACTTTGATTGGTCACGGTGTCTTTGGGCATGTAGGGTCTCTTTTCAATCTCGCCAAGCAGAGGCAATAGCTGCGACCGGACGAGGTTGCAGCGTTCGGAGGAAGAGATCAGAGAGGCTGGTCCGCGGAATCTGAATTGCTGTCAGCATACAGAGTCTCATCGCCGGACTCACGAGTTGACGATCGTCTCAAGGTCCTGAACGAGACCTCGGAGACTTCGGTCATCTGGCGAGACACTCTTTGACTTCAGTCCTATACTCGGCCTCCAAGCTCGTGCCGGGCGCACAGTGATGACTGTCGGACCTCCTACAGGTCGTAAATGACTATCGTCATCTTCTGCAGCTTTTGGCGAGTCAGGCAACGTGGTCGGTGGACGAGTACGTGGCGGAGCAACACCAGCGACAAGAGGTCCAGCAGGCTCGGTCGGCAAGACCTTGTCATCGCTGACAGCACGGATAACCAATTTCCTTGGCGGACTCGGCGCGAGGTCGACTACTCTGTTCTTCGGCGTGAAAGGCACGGCGTGGTCTTCTTGAGACACTACTGGCGAAAGAGCGATCTGAGGTACAGGCGCGGGCGGTAATGGAATGGTTGGTGGCGAGCTCAACATGATCGGTCGGGCAAAGCTTGATTCAGGATCCGACTCGTGTCCCAGAGCCAGCGTGATGGCTTTAGGTGTCGGAGCACTGAGGGGGGACGACTCGTACGTGAAACCGTAATCTCGAATCTGAGCCCGAGCATGTTGAGGCGGAGTCTTTGGCGGTGAGGGAGATTCCGTATCGTGCATTGAGGAGGTATTCGAGGGAGTCCGAGCGTGATCAGAAGATGAAGGTTCGGAGCCATATTCTACACAACCGTTTCTTTGCATAGACCGATGCAGATGGTCCGGAATGGCTTTGACGGAGTCTGAAGGACAAGTCATCGAATCCTCGTAGATCAAATGTTGGTGTGTCGACGGCTGCGGTGTTGTGGTCGAGGATGAGCTGGCGGAATTTGACATGGAAACCATGGAATCATCGCTTGAAGTTGGTTCGAGAGGTCGTGAGAACATTGGCGCAGAGTTGGAGCTAGAGGCAAAGTATCTAGCCATGGAAGGGCTCGTGAATGACCCCTCGGGTCCAACGTCGCGCCACAGATTCGCCAACGTCTGACCCGCCGTCGGCCCATCGAAGCTCTTTGACCGTCTCCGATCACTCTTATCCAGGATACGATCCGAGTTCTGACGCCTCAACACTGGCGACACTCGAGTCGATGGAATTTTGGTGGTGAGCGATCGCTGAGGTGACGGACTGTGCGGGGAGCGAGGCGACCGTCGAGCTTTGCCTGGGGAAAGTCGTCTAGGTGTCGAGGGAGACATGCCAATCTTGTCAAACGACAAGTCGAATTCGAGATCAAGACTGGGTAGTTGGAGCAGATGCAAGGACGCTGATGGCGGGAGTTGAGCTGGGCTTGTGGACGCCACGTCTCCAGCTGTCAATGACATGGATCGCGAGTCGTCCGAGGCCGACAAGGGACTCTCTCTGGCAGTCGCAAAAGACAAGAGCGAGGTTCCTGAACTCTTCGCCTCACTTGTTTCCACAGAATTCGGACCGACTGACAGGGCAGAGTTCAAAGGCGTTAGAGGCAGTGGGGGAAGGTCCCTATCCGGCATTCGCTGAGCCAATGGAGGAGGTTGAGTCTGAGTGAATAACCCCACAGGCGATCGCAGTTCGATCTTCTTCGGACCAGGCTGAGGCTCAGACCTCGATCCAATCATCGGAGCACTAGTGGCACCGGGTTGGACACCGTGTGATCGTGTTCGTTGTAGAGGCGGAGCTGGGTAGTTGGCTCTTTCCGAAGTGAATGATGGTCTAGATGCCATTATATCACTTTCGATCCGTTGAGGATGAGGCCGCGTGGCGCCTGCTCCTTCTGATGATAATCCTCGAGGAGGGGTCGGTGAACCAGGACTAGGCGATCGACGTTTCCCACGGCCGAGAGCTCGATTCGGGGAAGCTGAACTACCTCGGCGGGCGTAAGGTAGTTCAGATACCACGTCATCCTGTCGTCCTGCTGGATACTGAGGTTGTACAGGCATCGGTGGTGGTGTCTCGGACCTTTCTTTCCCTTTCCCACTGACGCCTCGATTGAACAAGGCTTTGAGAGCGCCGGTGGATTTCTTCATGGATAGACCAGAGACTTTCCGCTCAGTCTCTGCTGAGACGGCACGACCTTCGTCACGCGATCCTCGACCTGAGGCGACCCCCAAGGAACGCTGTTGCTCCTGTTGTAGAGCCCTGACGTCGTCTCTGCGGGGGGCCACGAGTCCTGGCATCTCTGCAGAGGGTCGCTTGCCAGCATCGACCGCATCCGAAGAGGCCTTGGGGGCCGTTCGGAAGGGGTTTAATCTTCCAATATTTGATCCAGGTGCAGACTCTAAAACGGCACTTGGCGGTGTACTGTGAGAGATCTTCCTCGAACGCTGAGACATGGGTATCTCGGCAGACGAATTTGATCGGAACTGATCCAAGGACCCTCTACCCTTCCGTTGAGGTCGAGACGTTTCCGCTTCGTCTTGCTGGGTTGGGGGCGGAGGAGAGAGGGGAGGTGCGGTATTGGATCGCTCGTACATTGGCCGTGATGTCGGTCCAGCGAGAGATCCATCGAGGTCCAGCTGTGGCTGGCTGCCCTTCATGGGGACCATGACGGCCCCAGGGAGACCCGAAGGTTTGCGATTAAGAATGTCAGGCGCGTGTTGCAGAGCCTTTCCCTGCTCCCGTCGCTCGGGCTCCATTGACGGGCCTGGGAAGTCCACTTGGATCCAATCTTGGCTCAGACGTTGATTGACTTTTGTGTTCCTTCCCAGATCGAGATGTGGCGGAGTGGTGCCCCTTGGTCTCGGAGGGCGCCTGGGCTCGATAGACGATTCGTTCTGCCCGGCTGTCGTAGATTTGGGAACAGCGTTCGAGAATGGAGGTGGAGAAGGTCGAGCAGTATCTGTTGGGGAAGTCCGATTGCCAGTCTTGACGGTCCTCTGGAGAGGCGTTGGACTCTTTTGATCCACCTTGCTTTGCCTCATCATATCTCTTGATCTGACGGCTATTCCATCCGATTGACCCCTTCGCATCGCGGCAAATTCCTTTGGTAGCGGCGGGAGAGGGTCAGACTCAAAGTTGCTTGGCGACTGCGAATCGTGTGAATCGGAAGAAGAGACGATGGATGGATGAGCCATGTGTTTCATGTGGTGATGCTGATCCATCTTTGAATGAGGCGTCTTGAGTGTCCGTGAAGATGTCGATGCCGCTGTGGAAAGGGATGAGACTGAGCTCATGGTGGGTGCAGAAGCCACATCGCGATCTGCGCCGCTGGTAGATTTTGTCGTGGCGTTGGAGTCGGTAAGCTGTGGTGGGAGTGGTGATGGCGCTCGATACATGTTGGGGAAAAGGGGCGAGATGGGACTCGGGAAAGATTGCGATGAGGGTGAAGGATATTGAACGGGGGGCAGTCCAGTAGCCGCAGAGGAGGAGGAGGAAGCAGCAAAGGGCGGCGGGACGTATTGGACCTGCAACACGTCGAAGATTAGAGTCAGTTACTCGCTATGTCTGGAGAAGGATCGGGAGAGGGTGAATTGCTGCGCTGATATGCCAGGAGCATCGGTGGAATTCTTCGATTCTCTCAGAGTTCGTCCTCTCTCCCTCCATTGTCAAGCAATCTGTGGCATCCTTTCTTTCATCCCTTCTCCACACGCAGCTCAAGAGCATACCGATAGCGCAGGAAGGTTTGACGGAACAGCGGGATGACTTACATCTTTCGATGACGATCCCAAGACGCCAGCTCCACCTCCCAAGACGACTTGCGGAGCTGTACTACCCACCTTTCGTCTGGACGATCGAGCAGATTGCATCCGACTCGCTCGTTCGGGCGCTTGAACGGCAGCAGGCGGTATCGTGATGTTACTGATAATGGGTGCAGACATGGTGTAGATAAGCCTGTGTAGGATCGATCGCAGGTGGATGGTGAGACGACGACGTTTTGGCGAGTAAGGGCCGAAGAGGGGATGGTAAAGAAAGGTAGATGACACGGGCGACGATGTGAAGCAATGGAGTTCAATTTTTGGCTGGCTCCCTTTGCTGCTGCGAAGGTGGTGCTTGTGACGTTGATGCCTTTTGTGATATCCTGTACCGCGGAAGGAGCCCAGAGATCGTCTCACAGGGTCTGGTTCGTACCGAGTCGTTAAGATTAATGATATACCTGATGGAGTCCAAAGCGTGTCACCCGTTGGCTCTTTTCTCCGTTCGTTGAGACGACTTGACTCTCCCTCGGAACTAGTATCTGACCATAAGAGACCAAAATTGGATCCAAGGGTCTTCAGCCTGTCGCGAACAAACCAAGGGAGCTATCTCCTCCAATATGCAACGCGAATGCAAGAGTGTGTGCACGGTGGATAATAACCTACTCCCAGGCAGGCCCCTTTACCGCGCGGCGCGTCGAGCGAACTGAAAAAAAACAACCACAATAGTCGGAGGCGGCGGGAATACCTGGCTGGCTATAAGAAGCCGTGACACCAGTGGTAAGTGATGGACAGATGGATGGATGAGTTCAATCTTCCACGATGATCTGACCTGATCCAATGAGACAGAGAGGAGAGCGTCAACGATGAGTAGCCCTTGCCCTGCCTCTCTGTGCCCAAAAATGCTGGCAGCAAATCAAAGTACGCGCGACTCAGGGAAGAAATTACTACTTTGAGTCATATTCATCCGTTTCAAACCCCCTTTTGAGTGTGGCGGTTTTTTGTCTTCTTCTTTTTGATTTTTTTTTTGGGAAATGTGGTGCACAAGACGCGTCGAACCAACATTGAGCAGAGATCCATGAGAGAGGGAGGAGGAAGGGAGGCGTCGCGTCCTGTTCTGGCGTGACAGCAGCCTCTGTACTTCGGCTGCCACTACTGATGCTGATGCTGGTCGATCTATTGAATCCCACTTTTGGCATGACGCAGAGGCTGATGGGTCACAAAACAGATTTACACCCATGTCCGAGTCTGCGCCACACACCCATCCACCCACAACCCTTAAACACGAACCCAGGTATCATCATTGAATTCCAACCAGGATTTCCAACCAAGAGTCGTGGCATTGGGCAAACGTCCTTACGTGTACAGACTCTACAACAGGATTCTGGAGATACCGTCTCCAACGCTCATAACCAAATACGTCGCGAACCTCAGAAAAACTTTGTAAATAGTCCGCCTGATGAACGACTGGACCCAACACCTGCACCCTTGGATTCTTGTTGCAAATTGACTAGACTCTGTAAGGATCTCATGACCTGAGGGGGAGGGGTGGAGTGTGTGTGTCAGATCGAAGACCAACTGATCCCATCGCATGAATCTCGCTCACCTGCTCTAGCTTGTCTTTCCTCTCTTGAAGGTCTAAATGTTGCTTGATCTTTGGATTCTCACGAGCAAACTTTGCAATTTCATCGCGCTGGCCGGCCGGGTGAGTCAACACTCAGCGGAAACCCATGGCAACCTGGCACTCACATTCAGATCATACAATATACGCGAATCGATCTCGCGGGGGAACTGGAGGACTCAGTCAGCCTCTGCCCACCCCGACCACTTGTACGGGTCTGCCGGCGTGCCCACCTGATAGAAGAACTGTTCCAACAACTCGATATTGATAAACATCGTGCTCGTGTACGCCAGCTTGTCTGCCACGACGGCCAAGAACGCCTCGGGACAGAATGCAGCTTGTTCGGGACCAGTCTTGCATCGCCTCGATTTGAGAGCTTGGGATCGCAGTTTGAGCAATGTCAAGCGGTTCGACAATAGCAAGGCGTTCCGACCTGTGCGTGCACGTCAGCGAGACATCCCTGAAAGGAGGGTTAAGTCCTAACCCACCATCGACAATCTGAGCAGCCGAGTATTTATACGCGTCTAGGACGGTTCCATCACTATCGCCTCCTTCTTCCTGTTCTGACACAGCCTCATCTGCTCGACTCAACCTGCTCATCCTCCTCTGCCTCCGTTCCTCCTCTTCCTTTTCCAAATCACCCACATGCCTGATCAGCCCCCCTAACCTCCTTGAACCTCCTACTCTCTTTCGAATTTCTCCGAGTTTCCCCTCGACCAGTCCAATCTCCTCGTCAAATTTGCCCTCTGCCCTTTCTCTTCCAGCTGCCCATTCCCTAGGATCCACCTCGACTTCATATTTAAATGGCTTGATACAGTTTTCGACTTGATCCGCCGTCATCCCCATGCGTTCTCGTAAGATGGCATGGGAAAAGTCGACGATCCGAGACGAAGCTTCGGGGTGCCAGGTGAATGGCTCGCCAGTGGCTAGAGAATCGATCAACTGTCTCAAGCCTTCCGCTACCATTGCCGTAGAATCTCGGCCAATCCCGCTCTTTGTCAAGAGGGAAGATGCAGTTTCAAGCTTGAATTTCCAATAAGCGTCGAGCTCCTCCGGTGTCAATCGACGATCTTCACTCAGACGAGATAGTTCCGCCGTTCGGGGATCGTTCCAGTACAGTTGTTCCAGAATATTCATTACCTTGTCATCCAGCATGGTCTTGAGCTTGGATCGAACAGCGGGTCGTGTGAACTGAGAAGTGTATTCTTTGAACCGAGATTTGAGCGCATCGACCGTCTCAGCGACATAGGATTCAGAGGTGATCCTCCGGTCGTTATATTGGACCTGCGCTGTCAGCTCGATTCGCAATTTCCCCCGCTCACCTTGAATTGATAGCTCGCGTCCTCCAGCTCCAATTGTACGGCATTTGTGATTCCGTGCAGACTCGCTGCCATACTCGTCTCCAAAACATCCATCAACCTTCTTCTCAGTGTATCCGTCCCCGTCATGATCTTTTCCCCAGATCTCCCTTTCGCACTAAAGACTTTGGCATTCTTTCCACCAAAGAACTCATCTTCGCGTCGCAGGACCGCGCCAGTGACGTTGGACGTCGAATCGGATGACCCCCCAGTGAGTGATCTGAAGACGCCACCGCCAACCGATGGAGGGGCTTTACACACCACGCCGATGTAACCCAGATGCAGAGGGTATCGATCGCCTCGAAGGATCTCTGCACCGACAGTGGGCGGTACCAGATCCATCTTAGTAACCACTCCGATGGTTCTCGTCCCTAGCGGATCTACGCGTCTTGAAGATCGCAACGCTGGAGAATTGGCGAGATCCACATCGGCCGCACAGACGGCCAAGATGATATTGGGTTCACGGATATACTTGTCACACAAGGCTGAAATGTTCTCTTTCAGTGCATCCGGTTGGTCCATAGATGAGAGTTGAATGTATCCTGGTAGATCGATCAGGGTCAGATCCGGAACATGAGGCGAGTGGATTTGAAGTTGGATGGGATCATCAGACACGGCCAACTCGTGAGGGACAGCGAGGTTTAGATCCGTCAATGTCTTTTGAATCGTCGAGAAAGAAGTGACTTTGCCTAGATGTGGCAAGCCCGGGAAGACACCGTACTCAGCAGGGGTGGTCGAAGATGATGCAGCGCCAGGCGATGTGTGAATTAATGTCAATTCGATAGGTCGACGGGTGACCATGTTGTTGCCCCTGAAGCACGAGTTAGACACAAGCTGAAGGGACAAGGAAGACTCACTTTGGCAGAAACTCGTGTCCTACGATGGCTTCGAGTACACTGCTCTTCCCTGAACTCTGGCTGCCAATGACCACGATGGAAGGCAGCTTTAACGCATCGCTCTGATCCACGCTGAGTAGTACCGATCGAATCTCGATCAACTTCTTGGTCAGCTGCAACAATTGATGTTCCTGTCCCTTGTGATCGTCTTCCGCTCGCTGTTCCAACCTCTTCTCCCGCTCCTTCTCTCGTTCAGATGACTCTTCGTCTTCTTGTGACAAAGCCATACCTCCGAGCAATCCAAGCAGAGCACCTCCTTCGGGTGAGGGCGATGGTTCTCCAGGGCCTTCACCAGGTCTCCAGCTGCTTCCTCCTTTCCCTCCGGATCTTGATCCTGAGCCAGAGGCAGACTCAGCGCCAGCAGGTCCCCCCGACGAATCGGCTCCAAACCAATCCGGTAGATTTTCCTTGACAGCAGACCACCATTCCCTGGTGCCCTCTGCAAAAGTCCCTGCGGAATCCTTCGCATCGGTTGCGACGCCATTGATCGTTTCTGAGAGTTGATTCGCAACGGAAGAAGAAATGCTCGAGGCGGTGGACAAAGTCGAAGAGATACTGGCCGAGGTGGAATGATACGCAGACGAAACGGTATCAGAGACATTGTTCAAGAAATCACTCGTCGCTGTCCGAACGCCTAGAACGTTGATGAGAGAGAGAATGATCCGAATCTTGTCGAACTCACCTTCAAGTTTATAGTTTGCATAGCCAAATCCTCCCGCGCCAATGGCAGCCCCGTACAGAGGCACCTTGAAAGCCCTAGCCATCATCCGTGGGATAGTCGAGAATGACAAGTGGCGAGTCTGCATCTTGGTGATTTGGTCGTGAACATGACGTGAAGGTGGCGAGATCCGAGTATACAGGTGGCTAGGGATGGTTCTAGCATGAACTACTGGGCTCAATGTTGCCCGGGGGCGGAGAGACGAAGTTACGAGACGTCGGACGAGCATCACGACGAGAACTCTGCTTTTGTTTTGCCGAGGCTGAGGACCAGACCAGACCAGGTTGAAACTCAAGACGTCCTCTTATTGACCGCCAATTCGAATCAAGGATGGCAGAAGAGCATCTCAGCCTTCCAAGACAACAGCTGTGGTATGCTCTTTCGCCTTGCTAACCGTGAGTCTACTTTGCAGCTTTGAATGACAATGTTTGACCCGCGGTGTTGCCGCACAAAAATAACGCTGGTGACGCTGATCGGCAACGGGGTTAAGGGCACGTCCGTGGGAAAGTTGTCCACGTGGGGACGATGTCCAAGTCCCTATGTGATACTGTTGATGGTCCAATGCATGCAGCGCGGCCTGACAGTATACTGTAGAAGGCCTCCTCTACGCAACGTTGATGACCCAAAGATCCCTGCAAGGTCGCCGACATCCATCTCCCAGCCGTTTCCATTGCGATCACACGTGGGCGATATGACTGATAGTCCAAGGCATTCGTCCTTGTGGACCACGGCATTCCGAGGGACCATATCAGCTGATGCCTAGGAATGAATTTCATGATGGGCCACTCTTCGTCTTGCCGTATGAGGCGCATCGCTCGAAAGAGTGCAGCTGGGATTGTCTCAACAAGCCGAGGGATAGGGCCAGGATCTTGTTCAGAGGAAAGTGAGATGACCTGGGGGAGTTTCTTTTCAGCTTCTCAAGTCTCTGTCGGTCTCTGTCCTCTTTATACCGCCTCATATTGATGACCGATGCATCCACCGCTCTGATACCTTGGGTATGGGGCAGGGGACTGGTCCTGGTCGACAGTGTGACGATGTCAGAGCAGGAATGAGGTCTAATATCCCTTCCACCGGACCCAAACCTGTCAGTGCATCTACATAGTCAGTCAGTCCTCAGAGAAGAGACCGATGAGATAGAGACGGGGGTTGCAGCGTGATGGAACACCATCGTCTCTCTTCCTGCCTGCATTTACACCCGCTGACTCTTGGAGTATTTCCCCCAAGCGACGCACTCTACGGACCAGCTTCTGACAGGACCAACGATAGATTCATTCATATGATCAACCTGGTGTGGTTGCCCGCCATAAAATGAGCTGACAAGACCTTGTGAGTGAATCGGCTTCCCATAGCAGAGCTTCCAATGTCATGGCTTCCGGGCTTGTAACAAAGGGGGCGGGCGGATCATGGATTATAATTGGAAACCCCCCCACGAAGCCCCCCACACAGACTCCTTCATTTAATGGGTCTTATCTTCACCCACAACTCCCAAGACACCCTACTCCGACCCCGTCGGAACGCTGAATCGGTCAAACGGCGTCAGGCTCCCCATAGACCGCACAGCCCCTATCACGTCCTCGCCATCCAGGAACTCACTCGACAGCCAAGTAAATGTCACCTCGTGGATCTCCAAAACCAAGAGTTCATATCAGCAGTTCATCTGCCACTACTCTCTTTCTCCCTCTCTCTCGCGCCCCCCCTCCCTCGCCGGATCTACATATCGTGCTATGTATGTTCTCTTGGCCTCAACCACCCAGGATCCGATAGCTAGTCATATAACCCTCAGGTGTGACCAGTCGATGGTCCCTGACTTATTAGCCAAGAACCGCCAACAACCTTCGTCTCCGACTCCGACTCATAGCTCCGCATGGTGTATCTTTCAATACGCCGTTGCAAAGCTCTCTGATAGCAGCTGAGTCCAAAGCTGCCACACTCCGGTTCACTGCCCGGTCTTTTTCAGGACGGGGGTCTTGGCATACAAAAATTTCTTTTTTTTTGTTCTTCTTCTTGGCATCGTTTTTGTAGCCACAGCAGGCCCTCCTCCCTCAGCCACCAGGAGATAACGATAGCAGCCCACCCGTTATGCAATGCTCTGTCGCCCGTCCTCAACGCCGCTGCAGCTGCTGCGCCTGTAAACCCCGATTGAATGAAGATGTTGTTGCGCCACGGCGTGTAAAAGTGCACCATATGGGTTCACCATCCGAACTTTCCTCATGTTCTTGGCAACGATGGGATTTAATGCGCCACAACGGTAGTCACCGCGTGTCTGTGACAGAGAAAGGTCTATACCAGATCAGCGTAAGAGAATGAGGGGGCCAGCAGCCAGATATTGGCGCTATCAGTGCAATGTAGGATGTCGAGCTTATCAGCCGGGTCTATAGGCGAACACGGAGCGATGGTTCCGAAGAGAGAGAGAGAGAGAGAGAGAGAGAGGCAGGATACTTAAGTAGACGAAGGAATGTATCTTGTTCACCCCTTCCCAGCCAGTCATTCACTTTCACAAGTCGATTCACCATGGTCAAAGGCCAGGCAGAGTTTGACAATGTGGCACCACTCGGTGCCCAACCAAACATTGCAAGTGAGCAAGAGTTGTACAGTTCAGAAAAGGAAAAGTACATGCCAGAGGACGACGTGAGTGCAGTCGGAAGAGAGGGAAGTGGCGTACAGCGCTGATCTCTCGCTTGCTTGCTTGCCTGCCGTCCTCAACTCAGATCCTCGTCACTTCTGCCATTGATGTCGAGGGAGATGGTCACGAGGCTAAAGACCTCGGTATGACCAAGGAAGATCTGGAGGCGACTGAGATCTTGTTGGATCAAATGACCTTGGAGCGAACTCAACATGTGAGATTCACTCTTCTTGCGGTGGTGCCACACTTGCTGCGAGATGAATCATGTTGAGTCTTTGGGCTCACCCATTTTTATAGATCCTTACCCAGACACGAGCTCTCCACCAACATGATCAAAACTTCTCCTTTGACGTCCTCGAGCGTATCAACCTCTTCCTCGAGAACCCCGATATCGCTGCTCGACCCGATAAGCATGCCGATCTCATCAGAGAGATGAAGTTGGAGGCTATCCTCGTCACTGAAAACTCGCCATACTCTGAGGGTGAGTCACCGCCCCCCCCCTCCCCGACATGACAGATGGTCATCTGGCTGACGTTCTGTTCACAGTCCGAGCTGTCGTGGACAACTTTGATGAGCCTGAGCTGCCTGTGTTCACGTTCCGAACGTGGACATTGGGTATCGGATATGTCGTCATTGGTTCATTCATTAATCAGTTGTTCGAACTCCGACAACCTGCCATTTACATTACCTCCGAGGTGGCTCAATTGCTTGCCTGTGAGTGATGGGCTTTCTTAAGTCTCAAAAGACGCATTCCTGACATTTCCCATCTCAGTCCCCGGTGGTAAACTTTTCGAACGATTCCTGCCTGATTGGGGTCTTACTGTCCGCGGTCAGCGATACAGTATGAACCCTGGACCTTTCAACCGAAAGGAGCACATGTTGATCACCATCATGGCGACTGTGTGAGTGGTGCCCCTCCCTCTTACTATCAGAGGAGATGAATATACTGATGTCCCCCTGAAGCGGATACAACACACCTTGTGAGCCGCGTGACACTTGGGGACTCTGCCGGTTTCGCTGACCTTTTCCTTATCAGACACGACCAACATCATCTTGTCCCAGTACCTCCCTCAATACTTTAACCAACCTTACGCCAAGGAATTCGCCTACCAGATTCTCCTCGGTATCGCCACAAACTTTTGTGGATTCGGTCTAGCAGGTCTCGCCAGACGATTCCTCGTCTATCCTTCTTACTGCGTCTGGCCAGCTTCCCTCGTCACTATCGCTCTGAATCAGGCCTTCCACAAGAAAGAGGATCATTCCGTCTCTGGACCTCTTGGAAAGACTTACACTTGGTCTCGACTCAAATTGTTCTCCGTCGCTTTCGGAGCCATGTTTGTGTGAGTCCCCGGACGCCAGCTAAATCAAGGCTCACACCTCCCCCTTTTCCCCAGCTGGTTCTGGATCGTATCGTTCATCTTCCCTGCCCTGAGCACATTCAACTGGATCAGCTGGATCAACTCGACCAATGTTCCGCTCAACTTGATCACTGGAAGCAACAATGGTCTCGGTCTTAACCCATTCCCCACGTTTGACTTCAACAACTTGACTGCATTCGGTGAGTTTCATTCCCACGTGCCGGAACTACAGTCTTCTGACGACAATTGTCCAGGTTGGAACCCGCTCGTCATTCCCAGTTTCAGTACCCTCAACATTGGTGCCGGTATGCTTTTAGGTTTCTTCATGTGAGTTCCGCGTCGCTTGATATACTTTGAATTGAACATTGGGGCTGATTCATCCTATTTCTCCAGCATCATCGTCATGTACTGGACAAACGCATACCACACTGCCTACCTGCCCATCAACAGTAACAAAGTCTTTGACAATACTGGCGCTCGTTTCGACGTTCAGCGTGTCATCAATGACAAGGGACTCTTTGACCGAGAAGCTTATCAGACATACTCTCAGCCCTGGATGGCGGCTGGAAACATTGTGGTCTACTGGTTCTTCTTTGCCCAGTACGCCGCCACTGTCTCTTACGCCTACCTTTTCCACCGACACGAAATCAAGATGGGCTTTAGGAGTCTTTACAAGAGTCTGAGGTTCAGGAGAGCTTCAGATGAGATCGATGAAGATGATATCACCACCAACGATATTCACATGCGATTGATGAGAAAATACAAAGAGGGTGAGACCGCCCGGGGGATTTTGAGTCGACGGAGGATCAGTCGCTGACGTCTCAAACCTCCACAGTTCCCGAATGGTGGTTCCTCATCATCCTCCTGGTGGCTATCGCTACTGGAGTCGCTGCGCTCGCACACTGGGACACTTACTCGTCGCCTGCCATCCCTCTTTACGGTATCGCCCTTGCTCTGGTGAGGGTTTCCCTGACCGCATGAAGACTGTCATAATTGACACATTTGCCCTCTTTAGCTCTTCGTCATTCCCGTCGGTATGATCACTGCCATCACCGGTCTTCAAGTCACCATGAACGTTCTTGCCGAGTTGATCGGAGGCTCTGTTGAGCCTGGTAACGCTCTTTCGATGAACTTCTTCAAGGCTTTTGGATACATTACGACCGCTCAAGCCGTCTACTTCTCCAACGATCTTAAAGTCGCTCATTACCTCAAGATTCCTCCCCGATGCACTTTTGCGGCTCAGATTATCGCCGTGGCCGTTTCGACTTTTGTCTGCACCGGAGTCTTCAACTTCCAAATGACTGGAATCAAGAACGTCTGCACGTCTCAAGCCGCTTTCGACATGACTTGTCCCGGTATCAACACCTTCTTCACTGCTGCCGTGTTCTGGGGTACATTTGGACCTCCCAAGCTTTTCGGTCCCGGTGGTCAATACGTTGCCTTGTTGTCCGGTTTCCCCTTTGGATTTGCCCTCCCCATCGGTGAGTGAAAACGTTCATCCGTTCTTGCGAGAAGCTTGGGGGCTGATTTCCCTTGTTCAGTCATGTACTGGCTCCGAAAGAAGTTCCCCAACGTCCGAATCTTCCGACAACTTCACCCGGTCATGTTCCTTTACGGAGGAATTCAATGGGCTCCTTACAACTTGACCTATATGTGGCCTAGTATCCCCATCGCTTGTCTCTCTTGGCTTTACATGAAGAAGCGACACCTTGCTTTCTGGTCCAAGTAAGTTCACACCGCGTACCAAGATTTCACAATCCAAAAAACAACGTACTGACTGACTTTTACAGATACAACTTTGTCCTTGCTGCCGCTTTCAGTTCCGGTATCGCCATAGCTGGAGTCATCATCTTCTTCTCGGTCCAATTCCCCGATATTACCTACGAATGGTGGGGTACGGACGTCTCGTACCAGGGTTGTGAAGGTACGGCTTGTGTCCTGAAGACCGAGTTACCGGCAAAGGGATACTTTGGACCTGATCCCGGCAGCTTGCCTTTCTGAGCAAGACCCAAAAAGAAGGAGAATTTAGGGGCGTAATCTGTTGGAATGGAACGTTGTGAATGCCCTTTTGTCTATATAGTTGTTGAATGAATTGAGAATGGTAGACACGATGAACACGGGGGCTTGTGTATGCATGCATTCGCTTGAAATGCCTGCAATGTGTATCTTTCACTCTCTCTCATCGCCGAAAATCAGTCGCGTGAACGCCCGGTAGCGGGATCAAATTTTTCTCTCATGTTGCTGCTTCACTGCATTTGTCCAGCTCTTGTCGTCGTCCGCACGCACTCACCATGTCCAGACTCGCTTCGCTCCAACCTCGAGGCAAAGCATCAGGGTCATCTCCCTCGCCTTCCTCACCTTCCTCCTCTTCATCTCCAAAACCGAGGTCTACATCCAGTAACCCATCCACACCGAAACAATCAAACGCCAATACGGCCTATGACCGGTCGCAAAGGACACCCTCACGACAAGCAGAGACATCCCATCACCGGTTCTTGAAGCTGCTATTAGACGAGGTGAAGAAACTGTGCTCAACATGGGAAGATATCATGCTCGTCGATGGGCTGAAAGCTGGGAAAGGATGCGTGGATCAAGCGACCGAGATGGAGTAAATTTAGCTTTAACACGCGTGTCCATCGTAACTATGTTGACGTGGATCCTCGCAGTAATATCCTGCTCGCTCCACTTGGATCCGAGAGACCCTCCATAGCTGAACACCTCGAAATGTTCTACGAGTCTCAAAGAGCGATGGACGGCGTCCTTCGCAAACTAGTCAGTTTAGCTTTGAGAAAGGGCATTCGACGAATGAGGCTGATGGCTCCCACAGGACCGCCTGATCATCAAACTCTCAGCTTTGATCGATCAAGCTGACAAGCTCTTCTTTGAAGCTCATCGGACGATGGGCTGGCAGTTCGTGCTGGAACAGCCGATGTGGTTCAGCTGGACGTTTGAAACATTTGGTATGTCGAAACGGGCTGTCAGGGAGTCTTGTCTATCTCCTTCGTGGACGCTGATGTCACGCGCCGCCTTTGCAACTCCTTGTAGTGGACTCTCTTTCGCCCCTTTTGTCAAACCATCATACTCAGCTTGCCCATCTTCGAGTATTATCTAATCAGATCACCGATCCACAAACATCGTTTGAGAATGCCAAACTTGCCCTTGAGCAGTGGCGCGATCTCGCCAAGGGCGGTTCCAGATGGCAATCTGTGCGAGACTGGGAGGAATTGATGGACCTGGAGATGAGCTTTGGCACTGAAGACTCGGACGATGATATGGATGACCGGGTCAAGTCGTCTGCGAGTAAGAAGAAGAAGGGGAGGTAAGGGACGGTAAAGATGACGCGGGAAGACAAGGATAGATCTAGAGCGCGGCACTCAGCGGCCAAAGAACATTATATTATTTCCTTGACGTCGGACGGACCCCCGGCGGTCACCATAGGAATCTCAGGCACCCTTTCCCAAAAACATATCCGATTGATCTCGGAAACCCACACCAACTGTGTTCACGTGGCCTGAGGCCGGCTGGCTGGGATCCTCCAAGCAAAGAAACGCCACGCCTTTTGCCGATCTGGTTGGTGGCCGTTGAGTGAGTTTTTCTTTGTAATCTCGGCAACCAACACTCACCGCAGGCAGAGGGTTTGCTCGCCCGTCGGTCTAAAAATCTCAGTCAGCTGTGGGAAATCTAACCAAACTATTACGGCATCGTCCGTCTATTGTTTTTGTTTTTTTTGGGCATTGGAGGCATCTTTGAGGCTGCTGGTCAATATATATATATGTACCTCTGCAAGTGCTCTGAACAATTATCCACAGCGACTCTCTTCCCCAAACTAGAACTTCCACTTCTCTGCTGCTTGACTCTAATACAATTAGTCAAACTCCTCCCTCGACAATGTCAGAATGTCAGAACATTGTGATCGTTGGCGGTAAGTGACAGCTCTTTTGTGTCCCGACCACAGAGAAACTGATCTTATCTTTCGCCTATCCTCTGCGATTTATCCCACACCAGCTTCCGGAGCAGGATCACAGCTTGCCACATCACTACTACCCCAACTTCCTCGCACGCATCGTATTCTCTTGATCGACGCCAGCTCTTTCGCTTCTTGGCCTCTTGCATCCCTCCGTGCGGCAGTCACTCCAGGATGGGAGAAACGCGTGGCTGTACCTCTATCAACCGAATCCATCTTTCCAAGTGGCTCTCAGCATCAAGTCATCTCGGGCTGCAAGGTCGTCGAGCTCAGAAAGAACTCCATCGTCTTAGAAAGAGCATTTGAAGGCTCCTCCGAGGTCCCATTCTTGGTATGTTCCGTCCCGGGAGAGTCCATCCGTACCTTCGTGCACGGTGACTAACCAATCTTTCTCATATAGAAATGCGTTTTGGCAACCGGAGCGTCTCAAGGGTTCCCCATGCGACCAGAACCTGGCATGTCAATGGAAGCCTACACTCAGAAACTGCAACAGCTCCAATCAGAGGCGCAGAGAGCGACCAAAGCGGTGATCATTGGAGGAGGAGCGGTAGGATTGGAAATGGCCGGGGTGAGTAGTTTAGGGCATTAAGCGCAGGGACCAAAACCGACCATCGTACTGACTGCTTGACAAAGGAGCTCAAGGATGCCGGTGTAAAGTCCATCACTATCGTCCACAATGCCTCCCATGTGCTCAATCCATCTTCGGCTCCCGCTTCAACCACCAACGACCACTTTTCCTACAACAATCCTCCGACCGCGCTCAAATTGTCCGTCTCATTGGAGAAACAACTCAAGGCGTTGGGAATCGATGTCATCCTGGATGACCGAGTCGTGATACCATCACCTTCAGATGCGGGACCAGGCGAATGGGATGGCTCCACTGGTCTGCAGAATGGGCTGAAAAAGCTCAAGACAAAGAATGGCAAAGTTCTCGAAGCGGATTACGTTTTTCAAAGTATCGGAAACAAGCCAAACGTCGGACTGGTCCAAAGCGTCGATCCCGGAGCTATTGTTTCTGGGCTCGTCGCAGTCAACGAGTATCTTCAGGTGCGCACTCTTTTTCTCGCCGCTGTCATGCTGTACCAAGTCCTAATACCAAAATCGTTTCGCAGGTCATTTCAAAGACATCTCAATCTCCACTCACCGATAACTACTTTGCGATCGGAGACTGTTGTTCGACACCAGGGTGGAAGACGCTTCAAGGCGCACAGAGTGATGCCGATGCTTGTGCCGTCAAGTGAGTCGTGTGCATCGTCTGGGCAAGGCGCTCTTGCTGACGCGCTGCAGCGTCATAAACGCCATCAAGGGTAAATCGCTCAAAGCATACTCTCGAGGCGGCCCAGCAGCCATGGTGAGCCTGACCGTCACTGCCCCTGCGAATACGACTCCGAAAGCTGACCACCGTCATTGCAGTTCATTCCCCTCGGCAAATCCGCGGGTGCTGGAACGCTCGACTTGCCGATCTTTGGGACTTGGCTCGTACCTCAGTTCATGGTCAAGAGTCTCAAGGCTCAGAAATTGATGGTCGAAGAAATGTTCATGCCTCGATTCAAGCTCGGTTCACAGAAACCGACTGTACCTGCTCCTCCTGCCTGAGTCCAAACCTGTATCCGAATACGATCCCATTCCGAATGCCCTTATAGACTACAGTATCGATACTTAATGCAGCGATGATCCTGGAGACGGGGTCAGATCATCCACTCTATGTGTAACTCGACTAATCTGAAAGTGTATAAACCTCCGCTGAAATGCATACAGCTTCTAATCGCAGATATAAATCATCTCGCCGCCCCAAACTCCGTTCCGTGCCGGCACAACGTGAAACCTAACAGTCGCGAGCGGCTTTGATGAGCTTGAGCCGTAGATTGGAACGGCCTGGAGTTAAAGCGTTGGCCAATTGAGTCCGGGTGAGGTCGTACTGACCCGATCAGCGCTAAACGTCCAAGCAGCCGGCCAGCACTCACTTTGGCTGCCACCGCGGTAGTATCGATTGCCTTGATACCGGCGAGGATAATTTCCTGTGCGATCGCTTCCTTCTTCTCTGGAGTCCATTCGCCTTGCTGCTGATCTCAATCGGCTCTCTGTTTCTTCGCCTTTGGAGTCTTAGGTGATCCGGCCGACCTCCCTTTGATAGATTTCTTCTTGGGTTTCGAGTCTGGGTTGGGCGAGTAGTCTTTGTCGGAGGAGTCAGTACCTTCGCCTTTGACGGCAGGCGTGGGGTGGGTAGGGGAGGAAGGTGGGGGAGTATGAGGTTCGAGCGAGTCTTCCGAGGCGGATCGTTTGACCTGTGAAAAAAAATCTCGTCAGCAACAAATACGATCGAACGCGAGATAATCGGATGATCAGTCGAGCACTCATTGGCTTCGCCAATGCTACCTACGCTGGGCATTGTATGTTTAGGGCGATATATGAGCTGGATTTGTGGGAAGAGTTGAAAGTGAGTGGAAGAAAGATGAAGAGAAGATGGGCAATGTTCGTGGTGAAGAGAAGCTTTTGTAGACAAGCCTCGGCTTGTCAGGATGCAAGGCATGGATAGCGTCATCAAGACATAGAGGTATGGAGTCTAATGTTGCCTCGTTGTATCCTTGAGACCCGGTTGTCAAGGTACAACCTCATGTTGGCTAATCCTACTTTGACCCGCGATGACCACGAAGCGGCTTTGTGCTATGTACAGTATATCTCACTCGTCCCTTCCGTTGCTTGCCGCACTTTCGCATCGTGTGACAGGAGCAGACAAGTCCCTCAGTCTGAAATCAGGGACAGTATCATGCATCATCGACTGCACGTCTGGTCCAGCAGCAGCTCCTATAGATTCGCTTTGTCGTAGAACATCAGCCACACTCGTGACGACCACTGCCACCCGCTCTGCCTAGTTCACTTGCCGAACCCTCCAGCAGCCTTGATCACCTTGGCTCGTAGATTGTTCTTGCCATTCTGCGTAGCATCTTTGAACTGCTGAGTAGTGATGCCGACCTGGTGTTGCATGTCAGTATACGGGCGATCCTGAAGGCACAGCCGCACTCACCTTTGCTGCTATCTCTGTTGGCTTTCCAGCTTTGATTCCGAGTGAGATGAGCTCGGCGATGAGTGTTTCCCGCTTTTCTGCTGTCCAGCTTGGTCCTCCTGCTCCAGAGCCAGATGAGGTTCCGTGTTGTGCTTTGTCCTTGGCTGACTTGGCCTTCTTGCTCGATGTGTCAATGTCTGGAGAGGACGACATGAGGAAGTCTGAAGGGGATGCTTCACGCTTCATGACGTTGTCTATGGGCTAGATTAGAATGTCTCCACTATAGGTAGGGCCAGACTCACGAAAGATAGCTTCGGAATAGACCTACCGGCGGAGTGAGCTGAGAAACCGACTGTTGATGTGAAGACGAAGATGGTCAGGATAGATGGGATACGAGGCGGGTTAGATATAGCTCCCCACATCGCTACTGCGGGCCTTCGCAAACGTCATCAGCCTCCTGCTTAGCGACCTATCTATTCTTCTTAGGCCGGGCACAAACGGCGTGGACATGGTACCGGAGTCGCGAGCATGGTCGTCAAGCAGCAACATGGGATTTGAGGGTCCTTTCTTTATCGTCTCGTTGTCCTGGCGACTACTCCTCGAGAGCCTGTGGAGCGACCACAAGACCTGTTCTTGGACATTAGCAGAGGTCATCTCAGTTTCCACTTCTCCTATCCCACTTCTCCCTCTTCCAGCAAACATCGAGTATCTCTCAACATACCCAGCTCATCGCCCTCCGAGACCCTGCCGGTTCACGGTGAGGCGGCCGCACAAAGACGATGTTGTGCCAGCTGACGAGACTGTAGATGCCTATCAAACGATCATTCTCGATGACTCCATCTCCCGCGCCCAGCTCGGCCTCTTCGGAATCGGCGGCGTACAGTCCATCTCCCAAGAAGATCAAGAAAGAGACCCTGACGTCGGACACTAGCTCTCCCACCACCCCAAAGACGCCAAAGTCCAATAGCACTGCCACCAAGTCTTCGAAAACGCCCAAGACTTCGAAAACTGGATCCAAAGCACAGGAAAACGGCACTTGGACGGCAGAGAAGAGAGGAATATTCATAGACGAGATCATCGCTGCTGGATACAAGGGAGCGGAACTCGACAGTTTGGCTGATAAAGTGAGTCGCAGCTCTCACGTGCTACGACCTTGTCATCACTATTCCTGATGACACTTTGTAGCTCAACTTGAGTAAGCGGCAGCTCATCGATCAGCTCGTTCCCAATCGGAACAACCTCCGAGGCAAAGCAGTCAAGGGCGCGAAGGGAGAGTGAGGAATCGAACATGGCGTGAAAGAGGAATTGATTCTGCGAGTACCGTAAACATGCATGACTTGGGAGCTATCTCTCCTCGTTACGGACGCTGCTATGCACTTGACTCTTCAATGTCGCACTTTGCCTGAAGCCGCCATGTCTGCTGCAGCTTGAACAAGCTTCCATCGCAAGTTGGTGCGACCAGTGCCCATTGCGTCGGCGTATTGCTTCTTTGTGATCCCGATCTAGGTAGCGTAGTATAGTCAGGGACTACCGACATGATCAAGTCCGAGAGATGGAGGGGAAATGAAGGAGACATTCATACATACATACCTCATCAGCCACATCTGACGCTTTCAAATGTGCCAATCCCGTCGAGATGATCTTGTCCACGAGAGCCATCTTTTTCTCAGCGTCCCATTCTGGGGATTTGCTGCATCCCTTCTTTGCGGCAGAATGAGGCGAAGAAGATGTCTCCGACTTGATGGCTTTCGATGGGGTGAGAGTTGAGTCAGGAGAGAAAGGTGAGGGAGAGCTAGACGCAGATCGCTTCATGAGTGCGGATACGACTCGAGGTGTGGCAGTTGAATGCAGCTCAATGAATTGGCCTGTGAGATGGGAGTGGAAATAGTAGTTATTGAATGTGGGTAGCGAGGCACTACAGACGCTCTTAGGAGTGTGGCCTGGACAGCTTTGAGAGTCTACTTGTCGACATGACGAGGCCGTGAAGGATGAGTGAGCATCATCGCCTACATTGCCGTTGTCAAGCAGTAAAGAAAATTTGGCAAAAGGATGGGCTGCTTGGCGAGAGGTAACCATGAGGCGTGCCTCGATAACGATAGGAGTATCGAGACGACGTGACGCTATATAGCCGGTGATATCGTCAGCATCGCTGTACGCCCTCGTTTCTCCAGTCTCATCTACGGTCATCAACCATCGCACAACTTGGGTCAAGCCACTCGCCCTCCTCTTCTTTCGATCAGCTTCAGCATCTCTTATCCAGGCAATATGGCGCTGAAAAGATCTCCCTCTCCTTCGTACACACCTGATTCCAAGGACATCTTTCCCTCCGACGATCAACCTTCTTCGACGCCCTCGCCGAAGAAGGCGAGATCGACCTCTGGGTCGCCCAAGAAGTCCGCTAGTAATGGTGCAGGCGGGGGCAATTCCTCTTGGAACGCGGAAAAATCGGCCCTCTTCGCAGAAGCTATCATTGCGGCTGGGATCGAGCATGTTGACAGGGAAGCTTTGGCCAATACGTTGAGTCCAGCAGTCAATACTCGCACAGAATGTCGGTTACAGTTTCCGATCGTGGCACTGCGTGCTGTCAGGTTTTTAACGATTCGCTGACTTGCCTCAGCTCGGCATCACGAAGAAACAAGTCGGTGATCAGCTTGCACCCAACCGATCCAACATCCGCAAGAGACTGATGGAATGGGCTAAAAGCTTTGGTGGAAGCTCTAGCAAGCCTTGAGGCTCGTAGGATGAGATTCACATGCATGACATTAGAGAGGCCGCTCAGCGCGGCACTGAGTCCAGCTTCCCTCACAGCCTTGGTAGATCAGTCCTATGTAGTGTATCGTTTGGTCACCTGTCGTCAGCAGTCACAGACAATCGCTGCGTATCAAGCGAATTCGTGTCGTTATTGTCCATGAGGCAGAAGGGAAATGCTGTCTGTTGACATGGTCGTCAGGCACGTCTGCTGACGACATCGACATGGTAACAACCGGTCACAATAGAAGTATCGAGACAATCTCCGTTACTTGATCTCCCGTTCTCGTCAGCCTCTCTTCGCTGCCGTCTATATACTTGGACGAATCAGATCTCCCGCAAAACCGCTCCTTTCTCTTGAACTTGATCACTCGGACCTCCTGATCTACAGCATCATGGCCATTAAGAGATCGCCTTCGCCCGCTCTCACCCCTTCCCCTAGCGGAGATACACAGCTCGAAAGCTCTCCAAAAGCTGCCTCGCCCAAGAAGGCAAAGTCAAGCTCTGGCTCGCCCAAGAAGTCCAAAAACACTTCGACGAATGGCTCTTCTGGAGGAGGTGTCGCTGCAGGGGTATGGACCGCTGAGAAGTTTGCTGTGTTGTCTGAGGAGTTCATGGCCTTGGCGAGTGAGCATATGGACAAGGAGCAGATCGCACAGAAGGTCAGTGGGATGCCCTCCCGGTAGACTTCGAGCTGACGCCAGAGGTCCAGCTCGGAGTCAGCAAATCGCAACTTGTGGATCAGCTGAAGCCGAATCGCGCCAACTTTCGGCGAAAGTTCATGGAATGGGCTAAGGGCGGTGTCAATCAGAAGGATGCAAAGGCATGAGAGTGGGGTCGACAACGACCCCTCTAGCCTCCAGGTGATATGAATGCAAATTGGTTCATATGCATGACGATTGGATCGCAAAACTGATCAGAGACAGTCTCGTTGAGGCACCTGCTGCCACAATCAGGAGGGAGCACCGTCTCATCGCATTCACTGATGTCCAGCGTGAGATGTGGATAGGCATCAATAACAGGGGTTTCCAATGGAATAGTCAGGTCATATAAGTGTACAAAGAATGCGCTGTGTCTGAGGTGCACACACATAGACCCGTTGTCAAGTTAGGCCTTGGATTTTGGCGGTGAACCTCACTCTATCGTTCTTGACGTAACTCACTCCGCATTCACTCAACCCCGCTCCAGCGTCACAGCATACTGTCATGAAACGATCTCCATCCTTCTGCTGTACCTCTCCAGAGCCCAGCACTCCTCCCAAGAAGAGGGTCAAATCCGAACACTCCCCGTCGCAACGAACAGTCAAAAAGGACAATGCCGAGCCTGGAGTCTTCACGACTGAGAAATATGCCATCTTCCTCGAGCGACTCATTACAGCTGGGTGGGCAAATGTGGACCGAAATCAACTTGCTCAGGAGGTGAGCATGTTGAATAGTCTACCGTTCAGCGGTCAATGGGACATTCTGACCCCTCACAGCTTGGCGTCACCAAGAAGCAGCTGTGCAAGCAGATGGAGCCCAATCGATTCAACATCCGAAAACGCGTGATGGAGTGGGTCAGGGGAATCTGAGCAATGACATGGCTAGCTACATGCATGATGATCATTGCGACGTCCATTCTGAACACCAGCTCTCCAACGACTGAGGTACTTTCCAGTATCATTGGCCACGAGAGAGCAAACTCTGTGATGACGTGAGATCGTCTCGACATACCCGAGGCACTCAAAGGACCAGCAGAAGGCCCTGGATACCGTAGGCACCTTTGTGAAGAGGCATGGGTTTCGGGTCATGATAGACATGAAGGTCGTGAAGGGTTGTGTAACTCATCTTCTTCTCACTTTTGCTCCTCCGACCGAAACGTCAGCCTCTTCGTCTTTCAACCTGCTGCAATCTGAACGACTGTGAGTAGCATACATCTAGGAATCCACTGAGATCCCTGGGAGGCCATGAAGCGATCTCAATCCTCTTCACCTTCTCGGGAATCATCTTCCATCTCGTCAGCGACTCCTTCGCCCAGTCAGAAGAAGAAGACCAAGGTTAAAACTTTGCAAAGATCCATCACCACCCAAAGCTCCTCGGGGAAACCTGGTCCAAATACCGCAGTGATCGCTCAGAGAGTCATTGAGGCTGGATTCAAGCACGTCGACCGGGAAGCGCTCGCGGCAGAGGTGAGCCTCATGAGTCTCCGTGTGCTGATGATTGGGCAGCTTGGGATCTCGAAGCAGAACCTATCAGTCTTGCTGGCCCCCAGTCAGAGTCTTCACAAGAGGATTGCAGAGCTTCCGAAAAGCCTCGAAAAGGGCGGAGGCAAGTAGAACAGCGTGGCGCTTTGGATGAGGCCCTAGTCGCTGGGTAGCAGAGGCCTGTATGTACATCAAGATAGCGATGCATTCCGAGCGCACCGAACTACAGAGCTATTTTCGATCGCCACAGAGAAGAGAACCAGACCAGTGGCCCTCCACGTAGCAGACCAAACCACAGCAGCTCTAATATGACTCCGCCCCATATCCAGTCCATCCCCAGATCCGGTTCAACGCCTCTCCCCATCCTGCACAGCTGCCACTCGTGCCACAGAGTAGACACTCCAGCGCCAACCAGCGGTATTCCTTCGCCAGATTTGCTTCCACCCCCAAAGATCCTCTTGACCACATTTGAGCCGGGAATGTTATAGCCCCCTAACCGAGTCTGCTCAGCAGACAGATCAGGATTGAGGATGATCCGGTTTGGGATATCAGGTCGAATACAAGCCGGTCTTCCTATTCCAACGAGATCGCATGCTTCGTCCCGAATCGCGCTTGCGATGATGGGTCGATCATGCATTCCCCCCGTCAGGATGATGGCTGGCCCCCCCGGAGGACGAGGAAGATGAGGAAGCAGGGAGGTCGTAAAGTGGGCGAACAAAGATTGACGAGAGTCAGGTGTAGAAACCGTTTCCGGCGTGGCGAATGCTGTGTACGTCAGCCCGACATTCGCGATGTGCTCGTTCGACCCTACCTGGGCTGGAATACGTTCCACCAGATATCTCGAGGATGTCCACCTTCTTCCATGATACAATCTCCGTGATGAGTGTGGTGGCGTAGTCTTCTGTCAGTCCTGAGGAGCATATAAGTGTCATGCATTGCAATCTAGCATTACACTCACCGCCATGTGTGAAGTCAGAACAGTTGAGCTTGATAGATAGCACGAAGGAAGGAGGTGTTGATCGTCTAATACCCATCACGATGAGATATAACGGATGTAGCCTTGGGTCGACCGATGCTGGCACGCCCGGTAGGGGAAATGCTTCAGGGTTAGTCTGCAACATTGGGTCAGATGGCTTTGTCAGACTCGCTGAACTCACCAATGGCGAGATCCACTCTGCAAGCAAATACCCGTGCGCCGAATGGATCTGTACACCATCCCAACCCGCCATCTCCATCCCTTTCGCGCTGTCGACAAAGAGGTCTACGATCCTCAGCCAGCCTTGCACGTCCAATATACGGCTCTGTCTTGGCCACAGAACGCGAGAGATCAGCCAGCCCATTATGCCTGACATGTCTGGACGAGTCCCTATTGGCGCTACCGCGGGAGACCACGGCCATCGGGAGAAACACGCTGTCGAGGAAGACTGTAAGCCTGGATGTGAAAGTTGACAAATGGTCAGAGGAGGAGCTCTAGTACGATGTGAGGTCGAAGATTCAGGCGACCCAATCGCAGACTGCTGTAGTTGCTTGTATGCTGCGATAGTATCGGGTGTTGAAGACGGGTACGAGCGATCATGTGGCGTGGCGAGATGCCCTGGATCGACTTGAACGTTACCTGAAAGCCAGAACAATCAGACCATCATCGTTGGACATCTCGATGTCTCGCGCCTACCTGTTATGACCACACCCCATCCGCCATCTCCCCACCTCTCATACAGCTTTCGGTGCTTCTCGCCCGGTAGACCTCCCCAGTGGGCAATCCCTTCCTCCATGGCGGCCTGAGAGTCATTAGTTGGTATCGGTCACGGAGCTTCCGGAGAGTATGCTCCGCCGCGCTGCATCACTCACCTTCACCAGGCGATTGGGAATCGTCACTCCATTTGGCAGCGTGATAGGGGTCGAGATGAGCTCGATATCGTCGAGGTCTCGCAAAGAACTCATGCTAGAACGACAAGAAGGTGAGTGGACACTCAAGGACCCCTTATCCGATATCTCCGTGAGACTTGAGGATCTCGCACCTGTTTCTATCCAGCTCGCTGGGTGCTCCTCATCGCATTGAAGAGTCGATGAGCAAGTGGACCGGCGATCGGAGACTCGTTACGACATCAAACAAAATAGGCGAGAGGCCTTCCAAAAATAGGCGCAAATTGTTTATACGACTCTGGTTCTCGCCTTCAAGTCATCCAACCACACTCTTGTTCAACGATCTGGCGAGCCTGCAACGACCAGCGATCGCGCATCGCCAGATGAGAGACGTTGGACCACCATGGATCTTGACGGGGAGAATCTAGGAGGATCATTTGGTCTGGGCAAAGTCCTCGCTTCGTCTGGAATTGACCCTTCCGCCTTCTCCTCTTTCTTCTCCAAGACTTCTGGTGGCGAGGCCCGGGCAGGCAACTCTGCATTCGATGATGTAGATGCCCAGTCGGACAATGGAGAGAATTATGAGGACGATGTCTCGGACTCAGAGCTCCCTAGGGAGACGGCCGAGGAATTGAGAGCTAGGGAAGCTAGAAAGGCAGAGGAGGAAAGATGGGTCCGAAGAGCTCAGGCAATGCAAGCTCAGGCGGAGAGTGAAAAGGCCAAGGAGGCCAGAGAGAGGAAAAAGTTGGAAAAGGCGCAGAGCGATGCTGGGCGAGTCAAGAAGCTCTGGCCAGATTTCGAGCACGGCAAGAGACTCAAGATGAGTGAGGTGTTCTACGAAACACCCGCAATGAGGCGTGCTTGGAGAGCCGACCTGAGCAGGAAGAAGAGACGGAAAGTAGAGCACATTGAGTGTGAGTTATCATACACTCCATCTCCCCATATGGCCATATGGAAGTCAGAGGATAAGACAGCTCATCTTCGCGCAGACCCGTTCAAAGTCGCAGCGGATACAGACCTACCACCACAATCGCTGTTCCTGCAGCATCTGGAACCTCTACCGAGCGTCGACTCTCACTCGGCGCTTTATGAGACCCCTATCGGACGATACTTCGACCCAGAATGGATCAAGTCTGCAAAGACCGCTCGGCTCATAGACTTGAAACGTCCCCCACACGGAATAGATCTCGACTTTACCCCTCTTACGCCTTTCACCGAGGACACAGGGAGTGCATCGTTGAACCTCGTAGACTGGGAGGATGACATTATCTTCAACGCGCTGTGAGTATACCAATGGCAGTGAATCAATTTCCTGACGATGTATGAAGCTCGGTGCAGGAAGAAAAGGACAACCCTATAGAGCCGCTGAAACCTCGGAACGACATTCTCGACTCAGGAGATTGGCTCAGTGATATTATCTGGGACGCGTCGCGCTTATCTCCCGGCCTTGTTCAGAGCGATGAGGAGTCGGACGATGTAGCTCGACCTGCAGCATTGACTTCTGGCCCAGTTCGGACCGGACCTCTGGCCAAATTGGACCCTTACAACATTTCAAACGACCACTTGTATGAAAGAAGTCGCGAGTCACGCTATAGGATCCGTCAAACTTTCGGTGCTATTGAAGTGTTCCACTCGGCCCCAGCGAAGAATCTACAGATCCCTTTCGTGAGCTGACCGTCCTCTGCTGCTGTTCGCTTTGAACTGACTGAGCACAGTACAAAACAACCTTGTCCAAAGCCGAGGCGCGCGCTTGGCGGAGACCCGCACTGCAATTCCCCACAGGCGTCACATTGTCCTTTTCCAAATTGAAATCCAACCCATCGGCCACCATCAGCAAGAAGAACAAGGCATTGATGGCAGATCCATCCGAGCGATTCAAAACGACTAAAGATTTGAGCATGTCTGAGAAGGGTCCATATGTGTTGTTGGAATTCTCGGTGAGTCAGCCCGAAGATCTCAAGGCCTGGTACTCAACAGCTCCTCAGGAGGAGTATCCACCAATCATGAGCGGGTATGGCATGGGAACAACGATCGTCAACTATTATCGAAAAAAGGACGACAGGGACGAGTCGGTCCCAAAGGTGGGTCCGATCATGGTCATCCAGTCAACCAGCTGAAATAGCAAAGCTCGATTTCGGTCAACCATCCATTCTCAACGTGGGAGATGGCGAACCTTACCTTTTGGGCTATGTCGATCGAGGCAAGGTAACGCAAATTATTCACAACAATTTACTCCGAGCTCCCATATTTCGACATCAGCCAGAGTCGTCAGACTTCTTAGTTGTGCGGTGTGTCTGCTTCGTCCTAGATTCGATGAGCCAACTGATACACTTTCAGTCAAACCATCAACGGTCATGCGTCATACTACCTCCGAATGATCAACAACTTGTTCACTGTCGGTCAGACTGTACCCAACGAGTCCGAAGTGCCAGGCCCACACGCTAGAAAGAATACCAATACGGCTAAACAACGACTCATGATCGTCGCTTGGCTTTTGATGCAAAGAAACAAGCAGGGCAAGCTTAAATTGAGCAAGTTGATCAAATACTTCCCGGATCAGACAGAGTTGCAGATCCGACAGAGACTGAAAATCAAAGGAAATGTGAGTACAATCAGGGCGATTTGAGAGCTCATGTTCGCAGGAATTCCTTATGTACGCTCGTCGTGAGGGCCCGAATCAAGGTTTCTGGCAATTGAACCCCGACTATGATTTCCCAAAGACCAGGAAGGAAGTCATTGAGCGATGTCCACCAGAAGCGGCGATGCTGTACGAGGCCATGCAAGTCGGAGCCCGACATTTGCATGATGCGGGATACTCGAAGACTGCCGAGGGCAAGGAAGATGACGAGTTCGGAGACGATTCAAACTTGGACGTCGAACAGCAGCTGGCCGTATGGAGCACCACGCTCAATTTCAAGCGCGCAGAAACGTCCAAAGCTTGGCTGATGGTGCATGGAGAAGGCGATCCAACGGGCCGAGGAGAGGGATTTAGCTTCTTGCGGACGAATATGAAGAGTTACTTTTTGCGCAAAGGGGAGACAGAGCAAGGCAGACGATGTGAGGATGTTGACAGCCCCTGATTTGGGACATCACTGACAAATCGTAGTGGAGGCAGAGGAGAAAGCCGGGGGCAACGTTGTTAAAATCTCGAATACGGCCCAACAGATCATCTACGAGGAAGAGAAGCGTAAAGTTTGGGATCTTCAATGGGCTGCGCTCAGTAACCCTGTACCGCCTGAGCTCAAAGGGGAGGATGATCTTGACAGGCCTGGCGCGACTTCTGCCGCGCTCGGTCCGAGGTTCGCTCGTTCCGACAGCCGACGAGCGTTGTCCCGAGGTAACTCGATGGCTGCAACCCCGATAGAGAGCCCTCGTTCCCCGAGCGCGTTCTCAGCAGACGGCGAGAGCGCTTACACGGGTAACGCTGGGGCAGGCAAGGTCATGCGAATCCGCCGTACGGTGGGTGAACAATTAACGTTCAAATTCGTATGCTGATACTCGTGTCTGCAGATCAAAGGCAAGCAAGTGACTGAGATTGTTAGAGATCCAGCGGTCATCGCTTCGTATATGAAACGGATCGAGGAGCAGAAACTGAACTACTACATGGACCATCCGGATGAGCTTGAGCCCACGGGTGCAGATGATGCCATCAAGATGGAAGCGTAAGTGCTTTTTCCTGCATCTTCTCTGGGTCCTAATGCGGCAACAGCCTCCGCAAGAACCTCGAAAAGTTCAAGAAGAATCAGCTCCGGCGAGCGGCTAGGAAGAAGAGTATGGCTGGCGAGTTGACGGTGTATGAAGGTGACGATGAGATTGGCGTGAGTCGACTGTTGAAGTCCCCTGTGACTCAGATTTCCGAATTCAACACTAATTACTGTTACAGAGACGAAAATGCGGGGCGTGTGGGCAAGTCGGGCACACCCGTGAGATGATTCCCCTTGTGGTGGTCTTGGTCTTGAGCTGATGTGACTCATTGCACAGGTGCCAATCGAGCTTGTCCAAAGTACAATGCCAACACGGCTCCATCCCCCGTCGGCACTACACCCGGCGCTCAAGCTGGAATGTATGGTATGACCTATGTTCCCTCACCTCACGAGGGATCCATGCCTCCACCACCTACAGAAGGATCGACAAACATCAAGATCAAGCTGGGTCTAAACAGACCTCCCTCTGGCGCATAACTCGACCAAAGCCTTCATCATCCGTGTGTAACACCTTGTTGTATTATAATCGATGTAGACAGCATTGTTTGAGACCACGTGCAGAGATGAAACAGCTGCAGTGGGTTTGATAAAATAAGCATAGAAATGATGCGAGAATGGCGTCAGATCTGACGTGCTGATGATAACAGTGTGTTGTTGTTGTCTGTGGCTGCGGCTGAACTGACAGACAGACTGGCTGGCTGGCTGCCTGGCTGGCGATGGCTCATTGAGGTAGGTGTGTATCTGATGGTGCAATAAGTGGTGACATGGTCGAGTCGATATATCCAAGGTATATACATAGAAAGACATTCGTTTATACTATATTCCCCATACTCATCTACGACCATGACTGCTCTCGCGCATCAGCTCCAACCGTTTTCACGTAAACAGGACCAGAACAGCTGGGATAGCATCCAGTGTCCTGCACCTTCATCGCTATACCCTTCTCAGTATGACTCCCAGCATAACGACTCAATCTCCTTCCAGTGCCCCTTCTCTACTTTGAGTTCTGTAGCCTCCAGGGAGCATCACGCAGTGGTCCTCCCAACATCTCATCCCATCGTCTCAAGATCTATATCTCCCCTGTCACGTCCATCCTATCGTCAGCAAGAGGTCTCTTCAGGCTCTTCAGGCGTCAAAAATGCTTCTTATATTTTGCCTGTCTTGCCAAACTTGATCGAACCGAGGCGAGAAGAAGAACATCTAGTCACACAAGGGAACTTTTCGCATCTCTACTCGGACGACCTCGACCGACCATCTATGATACTACAACAGACCCTCGAGGGATTCAGAGCTAGTTCGTCGAGGTATGCCACAGAGAGATATGATATTGCATTCAACTGGACGGATCTGGTGAGCAATGCCGCGGTGTCTGTTATAAGATCTAGGCTGATCATTCTTGTCTGCAGGAAGGTCTGCCCCTGGACATGCACAGAGAATGGTACTGCGTTGTATTCCGCTCCAAGCGGAAGGCAAGCTCCTCCAATCTCTCGCTATATTCCGCGGATAGAGCAGCGCATTACGAAGCCATCGAGGGAGGAGGATTGATCATGTATTGGTATGGCGAACCAGATGATCAAGGTCAAAATCTGGCGACTTGCGTGTGGCAGAGGTGAGCATGGCGCTTCACCAGATCCTTTTCAAACACTGTCCTGATACCTTTCTGGTAGCCGACAGCAAGCGCTGGAAGGCACCAAAGGACCAAGACATATACATGCCATGCGACAGGCTGCAAAAGCTTATGAGAGCTTTACTTTGGAGCGCTGGGTTTTGAGGAAAGAGAGAGGGAAACTCAGATTAAGCCTGGTACCGTGGATCGACGGCGAGGTGAATCTAGGCAGCTCGGTCCAACGAGGTCGTTCACGAGAGACGAAGAAGTTGAGTTTATGAGAAGCGGTAACGATGGTGCTTTGATTGATATGAGGTTCCATGCCTCATGCATATCTTCAGACCCATTTTGCCCACTTCACCCTCGCAAGCTTGATGAGCTCCAGAGCAGATGTGGAAATAACAGTTGGGCGGTTCCCGCCATCGACAAGCTGATTCCACCTTTGCTCGATATGGGACAGCTGCACCAGCCAGTCAGTGTGATTATAAGCCTCAGGAGGATGTCGGATGACTGGAGTATCAAGTTTAGCTCATCGCCCGAGGACAACCCTGGTTGAGCGGGTATGACTCACGATATGCGTAGAACGCTTCCCAATTATCGGCACTAGATATTGCATCAGCACCACCTCGAGCGGTCGATTTGCACGACTTACTAGAATGGATCGAGTACACCATGCCAGCTCTTTGACGCATACCGATCAAGCGGCCAAGGAATGACATTTTGCGTGCCCCATATGGAGATCTGATTTCGGCATTGAAACTGGAGAGAAGTCAGATCTTAGCAGAAAAGAGCGTAGACATAGCTTACCTCGTAGAAGTCCTGAGTGGCGGAATCGTCGGACCAGCTCCGCGCATCTGCTATCCAGGAAGACAGGAGAAAATGATCATCGGTGCCGAGAATTCTGTTCACATCTTTGAGCAAGTCGACAATGGATCTTCCTGCGGATTCGATCTCTGCCTTTTGGTTTCCGTGTTTCCAACTGGCAATCATCTGCGAATTGACCATCAGCCAGGAAGAAACGCAACGCTCACCGTCCGATACATCTTGTCACCAGCGTTCATGAAGACCTGTCTCGCCACGTCCACTAGATCATAATGGAATGTCTTCACTCTCAAGAGCCGTTTATCATGGTTCGCAGCCGTGATCAAGAGGTCCAATGATTCCACCAAAGCCGAAGTGTTGTACGTCAAGAGGTCAGATTCGATGATCCAAGGAGTAGGAACCAGTTCTAGAGCAGCCTTGTTGACAGCTTTGAGATTCGGATTGCGATTCTCGTACGCCGTAGCCTATCAAATGTTTAGCTAGATGACGCCAGGAGATAAAGTTGTGGAGCCTCACGGCGATGAGACGCCATGCCTCTTGGACCAGAGACACGGCGTGCCTGCTCGAGGCGGTACGGAGAGCATATCGGTTCCTTATGAATCTCTTGAGCCATTCAACAGGATTCAGGACACCGTCGCTCCATGCGGTGTCTGTGACGAGCTCATACACCAGCTCATTCTGATTCATGCCTGTGTTATTGATCAGCGAAGCTACTTCCACGCATGGACATGCCTTCCATGGTCAGCCCCATGCCTTTGATCGACTTTGATGTGTGAAGCGACCGTATGATCTCGTTCACATAATGAGTGAGCTCGCCATAGAAGCCTTGCTCTTGCCCATAGTTCATAAGCTAGTCCACGGTCAGGCTAGTTCGAGATTTGACAGCACGCTCACATGGCAGTACAGCCAGTCGTGGTCAAAGTACGACTCTGTTTCGTTCCATACCGGGCTAGCTTCTGATGTGAGATCGAGGATAAGCTACGGCTATCAGTTGGTCTCGCTTTGATGCATTAGCAGCAGAGGCTCACGATCTCGTCCTTCTCAGCGCCATGAAGCAGTGCCTTGACCGTCTTTTCAGTCCAACTGCCCTTGTCGACATTGAAGAACCACCCTTGCATGACCCAGACTGCTTCGGGATCCACATTACGCAACGACCGTATGACGCTTTGAGTGTTTGTAGTCAGGTACGAAAGGTCAGTGGATGGAGGCTGAAGCTCGTTATAGAGGTCGATCTGTAGCCAAGCGCATCAGACGTCTAGCTGACTGACAAAGGGAATCACGCGTACCGAGTAGTAATGAGATGTCCAGCCGCCGTATAGTTCTTGCTGTTTCTTTAAGAAGGCTTCCTGTACTAAAGTCCATGTGTCCCAAGTAGGATCAATGGCGTGGTTGTCGCTGTCTTACCAGGTCAGTCTGAAGAGACCTGTCGAGAACCTCACTTTCGACGGAGAAGCCGTTCCAATTCGAAGCCTTGATAAATTCTGGTCCCCCAATGAGCTCATGCAGTTCCTGCGGAACAAAGCTAGCGATTCGTGAGTGTCGCCGAGCCGCTTGACTCACCCGCTGAACCCAGGCAAGATGGGTGTGATTCCCAAAGCGACCATTCTTGCTACGAGCTGCTTCTGCAGAACCCACTGCTTTTCTGTGTGCAGAGTTCAGCATACTTTGTAGAGGCTCATCGACTCACCGACCCATTCCCGAGTCACGTTTTGACCCCAAGAACCATGTATATTGCCCATCCTCTGCCAGGCTTGGAAAGCTGGTCCGGAAAAGTAGCCGAGAGTTTGATTCTCCGTCATGCCAAAGTCTTTATACACTTCTGCCCAGATGCTAGATCAGTCAAGTCAGTCCTCCTGCTTCACGAAAGCAGTGACCCGTAACCTACTATTCCTGCCCTCCGAGGGCAAGAATCATGTTAAAGCCATGTAGACTGGCCCAATCCAAGAGATATTCCCACTTATCAAAGTCGTACCAGACTACAGGGGGCTATTTAGTGACGGACGGACGGACGTCCTACAGGAACTTCTCTCACCAGTCGTATAAGACAGAGAGACGACATTTAGAAAGTATCTCCATTTAGCCCATGATCCACCTTGCAGATCTGAAGACCTCAGATCCGATGGGTCCGGGAGATACTGGAACGAGTCACCGGACCATGCAATGTCTGCGCCTTGATCGCGAAGGAAGGATAGAACACCACGTGAGAGACCACAGGTGGACGAGGCGGTGATAGTGATCTGATCTTCGCTGCGAGACTGGTCGTAGATTACAGAGAAGGCGTCGTTTGATTTTCCGCCCAAATCATCCGATATGTGGAGGGTGAACCGATCATGGTAGCTGGTCGATGATCGTCAGGCGGACGAACTATGCATAGAGATGCCTAAGACTGACCTCTCTGGGAGTCTGCGCTTGATCAAGGCTTGTATAGCATGCACACCCTGCGGTTCGCCTTCGATGGTATTTGAGGAATGAACCTTGACGGCAGAGTGGGGAAATCCGCCCCGGTCATGGGATGGAAAGAGCGACAGCCAGCGCAGTATCCCAGTCGACAAGACCGAGAAAGACGGAGTGAACATAGTCAGGCTAGCTCATGTGGAACCACCGCCAAGAGTCAGTGGAATGTCAGTTGTCAACTTGAACAACAGAGTTGGGTCCAGATGACATGCGGGCAATGACCCGGTGAACCGGTGGCCGGTCAGTCATGGTTAATGAACAGGGGACGTGAAGGCTGCTGCCGAAGCTGTTCGAGGCACCAGTTACATAGACGTCCAACAACATCACTCATCGCTTGCTCCGCTCAGCCAACCAAACATTGTGGCCCTGCTGATCGCCTGGCAACATCAGCATGCACGTCATGGGAGACCTCCGACTTTACCGGAAATAGAGCACCCTCCACCTCCACTCGTCGTCAACTCCACCGACCTCCCCGAACCGATCCCACCAATTCCGACGAGGCGTCGTTCTTAATATTTGTGTCTGTTGTGCGATATATATCTCCCCAGCTCAGAGACCTCAAACAACTCTCCCATCTGAATCTCCATCCACAAGGCTCATCTCTTAAAAAACCATTGGTACGCCCAACATCATGTCAGCGACCCAACACAAGAAGCCCAGAGTGAGTATGTCGCCGTGTTATTTTCAGCCCGGTTCGGTTCACATCCTTCATTCACGTCGCAGCTGCCAAACAAGCTGACATGTGCCCCTCCCATAGATCATCCTCGGTCTCATGACCTTTGGACCCGATAAGGAGAAAGGAGCTCGAGTGACGTCGATGGATGATTTCAACAAGATTCTCGACGACCTCCAAAAATTAGGCTACAATGAAGTCGACACAGCCTATAGCTACTGCGGGACAGAGCAACAAGCTTGGACTCGCAAGGCCAATTGGAAGGAACGTGACCTCAAATTAGCGACCAAATTCTACCCTGGAGGCCAAGGAGGAGGTCATGATGCCGCCAATATTCGAGCTAAACTGGAGTGGAATCTCGAGCAATTGGGAACGGACTGTGTCGATATCTTTTACCTTCACGCTGCCGATCGAAATACCCCCTTTGTTGAGACGCTGGAAGAATGCAACAAGCTTCACAAAGAGGGTAAATTCAAGCAATTGGGTATCAGCAATTTCACCGCGTACGAATTGGCAGAGTGCGTGACCATCTGCCAGGAGAGGGGATGGGTCAAACCTTCCATCTACCAAGGCATGTACAATGCGATTAGTCAGTATAGCTCATTATGCGAGAGACTTGACCATTGACTGACGCCTGATTGCCAGCTCGAAACCTCGAGAGCGAGCTCATTGTCGCTTGTCACCGTTACGGCCTTGAAATTGTCGTATACAATCCTCTCGCTGGAGGTCTTTTCTCCGGCAAGATCAAATCCAAGGATCAGAAGGTCGAGGACCCCCACTCCCGATTCGGGGCTCAGGCCTCGACAGGCAGCAACTATCGAAAGCGATACTTTCGGGATGCCACGTTTGAATCGCTCGAGATAATTGAAAAGGTCGCAGACAAGCACAACTTGACCCTACTGGAGATTGCTCTGCGATGGACTGTGCACCACAGTAAGCTGCACATCGATAATGGCAAGGATGGAATCATCATCGGAGTTTCGAGTGTCGACCAGCTTGAATCAAATATCAAGGATTTGGAGAAGGGTCCGTTGCCCGAGGAGGTTGTCCAGGTCATTGACGAGGCCTGGCTCCATGTCAAGGCCGTATCGCCTGTATACTGGCACGGAGAGCTGGAATACGGATATGATTGGGACAACACATACAAGCACTAGGTGGATAAAGTTAGCAGTCGATCAAGTAGTAGTTGGACAGGATGAATGGAGCTGCTCGTAGCTGCCACATTCGCCGCTATACCCCGCATTTCTACCCCGGATCTTCCCGCCGAGTTCCCGGGCCAAAGGTCATTGACCGTAGTGTCGAGTTACACGCTATCACATCGATTCGGTAGATCTTGATATCTAGCACGCTTTCAGACAACGATCTAGACATCTAGACACGGGCACGATTTTTGAATCTAACCCTTACATCACTGAGCTCGACTTTGCGCGCAGTGTCCATGGTCCCATATCCAGCTGGGTGATTTATTACCCGGGTGGCCAATACGCTTGTCTCAGCGTCTCAGCTGGGAGGCAGTCAAGATATCGCGTGAGTAGGCCCAGATTCTATCAAGGCAGAGTCTCTTCCATGATCATTCTCGATGCACTGTAAAGTGCAGTGCAGTGTCCCGAGACATCGCTTCCTTGGAGATCCGCTCTGTCCGTCTTATCTATAACCCTTCTTGTCTTCCCTTGTTCCCCCCTTTCCCGGTCTCACCCGGTTTTCTCGATTGCATCCCAATTGTTCCCCTGGTCGTTAGGATCGCCAGTCCCAGAGCTTTGCGCGAGTCTTTGCGATATATGATGGCTAACGCTCTCACGTAGGACCATGCCGACCTCTGCAAGATCCCAGCCTGAAAGGCCTGGGACCCCCTTCCGGCATCACGTTACCCCATTACGCAACCTTTCACCCCCTGCGTCTCCCACCACTACTCATTCGGTAGACGATCAGCTTGAGAGCTCCTATCTCTTCGTTCATGATCATGACCAAGACGAGACATCCTCTGAACCTGGCTCTTCGCTTCGAGACTCTGTGATCGGTCTCTCGGATTCAAGCAGCGAACCTCAGGGTCGAGAACGATGGGAAGATGATGAAAGCACTTCGAGCGGCGAACATGTGGACGATCTCGTTCACCTTGATTCGGATCCGGCCCCTTCAATCTTGGATGGATCTTACATCGACGCTGAGGCTACGGCGTCCACTCTCTCCGAAATGACCGACTCCAGAGCGACTGTCAATCGCCGTCTAAGGGAGCTCTCGGAATCTCAAGTCAGATTAATCATGCCCGATCCAAGCAGCTCCTCCTTCACATCCGCTACTATCAGTGACAACACCACCCCAAGCGGGTCATTGGGCAATCTCCTCAGTATCTCCTCGGAAGCTGTCAAACCTATCAATCCCCGACGAGACACGTCTAGTACTCTGCGGCCGATCGATAAGAGTTGGTTGGAGAATAGCAGCAGGCTTTGGAATGTTCCACCGGATCTCAGACAGAAAATCGATCATCACGAGGACTTTGGGCCGAGCTACGCTGTCTTGGGGAGTTTTGACGATATTCAGACACACCAGACTGGTGGCATGCGTTGGCACAATGAGAAGCATGATGACCCTCATCGGGATGCCAGCAGAGAGGACAAGAAACCTCAGGAGACTATAGAACGCCCAACCAAATCACAGACTTCGCGGACCCTAGATGGTCCCAGAAAGAAATGGTGAGCTTATCGTCCCTCCAAATCGGCGTCCCGCTGATGATGACAGGACGGTTCGAGCGTCCCTGATTGCTCTTACCTCTTTGCTTTCGCTTGGACTGCTCGGTTCTGTCCTAACAAGTCGCCGCTCAGTGGTCGTGGAACCTAGCTCATCGGGCGATACTCCCGTGCCCCCTGCCTGTCGAACATCACTCTGGGACCAGATTGCACTGTCGCCTTTGGCTTTCACGGTCCTGTCGAGCTCGGATGCTGCCGCGTCGTCCAGTACTGGCAAAGTTCCTGACCTGCAGCTTATCAAGCAAGCCCTGTCTACCTTATCATCGACCACGAACAAAGCTCTACCTAGTCAACCCGACTCTACTGGCCGACCGAGAAAGCTAGAAGCTGATGCGAAGACCAAGGCATCCTCCAAGGGCAAGGAAAGGAAAGCGGCGGTCAATAGCTCCTGTTGCGCTATTTCAATTCGAGACAACAACACGGATCTGGCAGTCCGACCGACTCAGTTTGCGCTTGCTACTACGGGAGAGACCTGGAGGAATTCTGTGGCTCGCAAACTTCGGCGCCGTCCGAAAACCTCGCACCACGTCAACCATACGGCTGTTGTGGAAGAATGTAACTGTGAATTATCCGAATATCTCGGATCTTTCCTGTGGTCTTCCTTCTTCCGCGGCTCGAATTATACTCGACATCAATCGTCCATATTCCTCGACTATATCGGCTCGATCTGGGGGCCTGCCTGGCTCGAGCTACGCAAGGAATGGCAAGAAGTTGTTGCGCTATTGAAGACTATGTCCGAGGCTTCGGCTACTCTGAGCCAATTCGTTTTGCGACGCGCCACCCGCGGTGTATCGATATCCCGTCATATCCTTGACAATGCGACAGTGAGACTCAGGTCGAACATGCCAGATATCCCTACACCAAACATGGATCCTGAAACTTTGCACAAAGCCAAGGAGAGAATTCATCTCCTTACAACTTACCTCGAAAGTCATGCCGCATCCATGGCAGAGTATCTGGAAGAGCAAAGCACCGTCATGCAGGAGAAGAGTGCAGAGTCATTGCGACAGGCCAAACGTGGTCTCGACAAATTGGTCAACGAGGCCAAACGAATCGTCAACGAAGACAAAGCTGTCTACCATGAGGCACACGGTGATTTTGCCCCTGAGTATCGGGGCCGTGACGAGTTTGATCGCCAGTCCAAGGGTCGGACGAAGACGCATAGGACCTCTAAGGAACGACGGGAGCCACACGTCACGCGAATTCCTCCAGCACAGCGACTTTCGAGAGGACGTCGATTTTGGGACATGATACATCACGTGGGTCGCCGAGGCAGTGTCTGACGCTAATATTGTCTAGGGTGCCGTGGCTCTAGTATTGTGAACACGGCAAAGCATACAACTTTCCCACTCACTCCCCAACAATTCTCTTACGGCTTGCGGACCCCATCAATAGCTTGCGAACTTTTTAACTCTCATCATCAACTTGTTGCTACCTCTCCTATGTTGTGAATACCTTATTTGTATCCTTCTCCAGTTGTTCACTACCCCATCTTTTCGCTGTGCGCCTTTCATGTACCTCTTTGGCTTCACAAAAAGTATCCTCTGGCCAGCTGCTGACAGGCTGTGCTGACAATGACGCTCATGATCATATCATAGGGCTATTTTGCTACCATCGTACGAGTACAGATCATCTCCCCTTCCGATGCTTGACATCTTGAAATAGGTCCACATCATCCACTTTTTCACGTTGAAAGCTGCCACGCTTGCCTTGCCGACCTGTCTCGATTTACCAGATTGTTGGGTGAATTTGTTGATTACGCCTAGTCGCTTCCTCCTCTCTGCCTCCCACTTGGATAGACTCAGACCTTTGGCCAGCACCTCAGCAAGTAACCAAGCATCTTCGAAAGCTTGTGCGGCTCCCTGTCCGCCGCTAGGGGGTATGGCATGAGCTGCGTCTCCAATGAGCACCACCCGATCCGAGTGCCATCGAGGGAGTTCTGGTACAGAGTATTGAGCCCACAGAAGAGTCGAGTCTGGATTGTTGTGTGCCTGTTCGATCAAGTCGACGATTGGTCCTCTCCAATCGGCAAATCGCTCCTTTGCGAGTTTCAAGGCTTGACCGCTCGACTTCATCTCAGCCCACCCTGCTCGAGTCTCTTCCTTTTCCACCTCGAGTGTGGCGAACCAGCTCGCTGCTTCCTCGCCCTCGCCCTGAGCGCCGCATGGACTGAGTCCGATCGTACCGGTTCGACCGTACACTATACACGGCATCGGGTAGGCCTTGACTTGACCTGGGGATATCATAGCTCCAATCGACACAATGCCAGTGTACTGAGGTTCGGGGGAGTCTGGACAAATGGTTTGACGGACCATCGAATGGATACCATCCGCTCCGACGATGTAGTCACCCGTCACCTCCGTACCATCTGCGAAATGGACTTTTGGATTTAGGGCATGATTCTCTACCCGGGCTGCCTTTTTACCCATTTGAATCGAGATCAGCTCGGGATAGCTTTGGGTGGCGGCATCCACTAAACATTGGTGTAGTCGATATCGGCGGATGCGCAACGCTGGGTACCCATATCGAGCTCTCGAGCCTATGTGAAACTTGCCAATCTGGAACCCGTCGTTGGTGATCTGCAAGAATATGAGCAGCGTGTAGTGGCATAAGAAGCTGGTTGTAGAGAAGATTCTGCCTCACAAGGTTCATAATTTCAAACTCTGTGCCTTGCTTTCGAAGATCCCGCCATAGTCCTAGCTGATCGAGAACACGAAGACAATTTGGTGCCAACGTGACTGATCCCTTTCAGCTGTGCTTACAGACCTCGGCACGTACGGGAGCCTCCAATATCTTGCCTCTCTGCCTTGCCTTCGTAGATCTCGGACTTGATGCCTCGCTGAGCGAGCGCCAATGCGAGACAAGTCCCGCCTGTGCAGCGTGGAATCAGATGACGGCGGCTACTGTGAATCTTACCTAGACCTCCGCCGACGATGATGACTTTGATTCCTACACTGGAGGACGACATCGTTCAGATAAGAGTGTCGTCAGAAGGCTTGATGAGGCGTCTGGAGGGTTCTGTACAGGAGCGCTGACCTAGCAGCACTGAGTGAGGACGAAGGTTTCGTTTGCTTGGTCTGCGGAGAGTCTGAAATGCCGCTCATTATATCGTCGATATCTGATAAGCATCGTTGACCGATCAGAATATGCATAAAGAATCAAAGGGAACCGATCTGATACACTAAGATCACATCGATACCGATATCGCTTCCGCATCGCTTCCGCCATCGTTCTCAACACCGTCGGCACCGGTCGAAATGCCCATTTTTATCAGTCTGGCGGTGCAAGTGGGAGCCAACGTCACCATGAATCTCTGGGTTTCATGCCATTTCTAGTGTGGTCCCGTAATCGTGGAACGCTCGTATAACGATTAGACGATTAGGGTCGACGTTTGAGGCGGAGCCGGACAGCGGTGCATGCACCAATTGGCTGTATCGAGTCAGTCTCTCCTCTAGCTAGCTTGGTGTATAGCGCCTCTTTCGGTCACCTACCAACTCGTGCCACTATCAACCGATCTGTTGTCTGCAATCCGAACACGAGTTCAACGTGGGAACCTGTGCTGTCAATCTGAGCTGCTACTCGGGCCTACAGCGCGGACACTGGGGAACGTTCGTATATCGCCTTCAAATGAACGGAGCTGCTGTCACTCTGGAGACAGCACTGCCGCCTCCTTTCATAGGGGATGAGACCCTCAGCGTGACGCGTCTCAGCTTCATCAGGATCAAGCAAGGTCGCGCGCCCTTTGTTCTCCAACGGGATGTCAATGGCTCATCGGGGGTCCTCAGCAGCGTGTGAAAATCGCCCCACAAGTCTGTCCGCTTGATTATCTCTGTTGAATGGTGGTCATAATCACTATTCTCACCTAGACCTAACGAGCCATCACTGCTCTCATATCCTGCTCCCATCTCTACGAACCAATGACTTCCTTAGCCTCTAATGAAACCATGCCAACACCTTCAAGGACCTTTGACTCAACTAAGCAAGAGTGCTTCGGCTGTAATAAACCGGATGACTGTGAGAGAAGCGCACAGGTGACGCCAGCGCCGCGATACCAGTATCAATCGCAATCTTCACTTTTCTTCAAAGACGTGCTCGATGGCGCAGAAGGATCATGGGAGAATCGAGTGAGCCATAATACGTTGGTGTAAGAGCTGTGATGACCGTCTGATCCAAAGGCCGAGAACAATTTTGGTCTCAAGAGTGACTCATGGCTTGGGTTTAGAAAGGAATTGGAGGGTGGCATTCTTGCGATTCCCTTTTGAGGAACACTTATTGACCTGTCGGTGATCATAGCCCTCTCGGAGAAGAATCAGGAGGATAATTGGAAGACTCTGGTTCTGATGGAGCAAAGGCACGAACAAGGTGAGTCAATGCTGCCCCGGCTACTTCGTAAGCTCTACTGAGCCTGTCTCACGCCAGCGACATCCAATGTGAGGGGCGAGACTTATCCTGATCTCGTGAAATGTGGTCTCGTAGGTGGCGATTCAAGAACGATTCATGTGACATTCTGACCGATCACTAAGCAATACGTTGAGACTGAACAAGATGCAAAGCTCACAGAGCTCGGAGAAGAAAGAGCCAAAGAGAAAGGCCAGCTGATGCTGGCCAATGTCTCTGAGGGCATGCCACTTCCAGATAGACGGGCGATCTTTGCGTCTAGTTGTTCTCGCGCTGTGCAGACTGGGCTGGCAACATTTGGGCCTGTTTACGACTCGAGTATAGCTCTGAACATCACTCGCGTGAGTTGATCTCGTGGCATTCTCCACGTCTCTGATCGTTGACTGGAAATGATCCAGGACTTTGCGGAGCGAAGCCACTGCAATTACTGCGACAAGGGCTCCACGATTACACAGCTCAGAAAGTCATTTGGCGATTCCATCCGGGTCCCGTTCGACATGCCGGAGCACGATGAGAAGTATGAGTGCTGGCCATGTAGGAACGAATCCGCGATCCGTCGGGGAATCACTCAGCGTCATCCCAAGGCTGATGTCATGCGTCCCAATTTCGACATTTTCCCGTCGTTGAGGAAGACAGATTGGTCAGAGATCGCACCTAAAGCTGCGGTGCGAGAATCTGACGAGTCCCTGAAGTCTCGTAACTGGAGAGGACTGGATGATGCAGTGGATCATTTGAGGTACCTTCAATCCATCGACACGAGTGTCCCTGCCAGTGAGTTTCTCCGCCACATGCGTCGGTCGAATTGTCTGACGGAGTCCCCAGCTATCGCCTTGATCGGTCACTCGTCTCAGTTGGAGAACCTGAACAGTCAGGTGCTGGGCAAGTATGGTGATGTCACTGACCCATGTACATTGAACAAGGCGATCCTGAAGAATGGAGAGGTCAGAATCGAGGTCATCAGGTATCGACCCATGAGCGGGTCTTGGGACTCGCAGGCCTCTTCTAAGTGGCACGTCGAGACTTCTCAGGCATGAGTTCTACTCTGCAGACTGGTTTCTTCTACTTCAATGAATCGACCCGACAGGCATGTATGCATGTCTCTCCATCGAGACGCGGGCGGATTGCCGACGTGATAGCCATTCGCTGTTCTCTCGCTGTGTCTCCTGTGAGCATCCCGCCGTGTTTCAGACATTCTCAAGCACCTCACACGGTGGAGGCGAGCCCAGCCCAGCCCAAGAACACTCTCGGTCCCTCCTTTGTCCATTCTGTGCACAGTGAGACACAAACGTTGGCAAACTGATACTCTCGCCTCTTCGTTCCGTATATTCACTCTCCCTTCACTGGCTGACCAGTTGCACCTCTCAACTTTCGCCCTGACCTCACAGTACTCAAAATCCTGCATCCTTACCTCATACCTGGACATACACATCACTAGCCTCGAGAGGCTTCCCGCAGCCTGTCTGACCATAAATCGAAGCCTTCTTCTCTCCAATCAAACAACCAAGGAAGGTGACACCTCAAGAGCCGTTCGATCAACCACGGAACACTCTTGACTCGGTTAGGATCGAGTACACTCACAGCATGGGCGGCTCATCTGCTCGCACAGTGACGTCCACTGATCAACAGCAATGTTATGGATGTACTCCACCTCCCGGTCAGACTCGCGGATCACAAGCGCATCCCAAGGAGAGCTACACATCGCGATACGACATTGAGCCAGTCTTGACAGACTCATTGGATCCCACGGTTCCAGGACAAAAGTTGTTTCTGGACCCAAGTGACGGAGAGTTGGGTAAATGGGGTTCGAATGTACGTGGCTCCATCTGAGACGAGTGTTCGTCTGACTGCTGGGCAGAAATGGAACAGTCTCGGTCTGACTTACGAGAATCCGGAAGAGTATGAGATCAGAGTGCAAGGTGAGAGCTCGTCAGCTAGAGCAAGCTGACTGGCTCAACAGAAATCAAAGACCACTTGGCGAAGACAGGATGGAGTCTCGCGGAACTGACCCTTATACGGCATGAAGAGGGTGAATACCCTCTTGCCAAAGCTTGGTCCTAAGATGACTGATGACGCCACCTTAGGTCCCCATAATCTAAGGAGCAAGGTATTTCCAGACCTCGCGAAGGATGGTCTAGTGAGCTGCTCTAATGCTCTCACTTCACTCCAGGGTGACAGACTGACCCTAACGCCTGTAGCATAATATCGAGTCACCCCGTGATTGCTTGATCACAGAAAAGGGAAGAACAAGAGCGGGAGAATCTGCTCAACTCCTGAGTGGGATATTCAAGAAGGAGACGAGCATGTCTGACGGCACAACGAGAAGGATCATGAGGATGCCTGCAGGCGATTCGATTTACTCTTCACCATCGTCCCGCGTCATTCTTACTGTCAAAGAAGAGTGGGGACCTTTGGTTCCAGATTGGAAGCTGAAAGTCACAAGAGTAGGTCGGCGTCCCATGTCTCGAGCAAATCTGTTTGACAAATCAATAGGACCTAGCTGAACAGCGTCACTCGCACCCTTGCGATGCTGGACCATCCAAAACTTCTCTGGAAGTCGAATTCCCTGATCGAGTGATCCCTGCGGATGACATGACGGAACATGATGAGAAGTGGCGCTGTATCGCTTGCTCAATCGCTTCAGCTCCGGAATCTGCGCCGACACACGAGAACGCGGCGGAAGTCAAGACTCGCATCAACAGTATGGAGTTGCTCCAGAGAAATCTGACTGTCTCACCATTGACCCGTGTCACGGAACCGAGTACATGGCGCGAAAGTGAAAGTGACATGATTCATCGTATCAGACGGGGACTCGAATCGGTTCTGGATGATCAGGCTCATCTATCATCTTTGGACCCAAGCAATGATCACCGTGAGCTCCCGCTTTTGGTGTTCTCTAGAGTCGTCATACAGCTCGCTGATCCCTATCGTCAGGCATCGGTCTGGCTGGTCATTCCCGTCAAGGATCCATTCTCATGCAAAAGATACTTGGGTTATACCCCGGGCTCTCGCAAGCGAAAAGCAAACTCCAGCATGGAGAAACGAGAAAGCTACTTTTCAAGTACAGGCTGCAAGATGGACTCACGCCATTGCCTTCGACATGGAGCAAAGCCTCTCAAAACGGCCTCCAAAGCAAGAGCACTGAGAGGGCGGTCCTACGGACACTAGATTCTAACACCTTACGCGATCAGTGAACATGGCTCCTGTCCCATATGAGACGAACGAGACAGTCATGCACAGGATACATGCGTACATAGTCTTGATGCTGGGAGGTCATGAATGGTTGTCTCTATCGGTCTATCATAGTCTCGTAACTCTTTCTCGTGCCTCAGATCTGCTGCGCTCCTTATCTCCTCACATGGAACTCGAAGAAATGCGCTCAAATACGAACATGATCCTTCCCGCCTGTCCTTGAGCAGCGACGTCGCGGAGGTCATGCTTGCGCCGCCCATGGCCAAAGTCGTCCTCCGCTGTCTGCGTGCCAGCTACCTTGCTCTGGCCTTTGCTCTTCCCATCAGAATCGCGTTTTCGTCCAGTCGTGAGACGTGCAGAGGCCCGAGGCGCATCAGATAGGCCATCTTCTGCCAGACTTTGCTTTCCTTTCGCCATCTCCTCCCCCGTGGACCCAGAAGACATCTTGCTGGGCGATGTTTCGGGCACATATGCGAATTCGGCGAGCCTCGCCGATGCAGGTTGAGACTCGACTCGGCTCGTCCTACCAGCATCCGTCCCCACTTCGTCTTCCTCACTGTCCATCACCACGTCGTTATGCTCTTCCTCCTCGTCGCCATCTTCACTAGCTGAGTCCAGCACTCCCTCCAGACCTTGAAAGATCGCAGGGGGGCTGACTTTGTTTTTGATTCTCTTTTTCGGCTTTTGGACTATCTCAGTATCCTCCTCGTTATCCGACTCGGGCCCCTTCGCAGAGTCTTCCTCGCTAGAGGCGACTTTGCTATCGACCGATTCAATACTAGATTCCATCTTGGTCGGGGCTGGCGTCCAATCCTCGTACAGCATCTTGTAAAGCATCGAATCTTGAATGGCGTTGAACGACGTCTTGTCAAAACCATCCAGGTGAGTCCACTGTTTCAGCGCAGCAAGCTTCTCTTGCTGTTCTGCCGCCGCCTGCGATGTAGTCAGACCCTCTGTCCGTAAACAAACCTGCTTGCCCACCTTGCGCTTCATTTTGCCAGTCTGCAAAGAGATAAGCGAGTAACTGATGCCGTGGGTCAGACTCACCGGCTCTGGGTCATATTGCGACGCTGAGATGAATTTAGGTTTCCCATCGTCGCTTGCATTTCCATCCTCCTCACTCCCACTCAGAGATCCCGGACCCTCAACGTGATTGCCCTCGGTACATCTGCAGGACAACAAGTCATCTGCCATACTGATTAGCGAGTCCTTATCACTTATTATTCTACCCACGAGTCTGACACCCGTCAGTCCTCAGGTTGAGTCTGAAGATATCTCGCAACTCCGCCGAGGAGAACGCTGTGACGAGTCAGCTCCATACTTTGGCAGACCACTTGCAGTCTTTGGACCCTTGATTCGTTGATCCCTGATCGAGCATCTGGTCTGCCAGTCCAACCTTGGTGATTTGACGCTATTGTTTTGGCGTCATTGGAGAACCAATACAGACTTCTTTAACCGACCTGATAGATCTTTTCGTCGATCGTGTTCGTTGTGAGAAAGCGATATATGTATACTGGGTGTTTCTGCCCATCTCTGAGAGACGTCAGCAGGTCAAAGAAGCACGGCCGTAAAATTACCGATGAATGCGAGCCATTGCTTGAAGGTCGGTGGATGGGTTCCTGAGGTTCAGCCGACTTTCTCAGTTCAGGACCCACCAGTCGCTGTCGAAGAGGATCAAACGAGAGGCACTGCGACGTGTCAGTGAATGCCTGCAATCTCGGCAGCGGCTCACCCGATGAGATTGAGTCCAACACCTCCAGCCTTTGCGCTGAGCAGGAACACAAAACTTTCTGATCGACTGCTCCTATTGAATGACTCGACGTACTCCTGACGACTCTTCTGGGCAGTAGTACCGTCCAAGCGAAGATAGCTGTACTTTTTCTGGTGACAAACTTCCTGAATGATATTGAGAGTGGATGTCCAGTTTGAGACGATGACAACTTTTTCCTGAGTCTTCCTGTAGATGATGTGCAATAGACGGTCTAGTGCTGCAAGTTTGCCTAAGAGACGTCAGCCAGCAGTCAAAGTCCACTCCCATTCTTCAGACGCACCGCTGACCGTAACATCGGACACGCGAACATCGTCCGGTAGATCTTTCAAAGCTGTCTTCGCCATTTTGACGAGGTGCTCGGAGCGACTACTTTCATCGTCCCTTTTTACGCGAAGCAACTAGCGAGAAATAAGCTTTTACACGGAATGACAGACCCACGGTCGGAGTGTTCGAGATTTTGCGAAGCAAGTCGACTGGAAATATCCTTAAGCTCATGCAACACCAACATCGGACCAGCTCACTGTATCCTAATGGCTGCTTATCAGACTCGCCACGAAGGATTTGTGCCATGATCTCGGGGTTCAAGATCCTTCCAAATGCCTTCAACTGGTGCGTGGTCGGTGCGATGAACACAACGTATTCGTCTGAAGGTGAGTCCCATCCCTCGAAAAGGACGTACATTTCGGTGGCAGGTAGTTGTCCAGCACCGCGGCTGTTCGACGCAGCACGAATTCCCTGGACAGTTGGCCAAGCTGGACATCAGAAAATGAGATCCTTCGTCACCCACCTCCTCCGCTCGCTCCTTGCCTTCGTCCAATGCTTTCTCGGAGCAACCCACTGATCTACTCTTCATAATGGGCCGCTCGTAATGCTTGACAAATTGCGCATACTTGCCAAGCAGTCCAGGGCAAGTGAAGTCGACCTGCGCGTGTCAGTTGAGCTATTCTTTCAGCCTCTGCTGCTAACCATCGAGTAGTACTCGCTCAAGTCATTCTGCACCGGTGTACCCGACAAGACTATAGGTCAGCAAAGACTTAGCCTGTATGCTCTCACTGATCCGTCTCTTCGTCCTGAGAGCATCAAACATTTTCGTCGTCTTGTTGTCTTTGGATTTGAGGCGATGGCCCTCATCGCATATGATGAGATCGATAGGCGGCTGGCATGAGGCGAGCTTGTTGCTACCAAAGGTCAGCCGAGAATGGAGACGGCATCAAACTTCTCACATGACTTTACGCAACTGCAGAGGGATCAGCGATCGCAATGGGAGGAGATTATGTCACTCACTCGCTCATAGCCAATGATGAGGACATGTTGACGGTTATGATGCATCTGTTGTTTTCCACATTAGCCCGAACTAGCTTGAACGGCAAATGAGCGCACGAATGCAGAGACTTGATGATCCTCTCCGTTGGCGACCACCACGTTGAGCTGATCAGGTCGCAACCTGCGCCATGTCAGCATGTTGCCGGTCATGTTCCGGCCATGTTCAGGCCTCACCATTTTCGAAACTCTTTCCTCCAATTGTCGACTAGTGACACAGGACAGACGATCAGAGCTTTGCTGATCCTGATGAACGTGAGCTCGAGCGAGGCAAGTTGGCCCAAGACAGCTCACACTCCTGTCTCATTTGCGAAAGGCGATTGCTCTGCACGCAGCATGTTAGCGCAGCATGGTGGCTGACATCACTTGGTATCTCACTGATGAGCGTGTATATCAGAGCTATTGTCTGCAACGTCTTTCCTAACCCCATCTCATCTGCCAGAATGCAGCCTTGTGCCTTGGCACCGGTCAAGCCCATCACGCATGAATACATGAACTAGGGCGGTCAGCAACTCGAACTCATCGCGAGGCCCACTTTTACCCCGTCCTTCTGGTGCTCTCTCATCTTCGAGGCTAGTAAAGGATCCAGCACGACATCAACAATATCAGTCTTCCTGGGACTCGGGGTGAGAGACAAATCGCTGGTAGTGCACGGGGCTCACCTTCGCTCCGCATCTGTGAACGCAGGACGCTGCATGACCACCGCGTCTTCTGCGTTCGGATCATGCAACGCACCGCCCCATTCTTTCGTCCTCTGCCTATTACTCTTCTCCCCAATGACAATCTTCTCGGCCTTTTTCGGAGCATAGAATTTGCTTTCGCTGATTCCAGCTCGGACGTTCGCAACTAAACTCTTCATTTTGTTGACGCCTGAAGGACCTGCCAGCGGTGCATCGGGATCATTGGACGAGTTGCCAGGCACCAGTGACCTGGTATATCCAGAGGCGATGATATTACCACTGAATGTCTGCCGCGGTTCTTGGCGCTGGGTAGGAGGTTTGAACGGGGCTTTGAAAGTGGATGGAGCGTAGGCTGCAGGGAGGGCCTGAGGCCGGTTGAGGAATGTGGTGCGTGATTTGAATCTGAGAAAGTTGAGCACGGTAATCCTGACTTGAAAAGCTGAGGTACACACTCCGAAGCCGATATCTCGCTGTCCACCTCGACCTCATACCCTCCTATTCGAAGCTCGCAACCAGCGACTGGAGCATCTCCAACGAGGGTGGAGGCTCCCATCCTGGGTCGATGTGAGTCCCATGTAACTTGATGACATCTCAGCAGCTCACTTGTCCGAATCCTCATTCAGCATTATGATTCTGTTCCCTTCAATCTTGAGATAGGCATCGCCATCCCACGTTTCTGCGAAATGTCAGGATGCTCAGAACTGGTTACGGAATCGAGGCTTACTGTGCTGTGGGTAGATGAAAGAGCGAGAGAAAGTTCATCAACTCCAGTCTACACCGCTACATATTCTGAGACACTCACTTTCTTGGTCTGTGGTTTACGCCTGAAGATCACTGTCAGCATTGGCTCCTCAGGACAGGTGTATTCGATCGCACCACTGGACCGAGTAGTAATACGTCTTTTCATACGCCGTTTGAGCATTCGACTGAGGAGTAGCCTGCATCCGAGATGGACCGGGTCTTGAGGGCGTACTGATGCCGAAGAGTAAAGCTTTTCTTTGACCCACTTTACTTGCCAGTCCCGATGCGGACCTGTTTACGGGTCGCGATGGACCAGCAACATTGATGACCTCGTGAAGGGGTTCCAAGTCCCCTTCATCCTCTGAGCATGAGTTGAGCACTCCGTCATCCTCATGACTATCATAACCACCATCCTCATCGATCTGAGTAGGTGGAGGAATGAGGTCTGCCAATGCTCTCAATGGAGGAGGCATCGTGGTGGTGGTGGTGGTGGTGGTGGTGGTGGTGAGTAAATGTCATGAAAGAGAGTCGCGTCAACCCCTTTCTCCTAATATTCGGCGACTCATTACGTCAGCTACTCGGGGTCTGAAACGAGGAGGGAGGAACCTAATGGCATTAGGGATTGTATTAGGAATCCGATTACTAATATCATTTCTAATGATCGGTGTTGCCGAGGGCCGCGGGTCGCGCGTGCTGGGATCTTCCGGGCAGTCGTAACGATCGAAGAACATCACATCCCAGCAATAGTAGTAGTGATCTCTGACTCAGATAACATCGAGCTCAGTAGTGAACTTCGATAGCTGGTCCATCCTCTCTGGAGAGCAAGACCCTCACACCCCATCTGTCCAACTTCCAAGTCCACTCCGCTGCTTTGTCCCAAGGGTGGTCCCTAGGTCGGCAAACCAAAAATTCGTCATTGCTGTCTCCCACATCGGATACAAAGCATACACTAGAGACGCTGTGAACAATGGGCAAGACTATCCCTAACAGAGATAGCATCGACTCATCCATCGATAATAAATCTACCATGTCCTCCATGGATCTACCTCCGCCAGCCTACGCTCCTCCTACGCTTCGAGGTAAATCCTACTTCCACACCCTCCTCTCCATCCCCGATGCTCTCTTCTCGACAGCTTCGACGTTGTCCTTCGGACCGCTGGTAGCGGGTTGTCGATTGGCCATCGTCTCGATGATGTCGCATTCCATAGCCTATGGTCAGCTTCGAGTTCTCACCGCAGACCAGGGCGTCTACGTCTTTCCGTCAGATGAGAAGAGGAAAGAGCTCGGTCTAGGTCCAGTGCAAGAGAATGAGGTTGCAGAGATAAGGGTCATCCGAGACACCTTTTGGTTGAGATTGGTCACTTTGGGTGACCTCGGATTCGCAGAAGCGTACATGGCGGGAGATTGTGAGGTGTCCGACTTGGTCCAAGTGTTCAAGGTGAGTCTGGTCACCTCCCAAGGTCCAGAGACTGATACACCCTTCAGATCTTTATCCGATCTCGGCCCGCCCTTCAAGCCGCTAAGAGCAACATCTCAGGCGTTTCGACCATTCCTTCTCGGATCTTCTCCCTCGTGACCTCCCTGACTAATTCACGATTCGCCAACACCCTGTCCAACTCGATGTCAAACATTCGGGCGCACTATGACCTCTCCAATGGCATGTTCTCATCCTTCCTCAGTGAAGACATGACCTACTCATGTGCCATCTTCCCGGAACTCGATGCCGATCTCCGAGAAGCTGGAAAATCAAGTATGGGAGAGCTGAACGGTGCTCTGGGTCTGACGAGAATCACCAACGGTCACCCTTCAACGCCTCAGAAGAAGAAGAGCACGAGCAAGGTGGAAGATACAGAGGGGGATGAGCTTTACGAGGCTCAGATTGCCAAATTAAGGTGAGTATTCCCATGGATCTCACGTCCTGATCCTGTTCCCAGACACATCATCAAAAAGGCCGATATCCGAGCAGGACACCGTGTTCTCGAGATTGGGAGTGGGTGGGGATCTATGGCTATCGAGGTAAGAAGCTACCTCGGTCTACTCCATGCTTGCTCTCCGCTTACTCTTCTTAGACCGTTCGGATGACTGGTTGCACCGTTGACACGCTTACTCTGTCTATCGAGCAGAAGAAATTGGCCGAGGACAGGATCAAGGCAGCTGGGCTCGCAGGCCGAATCAGAGTATGGTTGATGGACTACAGAGCGTGAGTTGTCAACAATGTCAACGCTGCAAGCTCCAGCTCACAACGATCCGTAGCACGCCCGAGAGCTGGAAGGGAGCTTTTGACCGTGTCGTGTCGATCGAAATGCTAGAGGCGGTGGGGTGAGATGAGACGATGAATCTGCCAGAATTTTGGCTGATCTGTTGCGTCTTCCAGCAAAGACTTCATCGCGGGTTACTTTGGTGTCATCGATTCAGTCTTGAACCAGAACGGGGCGGCCTGTGTCCAGGTCATCACGATCCCAGAATCGAGATTCGATGCATGTGAGTGCAGGCATGCCCTACAATCCGAGCTGTACTCACTTGTACATCTTTCAGACCAACAAGAGGTCGACTTTATCCGAAAATGGATCTTCCCAGGTGGTTTCCTACCAACTGTCTCGTTCACCGTGGATGCGATTCACAAAGGTGCGCACAACAATCTTGTGGTAGACAGCATTTCAAACATCGGAGTGAGTATTTCCCATTTGTCTTTGGTCTGAGACTGATCATCATCTCAGCCACACTATGCTCGGACGCTTCGAGAGTGGCGCCGTCGATTCTTGGCCTCCTTCAACGATCGTATAGGTCCCGCTATGCGTGCTGAGCATCCCGAAATGACAGATGCGGATATCGAGGTGTTCAAGCGAAAGTGGATCTGTGAGTTATTACGAAACCCTGACGGAGATGATCTGACAAGCTGTAGACTATTTCTGCTACTGCGAAGTTGGGTTCTCGGAACGCGTGCTGGGTGACCATATCATCACCATGGTACGAGAGGGAAGTTCAGAGTATGGATGCAACGTCTACGACTAGATTCGAGCGAGAGCTGTCACATCTCTAGATGGAGTACCGGAGGAGCGCGAATCTAGCAGATCTTGGGTCATCAGTGACTCACAAAAGGAACTCTCACTGTTCAGACATTAGATGTGGACTTTCGTTGGCTTTGGATCACATTTTCATAGTCGACATACTAGCAAGTCAATGCGATGCAACATGTGATCAACTCGGGGAACAGCTACAACGTGGAGCGCTATAAGAGGAAGTACAACAGAGCAAGATCGCGGTGGTCCATGGTATTCTTCACCGTCTGAACAAGGGTTTGTAAGGCCTGAGTGCCGTACCCGTCCCTCCATTCCGCCTCGTCCCGCTCAGAACACCCCGTCGCTCAAGTTCTTCTCGGGCAAGACGTAGATGATAAGGTCGGAGACGACCAGAAGGCATAGCAGAATGAGGTTGGAGTTCTTTGGCTAAGTCAGCGAGGGGAAACGAGACGTCAGCCATATTTTTCCCACTGTAGCCAAGGCATCTAGGAGCACCACTCACCAAGTTCGACGACTTCGGTGATGAGGATTTTGGCCATACCAGCCAACACGGCTGACAGATTGCCTTGAAGTTTCTGATCAAATAGGTCTTTGTTAAGCTTACGTTGACGAACCTCAGCATATGTACTCTTCCTAAATAAAAGGATCACGACCACACACACACCTTTGTGATTGGTCCTTTTGGTATGACGACGGAGCTGAAGGCGTCGAACCGTCTAGCCTGTTCAGGGTCCATCATGGAGCGTAGCATTCTACAGCGAAACAAAAGCACAAAAGTCAGCGAGCAGACAGGGAGTTCTTCCTTGAACATCCCGACACACTCACAATTGCTCTCCTCTCATCTTCTTATTCCGTCTCCCGAGATCTACTCCTTTCTTCAGCCCAATCGCCTGATGCCTAGCTTCTCCCGACTCAGATTTTCGAATCTGATCACGACCATTCTGTTTTCCTCTCCGACCTCCAGCATTGGTGCCAGCACCGGCTTCTTCCTCCAGTCCAGAATCTCCACTTTCATCCTCATCCTCCTCGTCCTGGTCATCTTCTTCTTCTTCTTCTTCGTCTTCTTCTTCCTCTTCTTCCCCCTCCTCTGCATCATCTTCATCCTCATCCTCATCCTCATCGTAGTCATCATCAATCTTTCGTCTACTCGGACCAGCAGCTATTAGCTCATTGTCCGATACGTCGTCCCCTTCGTCCAGAGCTCTGTCAAAGTCGACACCACGATTCCGTTGAGGAGCCTTGGACCGTTTCCGTTTCTTCGTAGGCGGCTTCGTAGCTGTCGGTAGGGACAAATTGAGGGACGACATGGGCTGTTAGTGATGTGTTGAATACTAGCTATGGTAAATGGCGCTCGGCTGAGGCGATCGCCTTCGATTATCCTCACTTTCCCACGGTCAACCCATTTTGTAGTCGGATGGCCCGGGCTACTGGACGAAAGCTTGAAGATTGTGAGGCCATGTGGATGCAATGCATGCATGCGATTGAGGTCTCAGGATGATACATGATGAAAACAATGTAGCGAGACATGCAAGATGATCGAGCCAGAAACGATATCAATGGGACTGTGGCAACGCCCCGCCCCTTCTTTGCATCTATGCACGACTTGAGGATGAAGGGACCTGTAGGGTATCGAATTCTCCGACAGGCATGGTGTTGGCCCTCAGTCCACCTGAAGGGCCTGACCTAGTCTGTTGACCAGGACGTCTAGGTCCATCCCGTCCCAATGCACCCAGCGACCGACCGTGATCCCTTAGACCAGATACAGAGTTCCTAGGACTCAACCTGACTCTATCAGAGCCCGGTACAGCCCCGTGTCCTGCGGCGATGCCGCTGCCACCGCCACCGCCGCCGCCGCCTTCACTTGCGAGTCTTCGACCGTAATCAGATCCTCCTAGGGACCGTCTTGAGCTGCGGAGCAACGAATCCCTTTCGCTCTTGCTGAACCCTTTACCACCAGGGCAACCAGCGCTAAAGCTCAAGACTCTTGCTGGGCTCCTTGGACTCAACCTTACTCGTCCTTCGTCCCAATCTGCACTTTCTCTCAGGGCAGCTGGATCAGCCATATCGTCCGGATCCAGTCCGTCGAGGTCCTTGTTGTCAAGAGCGTTTTGAGCGCGAGCAAGGGAGACATTTCGGATGAGGATGAGACAGAAGATCGGTGGAATGATAGCGACGATCACCGCGGCGAGTACCAGTTTGTACCTGGAGGCGGATCAGATCTCGATAGGATGACTTTGACTTACATGACCGCTTGGTACGCTGCTATTGCTCCTAGACGTATCGGATCATCTCTCGGATACTTTGCGATGTCGGTTATACTTCCAAAAAGCTCTTTCAGCAGCCTTTCATCATCTGTCGGAACGTATCGCCGCAGCTCATTAGGCATACACGCATTCCAAATGGCTGTAGCGGCGGCCGAGCCCACAGAATTACCGACTTCTGTCAGGAGCAAGACGAGCGCGGTGACCGTAGCGACGTCCGCGTGGGAAACAGCAGCTTGAGCAGACACTTGAGTGGCTATGGCCGCGAAACCGCCACCGAACCCCTGTAGGATTTGGCAAAAGATGAGCTCGAACGAATTCCCGCTCGAAGATCGAGCTTTGATCATGAGCGTGACGCCGATTAAGCGGATGACCAGTCCACAGAAAAGCATATACTTTTTCTCACGTTAGCCATACACTTGCTCTCCGGGTTGTCGTTCGACTCACCTTGAATCGCCTTGTGGCCCACATGATCACACCCGCAACGATCCCAAATACCGTCATGCCGAGCGACTGAATAGCCGAAAAATACGTCAGGTCGCGATATGACCAGTCAGGTTCGACAACGAGCACGAAACTGGCAAGACGCGATCAGCATGACTTCCACCATAATCTCTGCTATAGCCTACGAGTACAGGTACGTCTGTTGTAGGTAAAATGAGACAAAGTCAAAGAAGCCGATCAGGCATGCGCCAAGGATTGGAGCCCTTCGTAGCCATCGCATCGGCATGACTGGTCGAGCGGGAAGGGCGTATTCGTATAGGATGAATAAGGGAAGGAGAGCCATACCGCAGACGATCATGACGCCCTGGTGCCGAATCAGCTGCAGTCACCTCGGTTCGGCTTACCATCTTTGGGTTCTTCCAGCCCGCCGCTGTCTGAGGAGCTAGACCAAGGGGTAGGAGGATCAGACATAAAGACGAGCCGACCAGAAGGAGACCGACGAGGTCCATCTCGGTAAAAGAGTCGCGAAGTCGATCGTACCAGCGCCTGAAGGACAGACTTCAGCTGTTGCTCATTACGTAGTAGGAGGGCATATCTCACTTATTGGGCAATGACCTGCCATATTGCCGGTAAAAGACCTGCTTTGCTTGCCGCTGACCCCAGAAAAGAATAGCAATGAGAGGAACGAGGAAAAGAGGGACAAGAATGGCAAACTGATCGACGCATTTAGTTTATCACATGCGTGGCCACTCTGAACATCTCAGACGCACCATGGCATACCCGAAACGCCTGTCCGCCGTCAGCTTGCACCTGCTTGGAACAGACATACCAATTTGGCAAGACACGTTCTAGTAGCTCCGCGCTGACAAAGTTGTTGATGAGATAAGGAGCAGATACCAGCGCAGATGCGAAGCCTCTGATCACGGAATCATAAGCCATCGTCTGACCTCAGCCAGCCGCTTGTGACTCACCTGTACCGCAGCGTCGTCATATCCGCGATAACGATCTGCTGTAGTATCTGTAATCCCGTAAAACCAAAGGCGTAGACAATCTCTCCCAGTGCTATAATCTCGATAGTAGATGCAGAGACAATGATTATCTGGGAGCGCGAGAGTCAGCGAGCTTATGCTATTCTAGCATGTTCTGTCGCTCGCTCACGTATCCGATGACATAGAGAAAGGTGACGACGACGAAAGCTTCGGCTCGACCGATACTGTCGTGGGAGAGCCATACAGTCAGGAAAGGGACACGGAATGGAATCTGAACTCACACATCCGCAAGTTTTGCCATGAATGGTTTCCCGACCGCGATAACGATGGCTTGAGCGGTGGATATGGTGCCGGATAATGAGTGTTTGAGGACGGTGGATGTACTGTGAAGACATCCATGAGTCATAGACAGGGATTATGGCAAAGATGACTCACGCGTAGTAGAGATACTGATAAGTTGTCATAGAATCGAGGGAGTAGATGTAGGCCGCGAGCCCTATTCTTGAGAGTCCCATGAGCCTTATCCGACCACACGGGGGCGAACTCACCCAGAGAATAGCAAAAGACGTTCCTTCTTGCCCCTGAGCCCGGAACGACCTTTCAGCATTGGCGTTTCACTTTCTGCTTGATAGACTTACCAGACGGCCTGGGCAATTTCCAGCTTCCTAGCTCCGCTCAAGGACCCACTTAACAGGCCTATCTCATCCTCCAAGTCCGAATCTTCATACTCCTCGTTAAGAAGATCCGCCTCATCGTCCAATTGATGAGCGGAGAGATCCAGCAATCTCCTCTCTAAATTGCCTGGATCCTTGACAGTGTCGGTATCCTCCTCCGTGTCATCTTCTGAATCTGCGAAAGGAGATGCTGGTACGCCAAGTGTATTTGGTCTGGGCTCGGGTTGTAACCCACTCATCTCCGCTGGAGGCGCTGAACAAAGATTGTACCGTCCGCCTGCTGGCTCCAGGATCTTCGTCACCGCGACTCAGTGGGTCAAATGCGTGTCTCTCCGCGAGAAGACCATTCACTCAGACACCTCCAATACGATGACCTGGAACCCTCTTTCGACCACTCAGATAGGATGGAGAGATGTTATTGGCATGAGCGGATCCAGTGACGATGAACTTTTATCGTAAAGAGCGATGAGCAAAGAGGCCACCGCGACGAGGGCTTTGGGTTATTCGGATTCTCGGATCCGAAGTGACGGCGGTTATCAGATTAGGGCGTACGATGAGACAGACAGCTCACAGATCGTCTCTTGTCTCTAGCAGTCAAGGACGCTGATGTAGCTTTGCATAGAGGTGTTCTGTCTCTCTGTGAGGGCGGAAGCCATGAGCTCAAATCTTCACGAAGCTCGCTAGTCCCGTTTGCATTCAATCTGAGACGGGTCGGCCGAAATCTTTCTGCCAAGCTCACGCTTGTTCAGCGGACTGTATGCGGCTGACATGATGGTTTTGAGACTTCAGATGCACTGTCGAGGGATTTCCGGAGGGCACCAGGACCTCTCTTCCTCCTTATGCATGCGAGATTGGCTAGATGGCTAGATGGGGCAAAGACAACCAGGACGAGACCTTCAACAGTGGAGGCGGCTGGAATACCTTGGCAAACGATTCAGACAGACATGTGGAACACCGCAGATAATCAACGAACAACTGCTCGGCCTCGATCAAGGACTACTGTGCGTTTTGGCTTGGGTGCAAATGTGTATGCTGCCTGTTGATCGACTGACAGATCTAACACCGCAATACAATCATCATAGCTTTCCGGCCAAAAATAACCACATCAGAAATTTCTCAGATCTGGCAGCATTCTACTGGGCAAAACTGACAGGCCTATATAGTCCAGGACAACAAGGTGTTCTTCTTTCCAATCTGCAACATCATCCGACTCTTTTGCCCCTTTTCTGACGTCCCTGAGACGTCTTTAAAAGCATTCGGCTGCTGCAGCACCTCATCCTACCTCAATCATGTCCGCTTTCATCACTGGCAATGTCCCTGACCACAGTAATCTTTCCATCCCTCTGTACAACTGTTGGTCAAACGATACCAGGCTATCCATGGCATGCTGTGGTATCGCCGCTGGATACTATAACGAATCGACCAAGTATTGCAAGGAGGCGCCTCCTAATACAGCATCAGCCCAGGTGTTCCAATACCTCTCCCTCGAATACCGGACCTGCATCGAGACGGTGATGCTGTTCAATTCAACCTATTCTTCCGCCATGTATGCTTGCAACCAGTCGGTCGTCTCGGATACGTGTACAGGGGCTGCAGCACTTTCGATCACGCGTGTAGGTTATAGCGGCTTAGTGGTGATTTTGCTCCTTCTGGCGTCTATCCTCTGTGTCATCCCATAATACGCGACACTGGGCCTTCTCGTTCTGGATCTCAGGCAGCGACTCAGGTCTCAGAGACAGTTCAGAACAAAGGATACTCGACTCTGTCGCCCGAACGTGACATGGTGATCTGTCCCACCTTTGGCTTGCGGCGAATCGCCGCCCTACTTCCTGCTGGACCAGCTGTCAAATAACGTGGGCGTGACCATGGGTCGACTGTGGGGTGCAGCAGCCTATATCCGCTGGATTCTCGCCGGAGGGCAAAGACACTCACGACGGTCCACAATCACTGGAACCCCGGCAGCCAACAGAGGTGCCGCCACAGGATCCTATACAGCCGATGCAGATCTCGTCACGTGACTCCCCCCCCCCCCCCCGCATCTCCTGTTAAGTTTACCCCACAGCCAAAACAAGCGAAAAACCTTGTTGTTACGCGGATGCATTTTTGGGTTGTTGAGCACCTCTTCCACATGACCTCGAGCACCATAAGCATCGCTGGGAGAGTTCTCACGCGCACACTCATATAAGATAACAGGTGCTGTAGAGGGGAAACCGGCTGGCAAGTACGGCTGGGAAGAGTCTCGAGACGAAGCGACTCAATCCGACGACAGTCCACGGGTCGATCGCATCGATTGCCGGCGTTTGCCCCCACCTCTACTGCAGGCGGACCCCCGTCATCCCACCATGTCATCTTATCTCTCCAATTCCTCTACATCACCGCGACAAGCCTCCTTCTCTGGAACCGGATATGAACATGACGACATGAGTCATCGTCCTCGCTCACATTCCTCGTCCTCGCGAGCCAATCGGCCGAGCGTGACATCTAGGCATTCGTCAAGGGGTCGGAGACCTAGTACCGCGTTCACGGGGTCTTCGGGCAGCTACTCTGAAGGAGAAGATGATGATGAAGACGAGGAGTGGGAAAATGGAGCACGAGTGGGCCGAAAGACAAATAAGAAGAAGAAAGATGAACCGATGAGCCCGGTCGTCGTTGTGTGTGAGTCGCCGATTTCCAAACGGTGGACAGACAGCGGCTGTCTGTCTCCCTTGGTGGTTCGCTGACGCCTGTTCGCTCAGTCTACGTGACTGCCCTCTACATCATCTTCCAGATTCTCACGCGGTCTGACGAACACGAAATCCTCGCACACCTCCCACAATCTCTCCGTGGCCGTTCGCCAGTGGGCCTAGGCGGCTCCAACGTCCATTCCGACGTCGCGTCCCACCAACATTACGCCTTCCCCTACCATCTACCTCACCTCAATTCGCCTCTCCCTTCATCCTCAGAAACCAGTCCAGGATTCTGGCGATCCCTGCTCGGCATTGTCATTTACCCGCTCTACCTGATCATCACTCTCCTCGCCATCCCGGTCCCACTCTTACTCAATACAGCCCATCTCATCCTATCCGTCCTCTCTACGGTCTTGTACCCTCTTACATCCACTATACGCATTCTCGGTCGGACCTTCATTCTCGGTCCCCTGGGCATGATCAGATCCATGCTCGGAGTCTTTTATCCCATCTACACATTTGTAGGTGGGGTCATAGGCGTGGGTTGCGTCATGGGCATGGGGGCAGGATGGGTCGGTCAGACTGTACTTGATTTGATCTATGGCAAGTCGAAAAACCAGGTGAAAAAGTCCAGCCGGAGGCGAGACAGGTCGACCATCAGCGCGAGAACGAGTTCCGAACCAGTGAACGAGCACACAGTCGAGGCCACGTCGCACTCTCATGCTACCTCAATTATTCGATCAGTTCGACATTCATCTGTCGAGCCGTCGAAGAGCAAGACCCAAAAATCCGGCCCACTCTCCTCAGTCTCTTCGAATGTGAACCCCTCTGCCGCGAGGAAACTCGTCAAACCGGACAAGCAGGGAGTGCTCGACAAGTTTGCCTCAAATTACGAGGACGAATACAGGGCTGAAGTCCCTCTGAAACATACCAAAGCATCAGGGGATGGAGTAACGACCGGTAGGGAAGCTCAAGCAATAGGCACCAGGAAGAGGCTGCACGCCTCACAGTCTCGTACAGGAGAGATTGGCAAGGCTTGGTGACGCAAACGACCCCATTTTTTCAGGGTGTTTACTTTCGTTTGGAGGTTGGATTAGATTCAGCTGTATCATGGTTGTAGAATAGACTGAATGATTGTCCGTGAACATACCCTATAGCGATACATTATGACCATGAGTTTTGCCATTTGACGCTTCTATGCCATGACATGTATGTGAGTTTAATGCCATTAGCTCTGTTCACACAGGGACGATAGAGTCTGTGGGGGTTCGTCGATAGCCGTCCGCGCTGATACTAGATCGACGATGCCCTACTAAAACATGACCTTCGCGTTCCCGTACATTGCGTCCATGATGCTGACTCCGTTCCTCGTCGTGAGCTTTTTTGTCAACTCCGACCCTCCGTACTTGCGGACAAAGTCGGATTGTGAGGTAATCTCGATAGCAGGGATACCACCTCCAGGAATCGAAGCGGATGGCAAATCTTTAGTGATCAGCGCAAGGATATCCCTCAAGAGCTCGAAATCTGAGGAGGATGAAAGTCAGCCTACAGTGCGCGCTTCCTAGAGATCGACTGACTGGTTGGGAAGAAGATATCGAAATATCCATGTTTGACCAGAAATGTCCCGACAGATACCATGACTCTACCCAGTCGAGTCTGGACGACTGGACCATTTCGCCCCGACACTGTATCCGGTAACGTTGCAAAATCAGCCGCTAAGAATCTGTGATTTGGAAGTTGTTCTTTCAATTTCTTGATCAATGCAATAGCTTTGGAAGGAATGAAATCGGGCGAAGACAGATTCGGTGCGAATGGGAGTTCTGTATAGGCTTTTCGGAGCAAGGTCGAGGATCGGATAAGAGAGGGGATGTTGGGGACCGTATGACGACGAGATGAGGTTGATGAGGTAGACAGACGATCATAGTATGACATGGCTTGTGAGAGGGTCGGATCGGTGATAGGCTCGTAGATGAGATTAAAGTTGCCCGTTGCGTCTATAGTGACCAGTGTCTGGTATGGCTGGAGCGTTTGGATGTCGTATCGAACCATGTCATGAGCGAGGTTGTCCTGTGGGCAAATGTCAGCCACCTTTGGAATATCGAGAGGGAAAGGTGGGTGGGTGCACCCACCAGCATCTCTAAAGCAACGACATAACACGGCTCTTTATCACCGCCCTCCCAATCGAATACATCAGTATTCAATATTTCCACCTTGTGATCCACTTTGGACTCTTTCGCTCGTTCCCTCTGGAGTCTGGCGAGCTCAGGACTGATCTCGATAACTCTGTACCGCGTCTGCGGCCAGAGATCGGGATGTTGATCCCGGATAAAAGACAACGCATCAGACATGAAGGATCCGTTGCCTGCGCCAAGCTCGTAGATAATCAAAGGGGATGAAGGAGATTTTGCGGAAGACTTGTGGGCGGTGATTATGCCGGATACCAGAGCTTGGGCGTAATATGGCTGGTTAAGATGTCAGCGGGGGTCGCATTCAGCAGGTTGAGGAGCGAGGCCAACCACCCATGAACAGGCGTCTCTTCCCTGATGAACCAGGTCACTCACCGAAAACAACTCTGTCGGGGTATGCCAGACTTGTCTCCCTAAACTCCCCTCGATCATATCTCCATACTCTGCCGCATACCGACTGGCGACTTGTTCTTGGAATTCAGTCTGGTCTCGAAAGGTGGAGAAATCGTATCCTCCAGGTGGAGATCGAAAGATGGTTGCCTTTTTTGAGAAATAACCATAGTGAGGCTACGCAGTGTCAGCGACTTGCGCGCGCGACCGGCTTGACTCACATTGTACAAACTGTCATGAATGTATTCCCTGACCAACATCTTGACTCTCGTAGGCGGTTCTCGTCGATTCCTCAGGTCCTGAGCAGTCACACGGCGATAATTCATATGCTGTCAAGATCCGTCAAGATCCGTCCTGCGCACACACACACAGAGCTTGAGCATTGCTCACATCTGGGTCTGGAAGTACGAGCCAAGAAAGAGACGTATTGAAATCCTGTCGAGGCTTCTCCTTCGGAGCACTAGGTGGAACAGACGCAGGCGCGCCAGGTCCATCCTTGATTTCAGGTTCTGTCCTAATCACCTCGGTATTCTCTTTAGGCTTCCGAGATCTAGAGACTAGAGGCGGTGGACGCCGTGAAGGTTCAGTAGACGAGGATTGATATCGGATCGATCGGCCACTTCTCCGTGTCGAAGTCTCTAATGCAGGATATCGATGCGGCGGCGGCGGCGGCGGCTGGGAGCCCACACTGAGTCGAGAGGAAGAAGCGACGCATGATCTGAGCCAGCTGTTGCCTGGCTTGAAACTTGCAGACATGGGCTTTGACATCGCTCCCGAAAAGGTCGATCCGTCCACAGAGAGAGCATTGTTGCGACCAACATTTCGAAACCTGTCCCAGTCCCAATCTAGGCTTATTACGTAAACATTCCCATTGGGCTTTTGTCGGCGGTTGATGTTGAGCGCGTCGGATTTCTTTTTTGTTCGTCCTTGTTGTCAATTTGAACGACATACTCATTGAATTCAGTCTGGCTCCACGAATCATCAGCGGAAGGCTAGGCAGCAGAGGGTCTGGTGGATCAAACACTGGACTCTGAGGTGTCTGTTGCGATCGGCCCGCCGACAGTGGTCCCGACGTGAGGAACTAACAAGGCCCCTCAAGGACCCATGAACGAGGATGCCCGGACCCAAGACAAATCTTCAAGATATGCTTGAAAGGCTGTCTTCGTCGTCGTCCGCAAGCATCGTCAGCCCGAGTGCGACCACCAATGAAGGACAAACAATCTCAGCAGCAAGTTCCCTTCTATATGGCTCTATCCTGCTTACTCCCTTTCAGCCAAAATTCACACTTTCCCGAGCGGCGACGGCGACGCCGAAGGTGTCAACCAAGGGATCCAATACATCGTCCAACGTATCGAGACCATCTTCCTCGAATCGAATCGTACTAGTTCCATCCAGTGAGTGCATATGAACTCCCTCTGCCTCACTAGCTCAGACTCGATTCTCAGCCGAGGCCGTTGGTCCCGCCAAGCTGGCTTCTCCAGCTGCCTTGACGACAGCCAGTCCTCTGTCCACGATGCTTACGCCGTCGGGTTGGATCACAGGAGAAGGTAGCGAAGCTGGTCCGTCGAGACCTCCTTTGATCAATCGGTCAGCCCCAACCTCACGATACGACACGGTGAGTCGTCTCCACTCCTATATGTAATCGTCCCTGACGCTCGGGTCTCGCGCCGCCAGATGCCCGTCGAGAAAATTCAAGCGATGATCATCAAGAACCATGAAGAATTATTCAAGCTCTACGAGCAGCAGACCTTGTTGCAGACCAGTGATGATATGATCGATTGGGACGGGGAAGATCCAGAAATGATCAAGGGCAAGATGTGAGCTGCGTGCCCTCAAGCCTGCTTCTAGCTCACATCCTCATTCCAGCGATCTCTTGACCAAGCGGAATCTCGAGCTCAAGGGCATCGTGGCGTCTAGAAACAATGAACCAACACCTGTGGCTCGTCCGTCGCCTCGGCCCTCCACGGTGACAGGACCTTCTCGCGCGCTGCTGGCCTATCCTACCCCATGTACCACCCACCAGCCTTCACCCGCCCTCCTCGGTCTTGCAACGAACGACCTTCATACGTCCAGCGAAGGCCCATCTACTCCCTCCAGGATGGCTCTTCAGCCTCGAAATCGACCGGCATCCCGCGAATTCGAACCTCCTCCTCCAGCCTATACCGATCTTATCGCCGATGCAGAGGCATTCTCGGCTGTCGACAATGAGTATCTCATTCCTGCTTCTTCGCCGCCTGCCCGAAATCAGACCCAACGATCTACGACTCGAGCGAGACCCTCTCGCGGTGTTTTGCAAACTCCGACCAAGGTTCTGGAAGACGACCCGTTCGACGAGTTTCAGGATATACATGCGGACGAGCTATTCGATTTGCCTACATCTCCCGCTCGACCTGTCCGGACAGAGCAATCCGCGCCAAAAGCAATTCAGAGCCAGAATGCTCAAGCTGGTCCGTCCGGCTCCAAGCGTTCCTCTGTTCAAGTACAGGCTCCGAAAGCGGTCAAGATCGACGTAAAGTATCCGTGGGACAAGGAGGTGACTTCCAAATTGAAGACTTACTTTAATATTCCAACATTCAGGGAGAAGCAGAAAGAGGCCATCGACGCGACTATGTCAGGAAAGGATGGTGAGCTCTTCACCAAGGGCTGGGAGGTGTCTATGAGCTCATGTCTGCTAGTATTTGTGCTCATGCCTACCGGAGGAGGGAAGAGTCTCACCTGTGAGCTGCACACCTAAGACGTCAGCTAACAATATGACAGATCAGCTTCCCGGTGTCTGCAACAACGGCAAGACGCGAGGTGTGACGTTTGTCATCTCACCTTTGATCTCCCTGATCAATGACCAAACACGACACCTGTGCAAGCTTTCCGTACCCGCCATCGCGTACACTGGCGAACTCTGTCAAAAAGACAAGAAGATGGCTCATGACATGCTCAACATGCCTGAACCATACACCAAGATAGTGTATGTGACCCCCGAGATGATGGTCATGGGAGGGACCATCAAGGGGATACTCAAAGGCTTGCTCAGGAGGAATCGGCTGGCGAGGTTCGTTGTAGATGAGGCGCACTGCGTCAGCCAGGTGAGTGTTCGACTGGCTTGGACTCCGAGGAAAGACGCTTAGTGGCTGGTTGCAACGCAGTGGGGTCACGACGTGAGTGCAGCTGGTGTCCCGTCAACGATCTCAGCTGACGTACCATCTCAGTTCCGTGCCGATTGTACGTGACTCAACAGAACCGTATCGAATATTGAGCTGACGATCGCCTGCAGACCTTAAACTCGGTGAACTTCGCAAAGAGTATCCCGGTATCCCCATTATGGCCCTCACTGCTACTGCTCAGGATAAAGTCCAAGACGATATTATCCGCTCTCTCGGTATCAAAGGCTGCCACAAGATCACCACCTCCTTCAACCGTCGGAATCTACATTATGAAGTCCGACCCAAGGCAAAGGGAGTCATCGATAATATGGTGGCCTTTATCGGTACCCAAGGTGCCAAAAGCAGTGGCATCATCTACTGTTCTTCGAGGGACAAGTGCGAGAATCTAGCCAAGAATCTGAGGGATAATCACGGTCTTGGAGCGAATCATTATCATGCGGGAATGAGTAAAGGAGATAGGCGGAAGATTCAAGAAGGATGGCAGGAGCACGAGTTTGAGATCATTGTGGCGACTGTGAGTCGAGTCACCATCATAGACGGCTGTGCTGACGTGGCTGCAGATCGCTTTTGGCATGGGGTCGGTCTCGAATCACAGGGAGACGACGAAGCTGACACAATTTTTACAGCATTGACAAGCCTGACGTCAGATGTGAGGTCACCTGCAGCACCTCTGTTGGGCTAACATTACTCAGATGTCATTCATCATTCTCTACCCAGGTCTCTCGAAGGTTACTACCAGGAGACGGGACGTGCGGGTCGTGATGGCAAGCCGTCGCACTGCATCTTATGTGAGCCAGCCGAGAGAAGAGGTCTCCTTATCAGCTGATGATGGGTGCAGACTACACCTTTGGCGGTGGGCCAGGATCTGTCGATCACACATCTTTCACTGACCCCTTGTAGATCATCAAAAGGTCGTGCACATGGTTGAGCAAGACAAAAACTCTACCCGCGAGCAGAAGCAGCGATCCAAAGACAGTCTCGACGAGGTCCTCGCATTCTGTCAGAACAAGTCGGACTGTCGAAGAACTCAGGTCCTAGCATTCTTTGGTGAGGACTTTGATCGCGCCAAATGCAACAAGGGGTGTGATACGTGTCTTGTACACGACAAGACGACTTGGAACAAGGAGGACGTGACGGAGGACGCCAAAATTATCATCAAAATGGTTCAGGCGTTTGACAGGAACGACAGGATCACCGTCAAGGGCGCGGCCGATTGCTTCCGAGGTTATGGAGGCAACTCTGCCAAAGGACTTGGTGACAATCCAATGTTTGGACAGGGAAAAAGCTGGGATCGAAACGATGCGGAACGGTTGATTCAGACTCTGTTGGCTCAAAAGGCCCTAGATCAATTCATTGTGGCCAATGGTGCGGGATGGAGCAACTCGTATCTCACAGTGAGTTCGACCGCACGGCGCGCATGACCTAAATTGATCCTGTCTTTAGCTCGGAAGGAACGCCCAATTGTTCCTTCGTGAAGCAAGGACTCTGAAAATGGAATTTCGAGAGGCTTCGCCTCGTAAACAAGTCAAAGCAGCCAAACGGAAGTCTGATCAACACGGTATCAGCTCGTTCATGAACAAGAACCCCATCGCTCGACAACGATCTCTACAGCAGATCGCAAGGGAGGAACAAGAGTTTGATAATTCTCATTGGGGCGATACGGACGACGAAGATTACGCGCCTTCAGATGGAGCTCCAGGCACAGGAGATGATCCCATTGAGGTGGATACGGAAAGGGACGAGGATGGGGACGACGATGTGCCTCTCGCCGTGAGGAAGAAGCGAAAGCTGTCTGTCAAGGCTCCGGAATCGAGCAACAAGTCAAGGCTTAAAGCACGGGGCACAGCTCGGACAACTGGAGCTTCATTGACTAAGCAGAAGGCATCTGGGTCGATGGCTTCAAAGGCCAAAGCCAAGACTGTCCTGGACATCTTGCGGACCAAAGGGAACGAGCATGAATTCGTAGATCGATCGTTCAGCGGAACGCCACATCAGCAATGCAGAAAGGAGCTATGGATGATGAAGACAATAGTGAGACGGTCATCACGGCTGCAAAGAAATTACCACTGATGCCCCGTCTTGGCTACACAGCATGCCCGTATGGATAGGCATGCGCCTGCCCTGGATAGTCTATCGATCGACCTCATCGCCGCCATGCTGCCAACGAGTGAGTCGTCTGGGGTCGCCATCGTTTGCTCGGGGCTGATTGCCAATAGGTCTGGCTGCTCTAGGCAAGATTGAAGGGATCACTTCGGCCCATGTCAAGGTGGGTTCAGAGCGAGCTGAACGCGTCATGAGTGTCACTGAAACCCTCCCCTCCCCCTCCCGAAGACCTATGGTGCGAAGATTCTCGAGATTTGCCTGAAGCATTCTGGAGAGCCTTTACCTGTCTCAGAGTCAAGGGTGTGAGTGATAACGAGGTGGCACACACACACTGCCATTCGCTCATTATGCCGCCTGCAGTTCTGTTATGAAACCCCTTCGACAGACCATGAGCAATATCCAATCGTACGCGTTTCAGCCAAAGACCACTCCCAGCGGCGGTAAGAGTGCTTCTGACGGGATGTCTCAAACCAAAGCGGACAATGGCGACGCTGGGTATTCAGCGGTCCGAGCAGCGGAACATGGTACGATTGCCAAGACTTCCTCAAGCGGAACGGGATCCATGATCATTGCCAGAACTGGGGCGGCGGTCGCTAGGACTCGTTTCTGAGCCAGAGCGTCACGTGAGCGAGAGCCAGAGTGAGAGCGAGAAGGGACGTGGTGCTTGGCCCCAGACGCAAATGGCCCCCGGGATGTAAGACGCCTGTCATCATCTGCGTTCCGTGCACAGGCTCTCGATCGCTCTGTGATGCATGTTGTGGCGGTGGTGGTACAAGGCACGCAGCAAAATGGCGTTACAAGCAAAGGTGCCACCCATATTGCACATGTGCCGGGAGATTGAGTGTGAATGGTCCCGGATCTAGATGACATGGGTTTGTACGATTGATGAACGATTTGGGCCAAGCCAAGACATCGCAGAGAGGTATTCTACCTGAACAGGGATTCTCGGTCAGACACTAAGGACCGGGAGGCGTTGGTCTGATCGATGGATGAGGTATAGCCTCCTGACTCAATTTACTGAGAGGGAAGGTCAAAACAAGTGGATCATCGTCCGGTCTGTCGGTCTGCCAAGTAAAACCAGGATCGAGCGTCTAAGACAGATGACGGAGATATGAACACTGACTTTAAAAGGTTTTGAGACAACAAGGACAGGGTACAGACCGAGCATGATTTGATGCAGCAAATGTGCTTAGAGTGGGGTCTTTCCCCCAACAAGAAGGTCATTCGTCATCGCCAGAACCGGACAACTCCAATCCTGAGACAAAGCATAGTTCACATAATTGCCTATGCATATTACGCCGAAGGTTTGTCCCGCGGAGCTCATGGGTTTGATGGAGTCTCCAAGTTCAGTGAAACAAAGAGAGTCATGGCCGTAGATCCTTGGATCTTGATGTGATCGACGAAAGGGAGGGCCACAAACGGAAAAATATGTCTCAGGTGATTTTAAGCTTAATTTGTCTGATTTTCTCCCAAGAGCCCAATGAAATCATATTGGTGCTGGACGATCTCGTCGTCGCATGAATCTGTCTCATTCCTATCGCGCGGGACGGTGAATCGAAACTCATGAATTTATTCCTCTCATCGTCGTCGTCGTCGTCGAATACCATAGAGTAACCGGCCAAAGAGGCTCTCTCCGGAAGATTTTGCCCATACAAATCACAGTTCTCGCACTCCCGCGGACTAATGCACCTATCCAAGCTAATTCCCCCCCCCCCCCCCTGTGTCCACACACTGTATGGTATGGATACTGTACCCAGAGAGCCCCTCGTTCCTATAGCCGTGCCTATCACATGAAGTCTGGACTCTTTTTTTTGGGTTCTGTGAGGAGATTCCAGCGTCCAGGCGCAGTTTTGATTTACTTCTCCCCGTCCTTGAATGATACACGCCGCGGGTAATCTGCCGGGGAGGTGCGATGGCGGCGTGGCAGGCGGGAGATGTGCGTTCCAGTCAAGGTCCTCAGCAGTAGCCATCTCTTGCCAGCAGCAAGCAGCTAGCGAGCCAGACAAACCAGCAGATCCCGAGACTGAAATGTCTAAATTTTTTCTTTGAAAAAATTACGTTATTCGATCAGTGGCGAGAGTGAGTAACCCCTTTCCGTCCCCCGGCCCTGATTCAGAGTGGCTGCTGCTGCTTGGGTGTACCTGGGTGTGGGGGGGGGGCTACTGCTGCTGCTGCTGCTGCTGGCAAGAGATGGCTACTGAACCGAAGAGCAGCTGGCCTGCCCTGGCACAAGCAGCCTCTCCAAGCCCCCCTCAGCCTCCCTCAGCCTCAGTCATTCGGTCAAGACCGGTCGATATCCCAACAGCGATCCTCCCCTTGTTAAAATTAAACGTAGATCAAATTGCCCAGACTTTCCATCCCCCTCTCTGTCAATCCTATCGATCCCTCACTCCGTAGTCGTTGTGTAACTGCACTGGGGGGACGAATGAGGGTGCTTAACTCATCAACGCATTGTCCGATTCTCTCTAGCCCTTCTCACTAGACCGACACGAGGTATAACCCCACCAGTGCCACTACTTCCATATTCCCAGGTCACACGCACTGGTCATCCACCCTTATACTCTTTCCCCCCTTGGTTGTCCATAGCAAGAATCACTCATGCGACTATACTAGCGTAGAGCAAGAAGAGGAACGTAAGGACCCAGGAGCACACAGGTCACGGGCACATCCTCTCAAACTCTTTATACAACTCGAGACGCATCGACCACCACTACATTCCTCAAATACAGCTCTCTCTCTTTGTGCCCTCCCCAAGTCACCTACCCCTTCCCTCCATCTTTTCATTCCCTCACTCTCTCTATATCGACCATGGCCACCACTCTTCTCGTCTCGTCTTCATCCTGCCCATCCACCCCGCTCGATGCACACTCCCCTCCCCGGCCACCTCGTCGTCGACCACCTCCTCTGCAACTCCGTAAAGTCCATCGAAAGCCCGTCCCTTCAGCTCTTCTCTTGGAACTAGAGTCTGAAGTTGGCTCTGCGCCGTCCTCACCGACCGTGCACGACTCGTCTACGCTCGAATCTCGTCCAAATCACCTATCGCTTGATGGACTGCGAATATCTGCACCTCTTCCAGGGACATTTACTCACGTCTCTTGGAAATCTTCCGCCGCTGGATCCACCCTTCCCTTCCCTACAACTTCGACACCCGACTCGCTCGACACGTCACAACTTCAATTCGAACTCGCTCAGTCCAACGCTCAGCGGTACATTCTCGATCTGCCCCCCAAATCACCGACGATCGACCTCGCCTCATCTCGTGCATCCTCTCCCTCTTCTGACGTCTCTACCTCTTCGCGCTCTAGGTACAACGGCAGAGTCGTGAGGAAGAGCACGTCTAGCTCTTCACTCTCACTTCGAGGAAATGGCGCTCGGATTCGTCTCGCCGAGATCCCATTGTTGGCTTCTCCAGGTGTCAGACCAGAAGGCAATGGATGGGCAGGTGGACCTCAGCGATCCCCCTCGTCGTCTTCCTCCTCACCCATATCTTCTTCGCCCAAACGACAGCTCTTCCTCCATCGAGTTAGACGCTCTTCCGGAGGTCTCGGAGGAGGAACCAACAGCAGTCCTCGTAGACGCAAGAGCTCCATCTATGGCCCTGGGACAGGTATCGAACATCTCAAACAGGTCGGAGGGTCAACACCTCATCTGCCATCGATGATCGACTCCAGTGCCCCGTCGTCGAGCTCCGATCTGGGCAGTATGGAGTCACCAGCAGGAAGCATCAAGAGCGATCTACCCGTTGAGAACTTTACCGGAGGCGGCGTCCTTGGATCACTTGGACGCAATGGGACTTTTGGAAAGCGTACTCGGATCGGACTCGTCAAAGGTCGACCTGATATTCCAGAGAGAATAAGGAGCTTGTCATCTCCACGCAAAACGCATTTCGGAACGACGTACGAGTTTCACACGTCCGTGTTTGAGACTCTGCAGCAAAGCGAGTCAGCCTCAGCGATTGAGGAGCCACTCGTCAAGTCCTCCAAGAAATCAGCGAATGCGCCAATCGTCCTTGAACAACATCCCTACTGCGCAGACAACCCCGAAGCCGCGATCGATGAAGTTATCGCACCTGTCGTCCCGCCAAGGACGGCAGCACCTACGCTCAAGCGATCCAAAGCAGTCTTTGGCAAGCTGAAATCGAGGATGGGCAGTAACAAGATTACTACTCCTTCATCCTCAGAACCTGAACGCATCATTCCGGCATCGATTTCTCTGCCGTCGACGCCTTTGCTCGATGAACCCACGGTCGATACTACTTTGCCGCTCTCTGCGTCAACTTCGACGACCTCTGCGGCCTCTTGGAAATCCTCCATATCGAAGCTTGGTACTCAGAAGTGGTCTCGACGAGCTACGTCCTCACCTCGACCGGACTCACGAGCTTCTACGGCCTCGTCTACCTTCCTCTTTGGCTCGACTGGGGCTCGAACTTCCACTATCGACCTCCCCTCCTCCACTGCTGTAGATGTACCCTCCGCACTTGTCGAGTCTCAAGCCAACACATCAACGGGTACATTGATCCTGTCTACCATCTCAGAATCATTGGACATTGACGATATTCTCGATCCGGCCAAACGGGAAATCATCCTTGAGTCTCTACACAGTGCGACAAGTACAGCAAGCTCTTCCGCTTCGTCTTCGTCATCCAGACGTGGCTCACTGCCTGGGGACGATGATTCCACCTCTCTCAACCCATCCAATTCTGACCCTGTGCTCTCCTCCTCTGATTCTTGCTCTCCGACAACGACGCCCTATTCATCCTCCTCTGCCAACGATCACGGTACACCGTGGACATCGCATCAGCAACATGGACATCATTCGCCTTCCGTCAGTTCGGATCATCAATTTTCATTAGATACGCCAACCCTCGAAGATGGGTTCCACTCGCACCACACGCAAGGACCTTTGAACCCTATGCTCAAGCGAGTCAGCATAGATTCAATGGGTGGCAAGAGTGAATCGAGCTTTTATTCAGCGTTAGGCCAGACGGATATCTCCATGATTGAGTTTTGAGGCGGGGTAAGAACAAGGGGTCCTTAGGAGAGACAAATGTACTGTATGCGGTGTTTGACCTGATTGCCCTTCTCTCTTTCTGGGGATCCTGTATCGATTTTGTTGGTATACATATACATCAATGCTCTCTCATACATAGTCATACATGTTAAGCCGGTGTGCAATGGCAACCCCGATCCATTCTCTTCTGATGTGATCAGCTGATTTTATTCCGTGCCTTTTTTTTTTCCTTTCTTTTTTCTGAAACACATTACCCCTTTTTCAAAGAAAAATTTCCGTTTTCTCGCAGTGGCACCAGTTCATTCTCAAGCAACAGCAGCGACAGCAGCTGCTGCAGCTGGCAGCGCCATATATCACGATGCCCGAGGTGGAGTGCTATGCACTGAGTGTCCCATATCGGATAAAGGTAGAGAGAGATATCTGAGCGGCACGCCTGCTAAAAGACGACGCGACGCGTCGCGATGCGGGACGCGTCCAACATTACGAAATCTCGTGGAAAGGGGGAAAAAGGCATAGATAAGAATCTCTTTCTCCATGTTCTTCCTTCTTGACATTGCACTTCATCCACCTACCCAATCATTCAACTCCCTCGTCGTCCATCCAGACTACTTTATCCCATCCCTTCCCGATTCTATCCAGACGAAGAACCTCTGCCATACCACATCCACCTCACTCCATCCAGTTGCAAGATCGTGCCCCCCTGCGCCGGTCGCCACCAGACAACCTTGCATCCAAACCCCTCAACACCATGAACTCCTCGTAAGTCGATCACCAATCTTCACCTGAGCTACAGTTCTGACAACTGCTTCAGCCTCCCTCACATCCTGCCAAGTCTAGCATTCATTGGCATCTTCTTGACCATGCAGATGATCATCTTGACGTTCCGGATCATTTTCATGGTGACCGACGCGTATGAACGCGCGCTTGGAATGTACAAGCTCGTAGTTCGGCTGCTTGATCCATCCAATGGTCCACAGATTACAGTCTCCCATCAGATTGGAGCTGGTGGTGTCGCTCGCATCAGATTGTCCATGACAATTTCTTTTAACATTCCATGGATTCAAAAAGTCATTTTCCACGCGTCAAGTTGGTTCATCCATTTCATCCTTGAATCCCCAATCACTCTACTCGTCTGGTTTATCTCCATGAGCATCTGTGAAACGGTCCAGGGCTACCTACTGTGCATCTTTCCTGAACTGCCGGTGCAGATCATTGTGCCTGCAGAGTACCTCTATCGCGATGGCTTGAAATCTGTTCGAAAATCCCCACCTGCAAATGACCATTTCACGCCAGGCGAGATTGAAGCGGTTCAAGCTGAGCTGGACAATTATGCGGATCTATTTGCAGATGATTCTGACTCAGAGTCTGATCCCGAATCCGTGTCCGACTCCGTGTCCGAGTCACAGTCTGGCGAATGTGACTCGACGCGGTCCGACATGCTCTCAGATTCCGATTCCGACGAAGAAGATATGGAACGACTGTACGATTATTACAAGACTTACAACGAAAAGATCACCCATGCCTTTCACGAACAACTTGATCCGATCATCGAGGACGAGCTTGTCGGTCTTCCATCCGTCTATCTCACTCCTCCAACGCCCGAAATGCTTCCTGTATCACCCGACGACGATTCAATCTCGCAAGGTCAAGAACTCCTCGAAACACCTCCTTCCTTGACACTTGAAGGGACTTGGAGAGACGCCTCTGACTCCCCCTCGTCTTCAATCTTACCATCTCCCAACCCTCAGTCGCGTATCGGCCTCGGGCTCGAAATGGAGGAGTCAACCGCTCCCTCGATCTCTTTATCCAAAACTGATTGGGCTGACATGGATGATGATTTCCCCATGGTATTCCCATCATCAGAATATGCCCCTCCTACTGCCGAACCCCATTCAGCCCTCCAACCCGGGCTAGAGCTCGAACTCGACCGATCATCCCCAACTTCAGTGCCTGCCTCCACGATCTGCTGGGCAGATATGGATGATGATGTTCCCATGGTGTTTCCAGACTCTCTCTAAGGCTACTGGTGTGTACCGTAGCTGAGCCTTCAATCATGACACGAGCTGGTCTCTCCTTTGGGCATTCTCTTGGGTCTTTGCTGTATCGCTCCACTTGATAATTTCTTGTTCTTCTCATTCTGGCTCGGTATCCTGTAGCGACTAGCTCATTGTCTGCGCATGCATTCTAGATTGTCTTACATCTGTCTTTGATTTGCCGCTTAGAAAGGTCTAATTTGCACTGCACTAACAATCTAAACGGCACCTCCCAACTATGTACTGTACAAATTTTCCTGCGTGCTTGCCAAATCCCTCAGAACAGCCGTGCAAAGTACGCGGCAAGACCACCAGCAGTCATCAGTCCCCATCCTTTTGATCGACCAATGTCCCTCCGTTGAAGGGCCGCACCACCCGTCTTTGTATTCTCCTTGAGGGCTTGTACAGCGGCTGCCGAATTTGATTTACCAAAAGATGAAGAATCAGGAACGTCTGTCCGAGCCGATAATTGAACCGTCTTGTCTGCCACCGAGGTCGTGAAGTAGACGTTCTTCAAGAACGCATCTGGATGGAGGGGATCAATTTCAACATGCTCTGGCTTCTTCTGAAAGACTTTGGCTCACCTCCCAGGAGCCAGGTTTGATCGTCCGTCACTGTGCCTGCTGACAGGGACGAAACGCATTGCCCGGTGAGATCGCTCGTCGTAGGTTGGAACAAGAGATCCTGGACGTCCATCCTGAATGAAGACTGGTCAGCTACACGGCTTGAAGATGGCCACTTCTGTACAGTAACACACTCACTGAAATGCCGCGTTTCCAAATTGAAAGAACACCTTGGCCTCTGTCGTGCAAGGTATACTGTACATTCCATTGCCCAAGCTTTGTGATCCAGCAATCTGAGCATGAAACGCATCCGCGTCTGGCTCCGGAGCGACCATCAGACTGGTGCCTGTATCCAAAATGACCTGTCGTCCAGACACGACGGTATCTCCATTGACGATGACTGCCCCAAGGGGGACTTGCCAGAATCCGTTACTCGACGAGACTGCCATAGTCTGGGTTGTAGATGGATCGAACTTGTTGGGGTCGGCTTGACCAAAGACGATTTCTCCATCATTGTTTCCGTCTGCTACTCTGCCCAAAGCGTACCCCATGATAGATGATTTGACGAGACCAGATTGAGCGAGCGCTTCAATAGGCGTAATGACACCTTGGTTGGACAATTTGTCAAAGGAGAGACCCATGAGGCCGTCAAAGGGGACGGTTTTGGAGCTAAATTGAACCGATTCCTGCGACCAAACAAACAGAGTGTCAAAAGCCTCGCATGTCTGGCGGACCGGAGCTACTCACCTGGAGCGAGACGCCAAAGACCTTGTTTTGCAACTTCATCCCCGCTATACTCATGTCGTCTGAACAGAGCACTCCAGCGACGGATCCAGAGCCGTACTGAGTAGCCCATTGTTGACCTGATGCCTCTGTATCGCGGTCGTCAGGGATCTGATGTCGGGAGCCCGGAGCAGGGAACTCACGAAAGGTGCTACTGACGTCGGATCCGAGAGCAGTGTGACTGCCACATTGAGCGCCACATTGTCTATGTAGAGAGTACGTCAGTACTCGTCATCTCTGCAGACCGGAATGACTCACGTCGATGGGACCCAAGTATCTGCACTTCCAGAATCCATGAGGAAGACAAACGTCCTTGGTGGTGTCCCAATCTGTACATCGGCCATATAACCTAACAAGGCATCAAATCTGGGCCGGGTGGAGGTCTCAAAAGGATCACACTCACCGACGTCGTTGAATTCGATATTATACGGCAATCCACCCTTAACCAAGGCGCTCGTTGAATTTGTGATGAGACCGTCAGTCAAAGCGGCATATTCAAGCTGAGAAAATCCATTGGCGTTGCTTCCGGATGCTGACGGCGATGCTCAGTCATGTCGCAAGGACCTATCGAACGATACGACTCACCGGTGATGGTCGTGGCAACGGCAGCAGCGGCGTTGGCCGCACTGGGCTCATCACCTCCGCTGGTGGTACTTGGGGTGATACCGCCTCCAGAGATCTCTAGAGCCTGGCAAGACGGTCAGCAGTCGCATGACTTGCAAGAGCTGTAGCAGTGGCTAGGTCGAACAACTCACTAGGTTAAACTTCGGTCTAGCGACGACATTGTTCGTTGGAGAGGGAGGATACCATAGTCGCTCTTCTAAGCTCTGGATGATCTGTTCATCGTCACTGTCGCTACATCCAGAGGGAATATCGTCATCCACTCCATCGCTATCATTATCATTTTCTCCATCAAGACCAATGATGATCTGGTCGAGTCCAGCGTCAAGACCATCTATCGCTTGTCGCTGGAAAGAGGGATCAATCGATGACATGCGGCGTTGACTCACTCTTTGAAGGGTGCGTTCCTCGAAGAATGTGCCTTCCGGGATATCTCGTCCAGCTGGACATCATCAGCCATAGTGCCTAATGGATACTCGTGCTCGCGAGGACATACTGAATTTCAAGAGTCGTTTGACGGCTGCATTATGGTGTCGTTGGAAGGCCATATGGGGATGCTTAGGCGGGGTCAGCGCTTCACAGGCAGAAGAGATTCAGGATCGGGGCCCATTCACCTCGCCATCTCGTCTATTTGGGATCTTTCTAAGCTCAAGCTTATGTAGTGGCTCTTCAGCCACTGGGGCGGGAGCTGCCCATATCAGTGATGGGAGGAGGGCAGCAATGACTCCTGCAGATGTCCAGATCTGCATGGTAGTTGGGTGATCGGTGTGAAGCGTTCAGTCGAGCGCGACAGTCGTGCCGTGGTTCTAGAATAATGCGTATCGGTCGGGTAATATAGCGGTGCTGAATGTACACAGTAGGCCTGCTAAAGCGCTGTGGGTCGGAAAAGTCGTCTTCTTGGAAAAGTCGTCGTCGATGCGTCGGTCCAAATGTCAGGGATGTATGCAAGGTAGTTGAATGATGCTGAGGCAATGTCGAAGCTGATAGGAATACAGTAGGATCTAGGTTGTGACCAGCACAGAGAGGCTTTGTACAGTTGTGAGCTGAAAAGGATGTCAGTCGCAGACCAGCTGCGATACAGTTGAATGAGGATGAGAATACCAAGAGAACAGAACGAAGTTGAGAAGTTCAGACTATTTGAACAAGATATGGCATATCTCAGATACGTCAATTTGTCCAGCCTGCCGGGACCAAGAAGTTGATCTTAGCCAGATGCGAGAAAGAATCAAGTTATGAGGTAATCACGCTAGCAGCTTGGGTTGTCTGGTGTGATGCAAGGGTATATAAGGTTACCTGGAAATCTTCGTAGTCTAGGGAGGGAGGGCCTGCGGCACCGGCACCGGGAGGTTTCTTGACAATCCGCATTTGACCAAGCTCGTTAATGGACCTCGACCTAATGAATGTCAACTTGTTGTAATGGCTCCAAGATTGCCTTCACTACAGTTCCCTGGAGACCTCTTGAACACGGTTAGCAAATGCGTCCTCGGGCCATCCAGCCGTTTCCAACTGGTGTGGAATTTTTGCAGATTCCATGACGACGGAGAGGGAGCCTTGAAGAGCCCCACTCCCTTTACCTCTGACGCTCAGATCAGTCTGTCACTAGTGTCCATCGCCACCAAGCTAGGCAATACAGCGTATCTCCAAGTGTTACGCATGCGAGATAGCGTTGAAGACACTTGTCAAGACTCCTAGTGGATCAGCCATCTAATGTTCACCTCGCCCAAAAAAAAGAAAAAAGACAGTCGGGTCGATATTTGATGACGTAAGGCCAGATGTGGTTTCCCACGGCCGCAAGCTGGGACGGGGCAATTTGCTTCCGCTGTCAGGCAGCCCCCGGTTCCAACCTCTGACCTGCTGCTATCATCCCTTAGCTGGACTGATCTCCGAGTCCAGAGACGCACCCTTCCAAACATGGTCTCTTCCAATACTGCCTCGCAAGAGGAGATGATGATCAACAGGGTTCCACTACAATGGAGAGATCAATGTTCAGCGTGAGTCTGGTGGTCTTCCCTGTTTGGGAGGGATAAATGGGATGAAGATGTCCGATTCGTCTCATGTAACTTTCATCTCCGGTTCTGAAAGTGCCCAATTGACCTTGCTCTGTGTCTCGCTCAGTCTGAACATCAGCGCGGTATTTTGGGGAAGAGTATAAACTGATACTCTTATGCCAGACTTCTCATACCACTCAACAAATGCAGACATAGGGAGAATTACGCTCCGTGGAAATGTGAAGACGAGAGACATACGTATGAGAAGTGAGTCGGGATTCTTTGTCAGATGGGTGCATGCCCTTGATGGTCCCGTACTGATTCAAAATCTCGTAGGTGTCAGTATCAAGAGTGAGTGATGAATTGCCGATTGATTCATGAAACGGAGCCTCGCCTCTGAGCGTCTTTGAGTCTCTACACAGCTGACTCTTTCGCAGCTTCCTCAGAAGGGCAAAGGTACTGCAAAAGGAAAAGAAGGCGGCAGCATTAGCAGGAGCAGAGGACGAGTAGGGCATTGCAGCTTGTCGCCAGCTCTCGCAATGGCGGCTCACATGGCATGAGACGTGTGCATGTTTGCTACAAACAACAGTATTCAGGGCTGTATAAACTGGAAATGGTGTATTCCTTAGGCTACACTGTGCACAACCATTCTTATCGGCTATGGTTTCCACCTCCCTCACGCTCGGATAACACGTCCCAACTTCCACTATCACTCGTATCGCCATTCCCGTGTCCGTTGAGTCCACCGTAGCCTCCTTCTGCAGATGACTGAGGACTCGAATGAGTGTTCGCAACACTCGACTGGGCTTCCGATTGGGAACGCGAATGATTCTTGGAATCAGGAAGCGAAGTCGTCGATTGGGCTGCAGAAGTCGTCTGATCACTTGCGTCCGATCCAGAACGAGCCTTGCGTGTCGATGCTTGATCCTTGTTCCGAGACGACATCGGAGTCAGTTTGGGGGCAAGCTTCTCCAACTCTATTCCGAGAGGATGGAGCAGACTGTTCGTTTTGGACAGATGCTTGTCTTCAGACGGCAAAGGCTTGATCAGGGATTTGGCGTATTCCTGAATTGTGTTAGATGGACGAGACGTGAGACCGACTCACAAGATCTCGATAGATGGCTTCAATGGCCCGTGCCACTCCATTTTCCTGCGAGACCGCGTCAGTGACGACCCAAAGTAGTTCATATCCACTTGGCTCACCTTGCGGATCATCTCCCCCACGACCTTTGCCTTTGCGACCTGCTTCTCATCCGATGTCGCCTTACGCAGAGCTTCGGCAAGGTTCTCCGGATTGAGTTTGCGAACAGCTGATCCGACGTTGAGAGATTCGACTCGTTCAGACCAGAACGCCTGATCGCCGAAAAATGGCTTGATGATTGTCGGCTAGATCAAGGTGAGCATGACGTTTCTCAACGTTGTATGCGACTCACGATACCGGCACGCAGACTCGCTCCCGAAGTTCCAGCTCCACCATGGTGACACGCAGCGTCAATACGAGGGAACAACCAAGTATGATCGATCGAATCGATAGAGCTGAAGGCGATCAGTATGGGCCTTTGAACGAGATTTACAAGATCTCTGGCGGATACTTGACGCCGTCCGCGCCATCGGAATCTCCGTTGCTCTCGCCTTTGGCTTTGCTGCCTCTGTCTGACCACCCCTTGGAGAGAATGGCACACACACCGGAATCAACAACGGCGTCGACGACACAACGAGTCATGGCCTCAGGATCAGAGACGACGATCGAGCCAAAGCCACTTTTGTCTCGTCAGCCGCAATGTCGAGATCAGCGCACCGCAGCTCACATGTAGACGACCTTTTTGCCATCCTTGTGCGCCTTGTCGATAAACTCGAGCAACCCCTCAGGAGGTTTCCACTCCGATTTGTCTTTGGAAGAGCCTTCATCGGCGTTTTCGAGGAACCAGTATCCTGGCAGAGGTCAGCGTGGATAGTGATGACCTTGTGAGCTGTCACACCTGTCACATGGATCCACTCTGTCCAGTCGAGTGGAGGAGGCACGACGTTGGGCGAGAAGTTGTATAGGAACGGTACTATGCAGTGTCAGCCGATGACCATCATGATCGTGTCCAGTCTCACCTTTATGCTGCTCCAGCTTGTCAAATGTGGTTGCATCAAGACCCAAGGTATGCTTTCGCCATCGATTGACTTGCCCGGAAATTGCACGCCAGAAGACTTGATCAAACATGGTGTATGTCATGTAGTTATAAGATCCTCCTCGCTTGTGCTCAGGGACGGCGAAAGCGTGCTGCGGGCGCTTGTCAGAGGTCTTTCCATGCATCAGCAGGTGACTCACCGGATACGCTCGGGTTCTAGTCCACGGCATGGTAAATGCTCGATAGTACGGTATCTGCAGCGCTTCGGCGATGTGAATACCACCCATAGCACTCGGACTTTCAATGAGCAGATCGGAATCCTGACACGCCTCCCAAGACGAATTTAGCAAGTCGTCTAACCAGCCGCGGAACTACGAGGTGTCAGGTACTGATCTGATGACAGAATCTACCTTTTGCAAGCCCTCTTTAAGGAAAGAAACAGTGAACATGCCATTGTCAACGCACATCTGCATCAATTCTGCAGGATCGCCGCCGACACTGGCAAATTCGATACCATGCTATTGAAATGTCAGGCCGGTCGGTGTGTGAGCGGAATAGACTCACGCCTTCGACCCAGTCCTTGTATTCACCATGAGTCGCAATCCTCGTTCGATGTCCTTCAGCTTGCAAACCTTTACACAGCGCAATGTAAGGTTGTACATCCCCTCGACTTCCTATGGTCAGACAAGTGATGGTCATGGGATCAGGTTTGAACTCCAGAAATGTGCTGGTTGTACTGCCAAACATGGGCGATGGCGAGACACCCGGTCCAGGTCCTGTGCGATTCTCCATGGGAACAGATTCGTCCAAGTCTTCCATGATTCTCGTCGCCAGCGTCTTTGACCCGTCTTCATCCTCATCCGAATCGGACATGGCCTCCAGCCGTACGTCCTCCATTCGCTCTTCTAGCATTGCTACACAAGCTTTCCTGCGTTTAGAAGAGGAAAATTCGAGGAAGAGCTCTTCGTGCCCTTTGATGACTACGATGAGACCGGAGTGACCAAAGCGGAAGGCCTTCTGAGCCTTGAGACCGTACAAGTCGCGAATAGGCACGATCATCTGGTAAGAGTCAGCACAGGGGGTGTGAGCGTTGAGGTGCACCTGCCTTGGTCTTGTACAATAGTTGGGAAGATCGGAAGCAGAAATAATTTGTCGAGATGAAGAATCTGCCTGACACCGGAAGAACGCGATAGAGGTATCCGGGGAAATCTATAAAATGAGTGAGCTGCGCTGGCGAGAAATGGTCTCACGTTCGATCAATTCTTCCTTGTCAGGGAGAGAAAAGACGCTTCTAAACTTGTTCGCCATATCCTCGTCCTCTTTCGCGCCACTCTCACTTCGCTCCATCATGTCGTAATCAGATTTGCTTTGCCCACTCGTACCGGCTTCATGCTCATGTTCCGAGGAGAAAGACATTCTTGGGATCTCTTCCGAGTGATCCTTACGACCAAGCGACAACTCGTCATCCGCTTCGTCCATCTCGACGTGAGAGAATGGCTCCACCACTTCAGTGACGGAGGATTGTTTCCGTGGTCGATGTGTCGACGATCGCGGGGATCGTTCGACCTCTGTACTGGATCCATGGGAGGTCTTGTGGGCCAACGAAGTGGACGATCCCGATGAGGTGCCAAAGATTTTTGTCGTAGGCTTCTTGATCCATTGACCCCAGCTCTTGCCTCCAGACTCGTCCATCCCCTTTGGAGGTCGACCGTTCTGTCGCGGAGGGTAGCCATCATCCTGGTCGTCGTCATTCTGGGATGTAGCCGGTGTCGTGTTCTGAGCATGATCATCTGTGCGAAGGGTTTCGAGACTATCGTTGGACGGTTTGTGTCGGCCGACGAAAGGGATCGAGAAGCTCGACTTGCTGTCGTCGGAAGCCTTATCCTTGTCATGATCAGAACTTGAATGTCCAATCCCTGGTATGACAGGCTTGAGTATAGCTGCAACTTTGCGTAGGCCAAGTGGTCCAGATCGTTTGTGTTTGGACGATCGTGTCTCTTCGTCGTCCGAATCTGAACTGCTGCCGTCCCGGTCACCATGGTCGCCGAATGAGAATCGCGACGAGACTCGGGGCAGATCAACGGACGGTCGATCGTCAAGCAGCTGTTGAATGGAGTTGAAAGCGTGATCGGTGTCCTGAAAGCACGCAAAAAAGTATGAATCAACAGACATTTGGTCATCAGAGTCGACGCATTTGACCTGTGGAAGCGATCAGCCCTGCAGACATTATCGGACCCACCTCGATGGTATCAGCGAATTCCAAAGTCGGAGACTTGTCAATGTCCAGCACCGCCTCGAGAGGGATGATCAGCTAAAGATGGGTCAGTGAGACCCTCGTCCTAGCATTTTCTCACCTTGACGCATTCTCCTTCATGCTGTGTCTTGAACATGACCTTTTCGATCGCCTTGATCCATTCGTCTCTCGACTTCTCCGTGTCCGCGGTAAATGTATAGTTGCGCTCCGAGGTTCGAAGCTTGAAACGAGTCTCGTCGATAGGATCGCAGCTAGACGCGTACTGCAGCGACACGTTCCCCTTGGGAAAGTATGGATCCTGCCAAGGCTCAGGAGAAACTCTCGTCTTGGGAATGCTCATGACCTACCGCTGTACTCTCATACCAACTCAACACATCGTTCTTCAATACGACCCAATATTTGCTGTTGAGCTTTGTCCGCGAGGCTTTCTTATACAGAGCTCCCGTCTTTACTACAAGATTCTGTGCAGAGGGGGATCAGAGGAGTTCCACGGAAGCGACCTTTGAAGCGCTCACCTCTTTATCCGGCATGTGAGCGAAGAAACAGATATGTTTCTTTGTGAGATACATGTAACCCTTGAGCACTGTGCAAGAGTGAGCACTAATCACGGGGTGTTGGCGGTATCACTCACTGACGCTCCTCAACAGCCAGCATTTCATCTCCTCCAGAACTTCCTCTCGCTCTTCCAACCCGAACACCTCCATGAGCTTCTGACTCAAAATCTCTCGTCTCGATCTCCTCCTTTCTTCAGTGTTTTCTTCCATCCTCTCCTCAATGATCTCATCCTCATCTGTTCCCTCTCGAAGGGCAGCGTCCGCGTTGGCGTCCGAGACGCTCCTTTCGCGAGACTGAATCGATCGAAGAGTCTGTGGATCTGCCGTTTGACCGATCTCTTCCTCCTCTTCTAATCTGCCGATTCCCTGCTCACGGGCTACTCGGTTCTCGACCGCTGCTCGTGCAGCCTTATCATCACGGCTTATGACATCCTCGATGCCCGGAGACACAACGAGTTCGTCGCCTTCTTTCCTGGGCGGTGGAACTTCTCCGATATCCCCCAAAATGTCCGGTACATCTTCTTTGCCTTCGAGCGACAATTTCCGCCTTCGTGCGGCTTCTGCAAATTGGTATGCCAGCTCAGATTGGCCTGGAGACCGAGCACGCCGAGCGATGGTGTTCTCTCGGAAGGGGAAATGTAAATGATGACTGTACTCGCCAGAAGGCGAGCCGTAGGCAGAAGCAGGAGGCACTTCGACCATATCCTCGTCGGCTGTTGCTGAACCCATTGGTCGGATAGTATGCAGAGACGAGTGGAGTCGGGACACTGACAGCAAACAGTCAGTGCAAGCTACACCTCGACCGTGCATTTCAGCTGCCGCTGGCGACTCACCTCGTGGCCGTTCTCTACGGGGAGCCTTTTCAGAATGATCTGCATGCGCCTTCTGGCCTTTGGCGATTGGACGAGGGCGAGACATAGGCTCTTCTTCGTCACTTGACGGTCCGTCCGAGTCGTCAGCGTCCCATGGCAAGGCGTTGAGGGCGGAGAACAATGCCGAGGCTCCCATCCGAACCTTTGAAAGCCAATTGCGAAGCATGGGGAAGAGGCGGAGAAGGCGTCATGGACGAGGTCGAGACAGCCAAGAGTGACCAATCATGATAAAGGGGCGCAAGGAAAACGTTGAGTCAGCATTGCTAACAGACAAAACCACAGTCGGGGAGGCGACCGAGAATGTGAGAGGCGAAAGGAGGTACAAGGGAGATCCTGAAACGGCCTCAAAGGGAGACCTTGAGCCGTGAAAAGCCCATGATGGGAATGGCAGTGGTCCGAATGTCAAGCCGGACTAGCATGACAAAGCGCGTAGCGCTTCGGCGGAAGGCTTCACCAGAGGACGTGGTATATGTGTGTACATGAAATCAAGGCCTACTCACCGAGCCAATGTCCCTGTCTTGAGGCGGGGCGACTTCTGTCCTCGAACGCGATCTCCTCGGACCTCGTCTGGACGTGAGCCCTCCAACATCCGTACTTGATCTAGGTCGTGAAGAGGATTCATTGGCTGGGCTCGAATTGCTGCCTCCTGCTTCTTCGGCCGGGACCCTAAGCGTTGGAATGGAAGATTTCTGTCGAAGAGTATCCGAAGTGTCCTGTCTCTGTACTTCGGGAGGGGCATGGAGACGATCTGAAGGCGTATCGCCAGAGGGCGAACCATCTTGGTTGGCTGATCCCTGTTGTCTCGTCGACAAGGTCTCATCAGACTTCTCTGAAAGGGTCGATAAGTTTCCACTGAGACCCCTTTCCAGCATTGGTGTCTTCATTTCATCCAGAGGAGTCCCCTTGATTATGGGCTTTTGTTCATCCTCAGCAGCTGGCGATTCGATCTGAGCCGGTGCAAGGTCCTCAGACGAAGCAGATGGTGTAGATTCCCCTTCGTCAGCCCGAGGTGCCGACGTATCGGGAAAAGTGTGTTTAGCAGCCGCATTGAGGAATGCTTCAGCGTTGGGATGATGCGCTTGAGGTGGTGGAGGATCTGTACCCTGTGGAGCGAATGGCGGCTGGTATTTGGCTCCTGGTATATGATGGTTTCCAACGGCAGAAGAGTTGGCAGGCGACCCATCGGCCTCGCCGTGGGTGGGATGCGAGTCCCGTGGACCGGCTGACATGATGCCAACTAAGCCGAATCTAAACTCGATCGAGGTGGCCAAACGTTGCGGGTCCTGATATGTGGGGACGCACAACTACCGCAGCTGCACCCCCTCTGCGCAATGCTCGGATTGGCCTTATCCTCTTGATGATCTAGTTGAACAAGGGGGATGGATGACTTTCAGAGTGGTTCACAAGTGAGCCAGAAGACCTACTTGGCCACCTTTTTGCAACCGATGACGCGCTTCAACCGAATGGGTTTTTGTGGCAGTTGTGGCACATGTAATTCTGATTCTAATCATCAATCGCCGCTAGTATGATCGGGTCTATGCATAAGCGGGCTGTAAGGGCGGCTGAACTGCGTGAATGCCACGCCCGTTTGCAGGGCATTGTAAATGTGCTACATGTTGACATGTTGAAACTAGGGTTTGGGACCTAGGGAGTGCGAGGATTGCTTTACAAAGACTATATCGCTACAGGTATGATTCTTTGGTTGAAAGACTCTACTGATCGTCATTGATCGAGAGCTCTGTCTGTCTCCATTTACGAGCCGGTACACGTCGCTTGAACAGAATATCAATTTCTCGGTATGATCTGCCTTTCATTTCTGGCAGTTGGAAGTAGGCCACCACAAGGCAAATGAGAGCGGTACCTCCCCAGACGTAACCGCACTTGCCTCCCACTGAGTCGACCAGTCAGCCTCAATCGATGTTGAGGAGAATTTGCAGCACTCACAATCTCCACCGGTTGGATTGAGCATGTAAGAAGCCACTGTTGAGGTGACAGTCAGCATTTCAGCGCCAATATTGCTAATCCAAAACCGCTCACAAAAGATACACGGAATCTCAACGATGTAGTACGTCGCACGGCCAATACCAGTGGTCAGAGGTCTGAGTCGGATGGCAGAGGTCTCTCCGATGATAGCCCAAGACGCGGGCGCAGCGGCTACTGTAAAAGCCACACTGGTGATAAGACCCAGTGAGGCTTGTGCCAGAGTCGATGCATGGGTTCTTGGGACTGAAGCGGCGATACCAAGAGACAGCAGCATGACGAGGTTGAATGCTGAGCCCCAGAGATAGATAGGTCGTCGGCCGAAGTAGGTAGTGAGAACCCATGAGGAGATGACGGCGACGGTCTGGAGGCCGGAGGTGATGAGACCGAGGGCGAAAGACAGGCGTTCACCGACTCCAGATTCTGCGGTGGGGGGTCAGCTAGCTGTTCTAAAGAGCTGCATCGGAAGACCTGCGTTGAAAGAAATAGACAGCTTGGTTTGCAATGAGGTTACCAGTAAGGTTCTGGGCAGCATAGACACCGCAGACGATCAAAGTTCGTCGGAGATCTGTACCCTTGAAGAGCTCCGGGTAATTCGGTTTTTTGGTTGTCGCCTCCATCGACACGACTCGTCGCATCATAGCCACGGTGTCCACGGCGTTGAGCCTGGATTTACGTCCAAGACGGTTGACAGATTTGACGGCCTGATCGTATTTGCCATGCCGGACGAGCCACCATGGAGATTCAGGTGCGAGGAACCTGAATGGATGATCAGCGAAAAGTGGGGAAAGGTGGGGGAAGTGGCGGAGGGGGCGGAGGTGGCGGTTGATTACTTACATGGCGATGGCCAGGGGTGTCGGGAAACTAAGACGTTCCGGGTCAGTCTGAGGTCACAGATGGAACACCAGTGTGCATGCTGTCGACTCTAGATCGCCACTCACATCCACTGAATAGCCAAAGGGACACTGTGGCATTGTCAGCGGGGAAAAAAGGAAATTCAGTGGCGACTGACCTGTACGCTCGCCTGTCTGGATAGTCCTGGTAGACAAAGCTAACAGCTTGGACAATGATACTCCCGATAGCCCAGAACATTTGGAGCATCTGAGTAGCCGGCGCACGAAGTCGGAGAGGCACAATTTCGGAACAGTAGGCGGGCTAGTCACAGATCAGCCACATTGCAGATGCACCAAGCTTTTTGGCCGACCACAAGCCAGATTCTCTGAAGACTCACTGCGTTTGCGATGAAAATACCCCATGGTAGACCCTCTAGGATCTGTCCAGCGAAGAATTGAGGCAACGAGTGCGCAGTGTACGACACAGCGATCATGCCATTTAAAACCATGAGTCCGATAATTGTCGCCCATCTGTAGCCGACTCGACTGGTTAAGGGCCCCGCAATGAAAACACCAATTAACGCTCCGAGCTGCCCAGACACCTGTAGAGCAGACTGCCACTTTGTAGCAATAACGTGGTTTCCGGTCGCTGGGTCGATAATTCCATATTGCTGCTTGAAAGCGGGAAGAGCGACAAAATTACCGATTCTAAGCCTTCATTAGCGCTTGTTTCGAGCAGAAAGTTCCATTTTCATGGATCAACTCAAAGAAAGACACAGAACGATTCCATGATAATCGTCGAGCTCATCAGAACCGCCCAAAGACAAGCCATAGGATACGCTTTGACGGCTTGCAAGACGGTCATTGAATATTCCGCATTTTCCGCTTCCATCGCTTCCGCGCGCAGATTCGATTTTTCGGCGTCCGAATGGATTCCATTTTCAATTTGAGCCGTTGTGGCGAAAGGTTTCTGTTGGACTTCATGCTTGACTTCTGACACGACGCCCATGGTGGGCGGCAAACGAAGCGAGCGTGGTGGTTAGAATGGGCTAGGTAGAGAGTGAATCGATTTTCCGGGAAGACGGTGGATTGGGCGACAGGGGACCTACACTGTTTGTAACAAGACTCGTTTGACCGGTCGTTCAGCCGAAATCTATGGCCGCGGGGGGGGGAGGGGAAAAAAAAGTGCGTCATATGAACGCCATTCCGTCTTTACCATGTGTGAGCTCGGAGATAGAACAAGCTTATGGTCAGACGAACGGTGAAACTCTTGCCGACCGAAGGAGCGAGCTGTTCTCTCTCTCTCTCGCATCGACGCATGGAGCCAGTGCACCCTTCCGGCCGTGGGGTTTTTTACAACATGACAAAAAAGATTTATCACTTGGTGACGTAGGCTTTCTGGATCGTCAGCCAGAATTCCAAAAACAGAGCTACATTTCATCTTGGCGAGCCTGATTCGGTTTCTCTTTCCACCGGCACCACGCGGGGGAAGGCATGGGGTTAAGAAGGGATTAGGGTTGTGTGTCCCAAAGCTCGTGGAGCACGACACGATTCCGCCGAGATTTCGCCGCGGACAGTCTGGGTCGATTTCAGGTCTAGTTATTAGCTAGGTACCGGGCCTTGGACCTCACGAGCATGCATCTCAGGAGTAAAGTGGGATCGGCGATTGATCTGATATGCACGGCGTGGTGGTGGGCAACCTGGGTCCGACCGCTGCGCTTGGGTCAGGGCATGGCGCCGGGTGTCTGTAAAGTTGAGGCATGCTTGCTCATACCACCCATCGGCCTCGGCTCGACCTAGTCCTTGTGGTGGTTTCACCGGAGCTGATCACGAGCAGCAAAAGTCAACCAAGCAGCGTGGCACTGGAACGATGAGTATGTGTTTACCACCCAAATCTTTGATCTGCCCGTGCGCGATGCGAGGAGTCCACCGGCACATGTCAACGTTGATTGAAGGGTCGAAACGGCGCAGAGCTTAACAAAGTATGTCCCACGCAGTCCTCCGAGCCTGCACAACTCGCTACAAACTGTCTCCATGGATGCCGACGGTTTGAAGAGACCCAATGTCAGTGATCACTTCTTGACGAGTCATCGCCTAACAATCGCGCAAGGCGTCCCCGTGGGCTTTGAGCTACCAGTGTATCCTGTTTCACATATTCCGCACACTTGTACGTCTATAGCGGTCATTCTCGAACCACCTTCATAGGCAGGCACAACCAAACGCCACAACCGCGACGCCACGTAAAGTTACGTAAACATGTGTGTACGTAAGCACCCGTGGCGACTGTTTTTGAAAGCTTCGTCAACCGCGCTCGGCTTTGTCTTTGTGCATTCATCGACACTCAACGACGAGGTCATCGTTCTCGGCAGCAAGGACAGCATGGGGACAGAGAGTCGACAGCAGTCATGATCTGACAGCTTTAGCCATCTTTCATGACCCCAAATATGGCAGAGGACGAGCCCCAGGTTGTCCACCTGGACCCGTTCAACTTACCCCCAGCAACACCCGCAGGCAACGTCTACCCGAATCTGATCGACTCGACGCAGGTGAGCGGTATACTGCGCGACGTGAGCTGATAGTCTTGAAGCATGCAAGGAACAACTTTCAGCCCCGCAAACGTGTATGGACGAGGACAATCTCTGCTCAAGAGAATGAAGCGTGTCTGAAGAGGACTCTACAAAAGTGTGAGCTTGACCAACCTGAACCCCGGCGGACAAGCTTATACGTTCGATAGACTGGGGATATGATTCTTTCCGTGGACCTCAACTTGACATCTGCTTGAGCGTCATGGCCGGATGTGATGTATTGGTTGTGGCTCCCACTGGTATCGGCAAATCGTGAGTCAATCAATGACCGTTGCTGAACGGATGACAGGGTTTGCTTCCAGGTTCCCGCCGTGACGGTCGAATATGGCATCACTATCGTCGTATCTCCCCTCTTAGGTGAGTGGATTAACAACTTCTGCCGCTGACACATGCAGCTCTGATGAAGGATCAGGTCGCCGGTCTCAACGAGAAGGGAATCAAGGCAGCCATGCTGTATGAAAAGACAGATGAAGCGACAAAGAAATACGTAGGTAGCCCTCCATCCTCAGATGTTGATCGTCTCTAGGTCGGAAAGCAGCTGTCCATGGGTCATCCTGAGCTCCGTCTGCTCTACGTTACGCCAGAAACACTATTCACCTCCCGATGTGGAGGCTACCTGAGAGCAGCGTATAAGCAGAGACAACTCGCTCGTCTGGTCATCGACGAGGTGAGACTGTTAATTCAGAGGGTAACCTGATGTCTTTTTCTTTCAGGCTCACGTCATCGAGGAATGGGGTTTGACGTTTCGATCTGTGAGCAGCGTTTTCCCTGTGTAGGGCAGCTGATACTTAATTTGTTTTTGGGCAGGCATACCGCGACCTTGGGAAATTCAGGGAAGAATTTAGAGACATACCTGTGACTGTGAGCAGCCGTATTCGATCTCGCTAACAAGACTGGAAGGCCGTTACCGCTTCGGCGACAGAAGACGTCCGCGAGGACATCGTTGACATTCTCAAGATCAACAGAGGCGATCTGGCTCAATGGGTCCAGCCGTTCAATCGGAAGAATCTATTTTACGAGGTGAGATCGTATTCGAGTAGACAAACTAAGCATTCAGGTCCGGTACTACAATGATGAGCAACGCAAGTACAAAGTCGACAACCTGGCTCAATTCATCAAGACATTCTCAGTGAAGATTGCAGACCGAAACGAGAAAAATGACATTGATTACAAATGCATCTCTGGATTGGTGTACTGCAGGGCGCGAATGGCCGTGAGTCGGACGAAGGTCAATGTCCATACTTAAAATACAACAGTGTCAAGATATCGCCAGCAGCTTGCGGGATCGCGGCATTAACGCTAGAGCTTATCATGCGCAGCTGAAAGAGGCAGAGCGTGACGACGTGCTGGAGCAGTGGAAAGCAGGCAACATTGACTGCATAGTCGCGACGATTGCCTTCGGTATGGTAAGTCGGCAATAGATGAATCGACTGCTCAATATGCTAGGGTGTCGATGCCCCACACGTGAGATATGTCGTACACTACGATATGCCAAAATCCTTCGAAGGCATGTGTGAGAAGCCGACGGTCCTGACGAGCTACAGGATACTATCAGGAAACGGGTAGAGCTGGGCGAGATGGACACGTGAGTCGTCGTACGAGATGTGCATTGATGGAATAGGTGTCGCGATGCGTCCTGTACTACTGTGTGTACTTCTTGGGAGGACGCTTACTGATGGGTTCATTCAGCCCGCGAAGATGCAGCAAACCTGCGCGGACTCATCGAAAAGGAAGCCAAAAAGGAAGAGGACAAGCGTCGATCGAAAAAGACTGCGGATGCTGCTGTCGTCGTCGATGAGGCCGAACTGGGTCGCGCTAAGATACGCTGCGTGAACAGCTTCAAATTGGTCAGCCATTTTGTCCGTTGAAAGAAATCGCTTATCTGCGCAGATGCAACAATACGCTGAAGCATTCAAGACATGCCGACACGTCGCCATCTGTCGTTACTTTGGCGAGCAAATCAACGACGCCGATCCTGAAGTTAAAAAAGCATACTGTGACAAGATGTGCGATGTAAGTAGCCACGCGACCTTTCGCACTGACCCTTTTGTAGGTATGCTGCAAGCCTGGCGCTGTCATGCGACGTGCCATTCAAGTTACAGATGATGTCCCTATCGCCTCGCAAGTCGTCCTTGCCCCTCGACGAGTCATATCGCAGGCATCGATCCCATCCACGAACCAATCCAGCACCATCCACAAGCTGCATCTGTCCGATGCTCCACCTTTGTCTGACTCCAGTCGGATTGGGCTCGGTGAAGGACCGTCTTCCGAAGGTCCCGACTTCCTGAGCTCTTCACCCCCAAGTAATCGCCATCACCCTCTTAGACGGCGAGCCATCGGTCTCGCGCCTGTCGCATCTGGGCGGTCGGTGGTTGTCCCACCGTCTACATCGGTGATGAGTAGGCACGATTCTGCATCCACGACCATAGCCACCGACTTCGACAAGCAAGAGGCAACTGGGCCTTCGCCAGCTCGAAAGAAGCGACGTCAGGGTAATGCTTGTGCGAGTGCTTCTGAGGATCCGCCCCTTGCTCCGATTGCTCGACACCATACGTCCATCTTCGGACGCAATGCCTCTGCCGGTCCGTCTCGGCTGAGAGCGGCGGATGAAAAGACCCGCACAGTGTCGGCATTCGACGAATCTCCTTTGAATGCAGGGCCGGCGCAGAAGGAATCGATAACTCCTGCAGAGGCTCAGAGGAAAGAGAAGGAAAAGGCCAAATTCATGGCGGTGAGACCGATATCCCCTGCCACCCTCGGCGGAGGACCCTTTTCCTACTACGGTAATGGTGAGTCGTAGTCCTGCTTAGAGATTGCTGACTCTGTAGGCCGGTCGACACAGACCCAGCTGCGTGTCAATGGATCCTCAGCATCAGGGATCAATCGGCCTTTCCGGTCGCCTCTGATGCCCGATCCTGTACCCAAAGTCATTGACCGGATCAGCGTGAGCTTTTGACCGCATTGGATGCCCGAGCTGACGCGTGACAGGACGAAAATCGAGCGGCTCTCCTTGTCGACGCTCAGAGACGACATGGTCTGAAAATGATCACTGTCCTGGAGAAAGTCTTCAAAGATGACGAGATTGGAGATGAGGTCTGGCGGTGTTGGGGCCGGACAGAGGCGGGTAAGAAGAAGTCGAGGCGGATCAAGGCGATAGCTCAATCATTGATCGAGGGTGAGTCCTAGACACGCGATCTTGGATCATGGCCTGACGCCGCCTTTTTCAGAGTTGCATAGTCGCTCGTCAAGTGAAAAGGATCTAGGTGAGTTTAGGGAATCCTCACAGTGGCCGGGGCTGATAGTCGTGCGATATAGGCAAGGAGATCGACCTCTGCGTCTCTTCTTTCCGAATCTTCTTGACCCAAAAAGGCGCAGACATCGTGCTCAAGGACGAGCTGACAGAGTGGAAAGACGACGTACATGGCCAAAGATTGCTGATACTGGAGCGATTCGTACGAGGACGGTGAAGAGAATTTCCCGAGATAAGAGGTGCACGAGTGACGGACACAACCGCGTGTAGATCATAACTCAACGCTTTGAGCGGTTGGGTCTCAAAGGCGCACAAAGAGGTACAGACCAGCTCTCATGACGCGTTTGGCGTACTTAACCGGATGAATCCAAGACGATGAGAGAGCGGGTCACTAAACGCTGGTCCTCAATTTCCGACCTTGTCCCACAGTCGTGGTCCATCTCCCGAGCTCTTTCTCGGCTGTGGTAGGGGGCGACTTGCGAAATGCGTCGCTGCAAGAGCTAAGGGCAGTGCTGATCGGCCGAGATAGGCGAGAGTATGAATTCGTGCTTGATGCCCGGAACCTTGCGGTTGCTTGGTTACCCTACCCATCCTGTTTATTTGTCGACTGCCTGCTAGGAAAGACTCAGGAAATCAGTCATCAAGAATCCTGTTCAGAGAGACCGGTCGAGTATCGGTGGATTAGTTGACACTCAATCTGAGCCTCTGTGAAAGATGGGCTCCAAATTCCCACCGTTGGTGTTTCGACTTGGTCAAGCATGCCTCCTACTCGGTCTCTCAATCAGCAAGATCTGCGGGAAGCTTCTTGACCCTGATTTGACCGCTTCTAATCCCCAATATACAACTGCGTCGTGCATCATGGTTTCTGCGTACTGCCACCTGCTGGACTCTTTGGACCTGAACTCCTGGATTCAGATGACACATCGCCTTCCGCAGTAGTGTCTGTCGGACCCTTGCTGCCCCCGCCGGATCGTTTCGACGACGCCGATTGCTTTGATGCCGACGTCGTCCCGGAAGGAGCCTCTCCAGCGTTGATGACATCTCCCAAGAAATCTCGTCCCTTTGCCAATTTCTTTTGCTTTTCCCCAAGTTTGACCAATTTGACCACCTTGGCCTTCTCCCTTGCCCTGTTGGCTTTTGTCTGCGCCGTGATCTTGGCCCATGCTGGATCCTTGTCCACGTAATTTGATGGGTCTTGACCCTGTCGATGTATCTCGTGTAATCTGAATGCTTTACGAGGGGAGAATTTGGGATGCTGGTGAATGATAGTGACAATGTCGTTGAGGTGGGATTCTGAGACACAATTTTCAGCTCTTAACATGGTCTAGTAGTAGTAAGGGGAGGAGGAGAAGAACTCACGATGACCCTCATCATGAACGAGGTACTTTTTGTGTCGTGTAATGTCCTGTCAACAAATAGATCAGTATGATCTATAGGGAAACCTCTCAATGGAAAGACCGACCGTCTTGTACTGTTCTAAATGCTTTTTGAACGGTACCTAAGCAGAGTGAGCCGCGGCCCATTGGAACAAACGGCTAGCTCACCGTCACTGTGATAGTCTTTGACATCTTTCCCACGCTTGTCACTACACCCTTATGTATCAGCGGCATGGTGAATAGGCTCGTCGAGAGGGATTGACACCAACAACAACAACAGCTCTCTCCCAGATTAGCAGCAGCAGCAGCAGCAGCATTTGAGCCTGCCATGGGAAGCGGCGCTCTTTCGATGAAATTTTGCTTCCGTCCCACTACTTTCTCACGGTGGGTGATCCGAGTCTCCCCCAAGTGACGCCACAATGATGCGTGGTGGTGGTGGTGGTGGTGACGGCGAGAGCTGTGATAGCGAACACCAGCTGTGCGACTGGACCTGAGGCTGTTCTTGAACCACTGGGTCTCAGCTTCATTCGCCACCATATCCCTTCCTCCTCATCGCCGAGCCCCCCCCCCTTTCAACGAGTACTCGCCGTTGCTGCGACGAGGCCTAGGCCTGCCCCGCCCCTCCCCCTAACCCCCCAATTGATCCTAAATTGATCGACAACAAGCGACGCTTTTGGATCATCGACCGACGGTGCAATTCAGCTTTCATCGACCACTCCTTGTTTCTTCTCTACACTCTCGATTAGCTTTCGCATAGATCATACTTCCTGTAATTCGCTCTTCGTTCCTGCTCCCGTACACCACCAACACCACCACCACCACCACATCGCGGCTGCGCGTAAATTACCAATTAACAGCCATGACTCTCATGCCCGCTGGAGCGCAATTGGGTGAGTTGGTCTAGACCGAACGAGCGAGTCCCTCTTGGTCCATACTGACATTCTGTCTCCTCCCCAACCACCCCTCCTTCCTCCATTCGCCATGATGATTGCAGCGCCTACCGACCTGCCCCCACCGCCACCATCTGCAGATCCTCGTGAGCCCTCACCTACAACCACCCGAGGTCGGACGATACGGACACCTCAACGACCCAGATCACCCATGGCGTCCAGAGGTGCTTCACCGACTAGAATGTCCTCTCCTACGCCCACTGGCCAACACTCACCATCTCCTGGAGATGTGACACACGATCACCCTCCGATTGGTTTGGCCCAGCCGGTCCCTCGGCCTCTAGGAACTTCTCCGCCTCCCATCGCGTACACAGGGCATGGCTCATCTCCACCGGGGATGACAGGCTCTGGATCACCCAGTGTCAATCCCATCTCTAGCCCGCAACACCATCAACAACATCACCATCACCATCACCATCACGCCCATCATGTCCCGCCTTACCGATCCAGACCCTCTTCGCCATCTGCTTCTTCCATCCACTCGTCGACCTCGGCAATCTTTGAGAGAGATATTGAGCTACCAGCCGTAGCCTCGCTCTCGCTGAATCCGAACCAGACCCAGACTCACACCCTCAGTCACAAATCTTCTCGTTTATCGCACCTTTCGCAAGCTTCCGCACTGGATCATTCTGTTCCTGCTGTTCTCCAGGATGCTGTGGAAGCCTTGCACACGGAAGAGAACGAATCGCCCGCGAACGGGATTCAAGGTCTAGAAATCGAAGCTCCGGTTCCCATCGCAGCCATCAACATGGCCAGACAGTCGTCCACTTCTATACCCAGAAAGGCGTCAACACAAAGCGGAGTAGCTGCACTGCATCATTCTCGAAGCCCCAGTCCAGTCAGTATGCACTCTGGCGCATCGGGAGCAGCTAGTCCTACGAGGTCGCCTCCAATCCTGGCTCAGCTCGCCACACAGCATTCAAGCGGAAGCATGATGGGTCATCTCGACGGAGGTGTATCACCTACGAGTGGTGGCAGTGGTGTTTCCGCTGCAGGCGTCGGTCGACCAGGTCTCTCAACGAGAATCAGCTCGGGTCCCGAGGGACCATCCGGCGGGTCGAACGGCGGTCACGATGGCGAGGGAACGGATCCATCAAGTCCGCCGGCTCGCCCAGAAGAAGTGAGCCTCCCATTAGGCCATTGCTCCCAAGCTGACTTCCTGAAGCTCACATCAGCCGCCGCCGCTGCTGCAGCTACTGCGAAAGCAGACGATCTCGGTTCGTTCACTCCAACCCCGCCCGTCGGCCACAGTGTATCGTCTTTCCTACCCCATAATCATCTCGGTAACACCGCCAACAAGGATAAGAGGCGGATATCTTACATCTCGTACAACGATCTTTTGCTCTCCGTCCCTACTACAGTAACGCCTCTGGCAGACATCACCAGTGGCAACTTGTCCCCTGACCATCTTCCCGGAACCATTTCTCCTTCCGTGTCGGCTCTCTCGCCCGGCCTCGGCGCATCTGTCAGTGGAGGCATCGCCGGTGCGGCGACAGTCTCGCCATCTCAGACTCCGACGCCAGGCACAGGCAACTTGGGCACGTTGGGATCATCGACAGGGTCTATCCATACTGGAGTGCATGAAACTGGTGTTTTGGGAGAATCTCGAATGTCAGGGTCATGGGACGCCGGTACCCCTGGATCCAGGATGGGTTTGGGACTAGGCGATGGAGAATGGGGTCGTCAAGGTCTCGGTGGAGGGTTGGAACAGAGATTGGAAGGGTACGCGAGCGAAGAGTCAAAGGTCTAGCTGGACCGCCCGCCTTCCGTGTCAGTGTGATTTGGTAGGAATAACAGTGTCGTTTCGGGACATTCTGTCAATGGCTTCAATCTATTCAAATTTCGGCGTTTTATACTCGCTCCCCTACTCGAATACGGGACGACCTTGTCTTTCCATCTGTGCCCGTGTGTGCGATCCATTCATCTTACAAACATTCTCGTAGCAGTCGAGATTTGCGCGAAATCTCATGCAAAATCTGTTCTATGTTGAGTCTATAGACACCTCTTCCCATTTTACGACAATGGGTGGGACCAAGTCATCACTGATTCGCCTCTCCCTTGATCCTCTGCCGAGCAATGTCGACTTGACGCTGGACAGTCGCACGAGCCGGTCCGCCAATCGCATTTCGTTTCTCGACGCTGGTTTCGAAATCGAACACCTGCATCACGTCTTCTGTGAAATGTGGTGAGAGATCCTTCCACTGGTCCATGGATAGGTCAGAGATCTGACAAGATGTCTTTTCAGCAAGTGCAACGGCCCGACCGGAAATGTGATGCGTTTCTCTGAACGGGACCTGCAACAGCTGTCAGTATAGAGCTTCAGATCACATGACTCGACTTGCCCCTTTTCGGACAAGGTAGTCTGCAATGTCCGTCGCCAGCATATCCATCGTCAAGGCAGCCTTCATCTTCTCAGGATGAATCTGGGGGTTTGATCAGCTATACTGGCGACCTCTTGACTCACGTTCAAAGTCGCCACGACCCCCTCTGCGATCCTCAAAGCCGCTGAGATGGTATCTACGCAGTCGAACAATGGTTCCTTGTCCTCTTGAAGATCCTTGTTGTAGGTCGATGGGACACCCTTCAAACTCATCATGAATCCTGCCATTTGACCAAACACACGTCCAGATTTGCCTCGGAGTAGTTCAAGTGAATCAGGGTTCTTCTTCTGAGGCATGATGGAAGAGCCGGTACTGTACAGGCGAGTATCGTCAGCTTCAAGAGTACTTTCGACATGACGCGGTGCTGACCTGTAGGCATCGGACAATGTAACAAAACCGAATTCTGCACTTGAATAGATTATCAAGTCCTCCGCCATCCGGCTCATGTGGATCATACATAGACTGGCCCACTGCATCCATTCCACGACAAAGTCCCGATCCGCGACGGCGTGCATTGAATTCTCACCGATAGATTGGAAGCCAAGTTCTTGACGAAGCAGTTCTCGGTCTAGCGAGTATGGGTTTCCAGCCAGGGCCGCTGAGCCTAGAGGGAGGACAGAAATCCTCGGCACAAGTTGACGGAGACGTGAGAGGTCAGAGAGGAAGGACTGCGCGTGAGAGAGCAAGAGATGAGACCATCGAACAGGTTGTGCTCGCTAGAGGAGAGCGAGAGTCAACTGTGAGTATCTGAAAGTCATTTGCGTACTTGAAGATGAGTGTAACCCGGGAGGATAGCGTCGACCTCTTTCTCGGCTCGCGAGACCATAACATCGAGCAAGGCTTTCAGGTAGCTCTCGATGATGGCCGTCTCGTCCATCTGTAAAGGCATCAGAAGGACGAATCCAAGGTCGGTGAGGCCCACCACTCACGAGCCAGATACGCATATCCGTAGCCACTTGGTCGTTCCTACTCCGTCCAGTGTGTAGCTTTCCTCCAATGTCTTTACCAATGATCTCAGAAAGTCGTCTTTCGTTGGCAGTATGGATATCTTCGTCATCTGGTTGAATGACAAACTAAAAAACAGGTGTTTGCTCAGTGAAGATTCCGCAGAGCCTGCTCTTCGTCCACTCACCTTGCCCTCCTTCCATTCCACTTCAACCTCTTTCAATCCCCTCTCAATCTCCTTTTGCTCCTTCTCGTTCAGTATTCCCGCTTTCAAGAGCGCTTTGGAGAAAGCTATAGAGCCCTTGACATCCGCCGCATACATTCGTTTATCGTACTTGAGACTCTGGTTGAACTCGTGCATCCTGACAGCCCGGTTCTCAGTACTTTATCCTTTCAACAAGGCACAAAGACCTCAACACGTAGAATCCGAGCCTGAAACCGGATATAGAGGCGAGGAAAGATTGTATGGATGGATCAACATGATGACTCACAATGGGTCTGTGGAGCCCGTAAATCGACCTCTGCAGACCGTATCAGCACATCTGATCTCTTTTGACGGAGTAGAGAATCTGCTCACCCCCACAACTTGCGCTTCGTGAAGTCTTCCTGACCCGCCATGTTGAGTTTATCTCTCAAGGGACTATATGACGTGTCGTCTTGATACGTGTTTGCCAACCGTCGACTGCCAATAGAGTGCTACACTGCTGAAGCCTTGAATATCGTTGTCAAACGCCGTCCAACACGACTCGAACTCGAACATTTGTATTATTTTTCCGGTCTCTCGGAATTGATTCGGAAGACCACGTGGCCGGGCTGAGGACCTCGCGAGCAATTGTATGATCGCGTTGGCCCTGCCTAAGAATTTTATGACTGAGGGGACATCAGGCGAACAGAGGACTTCGGTTGTGAACCACCAGAGTCCCATTGAGAGGTGCAGAGCAGGCACGATACGATTTATCCCCGAAAATTGAGACGCCAACCAAGCTCGGACGCCCAGCTTGACAGCTCAGAGTGTCACGCAGATCCAAGTGCAGCATCAATTCAAAGAAGGCTAGACACCACGCCGGACGACCTGAGAGACTGGGCTAAATGCCTCTTCTCGAGCTTGGGGGTCACAGCTTCCTAGTATAGTGATTCATAGCCATACGAGACTGGTTCCCTCATGGTATCTGGATCGCAATGTTTAAGGCGACAGATTGACCTGACCTGACAGATTCAACTCATCTTGGGGACCAGTGAGGAAGAGATGCACAATCGCATCGCACCGCAGCAGCGGCAAGCATGACAGCCTGATTGGAAACAGGAATGCCACACATCAAAAGGAAAGGAGTCGTTGGTCCCATTAATGGTTCTGGTTGTCCTCGGCCGCAGCTTACAACCCTTGCTTTCGACCGGATCGTCTCACATAGAATCAGGCGAGATCGGTTCCCCGTTCGCCTGGCCTAGGTATGACCTGATCAATTATTGGTAATGCTTCATGAAACGGTTCCGAGGTTCAGCCAGTGGCGTTTCCAGGTATTTGGGAGTGGGTTGGCAACATGAGCAACATTACGCGAATGCTCTCGCGAATGCACTCGCCGAGTTTCACCCGGTCATCTGATCCCCACAGGACCCCCGGCTCCTTCCGTGCAAGACTGGGATCTCACTCATCAATGAAGGGAGCAGCAGCAGCAGCAGCACGGGGATGTGGAAATAGGCATCCGGGTAATTTTGAATTAAAAGATTTAAGAGTAAAGAGGCAGATAACGGGGTATTCTTCAGCGCCTCGCTCCTGCTGATACAACGCACAAGCAGCGAGGGCGACCATGATTTATTATCAGTCCGGATTGAGTTTCGCAGACCCGAGCAGACAGAGCCGAGGATCCTTGAGAGGGGAAGATTCAGGAATAGCCCGGGTTCAAAAAGGTTTTGGACTGTGGAGAGAGAGAGAGAGGCCCTTCTCAACAGATGTTGCCACTCATCTCTAGCATCTCAACGTACCATGTCTGTCGAGATCAGCGCTCCTCCTGCTCCTCCTCCTAAGCCAATGCGAGAGGTCTACCGATACCATCGGACCAAGTCGGGTCACGACGTGTTTATTGACAAGTATGGAAAATCCGGACCGGTCTTGATAACGTTCCATGGTGGTGGGATCGTCCTTGGATGCAGAGTGGATGGTCATGCCCCGGAGCACTGGACCAGTGAGTCAGGTCGTGATGACGACGCGGGACTTGAGAGAGAGAGAGAGAGATCACAGACACTGATGTTCGCTCTTATCAGACAACTGGCCCGGTGTGACCATTCGAGCCGATTACCGTCTTCTCGTCCCTTCTTCTGGACTGGACATTCTGGAAGACATGAAGGCCCTGTTCGAGTTCCTCGTCACGCTCGACATTGAGCACCATCAGATCTTCGTAGCTGGTTTCTCCGGAGGAGGATACCCTACACGACTCGCAGCCATCGTCGGAGCTGAAGAAGCAAAGAAGCCCAATCCGCGTTTCAGGATCATCGGTGCCGTCTCATATTGCGGAATGGGTGGAGATGTCCTGGACGATCACTGGGTCTTCTCACAAGAAGACCCCGAGAAGCAACTGGGGGATGACCGAACGAGATCGGAGCAAGCTACTCAAGCTTGGCAAGACGGAGGAGAGGAATGCTCGAGTTCAGGTTGGGAAGTAGAATACCAAGGTTTACCGGTTCGAACGCATATTTGGAGGACGTTCCACCTCAACGGATCGATCAACGATTCATATTCCGGAATTCAGGGTCTCAGCGATAAGCTCAGGGAGCTGCCCCATGAACAACGTCTCGCCGCGATCCCTAAAGAAGCCCTAACTGCTTATCCTCAGGCATACTTTGCGGAGGACCCTTCTCATCTCCCCCCTTTCCTCCTTATCCACGGAGACCAGGACAACGTCGTTCCGTTTGGGGAATCTCAGAACACGTACGATACGTTGAAAAGGGCCGGTCACCCAGTCGAGTTGTGGCCCTTGAAGGGCGCAAATCACGGCTTGTTTGAGGAACAACCCGTCATTGATGGTGTTCTCGAGCATGACCGCAAGTCTTTGGCGTGGATGCTGGCCATTGTCAAGCAGACTTAGCAACAATCTTTGTAAGGCACAATCACAGTGTATGCACATATTTCAGGTTACATGTCGTGATATCCGCATGAATCAGATAGCTCGAGCTTGGGCGAATTACAGGCGCTCGCCCGAGTCTATCGAGGTATGCCTTCGGGCTGAAAAGTATTGGCCCGACGATGCCGGGCATTCTGTCCACCCTGCCTGATCGTAATCATTCTGTAGACTTGCACTCTCACACCCTCGAGCTCAGCCTGGCTAAAGGTAGCCAGCCAGATTGCCAGGGATGCGTCTGGTGATCCAAAAAGTGAAGCGATCCAGTGTGATCCGTACGTTGTGCTAGCAAGCCCTAAGAAGAGTGTCTCATTTGACCTCTCCGTTCAGTTGACGATGAAGAGATCGCTTCCATAGGCCGTGGTCTCATCGTTCTCATCGGCATAGACAAGGGTAAGGCGAGCGAATCTCTGGCAGAAGCGAACGGTGATTGACTGAAATGGTTTAGACGATACCGAGGCGGACATCGAAAAGTGCGTGACCAAGATACTCAAGACGAGAGTCTGGGAGAACTCTGAAGGAGCATTATGGGAGAAGGATGTCATGGATGTGGAATGTGAGGTATTATGTGGTAAGTCACTCATGATGGTCCTTCTTCTGTCTCCCGTTTGACAATGCATCGGCCTACTCAGTCTCTCAGTTCACCTTACTGGCCAGCGTAAACAGAGGCACAAAACCAAGTGAGTCATGCGGCGATCCGAGATGGTTGCAGTCCTGATCCTTCACACCCAAGACTTTCGAGCGGCGATGGTGAGAGATGAGACTGCTACCCAGGAAGATTAATGTTCACTGATGGACCTCGACAGCCTCCATCAGACGCCCAGAACATCTTCGCGTCGATGGTAAACAAGCTCAAGCAAGCTTACAAGGCAGATAAGATTGCCCAAGGGAAATTCGGCTCAACATGCGAGGTCATGCTGGTGAATGATGTGAGTCGCCGCTGGGCAGATTCATCAAGATGGCGTTCTCTAAATGACGATCAGGGACCCACGACGATATTGTACGATACGAGAAGCAAATGAGCACAGATGGGACCGGCCTGCAAGAGTCTGCTGTAGCCACCCGGTGTTAAAAATGCCAGAGATCACCATAATGGAGCTCCCGAACCTAAGGCACAAAGTCTGGCTACAAGTTCAGCCCACAATGAGAAGCTCTACAGAGAACGCAGCTTCCTGCAAGGACTAGGTAGCTTTGAGACGAATTATCCCGTAGACGGCATGCATGCCCCCAACCTCTGCAAGCTGATTATCCGGGGTGCCGCCGGATCGCCTCGACGATCCCAAAATTCTCAAAAGTTAGGAAAATCATCGCCCAATCTTTTGGTTCATGACCTCGAACATCAAGCATATCTCGCTCTGATTTAGATCTTTGATAGCCTCCAACATGGTCAGATTCAAGAACAGACACATTCTCGTGGAGTTTTTACAGCCCTCAACCCTTTCACCAACGTTCAATGGATCAGCATCAAAACCCAAAGCTCAGCAGTTCTCAGGTCATTCTGAATCACCTCAGGGTCAGCTCGTGAATGAGGGCTCAGACGATGAGGACGAGGTAAACCAAGCGTTGTTACAGCCCTCTTTACCATTTATGTTGCCATTACCCTCCGTTGACGGTACGAAACCACGGCTTCATCTAGGTGACGAAGGTGGAAGTGTCATTTACCGGGCTATCAAAGGGAGCATCCAAGAAGTCTATGGAGATGAAGGCTGGGGCAGAGTAGCGAGCTCCTTTAAGGGTGAGTTGAGCGCCGTGACCAACAGCGAGATCAAAGCGCCTGTCAAGGCTGATGTTTCTTCCCCTGACAGTCGTCTATCACTCTCCCTTGACGACTCTTACTATGCTTCGGATCGCTCGACAGCATTACCGCCTCTTATGGTCAGCCATCACATTCCTGACATCAGTCCAAGGACAAGATGTACTGCCTCGAGTCGTGGCTGTCTCCGGAACCATAAAGAAGGTGCAGAATACGGCGATCGTCTACCATCGTCGTGTTACTGCTAGGATGCTGGCCGTTGCACTAGAGCAGGAAGGTGAGTAGGCCATGTGCCATAGGGGGAGTTGCCTTCTGATGGCCCTTCCTCAGCTGGTCTTGTACGGAGCGAAAGGGAGAGACAGCTGGAAGCTGCCTGGAACAATGAACGGAAGATGATCGAGATGCTGGATGATTGATTCGAAGCACCACACTTTTACCGATCTGGCGGCCGATCGAAGACAATGCCCGCGGCCATTCGCGTCACCGATGGCGAGGCGAGGAGACGATACACAGAGCGTCAGGCCGTTTAGCGGCACGATGACCTCTGGAGTATACGCCTCTTGGGACGTTTCGAGCCTTCGATGCTATCCAGCTTCTTCAACGCGGCAAGATCAGCAACCACAATGCTCTCCGATTTCATTGAGAGATCATCGAGCCTCCCCAATCAGCAATCGCGATGATCTTGCTCTTCTCCCGCGCTGAATGGAGCTACCAATGCACAGCATGGAGAGAATCCTCTATATACGTCTATAGGCAAACTGGATCTTTCAGTCTAGCCATGCACCCTTGATGCCCCCGATGACAGGTGCCCATCTTCCCAGCCTACCCCTCTCTTCATCTTCTACAACCTTGACCAATCTTCCACCCCCGAATTCACGTCCCTGCTCTCTAGCTTTCTCTCGAAGCCTCTGCTCAGCATCGCACCAAAACATTTTCCACCCAGATGGTGCGGGCTCTCCCTCTGTCGAGCTGCCTTCCAGAGGCAGGTAGAGGAATCCGGATGAACGTTCATGGTACCACTTGTTCACGGGATTATTGGCACGACTCCTCCATACTAAATCCCGACCTTTGCCTTTGCCTGAGAGCGATCCCTCCGAGGGATTCGCAGCGTCCAGCAAACCCAAGCCGTACGTTTCATCACGGAGAGCTACCCAAAGGAAATCGACCGTCCCGTCTCCTTGGTGTTGTGGCAACACTGCAAATTTGTCCAGGTAACAGATGGGTTCGTCATCGTTATCAGCTGAGTTTTGGCCTTCCAAAGTACACACTGCCGCTCCGGAGTAATCACCAATGACGATGACGAAATCGAGATCCCGCTCCAATCGAGCATAGTACTTCTCAGCGTCCAATTTGTGTCTGAACGATCGCTCCAGCAGCTCTGTGAGCTTTTCTCGATCGACCTCTTCGATTGATCGGAGGACGCGTACAGGTTGACCTTTTCTGATCAATGTTGGTGTATCTCGAGTGATACGTCCTTCGCTTTGATTGAGGAGGGAATGAGGAAGCGAAGCGGAATGCGCTGGCTTGTTGGTAATGAGATTGCCGATCATGGCCGCGGGCGACCGATGGGAGACAACGAGAGCACTGGCATCCCTTGGCATGTGCTCGAGACATGCATTAGCAAGCGCAAGATTGGCTAGGGCCGTCGGATGGGTCGACGTCCATTCAGGGCTGAAGGTATCGTGAATATAGTCGTACTCTGAAGCTAGGTTGATGGATAGATGAGGTAGACCTGATCGAGCGTACGATGGGATCCCACCTTCTGTATTGATGACTAGCAATCGCATAGGAGTGAGATCCATCGGTTGACTGGTTGAGGCAGGGGAAGATGAGCTTGGTTTCCCTGACATTGCCTTGGCCAGAGCAGCCAGGACAGCATTGGCGCCTACGCGTCTAGACCTGCATTCTGGATCCAGAGCGACCGGAAGCAAGACTGGAATTTCACCTTCTTGAACGGCTCGTCTGACGTGATCTAAGCCTTCTTCCTCCACGAACACCTCTCGTCTGTGCTCCTCATCTCCTTGTCGAGTGACCGTGGCGAGGACAGGTCTTGCAGGCGCTCGATGTCGGTTCAAGAAATGAACCATCCGCTCGACATCGCGTAACATCAATGTTCTCTGGCGCTGAGCAGCGATGTTGTCGGAAGGTTCAAAGATGGGTATATCGTCCCTGTCCACGACGATGACAGACACCAAACCCAGCTTTTGGAGGCGAGCCATACCTTTCGCTACAGAGTCCAGTTGAACATCATTGAATGGTCCTTGGACCTTGACTAGGGCTGGACGTCGAACTCGCGGATTCAACAATGACGTGACTAGTGGGTTCTGACCTGGCTTCTTCGCTGATGATGGTGGAGGAGTAGGGTGGATCGCATCGGGCAAAACGGTGAATACAGGAAGGGAAGAATCTGGTGTGATGGATTCTATAGGAAGAGGAGCCTCAACTTCGGGTGTGGTAAAGGAGGAGAGGTAGGATCGAGAATCCCGCATGGAGGGAGAGGATTGGAGAATGGATAAGATGAATTCCTGGTATAGAGTTAGCGTCAGAGGCGGGAAGCAGCTAGAGGATGCAGGCGGTTCTCCCTCTCACATTGTCAGTATCGTAAGGGTCGTCAAAATGTGGCCCTTGAGTATCGTAGAAGGACCTGTGCTAAATTCATCATGAGCATGCCGCTATCTCGTTCGCAAAGTATCCTTACCGAGAAAGATAATACGACCGGCCGAGTCGTCGAAAACGTCAGTGTTCGGAGTGTGAGGGCGGCACGCGAGACGCGCGACACGCCCAACAGCATGGTCAAAGGGATGAGTACCTGTCTGACGAACCCAAAGATCTCGTGTCAAGAGGTCATGTTCGAGCTGATAAGCGACGAGACAAAGACAGGGTCAGGTGTGTGGGATATAAACGAGTCGTCTGGAATTTCAAGCGGCGGGTAGATTCTGACGTTTCCGTTTCTCACTTGAATGACTCGGACGAGAATGGCATGGCATGAACAGCATGATGAAGCCGCCATTATGAGCCCATTCACAGAGGAAGAATCTATGATACAATGCATATACACCATCCCCGTGACTGTATTGGCCCGCGGTGCACTGTCTGTAACTGATATATCACAGTACTCTTTCGGCCTGGCTCGACTGTCCGCGTAGGAAGCCGCGTCTTTGCCTCTCCTCATCTCCTACCTCCTCGTAAAGCTAGGACCAGGTGAATAGCAGCTCCAGCTTGAATCTTGTAAGACTCCACAGTCTTATCGTCTGCCCTGGAGAGAGAGAGAGAGAGAGGAAGTCAATGTTAGTCAGCGCGGACAATCTCTCAAAGGTAGGTAAAATGAGTGAGCCGTTCAGAGCATGTCGACCTCGACTGGCCGAAAACATCCCGATACTCAGCTACACTCACATGGCCTTTCCACCGAAAATCAATCTCTGCTGTACGGGAGGGATACCAGCTTTCTCCTCGACCCTCTCCTTGACTTTTGCTATCTGGACTGCGATGAGATACTCTGATACCCGACCAGATCTCAAAACTTACTGTCCAGTCGGGTTGAACGTCGATATCGACCTGTGTGAAGGGTCCCGTCAACGCCTTGTTCTACATACTATCAGTATAAGGCTACCGCGCACCTCTTTGCCCGTCAGCGTCTAGAATCCAAGAGTCAGCTAAACCTCCTCCGCAAATCCCATGCTCGATGAGCTCACCTTGACTTTCACCAACATGATGCCAGATTCTCCTTATATCTCAGCTTCTCTGCTCGTCTCTCAGGCTTCTGCTGCTCCTTGACTTCCCCGTCTCTCAGCTGCGTTCAAAGGTTGTGAGTACCTAATAAGTATGGACGATGATCACAGACATGGGCATATACGGAGATAACCGACAATCTCCGTCTTCAGGTGGAGGTCAATCTCTTGACATCTCATCTCGAAGAGTTATCTCCTTCATTGAGTCATGTAGCGAATGCAGGATGGCGAGAACATCTGTCGTGATCCCAGGTAGCACTTGTAGACGAGAAAGGCTACCCGATGCTGACAGAACCGTGAGTATGCCGGTCTCTTCCTCCCCTGCCATCGATCACCTCAGGATTCCCAATGATGCAGCGCTGATATGTAAGCCGTGCAGGGACCGACTCACTCCTCTTCTAGCCGCTTTGACAATACTGAACAACAGTTGAGAAGCATCAGTAAGACAGGCGTCGAAGACATCCGGATCGCAGGCGGGTCCACGGAGGCAGCACAATTCCCGGCCGAGCCTTCCCGTTCTGATTCACATCACTCAAGATCAATTTCCAGCGCTGTCATCCAAAACTCACATCCGTCCCGACCAACATGGGCCACTGATGCCGCCCGGTATCACTCCACCACCAATCGACCAGAGGTACGGGATGAAGCTCCCTGCCAAGCGAAGATGAAGCTCAGCCCTGACGCTCCCGTCAATCTGCGAGAATATGCTTTCCAGCCTCATCAAGACTCCTCTTCTCAAGCGAGGACTGGTCGCAGGCTTACTCTACCTATACATGTCTACCGCTCGCATTTTAATGCTGTCCTTCCTCAAGCCAAGCCAACCAGCAAGTCCGCAAATATCGAAGATGTACAGAAACCACTGGCACTCGGGATCACCAAGGTGGTGAACGACAAACCGCCAGCACTTCCCGCTAAGCGCTCGAGAAAGTCAGCCTCTGGAACAAGCAAGGCAAGCAGAAAGAACTCAGCGCAAGTCGAAGAGCCTGACGATGATGGTCCCGAAGTTGGAGTCTGGTTAGGGGAGAAATGGGTTGCTGATCCAGCCGCGGAAGAGAACTTCAGGCCGATGCAAGCTGACAAGTCAGTGGACCGGAGCGTAATCGTCGGACACTCCCCTTCCCAAGTAGCTCAAGCAGCGAGCTCTGAGTCAGCTTCCCAAGCTAATCTATCCCGTGCTGCCCCCAACTCCACAGGGCTCGCAATCAGCACTCCACTTCCGCCGGGAAGACAGGAGCTTGGACTGCTCAAGCGTAGACTTCCCGATACGCCTCGAGACGGTCTGCATACATTTTCCTCGTCGCATCCGCTCCCTTCTACGCCTGCATATTCTTCTCTATATGTGCCGGCACCCCTGACATCATCGTCAGCCGATCGTCACGATCAGTCGCTTTTCATGCCTGGTCCGGACGACGAGCTCGAGATTGAACCTGAAAATCCCGCCGATGGGCTCACCGACGGCAGATTTCAGAATGAGTGCTCATCTCTCTGTGGAAGTGACGGCGAGGACGAGCCTGAGTCTGTGCGAACATCGAGGCGGAGTGAGCCTACCACGCACCACCGATCTTCCCAGCGACAGGCCGGATCTCACCCTCCTCGACCTCTTCGATCACAACAGAGAGAGAATACTTACTCTCGACGAGTTCCGAAAGTCCATCGTTCGGCTAGGACCAGCGACGACAGGCACGATGTGATAGGTGAAGACGCCTTGGAGGATGGCATTTCGTATAATGAAGACCTTATTCGGAGACGTGTTCAGCCCTCTCAAGCCCAACTCCTGTCTGAAGTCCAACAGACGAGACCTTCTCGACTGACCGTGGGTCAGGCCTCGCAAGATGACTTTGTCCGACTTGTGACCGATCCGCACCAATCGAGATCGCTCGACCGGATGGGTGTCTCAAGATCACCATCTCTTGCGGGAGCCGGGAACGAGTCTTTCGAATGGCGAGGTCAATTTGATGACGATCATTGGCATACATATGAAGATGAGGATGAAGATGAAGAGCACTGCGGTCCACTCCATGTATATGACGATGATCTGGATGTTTCTATGAGAACCCCAGAGGATCAAATTCTGCCAGAGCATCAACAAGCCGTTGACAGACTCTTCACTTCCTCCCCAGGGTATAGAGGCCCTCACGATCCAAATACCTTTCGGAGACTTTCCGAAAGACTCGCCATTGATACCTCTCACGCCTTTCCTCTAGTCCCAACGCAGAAAGAACAGACCGAAACATGGGACGAATATGAGCGTCGGTCACGGCGGCGACGTAAGTACCGTCGCGATAGAAAGCGGTCAAAGCATCGACGACTCAAACATTATCATGATCGGCGTTACGCAGGAGAGCCGAGGCACAGGTACAGATCTCACTCGACACACCGACATCGAGAGCATTCAGATTCTGGCTCCGGTGAGAATGATTGTAACGATCCGAGACAAGCTTCGCTGCGAATGAGTAGACGAGAATCGGTCGCTCCGAAGATCGAGCGGTGAGCGATCTTCTGACACGGCTCAGATGAATCTTGCTGAAGTGCATCAGATGGATCGAGAATGCCAGACCGAACAATCGCAACACTACACAGGAACAATACGTCCACCCCGCCACTCGCCCTCTTCGACGGGTTCACCGACATTCAGTATCACGAAAACGACCCGATCGCCTTCTCCAGGCCGCTAAGAACGTCCCTCCTGCTTTTCTTCCCGGCATCGCCACCGTGAAGGGAGAGCAGAAGCGGGACATTATGCTACAGAGATCTCGGCTCGAATCTTACCCGGTCGAAAAGCACCTCATTGAATCAGTCGAGAAAGATATTCGTAGACTCGGTCTCGAGAGTCTCACCAAAACAGGGAGAAAGACTCCGCGTACAAAGACTGGAGATCCACCTACAAGACCTCGACCGTTGCCTCCCAGACTGACGCTTGCTCGACCTGATGACGATGATCTCGGATCTACAGGATTTGGAACGATCACCGATTCGATCCAGCAGTTCACCCCATCACATAAAGCACAGCGGAGATATAATCCAGCCAAAGTCGTGCCTCTCAAGCCCAAGATCCCCCAACTCAAGTTTGTCCGGGACACATCCCCTGCTAGTGCTTCTCGACGGAAGAGGACAGAGAGGATTGTACAGGATCATCTGACCCCGCACCAAGGACCTCTATCTGAAAGCAGGGATCGCTCCACTCACTCATCATCTCAGGCTGCTCGATCGTACGTGCGACCCGCTACGCCAGTTGACAACCTCATTCCGACTTTACGTCGAGTGCCTATCGGCGTAGGCGTTCGCCTTCTCAAGACACCCGAACAGAGAAGTGCCGATCTCACATACTCCTCCGAAGCAAAGACTCCGTCAAGTGCGAGAATTGCGCTTCGAGTTCTGCGGGACGCACAAGACCAATCTATGCTCAAAGGTCTTACTGCCGAAGAGGTCGAACGCCTTACGAGGGAGCTGTCGATGATGCCCGGGGCTAAAAAAGGGTGCGGCTCTGGTATGGAGGCGACCGAAGACACCAGTGCGGGCTCTGCGCTGGAGCCTCAGCCATTTCCACACGAAATGGGAAGCGGGGCAAGCGGACTACAGCACGGGGATGGTGATGTCGATATGATGGATCCCGTGACGAGACTCAGTCCAAAGATTCCTTCAAGAATTCCTGCCTCCACGGGGACAAGTGATCCCGTTTCCATTCAAACGCCTCGAAATACTCTGACCAGACAAGACATTTCTGATGCTGGTCAAAATCTTGCCGATGTCCTCAGGGCTCTGACGAGCAATCAAGCTTCTGCGCTAGGACCAGATGGGCGGCAATCCTCCGGACGCCGACCAAGACGGCAAGAGAGGGTGCAAAGAGGCGGATCGAAGAAGCAGTCGACCCTGGACCCGTTTATTGAGAATCGAGAGCCGGGCTGTGCACAGGCATCGTTCATGAAAAAGCTTCTACCTGACGGACCTCAACTTTTTCCGAGAAACACGCAAGAAGAAGCATCCCCCTCTGAAGCAAATCAAGATCAGTCTGCAGCTTTCGAAGTCCACATCGCCAAGCCTCGAGGTCTAATACTTGAGGGATTCGAAGATCAGTCAAACAATAAGAGACTGGGCAGACATCCAATTGAGAGTCTCCCGAGGCCCGCAAGCCAAGGGCAGTCGAGAGGATCCGCGTTTGTAGTCTCGCGGGGAGTTAATAGAGGGATTGCTTCCACGAAGACTGCGCCATCCCGACTAGGTCTCGGTAAGCCGCACCAATGCGCCTTCAACGCTCGACCGGAGAACGATCCCTTCAGCATGGATAGAGAGCCTCGATCTAGATCAGCAGTCACTCAGCGTGAGTCTCGGTTTGGAGCTTGCGTCGGTCGCTCATGAGCCTCTAACCAGCGTACAAAAACCCAACGACGCCAAAGACTCCGGGCAAGATTCGAGAATCTCAAGCTGCGATGATTATCAGTCCAACACAACGGACTACGAGATATACAGCCACTCAAACTTTCGACCGGGATGAAGAGGATGAAGAGCCCGAACAAGGAGAAGAGGAGGAGGAGGAGGACCGAGAACAACCTGCCGCACCCTTTGTCTATTCACTGCAAGAGACAGCTTCGAGAAGTCTTCAAAGATCGCTCGCTCTCCCTCCAGGAAGACAGCCGAGTCGAGCACGAGGATCTCGACCCACTCGATCTCGCCGAATTGTTTCTGCCAAGTTTAAAGCGCCTGCAGTCGTCAATCGACAAGCGATGAAGAAGGATTCTGCCCGTTCCGAGCCACCGACGCATACAAAGCCCAGCTCTCATGGCCAAAGCCTGCCTACTCAAAGTCTGGGGCACGGTCCGCTGAGATATCAGGTCTTTGATGATGAGATGGATCTCGATCATCCTTACTCATCGCAAGAAGAAGAAGAATATGAGGTCGGTGAACCACTGAGAGGTTTGGACCACTTTTTGGGTCTCGTCGAACTGCCCAGTGCTGAACAGAGTTCGAGGAATGGATGTTAGAGATTGAGGTGTGGTTACGAACCATCCGAGGTTACTGGCATTGGCTAACCAGCGAGCAGCTACCGGCGAAGGGCTGCAAATAAGGACGCGCAAAACCTCAGATACCTAACGAACAACAACTGAACGGTCCCTTTTTCTCGCTTACACCGTTCACCCTCACCGTCGCTATGCATCATCACATGTCATGTCGAGATCGATACAGGCCTACCTCATGCGGGCCTCAATCACCCCGGCCACTTACAGTCCTACCCATGAGTGAACTCCACCCGCATTGTGTAGACTAGTTTGTCCAATCTTGACTCTCATCATTGCTGACGATCCAGCATCTCTTGATCCGTTCTGATTCGTACCTGGCGAGAAAGGAGCATCCATCATCGGACTAGCGATAGTTCCAGATCCAAGGTTCGGCGTACTAGGACCACCTGTACTCGTTATCCTTTGACCATTGATGAGCCTTTCGCTAGGTTGACCCGAGGCGGAGGAGGGAGTAGGTCCACCAGAACCGATGAGAGGAAGGTACGATTCGGCACTCCACTCGTACCAGACTTTGTCTTTCAAACCGTCCCATAGTCTCCAGATGCCGACTTCCAGCTCTGATCCAGAAGGCAAGTAGAGAGGTTCTTTAAATGGGAAAAACAGAGGGAACCAGGAGAACATGTCGGGTGAGACACGGTGTGCATTTTCGGGATGGATTGACAGGCCAATATTGGAGTAGAGGTGGGCTTCAAAGTACCCTGCGAGACCGTGAAGGTTGCCTGCAAAGGGGATGTGGAAGAGAAGATTGGCAGAGCGAGTGTTGTGAGAATTGGTCAGTGGTGTGCCTGAAAGGTCCGTGAGCAAACGGCACGAAAGAGGGTAATTGAATGTTGCTCACCGTCCGCATTCAGTACTAGATCCCTCCTGGGATGCTCAAAGAGCCAACACTGTTGAATCCGATCGCCACATCGACCACTTGCGCCTCCACCATCACCAGACAAAACATTCACGGCCTGCATCATGACGACGTATGGGGTCTCTGAGGCTCCTGGCGACTTTGCGGCGAGCACCTCGGAATGCAGTCTTGATGAGGACACCGGAGCCAGATGAGCGGTGTACGAGATCGGAATGGAGATGCCTTGGGCTGGCGGCACGCCGTTTCAGCAGAATGCAAGGTCCACATGGAAAACACTCACGCTTCAAGAATCTCAACGCTCCATCTAGACATTCTGGACTCAGCTCATTGTCTCCAAAGCTGCCAAGCAGTTCTGAGACGATGATATCTGCTGGTTCCGGAACGGCGACCGAGCGCATGTCACCTCGGATGACCTGTACCGCATCGCGCCATTCTAACGCTTTTCTTTCCTCAAGACTGCGATTCGATGAACATACACCCCGTTCGTGAAGCTGAAACACTCACGTCACTAAAGCGCTCAGATTTTTCTCTACGGCATAGACTCTCGCTTTTCGACCTGATCGTTGCAGTGCGCTCAGAACGCAGGTCACCAATGGCCCTCTGCCGGCTCCGACGACAGTTACGACACTGTGGCCCGTCAGCTCCACGCGAAGAAAGGGCAAGTGAGTACACACTGGGTGGATGATTGTGGTAGATCGGACAGGGCGAGATAGATGGCCTAACGATTTCAGCAAGATTCTGGTTGAATCTTTTAGCATACACACCTCTTCGTATTGCCTGTACTTTACTGGATCACGCTCAAAGATCTCATACGTTGCACTGCCGAGATCATCCTTAAGAGGCTGTAGCGGCGCTTGAAGGAAGTCCCCGTAGCCCACTGTGAACTCGCTCGGTCCGCTATCGGGGATATTGGCTGCTGCTGCAGTACCTGAGTTGGCATTCGCAGGACCAGCCGTAGACGTAACATGTCGAACGTATTGAAGGTAGGCGTTTGGTCCACCTGACTGATGTTTCGTGGGCTGAGTGTTGGCTAAGATATAGGTTGGGCCCAGCTGAGGTGAAGCGTACCATCGTCAGCTTCAGGAGGAGCACAGACCGCAGCGACTAACGTACCTTCGAGATACCTCTCAGAAATGCTTGACACGCCTTGCTCAAGACAGGGTAGCCTTTGGCGTTTGGGATGAAGGATGAAGCTGGTAGCCAGACCTGTTTGACGGGTTCTGATATCCACCGAGCTAGCGCTCCAGCGGAAGGCGGCAGAGGGTTGGTCAAATCCAAAGCTGAACGAGACATCAGAAGGGAAATTGGGAAGCCCCTGGACAATTTCAGGGACAGGCATACTCACTGACTGTCAATCGATTGTTGTACCCGCACATTCTCCTGATGCACTCCCACATTTCCCAGGTTGAGCTGGGATCTCCACTTGCACCTGGAGCAACAGTCGTGGTCGATTTGATGGACAATGAACTTGAGACACCGCTCATGGCACTAGACGCGCTGGGGATCCTTGCACCGGAAGCTGATACGGCCATTCCAGAGATGGAACCCGGAGTTATACCTAGAGATCCGTGACCAATGATGGAGGATGGTCTCGTGGAGAGCGAAGACAGTCGTTTATGACTGTTATTAAGTTGTTCTGCCTGTGACGAATTCGACGGAGAAAAGAGATTAGCAGACGGACTCGTTGAGGTTGACCCGGGATTTGGACCGTGATTGATGAGCTCGGTAGGATCGCTGATAGGTATACGAATGGAGATTTGAGTGAACGCCGTCGTCCCCCCCATCTGGAGCAACCCAGCAATGGCTCGTGCGTAAGCAGGTAGTTGAGATCGGTTGGCGAGGGACGGAGCGGGAATGACCAGGGTCGGTACGGCAAGGTACAGTGCGTACGCCATCTCTGAGCGAAGAGCCTGAAGAGCGAGATACTGTGTCAGTCTTCAACGGCATCAAAGGCTGCTGCATCACTCGAGGGCTTGTCAGCTAGCTACCAACTCACCAACTCTGAATCGAATCGGATACCCTCATCCATGCTATCCAATTCCAACCATTCAGAAGCCAACGCAATGACATGTTGAGTCTCTTCAAGCCGACTGATGACCACCTCGTCCCTTCTCAATCCACCCTCCTTACGCCAAATATCAGCTTCTTTATCGAGAGCTTCTCTAGCTCGAGCTGCCGCTGCTCCATTGGACCCTCCAGCAGCTATGACACTCGCTTCGTCCTCGTCCATTGGTCTAAGGCATAGCCTCTCCCATCTCTCTTGCCATTTTCCATTGGTCAATGGAAGACATATCTGGTCGTAGTCGCTATTTCCGAGCGTCGACGTGATCAGCTCCAAAAGCGGTGATGGAGTTGGGCCAGCTTGGGTAGGAAGGGCTGGGTAAGGCGCGGAGAGTGAGAGGGCGATTGGGTGACGAGGCATGGCTAATCCTGTCTTTACGGGAGCTCGTCCAAGACTCTGATCTTCCCTTCTTCTTTCGTTGATGCTGAGTCGTGTGAGAATGGCACAACTGCTTGCTTCCAAAAGGTCATTCCAGTCATTATTGGCATGAAATTTCTCGCGCGTCTTTGCCCCGCAAAGTGAGTTGGAGACGCGTAATGTAGGTCAAGCTGTGGATCAGCAACGCAGCAACTGACTCGGTACGAAAGGATGCATGCATGCATGCGCTGGAAGCAGCTACAAGGGCTTCACAGTGCTATTGCCATCGGACTGCGTGATCATAGGGTTGCGCAAGCACTCGGTGCAGACTCCCTCCCCGGCTTGCCGGCTTGCTGTGGCACCACCAGCCTCCACTTTGTTATTACACTGCACTCATCTGAGCCGCCTTGAACGCCGCCAGTGATCCACTTGCGCGGACAGGAGCAACGATAGATCGCTTATACACCTCATCATCAAGCCTCTCGTCAATCGTGCCCGGAACTCCGTAGCCCCCTCCACCAGGTGTATCTACAGAAGTCAATAAGCGATATCTCAGCAGTCAAGACGCACTGATGATGATATGATCCCCCTTCTTCATTTTTGTTTGATTACTCCCACCAAGATTAATAATCGTATGCTTGCCATCCTTCGTTCCCTTCAGCCATGTGTTGATTCCAATGGTTCCTGGTTCTCCTCCTGCCATGCCGTACGGCGGGATGACCCGGCGCTGAGATAAGATCGCCACGTCGAGATCTTCAGTAAACTCGATATCTCGGATACAACCGTCTCCACCCTTGTGACGCCCATTACCCCCGGCTGGAGTCAATTGTCAGTGCCGAAGCTACATATCGGACAGGTGAAGCTTACTATTCGGTCTGCGAGAGAATCGGTGAATGACGACGGGATACACACGTTCAGTCATCTCCACGTCTCCGATGGCGGTCTAGAGGTTTGATCAGAGTTTGAGACTATGAGATTCAAAGCCATGCTCTCACATTGGTCATGTGACAGTGCACGCAGTGCTGACCGTCCCAGTCCGGTCCAGCTCCGGATCCGCCGCTATACGAGGTCAGTATGAATGAACCAACGCAGAAAGTGAGTAAACTCACGCGATCGTCTCGTAGTACCCGAAGCCCGGTACAGTCTTCCCGCCAACCTCCCTTGGACCGATTCCGAACGTCAAACTGATGTCCTGTCAACTAGTTTCACGATGATGAGTTTCGCGGTGCTCACTTGTTACACCCTCCTTGTGACGCTGCACAAGCCTGGAAAGCCTTAAAAATGACGTCCGTAACGCGTTGTGATGCCTCTGTATTTCCGGCACACACAGCCACTTCGTCTGTAGGTGCGAGGAGCGAGTCGGGAGGCACGACGAGCTTGATAGGTGCCAAGCATCCTTGATTGAGCGGAAGATCAGAAACGATGAGGGAACGTAGAACGTAGATGATGGCAGAGTAGACAACAGCCGTAGGTGTGTTGAAGTTGCCATGACTTCACATGCAACAGGTCAGCATGTAGTCCGCTGGAGCTTATGAGGGGCCTGTCGCTGGACCCACATTTGCGGTGATGTGCCTGTAAAGTCAAACACGGCATCTCCACTTGCGGGATCTATATCCAATTTGAGCGCTAATTGCGTTCCGTCGTCTAGCCAATCGACAGCTTGCAGGCTTTCGCCTCCAAACTTCTTATGTATATGTCGCAGAAGGTCTCTGACCGCCCGCTCAGCCGTGAGCATGATGGCGTGCATGTAAAAGTCGACGACTTTGAAGGATTGCTCATTGACAAGCGTGTTGATGAGTACGACTCCACGGTGGCAAGCAGCGACCTGGGCGTGGAGATCGGAAAGATTCTACTCCCACTGATCAGCTTTGGTGCTGAACCGGAGGAGTCAAGGAGCTACTGACGTCTGATAAGGTCCGCGTTCCCGAACAACCGGGATACTGGGCAGGATCCTCCGATAGAATCTTGATGACCCCCTTTTCGTCGAATTGACCCCTTTTGACCAACTTGAAGGACTTGACTTGAGCCCCCTCTTCCCAGAGCTCTTTGGAGAAGGGAGGCATGGAACCAGGTCGAATCTAGCCGCAGGGTCAGCAAAGTACTGGGACTCGAGTCTGACTTAACTTACACCTCCAATGTCTGCGTGATGGGCCCTTGCAGCTGTCCAGAAAATGATCCTGCCATCATGGAAAGCAGGCATGATGACCGTCAAATCCGGTAGGTGCGATCCGCCCGCCGCGGGATGATTCGAAAGCAAGACATCGCCTTCTTCTAATTCGTGGCCCAAAATTTGCGCTTGATACCGAACAGCGTGGGACATGGCACCGAGATGGACAGGGATATGAGGCGCGTTCGCAACAAGGCCTCCATCCGCGGCGAAAATGGCGCAAGAGCTACGTGAGGGGATGAGCGATCCTGGAGCGGTCGACGGTGTACTCACTAGTCGAGCCGTTCTTTGATGTTTAAGGAGATGGAGATCTTTCTCAGAATGTCGCCCATCTGAAGAGAAATTAGCCACTGCAAGCGGGTAGTGTCAAGCTCTGTGGCTCGGCTCACCTGCTCCGCTATGCCCATCAGACGATGACCATAGACTGACAGCTGGACGGGATCCACATAATCGTAGTCGCTCGTATCCGTTTTGTGCTGCGCCGCTTTCTCCTCAACGAGATCGATGACTACGTGTTCAGGAAGAGATGTAGCCTGTAAATTCCAGTCAGCTTCCGCCTATGCTTGAAAAAGAAACGAGTCTCACCAAATGAGATGGCTCGACGAGGATGGTCTGTGTCTTGTCAAAGATGACAGCGGGACCCTGCAGGATGATCAGCCTAGCCTTTTACCCATGCAAGAGCGATGTACACACCCTGACTTGATCTCCAGGACTGAGCTTTGAAAGCGGAACCACGGCCGTATCGACCCATCCACTCGAATCAAAGTAAACTTGTTTCTGCTCCACTTCCCCTCCAAACTCCTTCTTCTCGCAGTTTTCAAAATCCTCGTACGGACTTCTCGTCTCTGCGCCTATACTCTTTCCAACTGCCCTCACCCGTAGATCGTCCACCAGGATGTCTCTCTTTTCAAGATTGAACCCAAACTCTCTCTTGTGTTCTTCAAAGAATCTCGATTCGTAGTTCCCATCTTTTGGAGACTCGATCATCAATTGGGTCGACGTTCCGCTGTAACGGCAATTGAGGTACGTCTCGGATCTGATTCTATCCTTTGGGAAGCCTTGTCCCTCAAGGTCTTTCTCAGCTTTTTGCACCAGCAGTTTCATCCGACGCGAGATCTCTTTATTGTCCCTGTTGTTTGTGACTGTAAAGGCAGCCGGTTCCGTCGCTTCGCGAACAACGTCGGCCAACGCCATACCGTACGCTGACAGTAGAGAGGATAATCGAGGGACAATGATTCGCTTGATCCCGAGTGTATTGGCGATGCTGCAGGCGTGTTGCCCCCCAGCGCCTCCAAACATGACCAAGTGATGCGACGAGCATTCGAACCCGCGAGCTTCGGTCAGTCTAGCGAATGTGTTGAATCAGCTCAGGCCACGTAGAAGGACTTTAGCGGATATGCTCACGTTCTGATCGGTCGGCACATGGCCTCGTTCGCGATTCTCAGGAAACCAGCCGCCACTTGCTCAATACTGAGCTGTTCTGCCTTGCCCTCATTGATTTCGGTCGTCATTTCCTCAAACAGTGTCTTGCTCGCTTGAATGTCGAGACCTTCATTCTCGTTGGGACCGAAGATCTTCGGGCTAGCGCAGAGCAGAATCAGCCACATCGCTTAGCGCAAGAGTTCCTCGACCCATACTCCTGCCACTCACAAATGCTCCGGCAGTAGTCTACCTAGTATCAGATTCGCGTCAGTGACTGCCAACGGTCCCCCTTTTCGATAACACGCAGGCCCAGGGTGAGCAGTGGCAGACTGTATTGATGTGAGCTGAATCTAGCGGCACTTGACGCACCTCTGGTCCTACGACGAACATGCCGTGACGGTAGAAGAGCCGGCTCCCACCACCCGCAGCGACAGTATTGATATCCAGTTGTGGCGCCTGAATGATGACTGCACATGCGTATCAGTAAGGAACGCTTTCAATTAGAGGGATTGAACCTGCCTTCCGCTGTCGTAGTCTCAAAGACGTGCTCCAGCTTGCCAGCATACCTCGATACGTCCGTACTTGTTCCTCCCATGTCTACTGCGATAAGTGGACTACCGCGCTGAGGATCGTAGCACGTCTTGGAATATCCCACAACTCCGCCAGCAGGACCACTGAGGATTGCCCTGAGACCTGAGGGAGGTCAGCGGATATAACGGGCGGATGAAAGGCGTACCTGAGAAGTTGTTCCATTTACATAAGCCTCCATCCGATTGCATGAACAGCAATTTTGAGCCAAATGCCTCGATACCTCCTTCGAACCCTGCTCCAAAGCTCTCTATATATCGTCGAGTCACTGGGGTAAGATAAGAGTCCGCAATGGAAGAGTTCGCCCGAGCGACGAGCTTGATCTAGGACCAGAAATTTCAATCCACCCCTACCCATAGGCGACTATCCATCAACTCACCATTGGCTGTAATTCACTGCTGACGCTGACCGCGAATCCCTTTTCCTTGGCTAGAGACGCTACCATATCTTCGTGATCGCTCCACAAGTACGAGTGCACAAATGCCACGGCTATGCTGTTGATTCCTTTCGCTTTCAACTCGTCCAGCTGACGAGACACAGTCTCCCGGTCTGGACGGCGGAGGATACGGATAGGCTCGCCAGTCGTCGTTTGTGTGATGACAGAGTCATCGTGCTCTGGAAGGGAGATTTTGGGTGAAACGAGGGATTGATATGGCGTTATACGTTCATCGATCTAGGGCCATTGTCAATGGGTCCACAGGGGCAGTCGTGATGCTGGCTCACCTCGACGACTTCGTCGTACAGGAATGAGAGCTTACGAACACTCAAGTCAAAGATATCCGGTCGTGCTGCAGGACGGATCAGGGTGATTCCCTCAAAATGAGCTCTCCGGGTCACGACCTACCCTGCATCCCTATTAACAAGACGTCTCCCCAACCTTTACTCGTGATGAGCGCACATTTTTCTCCTTTTCGCTCAAGCAATGCATTGGTCGATACCGTTGTGCCCATCCGAATGGATTCCACGCGATCAAGGGATAATGGCTGATCCTTCGGTATTGGCTTCGATTCGGGATCCAGGAGGGACAATATGCGTCGGATCCTGATGGCTTTTCAGCTCCTTGGAAACAGGTGATACGCTTACGCTTCTGTCGGAGCATCTTTGTAATTTTGAGGATCGACCGAGAGCAGCTGAGTGTCATGTTTAAGTGCTATTTCAAAGGTCCAGAACAAACCTTGATGACAATATCCTCTTCGCCTGGTCTGGAACATATCGCATCGGTGAAGGTTCCACCTCGGTCGATGGCTATCCTAGCTAGCGACGACCCGGCGGATTGTCTATCCGGTGCAGCGATGCTCATTGGTGGAGGTTTCTGATCTTGACCAGTGAATGAGCTTTGAGGGACAAAGTTGAGGCGCAACTGTCACAAAAACTCACAGTACCTTCCGCTTCTGCTGCTGTACGTCAACGATCTGCGATTCACTGGCTTCGCTGCTCTGTCCAGTGCAATGTCGGTTTTATAGATGTGATCTCGCCTTTCAGATCCTTCGGAATCCTCAACAATTCCCGAACGTCGGAGATCACCGCCTGAAGATTCGGTAAGCAGGCGAGGGAAGATGAGGCGCTAGTCTGTGTAGTCTCGAAGGCGGGGGAAGTCAGATAGCAAGAGTATCCGGGGGAATGCTCTTGGATGCCGAGAGAAAGCGATTGGTGATACTGTCTCTTCCATTGCGAATGAAATACAGGTTGCAGCTGATAAATGAGCTTTATACGGAGAGCTGTTCTTGGATCCCATTACCGAAGGACAATAAAAAGGTAAAGCATGCGCTGTCTTGGACCCCGCAGAGGATGTAGCTCTGGAAGTCTTTGGGTCTCCCTCCCTTCCAGCATGCACTGAGCTCCATGTACAAAGCGGTGTGCTCATCCAGTCGCCGCCAGTCACTCGACTAGGTGGAAAGGCTGGCTAAGCGATAACTCCCACAACACCTCTCGTGATCTCAACAGCGCACCTCAAATCTCAAAGGGACAGACTCAGTGGTAGCTCGGCGCTGTGTCTTCCGCGTGTGAGACTGTAGCCATAGCCATAGCCATAGCCAAAGCCAAAGCCAGAGCCAGAGCCCCTCATTGGCCGCCACACCTCACCGCCACTTTTGACGTCATTTCTCCGTCGTTGGAATCTGCCGAACAGGACGTGTAATTCTCTCGTCCTCTCTGTCTCTCTCCATCATCGTCCATACCTTGTTCCATCTCAGTCACTGCTGCTGTGGAAGTCAGGGCAGCGACCAGAAGAGTAGTGTACATCAGAGTCACGTCCAGCTTGCCTTCACGCCGAGCTCTCGCTGACTCACATTGCTCAAAACCCCCTTCAACTTTGTCTTACTTCGATTCCGCGCCTGGACTCCGCCGCCATGGCCTTTCACGGCTTACATCCCATGCCTACGTCGGGCATGTACGAAGGGACTTCGGCACTGAGACGAGCCAACACGACGACGGCAGCTCAAGGAGCTGGCTCCAGAGCCAGGCCAGCAACGTCATCTGGGGTCCTCACTTCCCCAAAAGGGAACGCTCCGTCAGGACTCGGATCAGCGACTCCTTCAAGACCTATGACTCCATCTGTGGAATCTCAGAGCTCTTTCGACTTTTCCGTACCGTCTCTTCCACCGCGTTTGGCCAACTTTGGACGGAAAATCTCTCAAATGAGAGATGAATTGATGGAGGGTTTAGATCCAACAACAATTGAGAGACCTAAAACCTCTCCAAGACAAAGCACAGATTCGACCAAAACACGAAACTCATTACCTCCTCCTGCTGAAGAAGTCCCAGGGATGGGTGATGAACCTGTCATGTGCCCATTCTGTGAGAAACCACTTCCACCGGCTTTATTCCACGTCCATCAAACGCCAGTCAAGAAGCCTACAGTATCGAGACCGAACATCAAACGTCCGGTGACTGCGACGGGATCAGCTGCACCTTTCGGCTTGTCCTCCACCGCTCCCAGCTCTAGGGTGAATTCCATCTCACTCGACTCCCCAGAAGTCAAAACGAAAAAGCTGCTCGATCCACTCCCATTACAGACACCCAAGACCGGGTCCAAATCCGCTTCGAACGATATCATCCGATCGCCAGACCCATCCGTCACGTCGGAGTCCTTGTATCCTCAGGTGTCTGAAGGTGACAAACTAAATCATGCAGCGGCAGAGCTCCACATATCGGACGAAGATATACGCAGATGGTCAAATCTAGCTGGCATCTCCCCTCCGACGATCCATCGGCATTCCTCTGCGCCTCCATCCACAAACGCAACGTTGGATGTTCAGTCCAGCACCAGTCGAAAGGACTCACTGTCCGGCTCACAGACAAAACCTCCGCCTAATGACAGACATTCGTCGAGAGGTTCTTCGTCCAGATTCAACTTCTTCAGAAGACCTTCCAGCAGCTTGGAGGAAGAGGACGAAAGTGAGGACGAAGGAAAAGGTCGAGGTGGAGGTTATTCGAAACTTCTTGGCGCCGGAAGTGCCGGAAGTGATGACGAGGGAGATAACACTATACATGCCGAACCGCAGTCGATGCACGAGGACCAAGTGGAGGAGAAGGATGACGTCGAAGTCTTGAGGGATGATCCCCCGCCCTTGCCAAATGGAAAAACGGATGATTCATCCGTGCCTACCATCACCCCATCCCTCGAACATCCCAAAGTCACCAGCGATGAATTGCGATCCGTCTTACAAGAGGTCTTGGGAAAGATTGGCGAGCTGGTGAGTGATAAGAAAAACGTCCTCGAAAACTCCTATACTGATTTCATTGGCGCCTAGACCAAATCCCACAATGCCCTGCTCACGTCCCAATCGACCCTCCTCACCTCGCTGAAAATCGCCCGGTCCAACCTCGCCATGGCAGAAGCCAACACTGAAATGCTAGAAGCTCAGCTTAAGCAAGCCAAAGCCGCAGCACCACCGCCACCGGCGCCCGTTCGAGCGGCGACTGGACACCCTGCTACACCGACTATCAATCAAGGCGCTCCCAAAGCTCCGAATACTGCGCCGGTGGGAAGTTCGAGCATGACTGGGGAAAAGACCATCACAGCCACACCTCAAGCCAGCGAGCGCGGCTCGTTTGAAAGACCGAGACCAACGTCACTTCAGACTGCTCTCGCCGCGACCGAGGCCCGAGCTGGTGAGGGGGAAAAGTCCAGCTGGGGATTCTGGAACGGAGGCAAGAAGCGTCTCACGACCAACGGGCAACAAGCACTGTCGAATTTACCGACACCTACTGCGGAGCGATCAAGCTTTGATTTCGTTACGAACCCTTCTTCTGGTGGCCCTTACTCTGCCGCTTTGCCACTGTCTGCCGAGCAAACTGGTCTGCAACGAGCTTCTTCAGAGAGACCGCTAGCGCGTGGAATCAATGGCAAGACGATCAGCGTCGATGATCTGATCGCTGTAGGTGGACCGACGGGAACAGTGGCATCCCCTGGATCGTCTGCTCAGCCTGCGAGTGAGATTTTGAGGCTGAGACAAGCCTATTCCACTGCTCAGACGCGCATGGAGAGCATGTCGAAAGAGCTCACCGAGTTGAAGAAGGGCAAAGTAGAGATGGAGGCAGAGCTAGAAAATCTGTCTCAAGCCCTGTTTGAAGAAGCCAACAAGATGGTGGCGGATGAGAGGCGAAAGCGAGCCGAGATGGAGGATGCGTTGAAAGAGCTCAAAGCTGAAAAAGATGCTTTGAAATCGACGATCAAAGTCTTGGGAGGAAACAGCGGTAGTGTCGCAAGTGGAGACGAGAGCGATGCGACTTCGACCACTTCGAAAGACGATAGTATTGATCCGGCTTTCGAACCCAGAGACTTGGACAAGCATTATGAAGCGCTCAGGAAATCGATCCACCACGTCGCGGATGGAGTGGACGGGATTTCCACCTCACCTTTCACCCCAATGACTGGTATACCCGAGTCATCAGGGATGCAACATGCGAGTTCGGATCCTGGCGCTCACACGTCGTCATTTCATGTCGATCCCGAGTCACTGAGCGGAGAACAGAGCGTATCTCATATGGACTCGGAGTCCGAGCCGCACGTCAAGAGCGTAGTTTCGCATCCGGGTCTCGAAGATGCTGTGGACGTACCACCTGCTATACCCGAAAACGAGGTGTCCGAGTCTAGAAGAGAGTCCCAGACCGCCGAAACGTCTTCTTCTGCTGTGGTCGAAGAGGAATCAGAACCCAATCCATGGGCCGATACCGAGACACCGTCGATCAATCGCGGTAGCAAAGGGATGGACTGGTCCGGGAATCCAAAAGATGCGAACGAGACTACACCGGGAACGAAGAAGACGCCATCTGGTGTCGATCAACTTGACAAGCTGATGCAGGCGATGAAGGCAGAGGAGGAGGAGGAGGATGTAGACGGCGAGGCGAAGTGAAGAGATGCCGCATAGCACAGTGAATCACTTTCTACGATTATCATTTGCATTATAATGTTTTCATGCGGTCGGTTCGGTCTCCCAGGCTTCTTCTGCTAAATGTTTCTCTCACCGTACACACGAATCGAGCTGTGTGACAACGATTCCCGCTCGCTATGGTCATACTGTTACATCCAGCTATACGAGAAAAGGAGAAGAGAAAACGAATCGACAATATGTGCAGGGAAAGAGTCACTAAGCACCACATGTATACCACCTCCCTAACCTGTCCGTGAGCCCGCCAGCCAGCCAAAAGCTAGGAGGAATGAGGATCTCAGAATCGGAGAAACCTTTCCCCTTTGGCCTATCCCACTTTCTCCTATTTCGCCAACCTGTCTCGTCGCTCGTAGCTTCATCCCAATTGCGCACATGCCAAATCCCCATCCAGAAACCGAAGAACAATAGCGAGATCCAAACCCCGTTACAAGCTCCTTATGAGCAGCAACCTCCTTGGTTGTTCTGTTGACTCTGCCTCTTGACGTCGACACCTCCCGGTCGACCGGTGAGACCAGGCGTATTCTCCGGTTGAGGTTGAGAATCGATCAATCGAGTCTTGACGTCTCTGCATATGTGTATAAGCATCGCTCCCAAATCGAGAAAATCACAGGGTCGACTCACCTCGCAAGCGTGACGAAAGCCTCTTCAACTCCCTCGTTGGACTTTGCACTGGTTTCCAAGAACCTCAATCCAAATTCATCGGCCAATTGTTTACCCTGTTCGAGAGATACCGCTCGCTTCTCATCCCAATCGCACTTGTTTCCAATGAGGATCTTGTTGACTCCTGCTGAGGCGTGCTGTTCAATGTTCGAGTGCCAAGTCCGGATGTCTGATGGGAGTGGGCGATAAGGACGGAGGGAATGATCGTAACGGGGTGGCAAACGAGGGGACAGTGGTTAGTGGGGATAGGGGACGGGTGAGGAGACAAGTGCACAAAGAACATCTGTCAGGATATATCCTACATTGATGCTCCTAAACTCACTGTTGAACGACTTCTCGTCCGTCACGTCATACACCATCAAAATGCCCATTGCTCCGCGGTAGTACGCGGTGGTGATGGTTCGGAAACGTTCTTGACCCGCAGTGTCCCACTGTGGAGTGGTAAGCGAATGACTCGAAAGACAGCAATGTCGGCGCCGGAATCCTGGAAGCACTCTGGGGTCCGTTGACACAACGCCGCCGATGCACGCAGAAATGATGATGATGATGATGACGATGATGATGGGCGACGCGGATGGGTGGACCGGGACCTACAATTTGCAACTTGATCCTCTTATCATCCATGTCAATGGTCCTAATCTTGCTGCGGCAACTAGTCAGCACAGGCTGTCGCAGACGCTGATATGCAAATCGATCGAACGTACAAATCTATTCCAATGGTAGTGATGAATGACGGTGTCCATGCATCGTCGCAGAATCGCAAGAGAAGGCATGATTTGCCGACACCTATGGACCCAGCGGCGGAAAGGCGTCAGTGCATGGGGATCGTTTCATGCAGCAGGTCGCATATACAGCCTTGCGAGAGAACTCACCCGAGTCACCGATCAGCAGTAGCTTGATCAGACTACATTGACACGTCCTCAAGTCAGCATGCACTCGATAGCTCCACAGACAGACAACGGTATTATCCCAATTTAAGCTTTTGTGAGTCCCGATGGGCACCCATCTTGAAGCATGGGGGAACGCAGGGCCAGCTGCCATGGGGAAAGAAGAATGCATGTACCACTCACAAGTCGTAGTGTGGTCCAGACATGATGTATGGACTGTATCGCTGTTGCTGGTGCCAGGAGTGTTCGCTGCTGTCGATTCCAAAGATGAAAGAGAGAGAGAGAGTTGAAGGAGGATCTATCTGACGAGCAGAAAGAGAATGAGCCCCATGCCTTGCTTCCCGAGACTGCCACATGTGAATTGAGTGGCCGGCGATATATCTATAACGCCGATACCGCGACTGGCCTTGTTGTTTCCCCGGGCGAACGCTCATTGGATTGGATGGATTGGTCGGTCATTTTGGAACTCAAGCAGCGAGCGAGAGGCATCGGAGTAGTAGGGAAACACAAGAGAAGACACCATGTCGGTGACTGGATCCTTGTTCAAGTCGCAGAATGGCTCAAACGCACAGGCTTCCACTTCAAAGTCAGCTCAACCGGTCAACTTTACTTCATTACTGGCTCAAGCCAATTCACTGAATGATGCTGGAGCGAGCAATGAGCTCCCTCAGCTCAGGTTTGGGCTTGGAGAGATTGAACAGATGAGCGAGAGTGTAGCGAGCAGAGGCAAAAGAGGGAAATCAAGGCAGGGAGAAGGGTAAGTCTTTGATTTTTTATTCATCCCAGTGTATGTATATGATCTCACTCGGCAATTCTCTCCCAGATACAATCTTCTCTCAAGTCTCGGAGTGAATACGACTCAACTATCCCACGATATATCTCAGCTACCCCATGCTGAGCCATCAAATACATCTGCCGCTCCAAAACGTCGCCGTCGACCTGCTGCTGCTGGTCTTCACCACGTGGGCGAGCCTTCGGGGTCAGGAGTGAATGATGGACAAGATGTTGGGTCATGGGGTAGGAATTGGCATGAGACGATCATTCTGTCAGGGATCGAATATCAGCGGCAAAAGGTCAGCTACCAATCATAACTCCTACCCCTCCTACGGACGAACGACGCTTACGGGTGATTCTAGACCATACAACACTTCCAGGACCAGTTCCAAGCTAGGATGCTGGCGAATTGGGAAGCGGAAAAAGCTCGTGTCCTACAAGAGGAATTAGGAGTGACGGATGATGATTTGTCAAAGTTGACGAGTTCAACTGGAAAAGGAGCTCTAGGCTCGTCAGTCTTAGGCAGGAGCGCGTTAGGCACGAGCACCCGAAGGGTGAGCCACGAGCTCTTTTGGTGAGCTCACGCCGATCCAGTTTCCCATGGCATCAAGCTCTTCAAAAAGCGCCGAGTCACGAGATGGAGGTCTGGTGATGCATACAAAGATGATACGGTACGAAAGAGTCATCAGTGTGAGTCTGTTTCGTCATCTTATGGTGAACTCATCAGCTAACGATGTGACAGGAACTAAACGCTCGGAGATTACGGAAGGAGCCACTCGAGCTGTGTCAAGCGCTGATGAGCACTGTCGAGGGTGATACTGTGAGCTATTTCTCCGTACTGTTTTGCTGAAGGAACCGAAGAAATACCCTCAACTACCCACCGCCTATCGAATCTTGGGATACCTCGTTCATGAGCCATCACTCTCTGACTCGGAGCATGCCGAACCAATTCAAGAACGACAATACGCCAATGCATATCTTGTCGATCCGACCTCCAGTCATGCCTCTCTTCTTCGAGGACGACTCGCCGCCGGAGGTCGTAGATTCCTCGAGCGAGAGTGAGCTTTCTGGCTCTCAGCGCGGCGGTTCTCGACTCACACTTGAACAGCTTTGAAAAGCACATTGACGAGACGATTGCAAAGCATCCCAAGGAGGCTGCTATCGGAGGCTTACCTGGCGTCACGAACAAGATCCGAGCATATGTTGATGTCTTGAGTAAGACGAAGGATCTCGAGTCATTCAAGCCAGAGGTGAGCGAACTCCCTCAACTTGAGTGGGATCAAGCTCACGACAGAGCAGAGCGTAGACGGCACTTACCTCTGGGCACAAGTTTATTTCCTTTTCCGCTGTGGTTACCTTTCCGAAGCCCTGGATCTCTTGACTTCCCGCCAATCGTCTCTGAGACGGGATGACTATTCATTTCCCGGTGCTCTCAAAACGTACCTTTCGTCTTCGGATCGGCGATTGCCCAAAGCTCAGAAGGATCAACTGTACAACGACTTCAACTCGCACATTCGAAATAGCACCAACGTTGATCAGTACAAATACGCCTTGTACAAATTAGTCGGTCGATTTGAGCTCAGTAGGAAATCTGCCAAAGTCGCTGCAACGACTGAAGATTGGATCTGGTTACAGTTGTGTCTCGTTCGCGAATCTCGGGATGATGGACCACAGCAGAGCTATACCGTCGAGGAGCTGGGCGGATTGGTTTTGAAGTATGGGAGCGAAAAGTTTGATTCGAATGGGTCAAAGCCTTTCGCCTGGTTCAACCTATTGCTCTTTGCTGGGCAGTACGAGCGAGTGAGTGGGGAAGCCCTCGTGATTCGTCATGATGTCGTTGACCCCCATTCAGGCCATTGCGTACCTACACTCGAAACAGGCGCTGCGTACCGATGCGGTCCACTTCGCTTCAGCATTGCAGTACTACGGGTTGCTCCGCCTCTCTGCGCCCGATGCCGATATACGTGAGCGTAAAGTCTCTCACGGAACGTAACTGACAAGCTTCAGTCACCGAGGCGGAAGACGACACTGCCTATCTTAACCTCGCTCGCATTGTCAAATCCTACATTTCTCCCTTTGCCAAACTCGAGCCTCAGACTGCACTTCAGTATGCCTACCTCATTGCTCTTGGCTCGGACGCCTCGAACGGCAGTGGACAACGTCAGAAGACCGCTTGCCTGGAATTGATCAGGGACATCGTCCTGGCTAGTCGCGCCTGGTCTAAATTGCTTGGAAGTGTACGGGCAGATGGCTCCAAAGAGGTCAGTGATGCTGATCATGCTCCCGACCATCCTGACAACGTGCTCAGACCGGTATAATTGAACGCGATCTCGCCTTGCTACGCTTAAACAACTCGTCTGACTACCTCCGACATGTCGTCCTATCCGCGGCGGACCAATCTGCTCTCGACGCATCCCTTACCGATTCTATCGAGCTGTACCATCTCGCTGGAGCCTATGACAAGGTCGTGGAGAGCATCAATCGCGCGCTCGGATCTTCGCTCTCGTTACCTATGAACCCCGGCCCATCCGTCGCACCTGGTTTGGGACTCAGTGGAGCCTTTGGGGGTGTACAGGACCTCTATGGCCTCGCTCAGAGAGTACATCAAGTGTATGAACATGATTTGGTGAAGAGAAACAAGGTATCGAAGATGGCTTGGGACACATTGGGCGTATTGATTCAGCTCAAAGCTGGATTGAGTCAGTTTGCAGCTGAACGACCGGATCTGGCTCTAGAGGTGAGCAAAGTCTCTCATCGTCCCCTGAACACTGTCTGATGTCGCGGCTCGATTTCAGACACTTCGACAAACTGGTCTTCTACCGCTATCTACAGATCCTTCATCGATCTCTTCCTGCGCTACAGCCTTCAAATCCCTCCTTGATCAGCCTACCATTTCCTCCCTTGACGAGGTGATCGTCACGACCATGAAATGTCTCTTTACGCTTTCACAACAGTTGAAACGAAGCGATTATGCCGATTCAGAGAGGTCCAATCAGATTATCGCGTACAAGCAGATGGCTCAGAATGTGGTTCAGTTCGCGTCTGGATTGAGATTGCGATTGGGACCGGATGTCTATAGGCAGTTGTCAAGCATGAGTGAGTTTTGGGTGCCCGGTGGCGTATGATCATGATTGAACTGACACTCTGCTTTCCAGGTGCTTTCTTCTAGGCGATCGAATGACTTAGTCAACACCAGACTGCAGGCCGCAGGCTACAGGCTGCAGGGAATGCCTTTTATGCATGACAAGGCCTTTAAGCAATTTTAAGGAACTCGTGCAAAGTTTGACAGACACTGCATGACAAGGTCGTCGTCGAAAGCGATTCCACAAAGATCACAATATAGACAAGTGTTGTCAAAAACTACGAAACCACACGCAGGTTCGTTCGGCCCCATCACCAACGTTCTAGGTACCTCCACCGGATCTCTCCACTGGGATCTTCCTCCTTGATCCTCTCTCTCCATTCTCTTCTTGCGAATCTTTGGCGTGTTTCCCAATCGCTCCATTATCGTTTCCGCTGGAGATCTGTCGACTTGAATCCATTCGAGCGAGGTGAGTGAATGCATTTTCAAGGTGTAATTCTTTCAAGCCAGCTGCGATATCGAGGTAATCTTGAAACTCGATGGCACCTTTACGTCCGAAATCGACTTCTCTCAGAATGTTATCGGCCGTTTCGGCGGACGCATCGTAGCCCATTTGAGTCATGGCTTTGAGGAGATCGGCTCGTGTGATACGTGAGTCGTTGTCCTGTGGAGTTTCGAGGAAAGAGCCGGGAGGGTCAGTGAATTGACTGTAAGGAGAATACAAATGACGACACAGAACAGGAGGGACAACTCACGAAATCGAGTTGATGGAATTGAGTCTTGAGATGACTGACTTCAGCCGGACTAAACTGAGCACGCTCAAACAATTGTTGATCTTCTCTCTGAGGGATAGAAATCGGTCCAATCGATTTTGATCGAGCGACTTCAGACAGCTTGAGTTTGGCGCCCTGACGAACAACAAGATACGTTAACGAGTCATTGTCGGTAAGGGAGATCCAAGATGAAGCTTCACAGTGTGTATGTATGGAGAACCACTACTCACCTCTGGCAATCCCATGGATCTCAGGAATTCCTGAGCATTGTCAAATTCCTTTTCTTTCCTCTTAGTGTCCCAACCCAATTCCTCCGACATGATATCAACGATCCTCGGTAGACATTCGAGTGAGACTCTGACATTGAGGAACGATAATCGTGTTCGTCGAGCGATAAAATCCACTGCCGTCAAAGCGTATTCCTTTCGACAGGCGTAACGAGCCTCAGCTTCAATGTAAGGATACAAGGGGGAGATTCGGATCCCGTGCACCGGCCACGAGTAGCCTAGTAACGCACGTAAGCTCGATCAGTTGGGGAACGTTGTCAAAGTTTCCTCCACTCCGCTCTCTCACCTGTCGGGTCTGCCATACTTGCCACATCCCACGCTCGGTCACCGTATGATTCCGCGAGATGTTTGGCGACTTCGGTCTCCAGGCCAAACTGTTGAATCAACTTGATGTACATTGTCTTTGACCAAGCATGAGCCCCAAGAAGCTTGATATGATCCGTTTGAGAAGGTCCATTGGGCTTGAGGTCAAATTCCTTGATGGCTTGATCGACAGTCTCCTCAGCCATTGCACGACTATTCCGAAGGACATCAGCGAGACCGGCAGCGAAAGGAAAATCAGAATCCCTCGCTACTCACTATGTGGTCCACTTGCCACCGGCAATGGTCAACAGCCCCGACTTTGACACGTTGATCATGTGGTTCCTGACTAGACTCTGGGTGTTTTTCGCCGCTGGATCCCTGACAAGCGGTCTGATTCCACTCCAAGCTGACAAGACGTCTCCTCGTCGGACTTTGACATCGGGACTGAGGTAATTTCTCACTTCGTCCAAGATCCACTGGATGTCCTTTTCAGCAGGAACAGGATTCTGCGAGACTGGTGTCGGAGAGTCTGTCGTACCGGCTATAACGTTGCCTTGCCATGGGAGAAAGAAGATGACTCGACCGTCTGAAGTAGCAGGATCTAGGAGACCCATGGTTTTGGGGCCATAATAATTAGGCAAGGTGATATGGACTCCGGCGGAGGGGGCAACAATCTCCTGCGTTGTGGGTTCATCGAGTTTTCTTAGACCGTCACTGAAGGGTCCAGTGGCGTTGATGACTCCCTGTTTTCGAAGAGTCAGACCATGACATACTCTGGAAGCCATGCGGACTCACTCGACACTTGACGATGAACTCTTCGTTTGTCATGTTGTCCTTCAAGGTAGCGGCATAAATTCGCTCGCACCCCTTGGATGGATCGTACTTTTTGTGCAGTCTCGTCACCTCGGTGTGATTCGCTACGATAGCCCCATGCTGAACCGCCGTCATGATGAGTGAGATATTCATCCGCGAATCATTGTGTTGACCTGGAAGAGGGAGTTGAGCACATAAAGATCCCAACGACGAGCTACCGCTCGGTAGCCCCAGCTCACCATCGTAGTAGACTACACCGCCCACCAACCCATCCTTCTTCAACATTGGGAATGCTTCGAGAGCTTTACCCTTGCCCATCCAGTACGCGCTTTCCATATTCTCTTTCCCAGCTAGGATATCGTATAGTTTACACCCTGCGTAGTAGTATGGCAATTGCCACCAAGTGTAAATTGGCAGGAGGATCCTGTGCAGGCCCAGGTCAGCGTCCAAAAGAGAAAGTCGAGACCAACTCACGGAAGCATGGACGAGAGATGCGGAGCCGTCTCCAGGAATATCCTTCTTTCCCTCAGAGCTTCCTTGACAAGTTTCCATTGCTCTGTAAGCCGAAATGTCAGTGTTGAGGGATGACAGACGTAGCACTATTGCTTACCATAATCCAGCTCCATAACTGCCTTTTGGAGATACCTCACGCCTCCATGAACCAATTTTGTACTTTTACTACTGGTTCCACTGGCAAAATCGTCCCTTTCTACACAGGCAACTTTCAATCCCCTACTCGCAGCGTCCAAGGCTGTCCCTGCCCCAGTAGCTCCTCCACCGACGATGAGCAGATCAAAGACATCGTCTGAGCTTGAGGCATCTAAGTCGTCCCCTTCCCTTGAGAGGACTGGACCAGGTTCAGGACCACCCTCAGAAGTCCGTTGAATATATATGCCTGAAGTCTTGAGATGCGCCAGCATCTGAGACCGGGATGGGGGTGACCATAATGGACCTGGACGTCGTTTGGTCACGGGTGTAGAGGAGGAAGAATCGAGTCGGGCGGGTGAAGAGAGGTAGACATATGTCGAGGTGAGGGCTACGGTCGATGCTGCGGTGATGATGACAGCTCTACGACTGTACCCGAAGACTGGGCGAGAGGTGAACATGATGGATGCGGCTGTCCGAGGAAGATGGCGCGGCCTATGGTACGAATGTATGTGCCCGAAGGTGGGAGATCACGAACGTGCCCCACGAATGGACAAAGGAGGAGGAGGAGGAGGAGTCGAGGTAGACGTCCTTGTCCAGATGGGTGGTATGGACTGACTCGATTGCAGAGTCGTTTCGACCCCAAAGTCGTGTGGTTTATAATCCGTTCAGTCGGCCGAGAGGGAAGAGAGTAAAAAAACCTGCAGAATGGAAGCGTTCGGGTTTCGATCGGGATGGACCGAAAGAGAGGTTGGTGTGTGTGTGTGTGGATTGACACCGTCTCAACAGCCTCCTCTGCGATAGTGAGGTGAGTTCTCAGCGCTTCCACTCACACGCTACCTTGCGTCGAATGAAACTGAAAGACAGAAGATACAAAAATGTTCAATTGACGTGGTTCCCATCCATCCCATCCGCCCCGCCGCCGCCGCCGGGCCGAAGTTGCCGGTCTCATCCGCCAAGCAATGCTTTCTGGGATGATCAGTGGATTGGGTTGTGTTGGATCTTCGGGTATATGCATGTACAGAGGGTTCAAGCTACTTTGTGACGTCTCAGAACGCCACTGTTCCAGTGATCGTCTGTGAATGCGGACGGGGGATGGGTAATGGTGTTCCCACCAAGAGCAGAGAGACGGGTCGTCAACACGTCCATTTTCTGCTTCGCGGCGATGTCAATGGACATGGACTTGTAAGCACAGGTCCCAGGGAGGTCGCTGGCCCCCGCGTTCGGGTCCATGGGCACCTCAGTACTCATCGCAACGGAAGGAGTGATTGCGAAACACAGTCTATATCGATCCATTGATCGAAGTCCCCACTCTACAGGTTGGAAGCCACAACAAAGGATACAATGGTTCTGCCACTTCGAAATGGTTCTGCCGCTTCGATCAAGGATGCTAGCGGCGAACGAGATGACGAGATAGTCATTGGGGCTGGACCTGTTCTCTCAGCTTCGATCAGCACGTTCTTTGTTTGCGCCTTCTCGTTGGCGCCGTCGTTGCAGACCCTTTCATAGTCACAAGGCCCGCATTTATAAATAAGAACACGACACTCATCCTGTATCCTCTCCATACAACCAAACATGTCTGAACAGAACACAGGAACCAACGCTAGCAAGAAGTCCAAGTTGACTTCTACACAGACGCAGAAGTGAGAGAGACGCCTCTGATCCTTGTGCTGACGAATTCGAGGACGAAAGATGGCAGCATCGCCTCTTGGGAGAAGGGGACCGGCATTGGACCCACACACGAATCTCAGTGAGGTCCAAGAGAGAGAGCTAGGATGCCGATGACACTGACAACTCTTCACAGTTCTGACATGCTCCAAGTCCGCAACATTACGGAGAACAACATCGAGCTGCAGAAAATCTGGGATGAGCACCATGACACAGCGTCGAATAAATGAGACCTCGGCCGGCAGGGGGGATCCGGGGATGGCAACGAGAGTTTCCCTCGGTACGCATGGCACCTGAGTAAATGAGGAACGGAGGGAAAGTGTTGAGACGGTGGGGAAGCGCGAGATTGATTGATGGATGAGTGGACGGTCGATGTTAGGAGAGTCATGCATACAGTGAAATGGAGGCCTATGGCTCTCCCTCTGAAAACAACGTGAGCAATTGTTCATGAGCCTGTCTACGTCCTGTAGCGACCACTCACCGACCGATTTTGACCGACTTCCTCCAAAGGCCAACCCGGTAGGTACCACACCAGCTCCTTCACTCCTATCTTTAGTCCTCCGTAATAGATCCAATCCCTCCTGTTTCGTCACATTGCGAACTTCTATCAATTCCTTGACTTTTATAAGCATTCCCCCAAAGCCCTTGTTGAACGGAACGAGAGCAACGGAATGACGACGTTTGAGACCCAGTGATCGGACAGTATCTTTGTATACCTGTTGGAGACCTATTGTCGATCGGACGAGCTTGACAAAATGATGAGTCTTGGGTGGAGATTGGGATTGAGCTGTTGGTGACTTTAGGGATGATGAACTGGATTGACGAGGTGGGGATGATTGACGTGATGTAGAGGCTGCTGGGGATGAACTAGAGGATGCGACAGTGGAGGATGTTGATGATGATGCGATGGTCCTGACACCATACAGAACCCTCGATGGGCCAATGTTCGCTGCTGTTCTGACAATCATGGTGGTGTTGCTCGTTATCGTTCGTTGACTGATGGACACCATATGCGATCTGACAAGTTTCAATCACCTCTGATGGGAAGAGTGACGTGGTATATTTTGTGCCACGTGTCACCGCAGCATAAGCTGATAATGGAATCAATTTCAAGGATCTCGAGTAGGTTGATCTTGTTAACTGACCATTGAACACATACTCATCTTCACGCACCATGCTCGTTCGACTCAATGCGAATATGCCGATGGCGGCACCTCGAGCAGCTTCTTCAAGGCTTTTTACGACTTCTGTCAGGTTGTCATACTACTCTCACAGAGGTCTTCGTTCCAGCTATCCACCTAGACGAGAAAATGGCGATCATCCCGGTCATTCTGGTCAATCACCATACTCTATCAGGTACTCATCAAGCACTACCGGAGAAGATGGTCCCCTTCGCCCAGATGCATCTACCGACCCTAAGTCTTCTTCTTCCTCTTCCTCTTCTTCTCCTCCTCCTGTCGGGTCTGATCGACGTTATCAAAAGACATCTTCTTCTTTCTCCTCTCGTCCACCTTACCAAACTCGATCTAAACCATTCTATAATCCACGACCCACAACTGGATCACCGTACAATCCCGATGTATCGTCAACATCCAGACCTTTCCCACAGCCACCAGTCAGACCTTTACAAAGGGCACCCGTCAAACATACCCCCCACGGACGATTTAAACGACAAGGACCCCCACCCAGTCTTCTCACGTTAGCCGATTTGAGCCCTGGTCAAATCTCTCGAGCCATCTCTCACGCACTCGCTATCAAATACGTTGCGACCCGACTACATCCCAGGGACCTTCCCGCTGTACTGGAGAAGCAGACCATAGCGTTGATCTTCTCGAAGCGATCTACGAGGACACGGGTCGCTTCGGAGACTGCCGCCCATTTGCTCGGTGCGAATGCCATGTTCCTGGGCAAGGAGGATGCCCAATTGGGAGTCAATGAGACGTTGAGAGATACGGCAAACGTCGTCGGAAGTATGACTGAAGGATTCATGGCTCGAGTCAACGCTCATGAGGAAGTGGTCGTAAGTAGACTACTAGAGACAGGTCCAAGAGACGCAAACTGAGCCCCACAATCGCTCACTAGGAACTGGCTAAACACTCCCCTGTACCCGTCATCAATGCCCTCTGTGATCTCTACCATCCAACTCAGATCCTCGCAGATCTCATGACGTTGCAAGAAGCTTATGCGCCTCAACCTCTAAAGACAAAGTCGACGTCATTCGATGCTATCAGAACGGCGATCAGAGCCATGAAACCGCTCGAGTGTCTCAAAGGCAAGAAAATGGCCTATGTAGGAGATACCAACAATATCTCCAACGAGCTCTTGGTCACTGTCCCGCGACTAGGTATGGAATTTGCCATTGCCAGTCCGGAAGGGTACAACAAGGTCGATCCACGAGTCTGGGAGAGAGTGTGAGTCGAGGTTCAGGCGTAAACCCCGAAGCTGAAGACTGATCTTCTGGTAGTGTCAACGCTGGAACAGAGAACAAAGTAACCTTGACGACAGACCCCATGGTGGCTATCAAGGACGCCGACGTTATCGTCACGGATACTTGGTCAGTTCTGCATGTGGTGAAGTGCTATTCTTCCGCGCTCACACTTCTCGCAGGATCTCTATGGGTCAGGAAAGCGAATCCGCGGCCAGACTCGAAGCGTTCAAGGGATATCAAGTGACCAACGAATTGATCTCTAAAGCTGGTGCTAAGCCCGATTGGAAGTTCATGCACTGCCTTCCAAGGCATCAAGAGGAAGTCGACGATGAAGTCTTCTATGGGAATAGGAGTCTAGTCTTCCCCGAAGCTGAGAATAGGAAGTGGACGACTGCAGCGTGTTTCGGGTGGGTTTAGCCAACGGGGCTTGAGTCGAGGTGATTGAGGGTGCTGAATGCCTATTTTCAATCTTTTACAGTGAGATGATGGGATACTGGGCGATGTGGGAGTTTGAAAAGCCAGTCAAGGATCAGGGTTCAGGAGAGGTTCCCAGTACCTCCAAAGGAGAGTCAGAGGCAGACGTAGAGAACGGCGAGGGGCTTTGATGAGATGATTTCTGACGTGGCTTTTTTAAGAATCCTTCAGAATTTTCAGAAATCTGTATCTCAAAAGTCCAATGCACCTATAGACGTCTATCGATCCATCCTCGACTGCTTTCTTTACAGCTTGTCTTCCACTGCCCTTTCTCAGTGTTTCTCAATCCGCACAAACTCTCTTCTTCTCTCTCTCTCCTTCTCACACCGGACCTCTGGACGAAAAGTTGATGCCATTTGACCAGTATGGTAGCTCTACTAGTAAATCCAGTACAAGTACTACTACCACTACCACCACTTCCCTCGAATCAAACAACAGTCACAGATTTGACGGGGACAAGCACAGTGGAAGAGCTGAGGGGAATCAAAACACATTCCATTCTGAGCCGAGTGCGATTGTTCCCGGTGCCGTCGCGGCCGCCGAGAAGTCCACCGCAACTGCTGAGCTGAAGTTGTTGACCCTGGACGAATCAAGCAGCAGCCATGGACCAAATGATTCCATGAGTCAGAGAGACTCCTCAACGTCGAACGGCGAGATCACACAAGGGATCAACCCCTTGGGCTTGGAGATCCGGATTATCCCTGGACGTGGTCGAGGCGTGTTCGCCCGAGAAGATATCTCAGCCAACATCCTACTGGAGGAATCCCCAGTCCTCCCTCTCACCCAATCCCAATGGGAAGAAGGGCGTATGAACAACACCATTTTAGGAGAGTATGGATTCTGTTGGTCCAATGGAGGGATGGCCATTGCTTTGGGGACAGCTTCGCTGTTCAATCATTCGAATCGGCCCAATGTCAATTTCATCCGGAATACCAAATCAGGTACCATCGCTTTCAGAACCGTTCGACCCGTATCTGCAGGAGAGGAATTGTGTATTTGTTACAGTGCGGACGAGAGCAAATTGTGGTTTGTCGATACTTCAGAGACGCCTTCGAGTCTCGCAAACGGTGATCATGGCGAGTCACATGAAATCGATGAAGAGGCATCTACCACAACGCTTCATCCCGATGGGACATCTGGACAGGCCGACAAACACTCCACATTCCCGTCTATCCTACCCACCGACCTGATCGATCAGACAGAACACATGGAACGAGAAATAAAACGGGCTCAGCGGAACAGACGACTCGAAATGGAATCAGAGCTCAGATCTCTCAAAGATATCCGCTTGGCCAAATTTGTCACGAAACAACAAGCCCTGTCTAATGATACTTTGACCGCATCCTCCGAGTCCGGAGATCTCGAAATTCAATCACCTCAACCAGTGCCATTCACCCATGACATCGTGTCTATCCCTAAATTCAGTCAGGATATACCGACTGCTCTATCTCCTGAAACGCTTGGAGCTCTCCCTCCACCTCTTCACTCCACTGCATCCCCATCTCCAAACACTCCGCCAGATATAGGTGCGGCGGCGCTGGTGCCTGATCTCGAATGGAACGAGAGTGATTGGGTAAACGTGTCATCTGGAGATCCACGAGCGGAAGCTTTGGGCAATGTAGAGAGGGTCAGAGGGCATGCAGAGATAGACGAGGAGGAAGATTTCAACGCATTCAGTGGGCCGAAGACTCTCGGTGTTCGAGACGGAAGCTGACGGTTCCCGCAGTGCAAATCTGGGCAGTGGATGTGGATGAGCCACGGACGACTCGCTTCTTGCTCAAGTGAGCTGTCAAGTACCCCCACTCTTGACAATCATTTGCTGACGCCGCTTAGCTTCACCAGGGAGATGGACTTTGGCGAATCGTCCATGAGACACCTCAAACGAGTCTTCAAACGAACAAAAGCTGACGGGCAGGGTGAGTAAATGTCAACACCGCGTTCGACATTGGACTCACCTATGCCTATCTCAGAGCGCCAATCTGTCGCTCTGTGCACCCTTTCTCACATGTCCAAAGAATCCATCACATCAAGCATGGCGACTTTTCACGAGTCACTCGCATCTCTTGTGCCGTACATTGCCACCGTTCCCACCGCAGCAGCACGTACCGATTCTGAGCTCAAGGCCAAAGCCAAAATCTGGCCCGTCATCTTCTCTCCATCGCAGCTCCGACCTACAACATCGGAGACCTGGTCAGCTGCCCGTCGAGCCTGGGTACAAGCTGGTATACAGCGTGCCATTTCACTGGCGTTAGCCGCGAAAGATCGTGGAGAATTACCCATTGGCGTCTTTTGTACTGCCCAGCCTGAGATTTTCTGGCCAAGTCCAGAAGCGTTTATTCCGCCCACGCCTGATTTGAGGGCCTCTTCGACCGATACGAGATTATCGACCGCGCATCCTCTTCGGCATTCCGTGTTGAATTGCGTTAGGTCTATTGCGTATTTGAGGACCGTTCCTCCCTTTTCTCAACTTCAGCCGACTCGAAATGGTGCCGATTACCTCTTGACTTCCCTCTCATTATTCATGACACATGAACCGTGTGTCATGTGTTCCATGGCTTTACTCCATTCTCGAGTCAAAGAAGTATTCTACATTTTCCCCAGGAGTCGAGGAGGTGGACTCAATGGAATGGGCGTACATGGCCGAAAGGATTTAAACCATAAATTCCAAGTTTGGGAATGGAGAGGCGAATTGGAGCAGAGTCTGAAGGAGGCTCTGAAAGTCGACGAGGACATTGCCATTTAGAAGGGCATGATGGATGGGATCTCTTTCACCCCCTGTTTGTAATCTTATACTGCACTGTTACACACACATCGTTCATCATGTTTGCAGCACATTGCCCATTGTCGTGTTGTCTTTTTTTTTTCACTCTCCTTGTTGGCTACTGTGATATGTACATCCCAGCCGAATGAATCTCCAAGTAGATCCGTATCCCTTATATACATGCTTGAGCTATAATCGGTCGTGAGATACATATGATACAACTCTGTCCACATTTGCCAGCAAGCACTCCGGTCCCGCTTGGCTCCAGGTCAAAGAATGCTGCATACAGTAGTCTTCCCAAAAGTCGTGGCCCGTGCGTGCGGCGTTTATTTTTCCTTCTGTGTTGTTGCGTCTTGATCCCCCCGACTTCACGGCTTGAAACCTCTCTGATATCTCTGTCTCTTGGCGTCGCCCGACCTTCGCGCCAAATACAAAGCATAGAGCGAATCCCAAAGTTGATCCTTTTTCACTTCATCTCCCCATATCCAACCTGAATCAGATAAGGGATACCCTTTCCAATGGATAAGATACGCCACTCGTAGACCTCTAGACGTTTTTCGAAAGACTTCGTCAAGAATGGCTTCGATCTCAAACGTATTGTCGAGTTCGTGTGGAGGTGGAGGAGAGAAGACTGGTTCGGGAGGGAAAACCTGGATGGGGGTTTCGGCGGCAACAACAGGGACAGCAGGGACAACCTGGGACGGGAATGAGGCTCGCGCTCGAGGTAGGCTTTGCGTGACTTTTGCGGCTCGACTCTGAATATCCGTTGATGCAGAAGCAGTAGCAGGTGCAGAAGCAGAAGGGGGTGCAGAAGCAGAAGCAGGTGCAGAGACGCGAGTGACGGGAGGTGTATCGGGTACAGCACTCGGTGTCAGGGGTAATGATTTTCTCTGCTTGCCAATCTCTCGCCTTGCGTACATGCCCGTCGAAACTCGATGCTTGGTACCCGTAGATGCGGATCCGATTGCCGGTCCACTTTTGCGTCGCCCCTTTTTGGCCTTCCATTCCGCGATGACCTGACCGTATTTGGGAGACTCCAGCAAGGCGGCACGCCGACGCGCCTGCACCGACTTGGATCCTTTCTTAGACGAGGCAGGTTGGAGAGGTGATCCTTTGGTGGTGGACGAGGTGCGGCCCCGACGCGAGTAAACGACTGGATTTTTGAGTCTAGCATTGGAAGTTTGACGCAAAGTCGGAGTGGTAGAGAGATGTTGTCTGAATTCGTCTCCTCCTTCGATCGCTTCTGGTTCTTGGTCTGGTGATCTTGGCTCGGGTAAATTCAACACGTCGTCCTCCCCACCACCAATAACGTCCAGTGGATCTGGCTCGGAAGCTTGAACCCAAGGTGAATCCGGTTCCAGGACAGACCCATCGTCTGGTGGCCTGACGTTTTCCTCGCCTGGTGGGAAGAGGGATTCTCGCAGGATGGACGAGGCTCTGCGAGTCCTTGGGTTAAGCTCGGGAACTCTTAAGAGATTGTCACTAGTGAGACTAGTCGTCAAATGTGCGCTCTCGCTCTCGATGTCGATACGTGGGGCGACAGTGGCAATCGGTAACTCCATCTCGTCTGAGTGATCGAATTCTATCGGCATGTCGGGTGCCATCTCCTCGGGTGTTGGATCCTCCACGTCCGCCTCGACGTTATCGGCGTGCTCGATTCGCTCGATATGCTCCACAAGCTCGACCTCCTCATCCTCCTCTTCTTCTTCTTCTTCTTGCCCCTCGACCTCCTCCTGCACGGGAGGTGGCTTTGAGATGGCGGGCTGCTCGATGTCGATACGCTGATCCGCGACAACGTGCTGATCCTCAACTACCGATTGAGTCACGGCCACAGGCTGATCCAAGACGACAGGCTGATCCAAGGCGACAGCCACAGGCTGATCGAGGACGACAGGCTGATCCAAGACGACACGCTGATTCGGATCGGCTGGACTCTCGTTCACAACACCCTCGAGCTCTGTTTCCGCACTTGTCGTCGTCACCTGGGCCGAGCTGAGACTCCTCGCCGGCGATACGGGAGTAGGCGGTTGTTGAGTTGATCTCTCAGGCTCACTTTGTCGACGCCGACTCCTCTCTCTAGCCCTGTTCGGGAACAAGTCGAGATTGAGAATTCTACCCATATCTTTCAATCCCTCCTTATATCGTCGGACAGCTGCTCGTAGCGGAGGCACCTGTCCCTCCACTATAGACAATTTGGTCCTCAACTCCTCCTTCTCCTTTCTTAGTTGCCCAAGAGCCTGTTCGTGAGTCGTCCGCACGCTTTCCAGATGTGCATCATGCTCCCTTCTCAACGTGTTGATCTGTTTCTCGTGTTCCAATACCAGGCCAATGATCTCCTCGCGATGCGTTTCGATCATCGTCGACGTGTTGGCCCGTTCAGAAACCTCCTCGCTTGTCGGGGGATCTCGTGGCTCCTCTTCGTCTTCGTTCTCCTCCGTAGATGGACGCGATATTTCTTCAGGCCATTTTATCCTCTGCTTCATCCATTCTGCCTTTTCGACCTCCAACGCCTCGCACTGAGCCCTTAGACGCGCAATCTCAGCGTGATGAATCAACAATTCTGCGTCCCGTTTGCATCGATTTGATTCTTCCACTAGACGAGCTTCAGTCAATTCCCTTTCGAGCCCTCGACAGCGATCCCTGAGGTCGAGGAACATTTCTTGACGATCCTGGTGTATTCCACTCCAACGTCGATCATGGGTGCTGCTGGTTGACGGGGTCGGAAATATTCCAAGTTGAGGCGATGCTGACGAGCTACCGAACGAATGCATCCTATACTTTCGAGGGGTGTCATCCATATCATCTTCGTACGAGAATCCGTCTTCGAACTCTACAGATTCTCCTCGCCTGGTAGGGGGGACCCAAGTGGATCGATCGAATGATAATCCTATATGCCTATCCATACCTCGACTGGAAGAGCTACTGGCGAGACTTCGAGGAACACGATCTGACTGGAAAGATTTCGAAGGGATGTACCTCGACTCATGAGGAGCAGGTGAGAGCGATAAGGTGGATGCGGACGACGATGGTGTTGGCGATTCAGCACGCACAAGCATATCCGCACCGCCAGCACGACCCAAACTTGACGTCCCCGCAGCTACTGAAGCAGCAGCATCAAGTAGGGAGAACCCACAGGATGATCGTGAATAGGATGTAGGTAAGGACATGGGGTCGATTTAAAAGACACGGACGAGGGTGTGAAGTACAAGTCGAGTGGTTTTTGGAGCGTGACCGATGCCTTCAAAGGGGGTGAGGGGGGGGGGTGGTTCAAGAGACATACACTGTAGATCACAATCATCAGCGCCTTCATGTATGACATTTGAGTATATGACGCACCTTGTAACGTCTACACTCGGCCCTCAGGGGCGGCGGCGTGGAAATGTCTCGTTCTCAAAAGGTCACGAGATTCACACGACAGAAGAAGACTGGGACAGCGCAAACGGTGGGGATTGTAAGCAGTTGCTCCCCGATCCCACGCGTAGGTTGTACACGCATCACTGGCTTCTCCAGCTGTTCACTCTCCGTCTGACCATTGTTTGAGCTCGACTGTTGACGTTGTAAGAATGAATGAAGAGTTGAATGGATATATCAAAGGGTGGTGGGGACGGCAAATTTGTTATGATGTGTGTCCTTTCCTTACCCGGAAATATGTGCTAGACGCGAATGACGCAGACGTCAATGGGACAACTGTCTGAAGCTGCTGCTGCTGCTGCTGCTGCTGCTACGTGTCTGCCTCCTGATCAACAGCACTGCTTCCGATCACCTCCAGAAAGCTTGGCTAGCTACTTTGAATGTTACATGATGGCCGCGGCCGGAAGGGTATACCGTTAGTACTCTAATAAATGTCGTCAAAATCTCTCCTAATGTTATCTTCCTTGACTTGAGTCGTGCTTCCCTCCCCCCTCGCGAAGGACTGGTCAGACGCTACTACAGTGATCAAGAGGCCCATGCTGCTTTACTTAATGGCTGTGCCCATGTTCTTCCGACTCATCCACATCGACCAGTTTGCCGGGAGTGGGTGGACAACACGTCACAGCTTCGCCACATTCCTCAGGTGGACAGCGAATGAGGCAAGCGGTTTCCTGCGAGGATGATCGTCAGCGTCGGACCAACGAGATCTTGGTCGGAGAACCATACCGATTGATCGTCGTTCCCAGAATAAAATCTGCATGTTGAGCGTCAGACTCTCTCTCTCACTACCTGGCATCGTCGCAGCGCTCGCATCGTTACTCACTCTGGCTGTATAGTCACACTGTGAATTCCATGCTGGTGCATCACTTCCCTGATACCACCAGCAACGTTCATGTAGTCGACACCCGGTTCAATGAGGACATGAACACTGGCCACGACGGTCGATTCGGATAATTGCCAGACGTGCAGCTCGTGTACCGATACCACACCGGATATCTCACGGATGGCCTCATGGAGGTCTTCGAGGGAAACGTGGGATGGAACTCCTTGCAGGAGAATATAGGATGCGGAGCGGACTGAATGAGGTGAGGTGAGGTGAGCACAGAATCCAGTACGATACCGAGCGATCAGAGCCCGGCATATCACTCACCCAGTGGAATGGCGGAATGGAGGATGATACAGGTGATCATGAATGATACACCTGGGTCAAAGTAGAGTGTCCATTTGCCTTCGCAGCTGAAGAGCGGGTGTGTCAAACAAGTCTATGAGCGTGACCTGTTCACTTACAACCAGATGACTAGACCAGCAGCGATGACGCCAACATTTCCGAGACTGACAGCAGCATGTTCAGCCAGTCACGAGATCTGATTCGGAGGTAGCACTCACGCGTCGCCCAACACGTGCAGGAACACTCCACGCATGTTCATGGATCCGTGGGAGTGACCGTGACCGTGACCGTGACCGTGACCGCCCCCGCCGTGAGAGTGATCATGATCGTGTCCACTATTTACCGCTTCGCCATGAGTGTGTCCGTGGTCGTGGTCGTGATCATGGTCATGTTGATGCGCATGTCCACCTTGTTCAGCCTGATTCACGTCTTTCGAGTGTTTATGTTTATGATCGTGATCCTTGGCATGAGAGTGATTTGATCCAGACTCCACCACGGCAGTGGTGTCTGAAGAAGCCGAACTCGATCCGTCCAACCCCGAACTTCCCACAGGTTTCGCAGCAGGGACGCTCTGAGGTCTCTGTCTTGGTTCCCGGATCTCATTCGTACCAACTGCAGGTGGAACGATGTTCCCGCTGCCATGTCTTGCAGGACGAGGTCTAGAAGAGATGGATTGATGTTTGGATCGACGGTTCTGACCTTGACTCATGGATCGACGATGAGATCCCGAGCCAGAGGGAGGCGACATGGGATTCCCCATGAATGATGAAGAGATTTCTTCTCGACCATATCCTGCTTCCTGGGCAGCTTCAATGACTTGCGCTCGGGTCTGAGCGGGATGTTGATAGAGCTGAGAAGCGACGGAATCAGACCGTTCATTACGATTAGTGGGCAGCTGGATTTCTCCGCGAGAAGGGACGTGTTCATCTGATCCTGATCCGTGAGAGTGGTCGCCGTGCGAGTGTCCGTGTTCTAGGAAGGATGAACGTCAATCTTCGTATCGCTAGACAGACAATCGCTGCCCGCAGCCCTTTTGCCCCCATGACTCACCATGGAACAAGAACAATCCTACGATATTACTCAAGAGACCTAACGACCCGACAATGACGATGACCTTGGGATTACTGATTTCGGGAGGAGCGATCAATCTGCCCAGAGCTTCCAAAGCGATGGAAACGCAGAGGGCCACGAGGAATACACCATTTATCAATGCGCCCAGAATTTCAGCCCTTTGCCATCCGTACGAATTGGCATTGGACGAAGGAGAGGTGGCGAGTTTGATGGTGTATAAAGCGACGACAAGGGAGAGTACGTCACTGAAGAAAGCAAGCATGAGCGTTAACGAATGCGGGCGTGGACGTTGACGAGGAATGTGGGCTGGGTCGGTGTAGATTGGTGACGACGATCATTTGACACTGTCGGCCGAAATGCCGGTCCCAGCACGTCGCCGTCCTTCGACCTTTTGTCACATACCAGTCAACTCACTTGAGCATATGAAAAGAATCCGCAACGAGTGCGAGAGATCCGACAGTGTATCCAGTGATAAGTTCCTAGACGTGCAGAGTGAGCAGCTTCCCTTTTGGCATGTCCTACCCTCCGGCGAGCGAAAGATTTGGCGGCGAGGATGGAGTTGTCACGCTTCCTACTAAAAGAACACACTCACCACAAGGAAGAACGCTGAATCGATCACGAGCAATGTGGTGATCCGCGCTTGTCTTGAGAGGCCCATGATGAGTATAGATATGAATGATCAAGTGTGGTGGAGAAGGGAGAATAGTTTGTGGCTCGCCAAAATCGGGGTCGAGCTGGTTAGGATGATGACAGAATTAGTGAGCAGCGGCGGTGGGGTCCAAGTCTGTCTAGTCGAGCTGCTTAGCGGTCCCACGTCTCACACACAAAGATAGACTCTCCAGAGGATCTAACCTACTGCGAGTCCACACCACGCTTCCGTCTACCTGTAAGATGGGACAAGAGGGTCTATATCTGTCCAGAGTATGAGCTCAATCGACAAAAAACACAGTAGGTGCTCGCTCAAAAAGCACGTCACCGTCGAAAGCGGTCGTCGCCGCCGATTAGTGTGCAGGCATGATACCGCCGGCCTGAGTGAGGCATTATAGACGCAAGTCTTGTGGTGAGGATGTATGAGCATGTCTATGTATCTGTGTATCCATGCTTGAAAGTGACTGATGGGACCTCATTCAACAAAAGATGCAAAGGTGATCGACTCCTAACAGTAAAGTGTTGCATCGAGGCCCGACAGCTGCCACCATCCCTGATTCAAAAGTGCCACATCGACGACCCACCCCTCCCTTCAGTCGGCGTTATGAGAAATCGCCGTGGACCCAAAAATCCCTAACCGTTGAATTTCGACGTCCCAGTCCAGTCCATAGACTTTTGATTGAAAGGTGATATAGCTACATCAAGTGGTGAGCTGCTCTTCTTCACTCTCACTCCCTCTTTGAGTCTAGCTCACACAATTCCAGCTCCAGTCGACAGGAAGAGATATCACACGCTCGGCTCAATTCAACAATATGTGAGTTTGAATCGATACTTGACCTCTCAAACGAGTGACGACTGACCATCCACAGGGCTCACGCAAACGTTTGGTTCTCTCGGTGAGTAGAAGCTTGGTATTGGTTGTGAGGGGATTGTGTGATCTGGCGGGTGAGAAGGGCGGATGGAATCTGAGGAATAGGAAGTAGTTGGGCAAGACCGGAAGGGGATGTTGAAGAAGCGCAGGTGGACTGGGGGACAGCCGGAAGCGTAATGGAATGTCATGCTAGGGAGGCTGCATCACGGCACCTGCGTGCCTGTAGCTCAGTATGCGAAGGAAGGAGGAAGGAAGGATGAAGGATCTTGGATGGAAGGATGTCGGATACTCGGACTCTCATATTGGCAAGCCGATGAACATCACCACTGATCTCTTGTCTAGTCCCCGAGAGTACGGCAAAGGATCTCGACAATGCCGTGTCTGCTCTCACCGAGCTGGTCTCATCAGGTGAGTTGTCATTCCATCCATCAAGGATTTGGCATTTTAGCTGACGACGTCGGTATAGGAAATGGTATGTCGCATTGCTCATCACCACTTCTCTTTCTTCTTTCTTTTCATCTGCCACCACCACACATCGCCACTTGAATCCACACTGATATCCATTCCACAGGGGCCTCGACATGTGCCGTCAATGCTTCCGTGAAAAGGTCAGTGTCTTGCAGTACGACGGTAGGATCTAGCTGACAGTCCTTTTAGTCCGCCGCTATGGGATTCACCAAGGTCAGCTGAGCAGACGACTGGCGGCGTAATAAGCTGCATACTGACTTGAGCTATAGAACAACTAAACATCTGTATGTTTTGGTCTGGAGGAGTCTCGAGCGCATCGGATGGGATGGGGATGGATGTGATCCCCTTTTTTCGAGCATAAGAGGAAGATTGTGGTGATTTATTCACAAATCCTCCTTTTCATTTGTAGATAGATGTAGCCATGGTATGACATTGCTGCTCTATTTGATTCAACATCTCCCTGTGCGCATGACTGTGCCGCCTCCTTCTCGCGCTCTCTCTCTCTCTCTCTCTCTCGCCATGCTTGCTCAGCCGCCCCCTCTTCTCTTCTCCTATCGATGTCTACGCTGCAGGACCATGCCACACGAAAAAATTCTGCCACATTTTCCAGTGTCCCAAATTTCGTTTTCCAACCACCTGAGTCTCTCTCCAGTTATCGACACTCTTTCATTGACAGCAGCAGATACAGCGACAGCAACAGCAGCAAACAGTGCAGCGTCTTGTAACAGCGTACACAAGCAAAGCATTAGAGTGGTCAATTGTTGTACTGTACGAAGTCTCAAGTGTACGGCTCATCGATAACCCCCTATCTATCTCTCTCTCTCGGTTAAGTAAAAGGGTCGAAATTTTGGGTCGAGGTATAGATTGGAAAAGCATAGGTGAGAGAACATGTCGGCTCAGAGAGACTCTTTGGGAGGACGATGGGGCTAACGTTGTGTACTCGCCTCCCGCGGATCATCCATTCTTCCTCCCCATCTATCCTCTCGCTCGATCCATCGTCCTGTCATTTCCAAATGACCTACCCCATGCCTCCTTTTATGTCGACATTCCTAACGTCTCGTCTCGGTCTCAACAAACTTCACGCTCGCAGATCGTAAAAGACTTTCACTCAACAGTTCTCAGCAACCGGGTCTTCAAACGTCAGAGCGGATCTCGAGGATACAGTGAGTGCTCTGCCTCTGTGACCGGGGACTTTTTCTCTTTTTGCGCTTGTCGACTCCTCTTCTCTCGAGCACCACCATCCATTCACCAAACCAATCGCACTGTCTACTTCGATGCTTCTCCTCCACCATACCCCCCGGACTGATCCTCCTTTCATGCTCTTTTCCTTTCGATGCCCGAACGAGATTTCTCTCTCCCATTCGCTAGCAATTGCTGACCCCCAATCCCATTCAGTAGCATATCCTCTTGATTCTTGGTTCTGATCCTCTTGTATTCCCATCCTACCATGACGTCCGCTACGGCTACGCCATTGTCTCATACCCCTGGACAAGGGCAAGGGTTGAATGCGACCAAGTCTGATCCTGAAGTTGGGAAACGACTCAATGGGGAGAAACCTTCGTCGAACGGTGTCGGAGGACATGAAGCCTTAGATTTGGCAAAGACCGTGAGTTGGAGGGTTCAGAACCCTCACGAGTTCGAATGGCTGATGAGGTTCACCATTCTTCAGTCCGAAGCATACTCTAAGCAGTCTACCGAGGTGAGTGACCTGGTTCGCCTAGTGCAGTGCAAATCGCTTACACGCAAACTATTCCCCCTCTTCAGCGCGTCGAGTCAGTCAGAGCAGAGCATGAACGTCAACGGACCGACCGACGAGCTCGATTTGAAGAATCCATGCGACAACTGGAAGCGGATCATCTAATTGAGGAAAAGACATTCGGAGGGACCTTGCCCCGGTCAGCTGGTGGACCCAACAGTCAAAAATCAATCACCACCTCCCCTACCAATGGCAATACTACGTCGGCTCCCACCACGCCACCTGGACGACCGACGGGCGGAACCGGACCTGTTCCCAGTGCTGATCTTCCTGCGCCGATCGGTCAAGGCCGAGAGATGGCGAACGGAGCAAAGAGTATGCCTGCATCGAGGAGAGCCTCTGGATTTGGACCTACCTTTGGGATGGAGAAATTGAGCTTGAGCGTTATGGAACCTGCTCATTCCAAGAATTGGGACGATGATGAGGTGGATACCGAGGGTGCTCAGAGTAGGTCACTCCACCTCATATTTTTACGGAAAGACACTTGGTTGACCGTGTTTGAAAGATTCTGTCAAGTATCTCGGTATGGGAGATGATGACCCTTTCCCCGCCATGTCAAAGAAGGATCCCAAGGTGAGTTCTCAGGATCATTAATTTGATCCCAGTTCACCTACGATCTCGCAGATCTCCGCTGCCTCTGCCGCACTGGACCTTGCTGCTCTTTCTCAAACCCCTCCTCGAGCATATGGGTCCCGACCATTCGAGACCTCTCTCAAGACGTCTGACTGGCCCTCTTTCCCTTCGTCCGGAACCAATGCCAACGCCTCGGGTCAGATCACGTCCCCTCACCCTCATTCATCCCGTGTGGAGGACAGCATCCTTGGAACGTCTCGCAAGACTTCACCTACGACAGGGACTGGCAGTGGAGCGGGAGTCGGCATGGCTGATTCAGTCGCATCCCTCCCTGCCATTCCCTCGAAATCTGTCCCTGGAACCCCGTTCGGCCTTGCCCATGCCAACTCTGGCGGTATGGGCGGAGGAGCTGGAGCTCAAGGAGGAGGCGTCCGGAGGAGCGAGACGAGCCCAAGTATCAATGAGGGGTTGACTCAGGCTCAGAGGGGATTCTCTAATCCAGATTTGGCAAAGTCATTTGGAAGAGCAGGAGGAGGCTACGACCAGCCTAGAGTGAGTCATGCGGGCTCCGTGGGGGCCGTCTCGACCCTGATAATTAACACGCTTGCTCCCCAGGCATACTCTGGCGACCCGCTCTATTCGTCCATGTTCGCGCCGGTCTCTGCGCCTCTGCCACCCACCGCTGCCGTTGCCGCTGCATTCCAACCACAAGGAGGCTACGAATCGTACGGATTTGAGGACGATGGATACGGTTCGGGCGCTCTCTACCCGGGAGCTATGGGTCTGAAGAGCAAACGAGCTGATGCCGAGAGGGAGTGTGAGTGTATCCACGCGCGCGCACCGGGTTGTCCTTGGTGTTAACCCTTTTCCCGTAGTCAACCGATTCTCTGGCGTCCGTCTCGAAGACCTCCAAGGCGAGATTTTGAACCTGTGCAAAGATCAACATGGATGTCGTTACCTCCAGAAGAAGCTTGAAGAAGGGGATTCGACACACCGCGATATGATCTTCCGAGAGACTTTTGGACATTTCCCAGAATTGATGACGGATCCCTTTGGAAACTATCTCTGTCAAAAGCTTTTGGAATTCTCGACCGAAGAGCAATGTTCGACTATCATTGATTCCGTCGCCAATGATCTCGTACAGATCAGTTTGAACATGCACGGGACGAGAGCTGTTCAGAAAATGGTCGATTTCTTGGCTGTCCCACGACAACAGAAACAGATCAGGACGTTGATCTACGCGTTGAGTATGAACGTCGTGGCGCTCATCAAGGACCTCAATGGGAACCACGTGAGTGTGTGCAGCGTCAAGCGCCAGCTGCGCCTACGTATTCAGCGTAGATCAGCAGGATGGCACTACTAGCCTTACACAGAGTGGCTCGTCGCTGACGCTCTTCGCTCCGGTTTCCCCTTTCAGGTAATTCAAAAATGCCTCAACAAGCTCATCCCTGAAGACAATCAATTCATCTACAACGCTATCGCTGCCAACCTCATTGAAGTCGCTACGCATCGTCATGGTTGCTGTGTTCTTCAGCGATCCATCGATCACGCTTCACCTGCTCAACGCGTCCAACTTGTTACCGAGATCATCTTCAATTCCCTCTTCCTCGTCCAAGATCCTTTTGGGTGAGTGCAGCGGAGAGATAGGTCCATCATCTGACTGTGGATCCCTCTCAGCAACTATGTCATCCAGTACATTCTCGACTTGAACGACGCTCGATTCTCCGAACCGCTCATCAGGACATTTATCGGAAACGTTTGCTCGTTGTCTGTGCAAAAGTAAGTCGACAGCGGGGGACAAAAGTGTGGCATACTCATTCCTGGCCCCCTTTTTTAGATTCTCCTCCAATGTTGTCGAAAAGTGCATCCGTGTGGCTGATCCGGAAGTCCGCAAAACGCTCGTCTCTGAAGTCCTGCACCGATCTCGGCTGGAGAAACTTCTTCGGGACAGTTACGGTAACTACGTGATCCAGACCATTCTAGACTACTGTGAAGTGACCCAGCGAATGCAGGTGAGTAAGGAAGGGAAGGGGCGACGTGCCCTCTGTGCTGATTCGTCCTGCAGCTCATTGAGGCGATCCGACCTATCCTCCCGTCTATCCGAAACACCCCCTACGGCAAGCGAATTCAGTCCAAACTTGCGAGGGAAGATGCCTCGTTTGCACAGTACGGAGGTGGAGGAGGTGGCGGTGGCGGCTATGGTGGTGGTCGTGGTGGGTACCGTGGTGGAGCTGGAGGTGGTGCGGGCGGCGGTGGAGGCGGCAATTACCAGCGACATCTTGGTCGTCCTCAACTTCAACATATCAACGCTTTGACTGAAGTTTATGGATCTCAAGGACCTTTTGTTCCTCACAACCAACACAACCCAGCCTTCATGCCTGGTCCACCAGGTCATCATCATCCTCACCATCCACACCAACACATGGTCGGTGGTGTAGGCGCTGGGGCCGGGGGTGGAGTACAAAGTTACAGGGATCCAATGGGAGGAGCCGGAGGAGCTGGGGGCGGACCGACCCACACTGGCGTCGCGTATCATGCGCCTGGACCTGATGGTCAACCTTGGCTTCATCTTCGTGGACCGGGTCCTCAAGGTGGTCCAGCCCCTAATTGGAATATCGGAAACCAATCTGGACCAATTCAAGGTCAAGGACCAGAAGGTGGGCCAATGGGGATGGACGGAATCAACGGAATGATGGGTATGAATGGACATGCCCTCTCGCCGAATGGCACGGGGTCAGGTGTCGTCGATGTGTCTGCTGAGGGTATCAACGCCGCTGCGACCCTTGGACACCCTGGTATGTGGAGCCATGATGGAGGTTACATGCAATTTGGAAACCCTCAACAACAGCTGCAGCAACAACAACAGCAACAGCAGCAACAACAGCAACAGCAACAGCAGCATGGAGTCCCAATGATGTGATGTGATGTGATGGAGAGTCGATCATGACGATGACAACGAAGACGACAACGACGACGGTTTTTTTATAAAAAAAATGCCATTGGAAGCCGGAAAACCAATCAACCAACCATCTCTAATCCGATCTCAGTAGTCTGCTTCATCCCCAAACCCCTTGCTCTCGACAATCTCTGTACATTGTCTTTTTGGAAAAACTCTCTTCTGTCCATGTTCGCCAGGACTCACTGATTGGTCATATACATCACATCACATTTTTGCTCTGGAAAAGAAGTTTCAATCGTTGTTGGTATCATCGCTTCACCCCTTTTTTTATCGTGTTCAAAGAACCAACAAACTTTCATCGTTCCCCCTCCCGTCCAGAATGTATCGCCGACATGGCTTCTACATCAGGTATACGACATACAACCCGTTTGCAACTCGATCCTCTCTCTCTCAGCCCCGTATGTTTCCCGGCGGTCTCTACGTTTACCTCGTTGCTCGCTCTTCGCTCGTTGCTCAAGGACTTCGATCTGATTCCACATCTTGGACCGACACTCGATTTTTTTGACGACGAAACGTCGAAGGCCGAGAGCATGGAGGAGTAGCTCACCGGTCGTGCTGGTACTGCTCTGAATTGTCGGAGGAATGGCGTGGGACAGGTCACTTTTTTACTTCTTTCCTTCTTTCTTTCTCCTCTCTTTTGGATAGCATTAACCCTTTCACTAAGTATACCCGTTTCGCAACTCAGCAACTCAATCTAAACCCCCTTTACCCTTGTTCAAAACAAATCAAGAAATGTATGTAGCAGTTTTGTGAATTCGATCGCAAGGCCGTCAGTCAGCGTAGACGGATGAAACGTCCTGCCATTCCCCCTCATCATCGATAACACTCACGTACGGTGCCACAGAGTTCGTTCATCTGCCGGTGTTGGTTCTGAGTGTTCATATCCTCACTCTCCGGTAGCTGAGGACGCATCAGACAAGTGTGCGGTCCACACTCATGCTGTCTGTCTGTCTGTCTGTCTGTCTGTCTGTCTGTCTGTCTGTCCAGACACCCTGTTCCCATTTCATCTCATATGGTATGAGATGAATGAAGCCCTCCCCTAACTGCTGCCACATTCCCCCGCCGTCATCGCGCGTCGCGTGGGACAATTATTTTTTGATTCCGTCGGTGACCTGCTGCTGCCCCTGCCCCCTTTCCGCTTCAACTCTCATTCTTCATCATCTTCAACTGCACTCCTCGCGCCGCCTTCAAGCCAAATCACTGGAGGAAAATAGTAGCTGGGCTCATCATACCAAGAACCCGATTGGTCCACTCCTCCGTGACTCTGCTTGGAAACAACGTCAAAGCCTCTCTTGACACCTACTCCCACTCATCAAACGCGCTTCAACGCTCGGCCGTCATTTCATCGGGACTTGGTCTCTCGCTCGCTCTCTCTCACCAAAGGGGGTTTAGATAGATAGTACGGGCGACTCTTCCTCATCTTCTTAAGAGCACCCAAGTCAAAAGGTCGACATATACAACTGCTCATTCATCGATCTCCTACCTCCCAGTGGGCATCGATCCCTCGTCGTAAGTCTTTAAAACCCGCCGCCCGCAGCTTCTTTGTCCATGATCCATGTGATTGTTCGAGATGATGACTTTGCCGCCGCTTTGGCTTGGTCATCGAGATCCATCAGAGATTCCCGACCTATCGCTACTGAATCCCGACAGTGCTGATCTGCTCTTGCAGCCTTTCAACCCTCTCACTCACACCGGAAACCCCCAGCCCCCACCCCCATACACACACCATGGCATCCACTAGGAATATCAAATGTGGGTCCTTGCCGACGGCTTATCGTTAGAATCATTGCTGACCTAGACGTCTTTCCCCTTCCGCCACCACGTCATTGTACCCACATCTGTCCACCTCATCGCCCTTTCGCCCATCCTCTCGTGTCACTCTGTCTCCCCATGGACCCGTGTCCCAACTCGCAGGCGTGGTAGTAGGCGATGGTGCCGTTGGAAAGGTATGTCAGCCTCTGACTCTACACCTCTCCGAGGAATCCAATTAAACCCTCTTACCTAGACATGTCTCCTCATATCCTACACCACCAACGCCTTTCCAGGCGAATACGTCCCTACAGTCTTTGACAATTATTCCTCTCAAGTCATCGTTGATGGAATGACAGTCTCCCTAGGATTATGGGATACAGCCGGACAGGAAGATTACGAGTGAGTCAGGGACAATGGTGTGACGACTCGAGCCGGACCCCCCGTGCTGATGATTCGGCGCAATCTTCCAGTCGTCTTCGACCGTTGAGCTATCCCCAAACAGATGTCTTTCTCTTGTGTTTCTCCACCGTCTCTCCACCAAGTTTTGAGAACATTCGCACAAAGGTGGGTCGATAGGCTCCAGAACACCGACAGCTACATGCTCACCCCTTGGCTAGTGGTGGCCCGAAATCCAACATCATTGTAAGCTTCACGTGTGCCACCGGCCAAGCTCCCACTCACTCGTCGATAGCCCCTGGGACCCCCATCCTCCTCATTGGAACCAAGTTGGACCTGAGAGAAGACCCAATGTCTATCGAGAGGCTGCGGGAGCGTCGACAGGCTCCGATTCAGTACTCACAGGTGAGTGCGAAAGAGAGAGGGAGGGAGGGAGAGGGAGAGGCGAAGCACTGCTAAATTTATTGGAAGGGCTCTGCAATGGCAAATGACATTAAAGCGGCCAAGGTAAGTGAAAGTATTCATCCTGTAATCGATGAGTTCCAGCTGACCAGACTTTGGCAGTACCTCGAGTGCTCCGCTTTGACGCAAAAGGGTCTCAAAACAGTATTCGATGAGGCGATTCGTACTGTCCGTGAGTCGCCACTTCGTCCCACACAGGAGACGCCGACTGATGCGGCTGTCTTAGTCAATCCCAACAGACGCGCTGGCAAGGCCAAAAAGTCGTCTGGATGCGTGCTCATGTAGTTTGCGATGGGAAGAACCAACACTTCTGGCTGCTCATGTCTTTTACCACGAAATTTCAACGTCTCCCTACGCACGACCTCCATTTCGCCAAGCACGCATCGCACATACTATGTCTTCGCTTTCAGCAGCATGTCTCGTCGGTCCAATGTAGCCTCCTAGATTGCACCACGAAACAATTCTCCATATTTATTAGACTATCCCTCCTGTTTAGACTCCCTGCCCCGATTCATCATTTTGTTCTCCTATCCTCATGTTATATACGTCTCTTTCTCTGTGAGCCATATACGCCGTCGATCGCATGTATACAATATCGAATGAGACGACGTGCGTCAGGCGAATCTGGACGCCCAGCTTTGGAGATCCATGCAGATGCAAAGATTAGAGACTATGAAACAAGGTCATGTGCAGTGGGGCTTCCAGGCGTTGCAAGGTCTCCTTTCCTATTATATACTTTGTTGAGTGTATCCTCCCAGCGCCCCATCATTGCCTTGTCCTTCTTCTTCGTCTCCTCTTGGTTCCAGCGATTGCATCATGCCCATTGCTTTGACGAGAAACGGTTTGAGCTCGGATAATTCCAGCGGGGTGAGATTGGTGACCTGGCAAGAGCGAGGTGTGTGTGTCAATATAGGTTTGTCTTTGTAGGGTTTCGCACAGATCTGCAAGGGAAAGACGAAGAGTACAAGGAACGGAATTGTGGCCCGGGCCACATTCACACACCTGTAAATAGCTTCCCCTCATCACACCTTCACTCTGTAAACCCAGTCGGATCTTTGCCTGACGAACCTCCCGCAAATCTTTGAGCAGTGATCGTAACATGGTGGGAGAATAAAGATCGTCCGAAGCCCTAAAGGACAGTATGCTGTCAATGAAACGACAGACTATTTGGAAAATTAGACCTTGCGCACAGATCCAAGAGGACTTTGGACGTTTCTATGAATCGCCTTGGGAGGGGTTCGAACCCTTCTGCGTTTTCTTTCTCGTCTTTGAGTAGGGCTTGTAAGCGATCTATACGGCGAGTGATACCGAGCAGAGGGAGGTAGGGGCGAGTGTCAGGTCGTGTCAGGCAATGCCATCCGCAACCATTCATCGCAGGTTCAGAAGACGAGGTGGCATGGAGAGACACGAAGGGGGCGTGCGTTGAGCGAAGGGAGGAAAGACGAGTATTGTGATGTCCAGGTAGGGGTCAGAGATAGATAGATAGCGGCGTCGAAAAGTCAGATATGGAGGATAGAGGACAAGAAGAAAGAAAAGAGTTCGTCAGTACTTGAATGCTCTTCGCCGTCCGATCGACGTTGGTTGCGAACACTCACCCGCGCTCATCCATTCTGGTGGAACGATCCTACACTTTCTTTTTTTCTTCAGAGACAGAGCCAACCATAGAGGAACAGTTGTCGCGGAGGGCGGTTGGAATGGTCCATAGATCCCCTGAAAAGCCAGCAATTGGGTCCATGTCAGCGCGTGGATGATCACCACCCTAAGGGAAGCTCCAAGCTCCTCTAAACTCACACTCAATAATCTAACTCTCGTCATCGAGAACAGAGGCACGATCTGGACCCTATCCTCCTCCGCTAGGAATGTCAATTCATCCGGTGTCAATGTGGCCACCAAGCTCTTTGGCAGAGCCATGTCGATAAGCCTCCCAAGCTCTCTGGGGGTTGGTATTATGACCTGCTCGTCATTGCTTGCTTGCTCAATCTGTTGGTTGAATGGTCTGCTCTCACACGTCTCATCGTCCCTTGAATCCCACAACCCGAGTCGCGTCGCGGAATCAAATTTTTCAGGACTCTCTTGGGGGGGCGAAAACGGGCTGAGATTGGTGGAATTGTCACACCTACACACTCCCTCGACATACATCGTCTTGACTCTGCTATAGACGCTCTTGGACTGGAAAGTCTGCGTACAGGCTGTACAGAGGACTTTGAAGCCAATCTTGAAAGGTCAAACTTACTGGCGAAGCTTGGCTGCATCTCGAGCTACATTTTGGGCCGTTTCCTCTCTGACAAGGATCTGTTCAACAACGTCTCGATATCGTTCAATCTCTGGCCGCCTTATCTGACTTGTTGGACCTCATTCGAGTGTGAACTCCAAGCCACAGGCTGGCCTCCTCCGGTCTAAGACCACCCGCTCGACACTACATCCGAAGATTTCTCCACCATGCTCAGAGAAGTCAAATTGAAAGATGATGAGCTTCCAACGGCGAATGGGAGACCCAATACGCTGTATGGTGAGTCATTGCTGTCGAGAAGATCTGAGGCCATGCGTGTACACGCGCGGCAGCACTTACTCTCTCTATGCCTGCCGATTATCGATACCAATACTGATCGACTTGAACCGTTTAGGCGTCCCGACACGTATATGGGTCGCTTTAGGTGCTTGTCTTGGGTTCTTTGCTCTTACAAGGCTGGTATCATGTGAGTTTAGACTTCATCTCAATGTACCCGCCACCACCCCCAGTCTACTGTTCACCTCATCCCTCATTTGCTTGCCTGCTTGACCCTGCACTCCTCTCATATAGCTCTGCTTATGCCTCACAACAGCCTCAGCCGATCCAACAGCGATCTATTCCCGTCATCAACTCTTGTCACCGTTGGACTACCTCAATGCGTCAGCATCCGACCCTGCGCCATTCGATTTCTGCCCGGTTTTCGGACCAGGAGACGAAATCGCTCAGAGAAGAGGACAATGGGGATTATTGAGGAGTCGATTACATACGGGAAGCGGGGCTAGAGTCCAGCGAGTCGTTCAGAAGGCTATGGCGGGGCTACCAGTCACGATCTCGGTCTTAGGAGGATCAGGTGAGTGCGAAGCCCTTCCAGTGATGTCGTCACACACAGCCTCAGGCGTATAACCTATTCTATAATGGAATATTATGCTAAATCGTCTGCAAATAGTATCCGCGTGCCACGGTGCCGGCGACGACCCCGTCGCATCTCGTTGTTACCCCGCGAGATTTTTCGAGTGGTGGAATTCAATCTTCCCTCATCCCGAATCTGAGCTCACCAACGGAGCGTCAAGACGGACAGATTCGGCTTACTTCGCTTACTGCTCAATGCACCATCTGCCAGATCACACCGATTTGATCATTCTCGAGTTTGACGCATCAGACCCAAAGTGAGTCGACCAAGATTTTAATGGCCGAAAGCTCATATGGAGCATCAGCGACCCGCAATGGCTCTCCCACTTTGAACTCCTCGTGCGATCCCTCCTCGTCCGACCTGATGAGCCCGCCGTCATCATCCTGGGCCACTTCTCACCCCAGATTCAAGCTCAGAACGGATTCGCTGGACCTGAGCTGCTGCACACTGTCGTGGCTCAATTCTACGACGTCCCACATATCAGGTCAGTCTGAAGTTTGACCCTTGACGCGGCACCCGCTGATGACTTTGCCCAGTGCCAAAGGACTTCTCTACAACGACTACGTCGCTACACCGGAAGATGTCCGCAAGCAGTTCTTCACGGACCCCATATTGGCCAACCCTGAAGGTCATCAACTCATCGCCGACGTGATCATTTCCTATATTCAGAGTCAGATCTGTGCCGGATGGGCAGCGACGATGGGACACGCCTTTGACGTACCATACATGGGTGCTCCATCCGAAATCGACGCCTTGGACCCGCAAGGTGTAAGCTCTGAGGAGGACCTGGCATCAGAAGGTGGAGGCCTAGCTGCGAAGATGCGAGCGACTAGTGTGCCCAAGTCGATGTTATCGGATCGACCTTCAGACATACTACGATTCAGAGAAGTCGCACCGTTCTGCGTCAGCGCAAATGATCTTATCAACCCTCTTCCTCCATCTCATTTCTTTGGAAGCGGTTGGTTGGCTCATAATCCGACAAAGGCCAAGAGTCGAGAAGAGAGACATTATTGGTATGCCGATATTGGTGGTAGCAAGATGCGAGTTCCGATCAAGTTGAGCGCCGGCGACGTGGCTATATACTACCTTCAGTGAGTCGTCGACTCGTGCCGAGCGACGGCGAGATCAATGACATGACTGACCCGATTCCTTCAGGAACCCCGAAGACCACCCCTTGGGCCGTGCAGCATGTTGGGTCGACGACAATTATGGTGGAGCCGTCGAATTGACGGGGACAGCCGACGTGCACGATGTGACGCCGACGTGAGTCATACATAATGTGCTCATATCTGGGGCCTGCCTGCTCACACATCGCTTAGCTTGACACTCATCGATGAAGGCGTTGCGGCGGGTGATCACTATGTGAGTCCCGGGACGTTTTATCCGTCCTGGTATCTGTTTCTGACCAATTTGATCAGGTCGAATGCACCCTGCTCGGACCTGACGGTGTCAAGACGGACGAATTCAGGATGTTGGGAGTGTGAGTGTTTCTGAAGTGGTACTCGATCGGCCCTTTGCTGAATCGCTCGCGCAGATTTGGAACCTAAGATCGGAGGCTTGACAGGCCTGGCTGGACGATCTTTTGGCATGAGCGCTTCTACAATCATCCATTTGTGTGTTCCGAAGAATTTCTTTACTCTTTTGGGATTGCTTCCACAACTGCATGCATAGATAGACATTGATCGTCGTCAGCGTTCCCTTGACGAGGTGCTCGACTGTGCTGTTTGATTCGTTGCATGCTATCTGACAAAGCATATGTACATGGTGTCTGTGCGTGTCAAACTCCTCCCTCCTATGCCTTACGCATCGTTTCTTCCTTGCCCGGAATGACTCTAAGCCGGCGCAGCGATGATAGGATTGGGAACTTCCACTTCTGCCTTTTCGGGCGCCCTGCTTAGATCCGCAATGGGGTCAGAAGCTGACAAGTCCAATTGATGGACTCCATCAGCATCAATGAGAATGCAATTAAAGTTGAATTGGACGACGATCCCTGAGAGGCAAGAGGCAATGGATATCAGCCGATGCCTCTTTGACTCTGGTAGTGTTGGCAGCTCGAGGACTCACTTGACTGCACCTCGTTGATACATTTTCTCAACAACTCCACTCCTTTCTCTTTTGGCATTCCTTCAAACCACCATTTGTCCATCGTACTGAGGGCGACGTACATTCCAAACCCGTGTGCAGCGTAGGGAATATCAGCTTTGGTACCTAGGTAATCGATCCAATAGAGATGAGGAAGGGAAGTGGTCGTGTCGAACCTGTATATTGCGAGCCGAGATCGCGGACCGCCGGACGAAGGGGGATGTTCAGCAGGGATGGACGAGGCATAGGCGAGGTGTGCACAATCGAAAGGGGGAATGAGGCGTACGTCAAATCGGTGGGTGGACGACATCGTGTGCGCGATCCGGTTGGAGTTGAAGGAGTGAATCCGGTGACGAAAAAAAGGTGCGAGAGGCAAGGAGGATTATTAGCGTCAGCATCTTGGAAGCGCTTTCAACCCCCTTGTCTCGCTCACCCTCCTAGCAGCAGATTGACAGCGTAAGGTTTCCGTGACCGGAGAGATTGGGCCAGTTGTCTTCTGATCCAAGCTGACGCCGCGGGAGGGAGGAGAGCATTGTGGTTTCTAAAGGATGGTAGGGATGGTCAGTGATCGATGTCACGGCAATTGAGGAGCCAGCAAGAAAGCGAGATCAGGCTCCAGAAATGGTTCGCCATTGTTCCATCGGTCCATCGGTCGCTCGCTCGCTCGCTCACTGCCCTTGCCATGCTGCGGACCCACCTGATATGATACAACCGCATATTCCTCTCAACGTAATCTGTGAATTGCTCGGTATCGCCCGTCTCTCCACCATACGCCATGGCGAGATGAGGTCCCAAAGCTCGAATTTTATTCTCATCCGACTTCATCTTGATGATCCCTCGTCCGGCGTTCATATCCGAGGCGAGAATGACAAAGTCTTTGCCTAAGAACGGAGAAACGATCGTCAGCTTTAGACCTTCCTCCCCCCCTCGATGCGCCAAGGGCAGAGCGAGCTTTCCACAGGTTCATCAAGAGAAGATGAAGCTTACCGGTGATTCCGAATGAGCAGTCTCCCATCGTGGATATGATCTCCTCTGTCGCTATTGCTCGTTCGTCAGATTCTCAGTGCTCGCCAGAGGTGATCAATGATAATAATCATCTCGGATGATACATCCCAACGCGCAAGCTGAGGCGAGGTGTCATAGGCGCGCCAGCGATGTCATGTCACGTGAGAGCAAAATAGGCGTAACTTAACCCGACCGTCCCGAGATTCCTCGCTGGCACTCGACCTCAGTCTTGACATCCCCCTCAGTGACTCCGTGGACGACGTGGAGGACGTAGAGGGCGACACAAGCTCAAGGAAAAGCGGATCCAGTCCCAAGAAGAAGAAGGCGACCAGAAGCTGCGGATATTCTCACCATCCCAGGCTAGACCGCTCCCTCAACATGTCGGCCACAATGTTCAGTTCGACGGACCTTCAACCAGTCACGCTGGTCTTGCAAGAGATCCAGACCGTGACCTCATCTATGCGCCGAAATCAAAGATGGGCCTCATCATCGAGCTCATTCGCGACTTCGGCCGCACCTCTGCCTCCGTCGTTGCGCCGAGGAAGGAGCTCCTCAGCTGCTAGTTTTTCTCGGAAAAAGGGCGGCGGTCGAGCCAGCTTGGACAATCAAGAAGGAGATCTCATGGATGGGTTTGTAGAGCTCAGGAGGAACATGTCAGGTGTGAAAGGTAAATTGTCATCTCCTCTCTCGGTCGGTCGGTCGCAGTGATTGAGCTTATACGAACGATCAGATATCACATCTATCAACCCCCTGGATGTGGTCACCCCATTCTTGTCCCTGATCAGATCACCTCTTACCTCTGGACCCATCACTTCTTTAGCTTTGACTTCTCTCAACTCTCTCATCACATCCATACTACCACTATTCTTCGACGCGCCTCCATCAACCATCACGCCATCCACTTCCCTTCAGATCTGTCTGGCATACATCACTTCGACACTGTCTCAATGTAGATTTCCATCTTCCTCACCTCAATCCGATGAACTCGTTCTCTTAAGACTACTTCGAGTGATTGAATCGCTCTGCGCACCTCTCGTACTCCCCTCCACTTCATCCGCGTTCCATCTGACTCTTCTCGACCATATGGGCGACGAAAGCGTTTGCGAATTACTCGAAGTTGGACTTGGAATGTTGGCCCGCGCTAGATTGAGTGACGGTCTGAGGAATGCAGCTCAGAGCTGTGTTCAGACCTTGACTAGGACAGTCTTCATGCGCTTGAAACATCTGGCACCGGAGCAAGTGGACGAATTGTTACGCGCTGCGAAACAGCTGGAAGATGAAAAGGTCGAGCGACAGAAGGAGAGGAGACGGCTGAAAGCAGAGAAGAGGAAGCAGGCGGAGGAAGAGGGAGCCCGTGATGGTGGACAGGATGGAAAGGTTGCTGTCGAAAAGCCCGGCAAGAGGCCAGGAGAAATGCGAGACATTGGTCAGGAGGCGAACGAGGAGCAAGCTTCAGATTCGGAGGGCGAGTCACAGACGTTTAGACTCGTCAATGTTTGACTGACACACGATGCTCAGATTCAGAATCCCCTCTGCTCTACACTCCTTACGGGCTGCCAACAGTCCTTGAGCTTTTGCGAGTCCTCATTGCTTTGCTGGATCCCTCTGATCAAGCACATACCGACTCCATGCGGCTCTCAGCGCTCGCCATCCTAAACACGGCTCTCGAAGTTGGAGGGACAAGTCTTGGGAAATGGCCAGAGCTGAGAGAGGGTGTCAGGGATGAAGGATGTCGTTACCTATTCCAAGTGAGAGCTGACCATCAATACGACGAATGTTGAGTCACTGACTGCGACACTCAGCTCACGCGATCCGACTCCCCTTCACTTCTCGCTCAATCCCTTCGTACGACTTCGACCCTCTTTTCGACGCTCTCGCCACATCTCAAGCTGCAACTCGAACTCTTCCTCTCTTATGTCATTGACAGATTGGCGTCCTCTCAGCAGTCTACTGGCCCGCTGAATCTCAACCCTCCGAATGCGATTTCAAGACCAGCATCCCCAGCCATCGCAGCCAACACCACTGACGGTGACGAGAAGAAAGGTCCTACCATCGGAACCGCTCCGAATACAGGTCCATCCACCCCAAGACCCCTCACTCTGTTACCTCCAGTCCCAGCTGAATCCAGAGAATTGATCTTGGAGACCTTGACACAGATCGCCTTACGACCTAGCTTTATGGTGGATTGTTGGATCAACTATGATTGTTCAACGGACAGTGAGGACATCTTTGAGCGTCTAATCGATTTCTTAACAAGGGTAAGTTTGTCGAGCCTTCGGCCGGTCCAGGAGACTGATTGGTTTGCAGGGAGTGTACCCTGCTGGACCGCCCAAGCAGGACGGTTCCACACCCCTGTTCGACGGTCTTGATAGTGCTCAGCTATTATGTCTCGAGACCCTGCTCTCTTTCGTCAGTGCTATGGCGAGTAGGTTGGAAGAAGGGGATGAAAAATGGTCAAGGGTGAGTGGGCAGGTCTTTTGTCGTGATTCGGCTCGCTGACTCGCTCAGTCATACCCAACTATCGAATCGCTCAACTCTGGCAAAGCGCGAAAGGCGGTATTCCTCGCTGGTGCCGCGGCTTTCAACACGAAACCCAGGCAGGGAATCGCGTATCTCGAGGAGAAAGGGGTCATTGCACCCGACGACAAGGACGAGGGCACCCCAGAGCAAAAACGGACAAAGGCGATCGCCCGGTTCCTCAAGCAGTCATCGAGGTTGGATAAAAAGTTATTGGGAGATTACATTTCGAGACCAGATCAAATCGAGCTGTTGACGGCTTTCATTAAATTGTTCGACTTCCGCGGGGTGAGTCGTTCTGACACTTCATCGCGAGGCCACCCGCTTATCAAACCCATAGAAATCTGTCGCAGATGCCATGCGAGAGCTACTAGAGACGTTTAGATTACCTGGCGAAGCTCAGCCCATTGCTAGAATCACCGAAGTCTTTGCAGAACATTTCTTCTCATTCAAACCTCGTTAGTCGCTCTCTTTTTCGACCAGTTTGTGCTCATATCCGATCCAGCGGGCATCGCGGACCAAGATGCCATCTATGTCTTGGCTTACTCGGTCATCATGCTCAACACTGATCTCCACAACCCCCAGAATAGGGTGAGTCGTCCAGACGGTAGACAGTTCTCACCGAGCGCAGAAACGGATGACCATTGACGATTATAAACGAAATCTACGGGGCGTGAACGGAGGCAAGGACTTTGATCCCGAGTATTTGGTGTGTCTCGTGACTCCCATGTCATGTCATAACTCACCTGTCTTGTCGCGCAGGCTTCGATTCACGAATCCCTACGCAAGCGCGAAATCATTCTGCCCGAGGAGCATGCTGGACAACATGGTTTCGACTACGCTTGGAAGAGTCTCATGTTGCGCTCCAGGACGGCTGGTGAGTGCGACGACTGGCAGCCCGTTGATCGTCCTGACTCCCCTGGTCCGAAAGGACCTATGATTATCTGCAACACGGCGAGCTTTGACGAACAAATGTTCAGTCTCGCTTGGCGAAAGCTCATCTCATCCATCGCATATGCTTTCACGATGTCTGCACAAGACGAGCATGTGATCCAAAGAGCAATCACAGGGTTCCGTCAATGCGCTTCCTTGGCAGCCCATTTTCGCCTCCCCGAGGTCTTTGACACGATCGTTCAATCATTGTCAAGCGCTACTGGTCTACTGGATGACGGCGATCTCCACATACCCACCGTTTCCTTCCCTAGCGCGGAGAAGGACGGTCAGACGCTTATCGTTTCTCCTTTATCTATCCGATTTGGCCAAAGCTATAGATCACAACTGGCAACTGTGGTCCTATTCACCATTGCCAACTCGCACGCCTCAGCCGTTCGGGAAGGATGGCTGCAGATCTTTGAAATGTTCCAGACCTTGTTCCTTCATCGACTCCTTCCGGGGCCAATGCTCCAGATGGAGGATTTCCTGGCGGGAACCACGACGATCCCCATGAAAGCGTCCAACGCCGCGGCTGTATCTGAGCGAAGGTCTGAAGGTGGTGGTTTACTGTCGACACTGTCTTCGTACCTTCTTTCACCTTATGGTTCATCGACCGACCATTTGGTGATGGAAGCTTCGGATGAGGATGTGGAGAATACGTTGGTAGCTGTGGACTGTCTGTCTTCGTGCAAATTGGAGGACCTGTATGGCGAGATTCTGTGAATCGTCTCTCTCGATCAGCAGCCTGTTCATAGCTGACGCGCTAATCTTAGCAAACTCGAGCTTGATGCCTTGCTTCCTGCTTTGCGGGCGCTCCGCGCATTGGCAGAAGCACGCACAATCGGCAAGCTTGCCAATAGACAGGGATACCGCGAGTCTGGATCACCAACTCAATCATCGTCGTACGATGGCCAACTACCATACGATCCAGCTTGTGTCTTCCACCTGGAGACGATGGTCAGTCTGGCTAGTAGAGGCAAAACGCACATTGCCGAAACTTGGTAGGCACTCTGGGCTCCTCGGTCTCCACCCGCTAACCTGTCATGTAGGCCAATTCTGTTTGAGTTCTTCGCGTCATTACTCGGATCTGCACAGAGTTACAGTGTTTTGGTCGTCGAGCGTGCAGTTGTCGGTCTCTTGAGGCTGTGTCTCGTTGTGTCCGAGAACGTGAGTTGACCATAAAAAATGTGACACTTAAGCCTGTTCCAGCCCGCAATGCGCGATCAACTCTACCTCGCGCTTGACGTTCTCCGCTCGCTCCCGTCCACTGTCCTCAATGCAGTCTCCGAACAGCTCATGGCTGGTGTCGCTCGTATCCTCGAGAAAGATTCTTCGGTCGTTCGATCGCAGACCGAGTGGGGCCTCATCATTGCCCTATTCAGAGCTACTGTCGCGCATCCCGAGGCATCCAAAGTGACATTGTCCATTGTGCAACGCATGGCGACGGGCAAAGATGGACTCGAGCTCAGTGCTGACAACTTTGGAGGCGTTGTGGCACTCCTCGATGAATTTGCTACGGCAGCTGGTGCGGCAGCTGCTGGAAGACAGCAACAGACTAGGAGATCTAGTATAAACGCTCAGACGCCGACGCTGTAAGTCCAGAGCCAGGGGTAGGCAGATTGGTTCGCTGACATCTCACACAGCGGTCCTACTGTTGAACGTGGTCTGACTGCCCTCGACTCGTTGTACGAGTTGCGGAATGTCATTCCCGAGCTCATGGCCTCGAGCAAGCTATCTGAACGAGAAGGTGAAATCAACCTATTGAGGTTTGTAGCTGACCATGCTACAGCTTGGAATGCCTTCTGGCTCCCACCTCTGCTCGTCATTGGTAAACAATGCGTCAACACCCATCGAGAAATTCGCCAACGAGCTGTGGCATATCTTCAGCGCTTTCTCCTCTCGTCCCAGTTGCTGTCTGGCCCTGAATCGACGCTGCCGACCATCCTCGACCGTGTTCTTTTCCCAGTCTTGGATGAGTTGCTCAAACCTCAAGCGTATGAACGTGATCCCCATGGCATGGCCGAGACGCGACTTCGATCCGCGACTCTGCTGTGTAAAGTTTTCTTGCAATACGTCGTGAGACTAGTGGAAGGCCGATCAGACGAAGTGGGAAGTCTCTTCGTGAGGGTACTGGACAAGCTGGAAAGGTTGATGCGAGGCGAGAGAGATTTGCTCGTGAGTCGTGAACCTGCACTTATGCGTGTGTCGCTGATCTTGCTTTCCTCAGAGCGAAGCGGGTGAATCGCTAAAAAATGTCGTGCTGGTCATGCACTCTTCTGGATTACTCGTGCCTCCACCTCACCCTCAAGCGCCATCTGACCCTCGTACAGAGACTCAGAAGGAATTATGGAACGCCAGTGTCCAGCGAATCGAGAGGGTTCTCCCTGGTTTCTTGGGCGAAGCTATTCCTGCGCCTTTGCCTCCGCCTCCGCCGAAAACTGCAGCTGCCCCAGCTCCAGAACAGTCACAGATACAGGCGCCGGCGCAGGCGACCACAGAACAAGTTCACGACTCTCCGTCAGCATCTGCATAGATGAACATTCCTTCCCCATCTTCTTCTTTCTCATCCTCATCTGGTCTAGTAGCATGCATGGCGTGAGGCCGGTAGTCCAGTTGCACATGTAGCGCTTTACTACCAGACAGCGAGGCAGATATTCTCTTATTACACCTCCGCCTCCATGTCTTCTCGTCCCAGCTCTTCGCCCGCTCCGAAACCTGCAATCTGACCTTGCAACACACTGAGGTTGATATTTCCCATGGCATTGCCGCAATTGCCTGCCCAGAACAATCCACGAACGATGGTCCTGGGATCATCACCGAAGAAGGGCGGGAATCTGAGATCTCCCTCTGAGAGTTGATCAGGCTTGATAATGGGAACGGTGCTCATAGGTGTCAAGCTTTGTCCGTCGAACAAGGAAGGTCGGAGGAATGATTCGGCGTCCGAATGGGCAAGTAACGCACTTGGGAACATGTTGATGTTTCCTACTTGGATCGAGGAGGAGTCTTGGAAGTGGATCGTCAGATGATCGTCGTTGGAAGAGTCCACAGAAGTAAGAGGAGACGTGATGATATCGTATCTTGAGGTTGGAGCAAAGCGTCAAACAGTGATACAGTATCATGGTCGCGACTGGGGGACCCACCTTCTAGCCTTGATGATATCTTGGAACTTTTTCATGCCTGATTTCTCCTCGCCTTCAGGCGTCCAGGGGTCTATGCCATGGGTCAAGATGTAAACCTTGGGATGTTTCAACGTCGCCCATAATTTCGTAAAGCTATCCAAGAGCATAGCGTTGAAGTGAGGCGCATCAGTGTTCAAAAGAACAGCGATCGGTGAGGTAGACGTCTCGGTACCGTGGCAGAATATACAGTGGACCGCTCGTCTACCCCAGATCTCGGTGATACCTGAGGTCCAAAGATGAATCGCATCAGCTCGATCTTCTTGCGACCGGCGAGGGTCATTCATTTCCCCTTCTGATTTACCCCCCTTCTTGCTTACCTGGAATATCTGGCATCTTATCTTTGAGACCTGTCGCCAATACGACTTTTCTCGCCAAGACTTCCCGTCCCGTCTTGTCGACAGCTTTGAAGGTCGTGAGATCAAGACCCTCGAATCCCGAGCCGCTCTTGTCGTTTCTCTCCAGAGATACGATCGTATCGTCTCTGAAGTTGACCCAATCATAATCCCTCTCAATCTCTTCTCTCGCTTTCCGGCGGTGAACAACTGGATCTTGACCTTCAAACCCCATCAACGTGTGCGCCGCTGCCGAGTTTGCATTCCGATACACGTGAGAATCATAGATCGATGTCGAGCGCTTCAGTCGAGCAAATGTCGATGCTGTAGCTAGACCTGCAGGACCGCCTCCTGAACGAGGTAGATTCTTTCAGTCAAAGATAGCCTTCGTGCTATACCGAATCGCGATCACTTACCTATGATCAAGAGGTCAACGTGGGTGGCAGCTGACGAGGACATGGTACGCGGGAACGACAAAGAGGCGATGGATGCACCTCGCGGCAGTAACTTCGTGACGAGTATCTTGGTGGGAAGTCCTGTTGTTACGGACGTAGTTGGAAGTCATTGGGAAAGCAAGATACATGCGTTCATCCCATACCTTTATAGTGAATGCAACACCTCTCGGGCACCCGGGCCAAGCATTTCGGCGCCCGAATTGTCTATCGATAAGATATAACATGGCCGCCGGATGGCACCCGGAAGAATGGGGACCGTGACGGTCGACAGTACGTAGAGAGGTCTGGGGGCCGTGGCAGGCAGATGTGAATGACGCGTCGTCTCTCGAGAGGCGGAGGACGACGAGAAATACAAGATGCAGCACGACTGTCCATCAATATGCATGAGAGTTCCCAGAAAATGCAGGGCGACCAAGCTCGACACCATGACGCATCCAAAAATAACAACTTGAAACTCCCTCTTCCTCTCAGTAACCCAATACAGCCTGTTTCCTCAATTTCCCCTCTACGACCATCTTTTCGTCCGAGGTCGACTGTTCTCCTTCCTTCCTCACTTCAGCACCCTTGCCGTCTTCCACCTCAGCCTTCATCTCTGCTACGCAAGCGATAAAGTCTTCGACGGCCTGGGGTGAGGTTTGATGGTGTAGGACGAGTCGTTCCCTCATCATCGTGATGGGTACGGGTAGAGATTTCAGACGAGCAGAGACGCTGTCAAGGGTCAAACCAATAGATAGGGGGGAAAAGAAGACCTAAGGGGACAAGAATCAATCAGCTTCATCATCTGAAGGCACGTTTCAAGGGGACTGATTTCACCATGCTCGTATCGACCGGGGCTAGGATCTCGCAGCCGAGATCGCTGAGACCCTGCTCCAGCCTCCTAGCAAGGGCATGACTGTCTGCCAAACGAGGGAAATGATGTGTGATGGCGTAATCTGCAGCAGCGGCCATACCGCCCGATTGCCTGACTCCACCACCGAATGCTTTTCTGAACCATCTTGCGCGTTTGATAAAGTCTTTCGAACCGACCAGCATCCTGAGTGGCGAAACCAGGTCAGCCAAAATGCCGTCCCGTTAAATTGTCAGGGATGGACTCACGAGCCGATGGGGGCTCCGATGCCTTTGGAAAGACACAATGAAACTGACTCGAATGGTTCACACAGCTCTGTCAACCTTGAGCCAGCATGAGCATCCCAATGGAACAATGTAATCCAGAACCAGCTCACGCCACACGTAGATCCTCCTCCTGTCTCGGATCCATGACTCTGTCCTCCACAACTTTTGCAGCGACGTTCCAGATTCTAGCACCGTCCAGATGCATGATAATATCGTGTCTTCGAGCCAATTCGCCAATGCGGACAACCTCCTCCTGCGGGATGATGGTACCGGATAGAGTGTTCTCAATGCAGATCAATTTTGTCGGTGCAGTGTGGATATCCTCTCCGAGCACCAAAGCCGGCTCAATATCTTCCACGGTTAAGTAAATACCGTTGTGAGGGACGAGTTGATGAGTTGTAGCTTGGGAGAACATGGCGATACCTCCAGCTGAGTAGACATTCAACATGAGGGATCCCTCTGAAGATCGGAGAAACCCGATCAGTTCCCAACTCACCTTCCATCTTGTGAACGTGCGCTCTGTAGTCTGTTATAACGCTGTGTGGCGGTTGCTTCATGTGCGTTCGAATAGCGAGTTCTACGTATGGTGTTCAGCTTGATCCTGTGACCATCGGTCATTCTCCCTACTTACGATTGGTCATGGTTCCTGAGACGCCAAACAGGGCAGCTTCCTTGCCTGTCAGTCGAGCAACTCGAGCCTCCAGAGCAGCGGTATCTTCATCTTCACTGTACAGATCGTCACCTCTTGAAGCGCGCAAAGATGCCAAAAGCTGAGCATCGGTCGGAATGGTCATGGTATCGCCTGAGAGCAAAAGTCATCTAAGGTCAGCTAAAAAGCGATCGACAGCAATCGACATGCCGAGTCCTTCTGACAAGCGGCAATCAAGGGCTGAAGCTCACTCCTGAAATCTCTCGAGATCGCCAACAGCTTGTCGACGTTTCGTTGACCGCCAACTTCGGCCGTCACTTCTGGTTTGGACATTGGTACGGGCATACTCGATACGAAGGCAAGTGATCGTCGAAGGGTTGGAGATGACGAAGAAGTGGGGAAAGGTGGAAATTTACAAACCGACGACGACAAAGATCTCCTCGATGATTGGACTGTGCTGTGGATAATGCTGTGGTATACCAATGATCCTCTACAGCAAGACATGAAATCGCCGAAGCGTGGCCTGCAGCTCTTTCAGGTCTTTTTGGTTGTTGATATCCGACTGGGGGGGGGTACTCTCGGTATGTCAGAGTCGAATAGACAGAGAATGGGAGACAGATATAGCACAGATAGAGGCTCCGCAGAGCTTTTCGTTGCTCGATATACACAAGGATAAGATGGTTACGAAGATATGTGTGATCCCAAAGATAAGAAGGTCCAGTGAGTGAATGAATGAGTGGAGTGAGTCACCGGCCGGCTCATCCAAAGGAAAAAAAAAATATTTTGGCGATTTTTCCAATCCCGAAAAAGAATCGGCCATCCATCCACTCGTCCATGCCTTGTAGATGGGAGGCAAGAAGAGAGCGTATCTTATCACCCTGCTGATGCACTGCCACTTCCCAGAGGCAGCGGCTGCAAAAGGTGCACTCTGGCCCGCTTCTGTCGCATAGATCCCCTCTCCTCCATGAGAGTGTCTATTCTCCTCGACGATCCCCACATCTCGGTCTCAGATCCGCGCCACTTCTGATCCGAGGTATCGGTCACAGCCGACGGATGATGGGCTCAGGGCATCCTTCCATGCGGGGAGGCGTATAAGCGTGAAAGGTGGGGCAGGGCCATCGCGTGGGTAGGGACCGATGGAGACTTATGAGATGCCATGCCCCATCACACTTTTGTTTCGGAATCCAGTATTGAACTGAAGCAGGGAGCTGTTTGGTATGTATGTATGAGTCAAAGATGAGAGCAAAGGGAGACCGACCATCAAACTCACTTGATATCCTTCACCCAGCCTGAAGCTGCGCCCCCGTCCCCTCGCTCGATGCACGGTATGGGGAAAGGTGACTTTGTGATGATGACCGATTCGTCGGGGTTCAACAAGCAGACCTCTCGTCCATCAAAGGAGAGCTCAGCGGGGGATCGAGCAAGAGGCGATATCTGCTCGAGCGAATTGGGGCAACCATCCACGTCAGTGTTTTCGTGCGCTCATCGCGATTCTCCGCGGCCTTTGACCCACCTTGAGTTGAACCACGCCTCTTCCGGGAAGGATCACGGTCCTAAAGCTTAGACTTCGCGGTGCGATAGGCGTCAGGAGGAACGCATCGGTATCGGGGTGGGAGATAGGTCCTCCAGCAGAAAGAGAATAGGCTGTAGAGCCAGTCGGAGTAGACAATAGGATTCCATCAGCCTAATGGGCGAGAGCAGGACGAGAACCTTTGCGTCAGCTCTTCTCTAAGAGGTGCATGTGCGTGAACGATGACTCATTCCGCCCTTCATCGTTCACTCACTACGGCCTCTGTCAAATGCTCCCCATCGAAATACGCATCTACCACGTTGAGATGAGGATGTCGACCTCGATGGATAGCCACTTCGTTCATGACTTGCCAACCTGACTCGCCGACTGGAGAAGCGAGGCATAAGATTCGGTCGAAACGAGTGGGGCAGAAGTCTCGCTCACCTCTCATGGAACACTTGAGAATCTCGCCAGAAGCGTCAAGAGGAGTACATGACAGCCTCATGCGTTGAAGAACAGATACAGGACCACTCAAGGCGTTTTGAAGTACCGTCTCCATGTCGTTGATGTCTTGACACGAGATGTTTCAGTAAGATTCTATATCGATTTTGTACGATACTTCTCGGAATAGCCAATCGTTTTTTCTCAACTCACGAAATGGCAGTAAAAACCCCAGACTACCCATTGAAAAGCTGATCACAGGTGGACAAGCACCGTCGCCGAACAGGTTACTCGTATGCAGTATCGTACCGTCACCACCGAGCGTAATGACAAGGTCGGTATGGAGTGGAAGAAGGGCCGTATCGCTTTCTGCGGTGATGATGAGATCCTCAAACTCAGGGTGATCTTGAGCTGTATGTGGTTCGACAATGATCCGCAGGTGCGGAAAGGCCGAGGTGAGGAACCTGAAGAGCAACTTCAGCAAGAAGGGGACCATAGTCAACCGACGGTTTGTCAGACTCCTGAGGCCTTGCCCCGTCGCCAGCTGCTGTGACCAACACCCACCTCAGTAAGTCTCCCATGGCAACAGCTGTGCGCTCGTCACGAGGTTTCTGAATGAGCAGGATAGTCCGAGGATCAACGCTCCATTTAGATAGCTGGTGCCTGAATCAAGGTCAGAAGTCAGGCGGAAAAGAAAAGTACAGCCAGAGTCTCAGTCGCAGAGGAGCACGTACGATGGATAAAATCGCCTTTGAGCCATGGACGAGGATTCAGCCTGGGACGACGGAGAAGACGAGAGCAATAATCTGGGCCGTCTGGACAGTGAACAGTCAGCGTGCAGCGTCCCAAAAGGTCATTCTGGAGTCTCCGAATGGAGCCTAGCTTGCTCGGTGAACCCACGGCATGTGGGGCGACAGAGAACGATGACTCACGACTGTAAGTCCTCAGACGACGGCCTCGGTATGTCTTTCAGCATATGGATGCTGCGGACATGCTTTGTCTGGTGGATGGATCGTGAGAGGGCTCTAGCGGTGGAGCCTCGAGTGATGAGCATCATGGTGCAAGCTCAGGGTCACCGTCTAAACTGTCAGACTGATTGATTCAATCGTTACATCCTTCAATTAGTTTAGTGATTCTGCCGAAAAGTCATCTCGCCTCCAAAAATAAGGGAGGACTACGGAAATCCCTGGTGACAATGACGATGCCCCTGATTTCGATGCCTTATGCATATGATGATGATACTGCTAGTGGCTCTGAAGCAGTCTACCCCTCATCTGTGATCTCTTGGAATTCTCCACATTCGTTTCCAAACCTCCGAATCCTTTACCCTTGTAACCCTTCTCTCCCGTCTCTTCAGTTTCCAGACCATTCTCGCCGATAGGAGTGGGAGAGTGCGCCATACTCGGTAACAGGTTGGAGACATTTTGTCCAGCTACACGGGAAACGTCGCCTCTGACCAGGTATAAACTCATCAGGGCATTGACGGATGCTCGATGTTCCGCCATGGCTTTGGAGGATCCAGTACCCTCGGCTAACTTCAAACCAGACGGTAAAAAGAGACCAATGTTGAATAACGGGGCCATGGTCGCCACACCAGTCGATGCGAGCAAACTAGAGCGACGGTCAGTCTGAGCTTCAAATAAATTCCGCAACATATGGCACGTACCGAGGCTGGATCTTGGTCTGACCCGAGGCCTTGTTGATTCCCGCTTCAGCCATGTGTCTTTCAACCACGGCGGCGAGAACGAGCTTGGGATTCCTAAAGTTGAACAGGGTAGTGAGGTCCAAATGGCGTGAAAAGAAATGAGCATGAACGAATTCCCGAGCATCGTGAAGGCCCTGTGAAAGCACGTGAGTGACATTGATCTGAGACCTGTCCTTCATGATGGATCACTGCTCACCTTTTGCTCGTAGATCAACCCCACAAACGCTCTCATGACCGACGCGACCACATCTGTCCATTGTTCGGCATATTTGACTCTTCTCGATTGATCTGGATCCAAAGCCATCCCGCTCGGTGTCTCCACTTTTGATGCCCATCGATCCCCTTCGGCTTTCAACATTTTGTTGAACCTTGCCGAGGGGTAAATCATAGCTTCTTCCCTTTCGAGGGTCATTCGCTCCCATCGAATAGGAACACCAGCACTTGCAGATGGTTGACCCATTGCAAATTCACCCGCGTCTGCTCCGTGTCTGACTCCGATACCCAATTCTCTCGCTACGGAAACACATGCTGCCGGACCGACATAAGCCGTCACGGCTGATTTCAGGGGTTCAGTAGGGAGGAATGGGAATCGATTGGCCAGGAATTCAGCTGCAAACAGTCCAAGGAGTGAGTTTCCAGTAGCTGACAAGAGCTCGTTATTGTATTCCTTCGTATTCTGCGCCGCTGCTGAAGAGGAGGATGAAGAGGATGTAGAGGGTTGAGGGGAAGGGGTCGAGTCGCCAGATTGATACGGAGTGTTGGCGTATGATGGATGGGTGAGACAAGCCAAAACGGAAGGATAGAGAGCAGGATCAGGATCAAGTGTCATTCGAGAGAGCAATACCGCCAATGCAGAGTCTGGAGGTTGACTTGGAAGATCGATATCCTCGGATAGGATCGGTCTGACAGGTCCGACGGAGACTGCAGGACGTTCCGATCGAGGTAGCCGAAGCGCATCTCTCTTGGCCGATGAGACTGAAGAGGTCGAGAAGAAGCGAGAAGAAGAAGGAGAAGAAGAAGAAGAGGAAGAGGTGCTGGTGGCTGGAACAAGGGGTGATGAAGTCGATGACCATGACAATTTTCGACGGAGAGGTGTACGAGCCAGTCGACGCTGGAAGGCGGCAGAGAGGAAGAGTCTGCCTGACATCGTGATACTGCCAAGCGGTTCCTTGTCTGATGTTCCCTCTTCCCTCCTATACTCGGCTGCTGTTGCCCTTCTTGCTGACCTGCTAAACCCACCTCCAAGTCGTGTGCTTCGTCACTGCTTCGTCCAAAGGTTTGCGCTCAGAAATCCCGATTTCACTTCGAAATCTTTACAGCGAGTTCAAATGAATTTGATAAGGTATCTTGCAAGATTAACACGTCAGAGGTCTGACTGACGTGGCATTCGGCGATCACTGAATCAATGATAACGTCATTCCCCGGTTACTTGACTTCGTCCAGCTCCCCATTTCTTGTAAACTCATCACAACGATGTCAACCATGCGAGCAGCCAGTCAGGCTCTCAGAGCGACCGTCTCAAGTGCTCGACAAGCATCTTCGAGGTCATATATCCTCCCTGCTGCTCGTCCTACAACAGCACTCCAAAGCAGACCCGCGCCGGTCCTCGGAATCCGGTTCAAGTCCACCTCGAGCGATTGGGCGAAGAAACCGACCATCACTTATGATGAATTGAAGCCTATCACCAGGCAACCGACCGATGTGAGTGGGCAGTCCCTGTGATAGATCCATCTGTGAAGCGCGCTATACATCTGTCCCACCGGCTACCCTGCGGAGTCCCAGATCTCGACCCCTCTCTGATCAGGAGTTAATCGATGGACCTCATCTCCTAGACTCCTCCAATCGCACCTTCGCTGACTCGCTGGATTTGTCGTTAGGATGTCCTCATCATTGACGTTCGTGAACCAGACGAGGTCATGCTAGGGTCCATCCCCTCTTCCGTCAACCTCCCTATGTCAGAGATCCAACAGGCCCTACAGAAGAACTATGACGCATCCGATTTCAAGAGGGTAAGGGATGCCCACCTTTTTCCACACGGTGTATGATTCTAAGATTGGTCTACAGAAATTCTTCTTCTCCAAACCCTTGCCAGGACAGAATATAGTGTTCTACTGTCGGTCCGGAAAGCGAGCGGGGACAGCCGCGGAGATCGCAGCAGAGAATGGGTACAAGAATGTCAGGAACTACGTGGGAAGTTGGCAGGATTGGTCAAAGCGGGAGGGCTTGGAGGGAGAAGATGATGATTAGGTGGCGGATCCAAGATCCGCGGGACCTGCTCGGGTCTCTCTTGCAATCTATGGACCCGTATTCCGCTTCTGCGCACCGCTAGTAGAACTCCTACCTGCAACCGACAAACACCCTCCAAGAATCGTTGGTTCACCACGAAGAGTCAAACCTCATACATTATAACAAAAACTTCGTGTATGTATGCGTACGTGAAAATGCCGTGTATGCAAATGCGCAACCAGCCATTGGGGCCCGGCGCTCTCAAGACCACCTCCGTCGGGTCGTCGTCGTCGTAGTAGTCATCTCGTGCCTGTAGTGTCGCTCTCTCAACCAACCGATAATGACACAAGGAATAGCAGCGAGGAACATGAGCCATCCGACAATGACGAGAGGAAGAGCAGGTCCATAGTGTGGGCTAAGATCGTCGTCTGAGAGTCTGTGGTGCGCCACACCGAAGCAAATGACCACAAGGAGGAAAGAGAGCGTGGACAGGAAAGCAGTGAAGAGCTGGGGGAGGAGAGCTGTCAGCGGGAGGCTATGGGATGCCGCAGGAAGATGACGGCGAATGTGTCTAGGGTCCCTGATATCTTGATCTTTGCCCCGACCACACTCACAGTGAGGAAGAAGGAACAAGCGCCGGACCTCAAGTCAGAGATGCTGTGTAAGAGCGACAAGAATGCCAGAGATCCAAATGCGGCCGTGAAGGCGACAAGGATAAGCGACCCAGTCAGTCGATCATCGTCAATGATTCAAGGGTGGAACGAGTACCTGTGGCGATGGAGATCAGTAAGTGGGACGTGGAGAGGTGCAATCGCCACATTCACCCGACGCCCTGGTAGTGACCGCCATTGGCGGATTCCCATCCGAAATTGCCAAACTGTTGTGCATCAGCCCTGGCGCCCGTCTGATAGCTTTATGACTCACCTCGACCCGAAGTGGTTCAGAGTTCCAACGGACGTAGTAGATACTATCGATGAAAGGGACCCCGAACGCGGCGAGCCAGAAGAAAAGCGAGGCGAGCTGAAGCGGGGGAAGGGGAAATTTAGAGGATCAATCCAAACGAAGCTCAAATGCATGGCCTCATGAGCACTCAGCAGTGTCAAGAACGCAGCGATGCTCAGCGTCATAGGAGAGCGCCTGGTTCTGTAAGTCGTGGTTGTGGTGGCGGCCATTGTCTCGATGTTTGATCGGTGAATATCGTTAAGTCGTGAATGGCCGTAATGTCGTGAGGTGATCAAGTCGTGAGTGCCGAGTTGGAGGGTATAGAGAAGAGATTTGAGGAAGACGACTGAATACACCCCGGTTCAAGTATCTCTCTGCCATCCTCTGAACGCTTCCATCCTCCCCCTTCCATGACGTCGTTGTCTCTCAATACTGCTACTTTACATGAACTCTGGTTGATCCTTTGAGCCCAAGGTCAAAGGAGGGTCATGTTAGCAGTCACTGGGCAGTCGCCAGTCAGAGTGACGTCAAAGTCGACGATACACGGTGAACACTCGTATGCCGATGTCATGAGACCCTAGACTCATGCGGAAGGACTCTTATAGACAAGGACCCCACACAGATCAGCTGTCTCAATTCACCTTGGCAATGAAGGGGAACAATAATTGTCTCTGGGCACTTCTGGTTCCTGTTTCAAGGCACAGAACGATGATGATGACGTGGAATGAGCTGGGATTCTGGACTTACGTTACTCTGAGTCACTTAGCTCTGCAGTGGGCTCGTCTCTGACGTTATAACTCGCTTGTCATCCAGAGATGTATGATATGGACATGCAATGTGGCACCCTCGCTTGTCGGATTATGAGTGCCACACACACAGCATAGCACCTCCACCAGCTTGGCTTTCGTCTGAAGTCGCTTGAACCTGCCACACCTCGCTACATACACCTGCTTCCGCATGGTTGTAAGGCAGGTAAGAACGATACGGTATGGTCTTTGAGAGGAACAGGTCCAGCCGACTTGTTCTTTCAGAGTCTGCATTTTATGTCACATAGCTCTTACACAGTGCAAGCGGCTTGGTCCTGCTGTCTCCCCACTTCGCCAGTGCAAGTGGACGAGAGGCCCCGTCGACTCCTGCTCTGTCGACTTCTCAGTTCTCTCAAATACATCCTTCCGCCCCTGATCATTGCTCTTGGTCTAGTCCTCCATTCAGGTCACCACGATCCGCCGAACACGCTGGCAGACCCCCTACTCCCCCCTCCCCCCCCAAGACCCTCCGTGCCACCTTCGGCGTTATCTCACACTGTCTCGAGGATGTGGCACATTCGCTTCATTCTCTCAACTTGCGTCATCAATTGCCACGACACGACGCTCAGAAAGTGTTGAACGATACAGACAACAAAGAGTGTGTAGCTTGCAATAGCGAACGCTGTCAGGACACAAAGATTGACAGCGCGACTTGCAGAAGGTAGACATTTCTTCATCCAGCTCTGCACAATGGCCGTTATCGATCCCCACTATCTATGGGCAGCCGGGCACGCTGTCATGCTCCTCGGTTCAGGTGAGTCTTCTGCCAAGATGGTTGGCCACAGCTATTGGGGCGGAGGGTGGTTTACCCCTTGGTCACCCTATCTTCGTCTACTCAGAGCCACGCTTACACCTCGGTCTCCAGCGTACATCCTTCTCCAGACTGTATTCTTCCGCGGAACTCCAACCAAAATGTATCGATTATCATACACTGGCGCATTATTGAGCTATGCCATCGTTGTGCTCAAGTCACTGGGTCGACCGAGCCCAGATGCAGCTTGGTTGAGGAGAGCGTTTGTGGATGAGAACGTTCAGTACATGATATTGGCGTTGTTCTGGTGGATCTCAAAGCCCATCAGTAGTGAGTGTCTGATTGACAACTAACTCCTCGACAGAAAGAATTTCTAAACTGAATGCCATCCGTCTCAGTCACCATCCTTCCATACGCTACTTTCTCCCTGTTTCATTGTCTGACATTCTTGCGGACCAATGTTCTGCCAAAGATCGCTCCGTGAGTCGACCTAGCTGTCGCACTGGCTACCGGCTGACGAGACCACCTTCCTCCTCAAGTCCTCCCGCCGCAGCCCAGGGTCAAGCTAGACCTCCGCCAAATGCCGTTCAGGGTCTCAGTCAACGCATTCAAGTCTGGGTCAAGGCTAATTATGATACCGCTATGAGATTCGTCGCGTACGCTGAACTCGCCATTTTTGCGAGAATCATCTTCGGAGTGGTAACGTGAGTGCCGCCATTGGGACCCACGGGTAGTATCGTGCTGACACACTTTTTACGACTACAGCCGCAAGATCAGTCTCATGGCACCACTGTTTATTGCGCATTTCCTTCGTCTTCGATATCACGCTTCACCCTTCACACGTCAAGCCGTTGGACGAGTGACAGCTCTCATAGACGCTAGAATTTTGCCGATCGGAGGTCGTGTTGCTCAAGCTTACGAGTTCGTCAAGAGGATGATTGCGTCCTGGGGTGGAGCAGGCGTACAAGGCGCTGGACAAGCAGCCGGACCAGGTGCAGCTGGAGCAGCAGCGGCTGGTGGTGCTGGTGCTGGAGCTGCAGGGAGGAGATAGAAGCGGGCTCAAGTCTGACACACAGATTTCGGGTCTGGTGGCCCTCTCATATGCACTACTGTGTCATACTGACTCGCTCAGGCTTGTGAACTAGAAACCCAAGCGACTCTCGTCTCCATCTGCGCGTGCGACAGGAATGTTATCTGATCCTTCCAGATTGCCTGAAGATATCAGGATAAAAGAGAGGCCCTGACTAGAGGCGGCCGACCTTATCGCTTACTCAACTGCATTTAGCTGATCCTTTCAGGTGCATTGCGACGTTTAGCAGATTTGAAGAAGCTGCCATCCTTTCAGCATAGCTCCAAAGGGTAAGTGGGCGAAAGGGAGTGCAAGCCTAAGTGTTTCTTCAATGATTGCCGAACAGATACATAAAGCGTGCGCTTTTGCTTCATAGCGGGACCGCTTTGCAATTCCTCCTCACAAATTGACTCACCTCACCAATAGCCAGGGTTGACCAAACAAGACAGAATGAGCGAGAGCGCCGGCACCACTGATGCAATCGAAGATTTCTCCAAGAATACGTACAAGAGCTTGGAAGATTTGGTGGCAAAGCGAGGTGGCCAATCAACTGATAAATTCGGTACGCACTGTGAAGATGTTCGCATCGGCCCCGACACCACGGATCCTCAAGACACAGCCTTCGTGGTGCAGAACAGTGACATAGCCGGTATTACGGAAGTGATATCGCTGACTGATACCCACTCGAACCGAGGTCTGATGATTTTTGGAATTCACAATTATTTGCCTGACAAGGCGAAATGGTACTCTGTCCAACACGACTTCTACACGGCAGTGCCTGACGATGGTAGCGTCACCCTTACCGGTGACTATACAGCTTTCGAACCGTCAACTTTCAAGATTAACCCTCCCGACTTCCCTGCGAGACATCTTCATCAGGCATACCTGATGCACGACCAGAATCAACGAAGCGCCTCCCCTATCTGGATATTGCTGAGCGACGGCCCTTCGGAAACTGTTGGCGGGCTACGCAATGTCATGCTGGCGAAGCATCTGGTAGATACGGTTCGTTCGCTAAGCCAGAGCAACGACAGACAGTCGTCCTGGCCTTCTAATTGGCCAATCGCTGGAGAAGAGTATTGTGCGCAGCATAGCAACACCGAAGATGGTCTCACAACCCAAGGGAGCAAGGCTCAAGAGGAGTCTGTTCCGCACCATGCGGGAGGCGACGAAGCCTGAAATCTCGTTCAGTGTCGTTTCGTCAAGGACGCGGACTGAGCTACATAATCTACGGAAACATTGCGGATGCATCTTTGAGCTAGGGTTTGAAGTAAATTTTCATCACTACTCGACACTATTCTCGCGCTCTTGCTTCCAAGAGGACGACCCAATGCGTTTCGGAAGAGGAAATCTCTTCTCTTCCCTCAGCGCTCATCCAGACCAGAGCAGAATTAGTCCTCATCGTAATTTTATCTGCAAGAGCAGCAGCCAACTGTACGCTTCACAGATCAGACACACTGCTTTCATTTGTGGTGTGACACGGGCTTCTTGTCAGCCTCGGAGAACATTTATCGATCCTCGTCAGTTGACGACACTGGAAGCCCCGATCGAAGGTGTATATACCCAGAGGCACAGAAAAGCATTCCAAGTTTCCGATCCTCCTCCGTGCACGATGTTTGGATCCGGCGTCCCTCCGCCGACCAACAAGATGGCCTCAATCCGGGGATGCTCATTGCGACTTCGTCCCCTGCAGCAAATGCAGTGAGCGGACACTCCATGCTGGTCACTGAACACCTCGAGAATCAGGTGCATCACATGAGATCGCTAACCCAAAGGAGACCATCCACGAATTCACATTGGCAAATGATGGACTCAAGCGAAGGCGACGACACGGCCATCACCGAAGGACGTCCACTGGCCTTTGCTGTGCGTCCGTCAGCCAAAATTTGAACCTCCAGCATGCCATGAGGATGCATCAGATGTTAGTACATCGTCTCGAAAGGAAAGAGGTCCATTGCCACCAGAAAAGCCCCTCCCCCCCAGCTGAGAATGTCTCCATTATTTGAACTGCATTTTGGCTGCTTCGCGCTCTACGATCCGTTGATAATCTCTGATCTTCTCATCGACCATGACCATTTCCTCCAAAAGTGCCTTTCGTTCTCTCGCAAGTCTAGATGTGATGCCATCACTGTCAGTCGAGCCGTTCCGATGATAACCATGTTCTTCTCTTCTTCTCACCTCACCACGCTGGCCCTGAGTGCAGTGTCATTGAGGTTGAGACTATCTGCTTTTGATGATATCTTATCCAAGTCACGCGAAAGCGTGTAGTCCTTGAGCTTGAGTCCGGCCCATACGGACGCTGAGGAGATGTCAATGGTCAGTTCTATGATATGATTTGATCGGAAGGGTTCATATAGGTACCTGGGACGACAGCCACAAGGCCAACGGGAAAGATCCACCGCTTGACCATTCCGAGGGGATGAAGAGCCTACACTGAGCTGATGCACGCCATTTCCAGATCACCTATCGCGTTGTCAGACTCTGGACGCAACCACAGGAGACGAGAGAGAGAGAGCCTTACTGACCACTCCAAAGGTCTTTTCTGTCTGTTGGTTGAAATGGTTGAAAATCAAACATGATTCGGTGAATCGCGTCCAACTTTTGGAATCCACATCTTCTATCAATTCACTTCCCTCCCTTGTTCTATATAACAATCTCTCTCTGTACACCACGCGACTCGTTGGACAAGAGATCTGAATGGTCCCATGAGCTTGTCTCAGGCATTCTCAAACCCTCTCTTGATGGAGTCGACAGCTTTTGGTCCTTTCTGAACCCATCATGGATAATCAAGAAAACAATCGTCAACAACTTCAACCTCGGCCTCTTTATGCGGCCGAAGAGTTGTCAGAAGACGATGATCTCTGCAGCTATATCTTTGTGGATCAGCTTGGAGTCACACCTGGGTCCAAGCTAGGTGTCTACCCCCAACAGTTGGACTTCAAGGGCCCCGTCTTCGATCCACAAAGCGTGTTAGCCATCCTTCAAGAGACCTTGTTCAGAGGGAGCCTTCATGATGATTCGAGTGGGAGAATCAATGAGACTCTCAACAGATTATCAGAGTGGGCAATCGGCCTCCCTGTACTGGAATATCAAGGCTGACCCTATCGCAGGTTGCCCATCATAAGAGCTCACCTGGAAGGCAGACATAATGCGCCGGCGAGGGACCGGTTTAGAGAGTGGGTTGTATCCTTCCACACGATCTGCTTCTGCACGCCGACACCCACATTATGCTGACATGACTCTCGATCCAGGCATATGAAGCGATATCTTCTAGCCCTGCAACCCAAATCTCGGGTTGAAATACATACGACTTCGCTCTATGGCCAGTTTGTGGATCGAACTCAACTCGCAGTCTATGCCACCAGGTACATCCCTGCCGGTACAACATTAGAAGAACTCCAAGGGAGAAGGGTCCCCCTGCCTCCAGAATGGCTGTTCGACGAAGAGGTCAGGTGTAAACGGCGGAATGACTTTAGTCTGATCCGGTCTGGGAGAAAGGGCAAGAATGGGGATCAACTGTTCTTGGGAACAGCTCGTTTTGTCAATGTAGGTGTCAATGCCAGGGCACAGAGAAGGCTCATCTTTCTCCAGCACGACTGCAATCCAAACGTTAGGCTTGAAGCTCGCGACAAATCTGTCACCTATCATACACTCCGCCCGATACAGATCGGAGACGAGGTCCTGGCGTTCTACGGTGATGGATACTTTGGCGATGACAATTGTGAATGTCTCTGCTTGTCGTGCAAGAACGAAGGAAGCGGAGGTTATTCCAAGGGAAGTGACTCTGATCATGCGGAGAGTCATGAGCATCCCAGTCCAGCGGGTCCCAGCCGGTCGTCAACGGCAGGATCCACCGAAGTTCAGACTCCCGATGAGCCCGCTCGCCCTCTGGATCATATCAAGCTCGTGGGGGGCAGTGGTGGTGGAGAATCTGCCGCCAGTCCTCGGCAGGAAGATGAGGCAGATGATGACGACGAGGACGAGGATGAAGAGGATGACAGCGAAGAGGAAGACGTTGCGCCTCGTAGGTCAAAGCGTGAGGTGGCCAGGGAATGGAAAAATCACCCTTTGATCTTTCGGCGTCAAAGGAAGCCCATGGCACCGATTACACAGCCGGACGATCAAGAGGAAGAGCCGTCAGATGGGATTGCCAGATGCGTCACTTGCGTGAGGGAGCTGGGACAGATTCGGATGTCATTCGAGGAACGAACCTTTGAACATCATTGCGAACGGTGAGCGTGCTTCCGGTCGCACAATGTGCTCATGCGTTGCTCAGGTGTGTCCACCACGCTCTGATCTACAAACTTCCATGGCCGCATCGAAAGCGAGACGAGGTACAAGACTGGCCGCCGTTGCACCTCCTGCCCGACGCTAACGGCCGTTTACCCCGAAAGATTTCATCTGTCCCACTTCCTTCTGTTGACTTACCTCCATCCGAACCCGTCTTCGAGGATATCATGCTACCTATCGCCAAGGAACGATTCTCATATACTATGAAGCGATCCGTGACGTATCGAGAGAAACTCACCGAAGAGGAGTACATTGTTGATCAACTCCGTCTCGCGATGGCCACTGTTGCAGAACAGGAAGAGCGTTTGGTTGCCGCTCGGGAACAAGCCAGAATCGACAAGCTGGCAGCAAAGGCGGCTCGAAAGGAGAAGAAAGATAAAGCGTCTCTCGGCAAAGTCAAGGGCTCGGGCGTATGGTCATCATACGAGATCCTCACGGAAGAGCAGTGGCAACAACGGGAGGCGGAACGCCATCAGATTACTAGCGGAACTCGTCGGGGAGGTCGATTCCGTGTCAATGCGAATGAAGAGGCGGATCTCATACGTCTCGCTCAGCAACGAGCTAGGGAGAAGAAGGAAGAGAGGGATAGACGTCTGCAGGACGCAGAAGATCGTCAAAGTCGTGATGGGAGTGCTGCCAATACATCGGTGGCAGATGAAGAGGATGTCTCAGCATCCCATAGAATGGATGTTGACCTCCCGCTTCGACTCTCCACGACCTCTGCTCCGACGACTCCAGCTTCGATCGATTCTCCTGGCACCAGCGTGGCGGAAGACGAGGAGGATTCCGAAGACGAGATCATCTTCATCCGTATGGTCAAGGCCGTACCCCAAACGGACATCAATCATGCGGGTAAAGACCCTAGGGTTTCCAAACTGAATACCACTGTCACGGATGATATAGTCAAGGAGGAGTCGAGTCCTGAAAAGTCCTCTGAGCCTGCGGATCAACCTCCGAAGGCCAGGCCTGAGGAGTGTGCCGAAGCTGACGGCTCTGCAAATCGACCTGGTTTCGACACACCGGATGACGTATCGTCTGCCGTGTCACCCACGACGGCCGGAGTGCCATCTGGTCCAACTGCCACACCTACCCCGACACGCGGACGTGGAAGACCCCCAGGGACTGGCAAACGGCAGTTGGCGGCCGCAGCTCATGCAGCCAAGTCTTCGCCCCAAGGCCCCTCGGCTCCAGTCCCCATCGTTCAGGCTCTGCCTTCGGTATTCAGTCCTTCTCCTTTTAGTCAGCGGATCAAGTATTCCATCAATCTTCGCGGACCGGAGAAATCAAGCGTCAGACCGCGATCGCTAGACGCAAGGACGCCGTCGACGACATCAAGGTCTAAACCTGAGCCGAGTTCTTCAGCGGGACCGTCCCGATTGCCAAGAGACCGTCCAGCATCGACCTTCGGTTCCACCTCTCAGACGCCCATGATATCAAAACGCCTACATGCTGCCTATCAGCCAGAATCCCCACAACCCAATACACCTTCCCCCAGCACTCCTGAATCCAATTCGCACTCAGTCCGACGAATCTCATCAGAGTCACATCCACCTCCGAGATCTGCAGTGAATGTCATCGGTAGAAAATCCTCAAATCCCTCCCAATCACAGAGTAAGGGTCCGAACAGCACTGTATCTCGTCCACAGCCATTGCCTTCGAAACGGTCGCCTCCTTCGACATCGAGACAAGGAACCGGGACGCCTTCCCAACCACCGACTCTGAAGCAGCCTACCCTCTTGTCATCGAAGCTAGCAGACAGAGAGAATGCCAGTCCAACTCCTCGTCCAATATCCTCCTTGCTGGGCTCGAAGCGGACGCCTCCTCTGACATCGAAACAAGGAGTCGGCACGACTTCCCAACCTCCAAGTATCAAGGTGCCTACTCTCTCATCATCATCGAAGCAGCCAGGACCAAGCGCCAGGCCAACTCCTCGTCCAATTTCTTCCCTGCTGAGCTCGACGCAGACGCCTTCGCTGGCATCAAAACAAGGAAGCGGCTCGAAGTCACTCCCTCTACCTAGTCCCTCGGCATCGAAAGAGGGAGGCGTTGCAGCTTCACAGCTGCGGGATCCGAAAGCGTCCGCTCCCTCGCCTTCCAGGCAGCTACTCGGTACGTCATCCTGGCCGACAATGACTCCATCATCGAAGCAGAGAGCCATCTCTGCTTCTCAGCGTCCTACAGTGAAACAACTCACTTTCGCTTCATCGGAAGAGGGCACGGGCGTGGTGTCCAAGCCGACCTCCCCAGCAGTATCATCGAAGCAACGAGCCGTGTCATCTTCCCGGCCGCCAAAATCGGAGACCTCCTTTCTGACTTCGTCGAAAAAGGGCATGGGAGTGTCATCACAGCTGCCATCAGCCAAAATGTCAGCACATTTGTCATCTATGCCAGACGATGGCGCACCAGCACAGCGAACAGCTTCAAAGCAACCGGCTCCCTCATTGACAAGGGAAGAAGAAGTTGCATCCTCTGAGCCGCCAAAGTCGTTGTCTGACGCGAGATTGGTGGAGCACATTTTCAGAGACGTACCGATCAAGAGCACGCCGACACTTCCTGCCCGAAGCGCGGCTAGCATGCCACCGACAGCATCGAGGACTGAAGGAGTCAATTCTACACCGGGAAGATCATCAGACCCTTCTCGTACAGTTGCAGCCTCTTTGCCACCTTCACAAACGACACGTCTTCCTCAGCAGAGCTCAGACTCTGCGTCTCACCAGATCCGAAGGATATCAAATAGCAAACGATCCCCACCAGTTCTTGTCGACGAGAGCATATTTGCGGCTGAGACTGGATCGGTGCCGTCGCGCTCGGCATTGCCGTCCGAGGCTCCAGAGCGACACATTCCGCGTTCTTCGGTGACGCCGCAGGCTCGTCCCGTGGCTAGTCAACATCGGCGGGACGAGCCTAGTCAACATCGGGAGGACAAGATCGCACGAGGATCTGCTAGTCAGGATGTCTCAAATGGTATCGCGGTCAGCACCTCGAAAAGTGTCAGTGCCGTCGCGATGAAGGGTCAAACGCCCTCCGCCCCCAGCCCACCAACATCAATGATCCAGCCCGTTCGCCATACTCCGATTGTCCTGCCTGCAATCGAAATTTCAGCCACGAATCCTCGACCTGCCACTCTTAGCATGGTGACAGATTCATGGACACCTCGGATCATCGAACCCAGAAATCTGAAACGAGTTGCGACGACCGCCAAACCGATATCTCCATCCCGTTTCTATGGTGCTAGTAAAGATTTGGCAACGGTAGGAGTCATGCCCGTTATGATGCCGAGTGTAGTGCGCAAGGTGGATCATTATCATCCTCCAGAGTACCAGGATCTCTCCGCACTCGGAAGGCAGACAAAGAAGCGCCGGCGATCGATGGGTTCTGCTTTCTTAGGTCCTCTCCCCGGCACAGTGAAAGATTTTCCTCCTCAGAATCCTGCAGCACATTTTGTCCTGACGAACGGCATTGCGGGACACGAAGGACCTGATTTGGACGATTCGGATTCAGTTTCTTCATACGAATCCGAGGTGAACGTGCCTCCCAGTAACAAGCGTTTGTGGTCAGATCGTCGAAACTCAATGTTCAAGCGAGCTTCGCTGGAGAGTACCGGTCAAAGCGAGGTGACAACGGCGTACTCCTCGAGAGGCGAATCATCGAGTCCCTCTCGCTCTTCATCGGCTCGATGTGAAGGCGTTGGCCAACCCGTATCCCCGCTATTCACCCCTCTAGGAAGTCCGTACACCACAAGTCTGCCATCTATGCCCTCTATGCCGTCGATTCGAGCATCAGCTGCTACTAAACCGAGAAAAGAAAGCTGTCTGGCCTGTTTGACCATAGGCAGGGACTGTCATCCGATGGATTCCGGCACGTCGTGTCAGCGGTGCATAATTCTCAGGCGGAGGTGCGACTTCTCCGGTGATAGTGGTAACGATGACCGACCAACGAGGACCAGCACTTCTTCATGTCGACTCAATTGTCTAGACAGTGGAGCTGGAATGGCGTGTGAGCAGTGCCAACGTGGCCAACGGACGAGTGGGAGAACTCTTACAGCATCGTATCTTGACTGAGATATGGCAGGTATCTTGGAGACCGTCAATGCCTCCTTGGTCGGCTTGACCCCTGGTCGATCCGAGCGGGACACTCGTCGAGCGAGTCTGCTACTGCCGACACCCATGCTCACTTCTCCCTCTACTGGGTCCTCCTTCCCTCGACTTCATCCGGTAGATCACCATGAACCTGGTTCTCAATATGCTTGGGGCTGATGAAGCAGACGGGGGGTTGGAAAGCTTTCCGTCCTGATGGGATGGATGGATATGTTGGGATACTTGGAGTCAGCAGAGACACTCAGGCAAGCTTCTGCCTCATGTTGTATAATCAGGATAGGCAAGAAGCAGGTCCAGCTCTGCTGAGTCTCTGATGCATCTATTGCACATTTAGGACGATGCCAGTCAGGCCTTCAAAGACAGGAGTGACCCAAGAAGAGATGCGTCGAGCATGTTTCGTATGCATGAGACTATGAAAGGCGTATAGTCCACCTCAGCTTTCGTCTACAGAGCTCCACCACACAAGAATCTCTTGACCTCCTCTTAATGGTCGATAATGTTGAGGTTTCCAGTGATCAACTTGTTTTCCAAGTTGGTTCCATCGGGCAACATGATCTTGTTACCTTCGTTGGCAACAATGATACAGGTTCCAGCGAGTCGAATTCCCTTTCCGAACCAGACATCTCCAGACACTGTCAAGTGATCCAACTCGGTAATGTTTGGGATGGATTTGAAGCGCTTTTCAAAGTTCTGTAGGAGGCGTATTGCGTGAGCTCCACGTAGGCGTTTGGGATGTGTCAGCGCTACTCACCGCGACCTTCTTGAAGTGGTCTCCGAGCTTGACAACAGGGGTACCTCCAAATTCTCTCGACTTGTCCATGGTCAAGACACCGTGTTCAAGGTTGTACAATTTGGATTTGATCAACAAGAGATCGCTTAAAGGCTCGTGAGCTCGAGTCTTGAGGTCCCATCAACCAAGACTCACGAGCATGACTTGACGGGCAAGAATCGGGATCGAGGAACGTTGATTCCGATTGCGCTCTCAAAGTGCTTGATGGCAGCTCCAATGGCAGTCTCGAGCTGGATGACGGCCTGACCCTGCTCGGTAACCTGGGCACGTGAATAAGCTGTTGTCTCTAATGCTGACCGGAAGTGATACCTTGTTGTTGACAATTATCTCCAGGTTCAGTGCGTCTTCATCCATGACTCGCTTGATAGCCTTGAGGTTGCACCCTGTGCGAAACCAAAAAGAAAAGAGTCAGATCAACACCTGCCATCACTCTGAAAACTCTGCGCACAGATATTGTTGGTGTTGAAGATCTGCAAACCGAGTCAGCCATTGCGCTGAAGCTTTGCCCCAGCTCCCAGCTTACCTTGAACTTTCGAGTCGAGCAGAATTCGTCCATGTGGTCCTTGGGCACCTGAGCGACCTCCAGAAGCCTGACCTTGCCCTCATAGTCGATGATGGTACCTCCCTTGATATCCGCCTTGGTCTTATCGGTGACCTCCATGACGTACTCTGCCTGAGAGTCAATCATGGTCTGGAAAATGTTCAGGTCCACAACGGCTCCCAAGTTGTCGACATTTGAAATAAAGATGTATTCCTTTCCAGCGGCGATGAGTTTGTCGAGTAATCCGGAGTTGCTGTGAGTGGTGAGTGCATGTGACTGCTGAAGTATAGGAGACTCACGTCACGGCATCGAAGATATCTCCGTGTCCTGGGGGATACCAGTTAGCCTTATCACTGGCAGCCTCTCTAGGACATGGGAGGAGAGACTCCTTGTCCACACGGGGGTATCGAGATTGCTCAAAGGTGAGAATGTTGATGTTGTGGTTCTGATACTTTTGAATGATTCGGGCAGTGTCATCGTCGGTGTTGAAAGAGTTCATCAAGATGAAAGGGACATTGACGTTGTATTCCGAGTTGAGGTGCTATGGGGGTGTAAGTCGGCGCTAACAAGCTTGATCGACTCACCTCGATCTGCCTGACAGACAAGTCGAGGAAGGTCATGTTGTCTCGGACCTCAATAACAGATTTGGGTCCAACACATCCCATGGTCGTTCCGAGACCTCCGTTGAGCTTGAGCACAGCAAGCTTGTTGAGGATGGCAGGGTCGACATTGGGGAGAACTTTGTAAGGGCGGACTTGCTCGGGTTTTGGGGCCTTGATTTTCTCCCAGTCACTAGAGCATCAGCACATACCTTTCGCAGATCACGTACAGCTTTTCGCCCTTGGCTCGCTCTGTCAAGAATCGGTTGAAAAGGAGGAAGAAGGATTGCATCTCAGCATCAAACATCTGTTTGTCAAAGCGTCAATAGGTACGGATTGGCCTGTTCTGGAACGCTGACAGGACCTTTCAAGTCGCACAAAAAGGACTCACCTTCTTCTTTGACGGCTCAGTCACACCGCTGACCATGCGGTTCAGTTCGTTTCGCATGGTTTTGGCTGCGACTCCAGTGGTAGCGGATTTGAAGTCCTACATTTGCAGCGAATTGACACCGAACGGGACACGGCATGACGTACAGAAGGGAATCGAAGGGATGATAGACGACAGCAAAGGAAGAGAGAATCCAGCCGTCAGCATGCTGTCCGTTCTGGGGATGAGCACAACAACAACCCCCCTCCGCCCGCGTTGAGAGAACGTGGGATCCCGGTGCGAATGAAGGGTTGTTGCTTTATCTAAATGACACATACCATTGTAGATGCACCTCGTTGACGAGCAGATGCTTGGACATCCTTGTTGTCTTTTGGTTCAGAGAGTGTGGCCATGGTGGAGATGGTGGGGATCGCTGATACTTTGTTGTTGCTTGGATTGTTGTTGGTATAGTGAGTTGGTGGTGGACCTTTTGGTCGGAATGACGGGTAGAAGCTATGGAGCGCGGGGGAATAAATCGGTTGGGGGTCACGTGTAATCCACGTGACTTGCACGTGGCACGTTATGTTCATGAGAGGGCAGATTCATCGAGGCGCTCATGACTGAGGCCGACACAACACAAGGCATGTTTGAAAGCAGTGGGGAAACGCCTTCGAGGGGGTCCGACTGGCAGAATGAGATGAGTTGAAATGTAGAGCCTGCCCGCTCTCCACGGGGTAGATTCTCTGATCGTGGCCGTTAAACGACGTTGTTGTCGTACCTGGCCCCATCAACTTCTCATCAGTACATCCACTAGCGTCTTAAGGCTCTTCTCCGTCGGGTTTCGACATTCTATTGGCGAACTCTCACTGCTACGAAGGGGAGCGCGATATCGGACGCAAATTTAGATTTGCGTTCTCCGACTGAGATCTCGGTTCGGGCATCTCGGTGGAGTGGAGCTCTCTTTTGGCTGCTGATCAGTTAGTCACGTTCTTACTTGCTAGCCTAGCTACACCCTGAATTTCTCATTAATGAAGATGCCCGTCCGTATGACAAGGAATGCGGAGGGGGCGTATTGCAAGGGGAATCGATATGAGATGCCATAAGCTCTTGTTGGGTGGTGCATTCATCTCACCTTCAAACTAATCTGACTCGCTCTGACATTGAAGATCTAACAGGATGCTCGAGCGACCTACACCAATCTGCGATGAGGAGAAATCGCTTCCGGCCCTCCCAGCCTGCTCTAGTGGTGATCTAACCTTTACAGCCGTTGGAAGTCTCAGCAGTCGCCAAGTGCTGTTCAGCAACGCTGCACTCCATGTCCAAATCCCTCAGCTCAACGCGAAAACCCTGGAAGCTGATCTCGCCAGACCGTTCACCAATCGCTTTGCACCCCGCTCTTCTCCACCCTCAGTTACACCTGGAGAAAGCCAGTCGAAGCCGTACAACGGCTCAGGCACTCAGGATGACCCGTTCATCGTCGATTGGTTGCCAGACGAATCTGCCAACCCGTACAACTGGAACAGACGATTCAAATGGGGGCTCACTCTTCACCTAGCGCTCAACTGTCTCGCACCAGTCTATACCAGCAGTGCTTATGTAGCGGGCGTGGAGGATCTAGTAGTGGCATTCCCGGGAACAAGCGTCGAATCGGGCATATCCGGTCTAAGCTTGTATCTACTAGGTGAGCGTCTTTCTGACAGATCGAAATCCCACAGTTGACCCGAATGCCAGGTCAAGCATTTGGTCCGCTATTATGGGCTCCTGTCTCCGAAGTCCACTTCATAGGGAGAAGAAAGACCTATCTCTTGACTTTTCCCTTCTTTGTTTTGTTCAATCTTGGCGGCGCTTTGTCTCACAACATGCCCAGTATCCTCATCACACGATTCTTCGCTGGTGTCTTTGGTTCTTGCCAATTGTCAAACCTAGCAGGACAGGTGGGCGACATATGGATCCCGTGAGTGCTTGCTTGAGTGACCCGTCAGATCTCCACTGATTCAAATCACATGCGCAGCCAAGAACGAGTATTACCCGCTGGACTTGCAGCCCTTAGTCCTCTTCTTGGTCCTGTGTTAGGACCTTGTGTGGGAGGATTTGTCGCTCAGTATTCCGGTTGGCGAGCCATCTTCTGGATGCAATTCGGATTCGGTCTGTGAGTCGCTTCACAAGCGATCGAAACAGTACTGAGGCCAACCCCATAGTTCCATGCTTATGTTGTGGATCTTCCTTGTCCCCGAAACGTACGGTCCTACTCTGATCTACCGAAAGACACGCCTGCTGCAATTCGAATCGGATCATCTCGGGAACCGATTCATCTTTAGGAGCAAATTCGACGCGAAGGGCAAGACCATCTTCCGGGCTCTCAAAGAGGGCTTGACAAGGCCTTTCATACTGCTGTTCTCTGAGGTCATCGTGTTCACCTTGAGCCTATACAGTGAGTGATGTATGCTGATGGGGAAGTTCCGCTTGCTGAGAACTATCGTCAAGTCTCGATCATCTATGGGATGTGAGTGACATGCCATCGTGCTCTTCAAGAATGCTGAGCCTTTTCTCGCAGCCTATACCTATTGTTCACGGCTTTCCCGATCGTCTTCCAGCAGTTGCGTCACTGGTCCCGTGAGTGCAAGGTGTGGCTCCGTGACACGGCTGATCCGTCCAGTGGGCCTCAATGGCTGCGCACTTCTCGGGATCGGAGTCGGTATGGTGATTGGCTATATCCTCAACGGAGTCGGCAAGGCCATCTACATCAAAGCCATGGCAAAGCTCCCCAAGGGTCAGCTACCCCCGGCTGAAATCAGGCTGCCGACCATGATTCTCGGTGGTCTCTTGGTCCCGATTGGTCTGTTCATCTTCGCTTGGACCGCTACGCCAAATGTCCATTGGGCAGTCCCCGTGGTCTTCTCTTCATTCTTCGGCATGGGTTACCTCTTGATTTTCACCAGCATTCTGCTTTACCTAATCGACAGCTACGCTCTGCATGCCGCTAGTGCCGTGGCTGCCAACTCGGTCATGCGATGCTTATTTGGAGCAGCTTTCCCGTTGTTTGCCACGCGGATGTTTGACAGATTGGGAGTACACTGGGCAGGCTCGCGTGCGTGGCAACAGGATACTTAAGAAGCAGGCTGACTCGTTCTGCTACAGTCCTGGCCTTGCTGTCACTCGCTTGCATTCCGCTACCATTCTTATTCTACCGATATGGGCCATACCTTCGTCGGAAGTCCAAGTACACGCCGTCCGCACCCCTCTCTCCACTTCCGCCGAAGGAGACTGCCAATGAGGCAGGGGCAGATAAGCCAGACATCGTCGGTAAAACTACAGAACTGCAGAACACCCTATCAAGGCTCGAGGGGAAGGACGGACGGAAGAGGGCCAGGTCTTTTGATGTTTCACGACTGCTACGAACCCAAAGAACGAGCTCTGTCGATCCCATATTGCGTGATTCATCCGCCACACTCCTGGACTTGCGAGAATCTGTCATCTCAGATGTGGCACCTGTCATCACAGACGATTTGTGGAGCCGACCAGACTTGAATCTATCTGTTCCGTACCTTGATGGAAGACCGCTGGCATCAGGTGATGTCACTCCATCGCAAGGGGACCGCAACACGCGCATACCGAGATTGGCATGACGGATTGGGGGTTCATACAAACTATAATGATGATGACTAGTGGGGATTTGTATATATGCATACTCCAAGCCCGACAAAGTACCGCTGCTGCGTGCGACTAGCCAGTCTGATCGGCCAAATACCCGACGATTCGGCCCTTGGTCGAACCCCAAGTCGGTGGCATAGTGCGAGCCGGGTCTCTGGAAAGTGGGCACGAGGCCGCACCACAGAGATATCGGAAAGTTCAGGTGTAATCCCGCATCTTTTTCGTTCTGCATTCCCGCGCGTGCCTTTCATATATTATTTAATTTATCACCTGAACCTATGATGATGATGATGATGATGGATCAGAGACCCATCATGATCGATCGGAATCACACAGGAAACCAAACATACATGGTGTCTTCATGAATGGATGAAATGTACAGGACCGACAGCGCTGCTTGTCCTTGCAGAAGGCCTCGACCTCACGAGGAATGTGGGCGCCACTTGTGGCTTGGTGGACATTCATGGAGCCGAGAAGCTTTATCGGACGACATACAATGGCACGATGGCGGTCGATGGGAGACCGATCGAAAGACGGGGAGAGTAGTGGTAGCCAACTCCACGCGCATGTACACACAGACTGTATAGCAGCGACCCCTATTCTTCTTGATTTCCAATGCATAGGGTGGGAAACCTTGAGTTCCTACGCATGTATGCAGCCCGGATTGACAAAAAGACTCTTTCAGCTTAAAAGCCTCTGAAATAGAGGCGGACGAGCAGAGCAAGCAAAACAGGGCAAATCAAAACAACTCTGAAAACGTAAAGTGCAACAGCCTACAATAAGAGTCATAGAGCTAGCGAGACGCAGTCACTCTGTTTAGCATCAGATGAGAAGATATGAGCAGTACAGTTGTTGAGCACGCGAGCCGTTGCGGCGCCACTGCTCAATCGACGGATATTGCATTCTCCTATATTTGATTAACGTGCCGCACAGATGCTTGTCGAAGTGTTTGTTGACATAGAAGGTCTTCTGCAAATCGACTGGGCGAGAGCGTTGAATCAGGCATGAGCCTGGACGATCATAAACATGTGGTGGGAGAAAAAGGGTTCGTGCCGAGCGGCCAAATGATCGATGGGGATTTAGGACAATGACAAGCATAACAGGGTTCTTCCAGCACAGGCTGTACGCCTCATTTGCCCCAGCATCAGCAGCAAGACCAGTAGCGGCAGCAGTAGCAGCAGCAGCAGCAGCAGCAGCAGAACAGGAATGAATCTCTGCGGTGTGAAAAGAGGCGAAGTTCGGCTTAAAAATAAAAAAAAATTCCAAATGAACTACTCCGTTCTCGGGATCTTGTTCCAATCCTCTTGCTGGTTGTCTGTGTCTGTGTCTCTCTCCAGCTGCTCTGCTGTCACGCCTCGCTGCCCGCCCACGCTTGGCTCACCTACCCACACCGTCGTTCTCATCGGCGGCTGCCCTTCTCTGACGCCAGAGAGCGAGCTACCACTGTGTACCCCCTCAGCGGGAAGTTTGAATGTCTCCGGTCTAAACCAATCCCGTCTGCTCGAGACAATATGTTAATAACCGAACACTCATCTGGTTCAGTTTACCGACCATACGGTGCGAGAGGGGAACTACGTGGTCGTCCGCACCGCAACCATAACAGAGCTCCTCCTCTCCGACGGGCTCCTCCTCCATGAGTAGCCAGAGACACAGAGAGAGAGTGTAAGAGCAGCACGTATAGTTATTATCATCGTCGCCATCGAACGATCTGCACCGCGAAGCCAAAAAAAAAACGCCTCCTGACGCGATCAAACGGCTCGAAGGGACAAATTGAATTCTTCCAGCAGCTGCTGCCTGCTGCTGCTTGTTCCTCAGTCATTCATTCATTCGGGGTGATATTGCACCACTTCAACGGTATTTAGACTACGCCATCACTTATTCTGGCCCTGCCCTATCTAGCGCGCTCACGTGGATCGGAGGAGGAGGCGTTTCGGGTTCATGTGGCGCTCATCTCAATCGTACGCAACTAGAGCGAGATCTTTCATAGAAGAACAAGAAGAAGAAGAAGAAGAGGAGGGGAGTGAGGATTAACGGGTCATCGACGCCGCTCGGATCAAGCTAGACTGAACTCTGTCCCGGTAAGTTATGCCCTGCTACCAAACACCGAGTAAAGGTGGTTAGAAAACAAATGTGAGCTGATCAGCACATCCTTTTCATGTTTATTAGCCCGGACACGACAGGTAGAGCAGCAGGCTGCTTAGTGAGGGCGCTGTCTTTAGGGCTCTCACATACAATAAGGACCACCTGCCCCAGGGACCGACTAGACTCTATCGGAGACTAGGAGGTCAGTCTTGGGGGTCAGGCGCAGGTTGGAAGACGCAGCGTTCATCAACCGACATCAACCGACATGAACCCCAACCAATCTCCTTTCAATGCTCATCCATCGCTGTCCTCCTCAGCTGGTCCTTCACGCTTTACACAGGCCGACTTGCAACATCCGCATGGGGATGCCGACTTGCAGTCCCATGTTTCAGGGGCGTCGTCATCATCATCTTCTCATGGATACTATGTCAACCCCATGGCTTCCGGCAGCGCTGAATCTCTCGATACTCTGTACACCATCACACAGAGCACCTATGGGGCTCCAGTCCCTCCAGCCAGGACATCGTCCTTGGCGATGAGAGGGAAGCAGAGTCAATCCTCGATGGACGCGGGAAACTTGCCAAGTGTTCAGGTGACACACCCAACCCCAACAAAGTCGCGACGTCTGAGGAGAAGGACAGCGACAGCTGTTGGGCTGGAATCAGAGATCGAGACTTTGGAGGCACAGGCTGCTGCGTGGTCTGAAGATTCTCCAACGAGGCGAAGCGGCGCCCAAATAGATACGAGCGCGGTGGGTCAGCAGCGTCCAAGCTCGAGCGGACCAGGATATGGCGGTGAGGGCATGAATCTGGCCAGTATGAACCCCCATGAGAGAGGGCGGATACGACCCGATGACGATGACGGGGAGGAAGACGAAGATGAAGACGAGGGTCCAAGTGAGACGGACCGTCGAAAGGCTGTGGAGGAAGCACGCAGAGTACGAGCGAGAGAAAAGGGCAGGGAGAGACAGAGGAGGAAGAGGGAGAGAGACAAGAAGGCTAAAGAGACGGCTCGATTGACCGGAACTTCTGTCCCACCAACAGGACCTCCCGCTACTGCTCTCATGACGGCCACTCGACTGCCTATCCACGCGCGCAATGCCAAAGTCGCAATGCCTACCACTCCCATCGGCCAGTCACCAAACGTCGCTCAACCTTATCCCTTCTCCATGTCTGTACCTTCCTCATCATCGTCATCATACTCCCCCCTACCTCAAGCCCCTGGAGGATTCTACAGTGGTCTGTCACCAAGTACCACGACTTCTTTCGCATCCATGTCCATGTCTGGACAGTCGTCACCGAACACATTGTTTTCACCCTCAGCTTCCACGCCTAGTATGGGCCAGCAGGAGGCCGGCGGATCATCGACCAACTGGCCGCCTCATGATGGGGTCCTGGTCATGGATACGGAAAACAGGAGCAAGCAACAAATCGGTAAAACAGATCGGACATCCAGCCAGGGTCCGCAATCCAATCAGAATCCGGCAGCCGTAGTCTCGTTACAGAGCATGTCACACAAACCATCCAAGAGGCGCAAATCCGAACCCGAACCGGAAGAGTATCGAGATCTGAAAGCGCTCCCAGCTGGTCAAGTGGGTCTAGGAGTACTCATCGACGAATCCTCATGGCAGGGATCCGCTTCGACGTCTGGTCTGGCCGCTCCAACGACGAACAGGCCAAGATATCGCAGGACTCATTCTGAGGGAGCTACGAAACCTTTGTCTGCTCTTGCCACGGACCCTGTCCCCAGGACCAAATCCTCGACACCTCCGCCTCTTTCTGCCCTAGGCTCTGGTTATTTTTCTCCTGGGGAGCCTACTCAGGCTGGTGCTTTCTTCGCGACCACCGTCACGGTAGCCTTGTCCTTGTCCGGTCTAGGAGCGACGCTTGAAGCACGACTGGGACTGGACGAGGCTGGTCTTCAGGAGATCAAAGACGACTTGGCAGGAGTCTTTGATCGCTGGCGGATATCAAAAGGCCTTAGAGCAGTATCACTCAGTGGACCTTCGGGAAGTGCTCAGATGGAATCGAGTGGCTCGACCATGACTGCCGTGACGGCCCTGGGCGTCGATGATCTAGAGGTGTGTGACCAGTGACTTGATATCGTCCCATGGGTACTGATTCCTACACACTCAGATGAGAGACGATTCCGTGATCAACACGAACACCGGCTCCATTAATATCGCCGAATCGCCGATCAGGCCTCACACGGCCCATGTGGACAGCTCATTCTTCACACCTGCGCCGATGCGCACAACACGTACAGAGATCAATGTGCCACAGACCATGCCAAATTTCGCAGTCCCTCAGATGAGCAATTCGCAGTATCTCCAGCCTCACGAGTCTCCGTTGGCCCAGCAGCGTAGTACAAGCTCTCATGGGAGTCAATCGAGTCAACATGTTCGGACGAGATCACTTTCATCAGCCTCCATGGCGGCTCGGGGACTCATCATCAGCTCTGCGGCGGCTCAAACTCCTCCCAGACCCCCGGCAATGCTTGGTCAACCTCCTCTCAGATGGACCAGGAATCCTGGACTACAAGACATTGTTATACATGGTCATGGATCGGGATCTGAAGGTCCCAGCACAAGTCCGACACTCCAGACACCGTCCACGGGGGAAGGGTCCTTCCCATCTGCCGAGTCGATAGGCATGGTGGCTGCCATGAACTACCAGGCTCAGGGACAGGCTCCATCCGGGGATGGCCCTATGCTACACGCTCAAAGGTTGCCGGAATCGTGGCAGATCACAGGTGACCCTCATCGTGCACGAACCTTTATGACGCATCAAGAAGGCATGGATCAGACGGTGAATCTCCCCCGTACCGGTATGGATCTCGGTATGCTTCCTGGACAAGTCGACATGGGCTCATCTCATAGTACTGATCTGCATGTCGAGATGATCCGTGGCGGTGGTGGCAGTGAAGGTAGCTCGACGACCGACACCAGCACCACTGGCGCTGATTGGGGATCTAAGACATCAGGACCTCTCGACAGTCCATTGACCATTGCGTCAATGAGCAGGTCAGGATCATCTCACATGGCCGCCCCGGTCCCGTTGTCCAGCATGCCGAGGATGTATCAGTCGCAGCAACACGGCCCTTCCTCTCAACCTCGCCAACCTGATTACTCTCAAAGGCACTCGCCGACTCCATTTGCCTATCATCCACCTCCCGGACCTTCTTTCGTGCCTCTGTCTGAACCCATCATGGATCCGTCGTATAGCACGCCCCAATCTCAACGCACAATTAGGCAGGCCGTGCCTTTCACTCCGCCCACACCAGTCACGATTCGAAGCCAAGCGCTTGGACCGATGCTCTCAGATCACAGTAACATGCAACAGGCTCACGGGATGCAAGGCGGCCCTATGTACATCCCTCAGGGTCATTATGAAACGGACAATCATAGGATGAACGATTCACACACTCAACAATCATCTCAGCATCACCATAATGAAGATCAACGAATGAATTAGGACAGGGCAGTTCCTGTCGTTGACGTTGTAAGCATCGTGCATGTCATTGGACAGACATCTACAGATCAGTACATGTCACTCTATGCATACAGTGTACTATACCTGTCATTGTTGGCACAGACTGACTGGACTCGAGCGCGACATCCGGAGGCAGATCGCCTGGACTGCCATGGTGAAGCAATGATCCTCGTCACCTTGGCATGGCCAAATGTTCCGGGCCAAAGCTCAATGGCAAGAGCTCCTCGAGGCTCATCACTCTGATCAAGCGTCCGTACTCCTTGTTGACTTTGGCTTCCCTTTCTCGTAAGCTCAATCCCTGCATATAGTCTTCCAGGCATTCCGCCAATGCCTTTGGCGCACTGCCCTTCGCAGAATGTGAATCGAGATACGTAGAGGACAACATGAATATGGGCGTGTTGAGCGGTAGGAATTCTCGCAGAACCTGTCGGCAAATTCCACAGGGTGAGACAGAAGGTTCAGCCAGTTGGGACGTCACAGCACAGGCGAGGAACGAGCGATGTCCCATGGACTATATTGTATCAAGATCAGTAAGGCTACTAGAGCCTGCAAATACAGACTCACAATTGCTTTGGGGATAGCTGTACGCTCAGCACAGATCCCTGCGCCTAAGTGCAGAGATCTCCTCTCAGCACGGTGCCGACCGAGTCAAACCCATCACCTCTCACCATAAGAAGCGTTCTCCACATTGCAGCCTCCCACAATCGTCCCATCAGCGCAGAGCAAGGCAGCACCGACACTATGTCCATTCAATAAGAGCTGCAGACCTCTACATGGCGACGCTCACTGGAAGTTTGAATACGGCGCGTATGCCTTATCTCGACCTGCCAATCCAATGGATGGATCAGCAAGATTGGAAGTGATCTGGGAGCTGTTGACTTACTTTCAAACGCCTCTAAGATCATCTCATGCACTTTGATGACCTCAAGGGGCTGCCTTGAGCTGCCTTGTGTCGTGGTCGTCATGCTTGACTGGCTGTTGCTATACTTTGAGAAGTCCAATGCTGCGGCATGGAGTCTGTCGATCACTCAAAAGGAGATCTGATTCGCCACGTGGACCAAGCGCCTAACTCAATAGGCGTGCTCCATCATTTTGCCAGCCAAAAAAAATCTCGAACACACACCTCGGAAACTGAACAACTTTCACGACATCGACGACTTTAGGATCAAGCGGCAGTGATCGTTGCATGTACTTGACCCGGGCAGTTGCTAGCTCTGGACGAACGATTGTCTGCTTTGTATCGCGCGCAACTCCGGGACTCGCTGCTCCGCTTTCCGCATCCTTTCCTACAGCTCCGTTTTCTCGACCTGGTATTTTAGATAAAGGACGACGACCCAATTGTCGTTCACTCCATTCATCCCCTTCCGCCCAAAAAGTAAAAGGCAAGATGCCTCCCAAGAAGAAGAATGAGGAGACCAAGAAGATCATGCTTGGTCGTCCGGGAAACAATTTGAAGGTGAGTGTCAGGTCTCTTCGAGGCTGCTCGAATCTCGCCTCTTTTCACGCTAACGCAACGCTCAGCAAGGAATTGTCGGACTCCCAAACGTCGGCAAATCATCTTTCTTCAACACTCTGTCACAGACAGATCTGGGAAAAGCAGCTAACTTTCCATACGCTACGATGTGAGTTTCAGAGCTTCACCTTGGGTCTGACCCAATGTCAGCGACCCTGAAGAGGCCCGTATCCCCCTCCCTGACGAGCGTTTCAACTGGCTCTGCGAGCTTTACAAACCCGCCTCCAAAGTTCCGGCCTTTTTGACGTGTATCGATATCGCTGGATTGACCGCTGGAGCATCAACAGGAGCCGGTCTCGGAAACGCCTTCTTGTCCCATGTCAGGGCAGTGGACGGAATCTTCCAGGTGGTCAGGGCATTCGATGACGCTGAGGTCATTCACGTGGAGGGAGATGTCGACCCTTTGAGAGACATGCACATCATCAGCACGGAGTTACGGTTGAAGGATATCGAATGGGTGGAGAAAGACTTGGAGAGGCTGAAGAAGGGTGCGAAAGCGTTGGGAACATCCAGTCTGGCTGCCAAGGCTCGGGCGGAGGAAACTGTGAGCGGGTCATGGAAATCGTGCCCTCTTCCCTCAGGCTCATCGCTCGACATCTCAGGCTACTGTTGAAAAGATACTCGCGCTCCTTGCCGATGGCAAAGATGTCCGTAAGGGGAACTGGAACAATAAAGAGGTGAGAGCCTACTCCGTCCACCTCATCCCTTTTTGCCTTTCACTATATTTGATGAGAATGGGCACAAAGCCCTATCAAACCCAGCTCGTCGATCAATGGGGTAACGTCCATAATCATGAGAAGAGATAACTATCTGAAACTCTATCGCATCCTCTATCGCTATATGTGACCAGGGCTACGATGCTAATGCCTCCCCTCGTGCTATACAGGTCGAAATCATCAACGGCCTCAACCTGCTCACCGCCAAACCCATCACATACCTCGTCAACCTGTCCGAAAAGGACTTTGTCAGGAAGAAGAACAAGTGGTTGGCGAAGATCAAGGGATGGATAGACGAGAACAACCCGGGAGACGCTTTGATTCCTTTCAGTGTGGCTCTGGAAGAGCGTCTCGTCGACATGTCTGACGAGGAGAAGATTGCGGAGGCGGAGAAGCTCGGTCTGCCAAAGGGCAATCCGAGTGCCTTGGGAAAGATCACCACTGCTGGATACACCAGTCTCGACTTGATCCGATACTTCACTTGTGAGCGGAAGATGTCCCATTCTCAACCGCAAATGAGGTCTGACAACGACATCCTCAGGTGGTCCTGATGAAGTCAGGGCGTGGACGGTCAGGAAAGGCATCAAAGCACCTCAAGCTGCCGGTGTCATCCAGTGAGCCACAAGAGCTTGTACCTCGCCTCGCGCCTGCGCTCACCCTCTCCCTTTTTCTTTTAGCTCTGACTTTGAAAACAAGTTTGTCTGTGGTGAAATTATGTCCTATGAGGATCTGAAAGAACACGGTAGTGAAGCTCAGGTCAAAGCTGCTGGAAAGCTCAGACAACAGGGCAAGCCGTATGAGATTGTAGATGGAGATATCTGTTACTGGAAGTGTGGTGCTTAAAGGACTGTATCCATGCGCTGGCCGGTTCAGTCTGCTGTAGCCCATGCATCTAACACCGTGCTTCCTTCCTCGTTTACGCTGTCCGGAATCTTGAGACGAGACGAAGATTCCGCGAAAATTTCATGTTCAGGTCAAGTTGCGAGTATTTCTTCCTGTAGGTCCATCTCGTCTCTCTCCTAATTCAGACCTTACCTGCGCATACTTTACGTTGCCCAAGGTCTTCATGTTCACGCCTACATCTGATGTTCCGCCTTTCGTGACGCCAGAGGCTCACGACGCTCTCACATCCTCTACTCCGGCTTCCTTTAACGATATCCCTCCTACCTTGAGGTTTCAGGATGATGCTGTCGAAGTGACGATGGAACCTAGCAGGGGGTGGGATTGGAGCGGAAGGATCAAAGGGAAGATATGGGTCACAGAGGCGTGAGTGAGGAAGAACCACCGGCTTCCTGTGATTTCATCCATCCGTGCTGAATGACAGATGCCAGAGCCATTGTCTTTCTACCCTCAAATTCTGAATCAAGCTCAGGGTTCAAGCTGCTCTATCCTGCTCTAACTCTTCACGCTCTCACCCCTTCTTCTTCTGAATCACCAGCACACGTTTACTGCCAGATTGACGAGACGGGCACCGGCGGTTTAGACGAGGACGATGCCGGCGGACACATGACCAACGGACACTCGGGAGCCAATGGAGATGCTAATGGAGTTGAAGACGAGGAAGAGGACAATGACGAGGCAGGACAGTATTCGACCTTCCGCGAGCTGAGGATATACGTCTCAGAATCCAGAGGTGACTTTCCGGATTGATGTGAGATTGTTATCCTTGCTGACCCTTCCTCCCTTCACTCCAGTCCAAGACCTCTTCAATGCCATGTCCCACTGTTCAGGTCTCCATGATTCCCTCTTACCTTCTGGCGAACCTTCATCCTTTTTTGGAGGCTTCGGAGATATGCCCAATGGACCAGAAGATGAAGAAGATCAGTACGAGGACGGCGATGAAGAGGAACAGGAAGGGGATGAATCCCGTGTTGGTCAACCTGGAGAAGACGAGGGCGAAGCTGGAAGAGTGAGATCCGATTTTCATAGCGGTGGAGGACCAGGAGCGAGGTATAGACCATATTAAATCCCTTGCTGGTCCCTACCTTGCTTCGTCCTCTACGCGAAGACGGGGCAAGAAAGCTGATGTATTTGTTGTGTTGCCCTCCTGTTCGCCCCTGTCGCTATGGACAGGTAGATCAAGTGGACCGGTTCTTGAACCTCGTCGATTGGGGGAACGTGCGGCCCCCGACTGGATGGTCACAGCAGCATACGAATGGGCAATTCGAGGATGCAGATGAGGAGCGAGGAGATGAGCAGCAACCCAAGTGACAGGTCCAGCAGCTATTTGCCAAGGAGAAGAACATTGTAAATTCAGCGTATATGCATACATTGTGCTCATGCCGACGGAGTGACCACGGCAGAAGGTCTATGTCCGCTGTCAGCCTCCGCCGATGCAATCATCGGTACTGCCTTGTGCTCTATCCTTTGTGTGTCTCCTGATTCCTTCGCCGAGATCTGTCTTTCACCAGATGTCAAGTCTGCCGCCTCTGCCGCTTTCTCCTTGGCCAGTCTGAGCCTCTCTCGCCTGCGGGCTTGCCACTGTCGCCCATTCACCCATACGTATCGACCGGTACGAGACATTCCGACTCCTAACCCTCTTCCTGTCCAGAATATGCCCTTTCCAATACCAATGATGACCGATTTGACAGTCCATTGACGAGGATCCCAACCCATCCGGCTGTCCTTGACGGTCTGCTTTACGTTGCTCCATCGGGAGGCGAGGTAACCCATCTTCGGCCCTACCTCAATTGCGTTTTCATGCGCCTCTTCGTCGCCTAGCCGCCTCGTATACCGTTTCCAAGGATTTGACGGGTCACGCAATTGACCTCGGGAGAGTTTCTCCTCGAGCCATCTGAGCACAGGGACATCTCGAGGTTGAGGCAACAAGGTGGTATGTATGGATATGACACTCGGAAAGTCTGACGAAGTATTCGGTAACAACAGTCGAAGACGATGTGCCAGTAGAGTATCTGTGAATTGACGGTCCCCAATGACGAGAATTCTCGCTTCTTCGAGAGAAGTAGGCTGTGCTCGAATGAGAGTTTGCGAGCCCAGATTGGCGTCGGGGTTGCTAGTCCTTTTTTCAAGTGACTCGGGCAAAGTGATGGCAGTTCGGAGCGTTGAAGATGGCGCAGTCGGTGTGTCACTGGTTGTGCTTCGTATCCTGGCAATCTCTTTACTCATCCATTCTTTCTCTCCTCTTTTCAGGATGGCCTCGCATTCAGCTTGAAACGCATCCTGATCCGCCTGGATCAAGGCGAGCTTCTGCCGGATGATGGAGACAGGTGCACCTAGCTCGCCACGAAAGTATTTGAGTATCTCGTCAGCACATCCAGGCTTGGGTTGAGCGTGGATGAGGACAGGGGTTTGCAGGTGATGGGAGACGCTTCGAGCCTACAGGCGAGATCGAAGATCAATAGCAGCCTATGAAATTATGTGCGAACCGTGAACTGACCGCTATGCCTGATGGATCCTTCTTGGTGCCTGCAGAGTTGGACACGACCAGTACTCGTCCGGGTTCGAACGCAGTCAAGAGCTCTCGCCACGCTTCCTAAGATGAGGGTCAGAGACAGGTATGCGGTCTCTCAGTACATGTCATACCTTGAACGGAGGGTAACATCCATCCTGTTCCGGAAGTGTCTAGTAGTCTTCAGCACAAGACTCCCCTAGCCTGCCTTTTCGACTCACCACGCAGTTGTCCTTGTCAACGACAACGGCATTGTAACCGGCCTTTCGTAGCGCTGCAAAGTCAACATGACCAATAGCTAAGGTGGGTGGGAGGATTTACGAAATCAGCCGGAGAGAGCAACTAAAGGGTGTAGTTTGACCCACTTTTGACCTTCAAATCTGGCCTCAATCTCGATGGTCTGACTATAGCAGCCAAGTAGATGAACACATTTGGCAGGCGAGGGCCCATGCCAGGTTTTGAGTCCCACAGCCTGAGCCCTAAAGATGAAGTGGACAGTTGAGAGGAGAGAGGGATGAATAGAAAAATTGGCTTAAGTTGATTTTCGGAATCTTGTGAATCGTCGATTCATTCAACAACAACAGCAACAACAACAACAAACGAGGGAGCAGCCTTGATCTTGGAACTTGAGCAGCGTATTCCACGCCTTCAGCCCGTCATTGACACCTCCGAAAGACCAGGGATAACCCTTCATTACCTCACGCCTGCTTACACTGTACTTCTTCACCCATCACGATGTCAACCGCAGTTTCCCAACCTTCTCAAACCACCCCTTCGACAGCTGCCCTACAACCCTCGAGCTCCAGCATTAAGCGCCTGTCAATGATCTCCAAAGGATCCACTGATGGCGGCGCATCCAAGTCAAAAGTTCAAGCTCCAGCATTACCGACCGCCATCTCTGGCGGATCCGTGAAGGACGTTGTGAGCCCAGGAGAGTTGTGTGGTTTCGTGAGTCCTGTCGCCCTCTTAACACGCGTAAGCACAGCTGAGCTACTTGATACAGGTGGATACTCTATTGAACTCTCTCGAAGCTCGATTCGACGAAATGAGCGAGCAGATCTTGTAAGTCTACGCATTGAGAGCATGCTACAGCGCTGACGCGACCTGATAGAGGCCGAAGTGAGTTTTACCCATGACCAGACCAATGGAGAACGTCTGCCTATGGACAAGCCAGTATTCGCTGCTGATCGCTGACTCGCATGCTACCAGTGAATGAAATGTCGAATAGGATAGACAACATGGAGAACACCATTCAAGACCTTTTGCAAACGGGTATCGAGTCAGGTCCGAGTCCGAGCCCATCGCCAGCGCCGAAGAGATGATGGTCTGCGAGAAGAGTCTACAAGACGTCTCCGAGCTAGGCCTACAGGACGTGATTTGACGATGCTGGACCGACGCGTAGCCGGTTGTACATATTCTACCATGAAGACGCCATGACACGAGGTGAGGGGATTTGGTACATGCACAGAGATATCACAGGTGCATCAGTCTACTTCTCAGCCGCTGCCTAGATGAACGCGGATCACTATCCAGTGGGCTTTTCTTCTTGGCTGCTTGACAATGAGGTTTCTGTCTGCCTGGGTCGGACGAGCAACCCTTCTGTAACGATGACTGCGACGTACCGAGCTTGAGCCCCGGGCACAGGCATAAGAGGCCCTGACGACCTAGACACTCGATACGTTGGGTTCATCATGCCTGGTACAGATTGGCTGAGAGCGCTGACAATTTGAGGATCCGCCATATTGAATGCTGTTGACGAGGGATCTAAGTAAGGGTGATGAACAAGTGATGGGAATGTCAATGTATGCGTCTACTATGACGGTAAATTGTCATTCTGGATGTCAGAAGCGATAGCCCGCCGATTCAACCTGTTCGACTCCTGTGTTCTTCGTGACAGAAGCCAGACGATAAGTCCAGTGACGAATCTTCGCTGGACCCCTCATCTTCGGGGAACCTCTGCCAATGCTCTCCCCATGCGCATAACGACGCGCATGAAACGGTCTGTGGTGTCTCTCCACAGATAATGTGCGTCGTTGCAAACAGGTCTCTGAGAATGAGATGGATGCCCTTGGGGCCTCAATGCATGCTGTTTTTTGGGGTCAGTTCTATCTAATAAGCTGTATTGCGTGTCAGCCGGAGCGACGAAAAAATAATGCGAGGCACCTACTCTGGGTAGCGAGCCAACCTCCATCAATGACAATGTCACATCCGGTCATGTATTCGTTCTAATGAACAGAGTTAGCCCATTACTGAAGTCTGGCAACCAACTCACGGTGACAATGCCAAAGATGGTCTGCGCGTAGTCCTTGGCAGTCCCAACGATGCCGAAAGGGATGGCATACTTTGTCTTGAAGAGGTTTGCAGCGGCTTCCGGGTCGTCCTTTGGGACATCTTTGACACTCATGCCCTAATAGAGAGTCAGCCATCATAGGAGAAAAGCCACAGGAGGGATCCGACCTACCGAAGGGAAATAACCAGGGTTGATACAGTTGACTCGGACTCCGAAGCCTCGTCGGGCGAAGTCTGTAGACAGCATCAATGACAGATGACGAGTGGCCGCTCTAGGAGGAGAGGAGGCATACGTTAGTTGCCCGTCTAACATAATCAAGAGAGCTACCACTCACTTCCCAGAGTTGTAGTTGAACTGGCCATGTTGACTGGTCCTGGTAATACCGGACAGACTGGCTACATTGATGACATTGCCAGCTTCCCTGAAGCCGCCTTTCGACTTGGCGGCGCAAAGCAAGGGGAGGAAGGCGAACGTGGTGAAGTGATACGATGCAGTGTTGATCCGGTGAGTGTTGGCCCTGAAACGGTGACGGTCAGAACCGTCTCACCTGCTGCCTTCTACTGGGATCACTCACCAAGTCTCAAAAGATTCCTTCTCAAACATCTCCTTGGACACACCTTCTGGTGTCTGCTCACAGTCATCGATCTCTCCGTGAGGCTCAGAAACACCGGCGTCTAGCGCAAGAGTCAGTTCCACGGCCGCCATTGTGATACTTGCTGTTGACGAGGATGTTCAACCACTTCTCGTTCTTCTCAACCGCTTCTCTGAGCTCTGATGAAGCCGTCAACGCTGCCTGGTGGGTCGCCGAAGAAGAAACTCACTGATGATTCCTTCCTTGGTCCCGACATCTCCCTGAACAGGGATGATCTGACCCTTTCCGTTCTTTGGGCTGGCAGCCTTGGCCGCCTTCTCCAGCACGTCAAGTCGTCTACCAGAGATGTAGACCTTGCAGCCATTCTCTGCAAGAGCAGCAGCGGTCACCAGACCTAGACCAGTGCCACCTCCAGTGACTTGTGCAGCCCGTCAGTCTCGAGGACAACCGACCAGTGGAGCTACTGACCCACTGCGACCCAGCCTTCAACATTGAATAGCTTCTGAACGGACAAGGCATCTGTGCCAAAGACAGATTCTCCAAGTGCAAATTCACTCATGCTGAAGACCTACACTACTGTGACAAAGCTGAGTATGTTGAGCCCAAACGGTTCGAACGAAAGATTCGGAGTACCAAAACGCCCTCATGGACGGAATCTCGGCGGATACGCCGGTGACGGGATTATAATTCGGCGAGAGTACGCCGATATCATATAAGTGTCTGGTCAGGTTCATTGCTGTCGAGATGCGAGATGCATCTTTTACTCATGCCGTCGCAGAGATGCAGATGTCAAGCATAGTGAGAGTCAACCATGGCGAGTCACCAACAGATGATTGTTGGGCTAGGTGAAGTTTCAATCCAGTAACAATCGCGGATCTCCATTTTCACACTTTGAGATCGCCTTCATATGCCCGGCAGTCCAGTGAACAGAACAGGCACCAATGACATAGACCATGTGCTCATTCGGCTGACATAGTGGGTTGCGGTGGATGGTGGAAAGAGCACAATCCGTTTCGTTTACAAACAACAAACACTAGTGCCCCAGCTTCGTATTGAGTAACACAGATACCACAATGTTCGTACCTGTCAGATCTATCCGATGGACTAGGAGTTGAGACCTGGTGCCTTTGTGATGCGCCTCTGACTTGACTGGCTTCGACTCGCTCGAGGTCATATGCCTGGACGATCTTCCATGGGGTGTATGCCGGAGGACGACGACGACGACGGTTGTTTATGTTTTCGGTCTGCCACACCCAATCTACCCGTTTATGTTTGTAAACAAAGAAAAAAAATGAAAAATGCGGTGTGTGTGTGCGCGTGGGGGGGTTGCCATGTTCAATTGTACCGCAACAGCTTCTGCCGCCCTGCTCTACTATAGCTATTTCCGTCTGACGATGGCGCCTCTCGCACAGGATCATACTGACTACTCGCAACCTAACGGACAGACTCTGTTCTGCTCTGCCCTCCCTCCTCCCTAGATCTCAAAAACAGAAAATTTTCCCATAGTGAAATGTGGACCAACCAGCCATAATGAGAGACTTCGAGCTGACCCCAGAGGGATGAGACATAAAGCTGCTTTGCTGTGTCATCATCACACAGACTTCTTTCCTTTTCCTTGTAATCTACACATAAAAGGGACCCTCAAGTGTCAACCGGTCATTCTAACAACATTCCATCCACCAAGATGCGATCCATGGCGAAGCTTCCCCTTGCGCTCACTCTCCTTGCTCTGCCATTAGCGAGTGCTCAATACACCGCCACATACACCGTTGGCGACCTCCCAAATACATCTCAGCAAGGTCAAAGCGGTACCAACAACTGTGGAACGACCGACTCTCAGACCTCAGAGTGTCAGAATGTTTTCCTCAACTCTGTCAATGACTTTTGTCTATGGGGACCTCCCTCTAATCACAGTGATGAAGGCAACGGAAGCGCAGATATCGGCAACGTCGAGCAGGTCGTCGTCAGGTGAGCATAGCCCAAGAGGAACCATCGCTTAAGTCATAGTTACTGCTTGAAAGATGGCTACGGAACGCGATTGATCCCCGATGGAACCATCTCATCGGCCCACTTCGTCAAGGTCGTCAGTGAGAATGTGTCGTATGTCCAGGTCTCCGGAACTGGTGATGTAAGCAGATGACAGCAGCATTTTGGGTGCTGACATGTGCGATAGATGACCAAGATCCTCATTCCGGAGGGCGATTGGGGTGGAGAGCTCGATGTGAGTTTTCTCAAGTCCTCTCATTAAATAATAGCTAACTTGCCCTTAGCCTCACTGTCAGTACATCCTGCATCCCACCTTTAGAGCCTGCTAACGTGACCCAGCCTGGACCGGTCTTGGTAACCCCCAAGGAGGTTTGGTGTTCACCAACGCTTTCACCGGCCAATACGAACAAACCCACGAGTGGACTTCCTTCATGTCATATGTCGACTTCTGTTTCAGAGCTTGCCAAGATGGACCCAATGCACCCGGTTACTGCGAACATATTTACGACACCTGTGAGTTCATTCCCGGCACATATTGGTGTAGACGCTGATATATTGCAACAGTGGGCTGTTCCTTCACAATCCCAGGAAGCGAGGCAAGTTGATTTGTCTCGTTTCCAGTTTGTCCCGCTGACCAACCCCCCAGGGACCAGGATTTGATGACTGTCTCGGTGACCCGGGTGCCCAACCTGGAGTCTACGGCGGTACCACATTCACCCAAGGCGCTCCTTCCACCCCGGCCGCTCATCCTGACATCGCGACTTCTCAGTGCACGACTTACTCATCCGTTGGAGGTGGCAGCGTTGACCTCGCCAGCGGAAGCCCGACGTCTTCTAGCAGTACGACCAGCGCAAGTGCCGCTAGCACAACTTCCAGTACCTCGTCTGCCAGTATGAGCATGTCGACCAGCAGCGCTGCATCATCGCGATCTTCTGGCTCAAGTGCAATGGCTACAGCTACGACCAGCCGAGCTTCTACAAACTCTGGCTCGTCAAACGCTTCGGGATCATCCTCCAGTGCTTCGGCTTCGGCCTCCCACTCTGGCGCCGCCGATCGAAACATGGTCACCGGAGGATCAGCCTTGGTCGCCGGAGTCGCGGCTGTTATGGCAATGATCCTGTAGACCCTCTCTCCTTCGATTTTGAACTCAGTCGTCGGGCTCGACTATCATAGCCTTATAATCCATCTCATTCGGACATTTGTGACCTCCGTGGACATTTCATGCATTTCTCTGGGTACACAGGCAGTTGTTGATCGGTGGCATAATCATATACAATCAAGATGCGAGAGGATAGAGTCTCAAAGATACGCTTAGATCACATACCCATCATGCCGAACATGTTTGAGTAGGCCATTGGCTTGACGTCCGGATGCGGCACAGCATCAAAGGTATGAGGCGTGAGATCGCCAGAGTCGCTGATGGTGATCCATCCGCCTTGGTTGCCAGTCGAATCGCAGTAGTTGGGACAGCTGAAGACCGTCCAACATAATCCATTGTGTTCGCAGGCAACGCCATTCTGCCGAACCTCGTGGGAACGAATGACGGCAGTGACTGATGTGTCTTCACACCATTTGCGAGTGATATCTGGTCCAAAGCCGAGTCCAACGCCCTTGAAAACTTTAAGCATTTACACGACACGCACCACTCACTCTTTTCGAGGGACCCCGCCCTGGTTGTGGTTGAGGATCTGTCCAGAGCATCTCGCACATGAGCCCTGATTGACCAGGCTGTTGACCCAGCCGCTGAATCTTTTCGATCTCGTCCAAGCTGACTCCGTCCTTGCTACACGGTGGTCCCCCATGGACGATGAAGTACCTCTTAAGGCCGTTGGACAGAATCAGAGGGGATGGGACGTTCGGTCCAGTGGTAGATGTCGGGGTTTGAGAAGCCGTGACGAGCGTCGCGAGGGGAACTTATAGTCAGCACAGTCATCCCCTACCCAATTCTCACGAGATGTGAAGACTTCCGCAAAGAGTTTATAGGTCATCTCTCCCAATTTGTTCTTCGCCTCGCCCTCAAACCCGTAAACCTTGTTCATATCTGTGTGGTATCAGCGACGGCCCTGACGATCGACCTCTCACCGCTTGTCTCGTGATTGCCTCGATTTAGGAAGACTCGGTCAGGAAGCAGCCACTTGTAGGCGAAGAGGGTGAGAACGACCTCTATGGACCAGCTCCCGCTACCAGTCAGCCAAGCTTTTACTGCCACGACATACCGATCGACAAAGTCACCTAGACGCGTCAGCGACACGACAGGAAAGGTGGACTCACCATTGAAGACGATGTAGTGCGTATCGGAAGGTGGTCTGATCAGAGAAAGTAAGTTGTAGACATCATAAAATTGCTGCCGGTTAGTAGAAAGAAATCGGACATTATCTTACACCATGGGCTAGGCGTCAGCTTGCGCTTCTTAATGCAACTCACTATCGCCAACCACGTCGCAGGTGGCGCCTTTGGGTATCGTCACGTAGACCAGACTCTTCTCCTTAACCACCAAATCATACACGCCAAGGATGATCTCCCAAGCGACCCGTTTGGGGATCTTCCCACCCGACTTGAAGCTCTCGATCATGCCAGTAACAAAGGCTTCAGTCGGTTCGTAACGGCCGTTGGGATCGCTAGGGATGGTAGGGAGGGGCATGTCGGCGGACTTGGAGCTGGTGTCGAGGATGCACGAGCCCGAGGCTATGAGGGACAAGCACTTGGCCGTGATCGATTCTGCTTCTCCTGTAGAGATCGCCTGGTAGATCAGCGGAATGAATCATGGTAACCAACCTTCTCGAATTCTATTCTCCTCATGAGCTTGATAGTGGCCTGGAGCTGCTCTCTGATCGCTCGATTGCTCGGATCCAGCTCGAGAGCCTTTTTGAAATCGGGTACAGCATCGCTCGGTCTCAGAATGGCCAGTTGAGAGACACCACGTCGGTAGTAGGCTTTCGCGTATGAGGGGTTCAAATCGATGGCTCTGCCTAGCCAGATTAGTAGAGACTGCGAAGCGTTGACGTACTGGCATCCGCAATGGCCGCTCCGTGTTCCTCCATCTTCGCCTTTGACATGGCTCTATTGTTCCAAAATGTAGCATCTTTGGGATTCAATGCGATGGCTTCTGTGTACAGATCGATGGACAAAGTGAAATCCTTGCCTGATCACGTCAGTGAATGGATAAATGAAAGACCTTCACCTGCAAATGCCTTGTTCGCCCTGCCCTTGATTTCTAAGGCCATTTCGCGATCTTTATCAGTCACAATCTTTTCCATATCCACTTCTGGTTCCAGCTCCCCATCCATTCCCACTGCCGGTGTCAGTGCAACACCTCGGCCGATTCCACTCACGAGACAAGCCCGCCAAGTGCTGTGCTGACAAGACGGGACTAGGGAATGGGGTAATGTCATCCTCTGGAGCCCAAGAAGAGCTGGAAGAGGCCAGCGGTGATTCTACACCGGGAGAAGGTGATGATAAGCTGCCTGAAGAGTCGCTCATGGTGATTGAGATGGAGGACTATGGTCAGGGGATGAATTTACGAACGACGAAACCAATCAACCCAGCGACTTTTTGCTTTTTTTTTGGGTTCAGAGAATTTCCTTTTGTTTCAGATTGTTGTTTTTGAGAGGCACAGTGGCAATTTATTTAGCGATGATGACTTCATAATCTATCAATGACTGCTTGTGCAGCTCCCTCAGTGTCAAGCTCGCCTCCCAGATCTGCGGTGGTAGCGCCGTCTGCCAACGCCTTCTTGAAAGCACGCTCCAATCTGGCAGCAGCAGCCTTCTCGCCGAGATAATCTAACATCATGGCGGCACTCCAAATGGTCCCAATGGGATTGGCGATGCCCTTGCCCATGATGTCAAAGGCTGAACCATGGACAGGCTCAAACAGTGCAGGGGCCGAGTGGTCCGGAACGAGCTAGGCATCAGAGACATTCAGCCAGACACAGCTCACATTCGCAGAAGGAGCGATTCCTATCGAACCAGCCAGAGCGGCTGCGAGGTCGGAGAGGATGTCGCCGTGCTGGTCCTAATGAGCCCTAAATGAACGACGACTGCGCCTTACCAGGTTGGTACAGACAATAACGTCCAAGCTCGCAGGATTGCGCACCATCCTGACGGTCATGGCATCCACTAGCATCTTGTCCCACTTGACATCTGGGTAGTCTTTGGCCACACGATTGGCACACTCGTCCCAGAGCACCAGACCACTTCGCTGGGCGTTCGATTTGGTCACTAGGGTGAGCAATTTCCGCGGACGGCCAGAGGCCAGTTCGAACGCCCATCGAATCAGTCGCTCGCATCCGAAGCGCGTGAAGATCCCAACTTCGGTAGCTGTCTCTCCGACTGTCCCAATGTGCGATCGTCCCCCTTGCCCCGAATACTCTCCTTCGCTGTTTTCACGTACGATCACCCAATCCAAGTCAGACGGGGTCGCGGCAGTATTGACACAAGCTTTGACGCCCGGCAGAAGACAGACAGGACGACAATTTACTGCATAATCAGTTTGATCATGCAGCTCTCTCACCATACTGCTGGAAGATCTGCCTCATAGGGAGAAGAAGCTTCCACAATGAAATGTGATCCGGCACCTAGTATTAGATCTTGGCACTGAAAAGCGGCTCACATCTGGGTCTCCAACAGCACCGAACAAAATGCTGTCGTATGGTCTCAGCTCGTCTGGAAAGGTCTCTGGCGTGTACGATCCTGTCGACTTGTACCGTGCAGCTGAGGGTATGAGCGAAGGCATTCAATTCGACCGGCTCACATCCATAGTCAAAATGCGTCAAGTCAAGCGAGAAGTTCTCCAGAGCTGATAGCTTCTCCAGTACTCGAAGCGTTGCAGCGACTGTCTCGATGCCGATACCATCTCCAGGGATGACTGCAATCCTGTGAGTGCGGGTCATGTTGTTGATATGAACAGAGCGTGCGATGGCCATTGGGTTGATCTCTGAAAAGGGCGGGCCGAATTCGGCCGGACTGTGGCGGCTTTGAGCGGATGTGGCCTCTGGGTAGGATGCATCTGAATGTTCTATCTACGCATGCGTCTCCACACCAAATCGCTTGCTAATGACTACCCACTGAGCGACTATGAGTAGCTGTCTGAATGCCCAGACGGATTCTAATTCCCAAGTTTTCCGCTTCAGATCCTCCACTACGCTCCACCTGATGAAGCCTAGATGCTCTACTGATTCTCTCACCAGGAGCTCTTCGAGCTTGCGATAGATCGGTCCACCGACAGCATACTTTGTTGGCGCCGTGTATGCATGCTTGCGTCGCCTATACACTTCCTCGGTAACGAAAGGTTTCACAGCTTCTCGCAGAGCATACTTTTCGATGTATCCATCCTTGTCCTTTTTGATCTTCAGAGAAGGCGGGAGGTGATTGACAAACTCTGTCAAGTGGTGATCCAAGAACGGCGTGCGCGCCTCCAAGGAATGTGCCATCTCGACCCTGTCACCTAAGCAGCTCAGGAACTGATTGGCTAGATGCCCTTTGGTCCAGATGTACATGGCAGAGTGTATCGGATGCCAGCGAGTCATGCGAGACCTGGTCACCGGGTCGACGTTTTCCACGATGACGGAAACTGGTGAGGATTTTGGCGCTTGGGTGAAAAGACCTGCCCACGGTATAAACGCCGCCATGCAGGCTGGCGTAGTGAGACCAAGCGTCTTGAGATCCGGATCGTCAAATGCATCGACTGAACCACCGATACCAGCATAAGAATCCTTGATCGACTGTCGCAAATCGACCTCCTCGGGCTGGCCTCGCATAAAGTCTGGCAGGAACAAAGGGTACCCGGCAAAGTGCTCATCAGCGCCTTCACCCGTCAAGACGACTTTATAGCCGTGCTTTCCGGGGACGGCCGAAAGCGCATACTTTCCAATGTAGTTGAGGTCGTGATTGTGATGTTCGATATGATATGTCGCTTCTTCAAAATGATCCGCAAGAGTGGCCTCAGACATGTGAGCGCGGTGATAAGACACTCCAAGAAAGGCAGCCGTTCTCTCCGCAATTTCTGCCTTTAGCGATGGACTCTGTGCTGTCTGGCTCACCACTCTCATCAAAGTCCGTATCGTCGAATCCTATAGAAAAGCAGCGGACCTGTTCGGAGACAGAGCCCATACTGATCTTTTCCGTCTTGACTAGGTGGGCAGCGATGCCAGCAATCGCAGAGGAATCTATGCCTCCTGAAAGGTAGATCCCCACGGGGACGTCGGCTCGGAGTCGCAGGCGGATCGATTGTATGAGATGTGCCCGCAGGGACTGGATCAGGGCATCCTCATTCTCTACTGGCGACTGCTCCGTGGGATAATCCAAATCCCAGTACGGGCGGATTTCCGGTTCACCCCCTCGACAGATCATGTAATGTCCGGGACGAAGCTGCTAATAAGCCATGTTTCAGCTGGTCTATTCACCTTGTGTAATCCTTGAAAGATTGTCCGGGTATCCTGGCCCCAGCCACCGTCTTGCACGGAGTCGACGTCCCACTGTGGACGCCAACCTGCTCCTAGAAAGGCCTTCATTTCTGCAGCAAACCAGATTCGATCTTGTTCCCGACGCCAAAAGAGAGGTTTGATGCCATACCGATCACGACCAGCCATGAAAAGGTCTCGCCTACTGTCGTAAAGACAGAATGCAAATTCACCTCGTAGATGCGACAGGAAGCCGATACCATGTCGCTGATACAGAGCCAGAACTAATTCCGAATCGCTCTGGCTTTTGAAAGGGTAAGAAAGAGAGTCGCGCAATGAACCGTCATCATAGATCTCTCCATTCACTACAGCATGTATGAAACCATCCGGCGAGTGCAGTGGTTGAGAGCCCGCTGGAGATAAATCGTTGATCGACAATCGACAGTGACCGAGGCCTTTTATCAACGTCAAGGATTGCCGGTGACTCACCACAACGACCATTGTTGCTGATCCATATACCTGAAGCGTCCGGTCCTCGATGGGCAATCTTCTTCAGAGAAGCTTGCAACTGTGCTTCGATGTCTACCGATGAGGGGTCCTGCCCACAGGTGTAACTGGCAATAATTCCGCACATGTCGGATATCCAAGAGCACAGTCGGTCATCGACCACATTTTCAAAGCCGATTATCGGATCGCATGGATCACGTAAAAGTGAGACTCATGTTCCGGTCGCAACCCGCCACTCCATACCGTATGATACATGTATACAACCCATTGATCTATACTTGATCTTGACCGACACGCGGTGCAGCCCCGTTCCCGACGAGAATTTGATGATCGAGAGTCTCGCCTGACGTGAGACGCTTGTAGGTCTCCACCTTTTCACCATAATCCGACAATTGGTACATCCGAACGCGTCGGTCAAAGCCGAGCTGTCCGTAACCGGAATAGGATGACCCTCCGTCAAAGCACATCCTGAGATTCAGCAAATCTCAACGTCGCTCACTAACCATATACCTTCTGACCTCCGACAGCGGTCTGTGTTGTGACAATGTCCGTGACTCAAAACCTTGATTTCTGCAGTGGGAGTGCCATCTTCAGATTCTGCCTCATAAGTAGCTTTTATCGCATCATGAAAGAATCCCGAGTTCTGCTTGCTGTTGCCCTGACCGTCTAGCTGGTCCCCGACATCGAGCTCGTCCCCATCATACCCGCTGATATCGGCAGGACCATAGGCTTCCGGTAGAGGGATATGGAAGAACATCATCGCATTCGGCTTGGCCAGAGTGCGGATCTGACGGGTGTTTCGCCGGCGCCAAATTTTGCCCAAGTCTGATGCACCATCGGGTCTGAACGGGCGCTCGATGGGCTTGATGGCTTCTGACTGTGCCTTGTACCAATCAATCTGTGACCTTGAGTCACATGAGCTTTGCGTCAATTGTACGGCTCACTCTTTGATGTAGTCGTACTCGGGCTTTGTCCATGGCAGTACGCGATGTTGGTAATCGTGGGAGTCGAGGAAGTAGAGGGTGAAGAGGTGAACGTGAGATGGGTCACTAGAGTGAATTTTCACCAAGTCTAGCAGCTTCAGCCTCAAATGACCAAAGATGCTCACAGTTGCCCACTCCAGCAACATCCGCTGGACCTGCGCGCGCCAAGGAGTAAGGCATACTTTGCAGTGTACGCATTTGTTCTTCCCGGTCATCATCGACCTCGCTGTCGTGATTGCCTAATGTCAGGGATCTGCGTCGAGGGACAGCTTACCAAAGACTGCACACCAAGGTATCTGACGGTCGATGACAGGCTTGGCGAACTTGGCCAGGACAGAACGCGCATCGAAAGAAGTCCCTTGGCCATTGAGCTGATCGCCAGAAAAGACGACCAGGTCAGGCTTCTCCGCCTCCAAAGCCTCCGCCAACCAGGTCTCAGTGTCAATATCGCCGACACATGGCGTCTTGTCCGAGTCCCTGCATCCGCCAGATCCAACAGAATAATGGAGATCCGCGACTAAAGTCAGCGGGGAGCTGCGTTACCACTCACTCTGCATGATCTTGAATCGGCCATCACTACTGAATACTGGGCGCTTCGCTCTAGGTGGAGAGTATCCTCCTCGTCTCACCGCCAGATCAACACTCTCCCATCGTTTCGCCTTTGCTTCAGTCACCTTGCCGCCAACAACTCTGTGATATCCATAAAAGGGGTCGGCGTCGCCGTAGATGACATCTATCTCGGTGACGGGAGTGCCTTCAGAAGATTTGTACCACAAGTATACGGGTGGTAGACTCGGCCACGTGCCCGCATGCAGGTCTCCATCGGCTCGTGTCCAGCCTTCCAGAGAGCTATTGGCCTGGGAGGACCCCGACACAAGGCGAACGTCAGTGATGAGCGCCGTATCAAGGCGGCGGGTGCGTCGGTAGTACACGTTTAGATACCTAGCATCAGTATCGAGCCGAGCCTTTCTGCTCACCAGATCCCGGCCTGGGCATTCAGATCTTTTTTCACCATGACCCATTTGCCCTTGGTCTTGTCAAGCTCTGGCGTTGTCGCTGGCGCACAGGTGCTTGGGAAGAGTAGTGGCGGAAGATAACAACTCTTGACGGTGATCTCTGTGACTGCGAGTCTCAGCGTCAAACATGGTCGGCAGACGTACTTCCAGTCTCGTGAGACGCAAGAGGATCCTGTCGTCAATGCAAGGACATGGCTCCTTGGCTCACCCATACATCCAACGGTATGCTGAGACTAGTATCGGCGCTATCCTTTGAAGCTGCAATCACTTCCCATGCTTGCCAACCCAGTCGCTGCTTGGCCGCGGGAGATTTGAACCGAGACAAGAATGAGAGGGCTGATAGAAGGATCGAGAGCAACACGAGGACGAGCAGCATCGGAAGGCATGAGCGCAAGTATGTCCCTCGCGGTGGTCGGCGACGAGGGTCGTGGAGACGCGGCATGATAAAGGCGTTCCCGTCCGGGTCGATTATTGAATGATCTCACACTATGACCGATTCGACGGATTCCAAAAGACACTGAATGTTGTCTGCTGCATCAACACAAGCATGTTAGGGTTACCATGCGGGCGACGACCATCGAGGATGAAGAAGATGCATCATTGAACTGCGACCATATCATCTAACAGGCAGAGGAGAATTTTGCTTCCGCTCTCAAATGGCACCTATGCGCTTTTGGCTGGAGAGAGAAGGTCCTTATGGTCCATCCAAGACGTGCATGACAACGGCGCCAAAGATGAAGCTAAGACGACAAGGACACGCCGCAGAGGACAAGAACGGTAGTGCGGATCGATCATCACATCATGCGCTTTCAACATCAGTGTCACAAACAAGTTCAGAATCTCACGGACAGCTCCACGCTCTCACTGCCTTCAGACTGCAAGGCATCTGACCCCATCCCATTACAGCTTCGGATCAAGAATACTCCGATCGGCCCGATACCGAAAACCCACGCAGACAAAGACATGGTTTACTGTCCTGCTTCTGCATCCATCATGTCAGGACCTTGCGCAGATTGTACATGCGGACGTGCAGAGCGCCTGGATGCTGATCCCGTTCGACTCGGTCAGGCTCGGTCCTTTACTGCACCTGCGGAAGGTCCCTCAGCTGCAGAAGGCATTGAACCTGCAGTTCCCCTTCGCTCCAAAGCATGGTGGAATGACCCTGAAGATGGTGAGAGCCATGTGCGGCCCTGCTGACATATCGCAGACATGTGTGGCGCTTATGTTGAGAGGTACCTCAACGGTGGACTCACCAGTACGCCGTTTACCGTATACTCAGCTGACGACAAAAGTGGGAGAAATCACTTCCCGCAAAAAGCCCATCATTGGTATCGCTCAGACCGGCTCTGATCTGGCACCCTGCAACTCGCATCACGTCCAGCTTGCCAAGCGTGTGCGTGACGGGATCATTGCTGCAGGAGGCACCCCAATAGAATTTCCCTGTCATCCTATTCAAGAGACCAGCAAACGACCAACTGCCAGCTTGGATCGAAATTTGGCATACTTGTCTTTGGTAGAAGTGCTCTATGGCTACCCTCTGGACGGCGTGGTCCTTTTGACGGGATGCGACAAAACGTGAGGGCTAGTCTGACTCTTGCTGATGGTCAGAACCCCAGCTCTGCTCATGGCGGCCGCTACAGTCAATATCCCGGCCATAGCGATGAACGTTGGCCCCATGTTGAATGGTGAGCGACATCACTCAACTGTGCCAACTTTCAGGTTATCTAGGCCAGCGACTGGTAGGCTCCGGTACGGTGCTTTGGGATGCCAGAGCTGCCATGGCCGCGGGCAAGATCGATCAAGCGCAGATGATAAGGGAGGTTGCAACATCGGCTCCAAGGTTAGAAATGTGGTCAGGCCATCGCTCACACAAACTAGTCTTGGCCACTGCAATACCATGGGAACGGCGAGCACAATGAATGCCCTGGCAGAGGCATTGGGCATGGCACTGCCCGGTAGCGCATCTATCCCAGCTGTCTATCGTGAACGAGGGGCTTGTGCATACGAGACCGGCCGTCGTATCGTGGACTTAGTGTTGCACGACGTGAAGCCTTCTGATATCATGACACGGGAGGCTTTCGAGAATGCCATTGCGTGCTGTACCGCTATAGGAGGCTCGACAAATGCTCCTATCCATCTAAATGCCATTGCAAAGCATATTGGCGTGGAACTCACCTGTGCCGACTGGGAGAGAGTGGGGTATTCCCTGCCGCTCCTGGTGAACGTCCAACCTGCTGGAATATACCTGTGTGAAGAATACCACCGAGCTGGAGGTCTCCCAGGTGGGTATGAAACATGCGCAACGAGGCTGATCTCCCCTCAGCCGTCATTGCAGAGCTGCTCGAGGCGGAGCTGTTGCCTCATCCATCCGCATTGACGGTCTCTGGCAAATCTATCGGCGACAACTGTCGTGGCGACTTCCCGAATGATCCGCGCGTGATACGACCCGTCTCGCGGCCAGTCGTGACTCAAGCTGGCTTCCTGAATCTGACAGGGAATCTATTCGACAGCGCCATAATGAAGACGTCAGTCATCAGTCCGGCCTTTCACGAGCAGTACCTTTCCAATCCGGACGATCCGATGGCTTTCGAAGGTCCGATTGCCGTATTCGATGGGCCCGAGGACTACCATCATCGCATAGAGACCGACAAAAACATCGCAGCTGGCACCATTCTCATCATGCGGGGTGCGGGTCCATTGGGATACCCAGGAGCCGCCGAAGTGGTCAATATGATCCCGCCAGGTCGACTCATCAAGCAGGGCATAGAGCTCCCCTGCATTGGAGATGGGCGACAGTCTGGGACGTCAGGCAGTCCGTCCATCCTAAATGCCTCGCCTGAAGCAGCAGTTGGAGGAAATCTCGCATATCTCAAAGATGGGGACGTTGTTCGGATCGACTTGAATCTCCGCCGGGCAGAAGTCAGGCTCACTGCGGATGAGCTGCTTAAACGGCGAGATGAGATGGGCGCTTACAAGATGCCGGTCAATCAGACGCCATGGCAAGAGTTGTTCAGAAAGGACGTTGGGCAACTCTCCGAGGGCATGGTTTTGCAAAGCGCTGTCAAGTACCAAAAGCTCGCACAGACCCAGGGCATACCTCGTCGAAATCATTGAGATGTATCTGCTTGCAACGCTCGGATTTCACCCAAATTTCTGCGTTGACCGCAGGCTCGTTCGAAATACAAGACCGGCTGAAGGGCTGAGCCCCGCTAACCCCAGCGTCTGGCTACCTTACCACACAGTAAATAGGCATGGGCAGGAAAGCCGAGAAATCCGGGCCCTCGACATCAGCCAATCCCTTTTATTGACTTCACCCTATCTCAATCCGACCATGGCTTGCCGCCGACTGAAGTGAGGAGCGGTGTCAAATGGCAGACAATGCCATCACTCACCTAGTCAACCAAGAACCTGGTCTACTGCCACTCCAATCCTGGGCTTTCGCTCGTGTCTGGACTTGTCCACGGAACCAAACTTCGGATGACGATAGTAAGTTGGAAGGACTGCTCTGCTAACACCTGGATTGTATCTGCACTACTCATCTTCCAGCAACTGACGGGCCTGCCGCGTAACCGAGGGACCGGTCTTATGCCAGTGCTACAACTCGTACATAAAATAGAGCTTCGGAAACCGGAAAGTCTGGGAGAGACGGCATGGAACGTCACGTAGCAGTTCTCGAGGGCGGTTGACAAAGAGGCCAAAGGGAGCACGCAGGTGGCGTTATCTTATGCTTAAATTATGCCACATTCCAGTGGGGACACACAAATCTACCACATTCAGTTTCAAGGTGGAGGTCCTTGAGGCCTTAGACTTTGACCATCGAGATGAGTGCTAAAGACATTGGATCGGAACCAAAGGATGAGGCCACAATGGTCGAGGAGCCTGTCCATCAGGACTACAACCTGCTCCTGAAGCAGTCCTTGAAGAGCCGTCACCTGCAGATGATGGCGATAGGTGTGTCACCCTCTGTGAGGCGCAGTTCCTGGTGCTGATGGCTTGGCACAAGGTGGTGTCATCGGGCCTGGTTACTTTGTAGGCTGTAGGTCGCGGAATGGGGACCTGTCGCTGAAGCCTGTCAGTGGGAAATGGCTTCCACACTGGCGGTCCTGCTGGGCTGCTGCTCGGATTCGGCATAGTCGGGGCATTGTTGTGGGCTGTGATGCAGTCTCTTGGCGAGATGGCCAGCTACCTCGCCGTGTCAGGTGAGAGCCTTTTGGCAATCAAGCTCAAAGGACCTAGGAGCCTTTACCGACTACGCCGGCCGATTACTCGACCCAGCCATCGGATTCAGCCTCGGTTGGAATTATTGTTTCCTGTGGTTCGGCATTATCGGTGAGGCCATCGTCAGAGAATTCGCTGACAGTCAGCCAACGAGTACAACAATCTGGGCCTGAGTGAGCGAGCCCCATAATGACGCTGACCTGCTAGTATTGACCTACTGGCCCTCAAAAATGCCCAATTATGGCTTCATTCTCGTCTTCTGGGTCGTTTTTCTGCTCTTTGCCTATCTGGGTGTTCTCGCATTTGGCGAAGCAGAATTCTTCATCACAGCGACCAAATTGATTTTCATTCTGGCCTTCTTTCTATGCGCGATTCTCATTTCCTCTGGAGCGATTGGGACTCAAGGACCCGTTGGTTTCAGGTACTATCACGACCCTGGAGCATTTGTAGACGGTGTAGAAGGGGTATTCAAGATTTTCGTCTTTGCTGCTTTGGTGGGCCCTTCAACCAGAACATCACTGATGCTTCGCAGTTGTACAGCGGGACAGAGATGATCGGGCTGACTGCTGGAGAAAGCGCAAACCCCGCTCGTGATGTACCCAAGGCAATAAAGTTGGTATTCTGGCGGGTACTCATCCTGTACATTGGCGGCATCTTCTTCCTCTCAATTTGTATTCCTTCTAACGCAGAGGGGCTGCTGCACGCTTCATCAAAGACTGCGTCTAGTCCCTTTGTGATTGCATTTACGAGGGCAGGGATGGGTGCGGGTGGCGATGTGGTCAACGCTTTCATTGTTCGTGTCCCTCTCGTTCGTGTGCTGACAGACAGATTGTGACGATTGTTTCTGCTATCAATGGGGGCCTCTACGTGTCCAGTCGATGCGTCACCGCTCTTGCGCGGGCTGGGGCAGCCCCCAAGTTCCTCGGCCACATCAATAAGAGGGGTGTGCCGTATGCCGCACTCGCATTTTGCAATCTGTTCGGGCTGCTGTCGCTTCTCAACCTAAGTTCAAGCGCCGGAGAGGTGTTCACGTGGCTCGTGACCATCACCGGGGTAGCCACTTTCATAACTTGGGGATGGTGAGCGATTCGCACGCCACACAGCTGATTCTCAGCATCTCACTCTGTCACATTCGATTTCGCAAGGCTCTGAAGTTGCAGGGGATCCCAATCGAGGATCTTCCATTCAGGGTAAGTTCAGTGACTTCTGACGTCGGCTGATGTTGAGGCCCCCCTGTATCCATATGGCGCATGGTTTGGTATGCTAGGCAGCTTCTTCTTTGTGTTCTTCCAAGGCTGGACGGCATTCCGTGAGGACAATCTTGGCCGGTCACTTACACGTCTAGTGTCCCCCTTCAGTGTCGCAACATTCTTTCAAAACTACATGATGATACCTGTGGTGAGTTGCTATTAGTGGATGATCACCTGACCCGTCAGTTCTTCATCATGTGGGCAGGTTACAAGTTTTGGAATAAGACCAAATGGGTTGACCTGGCGGAAGCTGATCTTGGTATGTTCTTGCCGAACTGTATCGTGCTGAGATTCTCAGTCACTGGTCGCAGAATGCCCACCGGTGACTCTGTCAGTCTCAGCGCAAAAAAGGGCATCTGGACAAGGATCTCGGATACTATTGTTGGATAGCATCGATCAACAGCTTCCGGTCGCCATGTATCATAGTGACAAAGATGCAAACCTGTATGCATAAGAAAGAGCTAGCCCGAAAAAAGAAGGAAGACGGCATTGCTACATAAGATCGAAGGCGGGAAAGAAGCTGAAACTATTACGATGTCAGCTATTCCTCTGAGCCTCTGAGAATCACCCACTTATTGTCCGCTGATGTTTACGTTCTCTTTCAAAGCAGATCGACGATGAGTCCATTCAAGATGTCCCCAACATTGAGATTGGTGCAGTCCAGCACGCTCACGCCGTTGACTACACAGCCGGTGCTGCTTCTGGGCTTGGGTCGAAGACCGTCCCGTTTCAGGATACTCGCAACGCCATCGTTGAGAATATCTGATACGTTGATGTTGGTGCAGTCGCCAACGCTGATGCCATTGATGAGACAAGCAGTGTCTTGGCTGGGTGAGTGGCCACCCCAGCCTCGCCTGAGAATACTGGCAAAGCCATCGTTGAGGATATCCTGAACATTGATGTTGGAGCAATCGGCGATCGAGATGCCATTGATCAAGCAGCCAGTGTCCTGACTCTCTTGGCCCCCCCAGCCTCGCTTGAGAACACCAAGACCAAGATCATTGAGGATGTCACTGACTCCAAGGTTGGTGCAGTCCAGGATGCTGATGCCGTTGATGACACAGGCAGACGATTGGCTGGGAGGCTCGTTACCGCCGCAAGTGGGGCAAGGGTTGCGCTTGAGGATGTCAAGTCCGAGATCGTTGAGCAAGTCCCCGACGTTGAGGTTCGAGCAGTCCAAAAGACTAATACCGTTGACTTCGCATGCAGATGATTGCCCACTGCCTCCATCGCAAGTAGGACATGGGTCCCGCTTCAAGAGGTCCGCCGTCAAACCGTTGAGGATGTCAGAAACGTTGATATTGGTACAGTCAAGGATGCTGATCCCGTTGATGAGGCAGCCGGTGTCCTGACTTCCTCCTCCCCAACGCTTGAGTGGAGTGGCAGATGCCAAAGAGAGAGTAGCAGCAAAGGCGATAGAGAAGAGCATCGTGGACGAGTAGATGTGAATGAAGGAGTGTAGAAAGTTGGGTTGGATTGAGAGAGACATGTTCAGAATGCCTTCCGTCGTCCGTCTTTAAGTACTCTCAGAGACGGACAGACATCGCATGGGTCATCAGACCTAGCGTCGGGAAAGGTGAAGCACATCGACTCCGCTGATGACAGGGAACGCGGCCCTTCATGTTGTGCGTGGTGACTGCCCGGCCTTTCTCCAGGTAAGCAGAACGGAGACACGCTCAAACCCGGTCCGTTCTCCATGTTTCAGAGCGGCGCTAGCCCTGGATTACCTTCGAGCCGAACCAGCCATGCGCGTCTCAGGTTGACATGGGCTACAGGCAATGTTGATGCGAGCGGGTGACATTAGGGAAAGGGAAGGGATCTTTTTTCGGATCATTTCCGCAATGCGGGTGTTCCTAATTTGCCGTCATCCCACTGACTTATTGGACGCGTCTTGGTAGCATAACACAGCGGGTGTCGAGACCGTGTGCAGATTTGACATGGCCAGCGCGTGGATCGAAGCTTGCATGCAGGATTGGGGTCTTGCCCATATTGTGAAGACGCGTCGAGTCAATCGAAGGCAGCCCATCGCGACAACCGCGGCACTCGACAGCATCGCATGACGCTGTGGCGATAAGTATGGTGATTACTTGGTGCAAGCACGCGTATTTATCTCATCGACGAGATTCGTGCCCGACGTATATAGATAAGCCCGACAAATCTTTCTGCCTCGGCGGAACGAGTCCAGCACCGCGGCTGTCGCTCACTTCTCATGCATTCTGGAACAGCAAGCGAATGGTAAAGATCGATCCTTCAAGTAGCGCATCAAGACGGGCAAGCGAGGTCTGCTGAGCGCGACTAATCAGGTATGCGCTGGTAGACTCATGTCCACTTCTCGTGCAACGTGCATGCACCCACGCTCCTAGTCTGTAGATTATCAGAAGACGACCTCGGCTTGATTCTTCGCGAGCCAAGACTCCAAACTCGTCTGTCGGTCGCCCGTACGGGACACTTGCTCATTTGGCCGCAGCTGACAGGATTCGCCAACGTGCATTCAAGCCAAGACGAGTAGTGAGCACTAACGGGCCGCCTTCTGTCTTTCAGGCGGAGAATCGACGGCGAATGCCGTTGCCGTCACATCCCCGCTCGATAGTCTTGGCCGGATCCTTGTGGGGAGTCTTGGCGACAGGGCAGGTATACTGATCGGAAGCAGACTCAGGGGGCTATAACGGTAGCTGAAAGGCATGAACGTCATGCTACTAGTTAATAAAATGGTGGCGGCAAGCTTTTGTTGAGTCCACTGAAGAACGTGTGTGGCAGCTAGAAACGTGTCTTAAGGTAGGGGCATTTTTCGTCCAGGATGGCGCAAGTATCAGAAGACTGCCCAGTCTTGGCAAAGCTAGGGACTGGTTATTCTCGTCGTCGCCAAGATTGACCGATCGACCAGGCACATTCCCACCTCGTGTGGTCCAAGAACTCATTGTGGCACAACTATATATACCCAACTTGATTTGTGCTCGTTCCTCTCCGATCAGCATTCACGCATCCGAGTCCTCAGACATCCAGCAAGATGCCCAGACTCACCCAGTACAACTATATCTTTGCCATAGGCACCGGCTTTGCTATGCTGGACGCGTACAATAATGGTGCCAGTGAGTGCATCCAAGATCTTTCAATCCACTGTACCCAAAACTCGCAGTTTGGTGCAAGATGTATCTTGTAATCACTGACAGCTGCATGACAGACGACGTCAGCAATTCATGGGCCACGAGTGGTTAGTTTCACGATAGTGAGGTGCCCTCTCTGACATAGCGCAGTGTCCTCTCGGTCAATCTCGTATCGATGGGCCATGATTTTGGGCACCGTTTTCGAAATGCTCGGTGCGATCACTGTCGGCGCTCGAACCGCGGACACGATCAAGAATGGTATCATCCCGAACTCTGCTTTTCGAGGAGATGCTTCCGTCCAACTACTCGCCTTCACGTGCGCTCTCGCTGCCGCCTCTTCCTGGGTCATGTGGTGCACCCGCCACTCGGCTCACGTCTCGTCGACGTACTCTTTGGTCTCAGCTGTAGCTGGTGTTGGTGTGGCCACTGTGGGAGCTTCCAAGGTACAGTGGGGTTGGAACAAGGGCAAAGGCTTAGGCGCCATCTTTGCTGGTTTGGGCATGGCACCTACTATTGCGGCTGGATTTGGCGCCTTGATCTTTTTGACAATCAAATTTGTCGTCCATGTCCGAGCTCGCCCGGTGCAGTGGGCCGTCTGGACCAGCCCCTTCTGGTTCCTCCTTGCCGCCAGTCTGTGCACCCTGTCAATCGTCTACAAAGGGTCTCCTAGTTTGGGTCTGCTCAAAAAACCCGGTTGGTGGAAGGCTGCTGTGATTCTGGGAACCGGAGGAGGAGTCGCTTTTCTCTCTGCGATTTTCTTCCTGCCGTATCTGCACGCAAAAATCATCAAGAAGGATGCCAGTCTGAAGTGGTATCATGTCATCATGGGTCCTCTGCTCTGGAGTCGACAACCACCGGAGGGGTACGACGACGCTCATGTTCCAGACTACGCCGTTGAACAACACGACCCAGACATGGATAAGCCTGAACCCTCCGATCAATCCCCCAATACGCCTGCCACTTTCATCGGCCAGGAAGACGAGAAGGACCTTTCTGGTGTGCCTCGTCTACCCAAGTCAGTGCTTCCTATGCCTTCTGAGGTCAAGACCTATGAGGAGTTGATGGCCGAAGGTCAAGAGCGATTTCATGCCAAACTACGCAAAGGTCGAGGGCCTCTTGGCTGGGCCATGCGGACTCTTCACGAGAATCCGTACGGTCCTGGAGCAATCTATGAATGGCAGAATATCAAGGTCTTATTGAAGCGTGTACCCGCCATGGTCGTTTGTGGACTGCTATACGGCTCTCATTATGACATCCACGCGGCACAGACTGGGGTGGCTGGTACCCCTGAAGGCGATCGCATGCAGCGAGTCTACTCATACGCAACAAAATATCCCAACGAAGTCGAACATACCTATTCCTTCATTCAAGTCATCACCGCTTGCACTGCATCGTTCGCTCACGGTGCCAACGACATAGGTGAGCTTGCTGAGTGACGTTTGCTGATCTTCGCAGGCAATAGTGTGGGACCCTGGGCTGTCATCTTCGAGGCCTGGAGCACTGGCAATGCTGCGGCTGCAAAGGCACCGGTCCGCGTCTGGCAATTGGCTGTCCTGTCCGGAATGATCTCGATTGGTCTCATAACCTATGGGTATAACATCATGAAGGGTAAGTCCCGCGAGATCGACGCCGCTGAGCCCATTAGTCATGGGAAACAAGATCACCTACCATTCTCCTTCCCGCGGCTGCTCGATGGAAATGGGGGCGGCACTGACCGTCCTGGTGTTTTCCACATATTCTCTCCCCGTTTCTACGTCGATGTGTATTACTGGAGCCACTATTGGAGTGGGACTCTGCAATGGTACATGGAGAGCTGTCAATTGGCATCGAATCGGGCTTCTGGGCCTATCCTGGATTGCAACCATCCCGGTGGCCGGAACTTTGGGAGGCGTTCTGATGGGCATTTTCCTCAATGCTCCTCATTTCAAGTCCACATAGGGGGTTCTACTTGTCAGTCTACTCGTATGCATGCGTTTTCGGTGAAGTATCTGTATGTGACCTGGTGAACAATCAGGGAAGTGGGAAGGGATCACGGGATAGGCTTTTGTTAGAGGGGCGGAATGTGTCTTCACCTCTCCTCCACGGCCCTCCGCTCCAGAGCCTGCCACCATCGAAGACTCTTCTCGTACACCGCAGCGTGCGGACCGGGGGAGGCGACGACCGCAATACCTTCGTCCTCCAGATCGATGTCATCACCCATGCTGCCACGCAGCTGGCCACGGGCTTTCCGTGCCTCCGCGACGACGCTGTCGAAGTCAATCGTGCGCCTGACATCCTCTCCTGTATGCCTCTCCCAACCCCACTTTGCCTTGTAAGCCACTCCCACCGAGCAAGAATTCCAACTCGCGTCCTTCCACTCCTGGGACCCATAATCGAATTCTATGTTCTTGCATATGGGTGCTTTCATGACATCCGCAAGCACCGATAACAAGCTGCGGTTAACACTCGCACCGCCAGTCGCGTACACTCGGGTCATTCTTGGCAGAGCCACGGGCAGGCCAGGGGTGGCCGGTGCCGCGGGTGTGTCAGAGTCGTGAAGAATGGATGATGCCCGTGACCTATAATTGCAGAACGCAGATTCCAGGATCGTGCGCGCCTCTTGTCTGACATCGTCAAAGGTATCGACTCGCCGAGCCGAACTGGCATCGACCAGCTCGGACTGGCCCTCACGTTCTGCGACGTATTTGTGGACGCCATCGGCTCCGCTCGGCTGGAGATCAGCATACAGATATATGAGCTTTTTACTCACGATGATCTCGGGCAGCAGCCACCAGAAGGACGTGTGCTTTGGGAGCTCGCCAATAGACGGAGTCGTTTCATCCACAGCTTGATTGAACTTATCCCACGATCCGGCAAAGTACTTATCCCTGACATGTTGTCGGGCGAGCGATCCATCTAGACATCAGCGAGGTACCCCGTCCCCGCTCACTCTTGTAAACCAGCATGTTGAAGTATCGGGAGGTACTTGTGCCGTTGGGCTGTCCCGATTCAGCAGCAACGTGCGCCGGATGAAAGAAGGCGTGGTATTCCGGGTCAGGATTGTAAGTCGAGGTTGAGACCAGCACAACGTCAGATGTGCCCAACGATACGAGGCCCTCGGACGGTTTCACTATGTGTGTGTCAGTCGAGCGTCGGCTACTCAACTCACAGGTCAAACTCAGGAACGTTGCGGGATTGTCCCCGGTACCAGGGAAAACCAGGCATTCCGGCGAGAAACCATAACGATCTTGGTACCACTTTCCGATAGGTCCTTGTGGCCTTCCCCCGTCGGTCTCTACCGCTCCGAGCTTGGACTCGAGGTCAGCAGTGTCAGAGCTCTCAACAATCGCCTGGAGAATGCCCTTGTGCCAACCTCGGTCCGTAGTGTTCATCTGCCAAAGGTTCATCCCGCACGCATCGCTCTCGTCTATGCCCTTGATCTCGCCGTCGACACAAAGAAGCGTAGTGATGAAGCTCGAACAGAGGGATATGCGAAAGGTGGCATCGTATGTAGCTCTATCGTTGCGCCGCAGCTTCATGATTTGAGGTCCAGTAAATCGTTCGTGAGCCTTGGATCCGGTCTCCTCGGCAACTCGCTCGGGACCGCCCATCCGTGCCTCAATGTCCCTACACTCCTTTGTCGTTGATGAATCTTGCCAGTTGGGCATACGGGCAGAGGCGAATGCCCCGTCCAGCTGAGAAGCAAGAGTCCTGGTATGATCAAGATGGCTGAGGATGACTGGCGCATCTCTGCTCCAGTAAACAGACGCGTGTTGCTAATGTGAATCAACACCAGATCAGGTCATCTCGACACACCTGACCCGCGGCTGCCACACCCCGTATATCCCCTACGGGCCAAGCTTTCTGTTTGATGCGGTCCATGAGGAGATCCATCGCCTCAACGACCATCATGATGGGCGAGTACACCTCGCCACTACCCTTTTGTCCCAAAAGGACACCTCCCGACGTCCCAAAGCGAGGGATGTCGGCGTCGAAGTTGACTGCTGCTTCGTCGATGACATCGAGGTTATTGGACAGCAATGATGCTTTGAGGGCTTGTGTAGAAGCATCAAGACCCAGGAAGAAGGGTTTGGGGTGAGTCGGGGATGGCATGGTGGGATGAAGAGAGGACAAATCGTGGTTGATGACTGTTGAAGGTAGAAAAAGAGACCTGAAGTCGCCGAAAATCTACCGAGAGTCGTGAACGGGATCAGATCAATTACGGCGGTATCGGGCCGAGATGTCATGTGATCTTGAATAGACATGACAATGGCGTACCCCATGATGGCACAATGTACAATGTGCTGTGGACTGGGGCAAGCTCGTGTCAAGTGTATGGCGTAAGAGGTCCAAGATGAGTAACGTGGGCTCGGCCGAGAATTTGAGATAGCCCGCAAATGCATTCAAGCCCTATCAACAGGCGCACCGTGGTGAAAAGGAGAGTACGATTATGGCCCATCTTCTTCTTGCGACGGCTTGCATGGTTTCCAAAGAACTCTTTCCTTGATGATGTCCCCAGATGACGTCTGAAACTCGACCCATCTCACCACTTCAAATCCCCGCTTGCTGTACAGACGAAAGCCCTGAAAGGGGATCAGACATCCACTGAGGCATCCCGACCATACCTCATCAGAGGACAAACAGAATACTGGCTGACGGCGCCTCTGCGCCAGCCGCAAGCCCCAATCCAAGAGCTGACTGCCCACCCCTTTCCCCTGTGCCTCCTTGGCGACGTTAATGTCCGAGAGGTATTGGTGTGGAGAATCAACCTCTGATTCAGCCTCATTGTGCCGAGCGCCCATAGATCTCAGCAGGGTCATATCTGCCCCACGGAGGTATTGTTCGTGACTGATACAATCGTTGATGCGATGGACTTTGGGATCCTGTGGGTCGTCCCACACGATGAACCCAATGATCTCGGAATTCAGAGTTGCTTTGAGATATGTTGAACGCGAGGACGAGTAGTCGAATATGAAACGGGATGTAAAGTTGTCTTGTCCCATCAGCTAGACTGTACCTCTATTCAAATACCTTTTCGGGTTTTCGGGTCCATTGATATTTCTTCGGGCCACTTTGCTCGAGTCAATGGGTTATCCTGACGTGCATGAAAGCTGATCTCCGCTAGTCGCGGCAGATCTTCGTCCACTACTGACAAACAAAGCAGCTGCTGAGCACTCGCTGCACAGAAGACTTACATTGTCAGACCGTCCATCTTAACAAGATGTTAATGGAAGAGTGGGGAATGTACGTGTCAAGCTGATCCTCTTAGCTGCCACGGAACCAAATAGCTTTGCTCGGAGTGTAACTCTTATCGTCTGAAGCTTAGTCGTTCTAAAGATCATATTCCAGTGAATGAGCTCGTCGGAAACTGTTAAGGGCTTTTCACCGTCATAGGCAACCATCGTACACCATCTGTCTTCCCACGGTGATTGTGTTTTGGTGGAGTATTGCCCATGTTTTCCTAGGTCGGACTTTCAGTACCGAAATGTCCATGCGATCAGAAAAGGGGTCTTTTGGATAAGATTGCGCACTGACAAGCCTCTTCCTATACATATCATCGGATAACGCAGGCTATTATGCATGGAGTATGGGATTGATCCAAAGCAATTCTGCTCCAAGTCTGATTAAAAACCGACTATACAAATTTGACCCAAGGTATTAGCGCCCCTCATCGACCAATGCGGTTTATAATTGAGCGTTTTGTTGTAATCCCAGTGACTGGACGTTCCAATGCTCATTCGTGGCCCACTCGTTTCGACCCTGATCTATCTGCAGAAGCGATTCCCAGTCGGGTATCAGTGGTGCGGTATTCATCGCACCGGCGAGGATCGGGAAGCCATCCCAGAAAGTCTGTTGTTCTTCCAAGAGAAGGGCAGGCTCCTGGGTCACAATGTTGTTCTGAACAAGGGTCAGCATTGTATTGTGAGGATGACCGACCAGATCATCCAGCCAGTTCTCGGGGCTAATCGACTGGGAAGACAAAGGCAAGAAAGCGCTGCCCAAGGTCTGATCAGGCAAGGCACTAGGGGTTGGCGCCCTGGAGGGATGACGGGAGTGATCCGCATTGTCAATGAGGGCGTGGATAAATCGGGCCAAGTACGCCGGATGTGAGCCTTGATCGCCTCGAGCTGCTTCTCGACAGACGACGACAACTAGCACGTTAGCTTGGCAGAGAGGAAAGCTTACCTCTGGTGAGTTTGCGCATGACTGTTGACCGCGCCGAGGGCTCAATGTAGGATGAAAAGCGGATCAAGCGCACGACGGTAGAGGCAACCGCGACAGAGTGGGCGTCTTCAATCATTGGCATCACTCCCTTCTTGGCGAACCCCTCGACTACCGTGTCAAGCATCTCGATGCTTGTTGCGATGCAAGTGTGGAGTAGACCGATGCGTTTGGCTCGCGGCGCAAACGACAGAAGGGTACATTCAATTAGCAATTGCTGAGCCAAGCGACTAAATTTGAGAATGCTTCGAGATGTCGTTGTGAGCTGAACCGGAGCTTACAGATGAGCCAGAATTTACGCGGTTAAACTCACAATCTGGCGAAGTGAGGGCGTCATATGACCTGTCCAACTCGTCCGATATACGCTTCAATCCGGACCGAATCAGAGGAAACTCAGCTCGACATTGCTGGAGCTGTCGGACTTCAGAGCTCAGAACACTGGTTCTGAGTTACGTCAACATCCGCCCAACGGGAAAAACCCACTTCACGGCGAATTCCAGCTGTCCATCCGAGGGCAAGGGGTAAGGAATACTACGAAGCCATCCCGCAACGTCGGGCACTTTGTGCATCATAGATGGGCGATCAGATAGTTCTGTCATACTGGCAGCGCATCAGTTGTCGCCTTGTTTGTGATTTACGTAGAGTCAAAGCAGAAGAGAGCTGTTGACATGAGCGGTCTTCGATCTGACACTCTTACATATCCAAGTCCGTTCACGGTCCTGTGGGGCATTAAAATTATGCTCGCCGAGAGCCACGCACTATTTGAAATCTTGCCTGTCGCTCATTATCGTCAAAGTCCTGCCTCCGAGGCAAATGCAGATCTAGCTGGTAGGCCAGTCGGATTGCGTGTCCCAGACGTAACCATCCACTGCTGTCGATAGGCTTCTTCCAATCTGCCAGTGTCATGACACGATGACAGCTCGGACTCACAGTGCAGTAGACAGATCGCTTGAACGATCTCGATGGCGTAGATGTTGGCATAGATTGCCTGGCCAACTAGGCTGTTTGCCATGTCTAACAGTCGTTCGTACAGTTCCGGCCGAAAGAATTTCGCGGAGACGGCCAGTACTGCCGTGAATAGCTGCAATGACTGAGATCGAGTGTATTCTGCGTTATGTACTGGGATTCAGCGCCGAGGTCGATGGCTGTTCTCACTCGCTGGATCTAGCTGACAAACGCAAGTTTGCAAATGTTCGTGGTAACTGAGATCTGTTCAGAAAAACTCTGCTGTACAGCTTACTGGTGAAACAAAGAGTCTGCCTCATCCATGGACAGCAGTCTGATCGAAACGGGATCGTTCTGGAAGCTGACCACTGATCTTGGGCTGGAGCCAGAGTATGTAGGAGTAGTTTTATTCCGTTCCATTACACCTGCAATGGAGAACGTCGTTCGGTCCGCCACGGCATGATAGACTGAGCTGGCCGGGGCACCAAGACGCTTCTCTTTGGCTCCATCGTCCTCATTGTGCTTGTCGTTGTCTGTATTCGACGCTGGTGTAGGTGACGGAGGTGCAGAAGCTTGGCCAGTGACATCCGGATTACCTTGGACTGCTCCACTCGGTCGTCGACTGGGAGAGCTCGTGAGGACACACACCCATCACGAGTGCCTTACCTCAATGCGCCCTTGCGTCTGCCTCGTTGATGCGGCAGAAAGACACATTCCAAGTCGAGTCGCACGCACCGCCTGCATTTCTGTGTGGTATCCCCATCTGAGATACATCTACACTGTTCACGTTAGGGCGGGATTGCCGAGAGCTCGAGTCTCACCTTGACGGCCCGACAACCGGTACAGCTACTGCAAGTCTCGTGTCAGCAGCCGCGGACCTCGCCACTCACATCTTGTTGGCTTTTGGACTGGGCCCCTCTGTCCTCATCATGCTGAACGGTGAACGGTGACATGGTCAGCCGATCGTTATTTCACGGGGTTCATGAGAATATTTCCCCTATTGGTATGGCCCCCGCGTGTCGCCCCCCGCCCGCCCGCTAACTTTGCGGAGCGGTGTCTTTTTCTTGATCAATACGCCCCTCTCGGAGCGGCGACTAGAATGAAAATCTTCGCCGTTCAGACATATGACCCAGATCCACTACTATAATAATAAGGTCTGCTATAAATGAAGTCGCCTCCAACCTTTCGCTTCCCCCATCCACGACTCAATCACCATGCAAGACGTATTCGATGTCGACGCCCGTAGGCAAAAGCTGGCTGGACCGGGCGGTATCACTGGTCTACTGAAAGCCAAGCGGCTTTTCGGTATTTGTATGCTCACGGCGTTGGGCGGTCTGAATTACGGGTGTGAGTCAGCCAGGTGGCATTTAAGATCGCAGCTGATCAGACGAATTCCAGACGAGCAAGGAGCTTGTATGTCGATTGTCAAACCGAGATCTGCTTCAGACTAATGTATCTCTAGACAGTCAAGCCCTTGTGATGGCATCATTCAACCACGTGGATAGCTTTCACAGGATCACACATGACCCAAGCTTTAAGGGTTGGACTGTCGCGTGAGTTTCTGAGGCATACCAAATTGACCCCCTTAGCGTCCTTGGTTTGGGTGGTTGGTTTGGATCTCTCGTCAATGGTTACTGCTGCGATCGTTTCTCGAGAAGATGGTCGATCCTCGGAGGAGCCTTGGTCTGCTTGTTAGGCGCAGCGCTCACGGCTGGCGCTATGAATCCGGCCATGATTTTTGTCGGAAGATTCGCGATCGGTGCAGCTGTCGGGAGCATGAGTACGGCGGTACCAACTTACAACTCCGAAATCTCGTCGGCTGAGGTCCGTGGGGCGATGGTGAGTCCCGCCTGGAGGGCTCCATCCAACACCTGTACAGGTCGGAACGTGGCAACTCAGTGTCACTCTCGGTATAATGATCTCCTACTGGATCGGTTTCGGTTCAAACTACATCTCACAAACCAATTCGCTCGCCTGGCGATTACCAGTGAGTGTTCAGCTCTCAACCCACCATTGGCATCCACTGACGGCTGCTGCCTAGTTGGCGGTTCAAGCGATACCAGCTCTTGGTTTGGCAGTGGGGACTTTCTTTATCCCCTACAGTCCTCGATGGCTGCTTCAGAAGGGCCGAGACGATGAAGCATTAAGGGTACTTGCTTACCTACGGAACCGTGACCCGGCGGATGAGCTCATCCGTCTCGAATTCTTGGAAATCAAAGCAGATGCGCTGTTCGAGCAGGAAACATCGGCCGCTAGATACCCTGAATACATTGATCGACCCTTCCGCCTTCAAGTTGCAAAGATGATGTCCCTTTTGTCGACCTGGCCCATGTTCAAGCGAACGGCCATCACTTGCTTGATGATGTTCTTCCAGCAAATGAGGTACGCAGATCTTGTGAGATGCGCCATTCGGGGCCGCTGACTCCCGCGCAGTGGAATCGATGCCATCGTCTACTACGCTCCCACGATCTTCCAGTCTCTGTGAGTGATGATCTGTATTCATACGACTCCGTCTCACGATTATCAGTGGCTTGGGGGGCACCACTGTCTCTCTGCTTGCATCTGGAGTTGTAGGAATCAGCATGTTCCTCGCTACTTTCCCATCGCTTTTCATCATGGACAAACTTGGACGACGACCCTTGATCATCATTGGAGGACTCGGTAAGGTTTCCACCTTCGGGTCCCATGCTGACTCTTCAGGCATGAGCTTTTGTCTGGTTATTGTCGGCGCTCTGAATGCTCGCTTCGAGGACTCTTATGAACATCACCGTGGTGCTGCGTGGGCCGCCGCTGTGTTTATCTGGGTGTACATCTTCAACTTTGGCTACAGTTGGGGCCCAGTCAGCTGGGTGGTCATCAGTGAAATCATGCCCATGTCGGCCAGGGCCCCGGGCACCGCCCTCGGAGCGTCCACTAATTGGGTGAGTAACACGATACACTAGCAAAGCACACCTGACGCGTCGATAGATGGTCAACTTTGCAGTCTCTCTCTTTGTTCCACCCATGCTCGAGAAACTTCGTTGGGGAACATGTGAGCCGAATGCCGAGCAACCCGCGCTGATAAAGCAGACATCTTTTTCCTTGCCTTCATGCTTCTTGGTGTAGCGTACGCTGTTTGGATTCTCCCAGAGGTGAGTAGCCCATTCTCCAGGGTCGTGCTGACGTTCCGCAGACCCGGAACGTCAGTCTTGAGGCCATGGATCGCGTCTTCAAGTCTAATGATGCGACGCACGATGCTGAGACGATGCACAACATCATGCTACGTCTTCAAGCCCAATCTCAAGCCGAAAGGGCAGACAAGGAGAAAGAGAGCTCGTCGTTGCAAGGTTCCGAGTCTGAGCAAGTGTAGTCTGGAGTATGCATGGATGAATCTGGTCGCATTGCCATCCATAGCCTGTCGCGTCTGTCGAGCTCGCACTGACTACTTCGGACGGTCTGTGTAATCTCCTTATCCGGCTGGAGAGTGAAGGCCCTGGCCACATTTCGGGCGTGCCAGTTCCAGGTCACAGTGCGGCCCAGTCTTAGTCAAGATTTCCAGAGCTAGCATCGAAGAATCGAATCGTCGCTCCTTCCCGCCACTTTCGACCCAACTCCGACGCGTGCGGAGTGAGAGAGCAGATTGTCGAATGCTTAGCCGAGGTCCCCGAAGCGCCAGCCTCATACGCTACACGTGAGAGGTGTGAAACGCATCCATCCCTTTCTGCCACGAGGGGCTGTTTTTGATGTATCCTTATGGGACAGTCCGAAGTCGCCCCTCACGAGACTCGGCTCCTGGTCATCGCCGCAGATGACTATGTTGCTGTCACTGACCTGCCAAGAACCGGTTTTCGGGTTACCCTTTTTTGCGCGGATCCAGGCATGCGCTGGCCCCACTTTAGGCCGCCCGCGTCCAGGAAACGTGACCTGAGAGTCCGTTTCCCCGATGGTGGAGCATGTTTGCACAAATGACCGATGACTCTAGGGTGACTCAATGGACAGACGAGCAGCATCGATTGCATACGCCCGCGGCTTCCAAGAATCAGCGAACGATATTCCAAACGAGCGTTGCATATCATCCGACCGTCGACATTCGAGGTGATGTCGCTGTAATCTATGGAATCAACGACTCCGTCAAATCTAGGGTCGAATCATGGCGAACGCAGGCCTACCAGGTCCACCTTATGACGGGTGTTGCCTGGGGTGACTATCACCGATATCTGAACGGCGATTGGGACGGGAAAAAGCATCTAGATGAAGCTCAGACTGATATTGGGGGCAATCCCATTCTTCACGGAGTCGATGTCCCTTACATGTGCCCTGGACCTGACTACGGTCGCTTTCTAGCAGAGGGTGTGCTTGAGGCATGCGCAGCAGGAGTCTCTGCCGTCCATCTGGAGGAGCCCGAATTCTGGGCTCGAGGGGGATATTCTCCAGCGTTCCAGCGCGAATGGGAGCTTCATTACGACGAATCGTGGGAGGCTCCTCACAGCAGCGTCGATGCACGATGGCGTGCAAACAAGTTGATGTACTTCTTGTATCGCCGAGCCCTTCAACAAGTCTTCGACGCTGTCCAAGCTTGGAATGCGAATCACGCTGCAAACGTTAAGTGTTACGTACCAACCCACAGCTTGATCAACTACGCCGCCTGGAGGATTGTCTCACCAGAATCGTCATTGGCACTATTGAAGGGCAGTGACGGATTTGTTGCTCAGGTATGGACGGGCACAGCTCGAGAGCCAAACTACTACCGAGGACTACTCAAGGAACGAACTTTTGAGACAGCGTTTCTGGAATACGGCATCATGCAGAATCTCGTTCGTTCCACAAGCCGCACAATTTGGTACTTGGCTGACCCTGTGGAGGATAAGCCAACATACTCGTGGTCCGACTATCGCGCAAACTATCAGTCCACGCTGGTCGCGTCGTTACTGGCTCCAGAAGTTGCCAACTACGAAATTACCCCTTGGCCCGAACGAGTCTTCGGATACCCTGGGAAAGAGGGTCAGACTGGTGGAGCCCATATACCGGATGATTACGCTCAGGAGTTGCAACAGGTTTTCAATGCCCTAAAGGACATGAAGCAGTGTACAATGGACTGCATTGGCGCCGACTTTCCAGCGCTGGGGGTTGCCATGAGCGACTCGTTGATGTTCCAGCGTGGCGGCCCTCATGAGAGCGACGACAAAATGGGGCATATATTCGGGCTATCGATGCCGTTCGTCAAGCAAGGGATACCTATACAGCCTATGCAGCTTGAGAACTTCAGTCTCGACGGCTACTTGGACAAGGTGTCGGTGCTTCTCATGTCTTACGAGGGGCAAAAGCCGCTCTCGCCAGAAGTTCACCTCTCTCTTCGTGCCTGGGTGGAAAGCGGGGGGATATTGATCTTTGTCGATGATGATCGAGATCCTTTCAATCTGATAAGGGAATGGTGGAATATTGGAAGCAACCGCTTCACCACCCCTCGACACCATCTCTTCGGCTTGCTGGGTGCTGATTGTGGTGAACACGGATTCCGAGGGCATCCAGTAGGCAAAGGTACTTTGACATACCTCCGATACTCGCCCAGCGATCTAGCGAACACTCATAATGGCTCTGCTAGGCTGATTGAAGAGGTTGTGAAGAGCCTGCCAGACATCACATGGCAACCTGCTGGATACCTCGGACTTAGACGGGGTCCATACATCGCAATCGCTGGTTTAGATGAGACGGAGGCGCCGGGAATCACGCTTGAAGGGTCATTCGTGGACCTATTCGATGCGAAGCTGCTGGTCAAGCGCAGAGTACAGATCTTTCCAGGGGCCAGACATCTACTTATCGACTTGAGCCGGATGACCAGCGATGTTGTGGCCTGTGCTGGCCAACTTTCAGACGAGAAATGTGATTCGCTCAGTTGGACTGGTTGCGTTCGAGGGGCTGAGGGAACACCAGGTGTGTTGATGCTCCGCCTCCCTTGGATTGCCTATTCAGCAACTGTGGACGATGAAAAGGTGCAGATCCAAGTAGATCCCGAAATGGGTTTGGTATGGTTGAGATTCGACAACATAGCACGGCCGCAATCTATAAGAGTTCACTCATGCGGTCATACGTGCGGTTCGGATGAGGAGGCAGAGAGATTGGGATACGTGACCGTCTTCCGCGAGGACGCCGAGCCATGACAGTGGTGTCTCAGTGGACAAGAGGCCTAGAATGCACACGTGTAGAAGAACTTGTTCCAGGTTCTTGTTCTTCAGTCTCTTGAAGATATGATACATGTATCCAATTCTCTTTACGACGAGTGGGCTCTGGTCTTTCCTAAGACAGAAACTGGCTCTTCTGAGACTATCCTTCTTCCAGACATTGAGACGAATTGCATACACAGCATTCACTTATAATTATAAAGAAACGACTTCCAAACTCTGCAGGAACCTCAATTTCAAACAAAATCACAAGCATCACTCCTGCTTCGCTAGTTAACTTGGATGAGGCCCGGGCCAGCAAAAGCGGCTGCAGTGACATCGGCAGCGGTTTCGAGTCCAGTATCGGTACCGACTACAGCGGCAATGGTCAGTCCATGAGCAAAGCCATTGTCAAAGGGGAGATCGGCCGAAAAGGTCGCAATATCACCGGTGACTTGGACATTCGTGACGGGCACCAAGACGGGAGCATTTTGCCCAGAAAGGTACGCAACGAAGTCTTTGCCTTCGGTGACATGGGTGCAAGAGGTGGTGAAGGTGACGGTCTGGTTAGTGGGTTGTATAGAGTCTTGGACGACTGCCAAGGTGTCCAACATGGGCACCCCGATTGTCTTGAATACCGAGTCGCACGAGCCTGGAACGATGAAAGTCTGGGCGATGGCGTTGAAAGCAAACTCGCCGGTCGAGACAGTGAGGAAAGGCGCTGCTGAGGGAATCTTGCCTTGGATCATTCGGTAGCCTCCGGCCTGTTCCCCTTCTTGGCCGATAATAGAGGCGATCAGCCCAGTGAGTGCAATGGTCGAATTGTCCATGTCCGTCGCAAATCCCTTCACAACGCTCTGGAGGGTTCCTAGAACGACTGCGGTGAAGAGATCAGCAATCGCCACAGCAGACTCGAAGTCGGTCGAAGGAAACATGTAGTTGCAAGCGGGGATCGTCGTGGCGTTGGCTGAGGCTAGAATGCCATTGGCGCCAATGGCATGCAGGGACTCTTGCTATGATTGTGTCAAGGTGGTAATCGGGGAAAGAGACTCACGTTTACCACGGCAGTGAGAATGTCAACAATGTAGGACTTGTCCATGGGGAGATCGGTAAACCCTTCGACTCCGTTTGTCACGTTGTTCAGGAAAGAGGAAAAGAAGGCTACCTCGAAGATCTCATTGTATGCGATGACCTGAAGCGTAGTCACAGCATCGGAGGGCAGTGTGGTGGGCAAGGGTGTGTTCGGGAGTGAGCCTCCAGCAGCCTATGAGTCTGTCAGCAACTGATCTGGCGTGTCGCGACTTGCCACAAAGATCTGATGCAATGCATCATTGTTCGGAGTGGGAAAGCCATTGGGCAGCGAGAACGGCGCTGCCACAGTGAGGCCGGCTAAGAGTGTGTGAGCAATGGCGACTGAGAGCAGCATATTAGGATAGTTTGCGGGGGATCGAGTGTCAAGAAGATAGTTCGCGGGGGATCGAGTGTCAAGATCATGTGCCCCAGATTCTTGTACTTTTTCCCCTGCGCCATACCCGTGCTTCCCGTCGCATGTCCTATACCCGTGCTTCCCGTCATGGAACGAGACCGGTTCCGGCAATTGGGCGATACAAGATTACAAGATCGGCCTTCTCCGCCAATTAGTCACACCCGACTGCCACGTGGCTGACTTTGACTCTCCAGGACCTCTGTCATCGATCCGTTCGACGATCTCTTAATGAATGGTGTGATGGCAAGGCTGCAAGAGTTGTTCCTTTCGGTTCTCCCAGCATTCATTGACGGCGCTAGATCACGTCACTCTGATCCCGCGAGAGGCAGATATTGTAGAGTTGCAAGAAGCGGACGCTGACTTAGACAGCTGCGCGCTCGCGAACGTGGGCACTTCGAATTCGACAACGTGCCAGTAAAGTCTGGTCATACAGCTTTACACTCACGGTCTTGGCACACTCGTTCGATACCCCCGTTCCCGCCTCCCAGAATAGTAGCCCGCCTACAGTCCTCCTCGATCCAATATAAAACCCGCAGCAAAAATGACCCCTGTACCAGATGCCCACCGAAAATGCTGCCTCTGCTATTGTTCCCCCTCGTGGTGGCTCTGCCCCACCCAGGGTCTGAAGCAGAGACCCAGGTGATCTACATCCGTGGTAAACGAGATGTCTTCACGAATTATCCATACACTGGACCGGCGGTTCCAATCGCCGATTGGGCAGATCAGAGCGTCAATGGGAATGATGCCTACACCGATCAGTATGCCAATGGTACAGGGAACAACCCTCAGCCAGGTTTCCCTCGACTGCAGGAGCCGCCTGCTGTCTGGCCGTCAGGCCCCAATCCCACGAATAATATCAACACGATCTCGACCGCCTATGTTCCTGGTGGAATCAACATTCATTTCTCCACCCCTTTTGGTATTGACGGCGAGCCTTGTGTCAACTACGGAACAGACATGTACAACTTGAACACCAATGTGAAAGGAACAACAACCACGTACGACCGCACCCCTCCCTGTTCTGCGTATGACTCCGTTACTTTGTGCTCTCAGTTCTTTCACAATGTTCAACTCACCGGTCTCCAACCGGGAACGACCTACTTCTATCAGATCCCAGGTGGCAACGGCACGACGCCAAGCCATGTGTTGCAATTCACGACTGCTCGCGCTCCAGGAGATCCTACACCCTTTTCTGTCGCCGTGGTCAACGACATGGGATATACCAATGCCAAAGGGACCCACGCCCAGCTCATCGAAGCAGTCACCACTGGAGTGTCATTCGCCTGGCACGGTGGCGATATTTCATACGCTGACGACTGGTTCGAAGGGATCTTGCCATGTGTGCTTAGCGGTCCGGATGCTGAAAATTGCTACAACGGGACCGATTCCACTGTTCCCCCTGGTGATGACTTCGACTACTATACGCCCGTCCCCGTTGGAGAGATGCCCAACCAGGGAGGACCTCAAGGTGGAGACTTTTCCACCATGTACGAGACCAACTGGGATCTGTGGCAGAATTGGATGAACCCAATCACTACCAGAATTCCCTACATGACCAATCCTGGGAATCACGAAGCGACCTGCGCTGAGTTTGATGGTCCGAACGGCGAGCTTTACGCCTACCTGGTAAACGATCAGATCAATGGAACAGCAAATGGAACGTTGAACTACTACAGCTGCCCGCCTAGCCAGAGAAACTTTACTGCATACCAGCATCGTTTCCGAATGCCCGGAGATGACTCTGGAGGTCGAAGTAATTTCTGGTATTCGTTCGATTACGGCCTTGCACACTTTATCTCTTTCGATGGGGAAACAGACTATTACCAATCACCGGAGTCCCCATTCGTGGCGGAGCTCACTGGCAATGAGACCATGCCTTCGGAGAAAGAAGCCAGATTAACCTCATCCGGTCCGTTCGGATACATCGATGGAAATTACACCAACAATGCTAATTATGAGCAAGTCCAATGGCTCCAGAAAGACCTCGCCAGCGTGAACCGTACCAAGACGCCTTGGATCTTTGCCATGACGCATCGGCCGATGTACTCCTCCGAAGTAGCTGCGTATCAAAAGCACATGCGTAATGCTTTTGAGCAGATCCTGCTCGATCATAAGGTCGACGCCTATTTAGCTGGACACATCCATTGGTACGAGCGCATGTATCCCCTCGGAACGAACGGAACCATCGTGGAAAGTAATTTTGTCAACAACAATACCTACATCACTGGCAATGGCAAGTCACTAACTCACCTTGTCAATGGAATGGCTGGCAATATCGAATCCCATTCCACCCTATCGTATGATGACCTACCAAGGCTCAATATCACTGCGTATCTTGACCAGGAGCACTATGGTTTCAGCCGCCTGACTGTTATCAATGCCACAACGTCTTTGTGGGAATACATTCATGGAGATGATGGGCAGTGCTGGGACTACGTCTACATGCAGAAGGAATGATCACAATGAGGAGATGAGAAGTCCTATAATGAATGATCCGGTGCCTGATTGGTTCACAGCAAAATGCATCGCTATTATGCACTTACTGATTGCCGGCCGCTTGCGTGCATCAGCGGTGACATAAGGAGCAAGGGTCTTGGGTCAGCGTACATATAGTTCTGCGAGGGAAGACTCTTTTCGGTAAAGTCCACCACGAATAAGCAGAGCGCCAAGACTGTTGAGCTCAAGTCTGAGATACGGCATAAGCAGGACGTTTAGGCCAGGCTCTACACGATATTGCCTGCTTGATTGGTCCCGTCTGAGCTACAGCGAGCACCATCGGCCACGACTGTAGAATAAGCGCCGTTGCTCGTTCCATACAGCAAATAATTGCTACAGACTGAGAATTCAAGTGCTAATGTCTCTGACTCGCCGGAATCACTTCAGAGAACGTCACGTTTGATCAAGAGGCACAGCTCGATGCCACATCAGTCGTAGGTCCGGCGAGATTAGGATTCTGATATAACGTGATCGTGTCCCAGGCTATCCAGTTATGCTCACCCACCAGCTGAGACGTTGAGACGCATGAGTCTCGTTGCAGTATCAATGACAAACCAGCTGGGAATGATGTCGTCTCGAGAAGCAACCTCAGGGTTTAAAGCGATTATAGTGAAAGGTCACTATCGAGGTCAGGAGGCTGCAACAGAGGTGAGCATGTTCGGGAATATGAGGAACATGTGTGTTCAATCCAGCTGTGCTTAAATCTTCACTCAGCGGCTATGCCCCGCACAATTAGCCTAGTAGATTCCTCCACAGACCTGCTCAGAGACAACTAATGCATGAAAAGCCAAGAATTACCGGGGGGTGGCTGGGGTGATGAAAACCACCACACTTGCCAAAGTTTGAGCTCACGAACCAGTTAGCGGAGTCGCCTCCCAATCCAAAGTTATTGGACATTGAGCTATTTTATGCAGGAGGCGCTGAGTTGTTCGGTAGGCGATCTGAAATGTGAGACGTGCCTTAACTCAGGGCGAAGGTCATTAGTATTCACCTCAAATCTGATTCTGAAGAATTCGGCATGACGTCGGTGATGCTCAAAGACTTTATGCTGGATCTCTCTAAGGAGTAGTATGGGCGGGAGCAGTGCCTTCCATGCTGGACTGCCTGATCAGAGACTCATTTAGCTCAAATGCCGAGTATCGAAATTATCAGGTCAGATCGGATGGACGATCACAGGACCGTCCTGGCGCTCACTCATCTCCTCATTGACACAATCCATCCATCGCTCCGAGCTCATCGTGGAATTCTTACCGAGCAGCGTTTGCCAGTACTTTGGACAGCCCAGTGAATAGGACTCTCGCTATCAGGCATGTCAAACGATGAGATCTAATCGAACAAATCTCCTTCAGTACCCCGCTACACAGACTCTCCAGGATGAGATGGGTGAGACCTAAGCGCTAGCTGCTGTGACCCCCTTGTCGTGTGCATTCAAAGATTAGACGGACCTTATTGGACGGGCAGCTACAGGCGAGGTGACAGTGTCTAACCCTGTTCCGCTTGTCCTTTACGGACCGATTTCAGCTATGAATGAGGGGCCGCCACGACATTCGACATGTGACCTTTCACTGACCAAGATATCTCTCGTTTTCCGCTGGTTCTCGCTAGTGAGAAGTGTCCCAACAGATCGCGGTAGTTTGGAAACCTTCTCGCATATCAGGAGGGGAAGATATGAGATATTTTTAGCCGGCTACTTCCCGCACGTTTTCCGCGTTGGAATGCAATTTCACCAGAGAAGCCATGTCCTCAAAGCTACTGACTTTCTCTCTGGCTGAATCCATTATGACCTGAATCCGTCATGAGGAGCAGCTGCATATCGTCAAGCGCTTCCTAGAGACATCGTTCTCCTCACAGTTCTGGACGGTCATTCTCAGATATGGTCTTCGTTCGCTCAGTGATTCTACGAGTTTCTCCTGTTTTGGGCAGCAGTTTCTACGTGCGAAGAGCGAGGAGAAATATCACCGTGGCCTTCTTCGTTGGACTCATCACCACTGGTCTTGTCCTATCGTGCTTGTCGTTCGGGGACAAGGCAACAGCTTGCAGCGATGTACCGACCGATAATGACACAATATCGACGCATGCGAAAGTGACGGGAAGGAGGCCGTCCGTCAGGCCAGGTTTCACCATTTTAACGCCCAGCTACAAACGGGAGTCACTTTTGCCAGCCTTTCTGAGCACTTATGCCTCTGGCAACATACCGTCGTTGACGTCTGTCATCATACAATGGGTTGATCAGGACTCTGCACCGTCCGACGGATTTGCTCAATCCCTGGCTAAATACCCCGTTCCTGTGTACATTGTTCGAACCGTGGATCGGTCTCTGAACGATAGATTCCGATGGCCAATCCCTTCTTCCAAGGTTATTGCTTCGAATGTGCACGAGCAAGGCAGGAGCTCCCTCTCAGATGCGGATGTGGTTCTATCTATCGATGACGACCTCACGTTCAACGTTGTAGACATCGAGGCCGGGTATCAGGTGTTCCATGAATATGCTTCACTAGGTAACCCTCGCATGGTCGGTTATTTCGCTCGAGACATCGAGTCGGGTCTCTATCATTACCCTGCGAGACCGACGTACAAGTGAGCACTCGGCAGATCAGCAACATATGGCATGGATATTGATGCCAAGTAGTATCGTTCTAACCAAGGGCGCATTCCTCCTCACTGAGTGGCTCACAGCGTATTGGGCAGATGACCTGGCCCAAGTGCGCGACTATGTCACACCGGGTGAGTCTCACGGCTGAAATATTAGCCTGAGCATAGTCGTGCTGATTGACACACTGTCAACCAGGACGAAACTGCGAGGACATCTTGATGTCTTATGTTGTCGCAAACAAGACAGGTCATCCTCCCTTGTTCTATGAGGCTGTAGGCGTGGACGCGGGCGATAGGAAGGAGAATCATGGTATATCCATCAACCACCCGAACCTCTTGTCGCACCGAACGACTTGCGTACAACTTTTCGAGAAACACTACGGGGGAAGCCCACTCGTCAGCACATCTGTACAAATACGACGGCGACTGCAGCCCTTGACGGCCCATCACTAACTTTGTACTCAAAATCGCATCATGGGACTCACAGCATGTGGGGCCTCGTTCGCAGACAGTTCACATATCGGAGATGGGCATGAATGATCTCTCCGTACTCGATAGCTCACACATCCCAGCAAATGTCCCTCAGTCGCGCAGAAAAGGTGGCTCCGGAATCCTGGCCTGTGAAAGGCCCCGTTCTACAATTCCGCATTCGGAGCCGTGGGCAAATACGAGAACTCTGTCCTCGGAGACGCAGGCAATGAGGTACGGCGCTTCTTAGACCTCCAATGTCTCGCCTTCTCCTCCAGCCCTGCCATGGGGGACAAGGCCCTTTGTCCTCTGCCTGCTACCTCTTTGCGCCAGTCATGCACCAGTTTTCGAGAAAGACCGGAGCTGATGCCTTGTTCGGCCATTCCGTACTATGTTTATGCGTTAGGCATCAGCTGGATCAGTAGGAGACCCCACATGAGTGTAAGATGCCCCAAAAGACAAAGTTTGGGGAGAAAGCATCTCCTGGCGTTGATTCGATAGCTGCTACAGACGAGCAGAATGTTGCGGGAGTTGATCGACGATGAGAGAGGGGGTTGATTCATTCCTTACTATCGGTGATTGCATTCAAAGTGACTCTCGAGGAGACTATTCTTCATGTCCGCAGTGTCCCCGCCGGTTTCACAATCTTACTTTCAGGTTACTTCGACGTGGCCTCTCAGAGCACACAGCTCCAATGAACTCTGAGGCTTGCTCAGGCGCGGCCATTTGGCATAGATACGAAGGGAGCAAAGTGAGTCGAGCCAGAGGGTTATTGATTCAGCTCCGGATGTATACGTCCAGGACATAGCGAGGAGCTATCAGCAAAGTTCCTTCCTGTGTAGCATTCGTTTGCGGTAACGCGAAGCGGGGATTCCGTAGATACCAGATGCTCTCGGGCTTGATGACCTCTTCACGGTAAGTGAGGATGTGATGGGAGCAATCTTGTATCAGCGCATTGCTTTGTGAGCGTGGGAGAAACATGTGGACTCCGACCCTGACACTTGAGGCACATCATCCCACTTATGCACTCGGACGATCACACCGCCGTGGCCGCCCCCTTTCAAGCAAGTCAAGCCTTCGAAGTTCCATGTGCCAGGACTTCTTCGCTGAAGCGAGGCCAAAGACTTGCCTCGCTCCTCCTCATCCTCTCGAGAGCATCGATGGAGACTGAAGAGCGCGGGAATCTGAATCTCAGACAATCGGGGACCTTTATATAAAGTATCGTCTGACGGAAATGTGAATATCCGTTGCGAGGGGATTGTCGGAAACGGCGCGAATCCCGAAGTGAATTCATCCGGAAAATCTTCTTGATCAGAAGAATGGGGAAGATAAGTTGCAATGCAGTAACTTGAATACCACTTGTAGTTGTCCAAGACACGCGATGACTGTATACTCCGATCAGGCCACGGAGGACGAGACGATGACTGAGAAGCCGCCAAGCATGGAGGACGACTCTCCCGTTCAGACCAGGCAGTTCCTCCGCTCAATATGCGTTTCTCGGATTGCGCTTGCAATATGTCTGCCTATATGCTTGGCCGTACAAGTTCTACATCTGAAGAAGAACCTCATCGGCGGAGTGATGCTGGTAGCTGACGCTGTGGGGCTCGCGTGTGTCGTAAGTCAAAGTCTGACCGAGCTGACTTCAGGTGTGCGCGATGATCGCTCACATCCTTTCTATGAAACCGCGTATCGAAAGGTTGCAGCGTCACCGGATCTACTGCTATCTCGTCTTCATCGCCATCCTTGTCGCACTGATTTTGCAACCAATCATTATCGCAATCCGAGTCCTGACCACCCACAAGGCGCTCCCAGTCGAGCGAATCGACATTGCTCGATATGCAGTTCTTAGCATCACCTTGATCATAGGCGGTAGCCTGCGACGAGGGCCAAAGATGTGCCACGAAGCTGAAGATCGAGCCAACGTGTTCGACTGGTCTGGCAGCTCGATCCTCAGCTTCATAGGACTCTTCTACGTGAGTGTAGACTGTCGCCCGGCTGATGTCAGGTCTGGCCTCTCGTCACACGATCTTGGAGGGCGGACCAGCTAAGACCCACTGATCTCCCTCATCTTGAACAAACCATGCGCCAATCTGGTCTGCGGGAGATGCTCGAGGACACTGTCACGGGGACTTGGACGGAAAGGACTCTGTTGTACGCTGCGTGGAAAGGGAAGATCTCCATCATCATTTCTTGTGAGCTCGTTCGTCTTGCAGAGCTGACCTTAGCCCTGCTCTTGGATGCTCTGCGGACGGTCGCGAGTTTCGTCCAGATCTACTCGATGCACGAGATTATTGACTCGTTTCAAAACTCGGCCGAACACGATCGCAAGTATAAACAGCTCATGTGCGTGGGTCTATTCTTAGGCAGCACGGCTGAGGTCCTCCTTGCATCGTACCTATCGTATGTCAGCGCAATGTAGGACAGACTGACACGTAGTGTACGAGAAAACTACAAACTCAATCTACCAACACGGATGAAGCTCGCCAGTATGGTGAGTCACGATGGCTAAACTTGCTCATGTCCAGCTTTTTGCCAAAATCCTCAAGACGGCAGATGCCGCTGTGATGGATCGAGACGGGGAAGGGGAGGAGAATCAGCAGACGCAAGTCATCAACCTGCTCACAATCGACTGTACCACTGTTGCGTCCATGTCCATCATCGGTCCGGATCTCACAAGCAGCATCATCACCCGTATGTTTGCTCGTGCACAGCGAAGCTGATGTGCAGTCGCTGTCGGCGTCACCTTTCTGTACCAGATGCTCGGCATCAGTGCTTTTGTCGGCATCGCCTGCATCCCACTCACCTCCCCGTTATCAACATATATCGCGAAGAATGCCTACACCAGCGACAAAGCTTGGTCAAGGCATCGTGACGCAAGAATCTCAGCCATTAAAGAGTTTCTGTCATCAGTCAAGGTGATCAAACTGAATGCGTTTGAAGATTACTTTCGGCGGTCTATTCGCAGACTAAGGGAGACCGAGGTAGTGTAAGTGACTTCTTTGACTCTGGCTGATGTATAGGGCTCAGAGATGGCGCTGTACCCTTGGGACCACCTTCAATATTCTAACGGATCAACTGCCGGTGATCGCAATCTTGTTCACCTTTACGTTTCACACCAAGGTCCTGCATCGTAGACTCGAGCCGGCGACTGCGTTTGTAGCTATCGGCGTGTAAGCTCGACGAGATGACGAAGCTGATTTACAAGCTTCAATCGGATCCGGGAGAGCATGGCGAGGCTTCCAGCGGCCATGAATGCGTTGTTATCGACCTGGGTCGCGTTGAGCCGACTTGTGACATATCTGAATCAGGCAGAGATCGAGCGAGAAGAGGTGGATCATACGTCGGTGATCTTAGAGCAAGCGACCATCGCGTGGCCCGACTCAGCCAAGGACGCCTTCAGGCTCAATGTTAGTCTCCAAATTCCAACGGGCCAGATGACGGTCATCCATGGAGCAACAGGGTCTGGAAAGACGCTGCTGGTTAGTTGCATCCCCTGGCCTGTGCTGATTTCAGCTTCGCGCTCTTCTTGGAGAGGCTCAGGTGGAATCTGGCTCGGTCCGTAGTCCCCGCTCCCGATCAAGAACTGAGGCGACACCTTCCAACTGGCTCGACAATTCTGTGGCCTATGCTCCACAGCAGTCCTTTGTCCGTTATGGGACGGTAAGAGACAACATCCTCTTCGGTCTTCCGATGTGGCCCGAGCGTTACGAGCAGTGCCTGAGGGAGGCAAGGCTTCTCAGCGACTTGGAGATCATGCCGCAGGGGGACAGGACAGAGGTCGGAGCGCGAGGACACGGTCTTTCGGGAGGTCAAAGAGCGAGGATCAACCTTGCTCGCTGCCTCTACTCGCGGGCCAGTACGATTTACCTGGACGATGTTTTATCAGCAGTGGATGCGCACACAGCCAGGGATATCGTGCGGTTCTGCTTTGGAGGCGGGATGATTAAGGGACGAACGGTCATCTTGGTAACTCATCATTTGAGCATCTGCCTACCGGTGGCCGATTATGTGGTCTGCCTCAAGAGTGGCACAGTGCACCAGGCCGGGATCAGCGACAAGGTCATGGCGGCCGCAGAAGACGACGAAGAGGAACACAGTGGGGCACATGACACTGAGGAGACGATCGACGACACGACGGATCCTGCGCCCCCTCCCGGAGGCTCAGGCTCGGTCTCCTGGAAGTACTACCTGTTTGTCTTACAGGCGGCCGGCGGTGGCTGGTACTGGCTACTCCTGCTCTTTCTATACGGAACCGTCCGACTTATGGATGTCGCCCAGGCACTCTGGCTTGAGCGCTGGTCAAACGACCCATCTGGCAACCTCGACTATTACCTCGGAATGTACGCCGTCTTCGTCACCTCTGGCGTCCTCGCAGGCGGCTTGCGATGGATATGGCTCTACGGTGTCGGGAATTTCGGATTCTACAACCGAGGGAGTAGAAGGATCCATGAAAAGGCCCTTGATGCGATTTGCGATGCGCCGCTTTCGTTCTTTGAAGAAACACCATCTGGTCGACTTTTGAACATCTTCGGACGCGACATGTATCTGCTGGACGCCATGTCAGCAGACGCGTTCGGACGGACACTAAGCTGCGCCTTGGACGTTGTTTCTTCGGCGTTTATCGTCTCACTCCAGGCTCCTTCGATCCTCATTTCAATGGCTATAGCGTTGATTCCGCTCTACTGGCTCACCGGAGTGCTAAGAAAGCTTCGGGCCGATCTGCGAAGGCTCAGTGCGTCCGCAGCATCGCCGCTGATATCGCTCTACGACGACACGGTCGAAGGCGTTATCATGATCAGAGCCTTCGGTATCGCTCGCGAGACATGTATGGAAATGAGCCGGCTGATCAATCGAGAGTCTGAAGTGACGCTGGCCGACGCTGTCATTTTCAACTGGGTTCGAGCCGTCATTCGTATCATGGCCAACGTCGTCGTCTCGGCAGTTGGGTTCTACCTCGTCAGTCAAGGGGTCACCGCTGCCAGGGCAGGATTCGTGTTGTCCTTTGCCGTTGCGACGTCTCAAGGTCTGTTCTCCCTGCTAGAGGGATACAGTGGGTTGGAGCAGATCTTTGTCAGTGCCGAGCGCGTTGCCCAGCAGCTGGAAGCTACGCCAGTCGAGTCGACCGACGGAGTAGTGCCGGTTGGATCCTGGCCTTCCAAGGGGGAGATTGTGATCGACAAGCTGTGCATTGGGTACAAAACTCACTTGCCCGATGTCCTTCACGACGTCTCGGTGAAAATTGAACCTGGGATGCGGGTAGGGATCGTTGGCTCGACTGGATCCGGCAAGTCGACTTTGGCTCTGGCCATCTTGAGGGCAATGGAGGCGAGGAGTGGCGCTGTGCGTATCGATGGGGTGAACACATCGTCTATGCCGATAAGGGCACTAAGGAGGAGGCTCAATATGGTGGTACAGGATTCCAGTCTGCAGGCAGGGACGTTGAGGGATGCGTTGGATCTAACACAGACCTTGGGTGAGTGCGAGTGGGATGCCTGCTTTCCCAGGACCCTGCGCACTTGTGACTTCCCTTGGAACCCAGCTGACCGTTTCAGACGACGTGGAAATATACGAGGCCCTCCAACGGGTCCACCTGCTGACGTCACACGACCCGACAAATCCATTCGCCAACTTGGACACGGCTGTCGCGAGAGGCGGTGACAACTTCTCTCATGGTCAGCGGCAGCTGCTTTGTTTGGCCCGAGCTCTGTTGAAGAAGTCGCGGATCCTTATCATGGATGAAGGTGAGCAGAGCAGAGAACGGTACTGATGCTAGCGACTTCGTCGGTTGATCTTGAGACGGACGAGAAGATTACGCAGACGATCAAGGAGAGTTTTGCTGGGACCACTGTGATCACCATTGCCCATAGACTGAGGACGATCATTCAATAGTGAGGGCGTGGAATGCCTCGTGCTGACCTACAGTGATCGTGTCTTGGTGCTTGGCCGCGGGAAGGTCCTGGAGTACGGCTCGCCGCGGGAGTTGATGCAACGGGAGGGATCCGCGTTTCACAAATTGTGCATGGCTCAGGGTGAGAAGCAGTTCAGCGAGCTGGACAGGCTGTCCAGGCAGTATTAGGCCCCGGGCGTGACAAACATTGCGTGTATGTATACAGTATAGCAAGTGCATGATAGTTTGTATAGTCACCAGCTCTGAAATCTCAGGTACGGGCTCCAACCAGGGGATTAGACCTTCAAAGTGCATCGACCACATGATAGGCCCACGGACAGTTTGGATGCTAACTAATTTGAGGAGGTATTGACTTCCCTGTGTGGTTCTGAACAGTTTATTAGTTCTGCTAACCAAGTGGGGGCTGTGCGGAAATTTGCAGGATTCCCCGTGACAAACGCCCTCAAACCCGGCGTGGGCCCGCATTATTGAATACCTTAGTCCCACTTTTCGGCGATGTGTTTTCGGGTTGGACCATGGTGACGGAATTGCTTCGGCGATTTCGGCGCCTTTGTTTCGCATTTCAGTTGCTAAGGGATATGATCATTTGGTGTTCTCTCAGACTTGACTTCTGAGATCCCCCTTGCAGTATGGTCTCGCATCCAGTCAGTCCTGCACCATTTTCGCGTGCAAATATACTCCACGATGCTGCTCCGGCCGAGAATTACAGTGATTCGTGGCTCATCGGAAATGGCCGTCTCGGTGCAGGCGTCCAAGGACAGGTGGAAGATGAGAAACTTCGAGTCAACGAAGAATCGATCTGGGCTGGAGGACCGCAGGACCGCAATAACCCAGATTGCAAAGGTCAGCTTGCTGAAGTCAAACGTTTAGTTGCGGGTGGAAATCTGCTGGAAGCGGAGAGGCTATCGATGCAAGCAATGGCGGGCAATCCCACCTCGATGCGATATTATGACTTCCTCGGTATGATACACTTCATACACTACGATCATCATGGTGCGACTGGCTATGAACGATCTCTAAATCTTGACACAGCGGTGGCCACTGTCAAATACAAACTCAATGATGTCAATTACACGAGGGAATACATTGCCAGTCATCCGAAAGACCTCATTGCTGTTCACATTCGTGGCGACCGGCCTGCCTCTGTCAATTTTTCAGTCGCAACTGAGCGCGGCTTGAACGAAAACAGATGGGAAGAATATAATCGACGAGTGTCACATGATTGCGTGGTGATGGGCGGACAATTCCTCGGGGGTGGGGGTCACTCTTTTGCAGCTGGCGTCAAGGTCTTCACAGAGACGGGTCACGTCAAGAGCCTGGGTCAAGAGGTCGAAGTCACAAATGCAGATGAGGTAACCGTATTCTTTACAGCATGGACCACTTATCGGGATTCAAATCCACATGCCCGAGTAGTCTCACAGCTAAACGAGGCTGCCCAAACACCTTGGAGTATCTTGCTCGATCAACACATTGCTGACCACCACTCGTTGTTCAGCCGGGTGGATATAAGTTTTGGATCTTCAACTCCAGCACAACGCGCCTTGTCGATATCCGATCGCGTCAAGGGACAAGAGAAGTTGTTTGATCCAGAATTAACAGCCCTTCATTATCAATTTGGACGATATTGTTTGATCGCCTCGTCACGGCCAGGTACGCTTCCGGCCACTCTCCAAGGCATCTGGTCAGGCAGTCCAGATCCTCAATGGGGGTGTAGATACACGACCAATATCAATCTACGTGAGTAACACCCTAAATCGTCGCTCACAATAAGAAATGAACTACTGGCTGGCACTCCAAACAAGTGAGTGAGCTGGCTGTTGGATTCGCTGACCTTGAGATTTGTTCGAGTTGAACGAGCCCCTCCTGGACTTTGTCTTAGACTTGTCCAAGTCCGGTCAAGAAACAGCAAGAAAGATGTATGGTGCTCGTGGCGCCGTGTGCCATCACAACGCTAATCTCTGGGGTGATTGTGCGCCTCAAGACCGATATACACCCGCAACCGTATGGCCTACAGGCTTGGCTTGGCTGTGTACACACATCTGGGAGCACTATCTATTCTCTGGAGATATAACGGTACTGCGAAAGTACTATCCCGCCATCAAAGAGGCATCCCTGTTCTTTTTAGATGCCATGACGGATCATGATGGCTACAAGGTCACAAGTCCTTCCCTGTCTCCCGAGAATTCGTACATGGATCCCCGGACCGGACTAGCCGTGTCTATATGCGCTGGGCCGACATTGGACAACTGTATCCTGTGGGATTTATTCAGCGCCACCATCCATTGCCATCAAGTCCTGGATCTCGATGATGAGGCGTTCATCCTCCAGGTGTCAGAATTCAGGTCAAAACTGCCGCCAATCAAGATCAACCGCCAGGGAGGAATTCAAGAGTGGTTACAGGACTATGTCGAAGCAGAAATTGGTCACCGTCACTATTCGTCACTGTATGGAATGTATCCAGGATCAAGGATCACGCCGTCTTCTCCCACCCTATTTAATGCTGCCCGTACGCAGCTACACCGCCGGATCAAGCACAACTCGACCCACACTGGATGGTCTGCCGCATGGGCAATGGCTCTAGCGGCGAGAGCTTTTGATGCAGACATTGTGGCCGAGCGATACAAAGCCGCCCATGAATTCTGGGTTATGCCTCGCACCCTCATCGCGGTAGGAGGAAGGGAATTCCAGCTCGATTCGACATTCGGATTTCCGTCCGCTATGACTGAGTGCATCCTGCAGAGCCACGAAACGATACGGGAGGAGGGGGTCGTCAACGTTCTGATCCGTCTGCTACCGTCTCTGCCGACTGAGTGGGCTCAACAGGGTAGAGGGGGCCACCTCTCTGGCGTCAGAGCCCGGGGTGGTTTCATCGTGGATGTAGAGTGGAATGAGCGCGGCGAACTGGTCAGCGCCATGATTGAGGATACTGTGGGAGGTCCGTTCGTCGTTACTGCAAGTAGAAGTCGGTGCGAGGATCGAAATGTCGGTGTTGAGGTCATCGTGGACGGAAAGAGGGGTGTTTTTGTCAAGGTGGCGAGTCAAAAAGGCCAGCTTAGCTCCGTGCGGGCCATACATACAAGTACCTGATTATATGCGACGCATCTGATCAGGTATGCATACAGTAAACGACACAATCATCGCCCAGGCGTCCATGCCCAAATTTTAACCCTGATTGCTCACTTTCAGGAACGTCGGAAGAGGGGAAACACGTGCTTTGACGCTAAAGACGAATGATTCAGGGCCATTTGAGACGAATGATCCCGCTACTTTGAGACGAATACCGAAACTCTGGATCATTCGTCTGATTGCGGCGGAATTTGAAGACGAACGATACCGGATCACCACGTTCTCCGCCGCGGGGCGAACAGATAAGCTTCATTCAAGATCTGATTGCTCTACCCAGGTAATTTGTGGGTGAGCGTCCTGCTCATCGTCCTTGATGGTGACGGTGATCATGCCGTGCGTGTAGCTGACACATGCATGCATTTCACCGTCTGATTGTTGAGAGACTTTAGAGCGAGGCTTTTCGTCCCTCTTCTGTTCTGAAAACGCTTTTGTAAGGACTTATTGGGCATTCCTTGACGGGAACGGAACGGCCCCAGAACGATGGGCGGATGCAAGTCTTTCGTTCGGCGCAACTGAGGAGCCATACGCTCAGGACTGGGTGATATGCGCCGTGCGAAAGTTTCCTTATGATCGTGAGTTCAGCTTAATACAGCAACGCTGTATGAGACGCGAATAGACCTCAAAGCGCAAAATCCTCTCAATGTCAGTAAGATTCATCTACATCCGTGTGGTTCTGAGACTAACCTCCCAAGCCCAATCCATTGTTTAGGCGCGCAACTGCTCGTTCGTCTACATAAGTCGCGGGACCATCATGTAATCTGTGAATGACCTTCATATATCAGAGACTCAACATTTAGATGCAGCCGCCATGAATTGGACCAGTTGCGGACCATGAAGATCCTTCACTGACTGGGTGAAGGCGATGAATAATGTCTAAATTTACCCACTTAGAACTACCACTTCACAATTTGATTCACCCAAACCGACTTACAGTGACCACTGATTGCGCCTGCCAAGCTCCGACTCTTTTGTAGGCCTTCGTAACCAGTCACTGCGTTGTGTTCTGTCATGGCGTGCCCATCTGCTACTTGGGCATGGACTGAACTCCGATCAGCAGAGCTAAGGTACCGACGCCCTCCCTATCAGTCTCCTCATCATCGCCATCTTCCCCAGCATCTCGCTCTTCGAGTGGATAGCTCGTCTTGGCTCTTTTGAGGTCATGACTTTTTTGACAAGCGATCTGACCGCCAAGCCATCGGCTGGTACTTGGGGAATTCAATTACGGTGTGCACAAGCAGATTGTTCGCACTTGTCGCGACGCCATATGTACCGATAACTACAAGAGCTGCGGAACGCAGCTTTCTATAGATCGTTACTCAACCTGCTCTGGGCGTGACTCTTCGGAGCCCATGGAAGCATCTCATCTCCTTGGTCTCGAGCCATGATCCATCGGTGTATCTCAGATCTGGTATAGTCCCTGGATGCGGTTCATTGTGGGCATTGCAGGAGTTTGATGCCAAGGACAACCTTCCCCACCCTTTAAGCGAATGTAAACAAGTCCAGAGGACTTTAAGCCAGCCGGTACTGCTGAATTGCTTGGCATTTAGCTTCGTCGCATGGCGGCCACCGCCACGGAAAAAAGAAGGCGGCGTCACCGATCGGGCACTTGGGACCAACTGTATCATTACACTGACCGGTATGGTCGCCGCAAATTTCGGCATTGCGTCCGATTCCGCCGGGCCAAGCGTTTACACAACCGGCTTTATCAAAAGCCTTATAAGCATCCTGCTCGACGCCAAGAGCCCCTCATTCGTTGCTATACTTGGCAGGATATGGGATGACCTTGAACCGAGGCTTGGCCTCATCTGTAGCATCTCGTAGCATGCCCCTGCATTCCCCACGCCCAGGCGCCGTGAGCTCCGCAACGCCATCATCTCGTATCGCGGCGAGATAAGGGATGTCTTGTATGGATTCGCCTCTTGCCCCTGCTCCGGACGATCAGCGTATCCCCCGAACAGAGGCATTCAGCCGAATCCATACAGTTCAAAAGGACAAGCACACGAGCATGTTCCTCTCTTCCCTTGTGCATTGCCCTTCGTGACAAGCCCCAACATGTCAGAGAAGGCTCCAGGTGCTATTCCCGTGGTCGAGTATAGCTCTAACGATTATGAAGATATCATCACCGAGAAGAAGTTCGACGACACGGCCTTGGCTGAAGAACATTGGACTCCACCCGAGGAATGGGTCAACACTTTCGTCGAGTCGTACTCTGGTCAACATGGCGGAGAGACACTCCCTCCAGGCTCTGATCCTTACCGGGTGGCTCTCAGTGTTTTCACAATGAATGAAGTGGACGCTCTCGCTTTCATCCAACAGCTTTTAGTTGAGATTCCCGAGGACTATTCATTCGATGCCACATGGGCCGCTCGCATCAGAGACCTCTACCTTGGACACGAACACTGCCAGATGAAGCAGGACGATTGGGCTTATGAGATCTGCAAGACTGCTGGTATATGTCGCAACTGGTCATGTTATGCCGAGGTACGAGCCGTTTTGCTGCCATACGACGATCCGTCGGATCCTTGCGAGTCTTTCAGAGCATATCTTCTTGGTATATGCTGGATCACAGTCTGTACCATGGTCAACACTTGTGGGTGATAGGATCGTCAGTTGGTACTGATATTTCGTATAGTCTTTGCTCCTCGTCAGCCGGGTATCTCTATCCCTGGACAATTCGTTCAACTCCTTCTCGTACCAATGGGGCGTGCAGCAGCACGTTTTCTGCCCGACTGGGGCTTCACAATCCGTGGCACGCGGTACACTCTCAACACCAAAGAACCATGGTCACCAAAAGAGCAGCTTCTTTCCACCCTCATGACGACTCAAGCTTCCGGAACTGGTAACTTCAACGGACTCATTGTGCTCAGGATGCCGATGTTCTTCAATCAGGCTTGGGTCAGATTCGGCTACTCTCTCCTACTTGCTCTTGCCAACCAATGTTACGGCCTGGGAATGGCTGGTTTACTCAGGCGGCTCACGGTATATCCTACTCAAGCAGTCTGGCCAGGATGTCTCCCGACGATTGTGAGTCGCAGTCCACATTTCAGGAACCGCAGACTCACCTGAGACAGGCTTTGAATCGCGCACTTGTCGCCGCCGACAACCGAGGCGAAGTAGTCAACAGATGGAAGATCTCCCGATGGCACCTTTTCCTAGCTTCTGGACTGGTCTTCATCATCTGGTACTGGATCCCCAATGTCTTCCTGCAATCTGTCCGATACTTCAATTGGATGACCTGGATCGCTCCGAACAATTTCCCGCTCGGAGTAGTCACGGGATCATGGGGAGGTCTGGGGATCAACCGTACGTCATCTTCGCTAGCTGGTGGTAGACTAACCAGAGTTCAGCAATCAACTGTTTGGATCCGTCTTCATCCGGCGCAGACATTATGAACTTTCCATTCTTTGCGTGAGTCAACCTCTGGGGTCTGATATTCATCGGCATCTAGACTTCTCCAGCAATATATCATGCGTCTGCTATCGGCTTTCATCATACTCATCCTGTACTTCAAGAACGTCTCATGGTCTGGCTACATGCCGATTAATTCGAACGCGTCCTTCGACAATCAGATGAAAAGCTACAA